AGCCTCAGGCACCTCGAATACCGTCAAAAACCCAACGGAAAGCAAACGTTTTCGACGACGAATTCATCGAACACCTGTATCCAGCCAGGTTCGAGCAAAGGTTGCTCCAAAACACAGTTCGGAAGAAAGGATCCAACTATGCTTATCGACCAACCGGAGGACAGCATCGAGGAAGGTTCTGAGGGTCTTATGCAAGACCTCCTTTTTACGGGGCCCGAGGAAGAGGTGGCTACTCCCACGGCCAACCACGAGACAACAAATTTGCCACCTACAACAACACCAGCCAAGAATCAGCCCAACAGTAGCGCCAACGATACAAATAGACCAAACGAAACAAACAGAAACAGCACAGAGGATGCAACTTATGCAACAGACGATAGTAACAACAACCATCAACTCTCCCAGCAACGAACATTACGATATTCCATCAGACGGGATCCAACCGGGAAATCGCCTCACCAGGTTTTACCACAATGGAAGAAAATTACCAAACACCCATGGCCGTTGTCAGTGATAAAGAACGGTTACCGTCTCCAGTTTATCAAGAAACCAATACCATGGAGGACGAATCAGGTGAAACGATTGACCAAGGATCAATAATAGATTAACACTGCAGTCAACAAGTTTCTTTGGGGCGGAATCATCGAGAAATCACCAACACAGGACAGGAGCTATCTGCCGACGTTCTTCACAATAAAGGAAGCGAACAAACAGAGACCAGTTCTCAATTGTCAAAGACTGAACCAGCACCTCCAATGCGAACATTTTCGAATGGAAGGAATCCCGGCATTAAGGGAGATCCATCGAACCGCAGGACTATATTGCAAGATAGATCTCAAGGTGGGTATGTGGTGGTCCCGATCCATCCGAACTCCAGGAAATTCCTGACGTTTCTGAACGAGGAAATAGTCTACCAGTATCGATCGCTCGCATTCGGACTAAGCACAGCTCCGAGAGTATTCAGCAAGATAATGAGATATGCTGTAGAGCCATTGAGGAAAGAAGGAATTCGAATGATCTACTATTTGGACGATATCTGCATTCTAGCCAAGACGAAGCAAGAGATGACGAGGGTCACCCAGAAAATAAGGGCTCATCTACGGAGCCTTGGATTCTTGATCAACTTCCAGAAAAGCAATCTGATCCCCCAACAGACGCAGGATCCCTTGGTTTCTTATTCAATTCGAAGAAGATGACGATAACAATCCCTCAAGTGAAAATCACCAAATTGCGACAGAGACCCAAGCAAGCGCAACAAAGCCAAGTCCCGAGAACATGCAAGTGGATAGCCAGTCTTTTGGGCAAAATAACTGCATTGATATCAGCAATGGGAGAAGCATTGCTACACATTCGTTTATATGCAGAGAGACTTGGCGAAGAGCCTACAGAATTATGGTCACGACTGGGAGAAACCGTGCGGACTATCGATATCCAGCAAGGAGGAACTACAATGATGGCAAGAACATATCACGCTCAAGAATAGCTTACCAATACAGCAGTTGAAAATGAGAACCCAAAAATCCAGATATATACAGATCTTCTGAAACGGGCTGAGGAATCTCATCAGACATGGTTCAGACGTCGGGTTTTTGGACGAACGAGGAAAAACAGCACTCAATAGAAGTGAGAGAATTGAGGACGATATATTTGCCTTGTTGCTCCATGCAAAAAACTTCAAAAATCCGACGATCCAGATATACAGCGACAGTATAATCGCCATCAAGTATATCACGAAAGCAGGGGGGACTTCGTCGCCTTTGCTTCAGGAGCTGGCAGTGGATATTCAAGACATCTGCAATCACAATAATTTCCAGGTAATATACAGACATGTGCCAGGATTAAACAGCGTCACTGCAGATCGCCTTAGCAGGAGGTAGGTTCCACTATACGAGGAAATCCTCCCAAAACGAATATTTTCCGAGATCCAAAAGAGATGGGGGACCATTGACGGTAGATAGCGTTGCGACACCCAACAAGAAATTGGAACGGTTTTGGAGTCTACTCTCCGATCTGGAAGCCGACGCCCTGGATACGTTCAATCAGAAGTGGCTGAAGGAAGGCTTGTTTCTCCATTCACCGTGGAAACCGATACCAAGAGTGCTGAGGGAGATCAAACAGCAGAAGGTCAAGAAAACAGTAATGGTAACGCCATTCTGGCCCACGCAATTCTGGTTCCCCATGATCCTGAAAATGAAACATCTGGCCAAACCGATACTGCTTCAAATGAAGAAATGGAAAATGGCCGCTTGGCTATTATCAGGAGAGCACATAAGGAAAGAGGCCTTACCGAAGATACTCAAAAGTATCTGTTGAAAGCAAATCGGCTCAACACACAAAAAGCCTATAATCAAGGGTGGAGCAAATGGTCGGCCTGGTGCAGAAGAAAAGACCCATCGTGGGATCCTGAAGAATATGAAGTTCAACGCCTAGTAGAATTTTTCATGGAACATCCGAACTACTCATACCATAGTCTGAACACCATGTGTTCCGCAGTGGCCTCAGTTTACAAACATTTACACCCGAGCAAAACTCCAATCGCTGATCAGCCCTTGATCGCAGAATTTTTCAAAGCCAAAAGAAGATAACCAGCTCGCATTCCATCCATACAACAAACTGAAACATGGGATTGGGACATATTGACAGATTATATTAGATCAACAATGTCAAGTACGGATGACCTACCTTTGGAGAAATTACAACAGAAGACCATTTTGTCGCTAGCCATCAGCAGGATAGGAAGGCCATGATCGGAATTAGGAAGATTGCAATTTCGAGACGTGTACCTCATCAAAGAAGAACAGGCAGTAGTGGGCGCCTATATGCAATTTCGAGACAACAAAGAAACGCAACTCAAAGATACTGAAGTTGGGCAAAATCCCAGAAGAATACATATACCCGGTGAGCACCGTCGAAAAGTTCATGGAGAAATCAACGTCCATGAAAAACGGTCTCCCGGAAGAACACACACTATTACTGGCATATATAGAAGACGTATCAAAAACACGATCGGTGAAGCCAATTACAGTAGCGAACTGGATTAAGAATCAAATGAGCAAAGCGGGCATTGATGCGAAGACGTACAAAGCACACTCAGTTAGATCGGCGACGAGTACCAAAGCCGTTCAACAGGGGCACTCGATCAGGTCTGTCAAGGAACACGCAACTGGAGCCTTACGAGCAACACGTTCGAAAAATACTACTATAAATCACCGGCCCAGGAGACCCGAAGTACCGCCATTACGAAGACACTTTTTTCGGTTCCGGAAAATAGTACCCCATTGGAAGGCGGAGTGAAGCCAACAAGGATTGTGCTAGGCACGACGCACAATGTACTATTTCTATGATATAACAAATGTAGCTATGAATTTTTTTTCCGATTTAAGAATATTTCTGCTCCACGGTGATAACTGATGCCTATATCAAATTTTGGAATATTTTCCAGCTTACACTGTTGGGAAACCCAAAAAGTGATTCTTAAATGGAAATATTCTTAAATCGAGTATCATAATTTCACGGATGATTCGATAGCTATTAAAAGGAATATTGTGAGGTTTATATTGCCGGTGGGCAATCCATATGTGATACGTTGCATATCCACATATCGTCATAATTTTCGGATACTGCTGTATAATGTTTGCCGGCCTAAGGAGCAGAAGCAATTCGTGCAGATCAAATGAAAGTGTTAGAAATATTGGATATTGCGACGTAATAACCGCTTCCAAAATGATACGCTTCTTTGGGCAGTCGATAACGAAGTGATTTAGGTTTGTGGTGTTTGTGAATAAAAAGAAGTGTAAAAAACAGAGAAAACCTGAAATCTTTCGAGACTCGGATTTATTGAGAAACAAGAGAAGGGAAAAAAAAGGCCCAGATCAATTCTTCATTCTATGTCTGCTTATCTAGTTTATGACGGGTCGTCACTTGAATTGATCGTATTATAATAAATCGTTTATCCTGTATATATTGCCGTTGAACGTACTGTGGACGAATGGCAAGAGAATGCGGTTGTCCTTGTGACTTTTGGTTGACAAGGCGACGGTAAATTTGTAAATGTGGATCGCATGATTATTTTATGGCATGACTGTTTTATGTCAAAGGTCGGTTCCTGAATAAAGATGGTCATGAGGTTCATCTTCACTGATTGGGATTTGAGTGTGGTACAACTCGGTATATTTGAACTGCGAACGTTCTGAGGATGAGATTTATTCATGGCCATGTCCATAATGCGATGAAAGAGGAATTGATGTGTGTGGAATACATTATTTATTGTACCGAACACGACAAGGTCTTCTGGTACATGGCATAGGATACATGGTTCGTTTGTCGCACGATTTACTCGTCCTAGGTGTCTTTGTAATGGGATCTTTTGCGCCAGGACTTTGTACTATACAGACCGAGCATTTGGTGTCATTGGGCTATACGAAAAGGAATGAATTATATTGCGCGGAAATTTGTAAGGCGGGAGGCTCCCGAAAATCTGTTGATGGCGGTAATTTTCTACCCATTTTTCGATGAGTGGTTCCATATCATATTCTCCAGGAGTCCTGGAATTTACTTGAGCATTGACAGTATATGATATGGTTTTATCCGTGGGCATGTACATAATGGATGAAAGAGAAATGGATGTATGTGGAATATCTTATTTTATAATACTGAACAAGACATCTGGTATAAAAGTGGCAACTCTTTTCCAGGAATAAAACACTTGCCACTTGCGCGGTATCAAGATGGCAACTCTTTCGCAGGAATAAAACACTTGCCACTTGCCTGGTATCATGATGGCAACTCTTTTCTAGGAATAAAACACATGCCACTTGCGCGGTATCAAGACGGCAACTCTTTTCTAGGAACAAAACACTTGCCACTTGCCCGGTATCATGATGGCAACTCTTTTCTAGGAACAAAACACTTGCCACTTGCCTGGTATCATGATGGCAACTCTTTTCTAGGAATAAAACACTTTCCACTTGCCTGGTATCATGATGGCAACTCTTTTCTAGGAATAAAACACTTGCCACTTGCCTGGTATTATGATGGCAACTCTTTTCTAGGAACAAAACACTTGCCACTTTCTGGTATCAAGACGGCATCCCTTTTCTAGGAATAAAACACATGCCACTTGCCTGGTATCAAGATGGCAACTCTTTTCTAGGAATAAAACACTTGCCACTTGCCTGGTATCATGATGGCAACTCTTTTCTAGGAATAAAACACTTGCCACTTGCCTGGTATCAAGACGGCATCTCTTTTCTAGGAATAAAACACTTCCCTCTTGCCTGGTGTAAAAGTGGCAACTCTTTTCTAGGAATAAAACACTTGCCACTTGCCTGGTGTAAAAAGTGGCAACTCTTTCGCAGGAATAAAACACTTGCCACTTGTCTGGTATCAAGATGGCAACTCTTTTCTAGGAATAAAACACTTGCCACTTGCGCGGTATCATGATGGCAACTCTTTTCTAGGAACAAAACACTTGCCACTTGCCTGGTATCAAGATGGCAACTCTTTTCTAGGAATAAAACACATGCCACTTGCGCGGTATCAAGACGGCATCTCTTTTCTAGGAATAAAACACTTGCCACTTGCCTGGTATCATGATGACAACTCTTTTCTAGGAATAAAACACTTGCCACTTGCCCGGTATCAAGATGGCAACTCTTTCGCAGGAATAAAACACTTGCCACTTTCTGGTATCAAGATGGCAACTCTTTCGCAGGAATAAAACACTTGCCACTTGTCTGGTATCAAGACGGCATCCCTTTTCTAGGAATAAAACACATGCCACTTGCCCGGTATCATGATGGCAACTCTTTTCTAGGAATAAAACACTTGCCACTTGCCTGGTGTAAAAAGTGGCAACTCTTTCGCAGGAATAAAACACTTGCCACTTGTCTGGTATCAAGATGGCAACTCTTTTCTAGGAATAAAACACTTGCCACTTGCGCGGTATCATGATGGCAACTCTTTTCTAGGAACAAAACACTTGCCACTTGCCTGGTATCAAGATGGCAACTCTTTTCTAGAATAAAACACTTGCCACTTTCTGGTATCAAGATGGCAACTCTTTCGCAGGAATAAAACACTTGCCACTTGTCTGGTATCAAGATGGCAACTCTTTTCTAGGAATAAAACACATGCCACTTGCGCGGTATCAAGACGGCATCTCTTTTCTAGGAACAAAACACTTGCCACTTGCCCGGTATCAAGACGGCATCTCTTTTCTAGGAATAAAACACTTGCCACTTTCTGGTATCAAGATGGCAACTCTTTCGCAGGAATAAAACACTTGCCACTTGTCTGGTATCAAGATGGCAACTCTTTTCTAGGAACAAAACACTTGCCACTTGCCTGGTATCATGATGGCAACTCTTTTCTAGGAATAAAACACTTGCCACTTGCCCGGTATCAAGATGGCAACTCTTTTCTAGGAACAAAACACTTGCCACTTTCTGGTATCAAGACGGCATCCCTTTTCTAGGAATAAAAACACATGCCACTTGCCTGGTATCATGATGGCAACTCTTTTCTAGGAATAAAACACTTGCCACTTGCCTGGTATCATGATGGCAACTCTTTTCTAGGAATAAAACACTTGCCACTTGCCCGGTATCATGATGGCAACTCTTTTCTAGGAACAAAACACTTGCCACTTGCCTGGTATCAAGACGGTATCCCTTTTCTAGGAATAAAACACTTGCCACTTGCCTGGTGTAAAAAGTGGCAACTCTTTCGCAGGAATAAAACACTTGCCACTTGTCTGGTATCAAGATGGCAACTCTTTTCTAGGAATAAAACACTTGCCACTTGCCTGGTATCAAGATTGCAACTCTTTTCTAGGAACAAAACACTTGCCACTTTCTGGTATCAGGATGGCAACTCTTTCGCAGGAATAAAACACTTGCCACTTGTCTGGTATCAAGACGGCATCCCTTTTCTAGGAATAAAACACATGCCACTTGCCTGGTATCAAGATGGCAACTCTTTTCTAGGAATAAAACACTTGCCACTTGCCTGGTATCATGATGGCAACTCTTTTCTAGGAATAAAACACTTGCCACTTGTCTGGTGTAAAAGTGGCAACTGTTTCTAGGAATAAAACACTTGCCACTTGCCTGGTATCAAGACGGCATCTCTTTTCTAGGAATAAAACACTTCCCTCTTGCCTGGTGTAAAAGTGGCAACTCTTTTCTAGGAATAAAACACTTGCCACTTGCCTGGTATCAAGATTGCAACTCTTTTCTAGGAACAAAACACTTGCCACTTGCCTGGTATCATGATGGCAAGTCTTTTCTAGGAATAAAACACTTGCCACTTGTCTGGTGTAAAAGTGGCAACTGTTTCGCAGGAATAAAACACATGCCACTTGCGCGGTATCAAGACGGCATCTCTTTTCTAGGAATAAAACACATGCCACTTGCCTGGTATCAAGATGGCATGCCTTTTCCAAGAACAAAACACTTGCCCACTGGCCCGGTATCATGATGGCAACTCTTTTCTAGGAACAAAACATGTGCCACTTGCCTGGTATAAAAGTAGCGACTCTTATATTCTAACATAGCATGATCAATTGCATACTGTATTAGACAAGAACATCACTAATCCGGCTTCTCTTCTAGCGTGGAATGCATCCTTCCAGAAATCCATATATCCTTTCTATCATATCGGTTAGTATCTCCTCCCCAGATTGAGGCATGATTCTTTCTACAGTATCGGAAGCTCATCTTTAAAGAGTCGATGATTCAGAGACATATTAATACCCATCAGTGTTTCATTTTGAATGAATCTTTTACAGTCGTCCCTCGATAGTTTCAACCCTTCGATATGTTCACGGCTCTGGGGGCCGCCACTGAAAAATAGCAGGTAACTCCCACGATTCTTATTAATTTCGACTTCACGGTAATTTTTGGTCGTGAATCCTTTACGAAGAACAATATCAGCCAACCGCATTTGAGAATTATAGTAAAGTATGGGGTTGGGATTCTGGAGAGGGGAAAAATATGAGAGAAGGCAAGCTACTGTAGCTAGTTGATGATTTCTATAAAAGCTCCTAATTTTACTTCGCTTTGAGTGTGCAATCTTTTGGTATTTCAAGCAAAGCAACTCAGTGTAAAGCTGATATTTTACATTGGTCATTCCTTGCTTCTTCTTTGAAAAGTTTTTAATTGGTATTGTGAGCACAATGAGAAGGCTCAGTGCATAAATGCGTCAATCACACTCTGGCTTATCCGGAACATATTTATGCCGCATTTCGTTAATTGCAACACCTTGATAAATTCACGGCACCTGACCCCTCCCCCCTTTGGCCTGAAATTTATCGAGGGACGACGACTATATATTTTCTGCCTCGTTTACACATTAGTCTCTACACTTAACAAGCCGTACACCCGCTGTGCAATGGATGCCGCCTGCCACCGGAGGTCGCCCTCTTACATTGAGCGACTTTCGTCAGACAAAAAGCCTAACGCATACACGGCATAACCTGGGCGAGAACTCTTGACGGAACTTCGGTATATTAATGACAACCTTATGGCATACGTTGCAACGTGATTTGTTTCTGAACACGCGCAGGGCAGCACTGATTCCCCCCCTCAGTTCCATCCCGCCCAGGCTATGATAGATCTAGAAAGATGTGTGGGTATGTTGGGTATTTAAAAAAATGAGTTAGTAAGCTCTTTGATTGATTCAAATTTTCGTCAAGATATTTTAGCTTTGTTATTTGAAGTTTTCGGTAGCCATTGATCGCTTGACATGACTTGGATTATATGACATTGAAAAAATTTTGAATTAGTATACGTTTATTACATCATAGCAAAGGAAAAGAAATTGGACTTGCCTTTGAACCAAATGGTGTACCGGAAAAAAAAAACGATGAATACTGACCGCCAGGTAAGCTTCTTCTTCGATGCGGAAAATAAAATTGCTTCCAGGGACACTTAAGCGATGGATCGGTGGTGTCAGCTTGAGGAGGCAAAAAATATTGACGTGGCCAGAAGTGACGGTAATTTCGAGTTGGATTCCAGATATCGAGAGTCCCCCGAATGAAAGAAAGAAAAACAAATAAAGTACATGATGATAAAAAAAAAAACAATGGTCGCGTCAGTAAAAACCTCATAAAACACCCTGTGGGAAAAAAAGAGGAAAAGACTGCGAAAAGAATATGTACATGAAATATAAAATACAAAATACAAACTATAAGCTAAAAATACAATAATCGGGAAGACATCTCGCATACCATATGATGAGAAGCAATCCAAAGGAGGAACATGAAGAGGACACGTAAGCGTTGCTGATTAAAAAGAGCACACCACCGACGATGGCCTTTGACGTCATCCGATTTCGCCAGATGGATGGATGGATGGATGGATGGCGAGAGAAAGTCAACTTGTAGCATCCAGAACTTGTCAGGCGAAAAGAAACGGAAACGGGAAGCTGGAAGAAGGATGGAAGCAAAGGAGAGGTGAGTCTGTTTTGCCGGAGCAAAATCGATGGTGGACCACTCGACGCTTACCTTTTTGAGAATTGTAGTCGATTCAACCAAGTTAGATACACGGGATAAGAATGGTCTGGATAATGGATGCGGATGGGATCTTGATACAATGATAGTGAGGGTTTATCAAGCAAACAGAAAGAGAGAGAGAAAAGCAAAAGAAAAAAGATAAGATTGAAGACAAAAATATATGATTCTCCATGGATGAAACAATAGTCACCCCACTGATGCATGAATTCATAGATCGAAGCACGTCTGCTTATGTATTATTCGATTCATTGAAAATTGAAAGAGAATGAAAGGACATATACGTATAACTGACAAAAAAAAACAAATTGAATGATGCTACAGAAGAACGCCGGTCGTATCATCAACCACTTTTCTTCAAAAAGAGCTCTACTCACATTTTTATTCGAAAGACGACGATGCTCTGTTTGACCATAAATGGCGCAAACGGCATCTTGCTGCTGATTGTTTCGCCTATTATTGTGGAAGTAGGCAGCGAGGCATGGTTGAAAGATAAAAAAAAGAGGTTTAACAGGCCCTGATAACTTAGTGTAGATCATGTGATTTACAAATCGCTAATTTCCCAAAGATTTTGATTATGTAGACAAGTAGCGCCTGTTGATCTTAAAGATCACAAAGTTATGCTCTTTCGGTCTGTAGTTTGTTGTTAATCTGAGGCTAGTGGGAATAGTAGCTGATTAAAGATGCGTTTGGAATGGGATGCTCCATTTGCAATATTCAGAACTCCGCACTCGAATTTGTGTATCCAAAGGTCTCGCTTGATGGTACTCTAATCTTTTGTCAATAAGCGGTTGATTTTTCGGTAAGATTTAGTTGATGTGCGCATAAATCTTTGCGTATTCAATGGACAACAGAGTAGTACAGTCTCTTTTTCTTTTTTCCCGGGGGTCTTGCCCCCCCCCGACCTACCGCCACATAGCGATCATTTCCTTCATCCACGACAGAGGAACAACAATATGTACACAAAGTTAGGAACAGAAATAGTCAGACATCGTATAATATTAAATGGAGAGACAAAAATAGATAACAGAAAAAATCGTACTTGGGGAAACATAGCATAAGGATAAAATCAAAAGGAACATAAGGACAAAAAGCATACAGTAAAACATAAAGGTGAAGAATAACTTGAAAAATCATAGCAAAGGATGAAAGCAAAGGAGCATAAGACAAAATACATACAGTAAAATATAAAGGAATAATAAAAACAACAACATAAGGGTAAAGACGCCACCAGGACCATCAACAAAGAACAATCGGGCGGATTCGTTGCTTCCATGCGTGACACTCTGGAGAATTGCGTGGTATACGGCATGTTGTCACGGTTTAGGTACTCGTGTGTTGGGGAACATTGGCAGCGTCTGCGATGAGATCGAATTGTTCTCTTACCAGTCTGGGCTGACGGCGAAGTGAGCTTCTGCCAATTTCTTGGCGATCAGGAAGAACAAAGCGATCGTAACTTAGCAGTGAACTCGATTGGCGGTTCAGATGCTCTTCAATGTCCAGCAAAGCGCGACCGTACACGATTTGGGGCGGCTCAATTTTGATGATCATCGTCTTGATTTTGATTGCTCCAAAAATGGAAATAGTCTTCTGCCAAATGCTGGCGGAACTGCATCCAAAGCGCAAACGGGTCAGGAGCCTGACATTTTCTGTCATTGTCGGCATGATACATTGCTGCTGCAGCACGATCGTGGCCTTTGTAAACATACTTGTACAGGTATTTGACGCTTTCCAGAGAAGTACAGATTTCAACGTTAATGTGAGCCTTATATCTTGCACAGAGGTATCGATTGTGGGGAACAGCCCATCTATGTCCAACTGGACATGGTTCTTGACCACAAAATCACCATTGTTGCGACGACGGTATAACGGGTAACCACTGTGATCTTCGATAGTAGCTTCATTGAAGGAGCGCGGGTAACGCTTTTTACATGAGCCGTTTTCCATGCAGGGAGACCTCGGATGCGTTGTTCCACAAGGACCGTGCATCATACATCTGCTGACGGTGTCGTACAGGAAATCTCTCTCTGTCCGGAAGTTCGGCACACACGATACGATCATAGTCATCAAGTGTTCTCGGCTTATCCTCCGGAGTAACACCAAAAGCAAATGAAGATGCAGTAAGCCTCGCTTCTAAAACTCCGCGGTGTGTACATGGGTAACGACTCTTCCCAAACATGGTTCTTCTTTAGATCTTCCATCAGAGCTTTACGCTTCATGTTATAAATTCGAGCGCAAAGGTCGGGCCGATCAACAGCTGTCTGGTTTCGTTTCAACCAATCATATATATTTTTTTTCAAAAATTACCCAATCAAAGCCGACAAATGTAGCAAAAAACCCAATGTGGCTGCCTTGTGACTGAAAATAAGCGCGCATAACTCCCAAACATTTTAATAAGGTTGAGATAGATTCTAGAGGATAAATCATCAAGGCCAATAAGTTTACCATTGTGCCCGTTCTCTTGGATTGTCTGTTGTCATATTGATTACTTTCCCTTTGATGATCGGCTCCCTTCAGATATTGGATACTTGGAAGACTTAAGTAAAACGCGAGTCTTCAATTGAATATTTATCCAAGGCCTTTAAATGACAAGGTGTGGAGGATATTAACGCGACTAAAGGATGATCAGCATGACGACCGAAAAGACGGAACATCAATGGGCGCGGAACTATATGATCTCCTCTAGATTTACGGTATGCGGGACGACGAATAAGTATATGTGGCTTTCATTATTAACATACAGTACCCTACTCACATAAAATCCATCCTTACTGATTCTGCGAAATGATAAAAAGATTACCCATTCAGCACACAATCAGAATTTGTGCAAATTATGCATTCATGTACCATGTGCTTCAAATAATATGTGTGATATATGAGAGAATTTAGAACAAAAGAGACAATGAGAATCCTTTGAGACTGTTGGATGGTCTTTATTTCGATTAATGTGATCTGCCTATTTATACTTTAGTCTTGAGTCGGAATTAATAATTATCAGTGAGCAGTCCTCGGTTATAAGGTGTATTAAGAAGGATCCACATGCTGTGATGTGACAGCTTTACCCGTATGAATTGATCTCGGCGATAGATCCAAGTTATGGATGAAGAGGCTCAATCGGTGTTCTAATGGAGAAGCTCACTCAGAATGGAAACACGTCTAGATCCCGATCTTTCCTGTTTGGGAACACCAGTCTAGGATTGATAATACGACAAGTAGTGGATATACTACAATATGTAAGTTCTTTAATGTCATTCGTTGAACTGACAGTGAAACGAGAATATTTAACTTGCTTTGTGAACGTTGTCCACAGCTCGGACTCTGGAACCATGGCGTGTGATTAATATCAAGAATAAATGACTATAACCGGTGTGTACCTATGTTTGAGTGTGCTTCTTGGTTGGTTATACTGTAGATACAAATTCATACTTATCAAGCCGTATGTGCATGTACACGCCTCGCAACGGCTGATATCACGGGCGACGAAAACGATTTGATGTCTCTGTCTAAATAAAGTTGTTAAGTATAGAAGGTCATTAGCTGCTTTTTGGACGATGGTGAACGATGGTGGGACTGCTATTTGGACGAAGGTGAACGATGGTGAACGATGGTGGGACTGCTATTTGAACGAAGGTGGACGAAGGTGGAACGATGGTGAACGATGGTGGGACTGCTATTTGAACGAAGGTGGACGGAGGTGGAACGATGGTGAACGATGGTGGGACTGCTATTTGGACGTTAGTCGGACTGCAAAGTCGTGAAGTTTCAAGCGAGAAGAATACGAAAAAAAGAAAAGGGTAAAAAACGCCTACTTCTTTATTTGAGAAGTATTCCACTATCTTATATCAAACGCGCTGGCTACACCTAATGACATAATGCCAGTAGAATGCTCATCTGTGGCTTAGGAGAATTTTCACGTCGCTCCCATCTTTGAACGAAGCGTTCGTTTGCCAGGGCTTCAAATGTATGGCGTTGCAGTAGCCCGAGGCAGGGGATTCCCCGGGTGTCCTTGTAATTCAGTAGGAAGTTCCTTGTTCGATATTCTTCTCTTCAATAAATCCATGGACACGACCAACGTTCCTTGGTAATGTTAATTTTTCCAGGTTCGTCGCGCTGCGAGTTCTCCTGGGTCGTACATGTGCGTCCTTGTTGTAGAGTTTACGTTGCCTGTCCTGGGAGCAAATGGTGAGAACTGGGTCGATGACTGAGGAGCCGTGTTATAGGCGAACGCGGCGAAAAGATGAATGTATCCTACCGGGCGGGTTCTTTATCAGCGTGTGCGGCTAAACTTGTTTCCACCGTTCGCTTGAACCTCTCAACCACGCCATCTGTTTGTGGATGCTCCAATGATATGTCAAAGAACGAGATATGCCCAATCGCTTGCGTACCTTAGTCATAGCATCAAATACGAAATTGCTACCATTATCCGATGGCGCGCTTTATTTCAAACTACTTTGAATAAAAGGACTTGAGCAACATGGTGGCTGTCGAGACTGGCAAGGTTGCGGCGATGGCTCTTTCGTAAGTATCCATGATATTGGTTGGTTATCTTACTTGCGCGCAGAACCGCAATGTCGGCGGCCCCAAGTTCACCCACAAATTGAGGTAATATGACTGCATCGGTAGTTTCCTTGCGACCGTATCTATTTGTGTCTTTGACATTTTTCCCACGTCTTACCCATTCCGTGACATCTGCCAGTATCGTCTCCCACCAAGAAATTTGTCGAGCTCTTTTTGCGGACGCTAAAGTGCTCAGCCGTTGAATCGTCTGGTGCTGCTTGTAACACTGTTCGGATCATGTTTCTTGGGAGTACTAGTACCGTTAGTTCTTCGCTATCTTCTTCTTTGCAGAGAATCCAGTTTTGCCCCACGTACGGTTTATTGACTTCTCGTTCCCGATGGAGTTGCGATTTGGCTGTCTTCTTTCTGCAATGCTTCGACACTGTCCAACGTCAAATCGGCAACTTCCTGCGTGTTTTTGCTTTTGGCGGCTAAGGGCGCCAGTATCGGTATTTGCAGATTCTTTTCGGTGATAGTAAACTGGTTCAGAATCCATTATGCGATTCCTCCTTGGTGCATCTTAGTCGCTAGGGTACTCTTCAGTGCGGCTTGGTCGGTATAAATGGTGAAGGATGCGCCATATACAAAAGGTTAGAAGTAACGTAATGATCAAGCGTTCTTGTATGTTGTGCTACAGTTTTTCGCAGCCGTTGTGATTGTCCTACTGGCGAAGGCTACCCGTCTGAAGTTATGGTTCAGTACCGCGCCAATGCCGTTAAGGCTTACATCCATGTGTAGTTCGCATAGCTGGTGTGGGTCTAGATATGCGAGAGTCGGAAGACTCACCAACACTTCCTTAAATCTGCTGAAGGCTTTGTTCGCTTTTGGGCACCATCCGAACTTGGTGTCTTTCCGTAGAAGCTGGTATAGCGGATTGGCTGTATTCGATAGATCGTGGATGAACCGATGGTAAATCGCACAGAAACCTAGGAATCGTTATATTTTTCGACAATCGTTGGTGTTGGCCCAGTGCGGATCGCCTTACCTTCGTTGGATCCCGACGTGTTCCAACTCGGCTGAAAAGGTATCAATTCAAAAAATTGACACTTTACTTGGCGATATTTTCAGGTCATATCCCATCGATCTGTCCGGCACTCATTCAATATCTTCCTTGTGTAATCCAGTGGAGTACCGTAGAGGATGAGATTGTCCAAGTAGACCATTACTTGTGGTACGTTTTGTGAAACTCCTTTCATGAATCCTTGAAAAGTTGCAGTGCCATTGGTAACACACCAAAAGGCAGTACAAGGAATTCATAAAAAGCACCATTCGCAACGAAAGCGGCTTTGTACCGGTCTACCTCGTGCATCGGTATTTGTCAGTATCCGGACATGAAATCAATGGTCGAAAAATAGATACTTCCATGTAGCCGATCAAGGAGTTCGTCGATTCGTGGTATTGGAAACTTATCCTCCCGGGTCGCCTTATTTAGCGCTCGATTGGTGACGCGAACAAATTGAAATATTTATTGACAATGAAATATCAATATGCATAACGGGTGTGACGGTATGTGTGAATAAACAAAGCAATCAACATCGTTTCGACGAAGAAGCAATCGCACCAATAGATGGCTTTCTTTTCCTTTCCAACGTCTTGCGTTCTGCCTGTAGGTATATAAATGGAAGAATGGGCGATGGCTGGTTAAGATCTTCATGATTTTTTTTGACTGTTGAGTGTAGGCAAGTGATCGCCAGAAGTTCATCCAAGTATGATATGATTGTAGTAATGTTGCGTTTTGTGGTAGGGATTTCAATCGTGGCAACCTCAATCATGGCATAGAATTCTGCGTATCGCGTCATGAAATAAAAAGTGATGCTGGTGCCTGTTACAAAAGCGAATTCAGTATTTTGCTAAGAAAATTCTTGTACCAGCCTCCCCATTTTTTGTTATATCTTCTTACCGATGGTCTGAAAAGTGAGGATCGCGTTGAGTTTGTTTTTGTCAATCTCATCTTTTCCGAAAAGGGCCAATCGATAGAAATCCAACACCTTGCGAACATCTGAGACATTGTCGATCTTGGAGAATGAACAAGGTTGCATTTCGGAAATATGGAGCCACAGCGTTTCGGTGTGCAAGCTGGGTGTCAGAGTCGTATATGTACAGCTGTGCAAATGCAGGAGTCTGGTTATCCGTTGGTGGAAGCAGGTCACCGATCCGATGATAGATGCCTCCTTGGATGCGATAACAGTAAGCTCCACTGCGATTGTTGGCCACTGACTCGTCAATTTGAGCACCCAGGGAAGTGAAACTGAGATTCGTGTTGTAGCCGCGGATCTGCTCACGGAAATCTCCTCCATCGTCGGTGTTGCTACGAAGAAGGCGCGCAATTGTTGGAGGTGTAGGCTCCAAAGACGGGAGCACAATGGAACCTTGAGCACAGCAGACCTGGAACTGTGGATTAGCGATGGATCCAGACATACGCTCTTTGAGCCACATGTGTGCTTGGCAGAAATTGCAGACAACATTCATGCGTCCCAAGGTATGTCTACTGGGGAGTTATTATTCATCAGACTCTGCGTTACCAACAGATGCAGGTAATCTACGGCTGTGTTCTCCAGCGTCAGTTTCGTTTGCTTCTCTCATAGCCAGCCTCGCTGGATTCAATGGGCAAGCCAGGTGGCTGCTGCGCTGGTGTCTCAGTTGCTGGCACGAAGAGCAACGGACTTCTACCGATCCTTGCAGCAACCTTGGGTTGTTCGGTGCGTCTGGGGTTGTTGGGACAGTTTCTAGAGGTGGATCGAGCGTATCCTGGGAGACCGCAAGAAACACAGGAGATGGGTAATGAGACAATAGCGCTTTCCTCAGCACGTCTCGTATTCTTGGGACAGCTGCGATTCGTTGATCGAGCATGACCTGGCAGGCCACACGAAGTACAGAAAATGCTTGAAGACGACATTTGGAAAAAGTGATTGAGCTTGAGGAAATGGAATAAAGAAAGGAATTGGACCTAGATGATAAACAATACAGCGTGGTTTAACTAAACAACTCATATAATAACACGGTCCGCTCATGCATAAAAGGAAGTGCAGATCATGAGCAACTCAAGTGACCGGTTTTTACAAAACGTAAATCATGTGATCTATTTCGTTTAGCCAATCAGCAGCCCTTAAAATCATTTATTATCCAATCAACAAATCCAAATTAGCGGACAATAAAAGTGACTGCGAACTAAAATTCAAACAGTAAAATAAAAAAAGGACAGCCTTTTCCCGAAAAGGGCTGGGCCCAACTGAGGGTATAACCAACCAGTAATGAACACAAAAACTAAGCCTTACTCAGTTCGTCTACGAAGCGCCTAGGATCATTGTAATAGACGTCTTTAACATGGGTGATGAAGCTTTAGATTTTTCCTGGGCATCATTATACAATATGGGATCATAAATGCTAGTGAACGATGAGGTGCGACTGCTTCGTCTACGGCGGAACTACAGACAGGTTTGAACACTCGAGTCGATATCGTCGACTGGATGTCCCAGTATGAACCACATACAGTAGAATCGTAACCGTTCGAATACGATACCAATGATACAAAAGCAGGTAATGCAAATGACTGCGAATATGTCAAGACTAGAGAGTGGGAAATAAGAGGGGATGTACTGTATTAATTGCTTCTCACTAGGCCAAGACTATGGCGAGACAAGCACAGGCAAGACAGCTATGGACCAAAGGAAGGACAAGAAAATAAAATAACAGAGGGAATAGCGGACAGAAGATCAAGAACAAGAATAATGGAGGAGGCCAGGAAAGACGAGACAAGAGTTTGCTGGAGTGAAAACACGATACCGAACTGAAATTATTGGCTATGTGATTTTATACTAGAGCTGGTGGATGGACAAGGCAAATAAGCACGGAGCAGCATATGGGGATAAACGGGCAGGATTGAAACCAGCCACTGCGCTCTAGGAAAACCATGGGAGATTCTCATGACACTGACTAAATGGCAAGTCTTTTGTTGCGGGAAAGAGTTGCCGCTCTCTATGCCTGTAAATGAAGCATTTTCAAATAAGAAAGGAGAATTGAATTACGATATTTAGCTTTAGGCTGAAATATTAAGAGCGACTCGAAGGAAAAATGATCCCGTCATATCTGTATTTATTGCTTTGATCTTTTCACACACGACGTTCTGCAATTGAACTTTTGAAGAATACTTTCTTTCTTGAGATCTTTGCGTGAATATATTTCTACTTTATGGCCGATGTCCACAACCACTTCTTCAATCTGTTTGTTGGCTTGCATGAACCACTTGAGGTCATCCGGGTCGGTAGTTAATCCCGCGTAATCGATTACAACCAATCGAATTTTTTTCGGGCTTTTCGTAATGGTTTCCATCATGTCTTGCATCGTGCCGGAGGAATCTTGAAACTGTGGAATGCTGCTCGGCTTGCTATTTGCATCCCGTGCAGAAATCGGATCACTTGCATTCGTGTTATAAGATGCAAACACGTGTTCGCAGAGAAGCTTCGTTTTCAATTTGTAGATTTGTAGATCAATCGATTTGATTTTCGCTTTCTTTGGTTCTCTTGTTCTTGACTTTCGGACGTATCCGACTGTACAGACGCGCGAGGCAGTACTACGCACGAAGGATCGGTATTGGTGGATGTTTGATATATCGTCCCATGTAAAATCACGGTACTTCTCCATAACGAGGTTGACATCACGACCGCATTTTCGTCGTTTGTTGCTCTGTCTGCGGTGCACCATACCCCATGAGCCGTTCTTACTCATCCAGTGCCAGAGCTTGTCTTTGGTAATTGTCGATTCTGGGATGTAGGAAGAAACCAGGTCGTAAATGTTATCTTCGCAAAGAAACATGGGCTCCGTAATCCCGGGAATTGGCTGGGGAGGCATGATCATTTTCATAAGCTCAATAACAGACGACTGGGAGGGCGCGATCGACATAATATAGGACTCGCTGCTTTGGGATTCATGGATGCTGTTTTCGTCCGAGTTACCACGACTCGAAACTGTGGCAGGAAAACGATTGTATCGCCAAGGTTCCATATTAATCTTCTTTGTTGACATGGCAAAAGGTGTTGCCTGATCTCCATTTACAAATGTCACCGGTTCCAGATCAACTTCCTCCAACTTTTTCAGTGATAAAGAAGCATTTTCGGCCGAGATTTCCAGACCATATATAAAGCAGGCGGCTTCATCCTTTGTCAAGATCATTATAAAAAGTAGAGGTAAAAACAGAAAGACAATGCATAAATGAGGAGAAATTAATTTTGCACTCTGAAGTTCACTCCAATTCATTCCAAATCGGGGGTGCCTGACGCGTAGACTGAGATCTTTTCTTTTGTTTTTAACCACCATCAACATTGACCAACGTCAAATATTAGTGCCGTGGTGGAAAGTTTCAACGATCTTGTGCAAGTGAATGAAAACGATGTCGTTCCCCTACTTAGATTTCATTCAGCTGCCACGTTTGCGACGCTGTTACCGAATATGTGCATGTTCAACATCGTACTTAGTGTCAAACGATCCAACGACCATGTAATCTGGTTCACATGCAAGCATTACAGAGAATCTAGAACCCGGAAGGGTGGTGAAATAATGAAGCCGTTGAGGACGAAGAACCTTCAGGCCAGCCATTTATCGCGGGCAAATCAAGTCATATAATTGACTGCGAATGCTTACACAAGATTAGACACTCGAAGTTGGGCAAGCGGTGTCCAAAACACTGGAAGGCTGAGCGTAATCATGTCATAAATGAAGTCAAAAGATGTACAGCTTTTACAGACATTAACCTGCAGAAGTTGAAACCAGGACCAGTGGATTTTGAAGCTGGGCTTCACGACCACAGCATTTTGGCTGTGCTAAAACTTGCAGGATCCACGATATTATCCAGAAAGTCATTGAAAGCAAGCACTTTCGCGTTTTTCAGAAGGGAAAACAACCAGAAGATGCATGATGATGTTAGGGGCTGCAGGACAAAAATTATAAGATCGAGTATACCGTGAACACCGGCATTCGGGTGGATGTGTTTTTCTTCTGTCACGAAAAGTCGATCGTAATACTCAACAGCCTGATCATCGGTGCTACATACAAGTCCAACATCCACAAGTCGACGTTCGTGAACATCATTGACACTAGCAACATTGGAAATAGCAGGTGCTTGGATGAGGAGTGAAAAGGAGCATCTTAAGGATGGTTATTCACGCTGCTCGATTTCAGAGTTTATTGGAGTGAATTTTGGAGTGCATTGAGTGTTGGCCATTATTTTTCTACCCAGGATTACTGGCGCAACCTAACAAAAAAGCACGCGAAAATATTCGCAGCTTAGGAAAGATGTAGAAGAGTCAAAGAACAAGCTTAGTTTATTAAATATATGGAAAGATAAAGCACGGCTTGGCGAACCAAAACCACGCTCTGTGCGTTCTCTTCATCAACTTCCCTGTTATTTTTTTTTTTTTTTTGGCGGCCCTGCCGGGCTGCCATATTGTCCTCAATTATACCAGAAATGGTAGGACTTCCATATTAAGAAACTTTCGTTGTATCCCGGCCGATTGATCAACTGAGTGGTTTCACCCTCTAGGCATCATAATGCGAACTATATTCCATTGCAATCCGGCGCCATGAATCCACGAATTCGTACACTTTTCTCTTTTACTGGAGTTTTGGGCTTTTTAGTTTTCCTCCACTAATTAAGCGACCTGTTTGAACCGCTAAGAGGTCGCTTTTGCCATGGCCGTTGAACATCCACAGGGGATGCTCATTCGTAGCACAGCCCCGTAACAGGATCAATACTTCGGTCGTTTTCTTTGTTACTTTTTAGATTTATTTGTTTTATTGATTTCACCTGTCATCGACGACGGCATGTTTGGAGACTCGATTATGTTGATGAAACATTTCATAGGCTTCGGGTGTCCGTGAGACGGGGGACATACTGGATGGCTCGGCTGTGTTGGAGAGCATGGTCGCATCAAAGTAAGGGGCTGCGGGAGATTTGGGTGCATCATAGTAAGGTGCAGCTGAGGTGGTTGTATCGGTAGGAATAGGCACGTCAAAAAACGGTGTGTTGGTGGTGGGGGAAGTTGGGCTGTCGATTTCGGCATAACCATAAGATGATCGCATGATACTCGCGGTGCGTCGGGGAATGGTACTGTGATTGGTCATTTCTGACCGTGGCAGTGGCGTCGGTGGTGATGAGGTGGGTCCTGGTGATGGTGTGCGGCGCATGGAGGAGTGAACACTCAACGAGCGACGCATGTCTTCGCGAATGCGTTGCATGGTTAAAGCGACATGATTGGGTGACGACGGTGGCGGGGATTGATAGGGCAGACTGTCGTCCTCGATTAATATTTTGTTGGAATAGCCACGATCATCAGCCACACCCGGTTGGAGTAATCGTTCCTGCAATTCCTCCGACGCTGGTACAACACAAACCAATGGGAACACGCCTTGCGATCCCGTAGTGACATTGAACCCGAGAGCCCATCCGTCGTCGAATTGCATCGCTAGACACACAATATCCCCCACGTGTAATCCCAGTTCATCGCCCATTTGCGGTGGATACGGATGAACCACTTCAAACAATTCTTCGATTTGTGTCAGTGATTTCTCGGGCTCGGCTGAAGATTCTTCGGGAGGATGAGCACCGACATCCATGAAGTTGGACTGTTCTTCGTGCGTTCCATTGTCGTTGGCGGCATTGCCATGGGTCACCAGTGCTTGACGACTCGCCACTGAGTCGGAAAACCCACTGATGTTTGTATTAAAACCATGACTGGCGGGCTGATTGAAAGGTGGTATATACGTTCGAAAACTGAATCGATTCTGTCGCACCCGTTTCCGCCGACAGCAGAACCAGAAAAATGCGCCTGCTATTAATGCTCCCGCCACCAGACAACCAATGACAATGCCCACAATGGCTCCCGTGGAAAGGTTACTTGAACAAGCTACCTGTTTGCAGCATACATCATCCCCATTTTCCTGACAGTACAAACACGCACCAGTCGTGTCGTTCTGAAATCCTATACAACTCTCGTAAGTGACTGGATCCAAAAAGAAAAAACCTGTCCCGGGGAAACCCATGCCAAATTTCTCTCTTGCTGTGCCTGATCTTCCCCTCGCAAATATTTGCCATAGTTTCCGCACATTCCTTGATTCCTTCCGGGTTTCTCATCCACTGACTCATGTACATGAGACAAAAAACTTACCACAGTTGTCGGGTTCATTGGTTTTTCCCGATATGCAATATCCCGCACTTCCATTGAAACCTGACCACGAAGCACATGAAGAAGCGAAATACTCGAGCCCGTCTTGGCGTGCGGTTCGATCTGGACACAGCTGTTCGCTCTCGGAAATCTCGGCCACACTGTTGTACCAGTCATTGCAGGTGCTTTGACACAGTGGAGGTGGTGTCATATGAAAATGGTAATTACATGGCAATGAGTAGTCGGAATCTTGGATGAGGCCGGCACACAGTCGTGACAAGGAATATCTTGGGTAAGGAATGGTCATATTGTCGTCGTTGAAGCAATTCATGGGCATGAGGAACTCGGGCGACGATACATAAGATCGTAAGGCTTCATCAAACGACGCGATGTCGGTGACATTGGCAAGATAAGGGTACCTATTGGCCACCCCGGGCACACTCGGTCGAGCCACGTAGTATTCATGAAACCCCTTACATGCATTGGAATTCTGAAGCGACAGACAGTTTTCCGGAGGCGTATCGAAGGTTTGACTTGTGGCTGGCTTGTAAAGAAGACAAATGAAGACGAGAAATGAGATCTGCATGGCGCTTGGATGGTTCTTCCTTTTTGTTTCTTTTTGGGTGTTCTTTTCCGTATGGTTCCTTGAACGGGCGTATAAAGATAAAAAGATGGCGGAATCGAGTGGATGGATTACGGAACAAGGTTTTGAATCTTTTCTTTTGGGGGGTGAAAATAATAATATGAGTGGTTGTCGTGGAGCAACGAAAATAAAAGGAAAAAAGTCTAAATATACAAAGTAAGGAAAAGAAATAAAAAAAAAATGTAAGGTATCAAGAAGAGTGAGATGACAACAGTAACCAATGGAGTATATATGCTTTTTGTCTTTTTCTTTTCCTGGAAGCTGTTTAACCGTAGAGCATGACGTCCCTCTGAAATGAAGTATGATTAGAGAAAAGAAACAGAAATCCCAGGCGAAAGGAAGAAAACAAGGGCTGAGAACTCAAAAACGTAAGAGCTTTTCCAAAATGAGCCATTCCATTCAAACCCCGCCTGGGGAGGGTTGCAAAAAACTGGCGCATGTGTCAGAGCAAAGAACAAGCCACACTCCTCCCAACGATCATGACACTTCTATTCGACCCTCAACAATCATCCTATCAGGGAATGTGTTCCATTTGGCAATATGAGCCACCTATGCATATATAGTAAGAAAAAAAAAACCGCTGTGCAACCATTTGCTCCTTGAACCGTCATTGTAATCAAAGGTCATATAATTTTGTACCCCTTGACTATTAACAAGACAAGGAGTGTCATTATAAAGCAGAAAGAGACCCCACCCCCTTTCCTTTAATCAATAAACACGGCCCAATAAATAACAGATCTGAAAAAAAAATAGTATCGGAACTGTCGTCGCCCTTTTGCTTTTCCATTGTACATTCTCATTGGATTCTCTATTGCAATACGATGCATCGCTCTTTGGTTCGCCTGTGCCTGATAATGGCTCTTGTTCAATGCTATTTTACCGTCTTTGCCGCTCCGCCTCCCAATGGTAATGTATGCAAAAAAGCCCTGTAAATTTGAACACAAGATAGACTAAGTTGCCATGCTGTAGCCAATAATCAACCATTGAATGTCGAAAGCGGTAAGTTTCCCTAAAAAAAAAAAGCTACAATTCCCGATCCTTAATATCAAACAGTGTCTGAACAAGCCGGTAAATTGGCGCGTAAAGAACTAGTTCCTCCACTTCAGCAACTTGCCGAGGCAGCACGAGCGGATGCTATTGCCCTTACCGATAACTTTTATCTTTGATCTATTGTCTGTCGTCGGTTGGGAGATGATTCATTAGCTCTACGTTTTTCATTTTTTTTACTTTATTTTTAGAGTCAACGACATGGCTGAGATTGTAGGCGCTATTTGAAATTACTTGCAATAAAAATAGTTGGATGATCCAAGTTTCACAAATGGATCTTCTATAGTCTGCATCGGAGACGACGAATTTGAGCTTGTTTCAGTCAAAATGGGCTGCATGTGTTTTTCACCCAATGTCCAATAAAGTGATCTATTCACTGTATCACCGATTTTCCAAGGAACTATTTAATTCATGGACCGAAATTGCTCATGGCCCAGTTGGCGAAACGAAGACGGAGCACATGCTGACTGCCTGCCCATGGTATCGCCGGGGGCTCTTAATAGCCCCTACCATCATGGTTGCAACACTCTAAAGCATGAAATGAGAAAACATATGACATTCTGAATCAAACCGCGGCTAGGGTGCCACTAACCATGTCTGCCGTTTTCATTCGTCTTGCCAATCGATCCTCTGATTAAAAGTGAAAATAATATTTGTGAGAGCAGGTTCTACGGACGATCCAGAGTTTCACAAAGTACATCTAAATCAAAAAACGAAAGTGCAATAACGTATTTCCTAGTTCTAAAGCGCAAAAACGCGAACGCGCAAACGATCACACTAAAGTTCTTTCATCCAACATGATTCGATTTACGTGGAAGATTCCACCTTCTTGTGAACCTGGCTGGTCGATTTCTATACAGACGTAGTTTGTGCTTTTATATGGAAAGTGGATATCGCCCCAAGATATCGATCCCCAAGAGGTCATGGCACCGAACATGATATGTCATTGAAAGGGCCTCGGAATCCGGACTCTTTTGAACGTTTCAATAGGAGAATAGCAAACTGGACAAGCTTTGAAGTTTTGTAACTCGTCAATTGGTATACTCGTGAAGATAAAATATATAAGCCCAAGATGTCAACGAGACTGATGATAGGATGATTTATTACATAATGAACACTGATGAGTATCTATTCATTCCAGAATAATCGCTGCTCTGAAGGTGAGTTTCCGATAGAAAGAACGATGTCTTGGTCTGAGGAGATGATGGCAAATAGAAAGAACCCAGACTTATGGAAAGATGAATATTCCATGTCAAAGGAGGGGTTGTATGGTGATATCTGTGTCGGATGAATACAACATCAATGACCATAACTGTAATCCCCCCCCCCTTTTTCCGTAAAATTTGACTTCAACCAATGCTACGGATAGGTTCATGGAAGTGAGCCATAGCCGCGGACCATTACCCCTATCAGGATAGACCAAATTTTTCCCTTAGACTTCGGATACGCGTTTGCCTTGTGCCGCTTGATGTACGCCAAAGAAGCGGAGCATCCCATGTTGCAAGATTTTCCCTGCCATAGTGTTAGTTCCAAGCTTTTAATAAAACTGAGAAAGAAACTCAGAACTTCGCCATAACAACGCAGATATCGACTAAATTGATCAATGTTCACAGTTGCTGCCGAATGCTCTGATAATAAGCCCTTGGCGCTTTGGACCTCCTCTTATATTTCACATTCAAACGCAAATTGCGATACTTTGCAGTTTTCATTCCTTTTGCTTGCGTAGCGATATGATCGAGGCATTTCCGCGGTACCCTTTTCATGCATACAATAGAGTAAGTCTCGCCAGCTTTCTTTTCTTTCCGATCGAAAGCCCGTGGTAGTGCCCTGACGACGCTAGCAATTTGATAAATTCATTCTTGGCGCTGGATCGCGTGGAAACGGCTCAACGGTGATTGTTATTTTGAAGCGGCCATCTTGGCAATTTGCGTTCGTGTGGCAGGAAGTACCAATAAGATGTTCTCATTAAAAGACATGTTCACGATTCTGTTCCGAGACTATTGAAATGACAAAACGAAAAGGACAACACACACCCCTTCAGGGATGTGTATTGCACACATCCGGACACTTTACTCGTCTTTAAACAGTGCAGGTCACATGACTGGCTCGACCAATAGAAATTCCCATCGTGTCCGAAGGAAATTCTTTGAAAAAGACCAGAAAATCACCCCTATAAAATTACGTCATGTTATAAGGCGCAGAATGAAATTATGGGCGCATTCTTCATCAGTTTTCCTGTCAAAAAAGAATTACCCGATTTGGTCAATCTGTCTATGTTGTAGGTCGCTGCGGTTTTTCCCTTGGTGGGGATCCCGTGATTTGTATCCAATGGAAGGGACCAGCGTTTATTTTTTCCCTTCATTTCTGCTCCCTTTTTTATAGCTTTTTTTTTTCTATGTGCTCATATACGGCTTAAACTGCGTTATGACAATATTGGTAGAGACAAATAATGATACTTGCTTTGACACCGACTCTTCCAACACTGATGACTCGTCCCAATGTTTGGCCACCAAGTTCTGGTCACGTCCAGAAGACAGCCCAGAAGTGACCACGAATGAATACTCCGAGAATAGAGATGCTCATCTTGTCTTTGGCGACTCTATCGGTATGGTATACTTTTTTTTAGTCTCTCAATAATTTAGCATTGACTGGAAAATCCGTCTCCCCTTTCTTTTTTTTGTTACACTTTATTTTCTTTATCACCAAGCAACCCCAAAAAAAAGGAGCCAACCTGCCAACCAGTATGCTTATTTTCAAAAATTGTGTCATCTAGACCACTTCTATGCCTATAATCACGCTCCGCAACGTAAACAACATGGTTTGACTGCTCCTTCGGAACAACATCATGACACGTCCAAGCGTCGACAGACCAAGATGTTACTCGTTTCTCTGATTGAATCGTTTTGCCGTATTTACGGTGATTCACCCGAAGCGAACCGTCGAGTCTTTTTTCTTATCTGTCAAACGTTGAGTTCACTTGGCATCATTGACACTGAGTTTGTCGATGAAATGACTAGTGTTCGATCGACTTTCCACAAAGCATTCCAAAAACTATTCCACACGGCCGTGCAGACAGTGCGAAAGCAGGAGTTTCGTCTTGAAAATCAGCAGAGAATGATAGCTTTCGAGAGTAGTACGAGTCACCGGAGTGATATTTCTTCATCGTCCGATTTATTTGGTTTCCAGCCAAGCAGAGAACACTCGCATGATCATGCTGCGTCCGATTTATTTTTCAATCTCAATATCCAGAATTCGCGTTATCGCAATGATTTCGTGCAAATTAGCATGCTTGGCAAAGGCGGGTTTGCCAGTGCCTGGCGCGCTCGGAACAAGTTGGACGATATCGAATACGCTGTCAAGAAAATTCGTCTTGGCAAGGACCTTGAAGCCGATGGCACTAGCCCGTATGAGAAAATCTTTCGAGAAATCAAAAATCTGGCCCGCTTAGAACATCACAATGTCGTACGATATTACTCTTCGTGGCTGGAATATGCCGCCGATGACCATTTCAGTGAAGTGGAAGATGATTTGTGGGATCACGACGAATCCAGTTCCTACTCTGTCTTGTCCTCGTCTTCTCACGATACCGTGTTCAATGGTCAGGATCCCACCTTTGACGCCTCCACACCCAGCTTTTCTTCGGTGGGTCCCTCCTACGAAGAATTATCTCGCATTGATTTTGTCGACGACGATGGTATCCGAAGCCCCTACAAAGAAGATTCCACATCCGCTTGCAATATTCCTCATGCGTCTTCCAATCCTTGTTCCCGTCAACGCGCACGCTCCGGCTCTTCTGCGTCGCGAAAATCCCACAAGTCCACCCACGAAGAAGACCGTGGTAACGGCTGGACCTTGTTCATCCAGATGCAGCTTTGCCCTTGTAAGTTGAAAAAGTGCAGTGTGAATCGACCATCGTTATGCGAGTGGATACTTATTTTTATGAATATCGCACTTGTTCTCTTAGCAACGCTTCATGATTACATCAAGTTTCGCAACCGCCGATGTATTGAAACGGACAATTTAGAAGTGAATCGTACGCGGATCATTGAGATTTTCTCACAGATCCTCGAAGGTGCCGCGTACATTCATGAACAGGGCTTAATTCATCGTGATTTAAAACCGAGCAACATCTTTCTTGGCATGCCAACATCCAGCGAAAGCCGGCGTCACCATCACCGTCGTTCCAGCAGCGGTAATCATGATCACGGGTTTTCGTATGATTCAGTCCTTTCGGTGAATGGACTCAGAGAATGTATGTGGGAAGAAGCCTGGGTGCCCAAGATTGGCGATTTCGGTCTAGCCGCGGCGGCCGTCTACGATACGCATGATCCCGTGCTCTTGCCATCTTCTGTCAGTACCGCGGATAGCGAATTCTCGACATCAGTTGAAACCCCGCGAGCCAGTGCGGATCCATGTTTGAATGATGGAAGTTTCCCGAAGCGACCCAAACTTCACCGCACACGCACAAGTAACGTGGGCACACGTACCGTAAGTTGGATGGTCTTGGATTTGTCTACTTCGAATGTGTGGGGTCTTGTAATGCAAGCGTTTTACTCATATTGGTATCATAGTACGCTTCTCCCGAGCAACTAGCCAATCCTCCTCAGGCGTACTGCGAAAAGACAGACATTTACTCTTTGGGTATCATTTTCTTTGAACTGTATCAACCGTTTGCAACCGCCATGGAACGTGCGGAAGCCATTGATCATCTCAAGAGAGGCGTCTTTCCCGAAGGATTCGTTGAGCGATATCCCAAAGAGGTAAGCAAGAAAGCATGCCATTATTTTTTGGCTTTTTTTTTGTCTCCGCTCTTTGAAACTGATGGGGCTTGATTGTAGTCGGCGCTAATTTTATGGATGATGGATGAGAATCCGGCCCATCGACCTTCGGCTGTGCAGCTCCTCGAATTTGAATTATTTGCTCCGCCCATGGTGAGTTTCAAGATCGCGTGATCATTATTTTTATGTCTGGGAAATTGCGGCATGCATTAACCAGCTGCTCAATAGGATATGTACAGCAACTTGCAAGCGCAACTGCAAGCGAAATCAATTGCTCTGGATACGAAAACGCGCGAAATGGCCGCTTTACGTAATGAAATGCAGCGTGCTGAACGTGAGAAGCAGCGCGAAATGGATGCGATGCGCCAACGTCTGGAAGAACTGCAACGTCAATTGGATGGTCTACACGTTCACGATGAGAAGAAACGACATCACGAGAACGATGCCAGTGATACGCAACCGGAAATCAAAAGACTCGACAAAGGCGCTGAACTGAACAACCATCTACGAAAGTTTCTTCAACCTCCTATTTCCACCACCTAAACTCGTCTCCCCCAATCCTCCTTGTTCCTCTATCTACCGCTTTTGTTCTTCGTTTTTTTTTATATATCTTCACGCAATCTCTAACAAAACCCATCATTTTGTATATACTTTATTCAATCAACAAAACAAAAAATACCCCCCCCCTCAAGTTCTCCTTTTTTTTCTTTCTTTTTGTTCTTTGTTCTTCCGTTATGATATTTGATTGCTCAGAAAAAGTTTCGTTCAAATCACGCAATCATTGTCAACAATAAAACTAAAAAAGCACTCATCTTTTTCAATTCATTTTGCACGGACAATGACTATCTTGGTATAATGGTTTTTCTGACAGGAAAACCGACACTACGGCTGGGGATCTATCACATTCTCTGTCTCAACTTGGTCAACGTTCTCAATGTTCACTATGTATTTTATTCTTCATACAACCAACCAGCGTTGGCTCATCACCAGACGGTGTATCTGTACCTGTAGGCTTCAAAAAATCAATTCCAGCGGGTTGCCTCTGGCGGCGCTCCAGTTGACAAGAACAGTTGACAAGACCAGTTTTAAGACCACAGAAATAATGGTACACACGTCGACATGTTGTCTTAACTTTCGAGCGATTTTCGTATTACTCAGGCATATCAGTCGCCAGTCGACCATTGCATTATCTTCATACCCATTGTGTCAACATGACCAAAAGATTCGGGGTAAGGGCACTACATTAAAGCCAATCCCAGTACGTCTATAATACGGGTTAACAAGCTTGTTTAACGTGTCATCCATTACTTCTGTACCAAAGTTATGTGCACCTGTGTATTCGATCAGCCGATATATGAACACTTGAGAATGAAGATCTCTCTTTAACATTATCTGAGACCTACTTCATGCAGCTATTTCATGCGATGGGGCCCCACTCTCTTATCAAGGATAGATATGACGTGAAGCGATGAGCGCGTCTTTTTCCTGCTTCATTATTGGACAATAAAAGTTTTAGCTACAGTACGAGCTACAGTACGAGGGATCGCCTCTTTTTTCATGTCTAAAAAGACGACGCATCTTCCATCCATTTTTTTTTCCTCTTCATCGCACATCTAATTCTTTTTTCTTTTCTTCGCAAAACCATCCATCGCGCCATATATTTTTTTATTGCTTATTCTTATCAGCTATCCTGTACGTATACTCATGATGACTACAACTGTGCTATTAAAACCACTGAACCTCTACATATAGCTTGCGCGCCAAAAAGCTTTTTTTTTTGTGGTCAACAAAGAAACTTTTTTCTTTGAAAGGTAATGTATTAGTGCTCTCAAGTGCCTTTCTTTCTTTTTCGAATGTTATGCCGAATTACTCACTTGCTTTGTGTGCTTCTACTGGGTAGTTTTAAAATACTGAAGAACAAAGCCCATGCCTTGGCGGTGTGTGGTGGCGGCTCCCGCAATGCGGTGAAAACAGTGTTTTTGGCTGTAAAAACAAAAGAAGAATAAGCGTGGCTTGTCTAATGCATCCATCTTTTTTTTTTTTTGCATGTATTTGTCCTTGGTTTTCTCTCTTATTTGATTACTTAAAACAACACATTACCTTGCCTCTTTTTTAAATATTTTGATTTGTAAATTTTTACCCAGATTTTTCTCAACTAAACTGTACGATAAAGTCATCTGCACCGCTCCCGTTCCCATAGACACTCCACATGATAAACAATTGTTCCAATTCAATCAGTGCAAGAAATGTTTGGACAGGTTGTTCGGGATTTTTCGGAAACTGTTGTCTAATACGTTTAGTTGATGAAAAAGGATACCACTCATAATACAGCAAAGAGCGGGCTTATCATTATCCGCTCCAGCTTGCATAACGCCAAGGCGATCTTGAGACTTACAACGAATGAAACAAAACAATTGTGGAGCTCCAACTATTGAGGACTACTCTTGGACGGCACTGACTGTAAAGCGCGAACGACAATCCTTATGAGAGAAACCGTGCCAACGATGCATTTAATTATGATTTTATGCTGCATGTTTACACTGTTTTTGAGACAGATACTCACTATCTTGATTTTCAAACAAATATTGAATTGATACCTATCATTGCGCGCATAATTGTAGAGCGGGCCTTGGTTTTGGATTTGCAGTCACGCCCTTTCAAGTACGCGACTGGGCGGTCGTCCAAGCGATCAGATCGCTTCGCTGTTTCTCTCACCATGACCAATGCTAACGATGACGATGAATTAGCTCGAGCGATTGCACTCTCACTGCAGGAAGCCGAAAGTACGCTGGCAGCACAAAACTACGAGAAAGAACAATTGAAACTGGCGCTGGCCGCTTCATTAGGCAAAACGCCCGATCAATTGACAGCACGGGAAGTGTTGAGTTTGGAACTGGAGGAACCTGAATCCGAACCGATCTCCAACAAACGGCCTTTATCTGACGTAATCCCACAACATGAACCAAAAGTCGCTAAATCGAAAACGGCTGGCAATACGCGATATTGGGACGGAGTCGTCAAGCTCACGCATGTCACCGGATTCACAGGCACCACGTATATCAAATTCGAGGATATTATCGACAAGGTTATTTGACCGCATATAAACGAACCGTATGCAGTATTGCTGAATGCATGATTTGTCTGTGTAGTATTGCTTGAAGAAGGCGTTTGTAACTGCCTTTGTGGGATCCATGGAGTTTATCAATGAACATTTTCCAGACCATGTGAATATGTGCATTGTGTTGCATGGTCGTCCAGTAAGTATCAAGTTGTAGTTTTCATCGATCGTCGGCTCTTATGTTCCGTAATTTACTTTTAGGCACAAGCGGGCCAAATCTCCCCTACGCGATTGGTTATTCATCCTCCCATGAAAGACGATCGATATGGTGTGTTTCATACCAAATTGATGCTGCTATTTCATGAAAATTCCATGCGAGTGGTCATTGGCTCCGGCAACTTGGTAAAACGTAGACAAAAGACCTCGGCTCGTACCACAGACTGCTGACGCTCCCCTTTTAGGATCGATGGGATTACAAGGATTTGGAAAATGTGGTGTTTATCCAGGATTTCCCTCAGCGCTCTGAACCTTGCAGTGACCTTCCTCCATTCGCTAATGATATCTGCGATCTTTTGGACCGTATGCAGGTTCCTGCCTCTGTCAAGGAGGAATTGTATAAATACGATTTTGCAAAAGCCAAAGTAAGTCTCTCATCGGTCATCCAATCTTTGGTGTTTCCTGATTGCTCACTCACCTGTTCATCTCCCAGGCACATATTGTCGCCTCTGTATCTGGTGTATTTGAGGGCGACGAGCACAAAAAGTTTGGCCATACCCGTTTAGCTGAAGTTGTACGAGAACTAGGTGTGGCGGATCCGGCACATCTGCCGGTGGTCGAGATGCAGGTACGATGATAAAAGTAAAATGTCTGGCTTAAATCCACTAATTTAACGAGGAAATAGACATCTTCACTTGGAGCATTGACAGTGCTTTACATGAATGAATTATATCGATCCTTTTGTGGATTCAATCCTTATACAGACGATAAGAAATTGGACCTTTCCAAGACCGAACCACCGCCTGTACGCATCATTTATCCCAGCAGAGATACTGTACTCGACAGTCGTTTAGGCCCGTCAGTAAGTAAAATACAGCATCTAGCGTTTGCCGATCATCTTACTGAACGATTGGTGTATGTATTTACTGTCATTAGGGAGCAGATACCATATGTTTCAATAGCAGTCTATGGAAAAAACCTACGTTTCCCAGAAAAGTCATGCACGACGCGATCAGTCACCGGGCAGGCACATTGATGCACTCCAAGGTACTCAGATTTTAATTTAAACATTGAAACCCAAGAAAAACCGCTAATAGATGTTTTAGTATATCATTGCCACTTTACATAAACGAAGGACAGTAGGTGATCCAAGCTTAAAAGGCTGGGTCTATTGCGGGTATGTTTCCGATTGCGACAGATGACAGTCATAGTCAATGCATCTGATACTAACCAACGTAAAACAGGAGCCATAACGCAACTATGGCTGCTTGGGGGAAACTGACATTGGCAAGAGATACCAAACAACCAAAAATGAGTATAAGGTAAGAGACTGGATTCTCTAATTTCAGCTTTCTGTATCTCATGCGACAGTAGTAATTGGGAACTCGGTGTTGTACTTCCTATTTATGAAGACACCAACATTCCAGCACCGTACAGACGACCGGTCCCTCCCTATCGACCAGAACAAGAACCCTGGATGCAAGACCGCGAATGGTAACATCATCAGCACCCAACTCATAAGAAACCTGTCTGCTTTTACAACGAGCGGAAACAAATTCTATTGTAATTGCACATACCATTACACTCAACAACTTATATGGAGCGCAACGACAAGACAACGAAACAGATTTCTCGGGGGCTGTGGAAAGGATCCTTTTTAAAAATCGGATGAAATAATGCAAGTCAAATCGATAAATCTAGGCGAAAGTGTAAGCTGAAGATATGTAATATAACAACAAAGCCCATTCGATACAAATCATCCCCATCCCAGTCATATGCGCAGTTATTCGATTTGATCAGAACAAATGTCATGGTTGAAAAGAAGAAAAAAAGTTAATAATTATTCACAGTTGTTTATGTATGTGCAAGATTCTGTCATACAGAGGGAAAAAAGGGATACAAACTATTCAAAACGAATAAAGGAATTACTAAACAGAGTTCGTTCTAATGAAGAAAACAGGGAAATACTCGTTTCGATTCTTCAAGGTGTTGCCGGCAAAAATCTAATACTGCGAGGCAGCTGCTTGACATGCCTTGAGATTATCCAGATACCATTGGCAAGCTGAGATATCATTTGAATTGGACTCGAGACATTTCATAAAGGCCTTGGCATCGGCTTCGCAGGCATTGGCAGCAGGCTGTTGCTGCTGATAAGCGGGTTGCTGATACTGGTCCGAAGGATATTGCTGAGGAGGAGCTTCGGCTTGTTGAGCAGGCTGTTCAGATCGGCCGCCTCCAAATAAGGAAGAGATACCGTTTGCCTAGACATTCAGATTAGAATCACTGCTCCCATAAATTCTCACTTGATCCCACTTACCATCGTGTGACCAATAGTAGAACCAACAGCGACACCAGCGGCAGTGGATGCCACTAAAGGAGACCCATTTGCGTTAATTAACCGATCAAAATTCCCCACATCAACCAACATTCACACTTACTTTGACCAAACAGACCGGGACCTTGAGAAGGTTGAGCCACCGCAGGAGTATGCTGAGTGGTAGGTGCCATTTGATGTTGCTGCGGACGATGTTGTTGCTGAGGAGGCGCTTGACGTTGAGGCACAGTGTGAGCACTACGGGTTTGCTGAGTAGGGCCAGCACGTCGGGTCTATATAACAAGAACATTTAGTAATATGCTTCCTAATTGGAAAAACTTGATGCTTACTTGTCTTGATCGAGCCATGATTATAATATGATTAGCAGAAAAGAGTTAGGGAGGCAATAGAAGATTCCAGTTACTCGTTGATGGGCATTATATAAGATGACGTTTTTAACGGTCACATTTAGTCTGGAAACCGGGAATTTTGGTTGGCTTGAGCGCAGTGTCAAGGACGACGAATGAATATTCTGCGCCATCTGGACTCTAGTCTACCAATTTATGGCAATATTCTTGATGATTAAAGTGTATTGAGATTGATCAGCACCCTGTTAAACGGCTTGGCACGGGAAATAATAGGAACTTATTAGTTTTCAGTTCCGGGTCGTGCATTACTTGCAAGTAACACATACAATGCCGCCAGTGCCAGTGACATTCATGCCATTGTTCTCTCTTTATTCGTCCAAGTCTGTACCAGGCATATGTAATGCGTGGAAAGTCAATAAAAAAGACGCCACATTATGGCCAAACTCGCATTATTATAATGCGCAGCCATCATTTTCCTTGTTTGAGAGCTGATCGGAGCAGAGATGCTCCACCCGAGGTCATTAATTTTGACGCAAATACGCCTCCAATTTCTTCCGCAAAAAGTAGCGGAGTTTTTATATATTTTTAAATCTAAAAAAAAAAATTACCACGCTTTTTCGTTGTCTTCCTTCACACACGTCTCTTTTAAATGGAACAACAACCGCATCGTCCGTCCCAAGAAGGCGCTACCTCCTCGTTCAAACCATTTGGTGACAAGGAAAAAGCTGAGGAGAATCGGTGGGCACGACAAAAGGTAATGTAAGCTCAGTGTCGGTAATGACTCTTGAATGCTCATGGCGTACTTGCAGGAAGCGGAGCAGCTGAAAGCGCTGCGGCACTCGTTGGACAAAAAATCACCAATGGAACAGAAAGAAAAGCATTAATTGTAGCCACCAAAAGTCTTTTTTTTTTTGGTTATTCTTTTGTATGCTTGAAAATTTCGATTGCCCAGTGGTTTTATAAATGCTTGATGGGTGGAGACACACGCCGCGACACTCTTTTAGCGAATGTAGTCTTCTCCATATCCATATCATTCTTTCATAGCACTGTAACAACCCTACAATAAATGAAAAAAAGGTGAAGTTGGAGCACCAAATTCTCGGGCATCGACGACGTGGTCGTGACTCATGCGCTGCGCAAAAAAGGCGAGAAAGTAAGTGCTTGGTCTTTCTTACCCATTGCGCTATGCATTGAAATTGATGAGTGAGGTGTATCCTGGAAAGGAGGTATCACTCCTTTCACTCCCAAGGATTATAAAATCTGTTGTAAGAATGGACTCGAGTCCGTTCCATGATATGATCCTCGCTCCGTCTCACCAGTCAATGTTCCCTTGAAACCAACAGCGAATTTTGTCCTCTGCCCGGTAGATTGGGGTCAAGTGTGATACAACCGGTTATTTCCAAACAGTGCTTTCATGAATATGCTCTGTTCTGGTTAAAAGAAGGGAAGAAGGAGAGGCAGCCGAATAGCTTACGTTGAGAAATTTGCGTCGTTGCCATAATTTCAATGAGGTCGGTTCATTTTACTCAAAGGGCGAACTTCACTTGAATAACAATATAAAAGCACACACAAAGGTTGCTAGAGAGAGAAGAACGCTTCATTCACGAAATAAGCTTTCGCGCAGTTTCCAAACCGTTACCAAACAAGCGTGGCCACCTTATTAAAATATTAGGTATACTTATTCTCGTTTCTCAGCGGTTTTTCTCATCCGTTGGCCTTCATCTAATCACAATAGGCCTCTTAACCAAACGGCTCTCTTCTGTAATAATACAACATTGTCTGTGACTCTAACAAAACTAACAGTGGATATGTGGCGCATACACTCGTGTGCAAATCATGCATCAAAAGACAACCGCGACATCAACACCCGTCAGGAGCAGTCAATACGATGATATTCTTTATCCATGCATGATATGATGATGGACGATCGAGAACTCTACGACGCAGCGACGCTAATACGAATGTATGACACTTTATGAAAGAAGATGGAGTTTTGTAGCAAGTAGATACAATTGCATCGATTTGTTATTTGATTAAAAAAAAAAAGGAAAAAACAAAAGAATAATTAGAAGCATTAGAGTGAATATATCATGGATATGTTGGGGGAGCAACAACAAAAAAAAACAAACAAGAAGGAAAAAAATAATGATGTAAAAGAATAATGGCGAGATAATCTAAAAAAGAAAAGGAGCACAAAAATGGGATGAACGGCATTCGTTCACAAAAAAAAACATTGCAAGCGTAACCAGCTTAGTTGGCGGTGGTCTTCCTTGGGGTGAAGTTCATGTAGCAGCCATCTTGAGGATAGATAGTGGCAAAGATACTATGTAATTCAAATATGAGTCTCGGTTACATATCGATCCACGAGGGGCTATTAAGTGGCTACTTACGAGATATCATCACTCTTATCGGTACGATGATGTGTCCAGTCCATTTGAAGAGAAGCTTGGGCAAGGATAGCCATGAGATGCATAATGGCATATTCACGTCCAAGACAGTGATGAGGACCGTTGCCAAAGACCATGAAGTTCTTGGGGAACTTTTCAGCCGTGCCATTGGGGCCCCATCGATCAGGATCAAAGCTGTCAGGATTGGGGTACGCAACAGGATCATGCAAGGCAGGATAAGTGGTGGGAATAACCATGGCTATGCGAAATAAAATAAATCAGATTTCTCACTTTCCCACCGAATACACTGAGTTCAAGGAATGAACAAACAATGCTCCCCACGCTAAGACACTTACCACCCTTGGGAACGGTGTAGTTTTCAGTGATGGGCCATTCACGAGTAGCTTGGTAAGGAACTATAATATCGCAAAAAAAAAGCCACCGTCTATGAGTTACACCATGCATGCACTCCGGATGCGCATATCTCTTCTCCGATATCTTACCCATCAACACCGGGGGACGAAGACGCAAAATCTCCTTGACGACCTGACGCAAGTACACGGATGCTTCCATCAATTCGAGAGTAAGAGGATGATTCAATCCTTGTTCGCCACGGATCTTGTTCTGTTCGTCGCGGATCTTTTCGAGCACATCGGGATGATCGGCCAACAGTTGGAAACCCCATGTCAAAGCCGAAGAGGTGGCGTCCTGACTGGCAAACAAGAAAGTCAAGATAGTGAGAGAGATTTCACGGTCGGTGAATTTGCGAGGAGCCGGCTTGTTGTTCTGTTCGCATTCGAGTTCATAGTCAAACATGGATCGAATCCACGCATCCATCATGGACTTGACTTGACCATTCTTGGCCATACGAACGCGAGAATCTTTGACGCATTCAATGAAATGTTTCACAATATATTTGCGGGACTGAATAGCTTTGTACACCTTGGTGCCTGGCAACGGAATAGGAAAGTTGACCAATTCAAGGGCAGCCGTGATATTAAAATACTCCTGAGAAATGGTCGCAGCAACTTCATCGGACATGTAATCACCCAAGAACACACGCAACGACGATTCCATGTTCACTTCTCGGAAACGGAGTTGATATTGCTCAATCTTGCCATCCAAAGCCAGCCATTCTTGGAAATGCTTCTGGTACACCTTTTCCTGAATAGGAATATAGATGCTAAAAAGAGACAGGGAAAAAAAATGAGTACTTCAAAACGCCATGATACGCCATCGGTATCAATCCAACTATTTACCCAAGCGCCTTTCTCGTGAATAAGACATTCAATCCTTTACGGTAGTCAACGTGGGCTTTACCACTGAGGAACACCCAGTTGTCAGCGCACAGGATATGCTTCATCGAATCGACGACCGCGGGTTCGGCATACACAGGGGCATTCAGAATCTTTCGGCTCAGGTCACATGTCGAAGCAATCACAACAAATCTATAAAATGGTACATAATTTTGGGTTTGCGGCAAGGGAGTCAGAAAACAAAAACTACAAGAAACCTTTCACGCAAAAACGCTCTGCCTCAAATGCTGCCAATATGAGTCACAGTGGAACTTACCGATCAAACACACTGACGCAGGATAATTCGCCACTTTTCCACTTGCTCATGTATCCTTCAAAGGTGGGATACAGTGAATCCATAAACGCACCAATGATAGGAATCTTCAGGGTGGGACCAGGAAGATTCTTCTTTTTGCTCAGATACACATATTGTTCGTAAGCGAATAAGCCCACCACCGCCGAACAAACAATAGCCGTGGTCGAAATTGTAGGTTGACCGAAAGCGGTCTTCATGAAAGCAGCGATCGTGTTCTTGGTAGATTCGATCGTACGCGGATCAAAGAAGCTAATAGTACATAACCAATGATAAACATTCAAGGCCATCAAAGTACCGAAATCGCTTTTTCTCTCGTGGTTTTCCTTTTTTTTTTTTCCGACGATCTCATCCTAGTAGTACCCGTTGCCGGACTTTCCACTTTAAGATACGTTACCTAGTTGCCATGGTACTCTAAGAGCGACGACCAATATGATACAAAGATGAGCAATAAAAAGGGAAACAAGAGGAAGTGAGAGCATGAGTACGTTTTGCAATTGAGATGAACGCGTCTTGGGAATGTCACAGTGCATGGGCACGAGTCAAACTTACTGTCCTCTGATGACGGCGGAAAGAAACAAGAAAGACGAGAAGAAAACGAGGTGAACAAGGAAGAAAAAAGAGGGAGATTAAATTAAAGGATAAAGATACGACGTTGCGGTCAAAATATCTTCCTTTTTGCTCTTAGAAAAGTAGAAAGAGAAGAAATAGGCAAAAAGGATGAATCTAATTGGAAAAAGATAAAAAAAAAAATATCACAACAAAAAAGTTGAGCGGGGATACAAAGAATTTTTTTTTTTTTTTGCGCTTTTGGATTAGACGTTGGGCGGTGGCACCAGGAGAAATAGAGATGGAAATTTTGCCGTGTCCCAAGGAACAAGCTCAGACAAACCATCATAAAAAAGCCAGCCCATGTTGGTTTTTTTTAAACACAGCAACCTTGTTTCTGCTGTTCCTAGGTAAACAACAGCATTATAGGAGCTTATTGCATTTGTCTTCACTTATTTTCCTCCCTGTTTTTGCATTAAAATTAGTCCATATTATTCGCATTTCCTCGGATCTTTACTGCACCAATTCTGTATTGGAACTGTGGGATTTTCTTTGAATTTTTCCCCTTCGTTTCATATGATCTTTTTGTAGTGCATGGTTCGCCATAATTTTTCCGTGTATTACATGCTTAATATGGTAATGTCTACTGACTGGATTCGAATTGAGCGCTGTGTGTCTGCCAGCCCGTCCGATGTAGAAGTACGAAATCCCTGAAATGGCGCCATATTGCCGGATTTATCTCGTGACGGCCTTTGAAAAAAACATTGTTGTCCAAGAGGGATCGACTTGGGCATTTTATCTCAAAATCACCACTGAAAGCTGGCTTGTCTTACTTGTCCCCCACATCTTTGGGTGCACAGACAAACCACTTATCAAAGAAACTCGCGGCCCGATTATTATACCGTCCCTGAGAATTGGTCATTGTAGTTCTTTCACAGGACCGCGTGTACCTATTGAATAAGGTGATATTTCAGCTTCACTGGACGGCAATAACAGCGGTCCTGGTTGCGGAGTCACGACAACTCCGTCCATTCAAAACCACTGTCAAATCTTTGTAGTTTCATTCTTCAAAAAATCTCGCATAATTTTTATCACACCATATAAACAGGGTTGCCATTATCAATCAAAAACAGACGTCTACCTCGTCACTGATTTTCAATTGCAAAGACCGGGATTGGGCCTGCAGAAAAAATACCTCAATTGGAGAGCGATATCCCATAATTTGATATACCAAAATTCGTTAGCAAACATCGTAACAAGTGATATCCGTGGATTTTCTGGATGAACCATCCTTGTTGTATTAGATCACTTGGTCATTTATTGCAACGTATAACGTGGTCAAAAAAAAAGCTAAATATCCTTTTAGGAACTTCCATCAAGCGACGCGGTTGGAAAATCGCCGTCAAATTTCATTTCGCACAGACAAAAAAGAGCACGAGCGAAAAAAGAAAAAAAAAGGCAAATCAGAACTTTTAAACAATATTCATCGCCAAGGACCCTAGCTCCCTGATAGGTGATCTTACAAAAAATCCTAGAGACCGTTCAGGAACTTCACAAGATCAACGATCACTGTTGTAGCTGTCGATCGAATAACGCCGAACATTTGAACGGTTACACTGACAGCACGAGCCTCACACCCATTTTCGGATGGAAACATTGGGGTATTTTATTCGCGTTTCATCCTAACGTATCACAAAGCGGAATTTCCAGAACATGGTTATAAAGATGGGAGGCTGTGAACCAAACTTTATACAGAAGTTAAACGTTAGGCCTACCGTGAAAAATTATTGTAATATATTAGACTGACCTCGTAAATACCCGATAGATAAGATTTTTGCAATGCATGCTTGAAAATGGAAGCATGAGAATTTGCATTTAAGAATCGATGTGCTTGTATTGTTTGTCTTGAATTTCTCTTTAATGCATTGGATTGAGGGTTTGAGAAACACCATGTGACCCGCTATTTTTTTCGGATACATGTCCGCGCTTCCCGTATATTAGGTACACTCATACTTTGCTGTGCTTAGTACCTAAAAATGTGCCCGAGAAGACTTTCTGATATTCACAAATGGACATCCGCTGATATTAGAAGACTTATCGATTTTATTTTTCCTTTATGAAGGAAATGACAATATTTCAACAACATCGATGCATAACTTGTCGGAAGCGTTGTTGTCTACCGCATAAATATTTGGGCCTTGAGAATCTTTTTTATTACGCCTTATCGACCAGCTGATGCGACAGGGGCGAGGCAGCAATTCCATGAAGTCCATTGTTTACGCTGATAACCTGCTTGATGCTTCCATAACGAAAGTTCTTGCAGTGAGACCCACAGTGACCATCAGAGTAGACTTGCAGCGACCACCTACTGTAAGTCTAAGGTCGCAGTAGCTACATAAGATAATGACGATTATATTTCGTGTGCACACGCTTGAGAAGCAGCGAAACTCGATATCAATTTCATGAAATTATTCATCAACGACGAAAGTGTAAAGGTGACGTATAGGCAACAGCTTCAGCGCAATGATTAAACAAGAATACAGTGGCAAATGTTACTGCGCAGAAGTACATGATCTCACTACAATTCCTCTCTTAAGTGGCACTATGTTCCTACAGAACGGACAATTACCTCTAGTTATTCCATATTTAAATCGTAGCCCTCAAATACAATACTAATGTTGCTTTACAAGTGACGATCAGTACACTGATATAGTTTGACGATAGATGATGTCCCACAAAGTCAGATCTGCATGACTGTTAGAGTAACGAACAGCCCACGTCCAAAATGTGATTGACTTTTTCAATGCATAGTAAAATTTCATTTGATACATATTGACTGCTTTTTCCAGGACTGAATTGTATATTACTACGGGTTATTCACCGGCTGGGTGACACGGGATTCTCGTCCAACGTAATAGCACTTCAGCCTTGGGTTCTGTAGGACAACTGTGTAGGAAATGAAAAAAAAAAAATCGACGACAGAGTGAATGAACGTCACGACGCTCCGTTAGGATAATGTAGTGTCGTTTCATGCTAAAAAAAAAAAAAAAAAAAAAAAAAAAAAAAAAAAAAAAAAAAAGGAAGGCCTGGCCACCCTGCATTCGGGATGCAGCTTTGATAAAGTACCTACATCCGCCGATTGGGCTTTGGATCGATTACTCGGCTTAGGGTCTGTCAATTTTTTCGGGAGGTTTAAAGCCAGACAAAGTGTGGAAAAAGTTACACAAATAGAACGATCCAGACGGATAGCAACGGTCATTGGCTGTCTTATAGGTTTATCCTGGGAAGGAATCCTTCCATTAGCATAATCAACGTGAGCATGCAGATGCCTGAGGGAGGAGGATCATCGCCAGTACGGAATAGTGCAAAACTGAACATTATCGAAATTCGTTATTGACTTTGGGTTAATTGAGTGCTACTGGCGTGAACGCGAGGAAAGTGAAAAGCTAATAACAACGATGATGGTCAGAAAAACCAAAATTTGCCACTGCAACACAAGGTCATACCAATGGATTTTTTTTTTAAATTTGATTCTCCTTTTCTTGGTATTGCTTCTTTTTTCCTTTTCGAATTCTCTCCTTGTTCTCGTCATTCATCGTCGCCTTCTTTCTTATTTCTTCTACTCAACCATTCCGTTATCATTTCATCTTATCCGACTTTCTGTATCTTTCCAAATCATCTTCCTTCACTCAGTTCTCGCTTGTTTATTCGTCTTGTTCCCATAATCGCTGGTACCACTTCAATCCTTTCCTGTGGTACTCTCTCCTTGTTCAATATTTTTCAAACTTGTCACGTTTGCCACCATTCCTCTATTTCACTATCGATCAATGAGCCTCAGCACTGTCATTACTCTTGCTCTTGTACTGAAAAAGGTACTTCTCAATCTCCACCTTGTTGTCTAGCGCCTTTTTGTGACTTTAACCGGTCTTTTCAGTTTGCCCGAAAAGGCGCTTTAGCCAAGAATTTTCGTGCCAAGAAAGGAATCCACCACAATGACGATCATGACAAGATCTCACTGAGTTCATGTTCAACGGACGATGAAGGAGTCGATGTGAGCGATATTATCGATAAGAAACTGAAAACGGTGGTTGTAAAAGAAACCATAATCTCTTCCAATGAACAACTACCAATTTCTAATGTACAAGTACCCGATGAATCCGATGTTTCTGCTGAGCAGAACGTTTCCTATACAACCAGTGAAACCGATACATTGTCGTCCCTTGAAGAAGACATACCCAAGGTAGTTTTAGGCGGTTGCATGGGAACCAACTAAAAAAAAAAAAAAAAAAAAAGAACGACGATGGATGAAAATGAGGGAAAATAATGGAAGATCCGAGGATCTCACCACGGTGACTTCATTCGTATTCGTTTTTAGTGTGACCTGGCGATTCCTGTCAATATCCGCGACTTTGCATATCCTGTAACATCGCCGATGCATCGTGGCGAAACACCAAGGGTTTCTCATCAAATGTCCAGACAATCACTGTCTTCACCTGATTTCCATGGCTGTCATGCGCGCGCTTTATACGATTTTGTGCCTGAAACTGAGTACGAAATCGGAATGAAGGCGTCGGATCCGGTATGGGTTCAGTATCGACAATGCCCTGTAAGTGCTTGTGACACACGCTCGCTGCTCTTCAATGAAATGAGTGACTAACATAATCCTGCGTGTGCGTGATTGTTCACTTATAGGGTTGGCTGATTGCCGATGTCAATGATGAAACTGGATTAATACCGGAATCTTATGTGGAACTGTTATAATGTTATAGGAGGACCATTGTAATTTTAAAGTGTTGTATAATTTTATTTATTTATTGCTGGTGGGATTTGAGTAACGTGCCGTTCCTGTGAGGTTGACATGTTGTCTATTTGCTGTTTTGTTCGCCTTTTTTCCATTATTGTATTCCCTTGTCATTCTATTATATTACTGCAATTTTTTCTGGATTGTGTCTTATTGCTTGTTTTAGATATAGCTTTTCCCTTTCTTGTCAATATATCAATGAAGAGAGAATCAACTTGAACCTTGTCTATTCACACAACTGTTTTCGCTGACCTCGTGCTTTTGACTGTCGAAACCCATCATGTAAGGGAAACAGACACATGCAGACTAAAATCTCACCAGCATGTGACATCGTTCTCGTCTTTGTTTGTGCTTTTGTCTAACATGACCCCCTGAAGCTGTCAGTGAGCGATTGTCGAGGCGCTATTTATGGACGTTCTGGTAATATAGAAGACGTCATCGTTGTTACTTTGGCACGCTTTACTCGTGGATCCTTTTTCTTTTTTCTTTTCTTTTTTTTTGGAAAAAAGCAATTCTTTTTAAGCTTTGTCGCCAACTCTAATTTCCGGATAGTCTGGTCTGCTGCAGCTGCAGATCGCGGTCATCCTTGGGAAGAGCTTCTCATTTTCCATATTCAGCTACTGTGACGCATAATTATGCAGCATCATCTTCATGTCTTACGATTACTTGAAAAGCAATGCAACCTTAAATATATATTTTTCTCAATGTTCATTGCCGAAAGAACCAGAAACTTGACCTGCGTCAACAGTATTGGACGGGAATGGTTGGTTCCTACGTACATTTGTTGGGACCTGCCCTTTAGACCGACACTTAATGCATAAGTTTTTTTTTTAACCTTGGCGCATATTACATCGACCAGTCCCGTATCGCTGCTAACATGGCATGGAAAGAAAAATAAAGTCATTTTAGGAGGAGGTCCCGGCAGAGATATTGGAAGGGAGACAATCCAATATCTGGTAAATGAGGATCCCCGACGTTTTCATTATTCTGGTCTACAGTCCTCATGTTTCAGTACAAAAACGAGAGTAGAATAGACGTGAAAACCTGCATTGTCTATCGTTTTTTAACAGGGGGTGTAAGGGACAAGAGAAGAAGAAAAAAGGCGTTGTAAAAGGAGAGCAGAATATAGTAGAACACCCAACTATTAAGGTCTTGCATCGTCTCCATCCTATGATAAAGAGTACCGTCACCATTATGCTGCAGTAAAATATGTACCTCGCATCCTCGCAGCGTCCGTGATAATGCTTGATCGAATTATGCGGTATAAAAATCTCTTTTATTCTCGAAATTGGATTCCTTGCTAGAATCAGCCATCATTGGCTTATTGACATGATGAAAGTGCTCCACCAACCAAAAAGAGAAGTTACACAAATTCATTTGCCCCAATCCATGTTTCCTTTACACGGCTGTATTAGACACTGCTTTATACTGTCATATTTATACGTTTAATTTCATACTTCTTTAGGTACGTGCACAATAATAATAAAGATCACATGAGTTATCCATGGCATTAGCGGCGAGCATTATGTATATTTAAAAAGCAATCGTAAATCGATTCGTGATGGCGAGCATATACAATGAACATAATAGATGAAAAGAAGAACACGGTTATCATACAAGACGTGCAGTAATACTAATAGAAAGGGAAGAAATGCATAATAAATTTTTTAAGGGTAGCACAAGCAGGAGAGACAAGGTATGTATACACGGGCACTCGCAATAACAATGAAAGTAAGACTAATCGAGAAAAACCAAAAAGAAAAGAATTGGGTAACTGGGGAATGCAAGAAAAAGAATAAAAGAACAAGCAAGTGAAAGGAACGAACAGTGCAAAGAGGTCCTACATTGGGCTCAATTGATGATCGTTGAGACCAGCAAGACGCTAATAGTTCCGTTCGCATGGATTCGTCGTCAAGGCAAAGATTGCTTTTTTTCAGTTTTCAGTCCCGGAAAAAAATGGAATTCATCGAATCCGGGCTTGGGTATGCCGAGGAGGATGGGGTCAAGGGAAAGCTTGCTGGGGGAGGTAGACGAAGGGGTGGCAAGGAGATGCCAGTGGGCCGCATATAGGGTGAGCTTGGAGGCGAGAGCATCAGTGACTGTTTTACAGGTGACGATGAAGGCGAAGACCGCTGTAAAGAAGGAGACCGTTGATGATGTTGTTGAGACGGATATGTATGGGGATGTTGATGAGAATGCTGATGCTGATGATGATGGTGGTGATATTGATGATGCTTTTCATGAGCACGGATGGATTGACGTTTGTTCTGGAACCATATTTGTACAGTGCGCGGGCTCATACCCAGCTGTTTACCGAGTTCCATTCGTAATTCAGTAGAGGGAAAATAGGTCTGATTGAACACTCGGTTGAGAACTGATAACTGTGAAGGCGAAGCTCGCTTTCGTTTGGCTTTCAAGGGAGGAGCAGGTGATAACAGATTTGACACATCCATAACAGTACGTGATCTTAAAATATCGGGCATGGAAGAACAAGTGGTGGAAGAATGCGTGGCAGTCATAGTATTCATAATTGTGTGCGGAAATAATAATCTCATATCACTCATTCATTTACCTTCTTTTTATATTATATCGGTAACTTTTTTTTTCTTTACCCCTAGAAACTGTAAAAATAAAAAATAAAAAGCTTGTTGTCTGCTGCAACTAGTAATGCAGATCAATTTTTACATTACTCCGGGACTATTGACAAAGTTGTTGTACAGCTTCTTTTTTTTGGACTTCCTGGGAACTTCCCTCAAGTTCATATGGAAAAAAAAATAAAAGATAGGAGGCGTTTTTACACTTCTAATAAAGGAAAAATACTTGAATGAAACACCAAGGCACTATTTTCTCTCTGGGATTGTTTAGGAGCACAGGCGAGAAAAAAAAAAATTTCTCGCCACACATTGCTCCTTGCTATGATACCATATATGTAGTTTTGCTTGGTGTGTGTTTTTCCCGGTTGCTCATCCTTCGTATTGCCTCATTCTGTCGTCATTTATTTTTCCTCCTCGTGCCTTCCCTTTTTTGAAGGGAAAGGAAGGCTGTTCCACTTCATTTCCAAAGGAACATCATCTTGGCAATGATGCTCCATCGAAGGGACTTCACATGCCGCCTGACAGAATAGGACGGATCCCCCTTTCTCCTCTTCCCCTCCCCCTTTTTTTGGTTTCTTATTTCTCGCAGCAAGCTTGTTCTTACCCTTTGACGTAGTGCATATACAATGAAATGATGACTGGGTTCCCTAATCCCTGCTTCAATAGAGATGTCGATGATCAATTTTTAAATCCATTGTAGAAATTGACCTGCGATCCTATGCAGCAAATCATCACAGAATATGCGATGTGGCTGGGCATGTGAATCACGCAACCGCAAATTAAAAAGAACGCCAACTAATACCTGAGAACTTACGCCTAATTGACCAGTGTTAATGAACTCGTTTCTCTTTATACTGATCCATCCCTCAAAACCTTATGATTAAGAAATCAATGCCGATCTTCTCTTCGCTTGCTTGAAGTAATGACTCTCTTCAGCTTTATGAGCCACCAGTAATCCAGTTGTCAAAATAATTGACAACGGTGACATATTGGCTAGTGTTTCTACACTGTTGTCATTAGTACATCTGAACCATTTCATGTGCTTATCTTGCCCATCTCGGTTATTTTCCTTTTTTTAGCTGCCATAAATCGAGATGCAAACATAACCTGCTTTTGATGGAGGTTCTAAAGATGGAAATTGAGGTGATAGCAACGACAAGACAAGACTTGTTTATTCTCGTTTTTTGATTTATAGGTCTCATGTGATCGAGCCACAATAAACTTAGTTAGCAAGATATGGCTTTTCATCTTGTCATATTACTTTGAACGCCAAAGTTCATTTCCCGTCTTGAGCTATGTCCATATCCAGTATATTTGTTCATCAAATCAAAGAGAAAAAGTCATGAAAGAACATTGTCGAATCGTGAACCAAGCCCAACCTCTAGGGCATATGCAGGTCATACCATATGCGGTTGGGTCGTGATACAACGCGCGGCATGCATCCGCGATCTGCATTCGTCTGGAACACTACTCATCTTCATTGTCATTTATCCTGCTCTTTTAACAACGCGGCACCGCTGATAATGGGTACGTTTTTATCTGATGTCGAATTATATTCTCGAGAGCATAATGGTACTGCTTTAGCCACAGTGACAGAACAGAAGAATTCCGATTCTTTTTTTTTTTTTTTTTTTTTTTAGTTTATAGACCACGTGCATTTTATAAAACGCCATTGTGGTACTTTTTTGATGTTGCAGAACAAGTGGTATGCCGTCCATCCCCGCTACGGGAAACATCACTGTGCATTTATGCGATCCTTTGATTTAAGGATGCTTGTTGTTGCCAAAGAAATTTAGCCACTTTTTTTTTTTTTTTTTTTTTGCATGTGTGTCAGAAATTTAAAGTGAAAGTGTTGGTAAGTTTATGCATATTCAGTAAGCAATCTCATGTTGTCGTATCGGATACTCCTCGCCGACGGATCCACCTTGTCGAGTAAAGCTGGGGTTTCCCTTATACCCAAAAAAAGTGCTATTTAATCTGTTAGAAACAAGGTTGATCCTATACAGGTTTTTTCCCTAATTTTGCGTAATGTCCACGAACTAAAAAGAATCCAATCAGTAAATAGCGCTTCTTGAAATCCAAATTTTTACTAAGCTTACTTTTGACAGACAAAGCAGAGTTTTTTTTTGAGGCAGGTGTGGATTCAATAAAAAGTCAAATCAGTTCATCACGCACCAAAAGAAACATGGAATATGATCTTACCGTAAACAGCAGTCGTCTTTACTACGACGCAAACTGAAATATTTCGGGCCGCCCCTCGCCGGACGCGATGCTGGCGGCGACTTGGAAAATATTCTTACTGGCGACGACGTCGCGGTTCCACACCGTCTTGCAATGTACCTCGTTACAGGCCAAGATGGAGTGCAGTTCCTCGCCATCATCGTCACGAATGGGTTTCAACGTTCTTCTTTGGCAGTTGTTGCAAACCTTTGAAACGAGTGAAGTCAGTTGTATGGCATTCTGGATGAGTAACACAAGGATGAGTAACACAAACTTACTTGTGAAGTATATGCTTCGTGTATAGGGACAACAACGAGCAAGCCTTGGTTTTCGGCTTTTTTCAGAACCGATCGACACATCCCGGATACCCCAGGCAAACCTCCTCCTCTTATGGCCCCCCAGCTGCCGGTGCCAAAGGCGATCAATGGAATTTTGTGCGACTTTTGAAAACCGGTGGCTTCCCACTTCGCTGGGTTACCAACAACACTGGATAACCGACGAGCGATTCAGTCATTTTGGCTTCCGATAACCTCGATGACATATCTTACCTTTCCTTCCTCTTCCCCTTGCGTTTCTTCCCCTTCTGCTCCTTCCTGTACTTCTTGCGCCCTCTTGCTTTTCGCTTGTCGTATTTGCGGCCGCCATTAACAAAAATGTTCACCATTTCCGCTTGCATCCGTTGTTTGCCTTGGTAGTTCAAAAATCGGAACTGGTTGAACCGGGTATCGTATAAATCCAAAAGTTGAGGGAATACGCCGTTGATGGAAAATAAACCCAGATGATATACTTGCAAGCTCGATGTCTTGAGCGATAAAAGTTGCTTCTCTAGGGATTCGATAGAGGCTGCGGAATCGGAGGTTGGGTGGTCGGCCTTCCGCAGTTTTTCCATTTTCTTGTTCGTCTTGGTGAAGCCGGATTTTTCATAATATTCGGCTTTTGTTAAAGATCGCACCTGATGAGGTTGAATGCCGTGACCGTTACTGGCGACAAACACTTGTCTATGACCTGGATCCAGACCCCACAACTCAAAATGATCGTGCAAGTCTTCTTCGTCAAAATCGTCAATGTCTAGATCGGGTAGCCGTTCGCGAGTTGATATTGCCTTTGCAAAAATGAAAGATGCTGCATGGCCGTCTGTGGCAAGATGGTTGGTAAATGCTCTGTGGGTATCTGTTGGTCTATAACGTATTTTCGCCAAATCGAAAACTCGTGCAAATTGGAGTGTCATTACATCATGTATTGTTGTGATGATGGTTTGGTGCAATTTTCATCAAAAATTCTCCGTTGTCAGATCGTCGCAAAATTGCCTGCAACGTGGTGGTGTCTATCATCACGTGTGGTCGAATGAAACTCAAACGTGGGACAAGAGGAAAGAGCGGATGGTATTGAGAATTGTCTCCACAGGCGGATAGAAATTGTTCGTCGCGATCAGTGTGCGTGTATGAGAAATGAACACTTGAATCTCTGCAATTGTTGCCTCCGACAGATCGCGCAATTGCGGCGGTTCGTTCTTGTTAATCGAGTTGCAAATGGCTAAAGCGAGCTTCCTTCGTCGTAATTTGCTGGTGCGCTGAAGTTCTTCGCAAGTATTGAAAACGGTGGTATATAACCAACGAAGCGTGGCTTCTGACTGTGGTTCACAAGCAGCATAGAATTTTTGATCGTTGTACAGTTCGATGACTGATAGCGCAAAATGAAGGAACTTGAAAAACGGGCCAGGGTTGCGCGTGAGGTTTTCTTCTGTGACCAAGAGGGAGAGAGGAAGTTCTGTGCTTTCGAGAATCTCGCCAACGATGATGTCTAAGTCGGCGGTGTGGTCCACACCTTCAGGCCAATCGGTAGGATTTGGCGTGATGCAACTGTATATGTATGCGGCAAAACGCCATGCTTGGCGCTCACCGAGATCCTATCTCGTTGAAATAAGTGGTGGATCAATATTATGCCGATTTCCCAACTTACCGGTAATAGCATTCGGATTTCGACGAAAAAATAACGTTTTGCCCTGTTCGCAAAAGGTTCAACGATGTTGTTGATAAATATCGTCGCTGATTGTTGTGCCTGATAAGCAAGTACGTTTGCGTATAGGATGCTTCGATTTGCAAAACGTGGAGAAATTTTCATGCAAGGAATGGTTGTCAACGAGAGCTCTTCAAAAATGCGGGTCATTTGGGCAATGGGTAAGTTGGTGTTAGTCACTGGCTTTCCGAGGACGAGCTGTTGGCATGCATAAAACAATTGTTGCGAGAAAAAAATGATCGGTAACTCGTTCATGGGATTGTCCAACAGGTACAAAAGGAAAAAATTCGCGAATAGCATGGATTTTACGGCCACTTCTCGTACAACGTCAACTATCCGTTCAAGTTCGGAAGTGAATCGTGCTGCCGAATCTGGCGGCAAATTCAGTGCTTTTGCAAAGCCGATCTTAACCACATATCGCCTGTGTTGTCCTCGAAGCTTCTGGGAAAGATGCTCTTCGAGTAAGATTTCATGGAATGGACAACTTGGTTTTCGACTGGAGGCGTGAGGATTGCCCTCAGGGTCGTAAATCCCTTCGTCAGTGCATTTCTTGCACGGGTCGGTTTTTCGCCCTTGTGCTTCCAGTTTGCGTTTTTTGTTGGCGTCTCTTTTCTTTTCGGCGTCTTCCTTGGTACGCTTCTTGCTTTCTTTTGTAGGACATGAGAATGGATGGCATAGTACATAGATCAAATTGATATCCACTTACTGTTGTAGGGGCACTCCCGACTTCGTGCATCTTTATGCCCTTGAGCTCCGCATCGTTTGCAAACTACCGATGATCTGTGAGTCGTGTCGCTTTATCTCTGAGCGTTTTATTATGTATACCTTGCTCCTGTTTCTCCATCTCCTCGCGTACACGCTTCTCCTCCAATGATCGCTGTTTTCTTTGCTTTTTTAACGATATAATCTCTTGAGCTGTTAAGCCTTGGTAGCGTTTGCTTGACGTTGGATCTGTGATGTGCATGATAACGTAATGACGAAGGGTAAAATAAAAATAAGGAAATAAAGAGAGGAAAAAAAAATTCATGCTGATAACAACATAAAAGAACACGACTTGCTTTTTTTTTCCAGTGCACTTCAAAGACTGTTGTCAAAAAATTGATGGTTTTTGGTCCATCTGACCTGTTTCCTTCTTGGCTATTTGGCGCCTTCCGGGTAAGTTTTTGCATGAAATTGCCGCCAGCATCGCTCCAGGCGAGGGGAGGCCCGAAATATTTCAGTTTGCGTCGTAGTAAAGACGACTGCTGTTTACGGTAAGATCATATTCCATGTTTCTTTTGGTGCGTGATGAACTGATTTGACTTTTTATTGAATCCACACCTGCCTCACAAACTCTGCTTTGTCTGTCAAAAGTAAGTTTAGTAGAGTGTGTCGGAGACTGAATGTGCCTTGTTTTTTTTCGCACGCCTCAGCGCGGGTCTCTTCCCAGTTTGTTTAAAACCCATGCATTCTTATTTTTTTTCGGTTTCTTTTCCGTTTTCCTTTCCTCCATCCTTTTTTTTTCTTTTCAAATAAAGGAAAAATATCATGCCTGTTGTCAAATTTTTGGAATACGTTGAAGAACACCAGAATGACTTTGTCGAAAGACTTCGCAAAGCCGTCGCTATTCCTAGGTACGCATGTCTGTTTCGCTTTACGCGTGCCCAACCGGCAGTGGTTCAAAGGGGTGCCTTATCATCCGCCCCATTATCCACATGATATTCATTCCCGTCTTTCTTTTTTAGCGTGAGTGGTGATCCTGCTCATCGTCAGGACGTTTTCCGCATGGCCGACTTCCTCATCGACGAACTCAAGGCTTTGGGCGCTTCCGTTGAGACCCGCGATCCTGGCCAGCAAGACTTCCACGGTCAGACTTTACCCTTGCCTCCCATCGTGCTGGCCACGGTTGGCAATGACCCTGCCAAAAAGACCATTCTTGTTTACGGTCACTACGACGTTCAGCCTGTAAGTGACCTCTTCCCAAAAAGGCAAGAAACACCTAATTTGACCTAGCGTGAATTTTCTTTTTTTCTTTTTTTCTTTCTTTCCGTGAATGATGTAGGCTTTGATTGAGGATGGCTGGGCTACTGATCCTTTTACCTTGGTCGAAGATGATCAACACCGTTTGATTGGACGTGGTAGCACCGACGACAAGGGTCCTGTGTTGGGCTGGATCAACGTCGTTGAAGCACACAAGAAAATGGGCTTGGAATTGCCTGTCAACCTTAAATTCTGTCTTGAAGGCATGGAAGAATCTGGTTCCGAAGGTTTGGATCCCATCATCTACAGTGAAGCTGACAAGTACTTCCGTGATGTCGACGCTGTGTGCATTTCTGATAACTACTGGCTCGGTACCACCAAGCCTTGCCTTACCTACGGTCTCCGTGGAGTCTCCTACTTCCATTTGACTGTCAAGGGTCCCGTAAGTCAATATTATAACAAGAACTGCGTAGAGGGAGGGAATGGATATGACTAACAATGCGTTCAATCTCTGAAATAGAGAGCTGATTTGCATTCTGGTGTGTTTGGTGGCACTGTCCACGAACCAATGACCGATCTTTTCGCTCTCATGAGCAAATTGGTCACTCCTGACGGCAAGATTTTGGTGCCCGGTATTTACGATCAAGTGCGCCAAGTGACCGGTAAGTTGGGAATTTTCTGCGAGATCGTGAGAAAAAAAGGAGCGTTACGGTTCTAAACTTGACGTTACTCAGACGAGGAGCAAAAGACCTATGATCATTTGGCGTTCAAGATGGAAGAACTCCATGACGCTGTGGGTAACAAGATCAATATTCACGAATCCATCCGTGATACTTTGCAACACCGCTGGAGATTCCCCTCCTTGTCCCTTCACGGTGTCGAAGGTGCCTTCTACAACCCTGGTGACAAGACCGTCGTTCCCGCTCGTGTCGTTGGCAAGTTCTCCATCCGTACCGTCCCTGATATGGAACCCGAAAAGGTGACTGAACTCGTCAAGAAATACGTGACCGACGAATTCAACAAGTTGAATTCCAAGAACTCCATGACCATCGAATGCACTCACGGTGGTAACCACTGGCTCTCCAGCCCTCAGCATCCTAACTATGGTAAGTTTGTGCCACTTGAATAGAGCATAAAGTAACACACCATCTCCATGGAAACTGATGACAATCGATTGTCTTATCCCAGTGGCTGCTGCCAAGGCCGTTGAAAAAGTGTTCAGTGTCAAGCCTGATTTGACCCGTGAAGGTGGTTCTATTCCTGTGACCCTGTCCTTCCAGGAAGCTCTCAAGAAGAACGTCTTGTTGCTCCCCATGGGCCGTGGCGATGATGTAAGTTCTTTGGTTGCAATGGGTTGGGTGTGTATTGCCTTACGAAAAAGATGATTGACCGGCTCTCTATAATAGGGCGCTCACTCCATCAACGAGAAATTGGATCGCTCCAACTACGTGTCTGGTACCAAGTTGTTGGGCACTTACTTGTATGAAGTTTCTCAAGTCCAGCTGTAAAGAAATAAATAATGCAAATATGGGTTTTTATGGTAAAAAGACAACGAAGAAAATAGTACAAGCGTCCAGAATGCGTCGAAAACGCATTATTGCACTTTTTCTACATGTGTGTGACCAAAGAAAGGTATCCTAAAACATTGCATATGGTTGGTTCACCACGTCGTGGGTTGATGCTGCGACTCGCAGTTAAAGCGATGTCATATGCCAGATGAGTGGATCCTTGGCTGCATCGGTGAAATGTGCCGATTCTTTTGACAATAATTTGGTTACATGAAGCTCCGTTTTCGTGATGCTGAGCTCGACTTCCAACTGGGCTACTCGATCAGCCAGACTATTGCTCTCCAGTTCTTTCAGTCTGATTTCAGTCGCACGCAGCTGCTTTCTCAGCTCTTCGTTGGCAGCATTGGCTTCCAATAACTGTTGTTCCAACATGGGAGCATGCTCCGACGGCTTTTTCTCGCCATCCATAGAAAGCTACATGAAAACAATTAAAATAAAAATCAATACAGATGGGATGGAATGCTATCTAGCGATATACATACATGGAGGGCAGGTGGAGACGTAGAGGATATGAAGTATTGCTTCCACAACCGTAATCTAAATGATAGGCAGCAATACTTAGCGAAAAGTTCATTTGCGTCAACTGTTACTGCCTGCATGTACCTGTCCGTCAAAACGGTTTGTATTGATTGCATCCCTGCTAAACCAGTAGCAGTGCGAACCCTTGCTTGAAGCTTCCCAATCTCGCGTTGACAATGGTTCATGTGGGATTTCTCATAATATATCTAATCACGTTGCATATCATGAGCGTTGGTCTTTTAGTCATTTTTTCCAAGAAGCGTCCCTTACTTCGTGAATTCTAGGAGCAGAGGTTATTTGTCGGAATTGGGTTGCCACTTTTAGAACGGTCGTAATGGCTCTTGGGTCATGCCCGTCCAAAGTACAAAGGAACGCCATTTTGGCATCGCCCAGCAATGAATTCTCCAATATTTGCGTGATCATCGATTCCTGAAAAAGACGCCGATTTGAACCACTAATACCCGCCAAAAGATAAAGTCGATGTCGACCATATCAGCTTCAGACTACTATGCAATGACATGGTTCCCCTCTCTATTACCTCGATAATCCTTTATCTGCCATATGGGACAAGATGGTTTTAAGTGTCAATAGGCTATGCTGCAAGTTATTTTATACAGATCGAATGGCATTATTGATTAATTCCATCACTACCTTTTATCCACGGCCGATTTTGCAAATTGTCCTTGGCCTTCGTCATCAAGTAAGACTAGCGTCTGTGAACGCATTGAGTTTTGGATTATTATGATGCATGCTTCAAGGTTGCCTACCAATTTTGATACTTTGACCGTCTCATTGACTCTTTTGCATCCTGCTTGTTGAATTTTTGATGTTTGGGATGTGCTGGGTGGCTTCCATAAATCACGACTTTCGATAATCTAGCGATGCCGTCCGTGAGGTTCATAGCGCTTGCTTCAGCTGTATACGAGCCACTTACTACTTGCAGAATGAGATGGCCTTGTGGATCTTTGCTAACCAAGTATCGATTTGCTGCAATTTCCATCAGTTTTTACCCCAACACCATGGCTTTTTCAAACAAAATAAATATCGTGCATACCCAATCCTTCATGAATCAATTTACGCACTTGGATCGCCGATGCCATCGGTCTACAAGAAGCACCTAGATGTGTTTTCTACAGATTCAATGAGAAAAACAAGTATATATATAATGCCTGGAAATCCAGTATACCTTGTCACAGATTTTTCCAAGATGCTGTGGATCAGTCACGGGAAGAAGATCGCGTATTGACTCGTTACGAATCTCCATTAACGCCATACGCAACAGGAACTCTCTGTCTGACAACTGCCAAATCGAAAAATCAGGGATATGAGCCGGTATTCGGTTATTTGTCACTGTAAAAGTTGAGAAATACCTGTTGAGTCATATCGAATAAGGTATCTATAGCCTGAAAGATGATCCCATCTTCTCCTGACTCAAAATGATCTTTTAATACAAATAATCCAACGTCAGTTGGCAACCATTTCGTTTTACCTAGCTGAAGATATGCGTTAAATGGTGTCCTTTTTCCTAGGCTATGCATAACGCACTGCTCTGCTCCCTAGATAACCTACCATGCTCTAAGGAGAACCATACAGTGGCAAACCGATGCTATGAGTCTCATTTGATGTTAAATTGAAGAAAGAGTAACTTACAGAAGTGTCTGTAGGCGCTCCATAGCCGATGATCGTTCCTATGTAAGATTAAGTCACATCATCAGTCACGAGGCAATAATGAATAAAGATAAGAGGATATGAAACCATTATAGCCCTCCATTGCCTGGCTACCATTCCGCGGATGCGAACAAAACGCACAGTCGTTAGCTGTTGGATTTTTCGCAAAAAGACAGCATCCACCTACATAACAATCGGCTTGATAGAAGCACGGTATATGTCGATACTGCTGTTGTTTCCATTGAAGAATCGGTCTACGCAAGATTCATACAGTTGAGTCGAGCTGATCTCGCCCATTTTCATCGTTTTTACGATTTACCGAACTTGAACTTTTTAGCGGCGCTTGATGCACCCGTCACTACTCGGATGACATGCTGTTGCTCATCGATCTGATATCCAGCATTCTGCATTCCGTGGCATTGAACAGCAATGTGACATCGTTCGGCTTCCAGAGTCGATGAAACACGGCTGCTGGTGCTATTGTTGGTGCGGGGTAACGGACGCTGCTGCAACGATTCGGAAACCCCGCGAGACCGTGATGCCACTGGTCTGGGCAGTAAACTAGTCGATCGCGATGCTGATCGCGATCTTTGAGGATAGGGTACTGGCAATAAGAGACTACTGTTACTGCTGGTACTGGTGCTACTGCTTGCAGGGGTCAACATGGTTAATATAAGAGAAGTATAAAAAAAAAGGAGGCGCTTTCGGTGAGGGTTTTTCAACGCATGAGCGGAGACTGAATTTACATATTGCTGCCTGAATCGAATGTCAGGCACCACAACCTGTCCATCTTGAGCAAACACGAGACAATCGGCTTTCATCACTGCCAATGAGTGGGCCATTAGTTGACGAACCGCCATTTTGGTTAGCGGACACTATAGGTTGACACGCCGACATTTGTTTGTTGTATACGAATGGTTTGGTTGATACGGTTACGAGCTCTGTTTTTGACTTTTCAGATTGTAACAACCGAAAGAGGAAACAAAAAGTTGAGATTCTGCAAATAACAAAACACAGAACAGAAATAGCATAAGCGTCTAAAATGTTTCTATGGCGATTTCTGAGGTTTCTTTTTTTTTTCGGTTTGAATAAATAAAATATTAAAAAAAAGGGCAAGGCAATCGATGCATATAAGACGATACTTCCAAGAGTAATCAAAAGGGGAGGGGAAAGAGGAGAAAAAGGAATGCTATGCAAAATAGGGCTTGATTTGGTGTTTCAAGGTTAAACGGGATATCTATGTACATTCAGGATACACGGTGGGTTTTCTAAGGATAATCAGTGTGGGGAAAAAAGGAATATGGCAAGCGTATTATCGTGATAAAATCAAGAAAAGGGTGGGTTGGGTGTCGAGAGAGACAGATGTACAAAAAAAATATGCAAAAAAGAAGGAAATGATGTAAATAGGAAGGGAAAAGTATACGCGAACGTCAAGACAAAATCTACAAGGCGAATTCTGGAGGCTGAATGAGTTTGGCAATATGCTTCGGCACCTCATCTTCAGGATAGCGCCATTCGGGATGATTGTACAATTCCAACGTATCACTTCGGAACCATTTTGGGAAATCTAAGCAAAAAAAAAAAAAAAATAAAGAAAGGGAAAAATAGGATTAGGATAAACGGCTTCAAATCACAGCGAAAAACCGAAACAGAAAAAAAAAAGTAATCAAGATCATCTGAAGCAGAATTAAAAAAAGAAATACTTACCAATGGAGGAAGGATGATTAAGTTTCCCCTGGACTTCCAACTCTAACAAGTTGGCACGACAGGAAACATCACGATGGATTTGGAGATTGTGGAACCGATTCGGCACCAGCTTGCAACTGTGACCATTGCGATAGGCTAAAAATGTTAACGCAGCCTGATCTTGACGATGGTTTTTCCGGGAGGACCCAGGTGGGGCAATGCATCGCTTATTCAAACCGCATTCGTACCACGGAATTATCATGGTGTCCACAATCGTTTGATTTCTGGCATCGAAACCCACCGCAGCACCATTGCAATTCACGTTTTTGGCGTATTCCGAGGCTCGCACGCCGTAGTAGTCGAACATGCCGGGATGGGTCCATCGTCCCATACGGTAAGAGCTGCGTGGCGACCAGAAACCATCATGTTGACGAACGATTGAAGGAATGTGACGTAAAAAGTCCGCGGTCACAAGGTTACCAGCATCAAGCCACACAAGAATTCCGGTATCGGTATCCTCAGTGTAATGCAGACGGGCTTCGTTTACGATGCCAGTTTTCCAAGCGTATTCGCCCGCATTTAGCGCAACGTCCCAGAAACGGGGATATTTGAAATAATCAAACGTAACAAGATCATCAATTAAGCCATGTTCGACCAGCTGATCCAAAACAGGCAACTGGGTTCGGTTCATTCCAATGTTGTATACAACGACGCGCGGGAATTCTGAAGGCTCCAATTCGGCTCTGAGTTCATTCAATGAATACAGGAAATTTTCCAGTGAGCACAGGTGGTTGGCGCTGGAGGCGGTAACAATGGTATAGGGGAATGTTTTTGGACGAGTGATAGGAACGATCGGCTGTTGTTGGTGTAGTAATGATGCAATATCGACGTCTGACTGAGGCTCGGGCTTACTAGACCGACATAAAGTCCAACCAGTTGGACAATCATCGACTATTCATGAAGAGATATGAGATTTGGGTTTACGCGGGTGAAGGAAAAAGCGGTTGGTGACTACTATTAGGGGCAAAAACATACCAAGTCCTGATCGATACACGCTCAAATCCAGTGTTGAAACAAAGAAAAAGCCCAACAGAAACACAATGACAAGTTGGATAGCAATCATTTTCTTTGACAACTGTTTCGAGGAAACAGAAATCTTTGGTATCCACGACACAGCCATGATCTTTTAAAAATCGACGCTGATGCAAAAAAAGTGAAAGGAACAAAGGAGAAGCGTAGAACAGAAGAAGACGTTCTTTCTCTTATCAGAAAAAAAAAAAACAATAAGAGATGAAAAATGGAGAGGAGACGGAAAATGAAACCGAATTAAAATGGATGGAGGGTGAAAAAAAATCTTCTCAAGCTGCTTTTATACAAGTTTGGCGTCGTTATTTTTTTACTTCCTATATAAAGTCGTTTCTGAGTAGGCGCAGTATTCACTTAAACACCGCTCTACTTATTGTTTATTTTTAGCATCCAAACGAAAAAGAAAATAACTTTTTTTTTTTTGTGTCCCCATACAATTTTGGTATGACGCAAAAAAAAAAACCGCATGTGGCTCTGGGAACCTGCTAGTTTCTTTCCTGCAACCAAAACTGAAAGCATAACACCAACGTTGCTAGCTTTGACAAATATTCCACGGCAATGACGGGAAACTTTGTAGACGATTTCCCGCATGGGTTCTTTTTTATCCGTTCCAAAGCGAAAAAGATGGCCATTGATGTGTACGATGGTGGCATGTTGGTAAGTTGCATGACCTTGTCATGACAATGGCCACCAACAGTAACCAAAGGATCTACCCTTTCCCGTCTCTCTCCCTGATTTACTCCACTCTATTGAAAACCCCTTGATGCACGCCCAATTCCCGATTATTTTAATATGACCACATCCTAGAACGAATACAATATCATCATATGGCCGCAGGTAAAAAGAAAAAAAAAATAAGAAAGAACATTTCACATGCAGAATAAAAAAGAAAAAAAAAAGACGCAAAGTCGGCTGTAACACACTGGGTCTCATATCTATTTTTTTTTATCATGAAAAGAAAATGGTCGATAGCATCAATCAGGTATGCATAGCACAGAAGCCTCTCATCGCTGGTCATGGCGTACTGGTTGATGGGATGCACAAAGTCATGAATTCAGGGAAGTCATCATAAATTAAAGAAGAAAGAACAATTTTTTGGATAGCTTTGGATGCATGAAGATGGATTCTTAATCAATAAAAAATCGGGATTAGGTAAGATTGGCACTGACGACGTATCCTTGTTGCGGGGCAAATTAGGAGATACTCAATAGTTTCCTATATCGGTCTTTTTTAGTACTTGATATTCGAGGAGGTGCGTGATTGCGAATGATCCGATCGACTAGTATTCCACTGAACCCTTACATCGATTCCATGGTTCGATAGGTGATATCAAAAAGGACAAAGTCATCATCCAGTACGCTCGCAAACCTGGATTAGCCCACAATCAACGGTGGAAATATCAAGATGGCTACATTGTATCAGCTGCAGCACCTCACTTGGTCTTAGATATTCGGGTAACCTTCTACTTCATTCAGTTGGCTTTCCCTTCACGCTACCTCGTCATTGAAGGTTATTACTGAATCGAATGCTCCAACTCTTATCGCCTTTTACATAGGGAGGCGACTTTAAAGAAGGCAACCAGGTTTTCTTGAACACCAAAGATTCTACCAGTAGCACTCAGCAATGGTTATTGGAACCTTTTCAAGACGCACGCTCCGAACAGGATCTGGCTTTATTAAGACCGCCGCCTTGTACGTTTTTAACTTTTTATCCTGTTTTATCTCAATGTTGTTTATATTAACGCGTTTTGGGCAGTGGAAAAACATCAATCATGCACATTTCCGCGACCTGAGGAACTTTACAGTTGCTATCGATCCGTTTTCCTTGAAAATAAACCCGATGCTACTCCGGAACAAGTCGCGGCGGCGGCAGGTTTCCAGGTAACATCCCACCGATAACCTATTTGATTCATTTATTTATCACGGTGAATGTTACCAGGCAATGAGGAATTATATACACGATAAAAAGGTGACCGAGGCGATGGATGAGGATCCATACAACAGAGAAGAACTACTCCATCGGGTAGATCAAGAGGTGGGCTTTCCCAAAAGCAAACATTGAATGTGAAATCATACGATAACTAAACACAGATTGTGCTAGGTAACGCAATTATTGAGCCAAAGGTATTCAGCGCAAGATGTGGCGCATCTGAAGCAAGAGACTAAACAAGCCGTGCAAGCCTATTTTGTCCGAGAATACGAAAGCCAATAAACATGTCAACGTGGACTGATCTTGTGTCACCCCATTCCTTCTTTCACATTCATGGAGACTTTTCCTCTTCTTCCATTTTGTTTTTGCTTTTTTAATGCGAATTTGGGTTTTTATTCGGATTTGGTTGGTGAACCTTGGACATTGTGCTTGATAATGGTGACTGGACAATGACAGTGATGGAGGCAGTAATCACTGACCGATCCTAAAACATACTTTTGAATCCCTTCGCGGTTCGATGATCCTAGCACCAACATATCTGGTGGATTCTCATTCACATAATCCGTAATAATGTACTCCACCGCCCGTTGCTCCTTTTCTGTGCGAATAGTGTAGTTCACCTATTCCGACCAATGAAAACGTCAGTTTCACAGCATGAAATCACGCGCTTCTCCGCCGCCCCAAAATCCTCACTAGTTTGCTTACAATATCGTCGTATTTGGACATGAAGAATTTCAGATCGTCCAAGTGGTTTTGCGCGTCACGTTCGATATCTCTGTTATTGAATCTATCCAGTGTATCGCTGATAAACGACCCAAAAAATAAAATAAAATAACAACGGATATGGCGGGTCAATTTTCGTCCTGTATTCCTTTTTGTTCTGATGCCAGTGGATTGCCTGTTTTTAGGAGGTCGAGTAACAAACAATGAACTTACAGAAACGGTATGCTACACGGGTTTACGCCCGTCACGTAAAGGACTTGCAACAGATGTGGTACAGATAACTTTTGACACAAGTTGGCCGCATAGTCAATGGCTTGTTTGGCAATATCTGAGCCATCTGCCGCCACAACGATTTTCAGCCCGTTGACAGAAGGCTGACTACTGGATCCCATTTGCATGAGATTTCGATTTTATTCATAAAACTCATTGGTCTTTTTTACTTACCCTTGAATTGATGAAGACATACGAAAGGATTGGGTAAAAGAAAAAGGCTGTTCGCATACAATGACCGAGTTGGGGCAGGTCAAACCTCAGCATTACAAAGTCCGCTCCAAACCAGTCACAAACCAGTTGCAGAATTTCTCTGAAACCAGGTTTGCGCAGACTTTGTTCTGCAAGTAAACGATGTGTTGCGGTGACCTGATACTACTTTCGTCATCAAATCTGCTTCCTGCATTTTTACAGATGATTTTTAGTATTGCACTTCGCGAAAATTTAGGTAGGGCTGATTGCGCTCAAGAAGCACCAGCGGCTGCACTGAAAGCCGATGACTGAGTCGCTGTAAAGCAGTGTGGTCTGTTTTACACTCGCACAAAATCCGATGACTTGAGGGTGAATTTCAATATCCCTCTCTCTTTGTGCTGGATATTTACAATAATGCTGCAGCGTATCAAATGAGTTGAGAGGAGCTGATCGTAAATCAAAGGCGGAAGACAGTCCATCGATTGCAGCTCAATGAAACACATTTTCTCTGTGTGTGGCGAGGCGACGGCGCAATTAAAGTTCCGCTGGGCTGGATAGCAATGGCTTCAACGCTCTTTATGCGCTTTAAAGAGCGACAAAGACGATAGCATTTGGTAGATTTTAGGTATCGTCTCTTGTACGATATACAGAAAGAGGGAAGCATAAGTAAAAGAGAACCATTGCAAGAAATAATAATTTTAACGAATTTACGCTATGGAAGTACCTTGAGCCACATCTTGGCAAGAATGGAATATTTACAAATTGATAAATAGGTTGGAGTGGTTAACCGCAATCAAGCCTCCCTTATAAGACCTAGCGCCGTGGCATGCTCCGTCTTTGGACGGGTGTGGTGCCAAATGCGTATGGCATAGATTATTAGCATTCGCGAGGGTGGGATCTGGGAACGAGTTGGCAACTCGAGCCAACTTTTTGGCTCAACGGTGGTCACGTATATGGAATCTGCGAGATCACACAGATGCTGTGATATGGCTGTCAATGCACACGAAGCGAATGGGAAGTCAAATCAAATACAATCCAAACGGAACTCTGTTCATGGTTAAAATTTGAAGTCCAACATACTCCAGACCATGGTGAAACAAGCTATTGAGACAACTATCACCCTCTGGCTGATTCTACTGATAACCGGTGGAACCAAATCCGCCAGCGCCACGTGTGGTTGTATCCAGATCCTAAATCAACAACAAACCATGAGTATTCCCTGTTCCCTTTTTCTTTTACACCCCATCTACGGTCCAATTTCTGTCTGCAATTGTTCTATGGGTCATAGTCCAAAAAGATATTCACCTGAACTTCGACAACTTCGGGTGTGTAAATGCGTTCCAATACCAACTGGGCGATACGATCCCCTTGTGCCACTGTAAAAGGACATCATCTGTTAGAATGACGGCTGATTTTAATGCCACTAATGTCGACAAGACACCTACCTGTGTAATCCTCTTTGGAGAAATTGAATAGCAATACACCCAAAGGGCCACGGTAATCCGCATCGATCACGCCAGCACCAGTGTCAATGAAGTGTTTGCTTGCCAAACCGGATCGTGGTGCTACACGACCATAGCAGCCCTCAGGTACCGCAACGGACAGATCAGTGGCAATGACAGCTTTTCCTTGAGCTGGAATGACCTTGTCCTCCGCACTATATCGTCTATGGGTCAATGCGATGCATCGCGATCATCGTCAATCGATCACTGCCATTTACCTGTATAAATCGTAACCTGCAGAAGCTGGCGATCCACGTGTGGGCAGTTTTGCTTTTTCTGACAAGCGCTTGACGAGAAGAGACGGTGTGTTTGCTGCAGTGGCCATCATATTTCAAAAAACTTTTCTGCTAAAAAGAAAGAGCTGAGTAACGAAATTTTTTTGCACGCGTCCAAGAAAATTACGCGTTTGAGACTGGCCAGAGCGGAGGCCCGGAAGCGGAAGATCCGGCAGGCAGTTCGATACAGCGTCACTCATAAAATTTAGCCGCGGTTCGTCATGAGACTCAATGATAATGCAGTGAGCCAGCCAATCGACCAGGTTACGGGAGATGGACTGTGTTCAAGGAAATACAGGCGTCGCCAATACTCAGTAAACCGCGATTATTTACTGTGTTAAAGCTAAGTATCAACATGTTTTCAAGCAACTGAACCTTTCTGAAAGCATTATATGCCTCTTTGTCAGGTCGCATGAGAAACCTACGCTGCTTTTATTATTGCGCTCTTCGAGTTGCTATGGTAATTGTTTTTTATCGCTGCAGCTTTGGGTTTTACACGCTGCGGCGATTGGGGTTGCTATGGTATTTTTGGTTGTGGTTGGTTGGTTGGTTGACTGATTGGCTGCTTGGTTGGCTGCTGGTTGGTTGGTTGGTTGGTTGGTTGGTTGGTTGGTTGGTTGGTTGGTTGGTTGGTTGGTTGGTTGGTTGGTTGGTTGGTTGGTTGGTTGGTTGGCTGTGGTTGTGGCTGGCTTGAGATCTTATGGAATACAAATACGAATAAAATAAATACAAAATAAAATAAAATAGAAAGCAAAATAATACTACAACTAAAACTAAAACTAAAAAAAAAAAAAAAAGATCTGAACTACAAGAAGGTTGGGCGCTGAAGTATTCGAAAGACTACCCAGCAGTCCGCAGTTTCAACCAATGGCTAATTGGAACAACTGCAAGGGAGCATCCGATGGGAGGATCGGATGTTTTGTGCTGGCCCGCAACCCAACAAGTGAATTAACGAACACAACACGAGGATTTGTACCGGCACGCAACCAACAGAGTCAGTTGCAGAGACACGATACCGCCGACCACTACACACTCCAAGGACCCGAAAGCCCTAAGGAACCCAAAGATTCCAATGAGCGGAAAAGGGGGTGGTGACATTAGTTGAATCATAAATGATTCAACTAATGCTCCCGATAATCAGAGCGGCACCGTGCCGAACCACCAGTGCCATGACCATCAAGATTTCACTTCAGAACTTTTCTGAAACAACCAAAGTTGCCAGTAGCCGTAATCCATGTTCACACCGAAATTTGACTTGCCCCGACAGCCAACTTGAAAAATACGACTATCCCCTGCCAGATAGAAGTTGATCATCCGACGCGAACGTCAAAACAATCATAAGCACCGTCATACGAATCCGACCTTGCCATAGCAGCCAAGACACGCTGGAGCGACGATGTGAACATTGACCTTGCCCAAACAGTCAAGTAAGGTACGGAATACCCTCTCAAATGTGGAGTAAAAACCGAAAGATTGCCATTGCCGAGACAGAGAGAGTTGTCGGACGGTCGGATCATCGGATCATCGAAGCTTTGAGATATAAACATCAAACGACTATGTCAGTAACTGCCCATAAAAGATCGAACTATAAATTATGGAATATCATAATTGATCATAATGTCCAAGGTGAACCACCCGTCGTTTGTTCGTTCGTTCGCTGCCGCCTGTTACCATTTTTTGCCATTGCCAGCCAGTCAGCCAAGCCCAGTCGTCAAAAGCACATTTATCTGTCGTCACAGCCGTATCCGCCGTCCATATGCCATTGTCCATATTCCATCGTCCATATTCCATCGTCCGTATTCCATCATCCGTATTCCATCGTCCGTAAGTCCACCATCCATATTTCATCGTCCATATTCCATCGTCCATATTCCATCGTCCGTAAGTCCACCGTCCGTAAAGTCCACCTCCGTATTCCATCGTCCCCGCGTCCAGTCATCAAATCCGATCGTCCATATTCGTCCATAATCCATTATCCATCGTCTATCGCCACAATCGGTCAGCCACAGTGAGTCGTAGAGAGAACATGTCTTTGCGCAGGTTCTTCGTGTCCGTTGCCCTATCCAGTAAATTAGGACTACGTGTCCCAAGAGCATGTCACCTTGATTGCTTTTTTTCCCGTAATCGTCCATAATTGAAATTGAGGAGCCGATAAAATCATCCAATGTTGAGCCGTATCGAGATCGTGCCACATGAAGGGTCTTTCATTATCCGTATCGTTCGTGTTGTTCGGATGGAGGATTCGAGAAATTACCACATAGTCGAAAAATCAGAATGTCCGCTGGCGTCCGTTATGCAGCGTCGTCATCTAGCCAGCCAGCCAAGGTCAGGAAGCCAGACCATGGCAGACGTTCTACGTCTTCCATTGTCCACCACCGAATTACGTGATCCGCTAAAAAACCGAGGCTTCATCGTGCTTCCAAAAATCCGTAAGCAAAAAACGGAAATCGCCATGGATTCGGAGGCGAAGTTTACAGCATTGTCTGCAACTAGGCGTCAAGGCCTGGTGCTTGAAGGCGACTCTGGAAAAGAATTTCCGACGGAATTTGAGAGGGTCTTCATTGATATTGGAAACATGACAGTATCAGCCGCCTGAATAGCTTCTGCGTAGGATAGATGATATCGATGGTAATGGTATACTGGTCGAGAGAAGGGCGGCTCTGACAAATTTCGCTGCAACGAATCCAATTGGCCAAGTCGTCCTGCATAAAGTTCACCCTGTCGAAGTTTTCTTTTTCTTTGTCCATTCTGTGTTTGTTGGCGATGCGAAATGACTGACAGTTGGTTCGTCCAAGGCTGATTCGATGAGTGCTGGAACCGTGCGACTGCATTAAGACAAGAGCCGGATGTCGTCCTTCATGCTGTCAGCGAAAGCGCCTTGCATCCATTTGAACCTTTTTGATGTGATTCACTAAATTTGTCAAAACGTGAGCGTCTCTGGCGGTCTGATCAGGTTGGTAAAAAGACGCGGTTCGCTCTTCAACATGATCGAGAGCGGGACTTTGCTCAATGGTTCTAACCATAAATTGACAGGACTACAACGTCAGGAACATTCGGGCCGTGCGGTCTTTGGGCATTCATCTCGACAAAATGCTTCGGATTCCAAGAGAGTCAAACACAACAGTGTGCTAGTAAATAAAATAAACTTGGTCAGTATCCTCGTAAGTCAAAGCAGAGAAATGAGCATGGTGTTCTTACCCGCATTTGAATGCAAAGTTTAGCAACGTGAGTATAATCACTAAAACAGTCCATAGACATAAAAAAAAAGCACGTACTGTTTTTGCTGTATGGACTACGCGCAGCTCTGCAGCAGAAAAAAAAATTGGGAAAAAAATTTGAGGGCCCTTTTATTGAATCCAAAAACGAACCACACATTTTGTATCTCAGACCATAAGCATATATAAAATATCTATTCGATTGAGCGAAATACGATGAAATACGATTGTTTGATGGCTAGGTCAAGTAGCTGTCAAAAAATCGGTAGCATATGCAAGACTTCCCATATAAAGTTTAGGTGGTACAAATGCAGGTTTGTAGTACTATAAAAGTTATTTTTCATTCCGTTTTGGGAAGAGGCTATGATAAGAAAAAATTTGCTGAAATTACCGTCCAAAGAAATCCGTCGGGATCCGTGGCAACATGTTAGTGACATGAATGCTTTTATCAACAAGAATAACACACACTCAATATAAAACTAGCAAATAATTGTTGCTATGCAGTTGTTGTTGGCTTCGTTGAACAATTTGAACAGAATATTTGATGGGGTTCATGTATTTATCGATGTCAATATAATTTTTTTCACTTGACAAAATCATCCATGTTTTGGTGTCACTTTTCCCATACAATATCGGGTATCTATCACACATTTCTGCATACAACCGCCAATCTCATGCTTTATCGATTATCTCTTACCGGGCACCGGTATCTATTGAAACATCTGAGAACTCAATATGAAATAAGAACAAAGAAATGCCAATGAGTTCGCAATAATTTTAATTTCATCTCTTGGTATTCGTGTATTTTAAATGTACGGGAACGTTGAGGTTATTATCTTTCTCGACTGGATATTGTTCGCCGAGAAGCTTTCTTGGTCGCGGTCATATTGTTCGAAATCGGCGTTACCGTATCCATTTTAAAGCTCAAGCTGCATGCCAGGTGCTTGTATTGATCCGTATAGTCTGAGAATAAAAGGAATCCGTATGATATCTGTTCTTTTTTTTTAAAAAAAAAATATCGTATGAAGCCACCTAATTTTGATACCATAGCGACCCCACCAATATATTAGGTTTGTTGACCGATATCCCTATGGTAACTCATTCATCTACCACACGAATTTAGCGACAATAATTTTCACTTACATCAATCCTAACGGTCGTTAACGCTATCGGTAGTCACAGTACCAAACCAATTATTTTTTATGTTGAACTGCATCGTGCGAAGGAGCAAAGAGATTACAAATGTTGTTCATCTGTATATCCAAGGTTTCTGTTCAGTAAATAAGTGCGGCTCAAAGGCGTGGCGAGCAAAAGGTTACTGAATGTGGGCGGTATTGCTTGGACAAGACTGATCAGCGTTAACTGCGCTGTCGATTTGACCCCAAGTTTACATATCTCACTTTCCGCAAATCTCACTTCATGCGGTCTTAATGATTCTCAATTCTCCATGAAAAGCTGAGGCCTCAGTTGTCCTCAAGACCCTACAAATGCCATGGCCTTTCGGGTGCAAGTATCTATGAAGGGAAAACAACTATCGGCTACCGGCTGCCTGCTGTGCGCTGTCTTTTGGGGCGTACCGCCAAGGGGAAGATTGCAGTTGCGCCAGTGACATGTATGTAGTCGAGGGTTAAGCCTACTCCGTCTTAATTCCATTGTTGGATGTAGTAACTTCACACCATTATAATATACAGAAGCTCTAGTTTTTGGTCCGCAATTTTAAGGATATACTTTGCGAGCTTTTCAAAACCGCATAGGGAAGCGAATCGCATGGCAAAAGAATAAAAGTAAAAAGTAAAAAGTAAAAAGTAAAAAATAAAAAAATATATTTACCATAAAATATCCTTCAAAGATATCGAAACCAATGTATTTTGATTATCTCAAGGAGAAGCTGCTAATTATTGATGTACATACAGCAACTGTTGCGCACATCCTCAGTACGTCGAAGCTTTGGTCTCATGTTATTATTAGATTAATCGTCATTCATATTATGCAAGCGAATTTATCTCCAATTTCCGCCAAAAAAAAATATTGTTTTTATAAGCACCTGGTGCATCATAAGCTTCTGATCGAGTTTTTTTACCGATCATTGGCCACTTTTACCAATTGTTTTCAAGAAGCGCTCGACTTTATCTAATAAACTTTTACGTTGTATCATACCTCGGGCGTAACAAGAATTTCTGGATAAATACTACCGTATGTTTCGTAGTAACCGGACGATTGCTACACAAAAAATTATCCAAAGAATGTAAGAAAATGCACGCTTATATGGTCACTGCTGCTCAGAACGGCTAGTGATTCTGTTTCAAATTTCGCAAGCCTGGAACTGGCAACTTAAAATATATATTTTTTTAGAACAAAGAGCATGACTGCAGAGCCGTGTACAATATGTTTACAGTATCTCATTTATGTACAAGCCATTTCTATGCTGCACCACTATTTTCATCATAAACCATGTCAAATTTCATGATAGATATAAACGGTGTACGGTGGTGTCTTTAATATTACGTAATCGGTGGGAAATTTTGTATGGGTTGCGCTGGTTGGTCTGACCAGATGTGCTATTGACGAAGGTGCGTTACGCTTCTGATGTTTTTACAAGATGCTGCATGTGAATTCATCGCTGTATGCAAAGCCAAGAACAAGCAGGATAAATTAAATTAAATAAAATAAAGTCATTCTTTGCCTCAGCAAGCATTTCAAAAGTTTATGCGTTTGACATAACCATCAAATATTCAGGCACAAAGAGTGCTTGTCGCAGGTCACACGTCAAACTCGTGGCAGACGAGTAAACTATATTATTAAATAGCGTGCTCCAACTGTGTGTCAATACCATCTTATCTTATCTATTTTATCGAAGGAAGCCTAAAGTATCCTTGGAACCCTTTGTGGTGTTTACAGCAGAAGGAAACTTGCTGAGTGACGGCAGGAACGACGTGTTTGTTGTGCCTTACTATTATTGAAATCACGATAAATAAGGTATTGTGTAGCCAGCAGTACGCTCTTCTATTGCAACAAAAACTGATATTCAACCGTTGTCTTTATTAAAAGCCACAAACAGAAACAAGTCAATGGTTCGGAAATTCTCGTTGTTGCTGCGATGTCCCTAGCCATGGAAATTCGAGATAAACAAATTTAACTTACTGTTCGCACAGCAACTGCAACATGGTAACCACCAGCATATGGCGCGAAAAAACATATGCAACTTGCACAAACAATTGGAACGCCCGAAATATTTTTTGTAAGTTCCCAGGTATGATCGACGCACCCCACGAATCCATGGTAATACGATCAAGTGAGACGATCCTTGAACATAAGCTGCAAGAATGCACTTCACAAAATTCAATGGACAAGGATGTGGCTGTTCCACCAATTGGATGTACGGAAATATTATGAAGTGTGTTCTTTGGTGCCACCTGGCAATATGTCAGAAAAAGGCAAAAACATCAAAAGAGATAAGATGCCCTGAAATTATGAGGCGTTGCACGTATTGGTTGAACTCGTGAATTTGAATGTCAGCATGGGCGTACAGGTGGATTGTGTTCCGATCACTTTACTTAAACCAACTAATTTACCGGAAACTTGGCCATGACTTGCAGCAATGAAAACGTCCTTTGAGAAGGCAGAGCAGGTCGGCTTCCATTGTTCAAGGTGGAAATGCTTGAAATTGAAACAGAGACCAAGAATCATGGCAGAGATGCGCGGTTTGCAGCACGGAAACAGGAACAAAGTTTGGTCCCGTGAACAAGGAAAACATACAAACCACTAATTGCTGAGTTCATCCCATCCGGTCTTTACTCTTTTTGAAATTGTGTGGGGCAAATTTTTTTAGAAATAGGTGTGCGCCGTGTATGTCCCCTTGGAATATTTAGAGAAAATAGTCATGGAGATGAACCCAACAAAAAATATAGCGGTGGTATGATGAGGTGGCTCATGTGATTATCAGGTACAGTTGCACTCATGTGTCTGTCCCAACGTAGATTTTATGTAGCACTTTTTTTTATTTTGGTCACCAAGATCACATACCCCACTTCACTGGCCCCAAACTTACCATTGAGTCCTGCCTTGCCTTGCATCCGTCGGTGTTTTTCCTGTCTTTTTTTTTTTCATGACGATCATAACCCACCGTTTGCTTTTTCCCTTCCTTTCCTCTTGTTCCTCTCCTCTTTCTTTTTCACCTACCAATTTTGTTTTTATTTTTTTTATTCTTGTTTTTATCTTGTTTTTGCTGTTCGTTTTGTTTCCCTTTTTGAGCGATTTCGAAGAGTGACGGTGTTGCATTACAATCGTATATGCTTATCATGGAAGTTTCTCCTTCGCAACTTCCTGCATACCATTCCATTTACGACGGGTCACCCACACTTCTCCCCGAAAATATCGCGAATTTTATCACGGCCGCCTCGTTGGCCACTCGATTATCCTTACGATGTTCCTCCCTGCTGGTCGAAACGTTGTTTGAAGCCGCCAAGTACAGCACCGTACTCACCCTGGGACTGTCCCGAAGCGCTCTTAGCAACGCCTTGACCACGGCCAAAAAGCTTCATGCATTGTCCAGTCAATCGCTGACGGAAGAAAAGTGAGTAGGGCGAATTTGGCCATACATTCTGAATGATAACTTTGACTTACTAAAATTTGGGTCATTCTATTTCTTTTTGTTTTCCGTACCTTGGATCTTCCAGAAACGCCTTTATGCATGTTCTTGATAAATATACCAATTTGGGCATCTACATCGTTCATAATACATTCACCCTGGCTGAACTTTTCACCCTCTCCGGATTGCAGCTGACTTCGCAAACCATCAAATCGGGTCTAAAGGTAAAAACAATAAAGCAACACAAATTAGTACCATGTCTGGCTCACATTCTTGTCGGGTTCCTCACATGGGGATTCGTACTCCACTCATGATAGACTGCCGAAGAATCGGTGCGTATTATTGACGGTATTTTTGGCTCGAATGAAACGTCGCGTGCCATCGCCTCGATTGTCACGTTGGTGCATCGTGAATTAATGCAGGATCCAGATTTTGAATTAGCCAACTGTGGTAGAATCGCCATTCTGGCAGGACTGACCAAGGCCCTGACAGCTTTTGCTGTTTTACAGAATGTGACCCACAAGCACATGATGAAACAAATCAAAATCACCACCCTCTGGAAAGGCCTCGTTATCGATGAAAAGAAAAAACCAAATCAGGGTTTAATTCAGTATCATCACAAGGACACCTCCGACAGCCAATCCTCCAGCAGCGTTTTCCAACCTTCAGACCATGCCCAATGCCATCCCGATGTCATTCAGGAACTGGAAGAATTTCTCATGGAATCCACCGCGGTCGAAAACGATCCCATACCCGATGAAAAATGCGAAGCCACCACAAATACTGCTATAAAGAAGCGAAAAGAAGACGACAAATTGGTGGATACATCCCCTTACGATGTCTATGAAATCACCACCGTCACCGAGCGCATTACGAAACGAACCACCCGTATTCAACCCATCGATCTCACCAAAAGTGTGCATGAGCAGCCGCATGCGAAATATGTCGTGGTCAAGTCCGAGGAAGAGGAAAGAGACGCCTATCGAGCCGTGGTGAACCGTAACGTGGCCAATGGCACCGACGATGACAGGTCGAAATCACTGGCCCAACGATTGAACATTATGCTTTGCGCCATTTCCAGGAAAATAGCATGGAAGTCGGTGGATCGCCAGGAACAGTACGACCACGCCACCGACGAGAAGCACGCTCTTTTGGAAGCCAACAACGAGAATTCGAATGAGGAAATCCATGTTCCAGAGACGGACACGCCTTCACAACCGATGCCGCCACTTTCCAACTCCGTCGCTGCAGATCCACCAAAGCATCGCCGGTCGTCTTTGCCATCTTTGCCTCCTTCCAATTTACCGTTATCCAAAGATAACAGTAAAAACTTGTACATAAACCATCATTACATTGCTTCCAACAATAATACCGTCATACCCCTCAGCCAAGAAGACGCAAAGCCTTCTTCGGCTCCACGATACCGACTTCATCTCAGCCGATCCAATTCGACCACCAGCGTGGTGTCTATATCCAACATGGCAACCGCCACCATGACCACCTACACAACATCATGCGAAACAACGGCTACCAATCATTCTCATCGCTCCCGACGACCCAGCATGCACAAACCTACCTCATCCTCTTCCCCTCCTTCCACATCCTCTTTTTGTTCCCTGGATCGCGAACCCGATTCGCGCAATTTCCCTCGAAATCACATTATTAATAACATTGCTCACTTTATGCGCTACGCCAGCGCGGCGTACGGAGAGTCTTTTATGCGTATCCTGGGTATTGGCGATATTCCCAATGTATTTCCTGCTTCCAATCATCATCATCCTAACCATCATGCATTCGCGCATCACACGGGCGTGTCCGTGGAAGATATCTTGCTATCCAGTTACACCGATCATTCCCTCCTCAAAATGAACCATCCTTCCATGCATGCCCTCGTCCATTACGTCACCGTCGATCATCGTGCCAAAGCAGTTGTCTTGACCTGTCGGGGCACCCTCGGGCTCAGTGACGTGCTCACAGACCTCACTTGCAGCTACGCCGAATTTGCACTGCCCACCGACGCTCAGCCACGACGCTACCGTGCGCATGGCGGAATGCTGGATGCTGCCCAACTCCTCGCCAAAGAGAAAGGCAAAGTGTATCAAATGATTCGTCAAGGATTGGAACGGTATCCCGACTACGGACTCGTGTTGTGCGGTCACTCTCTAGGCGGTGGAGTCGTTAGCTTGCTCAGTGTTCTGTGGAGTGAAGAGCGCAAGGAATTTCTGAAGCGACCATGTACGGTGGCCACGTCATCTCTGACCAATGATCCAGTCCCTTTTGTCACCTCTCATCTCTCGGGACTGCCTCCCGGACGAGCCATTCACTGCTACGCTTACGGTCCACCGGGCACCATGTCCCTGGAACTGAGCGAATACTGCGGTCGCGGTCTGGTCACGAGCGTCGTTCACGGCTACGATATTGTGTGCAGTCTTAGTCTCGGACTATTGAAGGATTTCAAAAACATTGCAACGAGCTTACACCGTGAAGGCACAGTTGCGGAAGAGATCATTGGTCGCATTGTGGGCCGATACCATAACAAAGCCAGCCAGCCCAGCGAACGCGAAAAAGAGCTTGACGAAGACGATCAATGGTTTTGGGCCATGATCAAAACGATGCGAGCAGATATGCGAACCGACAAATTGTACCCACCCAGCACGGTGTACCATATCGAATCGTTGCCGCACGTGGCCCAGGATAATGTTTCTCAGCCGTCGCAATATAAAAAAGCCCACATGGTCGTCCTCAGCCGTTGCGATGATGTTCAAGCCCGGTTTTCCGAAATTGTTTTTTCCCGCAACATGTTCATGGATCACTCACCTAATATGTACGAAAACGCTATTCGCAATCTATGCAAAGGCTTTTTCAAAGAACAAGAAGCTTACAGCCGTATTTAATCTATTATTTCCATATTGGGATTTTTGATGTAAACCAAATAAATAACAATTTGTACTCTATGGCCGATATCCCCAACATATTCTTTGGAACAGCGCATCGATGGGTGCCCTGGCCCATCTGTATTGTATCAGGCCAAAAATATAAGAATTGTGGAGAGTGAGCGCATTCTTTCTTGGCAAATGCATCCCAATTTTTTTTTTTATAATGACAGCAGGGAACCAAAAATTTTAAATGGTATTCTCCAAGGGAGGGAAGAAAGAAACAAAGGTATAGGGATCTATAATGCAGATAGATGAAGAAAAAATACATACACTGACATAATAAAAAAACAAGGACAAGGAGGGAAAGCGAACAGGAAAGGGAAAAAAGCAATAGAAATGGCTAACTAGATAACACCTTCTCTATGCTGATTTTGGGGGGGTGGTTGTGGCGAAGCACTTCGAGATTGCCAAGTATCGGCTGGGTTCATTTCGTAAGCTTGACCTCGGGAAGGTGTATAGGAGGGGGGTGGAACGGCAGGAGTAGGAGGACCGTTGTAAGCGGCTGGATCCACCCATCCATTCGGTGGCGGGGGCGGTGGATACGGCATTTGACCTGGCGGAGGATACGGCACCTGACCTGGAGGCGGATAGTAAGGCATGTTGTAACCGGGGCCTGCAGGGGCCGTGGTGACAATGTAAGCATCCTTATCACGAAGATTACGATAGCCGCCTCGGTAGTAGCAACAGCAACGGAAAAAGCAGAATAACAACAACAACCCCACCACAATTGCTACAGGGATCACAATCTCCTTGTGTTGATCGAACCAGTTCTTGACATTGCTACCTATGACGCGGGGTCAGTATTGGTCCGTCAAAGGTTTCTTTTCACAGTATGCCCACATACCGAAATTTTGTAAATCACAGTGACCATTTTTACACGTGCCACCGATGCCGCACGATGTACCGTCCAAGAAATAGCCGTTGAACTGCAAACAAGTACCCAATCCACCGTTGTAAGCACACGTCAAGACGCAGCTGCCACTGGCAGCGGAGCAAGCGCGTGTGACGTTCATGGACACACCTCGAGCTCGACACTGTTGATCGCGGGAAGTACATTGGCCAGACGCACACTGCATTCCATTACCGCAGGAACTGGTGTCGTCTTTGTACTTGTCGGGAGGACACACACCAGAGTCGCCGGGACACTTTTCCTCAAGATCACATTCGCTCGCCGCGGGTCGGCACACATACGAAGACGGGCGAATCTGACACTTGTCACAGCACAGATCATTGTAATCACTGACGATAAATTAGCACGAAGCCATAAAACGTACATGACCTCAGTATAAAAAGACTTACTCGCACTTTGCGTTGGGCTTGTACTTGCAGGTTTTGCCGTCACAGCAGTCCGTATCGCGACCTTGGGTATCGCAATCTTCGCCGTCTTCCTTGATACCATTACCACACATTTGTTTCGTTTGAATTTTTCGTTGACCAGGATCTAACAGACAGAACGGACAACACACATGTCAGAATACAAAGGCATACCGTGGGTAAATCAACTTTCCAAAAAATGGTCTCACCTTCCAAGCAGGATTTTCCGGCTAGACTGGAACAAATGGTGTTGATGGAGCATTCGCTGAACGCATTTGCTGAAGCATTGCTGGAAGGGTTCATAAGGTAGGCGCCCCCGGCATCACATTGGTTGGCACTCAACGGGCAACATTTACACTGAGTTGAGCCCTGACATGAACAAAGCTGAGAATTACAATCATGCATCGCACCTGCATTCAACAATGATGAGTCAATCCGCAGTCAAGGACACCAAATTATGTAATAATTTACCAAATCCATGGCCAATTTCATGTGCTACGACTTTCCACTCGTCCGGAACTAGAGTAGATTTTATGTTTTAGACGAAAATGCATTAGGATCTACTTTTTTTTTCACTTACTGATCGATGAAACGCCTGTTCCCGAGACATACTCTGTGCCACCGGTTTTACTAGGTTGCTTTGATGCATCCACCGTGCACAACTGATCCGTCCACGCGACACCGACTTCAACATTCGTACTATGTATAAAAAGATTTTTTTTTAAAAAAAATGACTACCAGAGCGATGCTTTGAGTGTAGGCATACGTACGCGCAACTAGTCATCAAGTGCCAGAGACCGGCGCCATCGTCGGACATTCTAGAGCGCCAAAGACTGAAATCGCTCAATCGGTTTTCGATCGGATAAGACTCGGAGCAAGGACGATTCCAAGCTGCGCTGGAGGGAGGGCTGGGAGGACAGGATTCGTTTTGGATGGTGATATTAATCAAGCCGAGCATCACATTGAAACTTTTTTCGTACACCTGGGAAGCTTGATTCCAATCGTTGATGATCTGCATTCTGGCGTTGTCAGTGGATTTGTAAAACTTGGTATAGGTACAATCGGCGGCTACAGGGGTAGTCCAAGTAGGAAAGTTAGCTGTGACTGAATGTGGGGATCTGTTGATCCTGTGCGCTTACCGGCACCCATGTAGACAATCTTTTTGGTGGTAGGGCATCCGGCGGGTGCTCGTTTGGCAAGACCGGCAGTGGTATGAGGTTTGAAAACATTGACATCAAAGGGATCGTCAGGGGCATAGTAACCGAGTCCGTTGCCCAAGGCGTGGCCAAGCCGTAATTTGGCTTGTCGCTTGACAGGCATGTGGGGCTGAAACAAACGATCTTGTGCGCATTGAGGCGCAGGTTCCACCGACCCGTCACGTTGCACAAGAGGGACATGCACCATATCAGAGTCTCGGTAAATTAGTAGATGGACACCATTTCCGGCATTGAATTCGGCGTCATCAGCACGTTTCGTAAGTTTATAATTAGAAACCGCTTTGATTTGGTAAATGTCATCATAGACTTGGAATGACCCTTCTATCAGGGGATAATCAAGTTCATGTCTATATTTTTTTTTAGGTTCACAATGAATGAGACTGCATTGTTTCATGGCCAAGCAACAATTTTGCAAGTCTTACTTGATATCATGGCGAATGATCATTCGTGCCCATCCCGTCACCCCTTCGTCGTCTTCGGTATCGTCCCGCCGCACGCCGGCTTTATCGGCGACCCATCGAGCATCGGAATAGGGTGCTTCAACGGTGACGCCTTTATAAATTCTAAATTGGTGGTGCTGAAGAGGATATTCTGCACCGTCATGGGTTAATACGGCGTTGGGGTGAAACAGGTCGAGGTTAGGCGCCAAGTGCAAATAAAAAGTCCGGTTGAAAGCCGGTACGGCCAGTCTAAGGATATCGTCGTATTGAATACTTTGAACGCCTGGAACGTGTGAAGGGTTTCGTGTGAGGCTTCGTTTCTCAAAGAAACTTTCAGGTCGAGGTGCAATGTCGAGATGAATCTGTGTCAGGGGTTCGACTCGCTTGATTCTTCGGTTGTTCACGCTGTGGCCTAAATATATTCCATTGGTTTAGTTAAGCATTTCCCAAACCGTTCTCACCCAGATCAACAAGCGCGATCTTACCGAGAACAGTGGATGCAAAAAGCAAGAGAATGACCAGTGGCCAACAACAGGCCAAGTAGCGCATTCTCATAGTCGATAAAAAAAAAAGGTTGGGAAAATTTGAAAAATAAGGGCGTCCCTTTTTTGGGTGCGGGTTTTTGCTCTTTTTTTTTTTTTTTATTCCTGGCTTCGCCAGAATCGGAGCTCATGTTTTTTAACTTTTCAGATGAAGAAACCCCGCTGGGATTGGTTATCCATTTTTCCACTGCCCCGTCCAACCATCAACGGCATTGAACATGATCTTTTTCTTATCCTTCTTTTTCCATCACTCACCCATGTCTTGGCATCCCCATCCACTTATTCCTCTCTGGTTGATATTTATTTATATCTATCGATTTATAGCTAGGACAAAATAGCAAGTCACCGGACGGTCTCTGCATGCTGGATGGACTTTTTCCATATCCCGACGTGAACCGGAAATAGTGTGCCGCCTATTATATCTTTAAGTAAGCCACATGCTATTCACTGCGCAGTTTTTACCGCATAAACCATAAGTTGCAGTCTGATTTTTGCGTCAATAGAGTGCCAAGCTTTTCCTTTTTTCATGTTTGGATGATCTGACCACCCACGCCATGCATTGCAGTTGGTCGTTCACTGTTTGCTGACCCTTTTGTTCCCGACGTATTTCTCATTTTGGTAAATCCCATCTTTCTCTCCTTTTCCCCCCTTTTTTTGTGCTTTCTTCAGCATACTTTCCAGAAACTAATTTCATTCATGATAATTGAAGGAAAAATCACCGACATGTCATTATCAGTCTTTTACTTGACTGGATTCGCGAAAGCACGTTACCCCATTTCATGTCGAATCGCTTGAGTAGCAACAACACAACATAAGAAAGGTCGTCTCTCAATTGGACTCATTTTTAGGAGCCATGGATAAGAAGGTCATAATCAAAATGAATGAAATGGAAAAAAAGAAGTGATGATTACTTCTGTCGTACACTATCCAGTAACGGCACAATTTTCCTGATTTTGCCACCACAGATCCTGGTGTTCAACCTGACTCTTTGGGTTTCTGCAAAGGCGATTATCAAATGGCAGTCACAAGGTCAAGAATTGGGGGGAAAAAATGGGCCAACATCAATGCTTCCGAAATCATTGTTTTCAACGATATCATCTTTTTATCTCCAATTCTTTCCTTTCCTTTCGATCGGGTGCCTATTGTGGCCTGTTTCTCTCGTAACGTGAGCCCGATACCATTTTATTCCCGATCCTTATTGCTTCAATTGCTTTTCGCGAATAACAACAACAAAAACACCAGCGATATACATTTTTACTCCTCTCCGAGTGAACTTTAATACCAAGTGTTCATGACATGCGAATTCTCATATGCACGGAAAATTGGTTGCCCAAAGTAGATGGCGTTACTCGCACATTAGCCCGATTACTCGAGCATTTGCATGCCACTGGACATGAGGTGCTGCTGTTGGGGCCTGAAAGCGGGATGGAATCCTATGCCGGAGCGGAAATCATTGGCACCGCTGGTTTGCCCTTCTTTCCCTACCCGGAACTCAGATTAAATCTGTGGCGACCCCACTTTACGAAAAAGTTGCTCGAATTCAGACCGCACGTCATTCATCTCGTGGATCCAGTCTGGCTCGGAGCCGCCGCACTGGCCATCTGTCGATGGTATGCGATTAAAGCGCCTATCGTGGCTTCGTATCATACCAATTTAGCTACTTATTGCGGCCATTTCGGATGGGGGATTTTCAGTCCATTGATGTGGCAGTGGAACAAGTTTTGCCACTCCAAATGTGCCTACACCGTTTGTCCTTCCAAATCAACTTCGCACATTTTAATCCAACACGGATTCCGCAATGTCCGCATTTGGCCACGTGGCGTCGATACTTCGCTCTTTTCACCTACCCAACGTTCCGAACAATTGCGTGCTCACTGGCTGGGAACGTCCGAAACCAAGTCGGCGCACAAGTCGATCATTCTGTACGTGGGTCGAGTCTCGTTTGAAAAAAACCTGGGACTCGTGGTGGACGCCTACAAAACAATGGATCACCACGCATGTCATCTTGTCATTGTCGGTCACGGGCCTGCTTTTGACGAACTCCAACTTCAGTGCGCACGCAACCATATACCCGTCACTTTTACCGGATATTTACAAGGCAAATCTCTAGCCGCCGCATTTGCTTCCGCGGACGTTTTTGCATTTCCCTCCGTGACGGAAACATTTGGCCAAGTGGTGCTGGAAGCCATGGCCTCAGGGCTCCCCGTGGTCGGACTTGATGCCGAAGGGGTGTGCGATCTCGTGGATCACAACAGCACCGGTCTGCTACTGAATACTTCGGGATTATCATCACAAGAACAATGCACGCACTACAAAAATCATCTGATGACCCTTGTACGCGACACCGCGCTATGCAAGACCATGGCTCAACGAGCCGTTGCCAAAGCCAAGGAATACAGCTGGTTTGAAGCCATGGAACTGCTGGTCAACACGTATATAGATGCTGTCAACAATCAGCCACTGGATTCAGCTAGTATACCGGCTACTTCAACCCAAAAATCAATGGATGTTGATCTTCTATTGTACGAAAGTGGCATCGAGGAGTCTGGAAACATAGATATTGATCACTGGAACCTTGCTGAGCGAGGTTCTCATCCACATCATTTTCACGTATAACACCGTCTTTTTCTTATTATTCCTAATTTTTTAAATTTTCGCCTACTTTTAGTATTTTTTGTAATCTGCTTATTAAAATCCAATGCGCTCATTTCGTGTTTCCATCTTTTCCATGCTTGTAAGTTTTGAAACGCTCCCAGATGTGACTTGTAAAAAATTGATGAGCCATGTTGAGCCAAACGGGGTCCTAAAAACTCGTCTCTGACTTGACAAAGTTCCTTGAACGACAATGGCAGCGATGCACGATCCTGTAAAAGAAACGACGGAAATCGGCATTATTGGTGCCGGTGGCATGGGCAAGTTCTATGCTCGCACATTGGCCAAAGCCGGTTGGAAAAAGTACGACGCTTGGACTGAGAATGTTCAATGAAATTCAAAACTAATCTAACACCCGCGGCTGCTGTCTAGTGTCTCAGTGTGCGATCTTCCGGAAAAGTACGACATTCTGAAGGAAGAGTTCAAGGGTACATATTAAAGACCATCAAAACTCGCGTCGCACGTATCAACCAATTTTTTTTTGTACCTTGCTTTTTTAGACAGCCCCATCCATGTATTGCCTGACGGGTTTCACATCTCCCGAAAATGTGACTGGATCATGTACGCCGTGGAAGCCGAATATATCGAATCCGTTGTAGCAAAATACGGTCCCGGTAAGAAAAAAGCAGCATCTAGAGTGATGCTGAATACAAAGACACAAGTGATGCTTATACCGTCTTTTCTTCGCATTTTTTTGTGCCATAGCCACGAAGATCGGTGCCATTGTCGGTGGTCAGGTAAAATAGATACATTTTTCGCCTTGTGCAATACTTTTAGTAGGATCCAAAGGTTGCTTAACAGGAATGCATCATGTAGACGTCTGTGAAGCAACCGGAAATCGCTGCCTTTTTGCGACATATACCGTCGGATGTGCATATTGTATCGTGCCATTCGATGCACGGTCCAGGCGTTGATCCTAAAAACCAGCCGTTGGTGGTAATTCGTGAACGCGCCACGGATGAAAAATATGAATTGGTGCTTAAAATCTTGTCATGCTTCGAATCCAACTTGGTCCACCTGAGTGCCGAAGAACACGATCGTATTACTGCAGATACCCAAGCTGTCACCCACGCCGCCTTTTTGAGGTACTTTTGCTTGAATGGCTATTCAGGAGAAAAAAAAAAAAAAAAAAAAAAAAAAAAAAAAAAAAAAAAAAAAAAAAAAAAAAACCCTCTACAGGTCTAAACGGCTGACTCTGTCTTTTCTTTCTTTCTTTTGCAGCATGGGAAGTGCTTGGAAAGCCAATAACCAGTTCCCTGTAAGTGCTTTGTAGGTGATCTCTGGCTTAACAACCATCTTACTCACTCACACACTCATCGTAGTGGCTCGTTCCTCACTTTGTAGGTGGTATTGAAAACGTCAAGGTCAATGTAGCCTTGCGTATTTACAGCAATAAATGGCACGTGTATGCTGGTGAGTCTACTTGGAAAGTATCATCCCTGTCAAGCTTGTTACTGATAAAAGGAGCTAGGTCTGGCAATCATGAACCCCACCGCCAAAATTCAGATTACCCAGTACGCCAAATCGGTAGCTGATCTATTTAAGCTCATGATTCAAGAAAAGGAGGCCGAGTTCAGATCTCGTATTCGAGCGGTCAGTTGTTGTGTTGGTATTGAAAAAGAAAATGGTCAACGCTAAATGAATGACGGTTGACAGGCGGGCGATTATGTATTTGGTGGTTTACAAAAAGATCATGTTCCTATTCTGTTGTCCGATCAAATCCTAGATGAATTCTCCTTGTCACGAATGCCAAAGGACCAGCGTACTCCCAATTCGCACTTGTCGTTGTTGGCCATGGTAGGTTAACCATGTACTCTACATAACATGAATCAAAATTATTCAACAAATGATTGTAGGTCGATTGTTGGTATACGTTAAAGTTGAATCCATATGAACACATGGTTTGCCAAACTCCTCTTTTCCGTCTGTGGATGTAGGTGGCCTTTTTTTTTATCATCGCATCAATTTAATATGGAAGACTGACCAAAAATAATAGGGGTATTACTGAGTATCTTTTCCGCAGTCCGACCATGTTGGAAGAAGCGATTCAAGCTGCATTGCACCGAAAAGAGATTCGTTCTGACGATATGGAATTTGTCACTTGTGCGCGTGGTTGGGCTGAATGTGTAACCCTTGGCAGTATGGATGCTTATCACAAGCGATTTGCCGACACTGCGGTATTCTTCAAAGACCGGTTTGCAGAAAGCACCGCGGTCGGCAACAACATGATCGCTGCCATTTCCAAGAACATGTCCAAACAAGGCGAAGCATCATCATAGATTTATCATTTAACAAATAAAACATTACGGGGCGATTTGGTCAAAGAAATAATCGCAAAAACTTGCTTGTCATTTCATCGGCGAATTAAGGGCGCCCAACGGCGGAGATTTACTTTATTGGAAGCTTTTCACAATGATCGCGAGCCAAGGTCAGCAGAAGGCCAACAGGTTTATTTTTATAGCTTTATTGCTAATGTTTCGACAGACATTAGTGGCTCACATTACGAAGGATAATGACAATGTGTAGCCTCTGCGGAAAGCGGAACGAAGAAAAAAAAAAGGACATAAACAAATAACTACAGCAGTGAAAACAAAACCAACCATGTCACCCCAAATCGTGCATGTGCGTGCTTTATATGTTTTCTGTCCTCTTCTCTTCATGAAACTACAGACACTTTCCCTCGTGGCGCTTTTCTTAAGTACGGCAGATGGTGTAAGATTCACCGACCGATCCGATCAGACACCTGTTTTATACCGACCTTCCACAAAAATTATTCGAAACTGTGGAAAGGAAAATGATCTGCTATCGTAAGCACCACAAGGCAACGAGTGACCCAAGGGATGACTTACAGTATTGTATTGTTTGCGACCATTCAGGATAGATTACATTGCTTTACGTCCTGATCCACCGCGCAAAGGCGAACCACTTCATGTGGATTTCAAGGGCTTTTTGAAAGAAGAAATAGGAAATGGTACCTACGTGGACGTTGTGGTCAAATACCGAGGAATGCAAATGCTTCACAAGAAATATGATTTTTGCGACGAAGCCGACAAGTTTGGCGAACGTTGTCCATTCGAGGCCGGAGAATATCGGCTTAGCAAAGACGTGGATTTACCAGACGATATACGTAGGTGGTTGTTGTCACTCTGCATACTTTGTTGAACTAACAAAATGGTTATATTTTTCTCATTGGGTGGATCTGTGCAAAATGACAGCCTCTGTAAGTGAGAGTTTTTTTTTTTTTTTTTTTTTTTTGTAAATTCTCGGAATAATGCGTGGCGAGATTTTCTGACCTGGTTCTGACCGATGGTCTACCTATGTTTTTGCAGGGAGAATACATAGTGCATATCGAAATTGTGACGCCGGAGGATAAAAGAGTGACATGTGTTGTGGCACGAACAAAACTTTGAATTTACGGTTGCGTTGATCCTGCAGAAAGGTTATTTCTTTTTTTTCCGTTTTCCATTTTTCCTCAGACGACGGTCACGTGAAAACTGTAAATTGGCTCCGAATTGGCAAATCTCAAAAAAATTGGGAAAATAAACAATTTTTGGATTGGGGATGACGTGTAAAATTTGTGGATATAATTCCTCCGTATTTCTTTTAATCCACACAACGCACAATACACACATCCACACACGCCACCGTCACCGTTGTATTCTTCCATGACGCTTACAAGTGAAGAAGTCAACATTATAGTATATCGATATTTACAGGAATCCGGTGCGTTTTTTCGTTCGCTTCTTTTTCCATGCGACTCATTCGCTAATTTTATCTGTTATCTCTTTCGTCGACGTTAGGCTTCCGACATTCTTCGTTCGCATTTCAATACGAAAGTCAAATACAAAGATCGCCTTATTTCGATGTCAACATACAACCGGGAACCCTTATCAATGTCATTCACAAAGGATTACAGTTTATGGAGATTGAAGCGCATATGAGCGAGGTATATACACCCAACCCTAAAACAGAAAGGACGGGTTGATCATCTTTTTTTCTACATTCCATATTCACCACAACGTTTTGCTAGGACGGCGAATTATTGGAATGCACGAACCCATTTTCCCTACTTGAACCACACCAATGCGATCTTACGGGTAGAAGTTTAAATGAACGTTCCGAACCGTCGCCAAATCCTACCGCGAAGCGACAACGAAAAGAAGAAAGAAGAGCACAAAAAGAACGAGAGAAAAGAGCACGGAAAGACGTGGAAACGACCGAATCCGACGCGCCACCAGCATCAACAAGTTCAAGTATAACTGCTTCGACGCCTGCTGCTGCTGCTGCTCCCGCCCCCGCTGCTCCCGTCAATGGTCATACGGTGAAAGAAGAAGCTGACGGTATGAAGATAACTCGTTGTGATTTCTACGTTCCATCCAGTCTTAATACTAAATGAATCATTCTAGTTGTGATGAACGATACAACAAACGACGAGAAAGAAGGCATGGCAAAACCACGTGAAACGATCGATCCCAACGATATCATTGTTCTAGAAGGTCATCAAAATGAAGTATTTTCATGTTCATGGAATCCCGTCGTACCCAATCTGTTGGCATCAGGGTAAGCCGACTTTTTTTTTTTTTTTGCACTCAAAGAAAAATATACTGATTGCTAATCGTTTGATGATGTCGGTGCGTACTTTCAGCTCTGGTGATGCTACGGCAAGATTATGGCAAATTGGTGATGGAAAGGATCAGGTATCCAAGCCAATTGTGTTAAATCACTTACCGAATCTGAACGATAACAAAGACGTCACTACCCTCGATTGGAATGTAAGTCCAATGCATGGAAGACGGCGAAACTCTTGCTAATCTTGAATGGGTGGTTTTCTCTTTATAGCCATCAGGCACGCTGCTAGCTACAGGATCCTATGATGGTCAAGCACGCATATGGACACAGAAAGGTAAATTTTGGAATGAAATGATTTGTTTTCTCAGATTTGACTGAGAACGTGCGTATTATGATAGGTCAATTACGATTCATGATGGCGCATCATCGAGGACCTATCTTTTCACTAAAATGGAACAAACGGGGTGATCTGGTACTGAGCGGCAGCGCGGATACGACAACGGTGGTGTGGGATCCAGAAGCGGGTGAAATGAAACAGCAGTTTGAGTTACACACCCGTAAGTTCCAGATGAATTATCAAGGAAAGAAAGAAAAAGGGGTTTCATGTTTGATCTCATGTTGTTTATTATTAGTAGCCATTTTGGATGTGGACTGGATGGACAATAGCACGTTTGCTTCTTGTTCATCCGATAAGACGATTTATATTTGTCGTGTTGGACAGACGAAGCCATTGAAGAAATGGGTGGGTCACGAGGATGAAGTAAACGCGGTGCGTTGGGACCCTACGGGACGCTATCTAGCTTCTTGTTCAGACGATATGACGACAAAGATTTGGTCTTTATCATCGGATCAACCTATTCAAGAGATTCGAGGACATCGATTGCAGATTTACACATTACAATGGGCGCCATATCAGGAAGAGAATACGGATGCACCGAGAATCCTGGCCACGGCTAGCTTTGATGCTACGGTGCGTTTATGGGACGCTCTCACGGGTACATGTTTGCATGTGCTGCAAAATCACACAGAGGCAGTCTATTCGATCTCCTTTAGTCCCGATGCCAGATTGCTGGCCACTGGCAGTTTCGATGAAGTATTAAATGTCTGGAACGCCAAGGTACTGTGCAATGACAATAAGACCTGAACCATTCTCAAGCAAGGTCAACTTATTAAATTACCCAATTTTTTTTTTTTTTTTTTTTTTTTTTTTTTTTTAGGATGGCACACTTCAAAAAACTTTCAAAGCCAATGGCGGTATTTTTGAAGTCCACTTCAATAAGGATGGTGATAAGCTTGCGGCATGTACATCGAACAAACAGGTAAGTAGATAATTGACCATAGTAAATAATTCAAATATTCATGGACTCTTCTTTTCTTCACAAAGGTTGTCATTCTGGAGGATATGAAATCATAAGTTTATTCATTCTCAAAAACTCCTATTCTTTTTTCTTCTTCTTCTTCTTTTACTCTATCGCCTTGCCCCTTTTGCTTACAGCCCTCATATATTTTGTTCTTTGTGTGTTTAATATTACGTGTTCTTTGTACTATTGGATTTTCGAAATGCAAACGGTATGGCTTGATAGATCGTGTAAAACTTTAAAACCAAAGCGATAACTGCCAATAATATAAAAAGAATGTCACGACAAATCAACCAAACGGACTAAGCCCATCTCTCGAATCACAGTCAGTGACTTTGGGTTATCGAAATGTGCCGCAGTGCGTACTGTGACAGGCCGGTCCTTCCCGGTTATCGAAGGCTGATAAATAACTTTGTTTAGGGTCGGATTCTCCGAAACAAGGCGATAGTAAACTACACTCTAGTATGGTGATATCCATCGCTGCCGAAATGTCGCTTTATTAGATGCAATGGACCCATGCATAATTAACTCGATGCTTCAGAGGATCTACTCTCCCAAAATCTGCAAGGAAAGACATAAAGAAAAATACGAAATCTACGGGGTCAAACGAATGGATCAGTAGCAATATTCTAAGTCTATGATACATTTTATTAGAGAGAATGAGAGAGAGAAGGGGTGGATATTTGCAGAATAAGGTTTAGAAAGGCACACAATGACAGTAACAACAACAAAGACAATTATAAAAAAAAAGCCCGGAAACAAACATCATGAAAATTCGGAAAAAACGGTAGGGGTAGAGGAGCCTATTATTTTACTGGGATTCAGCGACAACACCAACTTGAGCGGGACGAAGAACACGGTCCTTGATCATGTAGCCAAGCTTTTGAACCGAGAAGACAGTACCAGCCTCCTTGTCGGGAATGGGAGCTTGGAAAAGAGCTTGATGTTTGTTGGGATCAAACACTTCACCTTCAGGGTTGTGTTGCTCGACACCGTGGCGCTTCAATGTCTTGACAAGTTCGGCTTCCGTCATAGACACACCGGTGTACAGGTTGGTGAGTTGATCAACCAATTTTTCAGCATCCTGGGCAAGCTCGGACTTGGTCGCGTTTTCCTTGCTGCGCAATTCGTTGGGAACGGCGGTCAAGGCCATGCCGAGAATATCGACGGTATCGAGAAGGTCTTTGGCGAACTTTTGGATAGCGTATTCTTTGGTGGTCTCAATCTCCTTGCGAGTACGCTCACGCAGATTTTCTTGATCAGCTAACACACGAACATAGGCATCCTGTTTTTTTAAAAAAAATAGTCACTCGTTTAGTAACATGGTTTTTTTTATACAAGACTCTTTCGGTATGAATGGGGAATGTCAAAGTAGAAGAGGGAAAGGTACCTTTAACTCGGCGATCTGCTTATCTTTTTCGGCCAATTTAGCGGTGAGATCATCTTTGGCGACTTGGTTGGGTTTGTCAGTTTCGGATTTGGCGTCTTCCTTGACAGATTCTTTGGCTTCTTCCTTATGTTCCTCTTTTGGCTTTTCTTGGCCATTTTCGGTAGCGTAGGTGCGTCTCAGAGAAGGTGCCAAGCGCATGGCGGCAGTCTGAACTGCAATATTTTGTCGAACGGAAGCACAGGCCGCATTACGGATGACTGCAAAGGACATCATTTTTTTTTCTGTGAGCTTCGAAAAAGGAATATAAAGTTTGTGGGGGGGGAGAACAAGGCGAAAAAAAATAGACCGAAAAGAAAAAAAATATAAGAAAAAGCTCTTACACGTCATTCGAAAATTTGAAAGTCCGTCTGTACTCGACTTTACTGATGATTGTTGGTGTGCCAGGGTTGATGCGGTGTGTCACGGCGATAGCTTGAGAGGATATTGACAGAGTCAACCAGCTCAAGACTCTTTTGAAGCACCACAGTACTGAGTAGCCGTCTCATGACTGGCCACCAATATAGTTGCTAAACATCTCTTCTTTTTCTTGAGCAGCGGGGGTCTATTCGGCCAATGTTGAATGATACACACCAATTTATTGGTCGAAAACCAGGCTCAACATTGTTGGTAAAAATGTAGGTCATACAATTTGCACGCCTCCGCATTATTCACCTGCCACCCGCTTTCGAAAGGTCTGCGAAAGTGGGTCTAAGGCTCCTTTTGTTTATAGCTACCACAGGATTCAAAAGCGACAACATCTATTTTTGCTTTGAAGACAGGCAAAGCTTCATTCCAGTCCGTCTTTTGTTAATGTTTTAATGACATGCCTCCGGCGAGTACACCACAAGTTACGTCGATGTCATATCCGCAGTCGGTCTTCCTGACCAACGGAATACCGTTGCCAATTATTGCAGACTTGACAGAATAATAAAAAAGAAAGAGGGCTCATATATGTAATGGCAGACTGTTCTGAAAGACTGTGCCGACTTGAAAAATGTCATATTATGAAAAAGTGGCACGATAATGCACAACAGAGAGAGTATGTGTTTTCCATTGTCCAAATTGCTGGCCATTCAACCAGTGTGACCCTACATCGACCTGACTGGTTGACCTGCCAGGAGATTGGCGGGGGTCGGGGCAGCTGAAATTAAAAAAGTTAGAAAAAGCCGCCAACATGGAAGCCCTCTCTAAATACCTCGAAAAGATTCCCAGCGTCATCTAAAGAACAATCTCAAGTTGAGATAGATTTTTGGTTGATTGTATAGGGGGATTGTGCTAATGAACGAGGCTCCGCGCCGTTTCCTTTTTTTTCTTTTTTGGCCAATGAACACTGAATTGTATTTAAAAATCGTGTGATGTTTAAAATTCTTATCAGTAACTCATGTAAGATTCCATGGTTTTGAAGTATATTAAGATCTCGATGCTTAACTGGGAAACTAACAAGGAATTAACAAACTCACCAATCAAGTGAGCCCGTCACAGCCTTTAGCGTCTTGGAGGCGAAAAAACTGACTCTTTTTCAAAAATGAAGTGCAAATCCAATATCAAGAAATCGTTCAACTTGGTTATGGATTGAATATAAAGTATGAATATGTAGAGGACTTATGGAGACGGGACGAGAAAGACAATGAAGGACAGTGGGTCCATTCTTTTTGTTGTTTTTTCTCCAATGAGGCTTTGCATTCCCGAAAAAAGAGATGAACCCAAAATGAAGGTCCGGTGTGACTTGGGTGATCCGACCGGACGAAGGAAAAGTCCCAGTCCTGCTTTTTCCCCACCTTTGGCTTGCCAATTGCCTGTATTGTTCTTTTGGTTCTTTTCCGCTGTCGTTGGATAGTTTACATCGTGTCCATTCTGTATTGCATCAAGTTGTTGTAAATCTGTACAAGTCGGAAAAGCAACCTCTCCTTGCTTTTTCTTTTTTTTTTTTTTTTCACGGTGTGGCGAGCCTACATACTCCTTTAAAATATTTTTTCTTTCTCGACAACAACCCTCACCCCTCTTCCCTCCATTTCCCTCCCTCTGTATTGACCTGTTATTATTCACATATACAAACTGTAACTTATATATCGACCTTTCGTTGGCCGTGTTTGCTTTGATATACTAGAACCCTCATTTTCATTTAATTCCTTTTCTCTTTTTCATCTTCTCTTCATCCCATCAGTTTCTCTGTTCTCTTATCCTCCTTCAAAGCCATGAAATCCGCCAACAAAGGAGCGCTCAAAGTGTATCCCGTTGCTTCTGCAGATACCATCATCAACCGACCGACGGACAATTACCCATTAGCCAATTCGGCCATCCCCATGGGATTGACGAAATGCGCTTCTGATCCCACCTGGTTATCCCTTTTCAAAGTAAGTCAAGGGCAACTCGACATGGTTTCTGGTAGTGGTGATAAATTTGGGGACATTGGACTGAAACTCGCACATGAAATCGTTTGTCAGAAATCCATCTGTATGCCACTATCAAAGAAACACAACGATCATCGATCATCACGTAAACGATCCATATCAGCTGATCACGATTTATCGGACCTACAAGACCGACCCAGCAAACGAAATTGCGTCAATGATGCAACAGCCACCCATCCGTTATTTGCCAATCCTTGTGCAGGCAATTTACCCTCACCCTCACCTTCTCCTGTGGTGGAAATTGGACAAAATGGACGTAAACATGACCGCCCTACTTATTTCGATCCCGCCTACCTTGATAATGCCGTCCTTCATCACTTGCCTACGGTGATATCCATCTACGATACCTTGCCGGAGGACATGAAATCGTACTTTCTCTTCCAACTCATGAAACGCTCATCCACCGAAACCCTCCAATTCGTCAACTCAGTCATTACCCCCGTCCTTAAAAGAGATTACTTGGCATCCTTGCCATTGGAGCTGGCTCTTCAAGTGATTCGATATCTCGACGTACGATCGCTGTGCCAAGCGGCCACCGTCAGTCAACATTGGCGATCATTGATTGATTCCGACCCCGACACTTGGCGGCGTTTACTGACCCTCGATGGTTTCAAATATACCAGTCCACACATGCAATTCACTTCCTTCCACCCCTGCCCTCCCGCCGAGAACAATTTAATACGCACTGCCGAAAATCAGCATCCCTACAAACAAATGTACCGACGTCAATATATCCTGAAACGCAATTGGAAACTGGGACGAGCCAAACGCATCCAATTTCACGGTCATCCCGGTCACGTGGTGACGTGCCTTCGTTATGATGGTAAAAAAATCATTTCCGGTGCAGAAGATTGCCGCATCAACGTGTATGATCCTGCCACTGGTAATATTCTTCGCACACTCACAGGCCACGACGGCGGAGTGTGGGCTCTGCAATGTGTCGGCAACACCTTGGTGAGTGGTTCGACGGATCGCACGGTGCGTGTGTGGGATATTGAAAAGGGGAAATGTACACACATTTTCAGAGGACACACCTCGACAGTGCGGTGTTTGCAATTGGCGTTACCGACCATGATCAACGGACGCATGGAACCGAGCCAACCGTTGATCATTACAGGCTCGCGAGACACGACGATCCGGATTTGGCGATTACCGGATTTGACGAAAGAGGATGAGGAATCACAAGAAAGCACGGGCTCGGATCCATACCATGTGCGTACACTGCGAGGTCACAGTCATTCGGTTCGTGCAATTGCGACGCACGGCAACATTCTCGTGAGCGGAAGTTACGATAATTCGGTCGGTGTGTGGAATTTGGAGACGGGCCGTATGATCCATCGAATGGAAGAACATACGCAAAAAGTATACGATGTGGTCATCGATGCACCACGGCACCGGTGTATGAGTGGCAGCTTGGACAGTTCGGTACGAATCTGGGATTACGAGACAGGCGAATGTCTAAGGGTGCTCGAAGGGCATTCGGTCCTGGTAGGATTGCTTGGTCTCACTCCGAATTACCTGGTGTCGGGTGCGGCGGATACGACTTTGCGTATATGGTCGCCAAATAGTGGTGTGTGCAATCACGTTCTGACGGGGCATCAAGGAGCAATTACCTGTTTCCAGCACGATGATGAAAAAGTGATTTCGGGATCGGAAGGAGGGTTGAAAATGTGGGATATCAAAACCGGTCGGTTGATAAAGGATCTTATTACGGGCGTCACAGGTGTATGGAGAGTCGCGTTTGACGAACGTCGCTGTATTGCGGCCGTCCACACGTAAGTCATTTGAAATGATGCTCATGGGGTCATGGAAGTTTTTACACCTTCTCCCCTTCGCAATGAACCCAACGTAAGCAACCTGCATTCTCAAACGACTCTTGACATTGTATAGGGATAATGTCACTTCCTTTGAATTGTTGGACTTTGGGGCGTATGGCTTGGAAGAAACGGAAGAACAATCATAAAGAAGTCCATTTTTCTAGCTAGATTCTCAAAGTGCGAGAAGAATGCAAGAAAAGGGGAAAAATAACCACCAGAAGGAGATCCGAAGAACACTGGCTGCTCTATTTATTTTCTTGAATGGGATTATTCATTCTGTAAACATTTTATCACCATGAAAACACTTAATATACCAAACCCTTTTATTTCTCCTGGAGTTCAATGTTTATGTGGCGATGCTCTAACTGTATTTACGTGTGGATACTTGATGTCTATGATTGGTGACGGGCTGGTTTTTGCTCTTTTTTTTTCATCATTATCTGATGGGTGCAAAACGGGATGTTTATACGTTTTCTGAGTAACGTTACTTAAGAAAGTGAACGACGGGGCGAAGTGGCGACCAGGGTGGTACGATAAAGTGAAATTGTTCATATTGGCGACCGATCGATAAACGACAGTGAATTGTTATTGGTGGATAATGAACAGGAGTTGCGAAAGTATTTATTTTGGTTTTTTGTTTTTGTTGTTTTCTCGTAGAGTTAAGAAATAAGCTTTAAGAGAGAAAAAAAAAAGTCACCCTTGAAGTGGTGTCGTTGACATGAAAAAAAAAAAGACGGTTAATTATTACTAGATGGCTAAATGGTATATCTTTTTAACCGAGAAGAGGGGCGGACTCGCTGCTTGAGGAGCGACCGAGAAGTTTGCAGACAAGAGGACTGGCTGCGTACAACAAGGTGGCAATACCAGCCACCAAAGCAGGCCTAAAAGAAAAAAAAAGCAAGACAACATTAAAATAAAGTGACATCGGGATGAGGTCATGTTTATGAAAACTTACCAGTGAATCCAGGGATCGTTCTGGTTGGTGAAGATGGCAATCAAGCCAAGACCGATAACGATGGCACCAGTAACATCACCCTTCTTCTTCTTGAACTGGACGTAGCCGACGGCGGTGGAGGAGAGGAAGACAATGCCAAGGATGACGAGGATTCTCATGAATACAGAAGGACCATCTTCGTTGACACCGGTGAAGGCTTGGAACAAGTTGATGACAGCGGAGAAGACAATCCAGCCGTGCCACAAGGAGAAGGGAGCATGCACAAACAAGAGATCCCACCAGTTGTTGATGTCATATTCCTTTTCAAGTCTGTCTATAAACGCGCGCAAAGTATAAGAAACAATTCTTTCGTTTGAAAGCAAGATAAAAGCACCCCAAATTGTTGACCACAATTACTTACAGAAAATGTACGAGACAGACGAGGCGGTCAAGAGAACAAAGATGAATCCGATAATGTAGTGACCCGTTTTCTACAATTGAGGTGAACAGGATAAATTTTCAAAATGCATGGCGAGCTGGAATCCAAACAGAAAAAAAAAATTACCAAAAGAGCGAGCCAGGCCGCGCTGAGCAAGACGGAGATGACAAAGTGCCAGCCGACACCGTGCAAGGCGACTTCATGAGCGGGGCTGAACCATTGGTAGATGACGAAACCACCAAGAAGCAAATGGATAATGGTCCAAACATAAGAGATCCAGAAGGCTAAGAACAGTACACAGGTTAGTCTTTGGTTGGTTAACTTTTTTTTTCCCAATTTTTCACGTACAAGGAGTGATATAAGTTTGTCCTTCGGCGATGGTATCGTCCGAAGAAGGGGCGACGAGGCTGTAAACGGTAGCAGAAAGGAAGAAGAGGTAGACCAAAACATTGGCCACCTTTTGAAAGATGTGGAGTCTCGACATGGGATGTTCCCTTTTGGTTTTTTAGTGGAAAAAAAAAAAACTGAAAACAAGACGAAGCGTCCAGAGAAAATCCACGCTCTTTATACTGACTCCATTTTGAATGAGAAGGTGGGAAACTTTAAAAAAAAAACGGTTTCTTGTACCACCTCGGCGCGGTGCTTCATGCTGATTTCATCGAGTCAACGTCTTTGTTTTGTTTCCAAACCTGCCAAATGCAAACACGCACACACATACTGCACACACACATACTCACCACACTACCCTTTATGTATCGGCATTCTTCATCGTCCTTTTATTGTTAAAGGTTAAATATGATCATGAAGCACTTCCTTCCAACCGCCCCATTTCGCTTTGGAAAAAAAGAAAAAGATCACAAAAGTAACATGACTGTGTTCTTTTTCCCTCTCGTATTCATAATAATATGTACTATAGTCTGGTGATTTTTTTTTGGGGTTCACGTCCATGGTTTTTTTTTTCTCCCTCTCTCTTTTTCAAACAGTTCTGCCGTTTAAAGAAATTCCATGTGTTGTATACCGAGAAAACAAGCGTTGCAGCTGCAAGACGTAGTTCTTCTTTTTCCATCTGTCTTTCTCGGCATTACGTTTAATCCTCTGAGAGCGGAAGATCTTTAGGCTTTTAGGACCGGATACATTGGGTGACATGGCAAGTAACACAGATATCGTTTTTTTTAAAAGACGCGAACTATCATGATGCCATCTCCTCAAGGCACCACGACTATCGAATGATGCAAACTGATGTCCTACTGTCGTGCAAAAAAAGGTCTCCGTACTTGCATCGGCTACCCATATAAAACCGAAGGTTCTTCACCAAGCTAATTTGCCTTGGATGCAACACGAAACTATTTGTGAAAAACAAAGGATGATCACAGTATCGGTCACTGTCATTTCATACTATACTGTCCAACCTTGACCGAGTGACTCTTTGAGAGTTCCAAAAAGTGGATGCCCTAAAAAAGAGAGAACGGACAAGTAAGCAGATGGTTATTCAATACTAAATGAAATTCAAGCCCGTGGTCACCGGAGTGAACCAAAAAAAAAAAAAAGTGAACCTGTTACACAGTACGACCTCGCTCACCTGATGCATACGCCGAAGCAAAACAAGGTAAAAACACCGCTTGACGTGACGAAGCACTATGCATAAAAGAACAAACGATTTCCAAAGCTTAAAGAAACGACTCGCGTTATTATCAATCGTTACATTTATTTTACTTCTCATGTTCTCTTTCTCTAGCCGGCTTCTGATACTCTTTTTTTTTCTTCACCTGCTTTCATTATAAATACGTGCATATTTCTAACCCGAGGCAAAATGATAAATTTGAAATACTTGTTGTTTGTCTGTCATGCGATTTTTCCTTGTCATCTTGTTTTATTGAAGTAATCATGCGACAACCGGTAATTCGAACGTATTCTTCCCCTACGATGGCAGGCATCAAAGTGGAGTGCCCACCCACTCTTGAGAAAAAATTTATGCTTCCAAAAAGACCGTTCCAGGGCGGAATTTGAATGACCGGTGGGATTTGCAGGAATCACCGTTATTTTTGTTGAGTCTGCTTTGAATGGCCTACTCAAGGAATCGACAAATTTGCCTATAAATTACGGTAGCGCGGTATAATACACAGTGAATGACTTCAAGAACTTTGAAAGAAACCACAAAAAAAGACAGCGAGGGTGGTTTTAAAACTCCCATGTTTTAGTTTCCGCCATGTTAAAAAGACACAGGCTGTGGGTTGTATCACCCTTCAGTCAAACGCTTGCCATTTTCAGGTCAGCTGAGAAAAAATCCTTCCCCTTTCACAGTTGGAGAGACACACACCCCGCTTTTTCCGCCGCCCCGCGCTTCGACTTCAACATCCTTTTTGCTGTTGTTTATTTTCTTTGGGATACTCTTGCGAGGAGATAATTCAAAAGAAAGCCCCCCCTTTTTCCTTGGTTATCCATACTTTCTTTTTCCTGATTTTTCGGCTGTTTACTGGTGTTTTGTTTCTTATATATCGCTCATGGCCGGTTTGCTATTGGATACACTACGAAAAGCTGAACTCGACCAGGTACGTTCATCTCAGTCCGTCTACGGAATGACCTTTTTTTTTATCGAACGAAGCCGCTTATTGAATCCCATCTAGTATTACTCTAGGTACACACATGCCCATGGCTATACCATTTACCGTCATTAGACAACTGACCTCTTTTTTCTTTATTTTATTTGTCGTCATCTTGTGCCTTTTTCTTCTAGCTTTTCCTCCAATGGCATTACGCAATTGGAATCCTTGGCTCAGGTACACCCGCATCTCTTGTTGTGACGGACATGCTTACACTCCATTATCGGCAATTCAGTGGGCTCATCTTGAATGTCGCATAGTTATCCATGCAGGATTATAGTAGTCTCGGTATCACTTCCATAGGTGACAGGAAAAAACTGTTTCAGGTAACCCTTGAAGATTTTTGAACGATCGTGTATTCAAAAGACCTGAATTAAATGCCTCACAAAAAAAAAAAAAAAAAACCTTAAGTTGGTGCAGAGCTTACGTCAAGAACTTCCAACTTTGGAAAATGGGCTCGTTTCGTCGCCATCTTCCAATTCCTCGACCATCTCTTCTCCTTCACTTGCAAGTACACCGACCGGATTGAAAACACCTCAGTCCTATCGACGTCGTCCCCAGCAGGATCTTACTCCCAAGAACTCGCCTATTCCTTCGTCGGCTATTCCCGATTTATCGACTCTCAGCATGTCCCGTCGTCCTCCCAATTCAGCTGCAGGCGCTTCACCTCAATCCACGGCCGCTTCATTGAATGTGCCACCACCCACACGGTCCCGATCACGTACGTTGCCCGATCAGAGTCAACGCCCTGAATTTCTAAAATCAGGCAAATCCCCCGCCGCTGTGCCTGAGCACATTTTAACCGCAGATCAAGACGACGAATCTTCCGACGAGGAAAGTCGGTGCGAAATCCGTCGAAGTTCCGGCCCTTTATTGAATCCCTATGGTATTCCCATTCAGAACAAACTCAGATCCACGGGCTACAATCAGCAACGATCGAATTCGCTGGCCATGCCGGCCTTTCTCACCGGTGGCACTTCTCCCGTTGCCAATGCCAATTCTCCCGTCACAGCCGGTCAAAGTGATCTGAACCAGAAAATCAGAGTCGTCGTTCGTAAACGGCCATTGAATAAGAAAGAACTAGAAAAGGGAGAAAAGGATATTTCTTCCACCGTGGGGATTCGCAGCATCAACGTCAACGAACCAAAGTAAGATTGAGTTTCCAATGGACCTCATCTTCATTTTTGCTTACTAATCCTTGTTTTTCACTCACTTTTATTTATCCTTTTCCCTCTAGAACGAAGGTGGATTTAACAAAGTACATTGAACAACACAGTTTTACCTTTGATGATGTGTTTGACAGTGATGCGTCCAATGATCAAGTAAGTTTGCTACCGAAAATTTCGAGTTTTTGTCATTTATTTATATTTTGCACAAAGTTGTATAAACGCACCGCCCAACCACTGGTGAAATACGTATTTGACGGTGGCAGAGCCACTTGTTTCGCCTAGTAAGTTGCCCTTTTTTCACATGGCTGATTTATGGCAGACAGTTGACTATTTGTCTTTCAAAAAAATAAGTGGCCAAACCGGTTCCGGCAAGACGTATACCATGCTTGATCCTAAGCAAGGTCTTTACGTGCTTGCGGCAAGAGATGTGTTTACCATGCTTCGTCAACCTCAATATGAGCATCTATCGGCTTTTATAGGGTTTTATGAAATCTACCAGGGCCAGCTCTATGATCTTCTCAATAACCGTAAAAAGCTGTTTGCTCGCGAAGACGGCAAACAAAATGTCGTCATTGTCGGTCTAAAGGAATATGTCATCAAGAATGTTGAAGACTTGATGCAAGTGTTTGAGTACGGCAGCCTGGCAAGAAGTACAGGTAAAGGCTTTCTCTATTCCTCTCTGATCATGGATTCAGCGCTAACTCGTTTATCCTTGTATGGAATCTAGGAAGCACGGGGGCCAATTCCGATTCTTCAAGATCACACGCTGTACTTCAAATTTTACTGAAGCCAACCAAGAGCAGGAAAAAGATTGCCGGAAAACTGTGCTTTATTGATCTTGCCGGCAGCGAGCGTGGAGCCGATCGAGGCGATGCCGACGTGAAAACAAGGTATCCATCGACCGTAATTATTGCGTGTACGAATTTCCTTTCTCATTTTTTCGCATCGGTAGAATGGAAGGTGCCGAAATTAACAAGAGTCTGTTGGCGCTCAAGGAATGCATTCGAGCCTTGGATCAGGATAAACGACACACACCTTTCCGTCAGAGTAAATTAACTCAGGTACGTGTGAGGTTGCATCGCTCTTTGTTGTCCTTACTTTTATTTCTGCGCTCCAACGAAATAACCCAATATTTCAATACCAGGTATTGAAGGATTCTTTTGTGGGCAATTCAAGAACTTGCATGATCGCGACGATTTCTCCCAACCAAAGCAACAGTGAACACACATTGAATACGCTGCGTTATGCCGACAGGTAAAACCATGACGCTGCGATGAGGGGAATTTCTCTAAAATTTATTGACAATGGTATGATAACAGAGTCAAGGAGCTTAAAGGAGAAAGGGATCGACGTGCATTGGGGGATAATACAGCGGAAGACAATAATGCACGATTGTCCACAGGGATCGATGATGAAGATTACAGCAACGACAATGGATATCCCGATGACGATGGGTATGGCGACAATGAGTATTTGGAATCCGATGATCCCGAACTTTACAATGAAGCCGAAGATGAAGATGTATTCCTGCAGGATGAGGGATTCCCAAGCGAAGCCGACATCAATATCTTGGACGAAGATTTCCCCCATGAGAACCCCAACAATGGATTTTATCAAGACATTCATTCTCCCGGAAAACAGCCTCCCTACTTACCGCGTCGACACGGCCACAGTTACAATGAACGAACGAGTAATGCAGGACTCACCCAAGCCAAACCGCGCTCGTCCATGGACTCACCACGCATGCGTAGTAGCGGCATGGAGGCCCGTTCACAGGAATCGCGCTTTGACAGAGGCTTGCTATCCAGTTCCCCCGATGCATCGTTGGATATAAACGATGTAGAGATCGGCCGATCCTTCGGTGACCCGTTTCTACGTCCGCCATTATCGCGCGATACCTCGGTCCATTCGATGAATCGCAGTGTGTCCTCGGCTTCTCTCAACGATTACCTTCGAAACACCAATAAACCGACGCAACCTCCACCCCCCACGGCCTCGGTTCCGCCTTCGCAAAAAGAACTGATGGACGGTTGTCCCTTGTTCGAACCGGCGGAAATCGACAAGTTTATTAAAGTGCATCGCGCGCAAATCCGTGAAGTGACGGACTTTTGCAAAAAAGAGACCAAACTGCTTTCCAACTTTTCACTCAGCATGTCCAGTCGTCGCGAATTGCAAGAAGGGGGCAAAACCTCGTTGAAAGACGATCTGAGAACGTCCAGTGAATTCATCGACTACCTTGCCGACTTGGACGAAGTGTTGGTTATGAAAATTGGCGCCATTGAGGCATTACGAGATCGGATTCGCAGTGTCACGGGCGATGAAGAGTTTTAGTTTGAATCTTTTGCATATCTTCCCCTCTTATTTCTTTTATCTTTTTTTTTTTTTTTACACTAGTCATTCTGACCATGTATACCCAGCCATTCATCCGTTACTTCCTTGCCCTTATCTATTTTTTTCTTGCATACATCTGTCTCCTTTATATGTCACGAGGTCGCGAGGTTGCTTTGTCGTTTGAATCCTTTTCTTTTTATTATTTCTGTCACACTTCTCTCTCTTTTGGCTCACTCAAAAATGAAGCATTGCCATGAAGCTTTTCTGCTTTCTTTTGCTACAAAGATTGATAATTTTGCATTGAAAACCCAAGTGATTAGAATACAGAATGAATTTATTATTTTTTTTATTTAACATAGTGATAGATGACCGTTATTTCACACGCAGCACGGCTCGCACATTCATAAGGAAAGAGAGTAACGCTTCTTTAAAGTTGGACGCTTCCTGCAGCGTGGGTAACTTGTCCTTAGTCGTCACTTTATCCAGTTCCTCAAAAGCATGTAATAACCGAGGCTGAATTTCCGCCGGTTGTTGCGAAATGATCTGGTTCACCAGCGTCATGTACGTATCCTAAAAACAAGAAAGGAAACGGTTACATCCATCGCTGATCAGGATAGATCGAGGCCTTTTTTTCTTCAAGAGTTGTATACCTTTTGTACGCAAATCAATGACACTAACGCATCTCCGGCCGCGTCCATAATATTCATATCGACATGCTGGAAACACAACAGATTGAGCAACTCACTGAGGAATTTGCTCAGTGCCGGCTTGATAAAGTCCACATTCGCTACACATTCAACTAGTTAGCTAACATCTTACCAACAGATCGAAAAGAAAGCCCTCCTCCTTGAGCGGTCTACCGAAATTTCATTTGTACTCTCGGGTTCCGCTCTACTCTAGGCCAAGACAAAACGTACCATGATCTAATCCTTGTTTGTGTGTCCACATGGCCAAAGGAGCGATGGCGTGAAGTGTCAAAATCTTGATATCATCGATATCATGGCGCAGACCAAACTCAAGACTGGCAATAAGGTTATTGAATAGTTCCGACGGGAGACCGGCCAGCTTGTCCGGGAAAATCTCGATGAGATTGGAAATCAACTTGATATATTGCTGACAAATTGCAGGGATCTGTGCAAAAAGAAGAGTCGGAAAAACTTATAGATTTACACTGTACCTTCGTATCCTTGGAAGGCCTCTCAAAAGTGCTTACCTTTAAAATCTCAAGATCAATCATTGGAATCACAGTGTTGACACCGAATAGTATCACATCCGCAACATCACTGTGGCTCGCGGAACCTGCGCGGTTGTCGGTTGAATGATCTAATTTAATGTTTAAGTGAAATTTATATGATGACTTTTTTCAAAAAAGTACAGGAGGACTTACTGAAATCCTCCAGTTCAAATGCCATCAAATTTGATAAAAGCGCAAGAACAACCGAGATGTCTGCATAGGGTTTATCCGCTTCCTCTTCTTGGGAATGAAGCCGCTTTTTGCCTAGCATGAAAAGAAAAAATGTTTACACCGTCTATATCAGTGTGTACTTGCTTTGAATTTCCATACCTTGATTAGCCGCTCCAAATGATCGCAGCATTTCAATGATAATATGATAGAAAGTTTGCTTCTGTCCAGTTTCCAACTGTCCCGAATCCTAATAATCATATTAGTCCCTGTATCTGCAAGTAGACGATATTTTTTTTCTCTTTTTTCAATGCTTTACCATCCGACTGGCCAGATCGGCGAAAAACTGTAGGAGAGCCAGTTGGACTTCCAGCACTGTCCTGTAGATATTCATCAACTGCAAGAAACTGGCAAAAAATTTCGAGCAGAATGTAAAAATGATGGCCGTATTACTGAATTGACTCGCAAGCGCCAAACCGTCAAACATCTGATATGCCGTGTGAGTTTTGAATTGGCAAGATTGACTCCTCTTGAAGCGTAGAAAAACGATCCCTTACCTCCAATACATTTAAAAGATTGTTGGTTACATCTGCTTGTTGGAATTTTTGACTGAAATTGGGATCATGCAACACCGACCCCAAGCGTTCCTACCCATGACATTCTGCATGAGCATATCAAAATGAAACACAGCAGATCAACGAATCGTCGCGAACCTCAATCATTCCAAAAATCAGGGCCAGATGAGTATCACGAATATTGGGATCGCTTGCGCCACTAGAAATGGTAGTGATCGTCTGCACCAAGGAACTACCCAAAACGAAACAGTCAGCTCACTTTCTTGGTTGACATGCTGCTAAAATCAAAAAAGACACGAAGCTTACTTGTGGATCACTACGGGAAGATGATCGAGATTCTCGGTGACAAAACGAACAAGTTCGGGATATCTGTCTGTGACAGTGCGAGTTGTCATGAGTGCCACGAAAACAAAAAGAAATATCACGGTAAGAAAGGTGTGGAAACTTACTCGATTGCAACAACCCATTCCGTAAATTAGTACAGTTTCCACAGGTATCGAGCCATCGGACAAGCTACAAAGAAAAAGAGAGGAGTAAATAACCCAAGGATCGCCATCTCTATTTCACCTTTGTACCTGAAGCAAAACATCCTGTTCGGCGTTCCACAAGACAAAATTCGCTTTCATTTGTTGGATAAAGAAATCGACAATGTATATGCCTTCACCATCGGAAGGGCCCGGTCGGCCAAATGCCTTGGCGATATTCGGACTATCGAAAACAACCATCACCTTTAGTACTCATACGGGATCAAGCTGATTTGTGAACAAGTTACCTGATGAAACCGTATTCATTTTCATCAATAAGCAGGTAAGATCTGCTCCAGCGTTCCATGAACCATATCAATGTTTCGGCTACGCGAGGGCTGCAGTTGGAGGCCTGACGAACTGTGAATTGCCTGCCCATGATTTTTGAAAGCGGGATAGGATAGCATACCTCTATGGAATTGGCGCCAAAGCTTGATGTAAAGCTGAATATTTCCAAAAATCGCTTGCACAAGTTGACAACTTGATCTTCATTGAGAGGCTAAGAAACGCAAGTGTCAGCTGCCATGCCGGAGTCTCGATTGAAAGCGCGCGGTAGTTGTTACCTGAGATCCTGACAAGTGCATTAAACTATCGGGAATCATCGGTTGCTCGCCTTTGCCTGCATCGGCCAAGATGTGGCTGGCTACCAACGTGATCCAATGCATTTGTTCGTGAAGCACCCACAGATGATGATCTAACCGCCCAATCCCAATGAATTTAACATCCTTCAGAACGCGAAAGGGCTAAATTTTCCCATTTACCAGCGTCAAGCACATTCGTGGTGAAGTAGGCCTTAAGCTGCGTAAACCGCTCATCCAGTACTTGTTGCAAGATCAGTAAACTTTGGTGTGGGTTTAATCGACCGAGAATGCCAATGCATGTGAGTTGATCCGCGTATGTATCCTAATTAGCAAAGGAACACCCACGACAGCTTAATATTTCGACTTTTTTTTTTATCACCTGAATAAATGAGTTTACCCAATCTTTGAAGCCGCTCGTAATTTCGTCCTCTTCTTCTTCTTCGTCCTCTTCAAGGCTGCGTTTTGCATATTCGAGACGGGTTTTGATGTAGGCTTCCACAATCTGATATGCGACATTTCTCATGTATTGCGTGAGGGTTTGGATCTCGGTCTGAGACAAGCCGGCTTTGGGATCCGCGCCACGCAGATCCGAAGGCTGAACGACATCCGCTGTTACAGATAAAAAAAGTTCAGATGTGTCCACCTATTCTCTTTCTTTGCTTCAAGGCTTTACCTAGCTTGACCCATGTTTGCAAGCATTCATCGCAAGCTTCGCCAATCCATCCCTCGTCGATATCGCTAATGGTGCCCTGCAGACTGAGAAGTTGAAGCTGGCCAATCTCATTAAGAAATTGGAAGAATTCAGGAATGGAGCACAGCACAGGCAACGGCATGTTCTCCAGTAGTCGACGAATCATCTGAATGGTGCCTAGCATTTGAGGCCCTTGCTCTGCAAGCCCCTCAATATGATTTCCTCCAGCGAGAATACTGTGATCCGAGAGTCAATATATGAGGTGTATCACTTTTGCAGCCCCAACACGAAAAAAAATCCAATTACCCGCTCGTCATTTTCAAAATTCCATGCACCATGGTGGTAGCATAATTCTTGATCGCTGCTGTATCGTTATTAAAAAATTCTTGCTTGAATCCTGCAAGTTGCACAAGACACTGTCTGCAGCGATGCGCCAATTGTTCATCGGCTTGGACGACGGAATAAGTCTATTGAACCATACGATCGTCAATCCCGTAGTGGTCTCATGAAAAGTACATGCCTCTACTCTTTTACCATAAAAAAGAGCCAAATCACTTCGGCATTGCCAATGACCGGTTGCCAGGTATTGGGGAAGAGTGAGTATGTTTTTTTGACCACTGTAGGACCATCTTCGCGATCAAAATCATCCGCGGCATCAGGAGCCTTGGCAAATGATCCTGAAAAGACGGCAGTGGTATTGGTCGCTTCAAAATCCCACTGCAATATCTTTTCCAGCAAGGTAAGTATTTCGATCAGCAGAGGCGGGACACAATCCGGTTGTGGCTGATGGGATCCGATCATTGTATGTAACTTGCCGATAAGTTGCTGGAATAATGGAAGCAGGATATGACTCTGCAGGCACGAACCCTTCTTAGCGAAAACTGCATTGCCGGGAACCTTTGAAAAGATGAAATTACCTCGAAAAAAACTTTGCTGTTGTAATGAAATTCCCATGTAAGCCCCACACTAAGCGATTTGCCACTCGAAAATTGATCCAACAATTCAATGGCCAGAGACACACCGAGAATTTGCTACGCAAACGTCAAATACATCGAATTTATAAAGAGAAAATCCCGAGTCGGCCGACTTACCGATGGCTCATTATCCATTTCCAGCAAGTATTTGACATGCAGAAATATGGCTTCCTTTTCCTTATCCGCCATGTCAAACAAACCACGCTTGGTGATCAGCGCAACGGCTCGCAGAAGTTGAACACGCACATATTTCATTAAGCTATATTTTCCGTTTTTCCATGTGAGCTTGACACCGTCATATGCTTGATCCGTCCTTCTTTTTTCCTTCGACTTACGTTGGTCGTTGCAAACAATACTCGATAAGGTACGTTTTCAGTCCCGTGAGATCGTCGAGAGAATACAGTAGATAATCCCGCATGGCGACATCACCAATAGCTAAAGCGACCTGAAATTGCACCATGGGACTCTGTGTATGATCTGAAGAAAAGGAGATGAGTACGTCCAAAGTCCATCGCTCTTGCAAGGGTCAAGAGAGGAAGAAGCACCAACCTAGAATATATCGACATACTGAAAGAACTTGGGGTATTTGACGAAATGAAGTGAGGATCTGTTCTGCGGCTGCTCGAGTCGCCGGCACCTGGATCCGGAATCATGTAAGAGAAAGAGTTTGTTGGTACAAGTGGTGGAAATGAAGCAAATTGGGTTTACCTGAAAGTCAGAACAGGTTTCTTCGAATTGAGCGTGAATGGACGCAGCATCGGGATGTTGCATGGCGGCCATTTTGCTCTCACTCTCTCTCACTCGGGTTGACCCTGATTCAATACTCTAAAAATGCCGTCGATTTAAAGTTGCCTCGCTCGTATGACGTTTGTTTTTTTTCTGCTTGCTCACTGCAAATGTGCCAAGGCGGAGATGAAATTTCTGTCACTGCAAACCATTGTCTACAATGCTCGGATCACTGGAAGCCTTCACGGAAAAGATGGCTTTCTCAAGTCTTTTAAGTAGATGAGTTTGTGACGAAGAGGATCTCTGAGTACAAAGTAAATACCGGTGTCTTGTCAAACAATGGGCATCCCTGGTTTCGCCATAACCTATTCAGTACTGCTCAGCACATGTTGTACATTAATTTCTCTTTCAAAGGCAAGCGCAAAACCATAGCAAAATTCACGGGTAATCTACTGATAGCCTGTTAAAATGCCGTACAAATGGAGGAGCCTTCTACAGGCATATGTCAAGCTTCCAGACACCGCCAGAATCAACGTGTTGAATGAGGTACGACTGTATAAGGGCAAACAAACCTATTAAATATTGAGGGTTCGACATATATAAACATCTAGCAAAATATTTGATCTGCTGCACTGTGTTGCGTTAGCAGTCATACATGAACAGCCGTTCGAATGCCATCCCTTGATAACTGAACCACACCGTATAACAAGTCTATCCAAGTCAGAGTGAATCATATTTGCAGCCTTGGATACAAATAAAGACAATAAACGACCCTTTTGTCAATTTTGCTACACTTATTAAAGACGAACGACCTTTTTGTAGATAAAGCGATGCAGCAACAGTTGCGCCATGTTTAATGCAGATATCTGGATCTATCGGCACTTTTTTATTTTTCTTAACCCACAACTTATTATTAGGGCAAGGGGCCCATAAATCCCGCCACGAGCGGCGAACGGAGAAAACCTTAACCTTCTAGAAAACTATAAAAATGGCACACAGACTTACCAGTGGGTATTTATATTCCATAAATATTTGACAAAATGACTTGTGTCTGAGTAAACGGATGGAGCGCGGCGACTTCAAGGTGTTGATTCTTTCTTGATCCATCTTCAAGCTGCGGCTGCAAATTTCTTATCATTATACGAAACCAAAAAAAAAAAAGCAAATGAAAATTTTTTCCTTTTTCAAGCGGTTGCTGAAACTGGGTTTGACGATCACACACATTGAAAGAAACGGTTCCTGAATTTCGGTTTCAGAAGCATAACCTCCCAACGGCCGGACGCTCAATTCCCACAACTTTGTAGGAGATCATTCGACAGGTGACGCAAAGGTAAGCCAAACGGAAATTCGAATGGCCATATCTTGATGGTACTATGGCCATGCATACGACAGGGCGTAGAGGTCACCGGCAAGACTAACATCCCATTGACTCGGATCCTTTCAGGCAAGATGCCGCACAAGACCTCAACAAAGTGCCATTGAATCGTTCCGCAAGATTCTTTGTTGTTATGCCCCGTGAACATGGTTGACCGGTCATAGCCCATGAAATCAGCAACAGCGATTCTTGTGGATGCTGTAAATCGAAGAAACCTTGAAGAGCAAAAGACTGATCTGACAGCTTTTGATGATTTTGATCGTTTTTTTCTGCCGCAAATGAGCAAACGTAAATGGATTCTTCGTCCCCTTTTTCAGCTTATGGTTGGTTCTTTTTCTTTAACGTACTTTGGATATGTTATATTCATCATTACTCCTTTTGAAGCAAAGTCAAAAAAAGGTGATGCAGGCTCCAATGACTGCCCTTTTTTCCTTCTGCATATAAAAATAAAATGAAGACGATAATCCCATTTCCCCTTCAATACAAACGCTGTGTGGTCCTACATTCGAATTCAACCTTTTTTACTTATTTTTTGAGGGAGCGGTGATAAAGACATACAGTATTATCCAAAGTATTTCTTGACAAGCATCTGGCACCAATTGAGTGGATGTACCACATTTTTCCACCTCGCTTCGTCAAGAGTACTATTGTTGGTCGTGCCTACAACAATGCTGAGAACTAGCAGCTTGCCATTTCTCTCGACTTCTTTCAGCAATCTTGCAAATTTTCTGGAGATCCCGCTGATTTTACCCCTTTGGGTCGTCGAAAATGACGCAGCCCCGAGCGCCAAAACCGGAAGAGCCTGGCCATTGTGAATTGCGGCTTTGCGCCATTTGCTGGCGTATATAAATAAAATCGGTCAGAACCGTGAATCACTACTCACACGGTTTAACTAACTTACGTCGGTCGTCTTCCGGTGTACGCTGGTGTTGGTGAGGGTTCTTTTTGGTGTTGCGCCAGCTGTCCGTATTTTTTGCCACCGGAAATATGACGAGTTCGCTATTAATTTTCTGCTCGTTGACGTAGCGTTTGAAGCGCCATTTTCCAAAATTGATGCCGTAGAATTCTGTCAAGCGATGTAGGTTTGCAAGGATTGATTGAATGTACGCGATTGCTTCTGGTATATTGGTGACTTTCGATGAGCAAATTCGACTATCGATTTCGGTGATATCGGCTGCAACTTTTCGTTCTTGCAAAATTTTCGTGAAGCTCTTGTAGCCTGCTTTGGTATAGTATTCCGCATTCGAAAATTGGCGTATTTCATGTGATAAGTTCTCTATTGGTCTATCGTCGTGGGTGGTTGATCTATCGCTGGCCACAAAAATGTCGGAAAGTCCTAGGTCGATCCCCCATAGGCGAACCTAATCGAGTTCCCACTGTGCAAAATCGTTGGGCTCCAGATCTAGTAATGACGCGTTAGATCTACGTGGTCGGAAAAAACGCACGCTGCAGCTGTAACCATTAGTGGTGGTGATATTGGCAAAAGTCGATCCACTACAAAAAGTAAAAGCATACTCAGTTATTCGTGTATGTGGAAACATGCATAAACTACTTACCGTCCAGCGCGAACTTTTCTCAGATCTAGCGCAAAATCGAACGCATTCTCCAGAATTTCTACTTGCTGGTCGCCGATGACGCAATATACCGCCTGCAGTTCTTGGAGGTCTATATCTTTTGTCGTATCGATAGTTTGGTCGGGCTGTGCGGCTTTCACTACGTCTTTAGGGCACATATATGTTTTCGGATGACATGTTTCCCTTGAGTGGCAATCGAAACACGCAGTTAAATAAAACTTGCTGGAAGTTGCTGGGAGAGGAGTCCTTGATCGTACAATAGAAAGCTTTCACCAACGGGGCATTAAGCACCTCACACTTATTAGGACTCCATGGATAACCAAGAATGGCAAAGTGGAATTCTGCACTCATCAAAAGACGATGAAAATCACCCAAAAAAGACCTGATGGGAAGCGACTTGGTTTTGCAAAACGAGACTTGATGAAAAGAGATGTGTTGGTGACCACTTTGTGGTTAAATGATGAATGGCTTTCAAACTTCAGTAGTTCCAATCTTCAAAAAGGTTGTGGTCAGGAGAGATGGTTGCGCGACCTGTGAGTTTTGTGCAAGAAAATTCTGATCGGACTTTGAGTCTGACCTGCATTATCGTTTCAGACCACTTGGTCTCCTGCAGGCGCTTCTTTCTTTGTTTTACTTCTCCTTTGTCTTTTTTGTTTATTTTTTTTTCCCTCCTTTGATGGAAATAATAGTGCTTAGCAGTGTTTCCTTTGTATGATTACACTTGCTGTGTGGTTTATCTTACCGTTTGACGTTCTTTGGTCCTGGTATTTTTCGGCATAATTTTGTGGTCTACCGACTCTATGGCCTGCAAGACCACATTTCGTGCAAATGGTAACTATAGATAGGGTAAATCAGCTCCTGCTCTTTTACTGTTGCGTATTTCTGTACCGTATTGCTCTTTGTCGCCTACTGTAACATATCCGCTTGAACAGCAGTAGCTTTCAGCAATGTATTGTGCTTTTCTTGCCAGTCATGCAAAGTTTTTCATTGACGGTTGCCAAAAGGGAACTTCCTTTGTGATTTTGGACATCGAAAATTTTTGAGACTTGGGTACTGCGCCTCTGGCCTGATACTCCGATTGATAACCAGGTGTTTTGAGGTCTTACAATGAACAACACAATGCGCCTTTATGCGACACAAGTACGCAAAATGTAACGCCAACTCTTATGACTATTTAAACCCTTTTTCTCAATAACTCAAAATAAGGAAGCAATTGCCTATTTCATTTTGAATTGTCACCTGTTTTCCTTCGAACCTTATCATGTTCAAGCCAAAACGATCAACATTGCTCCCTCCAACAATACCATCCGCCAACGGCAAAATAAGCATTCAAAATTTTGTATCTTTGCTGCCTCAGGAAATAGTAGGCATTATCTTTTCGCATTTGCCCTTCGATGAATTGCTCCGTCATTGCCCTGAGGTATCCAAAACCTGGCACAATTTTATTATGAACTGGGGCCCGTTGTGGAAAGAACCCCACTACCTTACAAATCCTCCTCCCCACTATTTCAGGTACATGCTTTCCGCAAATTTACGATGCCTTTCTGTTTTCCGCGTGGGTGGCTATCTCAATGAGGAGAAGATGGTTAAACTCCTCCAAATGCTTGTCGACAAGAAATGCGAAAATATCCGGAAACTGGGCAAGTAAAAATAAAAAAAAATAAAAAAAAATACTTGATTAGCCAACAAGTGACAGAAAAGAAATTTAAAAAGTTGACCGTATGTATTTCACAGAGCTATACTATTGTCGATTCCCATCTTCTGTCTTCCTTCGAACGCTCGGTTATATTGGCAACCAGATGACGCACTTGCGGTTGGATGAATGCGAGATAGACCTGGAAACCATGTCCCAAGTGATCCAATACACCCAAAATACCTTAATAGAGTTATCGATTCTCAATGGCGAATCCAGCAATTCATGGACTCAACCTTGGATACTCCCTTCGACATTCCCATCGAAACTCAAACTTCGCTCAATATCTCTAACTATGCCACGCTTGCACCGTCCCATTGCTGCAACAATTTACGGATTATTGATCGCCGCATGTCCCGATCTTCGACATATTTATTTATTCCATCGCGACAATGACGCCTCAGGTCTCTTTCGAATACTCAGAGCACATTGCCCGCTTTTAGAAAGCATTTGCGTCGATGCGACCCTCTTTATGGACGAAGTTAACCCATTTTACGACAACCCTCAAATGCAAAAGGAAACAACGCGAGGGAGATTACGTGAGTTTGCGATAAAATGCTTGAAGGAAACGCCGGATGAATATATCGAAGCTGCACTTGATAATCAACAAGAAACACTACGAATCCTCAGATTGGAAGAATTGCCGGAACCCTGTAGAATTCCCAGTTTTGTGAGCCAACATGCATGGCCCCAATTACGAGAAGTATCGCTGAAAGATTCTCCGGAATTTGAGGAAGACCATCTGTGTGCCTTTTTCGAAAAAGCCCCCTTGCTAGAAGTCATTAATCTGTCACGTGTAGGACGTACGACTGATCGCGTACTGGAAGTGATGAGCAAATTGAAGCATTTGGAGGGGGTCGATGTTTCACATACCTCGGTCACAGGCGTTGGCGTGCGTATGCTGCTGGAACAATGCCGGACATTGATATGGTTGGGAGTGAATGGTTGCTATTCGATAGAACCCGACGTCATTCGATACGCCCAAGATCTTCTCGGGCAATGCCAAGTATACGATTCTGATTATGATTTATATTAGAAAGGGCCACATCGAGATCTTCACAATCCCCAATTATATTGTACTAGTGTTTATATGGAACTGCCTTGGACTTAACATTTTACAGTAAATAAAAATCGTAACGAGCTTTTACTACAATGGGGATGTCCGTGGAAACAGAATGCACTCAAATTGATTTATTTGTCATGAGATTGCCGTGAATAGCTGCTTCTCTTGTGCGAGGTTCTCAAACGGTCGATACATTTTGCAATAAAGCACCGAATACTGTGTTCTAGTAAACTTCACAAATCAGTCTGCCCATTACTTATCTCAACCTTATTAAAATGTTTGCCTCTGAGTTGCCATCTTTGGATATATTCCACCGTCACATTTGTTTGCCGACAAAAGACCGCTGATGATTGGGTAGTTTCAAACTCAATGAACGTTGATTGGATAAAACTGTTGTAATCACATGATTTACGATAAGATCTGAGCGGATGTTGAATTATGGCTCATGATTTGTGCTTCCTTTTGTGAATAGATAGACCGTGATACATACACGGATGCAAGAGATCGTGTTGCTTTGCATTATCCAGGCCTGTTCCTTTCTTCTTTCTTATTCTTCCTCTGTAAAACTATTTCAATGTCATCTTCAAACGTTTATTGTGCTTCTTGCAGTTTGCCAGGACATGCTCGCTCCACCAACCGCAACTGCCCCAACAACCCCCGACGTGCCCAACAAAGTAGAATTACTACAACCCGAGGACCAAGCGAAGTCCGTTGCAGAGCTTGCCAACAACTGGGTCACCAACGTTCCAACCATTTCGCTTGCCCGTTGAATCCATCAAGATTGGCTATGAGGGTGGCTGGAGAAAGTGACACTACGGAACGTATTCGTACTTTACCTGCGCCCGTTGCCCAAGCAGATTTCGACCATCATGCTAATACGCTGTCAAGTGAACAATCAGGAACGGTCAACAGTGGCCGAAATAACGAGTGGGAACTTCGAGAGAGACATACCTTGGGACGCATGAATGTTGTCTGCAATTTCTGTCAGGCACACATGTTGGCCAAAGAAAGCTCATCTGAATCGAACTCCAATCCGCAGTTCCAACTCTGCTGTGGCCAAGGTTCCGCTGTGCTTCCACCTTTGGAGCCTACACCTCCAACCATCGCCCGTCTCCTTCGTAGCGACAATGAAGAAGGGCGAGATTTCCGTGAGCAGATCCGCGCCTATAATATGAATTTGAGTTTTACTTCGGTAGGCGCCCCAATAGATGAATCCGTGGCCAACAATCCCAACGGAGCCTACTGCTACCGTATCCAAGGTGGCACTTACCACCAGATCGGTGGTCTACTACCACCAACCGAGAGTCATACCCCTGCGTTTGCCCAAATGTACATTTATGATTCCAACACACAACTTAGACACCGGCATGCTGTGGCACCCTATCTGCAGAATGCCACCCTTCTCATTCTACAAGATCTGCTTACCGAAGTCAACCCGTTCGTGCCGTTGCTGCAGTCGATGGCCCAGGTCTTGCGTGAATCTGAGGAAGCCGTAGATGTGAGGCTACTCATAAGTGCGGAAAACACGCCTGATGTTCGTCGTTACAATGCACCCACAGCTAGCGAAGTTGGAGTGATCCTGGTAGACAGTACGATCACACCAAACAGTAGCCGCGATATTGTGCTCCGATCGAGAAGCTATGGGCTTCAACGCATCAGTGAAATGCACCAGTACTACGACGCGCTCCACTATGTCCTCATGTTCCCGCATGGTGATCTCGGGTGGAACATCCACTCACGCCCGCCAAGCGGTCGAAGCATTACCGTCATGCAATGGTATAGCTACCGTCTGATGATGCGCGATAACAGCCACGATTTGCACCTGTACGGCCGATTGTTCCAGCAATATATAGTGGATATGTATGCAAAAATGGAACAGAACCGACTCAGGTATTTGCGGCTAAACCAGGCAAACCTGCGCACGGAACTGTACCGAGGTATCGTAGATGCGGTAGAACTCGGCGACAATGACCTCCAAAACGTCGGGCAAAGGGTCATTCTCCCATCCACCTTTATTGGCAGCCCGAGACACATGCGCCAACTTTACCATGATGCGATGAATATCGTACGTCGATGCGGGCAGCCGGATCTCTTTATTACTTTCACTTGCAATCCTCAGTGGTTGGAAATTCAGGACGAGTTGGCTCCACTCCAGACAGCTGTTGATCGGCCCGACCTTTGCGCTCGAGTTTTTAACATGAAGCGTAAAGCTCTCATGGAAGATTTGACCAAGAAGCATGTTTTGGGTAGGGTAGTTGCCCATGTCCATACTGTGGAATTTCAAAAACGAGGATTACCGCACCTCCATCTGCTTTTGGTGTTACATCCGGACGACAAGCCACGAACGCTCGATGATTACGATAATATCGTGTCAGCTGAATTGCCGGACAGAGAGAGATATCCAGATCTCTATGATACCATTAGCAAGTGTATGATGCACGGTCCGTGTGGAATAATGCATCCGAGGTCTCCGTGCATGGAAAACGGCTCCTGTAAGAAGCGTTACCCGCGCTCCTTCAACGAAGCTACCGTCGAAGATCACAGGGGTTACCCTTTGTACCGTCGTCGCAACCAAGACTCATCTTTCAACCATGCCTCGGTCCCCATCTTGCAACGACAACGATTATCAGCGCTCTACAAGTCATGGTTGCCCAAATTTCTCTCCACGAAACACTTCCACGAATAATAGGCGAAACAGTCAGCACCAAGATGTCGTTTGCGCCAGTTGTGGTCAAACAGAGCATCGTCGCCGTTCACATAAAATGTAAGTGGAGCTCTTTTTTGAAGAAAGGTGATTGACGATACGACGATCTGGTGTTTTGTAGCATCATTTAATTTGGGTTATCTGTCAGTTATACTGTATATGCCCTTTCATTCTCTTCAGTAATCGAATGATACATGGAGCAGATATGCTTCGATCTGTGTAGCTCATCATTCATGCATCAGTGAGGTGACTATTGTTTCATCCATGGAAAATCACATATTTTTGTCCGAATTTTTTCTTCTTCTTTAGTTTTGCATCTCTTCTGTTTGCCTGGAAATCCCTCACTATCATTGCATCCATCATCCATCATCCAGACTATGGCGTGTATCTGATCCGGTCGATTCGATTATTATGAAAAAAGGTACCTTTTGTGTGATACGACTATCCGTTTTTCGACAAGAAAAAATTTACCTGTCCTTTTTCTCTATTCTGTCTTTAGCTTTTGGTTTTCTCTCCGGTTTTCTTTTGCCTGGCAAGCCATTCAAGCCATCCATCCCTCCAAAACCTTTCTACTTTGTTCGGGCACCAGATTGTGGCCAATCCGGTTTTTGTCGTCAAAGGCATCGTCGGTGGTGTGACTCTCTTTTTCATCAGGAAACGCTGACGCGTCCTCCCCAGGTTCCTCTCATATGGATTGCTGCCCGTGGTATCGCCTTCGATATTTCTTCCCGACCATTTTATTTTGTAGTTGTAGTATGTATTTTGTATTTTAGTGAATAGTCTTCTTGCAGTCTTTTCCTCCTTTTTTTTCCCACAGGGTTTTTAGGGGGTTTTTACAGACGCACCTATTGTATTTACTTTTTTTTTTTTATATTTGTATCCTTTCTTTATTTCGGTCGGGAAGCCCTCGGTATCTGCTGCATCAAACATCAAAGGTAAAATATCTCAACGAAATTTGAATCAACCAAAGAGCTTACTAACTCATTTTTTTTAAATACCCAACATTCCCATACATCTTTGTAGATCTATCATAACCTTGGGCGGGACAGAACGGAGGGGGTCAATAAGTGCTGCTTTGTTCATTAAAAGTGTTTCATGGTATGCCAGAGTATTGACATTAATATACCAAAGTTCCATCAAGAGTCTCGCCCAGGTTATGCCGTATTGCGTTAGGCTTTTTGTCTGACGAATGTCGCTCAATGTAGGAGTGCGGCATCCAGTAGCAGGTGGCATCCATTGCACAGCGGGTGTACGGCTTGTTAGAGTCTCCTATTAACACAGCGCCTTGGGAGAAGCTTTGTGATTTCTTAGGGTACCACATAACTTTTCCGGGCCTTCTCGTGGCCGTTTAAATAAACCTCATCATCGCAGGCATCTGCCAATAGGTAGGGATTTAGATTTTGTCCTTATCTTGTTTTCACGCACCCCAAGTTATAGTATAATAGTGTAATGATGTATTTTATTTTATAGTGTGTATAAAGTTTCTATTCGCTTTCAAAGCTGCAAGTTGTGCCGTAGGTTGTACCTCGAATGACAGCTGCAAAGAAAAAAAACATCAGTAAAGCCAGTCCACCTGGCAGTTTTTATTTAGGATTTTTTTTTCTTACCTTCCACTCGAAGTTCGACCTCGCCGAAATACATTTTGATGGTTAAATCAATTTTTTCGCCTTGAGCGACTCCGGTCAACGATGGCATGGGGATCGTGAAATTCGCGACTTTACGCACACCGGGACTCGTGGTATATCTTGGTTGTTCTTCGGTATCGGCAGCATACAACGTACAAGTCGTGTGATGAGGATAATAAGCAAAGAAATCTTTGGATACGCAATTGTCAATATCTAACCCAAACAAAGAAAAATCATGTTCAATGTCAGTCCAAACCCAATATCATTAATGATCTCTGCAAGGATTACCCAAAGCTTCTCCTCGTCGAACGTAGACTGAGAATCGGTTGTCGCATCGTACGCTTCCGTCGGCACGGATGAGTTTATAGCTTGGCGGATCGACGCCTTCTTCGAATGAAGTGGTGGTATCGATACCGTACCAGGATCGTGGAATACGCGTAGTGACCACGCGCGGATTCAATCCAAAGTAAACCGCACCTCGAACCACCGCCAACTCACAACGTGGTGGCACAGCGACAAAGCCAACCCGTGTTGCAAATTCTTCTTGCACTCGTTCAAACAGGTAGTTGGACGATCCGAATCCACCCACCAAGAAAATCGCTTGCATGGTCCCTGCCTTGAGCAACTGATCTTCAATCAATGCCAGCACTTCCTTGATCACCGGTTCAAACACTTCTTGCTTCAGTTCCGCCGCCGTCAAGCACAGGGTGCCGTCTTCCAAACCGATGGCCGGATTGTCGAGTGACCCCAGATTCATCGATGCAGGCAGAGAAATGAATTGCTCTTCGACACCGTCAAATTGAGGTTTGATCAGATCAATAAAGGTATCCATCATGGTCTCGAAAGCCGAAGCGGGAATCGATGACAGGTACTCCTTGAACTTCTTTTTTAACAGTTTTCGCATCCGACGGTCCAAAAACACCGAGCCACACGATTGTCCGTGTCCCTTGGTGCACTCACGTAACTTGCGTCCACTGCGTTCATCAATTTCAAAGACAATCAAATCCACCGTACCACCTAATCGCATGATCCCATTACTGTTAACATTGCTCTTTGCAACCCCTGGGAAGCCCTCCATTCCATTTTCAGCGTACCTCCTGCGTCACAGATCATGAAACGGTCGCCGTGACGAAGATTAAACTGTTCGCACTTCTTTTCACAGTATAATGCGGCGGCTTCAGGTTCGGAAGTGAGCATTAAACGATCGCGGTGATCGGTTTCTGTTATCAAGCCAGCTTTGATAGCAGCCTCACGCATCGTACTCTTTGCTCGATCGGACCACATGGCAGGAATGGTTAAACACTACACGTGAAGGGTCGTCAACACGACGGACACCGGATTTTATGGACCCTTATACGAAACCTACATATCGGAATTGGTGTTGTCCGTAGTTTCGTGCGAATCCCTTTTTCAGTTCATTCACGACATGCTCGTGCAGCGCTCGTAGATAATCTGCAATGGCGTCGACAATGGTGAGGCCATTGGGGAGAGGAGGAAGGTCTTTGGCGATATTTTCATCGAGGTATAATTTGTACTGTTTCAGTAACACGGAATTCCGTGCGGATGGTCGTTGCATTTCTAACCGGGCAGCATTTCCCCATTGGGTCAACTGATTCGAGTTGTTTTGATAAAAGTTGAGCGTAGGTGTCTAAACAATGAGTCGCAGTTGAGTATTGCTTCCTCTCTATGTATCATTGGTGTCATTGTTTTTGGCTTTTTACCTTTGGGTAGACGTTATTATTTTGTTTAGGCCTATTAAAATATTTAATTGGTCAACCTAGAATTCTTCACTGGATATTTGCGGTGAAGAATCTTTACCATCGTACGATATCCACAACTTCGTCGTTTTGCACAAAAGCATAAGAACAGCCTGAAAAGGTGGTGCCTGAAAATTCAAAAAAACAAGTCATCAGAAGTCGGAAAACGGAACAAGATCAGCCATGAAGTGTACCGAAATCGATGCCGACTACGACAGGATAGTCACTTGGATTGAAATGCTGCGACTGTGACATGTGCAAAGATGGAGTCGTATTTTGTGATCTCTCTGTCAACGGGATGGCACTTTTTACCGTCAAGCGAAACCCCAGACGAATGCGCCTATTGAAAAAAAATAGTTCGGGCACTCGAGGGTTTTTTCCTCTTCCGCCTGTGATGCGACTCAGCCGGCCAACCACGGCCGTGCACCAATCCACACTAAAGCGGGTGGCCGGAGCATCGGTGTTTTGGGCCTACATGAGATGTTTCTTTGTTCTATTTATGGAAGGGACAAAAAATAGCGCACTAATTCTTTTGTGCTGCAGTGACAATTGGGGAATTATAAATCAATTGCTGCCACAAGCCGCTTCTGCCAACCTAATTGAAGGGGAAACAGATATGAAGAATATATGAAAATTAGATGTAATGCTGTGGCAAGTGGGTCCTTGAATCGGTGGCTCGACACCTTTGCCTCAGATCTTGTGTAACGTCATCTTCCAACTGATGTAGACGCATTGCCACCAAACAAACGTCCCGTGACTATTATGATATTCCGTGAGTTACAAAAGAGTTTTGCCAATTGGAACCATGTCAGGAACAAATCATGCACAGCAATAGCCGCGTGTTTTTGTGAAACCTGGGAATTCCTTGGCACCAAAAGAATGGAACAAGCTGACTGAATCGATGCCGGAAAGAATGGGGGCCGAGGGCGGCAGGAATCGCTGGGTGCGCAACTTCCAAACTAAGTGCCAAATCAAAGCAGACAACTGTAGACATGTTACCAAGTAACAAAGATAAGCGAGCGACCACTGGTCAGTGCCTTCGAATACATCTTTGAGTTAATGTATTTTCAGTCAACAAGTCACTTTTTTCCCCTTCATTGATTTGTTAAATTAACCAATAGTGATAACAAAAGAAGATGTATTCTCATGAGAATGAATAGTTTGTGAAGTTTATAAATTAGGGGCACTGTATAATCAAAAGCCGTCTCTCAATCCGGGTGTGTAGAGCCTGCTATACAGGTGGTTCGAAATTAGCGATTAGTTGGAAAACGTACTGATATTCAGGCTTGAAAGGATGAGCCATGCAACCATGAATGACAGGCGCAAAAGCGCTATTGGTGAACTGCAAACATCGCATGTGGACGCCAGCAAGGACTTGCACCAATTGTCCCTGGCAACATAAAGAGTAGCGTACAAAAAGTGAGTCTCAAACATGCCACAATAGTACAACATAGTTTTTTTGCGCAAAACAAAAAAAAAAAAGCTTACCGTTTCCACGTGCCGTACTTCAATGAACCGAGAATCAAATGCAATAACATAAGGATAATAGAATGCAATGCTGTGAGGTGTGCCTTCCCAAGCAATCCTATAATGAATGGATTAAGCGATTGGAACAGGGGCTTCGGAAATATCATTCAATCCCAGGACAGAAGCGTTACCATAAATAGGCATCACGAATAAATGAACCATGACTGTCGACGAGAAAAGCAAAATCATTGTAACAAAGCAGGTAATGTTCTTTACACCGGAACATGGCCAGCGGTTTAAGCTCGTCACCTCGTTGTTGCACGAATCCGTAGTCAGGATTATTCAAATCAGGGATATTTCGGTTCAAATGGAGCTGCTCCAGATCAATAATTTCAAATCCTCGCGTACAAACAACCACCACGCGCGCTTTCAAGAAATGAATGGCTGACGAGTCGGCTCCAATATAAAATTCCTAAAAGAAACGTTCATTCGTCAACACACAAGCAACCTACAAAGAAAGGATGACCATTTTTATATATTACCTTGTACACCTTGAACCATGATGGTGCTTTATGGAAAAAGCTAGATTTGGAGGTCATAAATTTGGCATTTTTCGGATCGCGCAAATCGCCGCAAATGGGCTCAAAGGCTTTGAAATGGCTGTCCATGCCTCGTTTCTTCATCGCAATGACCAATGTCCGGTTATTGCATATACCGGCATTAAAGTAAGACACATGTTGAGCAATTTTCTGACTTGGTCGCTCATCGGTTTTCTTGGAAAGAGTGGGGTCCAACGGGTCCAAGGCATACGCGTACAGCGATTTATCTACAAAAATACCAAAGCTCCATAAGTTTATCATGACTTGGTCGTCTGCAAATCAGAATCATGGGATGGCTTTACCTGCAAGAATGATAAGGATGCGATGTTCTTCCAGTACAGCGAGCTGTTGAACGTCTTGCAACGATAACACTTGATGGATACTATTGGTGTCGCCTTCAATGCCCATCCAAATACCAGCAAGCGTACCTATGGCAATCATTCGAATCCCCCTCGTGCTCACTACACATCCACATAAAAGTCAGTCAACAGAAAAAGAAAGATGAGTATCGACTGTCAATACAGGGATCGTATAAGATTGACGGATGAAATTCACGTACCAAACGGCACCGAGCAAGTGATTTTGCCGTGATTGAATGAAGCGCCGTGGGCTGTGGCGCCGGTGAAGGTGGTGTCACTGAGGGATCGGATTTCAAAGACTTGGCGATCGGGTTGAAGTCGTTCCATGGCCGCTTTGGCCTGGACGATTTGCTCTTTCCAAGCCAATCGCGCTTCAGCATTTTCGGCGTGAAGTAAATGATCGGCGCCGTGACGACCCAAATGATGGATCAATAGAGGATAATGAGTGCCAAACGGGGAGGAACCGACCGTGGTGCCTGTATGAGAGGCAAATGTCGACGTATAGGTACTACTCATGGCACGCAAACCCAACGAAAATCCTTCCGTGGCTTCCTGAACGTGCAGCAGTTCCAACGGAATCGGTCGTTTCGTGATGTGATACTCTTCCTCACCCGCACTGTTCTTGCGCAACTTTGTCAGTACAAGCATGTGGTCAAACAAAAAGACGTGAAGTTCGACGGTTTCAACCACCATATGCGATCGACGCGTTAAAATGCCTTCATGCAATAACTTGCGTCCTGTAGCTAACAAACGAAGATCATGCATTTCATTGGGCTTGTAAACAATGCGATCGTTGATCATACAGATGCGCAACGTGTTTTTCGTCTCAGCCGTCCGCTCGTCCATTTCGCTCGCTACGGATTTCAGCATGTCGGCGCATTGGAGGAGCGACTGCTTGTCAGGGTGATCATCGGCGGTCTTCTTCAAGATGGCGCCAATCAACAGCGGATACCGTTGCAAACGTGTGACGGGCAGAATGATAAAGTGGCGGAAGGGGAGTTTTCGACACTCGGCTTGTCGTTGCTTTTCGTGAATAAAGTTTTGGAAAAGAATGTTACGGCCCATCTCTTTCTTGACGGCGTATTCGGCGAGAACGACGTGCGGTCCGTAACGGGTATAAGCGTCTTTAAATTTGGGGAGATGGCGCAGAAAGATGTCACCAATTTTGTCCACAAACCCTGCCGAATTTTGCGATTGACAATAGCTCTGATGGTCGCGTAAATCTCGATACAGTTGGCGATGGATTTGCAGAATCTCCATGTAATTATTGAACACGTTATCGCAAAATGCCTCGCGGTACGATTCTTCGAGACACTGAGCAGTTCGTAACGGCGTCGCATACAACTATGGGAAAACGAATATGTATTGGTGAAATGGAATTCGTGAAAATCACAGCAGGGCATGATTGGGCTTAATGTTTACTTCGTCCAGCAAATTGAGATCGCGCACGTAATCTTCTTCGGTGTAGATAATTTCATGGATCGCTTCCTGTCGTTTGATCTCCACGTCCGGGGTCCGCTGAAGGATTTCACGCGATACCGACGCCGACCATGCCCGCGATACCGACTAGAACAAACAACCGCATGATATTCAACAATCGACCCTTCACACTCATGATGCTCAAAATCAATCAAAAAATATACCGTATCATGGGAAGACGCCATGGATGACGACAAGGAGGTATGGCGTTGCAAATCGGGATGACGTTTCTGCCATTGTGTTTTTCCCTCTTTGTCAGTATAAAAAGTAGACGATCATCTGTCAGACAAGCTTACCGTTGTCTCACTGGATGGAGCGGAGGATCGATTAGGACAACATGGAGCATAACAGCCTCCTTGACCGGGTAAACAAAAATTGGAGTAACACGGGGTGAGTTGGGTAAACACGCCTTGTGGGATGTCGCCTTCCAAGGCTTCTTCTGCCAAATTGTAAACTTCGTGGGGCGAGTCATACAAGGTGTTGTTTCGAACGGATTTCTCGGAATACGATAAAGGGTAAATAAGCGCCGGTGTAGTGTGAATCAACGATCGCGCGATCTTTCGATACGTATTATCTGGTAAACCCGTAGGAAACAGAGATCGAATAATATCCTATACCTCACACTGTCAATCATGGATGGTGTAACACCGTTGCTAAAGTTTCTCACCATGGCTTCCTCTCCACTAAAACTGGTAGGATATTCGGCGGAACAGAAAATTTTTCGCCGCTCCGTCATTGTATACACTTCTTCGATAAATTTTTCTCCCAGCTCGGACATGAGCGTGTAATTTGGAAAGACGATGCAAGGGGAATGGGCATGCGATGCGGCCAATGATTCCGATGTAAAACGAGCGACATGGGTGGCCAGTGGGGAGGTAGGTGTGGAGTATAATTTGGGACTGAGTAAATTATTGGATCGCATAAACGTGGGGCCAGCATATTTTTCTGAAGAGGTTGACATTTGACGGTTCAGAGAACTGGATCTTGTTGTATAAACGACGGTGTGCTCATCCACTGATACTTTGGTGAGTTCTTTTGGTGCATCGTTGGTAATTGTATTGGTGCTGGTGCTAATGGTAGGATGAGGATGAGACGGAAGGGGACGGGGAGCAGAAGGATCTGAGGATGATGGGGACGACGTTTCAGTGGGGTTGGCATAGGACGAGGCAGTGGATAGACTGGATGATTTTGAACCATGCAGCGACGTCGACGATTGGTGGAGTTCCGCGTCGACGGAAGCGAATGAACGATCGGAAGGGGAAGTCGATTCAGGGCGAGGATTTCGTGCTGCGCAATCCAAGGATTCAGGGCACACGGTTTCTTGGCCAGTGGAAGAGCCAGAATCCCGTTTTCCATCAAGTTTACACTCGCCGTAGTATCTAAAAGTGGCTGAATCATGCTTATCTTTTTGATCCATCATACATGGGTACTAAAAAATATCAAGCGGTTGAAGGTTAGACAGACCAGTTTAGGGCGGGCATATTCGCACATCGTGAAAAAGAAGTATCTCATGGTTTGTTCAAATCAAATAGAGTGAATGTAAAATTTGACGTGAAATATACTTACAGTTTCCGTGGATGTTATTGCTTCATAAGTGGTGATGATATTCTTTCCATCTGAAGTTGATTGGGGCGGTAGATCGACAGAGAGTTCATGAATGAAACTATCGAGATCCTGATATAGGGCGTCGAGGGTGGTAGTGGACTGATTTTTAGAAAGAGACGTGTAGTAGTTGGCCATGGTGATTAGTGGTAGGCATGGAAGCCCGGTTCAAGGAATGGGTCAAAGGGTGAAGCCAAAAGAAATTCGGGATGCTGGTGCGTTTCTACAAAATGCACCTCCCGTGTAACCCATGATGTCAGCAAACCCACCGTTAATCGTTCATTTTTTTAGATCCTCGCAAAATAAAATCAAAATATAAAGCAAGTTGAAATCGATATTTATCGATAGTGCATACATGTTGGTATGTATGGTTTTCGTTCTCTTTAATATGCATTTGTAGCTTTTTACGGGAGCTTTTGACATGGCCAAGTTTCCCTCACCAAGAGAAAAATGGAACAGAAGCGCGTTTGTTGGACAGACTACGGCAACGTGGCTGATGGTTCCACAAGGTTGTATTAGACAACCGTCTTGTATTAGACAACCGTCTTGTATTAGACAACCGTCATCTCATTACATGTTTTATCCACTTTCCCCATCAATGGATCCAACACCCAAGAAAAAGTTGTTTTTATCTTATCTGTTACTGAGACACCATAACATCGTACTTTTGAAAAGCGCATTAGTTTCTATCAGGATTGCAGGGGAGCGTGTATGGTGGTTTGGTAAAAAAAAAAAAAATAGACATGTTCGGGGCTAGTTGGCTGGAGCGATAATAATTCCGTCCACGCGAGAATAAATAAAAAAGCCGTGCTTTTTTTAGTTTTTCGTTTATTGCTTTCTAGCCACTTCAAGGTCGCATCCAACTATAATAGTTTAGACTTTTTTCTATAATGACCAGAAACATATTATACGTGCCTCATGGTTCCAAGTACTGAATTGGATTCTGCTGCAGAAAATCCAACCAGAATAAGCATTGGCCCCACCACTTTCGCTCTATTTGTCTGTAAAGATAGCATTTCTAACCTCATTTGAGCAAGTTGAATACATTATTGATTCTTTCCCAGACCGACTATATCTCTAAGACAGCAATGTGGGTCGGTTTTCCTTTTTCCGACACGCGTGCTTTTTCGGTCACGGCGGACCATGTATCGCTTGGCATTCAATGAATCAGCGTTTTTCGAATGACAAAGAATCTCTCGGTGATCAACTCCCGTAGCGGTCAGGGCTATAGAATGAATACAACTATTATTTTTATGAGATATAGACTACGTTTTTATTCACTTGTTTATGGGTGGGAGTGGGATTGACCTATGGGTTCAATTTTTTCAAAGGGTCTATGCATCGGCAAAACACTGTGCAACTCATATCCATTGCGCGCCACACATCTAAAAGCGGTGCGTTATCGTCGAAGCACGAGCGATTGTGTGCCATTAAATGAGATAGCTTGGTTGAATAAAAATAGCCCTAATGGGCAGTTGCAGTTTTCGCGAATTTTCATACTAGCGACATACAGAAAAACCTACCATGTTGCCTACAAGACCATTCTTCGATATATCGCAATTTTCCTTGTTCCCGCGAAAGAACCCTTTTTATTTTATGACCGACGAAATAGGTTGAGAAACCTTGGATACGTGCTGCATTCGGCGGAGGTGACGTGTCATCCCAAAAATGGTCTTGATGATTGGCACCGCCTTTCTAATCACCGCTTACAGCACTTTTCTGCTCTCCCCTTCTTCAACCTCAATTGCCTGTCATTCACCATGTTTGCGGAACTGCGTCGTATGAACGCGAGACAGGTAGATTTCTTATTTTATCTTGATGCTTTAGCGAAATCGTACTCGGTCATGTCAAGATGAGGCAAGCTAATGCGGATGCTGTAGGTCGCGTTACAGGTTCTGAATATCCTCACGATCGCCGCCTCAGCGTTGATGATTTGGAAAGGTTTATCTGTTGTAACCAATACAGAAAGCCCTATTGTAGTGGTATTGAGGTAAATGAAAAACAAGAGCTTTGGAGGAGGGCCACTAGAAGCGTGGCCTTTTTTCTTTTATGCCATAAAATTCCCCAAAAGCGCATGAAAAAAAAAGACGTGTCCTAAATCCGTTATCATGTTGGTTTTTAGTGGAAGTATGGAACCGGCCTTCCACCGTGGTGATCTGTTATTCCTTCATTTACCCAAAAATGACCCAATCCATGTCAATGATATCTGCGTATTCAAGCTACCGGGACGGGATATACCCATCGTACATCGAGTGATCAAACTTCATGATGAGTGAGTGGTCTCAAACTTAACCTATCATTCATTATCGTTACTAAAACTACATTCCAGTGTGAAAACACAAAAACAATACCTGTTGACCAAAGGTGACAATAACCCTGGCGACGACCGAGGGTTGTACGATCGCAGACAAATGTGGATCCATCAACATCACGTGGTGGGCAAAGTGAAAGGGTAAATAGAAAACCAATGTCCCTGGCATTCCGTTCTGAACTGACACATTTTATTTCATGGCAACAGTTTTGTTCCGTATGTGGGTATGGTGACTATTTTGATGAATGACTATCCATGGCTCAAGACCGTTTTACTGGGCATTCTCGGTCTATTTGTCCTGATTCATCGAGAATAAACAACCTCAATGCGAAGAAAAGAAAGCATAACAGCAATTCGATAGTGCAGGAAAATAATAATAAAAAAAGAGCATTGGAACGTGTATTGTAATAATTTCTAGATGGTTGTTAATGTATCTCCTTGTACCGTAACATGCGGTTTTTTTTTTTTTTTTTTTTTTTTTTTTGGCTTCTCTCGGTTATTGTGTAGTATAATAATGAATTATCATCTTTTTTTTTTTCTTTCGCTTCGTTGTAGTAATCAGTCTATGAATCAATTAGAGAAAAGGAGCAAGGGAAAAAAGGAGGGAGGGAGGGAGAAAGGAAGGAAGGAAGGAAAAAAAAAAGATCTTCTGGCACCGATACATGTCGAAAACCGCTTCATTTATTTTTCTTATGGCCTGTAATACCGTGTTTGATCAGGCAATAGATCAACAGAGTGTCGTTGATAATGAGTGCCCAGGCCGTGGGATCTGTCTTTGTCTATTGATTGCGATTTCACCTTCAAAGGAGCCAATTTTTGGCACGGCGCCATGTCCCATGTGGATCTGGAAAGTGGGTGAAAAGGATAGGCTTGTTGCGCATGTTTGGCATGCGGTAGACGTGGGTCATCCAAGCTGTAACGAACACGATGGGTTTCTTTCAACGTGTCAACCATGGCTGGATAGCTCAGCAAGTGATGTGTGGTCAATGGGGTACTGGAGGCTCTAGGTATCGGCGGTAAAGCAGGGGCGACTAGTGGAGACATGCGGTTTCTGGTGCTATGGGATGTCATCAAGCCCGTCGCACCCTGAGTAGGATGACAATACGGAGACAGCGAATCGTATGATACACTATAAGGTCGCTGCAAGTCCATCGACGATCTTGATAGCTTGTGACGCGGTGGTTGTCGCGGAGTATTCATGCTTAACCGTCGTAAAGAACGTTGTAAATCGGCCAAACTGATATCATCATCATCAACGCCAGGTTGATGCACCGCCGTTCCTCGCTGCTGTTGATGCTGCTGTTGAAGGGTTTGCATACTGGGTGTCCTTGACAACAAGGACGGATGGATTCGATGGATGTCATTGTACCCGTCTTGGTGGTGCAGGGGAGGTGTTGGATGCACAGATATGCCGTCGTTCCCTAGATTGTCGTCGATATCATCCCTCAGTGGCTGGCTCTGGCTGCGGTAATTGGTGAAGGAGTGAGATATCAAACCTGCCGACGCTCGACGGGTGATTTTAGACGACTGTAGCTGAGAAACATGAGGACTGGATGGTTGGTCGTCGTGACGCATAGAGGACAAGATATTCAGCGATTGACGACGATGTGAGGGGGATAGTGACCGATGGTGATGCTCGCCAGGAGCTTGGTCCGTCGGTGATTGTCGAGTGATCCAGTTTTTCACATCGTCGGACCGTTTCTTCCTGAGTACAGGATGAGGTCGACCTTCCACAGGTGACTCTTGCGGATACGGGGTTGGGTGGTCGCTATTGTTCTTATCCTTTTCCAGTGTTCTCCACTGTGTTTCCCCCTGTGGGTGGTCATAAGCAGGTAGGACCGGTTTTGCTTTGCCTCGAGCACTGATACTGGTCATGCCACTCCCGAGACTCATTTGATCGTCGTCGGGAATAGATTCGATGGGCGGTGGGACAAATTCGACATGAGGATCTTGAGCAACCAATTCCGCAATGGACCGGCTCCATTCGTCGATCCACTGGGCTTTTTCCAGTGATAAATGTTTGGGCGCGTCGGACGGTTCGAAAAAGGATTTCTCCTGCGCAGGAGATGGAATGCCATAGTCGCGGAGTGGCGGAGTCGCAGAATGCATCGCAGTGGTAGGGACGTTAGGATCGGTAGCCAGAGGCGGATAACCTACCAAGTCGTTACTATTCATCGGTCGCGCCATCGGCTGCGATTGAGCCAATAATTGATCCCGCACCGCATTGGCATATTTCCACATCTTGGTCAATACAAATAACCATCGTTCGAGGTCTTTATCTTTTGGTGCCTTCATAACGTGACACTGTCCGTCAAAGGTGCGAACACAAAAGCATCGGGACTGCGTCAGGTTGAGTAGTGGCAATGTGTTGATTTGTTTGGAAGATGGTGTATCTGGTTTGAGAATAGAAATGGACGAAATGTTGGTAATATCAACCGTCCATTTAGGGTATTGATAATAGCTTGCTAATTTGGGCCCGTGAGTTCGGTCCGAATGACGACGTTTCAGTAGCGATAAGCGATGGTTGGTTTTAGGTGTGGCTAGCAATGGCGAGGTCAAAGATAGATTTAACGTGGCGGAACATGGGTCTTGGTCGAGTTGGGTTAATCGAAGAGTGGGATCAACAGGCATATCAATAAAAGTATCAGGCGGCAATTTAACTTTTCGGCTGGATAAACAGCTCAATGAGGTACCGTCAAAGCGGAAAAGTCGCCATTGCCATTTCTTTTTTCCACTTTTATTTGTGCACAAGTAAAGATGACCTTCAAATACGGGCGCTGAAGCAGGTACTTCTTCCTCTTTGTTATTGTAGAGTGAATCACACAGTTCCCGATCCGTCGTCAATGGCGGAGATAGAGGTAACGATGCACGGCAGAAGGACATTAGATACAAAAAAATTAATAATAGGCAAAAGGTCAATGGAAAGGAAGAAAAAAAATAATACACAAAAATAAAGAAGAAGGGAAAAAAAAGAAGGAAAGGTGAGTAGAACCCTTTCAAGTTGAGGATGAATAAAAGGAGACAGTTCGAGACCTTTTCCTTTTATTGTTACGTCGTTATCGTAATGCCTATCCAAAACAGGCAATTTGTCATTCACCATGCCGATTACCAAGATCTTCAAATCAAAACCGCAAGTCTCTCCCATCATCTCCCTGAACCGATTTTTTTTTTCTTTAGCACAGTCAATCTTCATTTTTGCTCCTAAGCAGGAGCGGATCTTTTTGAGCACACAATGAACGGTTGCATTTATCATTCGTCGGCTCTCCAAGAAAGATTTCACGTCATTTTACTTCGGTGAAACCAGTTAATTGAGCAATCAAACATCCTATTTTTTTGTATTGAAGACTTCCATTGCTTGGTTTTTGCATTGTATTGGTACCCCTTCTGATGATGCTTAGTGTCTTTGTGTTTCCTGGACCGGCAAATTCATCCGGGACAAAAAAAAAACTAGATGTTTTTGGCAAAAAGCCCAATGAACCGGGACTCAATCTAGAGCCTGAATGGTAAAGTTTGGCTTTTGTGATATCACACGCTAAACGGACGGTGGCGAACGCGGATTGAGTACAATGGTTCATTTGTACGACCGCCCATGCGGAGCGGCGATTCTCGACCGTTAGACTTGTATTCATTGTGTTGCACCATGCATATGCAAATGAAAATCCACAATGACAAAGCGCAACATGGACATGGTGTCGTGAATTTGTTAACCAACAAAGGCGCGAAATGACATCTTTTTTTAAACTTCTTTGAATGGAGGCCGGCGAAAATTTGAAAACTAATTTTTAAAACCCCATTGACAGATGGGCATTTTACATGTTTAGAAAAATCTAGTTACACCGGGCTAACATGGTCCAGGACCTTCCGAGCATAGCATGACATGGGACCGCGCGTTGCTAATTTCATGAAAGGATTAAAACAGTTTTCAATAGGAACGGCACCATCAATGTATGGTGCTGTTGCTGTATTGTGGTTGACGCTTAATGATGTTAAAACGCGTGTGAAATGATCACTGTAAATTAAAAAACTTTTCGAACCATCAACAAGTTTTGTGGCACAAAGAAGAAAATATGACGATAACAAGGGCCACTGAACTAACCATTATTGTAGTCTATGATTATTTGCATTTCCTCAAACTAGGGTCAGTATGATACATGCAATTTGAACCGCAAAGTATAATAACGTACATTGAGAAGGAATGATTAGCATACCGAGCCATAAGATAGCACTGGTGTACAGTATGATGCTTTTTTTTCACATTGCATACGACGGTGACGCTTTACTAAAACAATCTTGAAAGCAATGCGACAATCAGTATATGTCGTTGAGAAAACAAAATTCTTAAGCACCTTGCAATATGTAAGAAAATGAATGTCTTTTCCACTGCATCTCGAAAAAACTTGCAATTTCATGACAAACAACCCGACAGCAATGTGTAATCCAATACTGTATGGTCCATGGATTGAAGTATTGTTATTTATTACTCAAAGTTACTTGTTGTAGAAAAAAGAGACTAACCCTCAGCTTCAAGGTCGGTATCAAAGTAAAAATGCCCTCGTATTCCAAAATTAACATGGCTAATTTGTCTTTCTCGACAAGGCTCGACATTATAAAACAAGCCTACAAAGGAGAGCCGAAATTGATATAAGCAATATCATAAAAAGTGAAATAATCAGCCTCCCTCTTTTGTCTCGTTGATCCATCCGTTAGCTGAGCATTCCGGAGTAGGTATGTTCGGTCGTCATGTTAACCAACGAGATGCTGCGCCTATAATACAATTGCGATAGAAAATACAAGTTGGCTTACATTTTTTTCTTCGAATGGACAAAAAAAGAGTTACTTTTGTCAGAACATTCCCCGCAAATCATCTCGATAAAACGGTATCTGGATCAGGCTTCGTGGCTCTTGAATTTATATAACTCTTGTTACGGTAGCAAGCTCTGACAACTACCGCAGCTATTAAGACGCAGATACCCACGTATGCTGATCTATCCACATGTATAATATGCTCTCATCATTATATGCCGATGCAACTTTTAAAATTCTAATCTGCAGTATTCGACGCATCATCCGAAATTCTATACCAAGAAAACAAAATCCAGCATTGCGGTGGACTACCTTATTTTGATTAATTTAATTGAATGCTTTGGAAGTGACATTTTTCGGACGTTGGTCGAATATTGGAATTATGTTCGGTCCATGGCGACAGGAGTCCCTGTGACGGATGTGAACCAACCCATGACGTGTTGGAACTCTCTTTATGCAACTTACAACTTGGTTCATATTCCTCGAAATAGACAAGACAGAGACGACGAAGACTCTCACAACTCAATGCAGCATGACAGGTCTGTTCAACTTTTTCCAAAAAGAATTTTATATGCATGGTGTTCAAAGTTTCATATTTACAATTAGAGAAATTAATGCTTCTTGATGTGATAGAGATCTTGGGCTGACATGCCTTGCAAATCCAGACCCAGCATGGTTTTCGTCCCTTCCAATCGATCGAGCTGCCGCGCTTTTTCCTTCATCAGTTCGCGACTCGCTTCGATTTGCTCATCCAATTTTATTTGATCTATAGCCAATCGATCAGTAACCGTTACATGCCATCATATGCGTTCTCTTGTCATCCATACCGGCTTCGATGAGTTGCTTGGTATCGGTGGTCGGAAGTTTGATAAACATGTCACCAAAATTCACCCACAATTTCTTTTCTGCAAAAAATGCCGCTTTGGAGTAAGCAATATGCTCTGAACCAGCATTATAAAGACTTGTGTTACCATTATGTAGCTTCTTATCTATCTGACGCAGCGCTTCTCGATTACTATTTCGTTTGCGATCATAATCAATGACCTAGATGTTGCATAAAATGAGTTTGCCGAAAGACACATAAAGTAACGCGTAGCGTACCAGTTGTTTATTGATTAGAATATCCTCCGCAATATGTTCCCGCTCGGCAAGGACTAGTTATCTACTGTGAGCTTCTGATAATACCAATGTGATTGTTATATAATCCTACGTTGTTCGATTTGCGTGGCAACAGACATGAAAGAGACAGCGGGAGCGTTCAAACCAAGCCACTGCAGAAACGTGAGGGGATGGGAGGCGGAATTTGAAAATGGAGCAAGCATCCCTTCTTATTGCCCTTTCTCTTTTTATTCCCTCCCCACTGCGCGGCTATAATGAGTGTATTCCCCAAAGAAACCATCAAAGTAGGGCAACCATTACCATTATTTTTGGCAGACTAAGATATTGATGCCTTGAACGAACAGAATATTGGCGAATCGTTGGGTGTGACGAATCTCAAGGACGAAGTGGCAGCTGCTTTGACACAAGATGTAGAATACAGAGTGCATGAGCTCATTCAGGAAGCGAGCAAGTTTATGCGCCACTCGAAGCGATCCAAATTAACCGTCGACGATATTAATGCAGCACTGCGTGTGAAAAATGTAGAGGTACCTGGATGGGCATCGTTTTTGATTTACGCGGATGGTTAATGGCCAATGTCAAATAACTGTGCTGACCGGTTGGGTGTAGCCACTTTACGGATATGCGTGCGGCGAGACACCTCGATTCCGAAAAACCACGGCCAATGCCACAGATCTGTACTTTGTGGAAGATGAGGAAGTCGACTTCGATACCATTCTTAACAAACCGTTGCCGAAAATTCCGTTGGACGTCACTTTCACAGCACATTGGTTGGCCATTGAAGGCGTGCAACCGGCCATACCACAGAATCCCACTCCCAGTGGTAAGACTTTTTGCAGGATTGCGAGAGGTTGTTCTCGAGTAGGAAACTTATTGTTTTTGGTTAGATGCCAAGGCCGACCTTTTGACAAAGCGTCCCAAACACCATGCGGCGTCGAATGGCATCAATACCGACCAAGTGGATGTGAAACCACTTGTGAAGCACGTGTTATCCAAGGAATTACAAATGTACTTTGAACGCATTACCGAAGCGGTTTTGAGTCCAGAGGAACGATTAAGATCGCAGGCTTTCGAAAGTCTCCGCTTGGATCCAGGCTTGCATCAGCTATTGCCTTACTTTATACAACACATTCATAAAAAGGTAACTGAGCACAACGTCTCACATCGTACCTATCCAGATAAAGGAGACTCATTTTCATTTCTATTTTAGGTGACGCAGAATCACAAAAATCTGGAGGTGCTCGATGCGATGCTTTCCATGGCTCACTCACTGCTAAACAACAAGCATCTCTTTGTGGAACCCTATGTAAGTACGCAGCATATACAACTGAACTGTCGTTGAAACAAAAAGGATGAGAAGAACGATGGAAGTGGATGTCAGGGTGACTAACACGTTGGTGTATTTAGTTACATCAACTCATTCCTCCTATTATGACGTGCTTGCTTGCTCGTACTATTTGTGAAAATCCTCAACAGGATCACTGGTCGATACGTGAACGGGCCGCTTCTCTGATTGCTTTTATTTGTCGCCAATACGGTCAAGCTTATCACACTTTACAACCACGTATTACAAGGACGCTTACGCGGGCTTTCCTGGATCCGGCTCGACCGCTGACGACACATTATGGTGCTTTAATTGGATTGGATCATTTGGGATCAGAAGTGACTCGTGTGCATGTTGTGCCTGACATTCAATTTTACATGGAAAATCTCTTACAGCATGCATTACAAAGCAATAATTCTATCCGACAACAAGAAGCGCGGCATTGTAAAGATGCTTTGGTGGTAAGTCGGAAAAGAGAAAAGAATTGGGGGAATGATCGGGAGATCGCAATGACTGATCAAACATGTAATGAATGGGTTACAGGATATTCTGCGACATATCGGACAAGCTGATATGAACATGATACGACGTCAATCAGATGACTCTGCAGGATCAGAGACGAGAATGGAAGAAGATGAAACAGCGGCTTCGGATAAAGATAAGACGGAATTAGCAGAGACGGTTGGAAAAGATATGGCGGAAGCTCTTTTAGAAAAGGATGACAGAAAGGCATTAGTGCAATGCGTTGTTAAGGCGACTAGACTGTTTCATAATGAATAAAGACAAATTCAGACAGTCATGAAAAAAAAAAAAAAATAGACAGAGAGCAAGAGAAGGCAAAAGAAAAAAAACACATAACATCAAAAAAAAAGACAAACAAAAGCCCTTGAAGCATTTTACAGTACCAACCACTCAACTACTTTCCTTCCACAATCACAGATACAAATAAAACCACCCAAATAGAGGAATCAGAAGAATAGGGAAAAAGAAGCCAACCGAAAACGAGAATGTAAAAAATTAAAAGGTTTCGACATTTCGACGTTTCCCGTTGAACAAGGAACGCCACCCAACCTTGTTTCCTTTTATGACTGAAAGTGTGGGGCGATAAGAATAACTTTGATTGCAAACCGTACTGAAACATAAAGTATGATAATAATAAAAACAAGTTAATCATCCAATGGCAGCCAATGGCATTGGTTTCCTTGTCGTCCTTGACAGTAGGGTTCATTGTGTTCAAAAAATAAAGTCGTCAGCAAAATCCAAGCATGTTTGTGTCACGAAACATCCAACTTTAATTATCTAACTCAAAGAAAAAAGTTCTCACTGGTCGGTTACAAAGACGCCCGATAACAACAGGAAGTGTACTTGTAAATGAGGGGTCATCTTGACCTTACTTTTTGCCGCTCCAACAGGAGAAACGGAATCAACGCCATTTAATCCATAGGATGATCATCAAGATTAAATGTTGGGGAAAAAATAACAAAACAAAGTCAAGCCGAAAAAAAAAATCCAGGGGCAAAAATGGGACTTGTCTTATCTGTCAAGTTTGAAGGATAGGAGGCGGTTTTTGTGTTTACATGAGAAGATAAACATCCAACGTCGCCATTGCACAACAGCTGTCAAGCGTAAATCTTGAGTCAAGGATGTTACATTGTTGATATTGCTTCAATTACCATTTAGGGGGGAGGGAAGGGGGGAGGAGGAAAAAACCTCGGTTGACCATCACCGCCGCCGTTTTTCGCTGACCACTCAATAGATACGATAGTGTCATTGATTGTTGGGGTTTCGCAAATAGTTGTCAAAATAAAATGGTCTCATTGAGTTGTTGTGGATACTTCTGGCGAATGATGAAATTTGTTATGATTTCATGTTTCAAACCAATAAACATTTTGATCTTGCTACAGGATGCATGGGTCATTTATGTTGGCAATGGGGTCATGATGAATGAGAAAGATTTCAAAATGAGCTGTAGTGATGAAGAAAACTGTCATCGGGTGCGGTGAGTGAACCGATGATGAATGCATGGCCTACTGTAATGGGTTTTGCCATCGGACAGATTGTTTTTTTTTTTACGCCATACGCTTTACCATGCGAAAAAATAAAACGGCAATTCATGGAGCGGAGTTGTATGACAAAGTTATTGTTGTTATTTTGCCATCTTGCCTTTTTCTCCTTGGGGTTGTAGGATGAAAAGCAAATGAGATACAAAAAAAAACAAGCGAGTATGGAACAGGAAACCCAAACAAGCGGGAAAAAAACAAGAAGTCGGCAAGTGAAGCAAGAATGAAATGGGGTCTCCAAACGAAACTACCATTTGATGCTTTGTATACAATAATATTACCATGTTTATCAACCGTTTCATGTCTCTTTCAAGGCCAGTAGAATGAAGCTCTACTTGATTTAGTATGTCTGTCGTGAACTGGAGAAGCGGTGGGGTTATAAAATTTGAAGTCTTGTCCTACATGAATGAAACTGTTTGTCTCGTGTACCTCGCTGTCAAACATCATCACCACGTTGTGGAGAATGACAATCTATCTCACTTCTCCCCCCTTGTCTTTTTCTCTCTCTCTCCCCCTCAGCCCTCTAAAAAAGAAAGAACCCCTCTTTTTTTCCCTCGGTTCAGCTTCCGATCGAGGATCGAAAAAAAAAGATATATAAAGGAAATCATTTAACTACCAAAGACTCAACAACAACATCATCCACTGATCTCTCTCTGATCTCTTCTCTCTCTCTATCTCTCTATATCTTCACTACTTCTCACTCCATCTGATATTTGTTCTACTTGTTTACCATGCCTCCGGATAGACCTACCAAACCTGCTCTTCCCAGACCTTATCCTGCTCCCGTGAAGCGACCGAATTAAAAAGGAAGCAACTTATGGCGGTCTTGCGGCCAAGACTCGAATCGCATCTACCGGTTTATACCAGATATACATACAGTTTTTTTTCGTCTTCTGCTTCTTTTACATACCCCTTATCTCTACATCTCGGTGCTTCGTGACGCTTGATGGATTTTCATGTTCATACGATTTTATCTTTTTCTTTTTACATTTACTAGTAGATTCTTTTTCTTTTCTTGTCTCTTTTTCTTTTCGGATGTGATTCTTTCTGCTCTCTTGCCAAAGAATACGATGGTTATTTTTGTATATATAATAATCTTTTAAGACAGGTTGTCTTTTTTTTTTTCCTTGTTACCTAAAAGATCACTCCATTTCTGAATAAATCCAAGATCCATTTCCCGATCGATAAGCCAAAAAAGAACCACGGCAGTTTATACGTTTTGTCCATGCGGGTAATACAAAATGTCAACTCTAATCCGAGGGTTTCCTTGAATATCTCGATGGCGAATTCTCCGTTCCGATTATTATTTTTTTTACCTAAACGGAAGTGTCGTAACCACCTCTTTCTGAAGGACCTGCCTCTGTCAAGCTTGTCTTTAGCTAAACGACGTGACCAAAAAAAAGGGAAAAGCTGGCTGAAGAAAAGGAAGCTCCTGTAGACAGCAAAGAAAAATAATTGAGTGGTGAGATAACAAAATGTTGTCGCGGTGCGCTTCCGCTTTGTGTGGTACTTTCTTTTCCGTTTGGCGTTGGACTTTGAAATTTTCGTGATTTTGTTGTTACTTGGCCAATATTTTTTTTTTCTGTGGGCTTTGTGTTTGATACACCCCGGGTTCTTTTTTTTCTTTTTTTTTTTCGCACTGTCATGAAACTCAAAGAATTGGAGAGTATTCTTCAAGACTGTGCGGTATTTTGTAAGTATATTTGTCTATTTTTTCAGGGACCTGTTGAGTACGCGAATTCGGTTGGCGTGAAGGATTCTCAATAGTTGTAGGACTTAGCCGACCCAAAGATTCAATATGAACAATACCCTACAACGGCTCATTTAGCGGCACGCATGTTATATACAGCAGATACCGTGTATGGCGATATTGAAGACAAAGCAGTGGGAGATTTTGGCAGTGGATGCGGCATTCTCAGTATTGCCGCTGGCATCTTGGGCGCAGGGTACAATGTCGGTTTTGATATCGATCCCGATGCGATTGCAATAGCCCAAGAGAACTGTGAAGAATTTGAGTTGGATATCGATTTTGTGTTGGCCGATCTTAGTCAATATGTGCCTGAACGATTTCGCGGCAATCTGGATACCATTGTAATGAATCCACCTTTTGGTACCAAGACCAAAGGCATTGATATGGTACTTTTGAAAAAGGCTATTGAGGTAAGAGAAAAAGGGGGAAACCAAAGTATCAGCAAACAAGTGACGATTTTGTGTTGACATGGTTGATTTGTGATGATTTTCGGGGATATATCCAGATTGCAAAAGTAGCTGTTTATTCATTGCACAAGACATCGACTCGCGAGGTAAAAATTTCACTGTGGTGATTTGAAAGTGGCATGTATCGTTTTTTGATCAACCATATTATTGTAGCATATCATGAAAAAGGCAAAGGAATGGGGAGTGACGTGTGAAGTGATTGCCGAGTTAAAAGTAAGTCATTTCTAAAATGGGCAAGGCGCCCAATAGGAAAAGGAGCGAGTGTTCATCCACATGGATGGCATACATCTTTATTACATGGAAGAAACTTAACCGCAGCAAAAATACTTGTTACTTCTTTTTTCCTAGTTTGATGTACCAATGATGTACAAATTCCACAAGAAAAAGTCAGTTGATATTGCCGTCGATTTTCTACGCTTTGAAAAGAAGCAATAAAAAGTAATAAAAAAAAAGAGTAAAAAAGGACACTTGTTGGCTGACCCGCAGCATGATCACCTGCAATGTCACATGCACATCTCTTTAGTCCTGCGCCAGCTTTTTTTTTTTTTTTCTTATTTCTATTCCCTCAAGAATTACGCCTTCTCCACTTCTTCTTTTTTTCCTTTTTCTTTTTTCTCTTTCTCACTCTCTTGCTACCTAGTTTCTCTTACATTCACCTTACTTACCTGTCTGTATAACGTAAGTCTTTTTCACACACAAACCCACTACATAAAAAAGTTGGCAATTACTTATCCCTTGTCTCTTGCAGCATCAGTCAAAACTCATTATGCGTTCGAAATTTAAAGATGAACACCCTTACGGTAAGTAATGCATGGGACCACCTGACATGATGCCAAGCATATGGGGAAAAAAAGGTCCACAGACTCATGTGGAAAAGGACCCGGTGGGCAAGTTCAAACCGTCTTGAAAGGGATGGATGGAGGGGAAAAAAAGGACTTTGAGCACACGGTGGCGTAGTAAAAGGAGCATCCATTCACAGAAAAACAGAGACTGATAAATGACCTTCTTGGTTTCTTTTTTTCTTCATTGAAACCAGAAAAACGCAAAGCGGAAGCAGAACGAATTCGTCAGAAATATCCCGATCGAATTCCTGTGATATGCGAAAAAGTGGAGAAGAGCGATATTCCGACCATTGACAAGAAAAAATACCTGGTGCCCGCCGACCTCACGGTGGGTCAATTCGTCTATGTGATTCGAAAGCGTATCAAGCTTAGTCCAGAGAAGGCCATCTTTATCTTTGTCAACGAAATCTTACCGCCCACTGCAGGTAATAACCTTTCAAAATAAACCCCATTTAGCCGGATGTCATTGCAATCAATATCTTTTTTACTTATTATTTTTTCCTTTTCTAGCGCTGATGAATGCAATCTATGACGAACATAAAGATGAAGATGGATTCCTGTATATAACGTAAGTTCCTTTCTCTTTTACTCTCGAGTTTGGAAAGCAGAAAATTAACAATTATTCATTTTATGGCAGATATTCGGGCGAAAATACATTTGGATGCTCAGCAGAATAAACTCTGTTTCCCATTGTTTTTATCTTTCGTCCTTTTATCCCTTTTGATTTTCTTTCCATAATCAATTCCGCAGTCTCCTCCTTTTATACTACATTGTCGTTGTTGTATTCGCAGATCTCTGTAATAAATTGGTACAGAATATACTTTGCTTTCGCTAAAAAAGGGACACTCAACATTTTTTTCCATCCATATCACGGAGAAAGACGTCAAAAACGCAGAAGTTTTTAGAGAACCAAACAACAGTGATGGACCTTTCTTTTAATTCCAAAATAATTAGAATAGGTGATACTACATGCAATTTTGCATTACATGACCCAAAGGTCCATTATGCCACATCCAACTTAGATGTTCAACTTGGTGTGACGCCAGTTGCGTCTCTTGGCGTTCCAGCTAATAACAAAGAGGAAAAAAAATAAGACGAAGGTTAGTTAATCTACACACATTACACACCATCGAGCTTAATCTCGTCACTTACCGAATCTTAGTATCAGACTTCAAGCGGAACCAGTGGGGCAAAGGACGGTTTTGCTTCTGAGCCTTACCAAGCTTGACCTTGGTTCTGAATGACTTGTTAGAAGGCTATGTAGAGGAAAACAGGGCATTAGCAGGGCGAATAAACGAACGGTCGTGGCTGTATATCCAGGAGAGAAGAAAGAAAAAAACGACGAGAGCAAGGACGGTGTAAGAACGTATAGTATGTGATGGATCACTCGGAAACCTTGAAGGGCGACCATCATCGTCAGGGAAACAGGCCGATCGTTCCATCCATCGATCATCCATTCATCCATCCTTGGGATCCATTCATCCATCCACATCTTATTCTTCGTTTTTTGCCTATTTTCTTCTCTCTGGATAACGGAATGAGTTAGCTTCATGCTACGTACCATGATTGGCAATCTGTCAAGTGAAAGAGGAAAGTCTCAAACTATGCACCAGCTCGGCTTCACCTTGGGCAAATGCGCCTCCGCCTCCCCGCTGCTTCTCCTCGTAGCAAGTCACACCTCGCCGACAATTCATAATTTAAAGCTCAGACACACCCAGCATTCAATGATCGAGAGGACAAAAGGGTCTTACTGTTTCCAACTTTTTTTTTTTATATTGCATATCCTTTTTTTTTCTTTCATTGTTGTTCTCTCTTCATTCCATGTTGCTTCTAACGTCGCTTTAATTGATTATCTAATGTACGTCGTTGTTGTCCAAGCCATGAGTTGGGATAGACTTTGGAATGGGCAAGCTCTTTGTGGGTTCGACGAGCTACATCGTACCATGCAGAAATAATCAACTGCTGCTCACGTCGTGTCTGTAAACGATGCTCATGGAGTTGTTTCTTAATAGGTACGTTGTTAGCTTGTATGAAATTATCTAAAGTGAAAAATGACCGATTATTTCTTACCTTTAATTTCTCATTTTCTTCGTCGCGCAGTAATAATTCCGCTTTGAGGGAAGCCACCGCCTCGTCGTAATTACCGGCATCGTCACCCATCTTGGTTTCTTTGAGCATTTTATCTTGCTGCTTGATAAACTGTAGCAAACAAAAAAAGGCATGATTATTCTCATGTTCCTCTGTTCTTCCGGCAAGTCCAAATCATCCTTTCTTTACCTCTTTTGCCTTTTTCAGCTTGACTTGCAATTCACGAATTTGTTCTTGTTGTTGAATCGCTTGCTGCTGGAGATGCGCATTTTGCTGTTTAAGTGGTTCATCATCTTTGGCTTCAAATGCCGCAAGGGATGCCTTCATTTCACTACGTGGAGACCAGGATAGAATGTAAGAAATAGATTTCCACGTCATGTCTCCAAGACGACGATATCCTCTGTATCGTATTTGTGCGCATCATTTGAATATGGGCTTACCTGTTCAATCGCTCTTTCTCTAGCAGTAAATCTTTGGTCTCAATGCTCTGACTTTGCAACATGTCCTTTTCAAGCAACAAGCGATTGATATCTTGCAATTGCTTTTTCGTTTGCTCTTCGAGATTGCGCGACTTTTCTTCCATGGCTTTGAATTGCATCTTGAGATCGTCGGCGGCGCCTTCTCCAAAACTGAATCGGTTTTCCGCCATCTTGGTGCGTAGCGTCTCGATTTCTTCTCGCAACGACTTCAATTCCTTTTCAAGGTCATTGATGTGCAATCGTAAGGGTAAAGTGTGAGGTGACTGATCCAATAGACCATCGGGAATGCCTTCGCGAATACGAGCCATATCGCTTTGCAAGATGTCGCGTTCTTGAGAGACTTGCAAGTAGTTCTTCTCAAACTGATTCTTCAGACGATTGGCATCGTCCAAAAGATGCTGCAACACCACAGCTTTATGATTTCGATCGGCTGCGTTTTCCTCCTGCAATGCTTTCAATTGACGTTCAAGACGCCGTTTGGAAAGCTTCAACTCTGTCACATTCGACTCCTTGAGCGAGTCTTCTAATGATCCTCTCAGATCATCTTCGTCTAGATCCATGTCATCGTCTCCCAGCTCCGTGGGTTGCATGATCGATCGTTCCGCCGAATTAACGCCCAATTGAGCTTCTTGCAAATGATCTTCCAGCAATTGGATACGATCCATATCTCGGGTCTTATCCACCTCCAATGATTCGATCTTTTTCGAAAGCTGACTGATCTCGTATTCCATCTTGTTCTTTTCTCGAATCAGCTCGTTATTTTTCGTCTCAAGCATGGCCACCTGATCCTTGTACGAATCCATTAATGTCTTGAACGCCAATACTTTGCGATATTCATCTTCAATTTGCTGGTTGCGATCCATCAACGAGTGATTGGTTTCCTCCAAGACCTACGATAGAAACCATGTTCCTCCGATTAGAAAAAAAAAAAAGAACGCGATAATGGATCCGTGCGCTAGACGCTGGATGGATGGGTATTATTTACCTTGATCTGCCGTCGGAGATCGGCACTTTCTTCAAGTTTCTTTTTGTACTTTTCAATCACGTTTTCTGCTTTTTGCAATTTTTCGGCGGCATGGCGATATTCATCTAGCTGATCTTTCAACTTGATTGCTTGTTCTGCTTGTTTTGTCAATTCTGCGCCCTACAAAGTGAATGAGCATCGCTCAACAGGAATAATCCCACGGTTGGCTGCATTCAGGTCATTTACTTTTCTTGTCAACTCTTCGATCGTGTTGGATTGGGTATCGAGAAGCATTTCCGCTTCTTGGCGTCGATCTTCACTTCGTTGCCTGATGGAGGTACACGTCATTAAAAAAAACTTTTCTGATGAACCCAAGGATACTTACAAATCTTGTTTCAAGTGTTCAATTTCGGTCTTCATGATAAAGTCTGCTCGACCTGTTTCGTTGGCTTGGGCCACGGCGGTATCCATTTCGCGTAATCGTAGCTGCAAATCCTCTTTTTCGGACTCGAGTTCATCCTAGATTGACACCCACAATGAGACGAAACAAAACCCAAAACGTCGTTGATTTAGGGTGCTTACATATCGAAAGCGCAGTTGGGCATGTTCTTCGATCAGTTGTTTATGTGACGCCTCCAATTCTTCTTTATCGTACACGGCCTTGGAAATATCATGATGGCTTGGATAAACAGGTTCCCTACAACCGTGACATGTCAATGACACATGATGCGACGTTTACATTTTTTTGTTTTGCTCGACAACATACTCTAGCTGGGTATAATGTTGACCAGACGCAGTATACACCTGCGCATCATCCGCCATTCCTCCTGGTTGCACCAAACTCATCATCTAAAAAAAGCAATTTGTTTTTTTTGGGGGGGTTTCGGTTGGATGAATACGATGTTCATAAATGTGTGCATTGATTGGGGAGAGGGGTCCTTTTTTTTGTCGCACCTCGTCAATGATAACCATCAAGGCTTGTTGACTTCGTTGTGATAAGCTTTGGATGCGGCCGATATAGATTTGGTTGTTATGGCACTGTACAGCGATGAATAATACCAATTGACACAGCTTATTCGTCTCTCGGATATCGGCGTCCTTTGCAATAATATTCAAATTGACGGCTGGCATGTTGGCAAAATCTTGTCCCAGTACTTCTTCGTAATAGCGTGAAACGAGCTTGTACAGCTTTTTCAGGTTATTAATTTTCAACACCCAGTTATCGCCCACATCCGCCGAGCGAATGAGCTTGAACCATTTCGGATCACTAACACAATTGCTCTCAAGGTCAATGACAGGCTGTCTCTTATTTCGGTAGAATTTTCTCTCTCTTACATATCAGCGAGTGCTTCAAAAAGAATAATGCCGTTCGATAAGTCGGTAATGTGTGTGCAAATTTGCGAGATGTTGGGAAATGTATTGATCTAGGCAAAAAATGTATACTTGGTTTCAATGTTTTCGACTGGCTCTTGGAAAACTTGAAACATACCCATTCCACGAATGCTTCTGCGTGAGCTTCTTCTTCTGCACTAGCTCTCATCATTGTATTAAAACTATTTTATGCAAACGAAGAACAAAACACGGGAATGGTATGAAAAAAAAGAGAGAACCAGTAGCTTTCCTTTTTTTTTAAGACGAAGAAGAGGGACGAAAATGAGGGGAAAGGAAACAAGTGAGGAATGAGGAATGAGGAGGATAAGGCAAAGGCGGTAAAAAGGGAACAAGTTACAAAAAAAAAAAAACCACTAAAGCCAAGTCTGTAGGCACACCAAACAAAAAAAGCCGAGTTCCAATCTCACCACGTTGGAGCCAGTGAATTGCGTTTTTAGGAAAACTGGCACGCTGTGTGACGTGTGGTAAAGCCGCAATGTTTTTTTTTCTTTCACCAAGGGAAACAAGGGGAATCAATATGAATGATCTGCGACGAATGATGACCCAATTCATAACACTGCCACGCATCACTTTCTTTTCTCCTTTTTCTTTTTTTTTCTCTTTCTTTCTTGTCTTGTTTTCAAGCAAATTAAGAATCATCATGACACTAAAATAGATATAAGTTATAGTTAGACTCTTTGACATTCCATATGGGTTTCCGTGGGATCCATAGGTAACGCGCAAAAAAAACCGAGCTTTTGCATCTGCGAGAACATCTGGGTATCTAATAAAACCGTATATCCAGTGGTGGGTCAGCGTCAGTGCCCCTTGTTTTTTGTACATCAAACGCCACTTTCTAATTCATCAAGAGACTTACATTCCAAGTTCAGATGGATACATTGTTGTTGTCCGTTGGGCAATTGCCGACACAACTGTTGCTTGGTTTGGTCAATGGTGTAGTCATGACGAGGAGCGGCATCGACGAATTTGTCAAGGCGACCAAGTTCAGTGTTCAATGGGGTTTCCTCTTGCTCGGACATGGCTTCTTTGGGCTTTCGTCGTCGTCTTTTTTTTTATCTCCGCATAAGTATCATGGTCATAATCTTATCCAACGATACTCACGAACCACAAGTGATGGATGCGAACGGAAAGAAAATAGAAAAAATAAAAATAAAAAGCAGATATGGAAAACCGACACCATCACAATTTGCAACATGACATGCTTCGGAGTTGTAACTGTAAGATCACTCCGAAGCAAAGATCATGAACCTGACTGCAACCATGGTGCTTTGACCATCCTATGTGAACAGTAGCTATGTCAGTGGACGCCATTGAAACTCTTGAGGAACATGAATTCCCCAATCCATTCACCGATTTGGGACATCTCGTATTCCAAAGAAGCCTAATCCGTATCTCCCATTGGCGGACATCCAACCACCCTTATACCAAAAAGAACAACAGCCCTCTTTTTGGCACTCTCATCTTTTTTTCTTATCCTGTCAAAGTTTGGCTGCTTGTCCTACATCCAAATTTTCTCCCATGCCTCTCGATCAGCAACCACCGGCTATTACCACCCACATCTCGGATGGTATTGGCCTGACGCCTATGCTTGATATCGGCGCCCACAGTAATGGTAAGAGACAACGAAGGTCAAAGAACGAAGACACAAGGAAATAACATCGATGGAATGACGCTGGTCTTAGTTCAAATCCTGGCTAAACTCGAGTTTCAGAATCCTACTGGAAGCATCAAGGATCGCATGGCCAAGTATTTACTGCAAGGTAATATTAATGGGGAGTGCTGGCGTGGGGGGGAACAAGTGTGTATTTAAACCCATATTGCAGAATTTGAACGTCGTCATGACATGGACCCCAAGGACAACAAGAAACGAACACTTATCATTCCTACCAGTGGTAATCTCGGTATTGCCATCGCGACATTAGCCGCCAAACGAAAGTATCGCATCATCGCTATTGTGCCCGAACGTACGTCCAATGATCGTGTTTCGGTTCTCAAAGCGTTGGGTGCCGAAATTTTGCGATCGCCCAATGAAGCTCGTCCAGAAGCGCCCGAAAGCGCTTATTCAGTGGCAGCACGTCTGGCTGAACAGCTTCCCGACGCTCATGTTTTGGACGAGGTGGGATTCATCAATCCTTAAGAAATCTGGATAGCCGGCATTCTTGTTAATCCGCTTGTTAGGTGGCTCTGAGGGACGTTTCTGCTTACGATGACCTTGCGGAAGAGATCCTTCAGCAGACTCAGATGCAGTTGGATTTCTTAGTGGTCGGTGTAGAGACCGGCGCGACAGTGACAGGGCTGGGTAACTATATCAAAAAGCGATTGCCATCCGTCAAAGTGATTGCTGTTGAACCGACCGAATCCATCATCAGCGGTTCGCACGGTCATCCCATTCGCGCCGTAAGTGTTTTGAGTGAGCCTCTTTACTCCATTGCCGATGTCCGTGACTGACGAAAGCTACAGGACTGGAAACTCGAAGATCTTGGCAACAATTTTACTCCATCCACTCTGCAAAAATCGGTGGTGGATGAATGGATCAAGGTTACAGATAAAGAAGCCTTCTCCATGGCGAGACGGTTGATTCGAGATAACGGTGTCTTGTGCGGTAGGTTGTCTTTTTTAGATACAAACGGTCATGTTGATCCTTCTCAAGGTGCTGATACTTGCGAAAAAAAAAAAAAAAAAGGTCCTTCCTCCGGTGCCGTCGTCTCGGCTGCTTTGAAACATGCAGAAACAGTTCCTGAGCACACCACGCATGAATATCGAACAGTGGTGGTCATGAACGACACCGCCAAGAATTACACTTCCACGCTCTTGTCGGATGACTGGTTCTTTGAGAACGATCTTGCCGATGATGTGATCTCGCGTGAATTGGAATATTTGTCGAATGACCGTTATCGCGCTGTAAGTGTTTAGGTGGTCAGTTCTAGTAAAAGTCAATAAGCATTGACCGGCTTTTTGTTGTTGGCTTTTTAGGCCAGTGTGGAAGATTTGCAGTTGCCTGCTGCGGTCACGATTACCCCCTCAGCTACCGCCTCGCATGCCATGGACCTGATGCTGGAGCGCGAATACTCACAGCTGCCGGTCATCAATGCATCAAATAAGAAACTCGTCGGTTACGTATCCTTGGACGCTTTACAAGCAAGGTTGGAACAAGGGTCTATCAAACCCGGCGATTCCATTGAACAAGCCATGTTTAGCTTCAAAAAACAAGCCGGCGCTCAATCAAAATATCAACTCATTACACCCGATACCAGTCTGGCTGATCTTGGTAAGTTCCTTCTTCTTTTTTTGGTTTTCGCTCCGCCCTGGTCATGATCGCAGTAAATAAAAACCGGGCTTTTTTTTTCTTTCTGTAGCAAAATTCTTTGAAAAGAATTCCTTTGCCATGGTCACCGATGTGGGACGAAAATGGTGTTTGGGTGTGGCAACAAAGTACGATCTCATCAGCTTTTTGCATCGTCGACAGTTCCTCTAAACACAGATACATCACTGTACTCATATACACGTACACATGGGCCATCAGACATGCCAATAAAACAAAGATGCTCTAAAAACATACTTTTTTTTCTTTATTAATCTATTTTGAATCATTATCGGTAGAACTTTTAGTAATAATGACCGTGGGTGCTTTTAGACTATTCATTAGGGCAGGCAGGACCTCCCGTCGCCATTGATCCTTGCATGCCTTTTTAGCCCGGCCGACCGCCATCGAGATACGGTCCCATCGAAACGTGGCCATATTATTCAATTGCTTGTCTTGTACAATCGCTTCCAACAGTTCCAAACGTTCAGCGTCTTGCCACCGTGGTTTGCACAATAACCTTTCGGTACTGCTGGAATACCCATCACTGCCCGATACCGGAGGCGCTTCTTCCTTCTTGCCGCGTTTTTTAGATGTATTTCCGAAACTTTTGCCTGTTTCGTGGTTCCGCCAACTTTTCCGACCGAGTGTCATGGTCGCCATTCGACGCACGGATCGAGGCGTTTCCGCCATGTGCGTTTCTGTTTGACCCTGTTTAAATGCCATATCCATAAATCGCATGGCTTTCTTGCGCGTAATGGTGCGACGAAATTCGGGAGCGCATGGTTCCTTGACGTGAGGCTCGGCGATGTAGCGGTCACTGTGGAAATAGGCCGTATGGTCCTGAGCGGTAGGTAACTGTTCGTAGGACGCTGCAGGATGGTGGATCGATGGGTACAGCTCGGCGGGATGGTATTCATCGGGAGAAAAGATGAGCTGTGAAAATGGCGGAAGGCGTGTCTGAGGTGACGAACAATTCAAGGAGGGGGTAGGATTCGGACCGGTTGGCCCGGTGGACGATGCAAACGAAGCTGTAGACAATGAAGGACTGGAAGAAATGGATGATACCGATAATTGAGAGGCTAAAGATGTCAATGATGTGGAGGCGTGCGTATACATTGGGCAGTGCAGCTGCAGCAATGCTTGTGCAGCGTCTGTTTCGGTGACATGCTTGCTGTCGGACTCAGTCGTAGGTAAATTGACAGGTACATGGGATAAAAGATCATTCATGACAGAGGAAAAGAAAAAGGACCGCGAATTGTTCTGCTTGAACCATGGGATGGCATGGCTTGTCGCTTTTTATATATAAAATCAATGTCAATGTCACTTCATTGTCGGGTAATCCTAATTATGGGGTTCATGCAAGTCTCCTCATGTTTTTTTTTTCTTCGTTCGGACTAGAATATCTCATACACATAATGCACACACACGTTGGGCTATTGGATGTGCAGTGATATAAGGAAAAACGAGCAATTAAGACCACCTAGCCATATTTTCATTCAAAAACATAAAATAACCTTTGCAAGTCATGGAATAAAATGGGGGATCTAAATGGTTGACATTCATTATAAAGTATTGCTTAATTTATTTACATGCATGTCCAAAAAAAGCACAGCTCACCATAAATAGAAACTTTATGTTTTATTTTATACGCTTTAGTCGTGTCCATAGTTTTCTTATCATTCATGATTTTATTGATTTATCGACGATATCAATGGCAAATGGCCACGGACGTCGCATTATCATGACAACTGAAATCCTTAGCTTGCTTTTTCCAAGACAACGCATTATATGCAAAATGAACATTGGTCTTAACAAACAACTTTATTGACGTTCTCCTTTTTTATGCTTTAATTACAAGTGTGCTATTTTTCAGGATGTGTCAAATGAAGCATCAAGATGTCAATGATTGTATCTTTTTTTTTATCGGAAATAACCTCCCTGAAGCACATGAAAAAAAAACGAGCTATACTAAGCTTTTTTTTTTTTTCCAATTACCGTTCGTCATTCGTTTTAAAACGCTTAAAGCAGCGTGAAAGAACGGTCATGCACTTCGAAATGTTATGCTCGGACCTCAGCGTATGATAAAGAGACGAAAAAGAAAGGTTGAATGGAAACAAAATGAGAATAATTTATTGCTTGGGATGATATGATGGTTATTTTACTTTTTGGATTTCTTTTTGTCCGAGTCTTCGCCACTTGTGGATGCCTTTCGCTTTTTGCTGGATTCACCATTCACCGCCAAAGGCACTTCGGGCGGCACCACTCCTCGATTGCCCACACTCAATACAACATGAGCGCTGCCTGTGCGTTGTTGTCTTTCAAGAAGCGCTCCTGCCAAATTCAACGGCGTATCGGTGCTGCTCATCATATTCAGTTTCAACTCTTCCTCGATCTTCTGCATGCGTTTCTCCGTCTTTAGCTTGCCAGACGTCTTGCCGTGGAATTTATGGGACATGAAACGGAATGCCTAATAAAAAAAATCATACATTAGTCGCTGCTGCGCTAAACTCTCCCCATGATTGTTTTCTCAGTAAGATGCAATGAAAAAATCCTACCTCTTTGGTATTCATTTGACGACCTTGTTCATCCACGTACACAAGATTGACATCGGGCTTGTAATTCTTCATACGTTCTTCCACTTCCCGCAAACGTTCGCGTTCTTCCATTTCTCTTTCACGTTCACGTTCTCGTTCTCTTTCCTTTTCGCGATTGCGATCGCTTTCACGGCCACGATCCGAATCACGTCCCTTGTGTCGCAAACGTTCCTTTTCTCGTTCTCTTGCTCTTTGTGCCTCACGCTTGCGCTCTTCATTCTGCCATCGAATCTGCGCGGCTGTACGCTTATCCTTCTCTATCTGCTCTTGGGTGGGCTTCGCAAGGAATCCTACCGTAGCCCCACGTCAGTATACCTGTTTTGTTTTTCTCTAATTATCTACTCGTACTATTTACCTTTTTGTGTCAACAAAGATAAAGTCGCCGCTAATCCTCCACTCACAAGAGGTTCTTCCATGACAGTGGCTGGCTCTTGCTCGTTTTTGATCGTAGCCTGATCTCCGCTGCCGGCTTCGTCGGCGGTTTCTGTGGATAGTTTCGTTTCTTGTTCTGCAGATGGTTGTTCTTTCAATGTCTCGGGCGACTCTTCTTCTTCTTCTTCCTCCATGGCCGTCACAGGTTTATGTGAAGATGATGCTGTTTCTGGACTTTCGATGCCTGGTGTTTCGCTGCTCCTTCGTTGGTTCTCGCGAGGTTCTCGTGCAAATGCCGGTACGACGCCCAATGAGTTGACAAATTCGCTCATTTCTGACAACACCAAACCACCCTCATCGTCTTGAGCGTCCTCTCGTTCTTGTTCACGAGCTTCGGCAATACTCTGTGCAATTTCTTCGGGGGTCATCTTCTTTAGTTGTTTTTGCTTCTGTTTATTCGCTGCTCGTCGTGACCGGGCTAATGCAGCTTGTAATTCATCGTCGTCCACAAAATTGGCTTCCTCATCGTCCATGGGCGATCGTCGTTGGCTCGCATTCTGTGTCGATGGGGCCGACTCGTCTGTGGCGGGGGGTGCCGATGTCAAATCGTCTTCGGGATCCACGGCGGCCTTTCTTCTTACTTTCTTCTTCTTCTTGGGCTTTTTGAACGATAGACTCACTTCTTCCTGGGTATAGTAGTCTTTGATCTCCTGCATCTTCTCGTAAGCGAGGGTTTGCGCTTTTAATTTTTCCGAAATAGATTCTTCGGGAGCGTCTTTTTTAACGTTGATAGTGCCTCGTTGACCAATGGTGAAACCTTGATTTTTCTTATCATCATCTTCTTCATACTGAGGCAAGATGCTTTGTTTAGCTCCTCCTAATAAAAATTCTTCATCGTCATAAGGATTATAACCTGGTTTCTTCTTCTTTTCTTCCAGTTTCTTTCGGAGGCGTTCCTTTTCTTCGACCTGAATGTTGGTCAATTCGTCCATATCGTCATCGCCTTCGCCTTCATCCATGATATTCTTGTCCTTCAATGTCAGCACCATCTCGCCGCCTTCGTCGAATTGAGACAAATCGTGAGCCACTCGAAGGCCGCTCAAATCGGTCGAAGTATATGCATTGGCGCCATTCTCGAAGGATTCGTCCATTTCGGCTAATTCGCGAGCCCGCTTTTCCGCCAATTCTTTCTCACGTTGCCGGCTTCGCCTAATCCAGTTCAATGTACTGTCTTCCTCTTCGGTCTCCTCTCCGAGACCTTTACCTTGTAATTTCTCCAGGTTTTTCTTTCGATTCTTGGATCTATGGTCAATGACGTCGCATGGTCAGCTTTCACCCGAGTCGAGCATCCGACGAAAATAGAGAAAAAGGTACTCACTTTTCAATACGGTCTTTGATTTCTTTTGCTTTTGCTTCCTTTTCTTGATCTTGTTTCATGCGTTGATAATTCTCATAGGCTACTCGATCAGGATCCACCGTTTCTTCGGTATCACCAGCTAGCGGTGGTAAACCGAGCTTGGCTCGCAGAGCACTAGACAAGAAAAGAAAAGAAAAAGAAGTCGTTGATGAGTAACTATTGTCAGAAGTTATTTCTAGTAATGGAGAGCTTACTTGGTCTCCTCCAAGGATATCGCATCAGCCATGGTAAAGAATTGAAAGGCGAAAAATCAAGGACGCAAAAAACAAGTTGTTCCAAAAAGGAGGGAATGGAAATTCGACTAATCCTTCGTTCATCCAAGCATTGCCATTGGATATCCTGTGACTGCTTTATTTTGACATTAGGGGGCATCGCTGAATTTTCTCAATTTCTTGTCACTTAGCACAAAAAGGCCGAAATGCAAAATGCGAAGCTCTCTTTTTTCATTTCGTTGTACAAAATTTTCTTTAAAGTAGCTCGGCGCTTTTTCTTCCGAGAGAAAATAGAAAAAAAAAAACATTTTGCATGAAAGAAAAAAGACAAGCCCATTTCAAGTACTGCTAGATCATCGCGGGTTAGGATGCTTGTCCTTATGAGTGATACCTTTCGGCGTCACCAGTGGTGCAAGAATAAACGGCCAAGAATACAGTAGTCACTCGTGTTGAGAAGGCCACATCATCCCGATTACACCTTGTTAATCATCTAGCGCACAAACTGAGGTGGCACAAAGTCGCACCATAAAAAAAAATTACAAAAAGGATGATCTTCTTTTTTGGGGGCTTAGATAACAGCTATCTTTCTTCTTTCTTCTTCTTCTTCTTCTTCTTCGGCTTTTTTGGCATTCTCATTTAAAAGCCCATATGACTTATTCACCGGCAACTGTCTTGGATGCCACACGTCAGGCTCAAGCGAGAGACATTAATGCCCATGTTTTAAGCGCCGTCGGCTGTCAAGGAACGGGCAAATCCAGTCTATTGAATGCCATTGCGGGAGAGTATATCTTTGCAACGGGAAGCGGTGGAGTAGGTGTTGACCGTTGATTTGTACGGACTGCCTTTGGTTTGTGAATGTTTACATGGGTACTTTGGATAGGGCACCACACAAACGGTGCAGGGTGAAATACGACGATGGTATACTTCAACAAGTCCCGACTATTTCCATTTAATTGATACCCCGGGTTTAGCCGATTCAGTCGTCGATCGCAACGCCATCCATGAAATGACCCGTTACATTCGAGGGCTGGAAAACGGTGTTAGTGCCTTTCTGTTGGTGCTGAGCATCAACGAAATCAGGTATGTTAAGATGGGGAAAAAAAGAAAAAGCGCACTTTTTTATTCAGGATCCGAGATTTTTTAAAACTCCTTCGTAACGCGACTCGTACTCTCCGATTGGGCTATAGATTGGATGCTTTCACTCAGCATATGTTAGGCTTGTTGCAGGAATTGCTTGGAAGGAAGTTTTGGAAATTTGTGGTGCTTGTTTTCACTCATGTGGATGAAGAGGTATATGATGAAATGAGCGAACATCGAGCTCATATTGAAGATCCACAAGGTACGCAGGCTTTTTTGGAGACGTGCTATTTTTTTTTTTTTTTTTCCATGTGCAACAAGCGCTCGGTGTATATTCTAAATTAGAGATGAATTCATTTCTTTAGAGGGCTTCGTCGCCGAGTTGCGTCGTATATATAAGCTTTCGTCCCGATCGTTTGATCCTCAGGTTATTTTCACCTCCACTCGTAACGTACGAACCAGCCGACATACCCAGCGTTACATTGAAGAACTACGCAAAGCTGTCCTTAACTGCGAATTGCAAAACGACAACAAGCGGTTTACTTGTCCACTGCTCCGAGAGGTTTTAAGCTTGAAGAACGAACAAGAGAAGCGTGAATTCATCAAACAGAGTCTTAGAGAAGCTTGGAAATCACTGGCCTTCACTCCTTGTCGTTTACAATAAAAAAATAAATATAAAAAAATGACTAGGAAAGGGAATATTTTTTTTTTTTTCGCTGTGGTTTCGCTTCCTCTTGAAAATCAAAGCTTTTCATTGGATATACGAAAATGAACCCTTGGCATAAACCGATTCAAATGACACATCCACCCTACAAAAATAAAAAAAATCTTACATTATGAAAGGAAAAAAAAAAAAAAAAAAAGATATTGATAATTTTTTTTTTATTTGGACTTTTTCTCCCTCCCTTGCTTATTTATATTTTTTCTTTTGCAGATAGCAGTGTAGTTTTTTCAAGCAATAATGAAATTTGCTCATTCACTTATACTGAATGCTGTGCCGGAATGGATCGACCAGTATGTCGAGTAAGTTGGCCCTCCGATTGGAATTCCCATCCGGTTTTCTCGGTATGATAGGCGTAGCAATCCGCTCACGTTTTTTTCTGTGTCTAGTTATGACCATTTAAAGAAGATCGTCTATCGTGTGGAGCGCGAAATTGTGCAACAACCGGCCAGACGCCGAACCAACGTACCGATCATCATGGAAGAAGGTGAACAAAAGACCGAACAGCAAGAAAGCTTGGATGAGAAACGTCTCTTGTGGACAAGGGACCAGCAATTCACAAAAGCTCTCGATGAACAGCTGGAAAAGGTCGTTAAATTTTACGCCAAAAAGGAAACCGAGATTATGCAGGACGCAAGAGCCCTCAATGATCAGTTTGATTCATTTGGTGTCTCGTTACCAACTCTTGAAACGATACCTCACGGCAATGAAAATGACTTGAAGAAGCTGGATACACAGACCAATCGACGGGTATCCACCGTCTCCACCCAATCTTCCATGGATACCGTCGACGACCCAACTGAACAGAATCTGGAAGGTACCGAGCTGGGCAATATGCAATCCTTTACCACCCCCAGTTCACTCGGAAGACGAGCCACCACGTCCATGATTGAGCGGCCCTCCGAATCCCAGCCAACCACACCGGAGAGAACGACAGTGCGACGCCGAGCCACTACTGTTGAGGACGGATTTCGCCAACGCAACGAAGCTGCTCCCAACCGCATCATTAATCCCGGGCTCTCTTTTCTCAGAAGATACGGTTCACACCCTTCCTTGATTGGTCCAGCCGAAGGGATCGAGAACTTTAACCGCCTTTACAATTTCCGTGCCCATTGTGCGGCCATCTACATTTCACTATCCGAACTCCGATCCTATGCCATCATGAACCGAACCGCCTTTGGCAAGATTCTCAAGAAGTGGGATAAAGTCACCAACAGCAACCTAAGGGAAAACTACTTTGACAAGATTGTTATGAACGCTGACCCGTTCAAACCAGAACACCTTCGAAGGCTAAGCAATGCCATGCAACTCATCGCGGATATGTATGCCGCTATCTTTACCAATGGCGATGTCAATTCCGCTTTGGCAGAACTGAAACTCCACATGCGCGATCATATCCAGTTTGAACGCACCACTGTGTGGAAGGATATGATCGGTCAGGAACGTCGCATTCGCGATGCACACGTAGAAGTGGCAGAGACTCAAATCAAGATTCCTTTCATTCACACCACGATCAGCAAATCCGTCCTCACGGATTTCATCACCTTTCTCTTCAGTCTGGTGGTCTATATCATTTTCATGTCCGTCGATGTCATTGGCGACCGTGAAGCGAACAAGTGCCTCGCCCTTCTCCTGTTCTCCGCTTTACTATGGGCTTTTGAAAGTTTGCCGCTCTATGCAACCGCCTATCTGATCCCATTGATGATCGTGCTCATGGATATTGTCAAAATCGACGGCCAAGTAGTCTCCGCCGCAGTGGCGGCCGAGGCTGTGTTTTCGAGCATGTTCAATGGTACCGTCATGGTGTTACTAGGTGGATTCGCCATCGCCGCTGCGCTCAGCAAGCACGGTATTGCCAAAGCATTTGCCGCCGTGGTCATGAGTCGTGCCGGTACAAAGCCGCGTTGGGTCATTCTCGTCAATATGTATCTCGCCACCTTTTTGAGCATGTGGATCAGTAACGTCGCAACGCCCGTCCTCTGTTTCTCATTGGCTCAGGTTAGTTAATTCATTTCTTGCCCTTATGATTGAAAAAATACTCACATGAATATGATCGTACCTTTAGCCGATTCTGAGAACTTTACCACCGCATTCCAAGGTCGGTCCTTGTCTTATTCTCGGTATTTCTTTGGCAAGTTGCATCGGAGGCCTTGCATCGCCTATTTCTTCGCCTCAGAATATCATCACCATTAACCTTATGGACCCCAATCCTGGTTGGGGCCTTTGGTTTGCAGCCGCATTGCCTATTGCTATCATCACCGTGGCCACCACCTGGGTCCTGCTTTTGTTGTATTTCCGACCGGAGCATGGAACACCGAATATCAACAAGGTGAAATCCCAGGTTGAGGGCAAACCGAGTTTCCGCCAAGTGTGGGTATGTTTCATCTGTATTTTGACCATCGCCTTGTGGTGCGCCGAATCGGCCTTGGCCAACTTCTGGGGCGACAACGGAGTCATTGCTGTCATTCCTTTTGTGTTGCTGTTTGGCACCCGCATGCTGACCAAGACGGATCTTAATAATTTCTTGTGGTCGGTGGTGGTCCTGGCTCAGGGTGGTATGGCCCTTGGATTTGCCGTTAAAAGTTCCGGATTACTGGATATTATTGGTCACCGTATCGCCACGGGGGTCGAAGATCTCCAAGTACTTGCGATCATCTTTATTTTTGGCATCTTGGTGCTGGTCTTTTCCACCTTTGTCAGCCACACCGTGGCCGCCTTGATTATCTTGCCCATTGTGAAACACGTCGGCGAGCAACTCACTCCTCCCCGACCGAATTTGCTCGTCATGGTCACCGGTCTTGTCTGCTCCGTCGCCATGGGTCTGCCGGTTTCAGGATTTCCCAATATGAACGCTATCATGCAAGAAGATGCTGCGGGCAAAGCCTACTTGAAGATCAAAGATTTCATTCTTTGTGGCATACCAGCTTCAATTGTCGCCGGCATTATTGCTATTCTCTTGGGCTATGCCATTGTCAGTGGCGTGGGCTACTAAAATATTCTTTCTTTTTTCTTTGCATGCATTTTTCATATTGACACACCGCTTTTCAAAACCATCATGTAATAATAAACACATCTCATCTTGTAACTCTCCAGATACATAGTAGAATAATGGAGCGTGCCTAAAATTCCATTAAAGGAACTATAAAAGTGGCTAAAACTCTGTACGGGAATCTGGAGTCTTGATGGGAAATAATGTGGCGAGAAAGAGAGACTTTGCACTGCAGACAAAATTATCTCAGCCAGCAACAGAGGAGCCAAACTCCACACTTCACTTGCATGCCAATCGTGCAATACGGTGCGGAACAGGGACTGTATGGCAACCAAGAACATCCCACGTGTCGGGATACAACAACAGTGAGCGTCTTTTAAGCATTCAGGCGGGGTCGGTAATGAACCATGTTTAACGCCAGTAACGAGTGCTTTTTAAGCAATACATTTTATGATCCTTTCTTCATCGATTTTAAAGATCGACTCGTTCGTTTGCTTTTTTAATAGTTGGACACATCTAATTACAGGCTAAGGTTCATAAACTTTCTCTTGGAAAAGCACATCCACCATTTGCTAGGCTTTCCATCCACAAAGGTCTGTTCCACTAATCGAGATGCGATTTCCTGACGAAGTTGTTGCACGTATTGTCTTAATTGATCTATTATTGGCCATTCATCGGGGGAGAGATGGCTCGGTTAGTATCATGTCAGCCAAAGTGATACATAGATCTGACGTACCAGCTTGAGATCGGTCGGGAGGAGGAGTGTACATGGCATTCAAGGGAAAGTTGGGATCTCCGGGAATAGCGAAATTGGAGACAGCCAGTGTGCTCAACTGCTTCATTGCTTCACCTTGAGGTGTTGCTTTGTTCAACTTGCCCAAACATTCGGAAATAAAGAGGATGCAATAGATTAACACACGATCGGCGTTGCCTTTGATTTCAAAGTTGCGGAATAAACAGTTGGCTCGGAAAAGGCTCAGAGCTTCATCTACGATATCTTCGCTGTTTGGATCGGCTAAAGCAGTTAAAAATGAATGAGTTGGCGACTCGATGCGGACATGTAAATTTTTCCCAGTTGTCGTTCTCTATATATTACCCATAGGCGCGTTGCCTCTGAATTTCGTTTTTATGGGGAGCAGGAACATGTTGCCAATGGATTGAAAGTCGCCATCGTTAAATTGTGAATGATAAGCCTGCAATGAATAATAATAGCAACGTCAATACAAAAAAGCTGCCAATGCAAAAAAGGCCTTGGCGTTGGATGGGTTGCTCGGCTTGCTTGACTGTATCAAAAGAGGTAGAGCTTCCCATCCAACTCGTCAATCCCTGCCTAAATGCATAGTGCAACTACATTACCGGCATCTTTCCAAATATTCTGCGTTAACAGGTTTAACGGTCAATGCAAGCACAGAATAGAAGTAAGAGGTTGAAGTTCTATGGCGAAAAAAGGATAGAGAACATCTCTCGAACCCAGCACAGCACGTTCAAACGCCGCCCGAAGGAACGACATGACGTCATTTTGGAGAGCCCATTTGGTGCAGCTTTGAGGGAATGCTGTTGACATGACGCAGCTTCTTTATACTGTCGTCCTCTTATCAATCCACTGATTATACGTTCATGGATAGAGAAAATATTTTGGGCTGGATGATCTGTACGGTGGCTGTAACATGAGTCTGGTTTATTGACGTTGGGATTCATTCAATATAGTTATTCTGATCTTGCGTCTACTGGTTATCTTTCATTTGCTTTTTTCAGTCTATCTTTTTTTCTTATTTTCATTGACAAAGGTGTTCATTAATCGTTTCGTTTCGCAAAATAGAACTCTATTGCAGTGAACAATATACTGGGTTTTTTCAATTTTGAACCCATAAAAAAGAGCATTTGCTACCCTTAGAATACTCGATGCCATCATCCTTCTAGACTTAGGAGTCATGGGTGGATAAGTACGCATGAATCACGGATAAAATCAATAGAAGCATTGTTTTGACTGGTTTTGATACACTAGTTTGGTTGTACGGCTCAACGTTTTAAGTGGAAAATATATTCGTTAAACCAACAAGTTATATAAACGTAAACATAAAAATCGCTGATTTATTGCATTACAAAAAGGGTTTTTGAATTGCAAAAAGATACAAAGATGTCCTAATTTAATTATTGCTAAAGCATGTCTTGACACCCTTCTTCTGAGGGGAAGTTCCTTGGTTAAGCCAGTTATCGAGTCCACCGTCACCCAAAGCATCGGCAAGTTTTTGTGCGTTGGCAATGATAAAGCCTCTGTTCAACGAAAAGCGCGCAAACTGCATTTCGTAGGTTTGAGTCTTCACAGTTGTCTTACCACTCTGGGTCTTGGTCATGTTGAGAGTCACATAGTTGATAAAGATGACGAGCGTACCATCCACATTGACGACAGGCGACTGGTCAAACAGAGACTTGTATGCATTTTGCTGCGACTCGGACATGACCGCGTTGACCAAACCTTGGATGGAGCTGATAACCTGGTTGATATCAATTTTGAGATAACCCTCGTAAGCTTCCTTGATGCGGTTTGCAATAAGGTTGATGTTGACTTCATTCAATTCGAATCTTTCTCGGGATGAGTGCTCGAGCAAGAAACCGGGGAAACGGGAGACATCTGAAATGTAATCCATAAATTTCGACGCGGTTTCGGCTTGGGATAAAGAGGCCGGGGTGTAACCAGTACGGCTGCCACTGTAGGTAAGGATGGTACCGACGGCATCAGGATGATTCTTGGGATTTTGGAAAAGATCCAAGGAGGTGCGCACAGTATCCGACGTGTTCTCGCCTTGGAAGAAAGGATGAGCCACCCCCTTGTCAGCATTGTCCACATTGGGAGTTTCAAGGGGGGGTGGGGGAGATTTCTTCTAGCCAACCAGTTGTCGAGTTCAGCAGCGGTGCGTTCGATTTCTTGGACCATGATTGTTGTTATGTTTTCAAAAAGCAAAGGAAGTTTTGAATAATGAATCGACAAGGTACAAATCGTCTGTCGTATTTATATCTTTAATGATCAACCCAACCCACAGTGAAAAAAAAATATACAGTCCTCGGTCTTAATCGATGAATATATCCGTCATGTCTCGCCATTGGCATGGCGACGAGGTAACATTCACTATTGCCTTTTTGTAAAGCTATCTCCGTGAACTTTTTTCCCATCCTAATTATACACACCCTTGAAAACTCCTCTTCTAATGCCCTTTTTTTTTTTTAAAAAAAAAGGGCATTACCAATGCATGACCGCGATAAAGCGCCAATCAGATTTATCGTGTCATCAAATTGACTCGGAAAGATTCCATAGAAAGAAATACGCTTCTCCTCTGTTCAGGTCGCGTAGATTCTCATAGGTTATCTTTGGTACTTTGTTTGCGTAAAATTCTTCCAAGTTTATCGTTTGTGTGGGTGTGCGAAGATGTTCCCAAACATACCCGAAAAGAAAAACTTCATGCAAAACGAGTGCACCCATCCAAAAGAGCGAATGTAAACAGTCTGTGGGTCAACCGATAAATTTACGCGCCACCACCAATCACAGCCACCCTCCGCTCGGATGTACCTGTTAAAGTCGCCATGTCCGCATGATCTTGATTTTAAAAAAGAAAACGAATCGATCCTTCTTTTCTTGTGTAACGAACGACCAAAGAATAATCTCGATTGTATCCCGCGCGATTTTTTCACTCGCAAATGGACACTGGCTGACCCTTTATGCATAATTTGAAATTTTAAAAAGCTAACCAGTTTCAGAAGGTCTCCTGGATGAATAGATGCCAACTTTTAGTTTTTAGTTCTCTTATCAATGATATTTGGAACCAACGAACACGCTTCGACTGCTTTTTCAGGTTTGGCAAGCAACGCACGGTTACACATTGCTGTGTCGCACGATTTAGGCTGAATGCATCCGTCACCAATGGCGACCAACGTACTTCATGAAGTTCCATTCTTGAATAATAGCCGTAGACCTTTGCTCTAAATTGGAAGTTCCCATCCTCAATACATACAGATAAGTCATTATCTCGATCAGCACGTCGCAATTCCAGGTTTGCGACTCCTTCCAAAGTCTTATCATCGGGCTTGCCACCCAGCCTCACCTTGTCGTACGGTCGTGCACGTGAGCTCGATCATATACCTGATAGATTGCTCTACTTGATGATTACGTTCTTTTTATTTTGGTCTTGTATGATGCAATCGGTGTTGTTCTATATGAACGATAGTTTACATTAGGATCGAGTCCAAAGCGGCAGTTTTGCTGCAATCTCAAGACATAGTTGCGGCGAGGTTTGATTATCTGGTCTGTGTGAAAAACTAATTTTAGCTTGTCGATCGGCATGAGCCTTTGTTTTGTCAGTGTGTTTGCTACACACTTTGACGAAATCCGTGCAATTGTTTTTGTGATACCCAGTAAATGCTAGGACGATGAGGGGCTATGTCTAGGAAATTGGAAATTTTTACTTCTGAGGATGTGTCGCTATGATCACGGTTCAGGCTTGGCCCGGCGCTTGGCCCCGCGCTGGGCTGTTCTCCATTATCATGTTCTCACATTGCACTCATCGTCCCATTTGCGCGGATAGAGCTTAAAGAAGATGACCACAATATTTTCGTTTGTCTTCAAATATCTGGCCTGTGGAAAGATCGAGCACGGATACGTGGATCTAAATCTATATCTTGTTAGAAATGCCGAGAGCCCCAGCCCAGCGCGGGAGCTACAGTAGTTAAGCATATATGGCAATTATTGTATACAAGACAAGTTTTTCGACTTTGAAGTTGCTTTTAATGCAGTTTTTCAGAAACGATCACTATGGAGATCGGTTGCAACCTTATTTGCCTTCTCGCGAAAAGGATGATGCGTGTTCTTCGGGTAATCACGTCCTTCCTAACCAATCTCGAGCTGAGCGATATTTTATTGCGCGCGTTGCGACACAAATTTATTAAGATAATTGTCCGCAAGGGACTTGTAACCGATGAAGTACAATGTAAATCTCGTTTCGATCACAAAAAGACCCATTACGTGGAGCTCCAAGTATCATTTCGTTTCAATATTAAACAACTTTTGACGTTGACATTTTTTTATGCATTCTCGTAAGCCGTACCCAAAGCGTAACTAGTCATTGTCTTTTTTCTTTTTTCAGAGCTGACGTCCAGGAAATTGTCTGAATAAACAAAGCACCGTGGGATCGTGTCGGAGCAAGTGGACAGTGAAATGCTTTTTCCCCCATCAGAAAGCAAGCGAGTGCTTTACCGTAATCGATCTTGCAATAGCCAACGCGACTTATGTTATTAATGGGACTGTAGGAACGGACATAACATCATTGTGCTGTTGTTGATGTATCTTGCAGTAACTACAAGGCAAGAAAAAAAATTCCAGGTTGAAGCTTGATATGCGCATGATTGACAACCGTCTAGTTACTCATACGAGCGGATAACAGTTGTTTATAATCCTACTAAATGGAAGGTATCATCCTACCGAGGTTCCTTAAAACGGGTTGCATGTAATTACAGTATGCAAAATTGCAGGAACACATGATACAGTATAAATCTATTAATCGCATCACTTGCGTCTCAATATCAACCACTTTCGATTTTTGGACATGATAGCGGCATACGAAAGATGGGACTTTCGAATATATTATATCTTATCCGTACATGATCATCACATCATTAATGTATAAAGTACGCTAATGGTTAGCTCCAAGAAACATGCTTACGCATTGACATTATGCAACTGCATTTGCCAGCATCGCGACTGGTTCTTTGCGCAACATCAAGTACGCATAATTTTGGATTAACCCTTTAGGTTTCAAGAAGGATTCCTGCTCTTGCGCTTTTGATGGACTACTCTTCGCGAAGCAGAATAACCTAAAAAAAAGAAAAGCTTGATTTTGAGCTCTCTTATACAAGTAATCAGCAGCTTAGTATAGTTTGGGAAGACAGAAACTGAGAATACAATTATTTGTTTTACTGCGAGCCCCATACAATAACTGCATATGGTACGCTCATTTGTTTGTTTGTTTGTTTGTTTGTTAATAAGAGTGATTCACTTTACAGCAAAACAAAATCGCATCGTGAAAATGGGTGTCAATGTTTCAAGAAGTCTGTTCAAGCTTATTTCCTGCTCGAAAGGCTAAAAAAAGTTCGAAATTGGAAAGAGACCCTTTATTAAACTTGAATATTGATATTCATTGACATTGTTCATTATTACAAGGGATCTGCTCTTTGTGATCTCCGCACACTCTTTTTTGTTCATGCTGTCGGTTAACGTAACTATCAATTGTTCATACGAGGTGGGATTTTTATATCTGCATGCTGAACTCTTATCTCAAAAATTTGAGGGCCATCAAGTACAAAACAGGAACAGAAAGCAAACGAGAATTTAACGTTGCTGTTGCTAAGATTGTGGCCAGTGGTGAGTCACTACGGCAACATTCTCCGCTGCATTAACGAAACTAACATAATACAAAAACTGGCCAACTTGTTGAAAACTAGAGAATATTGTATCGAGAAGTTGCATATAAATTTCGACATGATAAAGACTCGGATAAGAATCGTAAACTTTTATTCATTACCATTTCAAACATGGAACGCCAAACACCTATTGACATTGAGAAAGGCCACCAAGCTCTTGATGAATGGTTGAAAGGACGCCATCGCGGTAAAGCTCCTATTAAACTTCCTGATGCAAGCATCGCAGACAAGTCGGTGGCCGCTCCCTTTGCCCAGGGAAAAAACACATCCGATCCCAATGCCTCGGCCTATGATATGTTCCATGATCCCAAGAACCACCCTGATGCAGTTGGCGCTATTCTTACGTACTGTGGTACCAAGATGGGTTACACCCCTGCTTCTTTGTCGCAAGCCGAAGCCGCTGAAAAGTTTACCGACTATATCGAGTACGTAACAACATTCCCTGGTTTCTTTTTAGAGCATACTTCCGACGAAGGTTTTGAATTGACGGAAGTGAACGTGCAGCTGATTGCGTCTCGGCTCAAGGATGCGTATGACGGCTATGTTTCGGTGGACGTGAACCATCTTATCGACTCCATCGAAGGTTTGATCCAGGCCGTCATGTCCGAGAAGCAACAAAGTGCATACAAGTCTCTGTTTGACCAATCTCCCGTGGCCAACGTGGATGGCACCATGCACATTTTCATCAATTGGGTCGTGCTGAACATGAGCAAGACTCAGGATGGCAAGACAACCGTGATTACCCAGAACTACAAGATGAAGTTCGCTCGTTTGATCTGTAACCGAACCTATCTCGTCACCTATGCCCAAAAATTGGCCGACGCTATTGGTGACGGCAGTTTGGACGACTGGATCAATCAAGGCACCTCGAACCAAAATCCTGCCATTAAGAGCTGTGTCAACAAGATCCAATAATTAGCATGTCTTTGGGTTATAAGGTGTCTGAATAACTTTTTCAATAAAGATTTGAGATGGGGGGTTGTATAAATAAAATCAGTGTTATTTTGTCAATCGAATTACCCAGGCAACACTGCTTTTCTAATTTTGCGCAGGTGCCGGTTGCCACTGTTTGGCTGCAGAGTTCAATGAAGTCCGATCAAGCAACCAATGTCATTGGACATGCAAGGAACAAATTTGCATTTCCATTGGTGCATGCTAAGTAAAAAGCATTTGTGACATCACTGAAATTTGAAAATCGAGATAGTTTTTTTTTTTCTTTTTTTTTTGGGTGGTTGTGTTGCTGTAGATCTCGATAGTTCCCATCCAAGTCATGGCCCGACATCGTCTCTTGGATTTCAATAATGAACTATTGACCTGTATTGCAGGCCATTTGGAGCTCGAGGATCTCAAGAATTTGTCGCAAGTGTGCCACCGGTTGGCCGTTGTTTGCCACAGCGATGCGGTCTGGAAGGAAATGCTGATCAACAAGTTTGGCGTGGGATACAAAATGGCCAAAGAAAGTTGGAAGGAGATGTACACTCGCAAACACGATGATCCTCAACATAATCGCATCTGTCCTCATCTGAGCGATGTGAACGCCAAGTGTCTCGAACCGTATATTCAACGTTATCATCAAGTCCTCAATTGGCTCCCAAAGAACCTTAACTGTCGAACCTGCGGTCAAAATCAACAGGACGCCGGTTTATGCTTGTACATCTGGCAAGGCAACACTCGTCTCCGTAAGTACAATGTACCCGTTCGTTTAAGAAAAATGGCAAAAAAATTTATGTGTGTTTGCCTTTCATGAATAGGATGTCGAGATTGTGCGTATCGATACCACGCTTCGATCCCTGGTCGTCATGGAATCATGTTTCGTATGAACGTATTGCAGATGTATTGCTTTACGTGTTCGCGACTTGTAAGTTATTCACATAACAGTATCATGAAATTTGCTTGTCTCTTACGGTTGTTGGATTTGTGTAGCTTGGTGAATCGAGAGGCGACCAAAGTGAAGCCGAATATGTCGATCATTTGTTGGAGATCATTACTCGAGACAGCGAGCTAGGACGTGGAGCGATGGAACGACGGAAACAATGTATGGACGAGCGACAATTGTATGCACACGATTGTGATCGGCTGTCTGTTCTGACCTCGGGGCAGTACTTTTTTGTCGATCGCATGTGGATCTGTTCATGGTTTTTGCGATTATGTGATGGAAAAGTGGGGGTCGGACCCATTGATAATACTGCCTTGGCGGATGAAAACGGTCGTCTGAACCCCAGCGCGAGACCAAGAGGCGCTTTTAGTGGTGGCTTCAGCATTGTGACGCCCGAGTTGTGGAATTACTTGGTGGAAACTTACGGATTGCTGGGTCCTGCTTTTGGTGCCGAGGATGCGCAAGGGCCAGCCTATGACGAATTGCACAAAGCCATCGATAACTGGGGATTAACCTAGACTGTATATAGATAGACGACACACATACACTACCCTTATATCCATTTTGTTTAAATTAAAAAAAACCCATTTTTGCCTCGATTATTCTTACATGAAGCGGTGACTGGACCAGTGACTCTCTCAACCGTTTGCTTGGGAAGAACGAAAGCTACAAAAGAACAGTGATACGGTATGATTTTTAGCTGCAAGCAATGAATCGATCGAATAATATTTTGTTCAGGTAAAGGAGCAATAAGGGTTTAAAATTTATTACGGGTGGTAACTAAGTGTGGCAAGAGGGGAGAAAGAGTAAAATGATATATGATACATGGAGCACAATGCTTGTAAGAAAAAAGTACAGGGTTTTTACCGACGACCATTGACGGCGGTCGATAACGTAGATCCAAAGGCGGCAGCCAGTGTCGCCGTAACACCGATGGTGGTGTATGTGATTTGTTGAGGTGTGGCCACCAGCAATTTGGCCAAAGCCCGCCGCATACTGTTTTCCACGGGGCCTCTCAAGAAGATGTATAGTACGATCCAGTAGAGCGCCCCTTTATACGCAAACGACAGTCGGAACAGGCGACGTGAAAAGCGGACCAACCGTTGTTCGGAGCGTATGAGATGGGTTTTCAAGGGAGCAATAGCATAGGCGGATTGAGGATTATCAGGCGGGAGTAAGTGAGGATAATGAGGTGGTGGCTGGACGAGAACAGTGAAATGATTTAAATCGTCGATATTGCTTGGATCATCGAGATCGATGGTTTGCGTGCCTTGCTCATGAGCTAGCCTTTCCAATCGATTGGCAAGAGCCGCGGAAGAAATGCCTCCCGCACGAGGATCGGGGCCCGGTTTCTGGAAAAATGAGGTCAAGAAATTCGCCCCAATATGTAAGCCTGTCCAATAATAGGGAGACTGGATCAACTGCTGAGGAACGGCCCAGGACAATGACGGTCGTCGGTGATACGTAATCGGCGTCAATGAACCCGGTGTACCGTAATGACTCGACGTAATACTCATCGATGGGTAGATGGCAGGTGAAGGTTGGAATATGCTAGATCGATGGGACGATGACTCCCGCGCATCAAAGAAAACGTCATCGGATTCGGCTTCCGAATCGTCGTACACTGTTTCGATGACACCCTCGTCTTTCGCACTTGATGACGGTACTGGAGAAGGCACTGGTGACGGTACCGGCGACGGTTCAACGACCAGTCCCTGCCCATACTTTTGCAGTGTTTGATCGGATTCAATAGACCATTCGAAATCATCCACGCCACCTAATTCTGTAGATCATGCATCAATTCATCCATAATTCTTCACGCTACTGAATTATGTCCACCTACCTATGAGGAGATCCTGGGCAGCCACCGCCTGGAGAATATCTTTGACACCGGGAAAATTGATCTTGCTTTTGGCATTGTCGCTCAACATCAGTTTCACCATTTGCCACAATCCTTGATACATCCAACCAAAATTCATGATGTACACCGAACCAATAAATCCCGGAAACCGTTTATCTGTAATATCTCGTAACGAATGCATCAATTGTTTCTCCTACATTATCAGGTTAGATGAAACGAACCATGGAGCCGAAACAACGTATCATATGATACCATCATAGGAACGTCCAACTTACCATGGGGACAAAGGGAGCCTTTGCAATATCGATGATGACCACAATTTGAGAGACAAGAACAAATGTATATTCGTCTATGTGTTGCTGTCTTTCCTGCGTGATATCCCATGTCAACTTTCGAGCGATTTCCATTACGAGACAGGCGAAGGGTGGTATGTAATCCGACAACGATTTGGTAGTATCCCGAAATTTCGGAAAATGACGCATACGAATCAGAGCAATCGGTCGACCGAGAAGATCTTGTTTGTGGAAAAAGGCGAATCCATTTTCGAAAAACTCGGGCGCCACCATTTCCCACGTAAGCTGACTGATTCCGATTTCTGCTCGCCATTGTATTGTGTCCACCAAACGTTTGAAAGCATACTCTTCAACGAAATCCGCATCCCGTAAAAACCTGAACAAGGTTACTGCATTCCGTAGAAAAACAATGTGGAATAGAAGAACAAAGGAAACAAAGAGAAACCGGGTTAATAGGGTCCATTGAGCGATTCAACCCATGGTCAACTTGGCAATGTACCTCTATCTTTTACATATTCCTTGGCATCGAGTAGATCGACCGGTGACATTTCCATGGTATCGAGATGACAAGTCAACCTTTTCTCGAGGTTGGTCAAGGTGTCAGCATGCTCGTGGTATTCAAAATTTAGCGATAAGGCAAGTTCTCGCGATATAGCTAGCATGGCTGTTTTTTGAGTCTTTTTTTCTTTTCTATATGCTTCTGTTTTGCGGATACTCTAGTCGCTTGAAGCGATAATGGGTAATTATTTTTTTATTTGTCTTCGGCCGCCGGAAATTGAATGAAAAAAAGCACATTTTTGTATTTCCCCAACAAATGCAATAAAAAAAGGTGGTAAATTTTGTCATTGAAATGCCGTTTTAACCAAAAATAAATGTCGCTTTACTGAAATTGATCACATTTGTCCCCTTTGTGTGCCCAAATTTTTATCAAACCACATTGGCCAAAACGATGCTTATTAGTGATTTTTTTAGAATGGGATTTTGTTATAACAATGGATGATTTGTCGTTGAGAATACCTAGCAAAGCTGTACAAATTTCAGCAAGTGCGGCATTATGCCTCAGCTAAACCTTCCATTCATTGTTTGTAAAATCCCAGGTGATGCTAACTTGCGTTTCGGAAACATAAAAGCCCAACTGTAAACTCCAGAGATAACTTATCGTTGGAATCTTCAGAACAAAACGAAGAGGTGGCGCCTTAACAGTAGTTCACGGATATATATCATATAATCACGTCGTCCATATTAGGTTAAGTTACAAGTTTATGGGTTCTAAAAATCCACTTAGGTATCAAGAGTAATAAAGCCAACCGAACAAAAGGATAAAATAAATGGTCATTATAAAAAAAAAAAAAGAAGAAGCGAAATAGAAAAAAGCATCGATGAATAGATAGCTGATTATAACCATACGTACAGTGGTCATTGGGGTTATGGTTTGTGCCGATGCAAGCAGTTTACTTCAGCTAAGATTTAACAAATAACCGGCCAACGCACTTCCGATTTAGGATTGTTGCTCCGGAAAGGTGTCAACACTGACGTAGTATATCCAGAAAAAGGAGACACCTTCGCAGTCATGGGGACCAGTAACGGGTTGTGCAAACAGGCAGTAGCATGTCTTTGGCTGAGAATTTCTACCTGGGGTCCATAACAACACATCTATGGCGGTCTGCTTTAGACACAGGTAATCATATCACGAGACTTCTAGAGGACAATCGTTTTTAGTCAAGTGACATTGGATTCAGTGACAAATCTCACCGTTTTCATCGTATCGTACTTTCTTGAATGTGCACATAATGGACAGTAGATGTTCACTTAAAAAAAAAAAAGATCTGTTTTCGTAACTTGGCTAATGGCCGCGTGCAACTTGTTATACAAAGAGAACCCACGTCCATGAACTGATCGAAAAATAGCCTTCAGCTGCGTGGATTGGTGTCTAGGACGCTCACCAAAAAAGGCTACAGGCCGCTAGCATCCGTTCAAAACAAGAACCCATGTCCATGAACTGATCGACAAATTGCCATCAGATGCGTGGATTGGTATCATGGGACGTTCACCAAAGAAAACAAGTGGGAAAGAAGAAGAAACAAAAAGAAAAGAAAAAGAAATGCGATTATTCGCTTCGGGGAGGGGAGAGTTGAGTTGAGTATGGTGTCATATGGCTGCCAATGCGCAGGTCATCGTTTGTCACGCATGAACATATTTTTTTTTTTTTTTGTTTCCTGCTTTAATTGACTTACGTGTTTTTGGTGTCCCCATTTCTCTTTCTGTTTATCCATTCGCACGTAGGTCATCTCCATCCCTCAAACCATCATTGGTGCCACTGCTGCTATTGTTCAGTCCGTCGGACCCTTTGCCGAAGACTCCCCTGCTGTCGCTTTCGCATTCGCAAGACGACATTTCCTATTATGAACATTTGTAGGTATCTGATAAGTCTTGTAGCTATTATTATACCTTTTTAAAGGGGGTTATTATGTCCTGACGCTGTCTTTGTTCGTCAGCATATACCTGCCATCGTCCGAAGAAGCGCTGCGTGAGGCCTGCTATTCGTTGTTGTGGATTTGAAGCGAAATCTCTGTCTCTTCTTTTGAGGTTGACAGAGGTTTTGTGCATGTAACTTTCCATACAAACTCCAGACAGTTTGGAGGGCCTGAGAATAGGGCCCATCTCTGCGTATCTCTCCAACTGGATTGACGAGCAAACGCAACGCAAGTTCCTTGGGCCAAGTTCAACGAGATGCTTCGATTAGGTAGCGACATTTTGACCATGGTATATTATAGATAACATTCCGAGATGATAATCATGTTGATTATCATTTCATTATTCTAAGGTTTGGATTGTGAAGCTCTTGTCCCGCGAAGTTTTTTCTGATCGGGGACATGCATGTGTACAAGGCGCTGCAGTGCTATTTTGAAGAAGATCGTGCGTCTACATAATGATATGAGTGATTGCTTGCGTTTGTGCAACTGAGAATTGAAGAAACCGGTCATTTCTTCGAATATGACGCTGTTGATGGTAACGGCACTTGTAGGCATCTCGGAGCACGGGATAGATTGAGGTAAGTTGAAAAGCATGATGCTTTATCATAGTTTAAAGATTAGCCTTTATTTTTCAAAATCATATGAAATAATAAATAAACTCGGTACGGTTTTTAAAGAATAACTCTGTTACTGTGCGCATGGATGCCACGCATAACTCGGTGAGGAATGTCAGCGGCAAAAGATTATTTCTTTCATCATTGTTTCCAAGTTTTGGTGATTGACAAAGGTCTCCCGTTAGCGTGGATGATTACGGTTACTTTGTCGATGTTTCCTGTGGAGAAGGGACAATGATTTATTGGAATCGTTCCCAAGCTTGAGGACTCTGAGGATTAAGAGAGAAAAAAAGTACAGGTTTTTTTTTTTTGATTGAAGTAAAAGACAGCTTGATATAGAAAGAACGAGATGTCAGACAAACAGTGGTGTGTTCAAATTCAGTAACCGACCCTGGGATCAGTAACTGCATGATTGAGAGTTTGCGACTCCGAGGATCCCCAAGTGTGCGCAGCCTGCTTAACGTTTGGTTTGATTTCTTCTATGTCCTTATCGGCGTTTTCTTTGTAAGATAGTTCATTGCTACTGGCGCATTAGCCGTATCCTGATGGTTGGGATAAAAAACCAAGAGGGAAACACCGTAACTCGGCCGGTGCGCCTCTACAGAGATGCTTCGAATTTATACGAATTCGTCTTGTAAAGGCAGTTTTGGATAGATCAAAATCTGAACAAAAGTAATGGATGTCGTGCCTTGGGACAGGATCAAGTGAATTGGACCCATCGACCGCTTCCATCTTATTCGATGCCTTTCGGACTTGAAATCATCAAAAAGTCCGCTTGGACTTCCTCAATGCATAGTCCTTTTTGTCTTTTTCTTGAAGGCGTGTGTGAAACTTTTCATAGTCAGAAACCTTCTTGTTTCTTCCCCATTGTTGCTGGGATACCAATCAATTAACTTTGCAGCATTGATACAAATGCGGCACGTCTCTCTACACCTAATTCTCGCGAAGTTAGTCTTTTTCCATTTTTTATTCGATGGCTGCCCTTCAACCTTCCATTGCATTAAGAAAAAAGAAAAGGAAAAAAAAAGAAAACGTCAAAGAATTTTGTTCTTTTTCCTCCTCTCCCCGTTTCCTTTTTTTTCCCCCTCTTTCTCCCGCCAAACGCACCCATTGACAATCACTGCCGACCGACCTCCCGATATTACTAACATTTTGTAGGCTTCAAGACGCTCTGCTCTGTTCCGCTCTGCTCTGTTCCGCTCTGCCTTCCCGCGACGACTTGGTGTCCGCTGATTGGCGTTTTAGCAAGTTTTGGCTGTACTCATTTTGTAGGACAGTTTGATGGTACTAACATTTTTGTAGGGCAGTGGTACTAACATTTGTAGGCTTCCGACCAGACGAGCCGGCTCCCGAGCCCATGGCATAGCTATAAGTTGGACGGGGTTGGGATAGGGGAAGAAGTTACAACAACTTGCCCAGCCAAGTTGTTGGTTGGGGGTCACCCGTCTTAACTCATAACTAAATGCCATCGATACAATAGTTTCCTTTCCTAGTTTATTAAACGGGTTTGAAATTCTCTTGTAATAAAGAAACGCCGTTTTGCATAACAGATTTTATTTTTATGAGTTCGCATATCATTGAAGTCAACTGATAAAAGCAAGTGGAATCTATAATACCATTCATAGATAATGGTGCAAAAAGGACGTAGTTTTTTCCAACGTTCGCACACGCCTCCGTGAAAGCCTTGAGTTGAAGTGTTTCGAACACGGATTTTCTAAAGACTCAACTAGGCTGCGGATCGTCCACAAATGCATTCGATCACCCGAATCATGAATAGAAGTTGGCAGTTTAAGATTGTGTTGCCATTTTTATTTCAGAATAAATGAGCGCCACGCATACTTGATGCAAGTCAACTATGGTGTTAGTGAACGATGCAACCTGAACAGCCGTGTTTGAACTCTTTTGTGCGGAGTAATGAGGCTCCAAATCCGGCAATTTCCTTTCATTGTAATAAACCGTCACAATTTCCTTAGACACAAGAAAAAAAAAGGATCAAATCGGGTCGTTTAAGCATCGCTATATTGTTAGATCATGCCGCCTAAAAGATCCATCCAAAAGGTGTCTACCAAAACAAAAACACCGACCAAAGCCAAAGGCAAGCCGAAACCGACATCGGATGTGAAAAATAAAGCCAGTAAAAAGGGCAAGGAAAAGGTATGAAATCTATGCAAAGCCATCGTCGATCAATGATGCTAACAATGGTCTTGACGGTTTTTAGGGCGCTATTCCTGAATTCGTGAGCGTACCAGAAGTAGACAACGACGATCTGGCGATATCCGACGATGATCTCGAATTCTTTGCCGATAATCAAGATTTTAAACAGTTCCTGACTTCCATGGATCCCAAAGAATTATCGAGGTAAGAATAATCGCGTGCAAACTAAGCAGTCTTTCACGAGGAAACCGTCCATTAACAGCGGAATCGTTTTGTTAGAAACACACAAAAGACCAAGAAAAAATCACAAAAAAGTAGCGGTCCTGCGCTTATTCCTGAACCTGAAGCGCTTTCTTCCTCTGAAGACGAACTCGACGATGAAATCGATAATGACCTGGATCTGGACAATGACAGTGATCTTGACGATTTGGAAGACATGGATGACGAGTTGGAGGCAATGCACGAGGCAGGTCCAGTGAAGAAGAAAAAACCGGTTGAGGAGTCGGATGAGGAAATGGACTACGAGAGAATACCACGCAAGGTCGCCAGTGAATGGACACGCAAAGATCACTTCAACAAACTGCCTATCAAATTGTCGGGTGGCAAACTTGTCCAGCTCGATGAAACTCCCAAGGAAGATGAATCTGAAGATGAAGCAAACGTAGAAACCGAAGAAGTAACTGAAGCTGCGGGTGCATCGGACGCGGAGGAGGAGGAAGAGGAGCAAGAGCCGGCACCAAAGTTATCGAAAAAGGCGCACGTCTTGTCCATGAAGGAAGAACTTGCTACTATCGCTTCCAATATTCAAGAAGATCCCGAAGCTAATGTAATGATCGACGCATTGTTCTTATTGACAGCATCCGATTTAACATTGATATTCACATTGGCTTTAGATTGGACAACTAAAATCGCTCCGTAACATTTTCAAAGACGAGGACCGCACAGTTCAAAAGCTGGCTCTGTTGACACAATTGGCTGTGTACAAGGATGTTATTCCCGGGTATGTATAGCAAACGAGAGTTAACGAGGGAAACAAGGAACGCAGCGACTGAAAATTTTTTCCTACAATAGCTACCGTATCCGTCCTCTTACCGAAAAAGAAGAGGGTGTACAAGTGTCCAAGGATGTCAAGAAACTGAGAGAATACGAAAAAACATTGCTCCGAAACTATGAATTATATCTTCAGGATTTGGGCTCTCTTTTGACGAGTGAGTTGATCTTGCACTCTATGCACCTACCTATTCCTATACTAATCATCGATATCGCCTTGCTTCTCTTTTTATACAGAAAAGAAGACGGAAGAAGACGCAGCGATGGGTTTGGTCGCCACTCGTTGTTTATGTGAACTTCTCACCAGCAAAACCCATTTCAACTTCCGTTTGGAAATCATGGTTGCCATCGTAGCACGTATGAGCACTGTGCAGTGGAACGAGGTACGATGATACAACAAATGCTTGTTTTGTAGTGATGATTGACGAATGTTTACTGTTTTGGATGGGGTTTTAGATGGCTGATATGTGCTGCAAGGCTATCATTACGGTGATGGAAAACGATGAATCTGGACGAACATCGCTAGATGCTGTAAAGATGTTGACGCGTATGATCAAATCCAAGGGCTATGTTGTGCACGAGAATGTGGTCAACACCTTCTTGCACCTTCGATTGAAGGATGAAATGGTTCCTGTGGCTTACCAGGAGGCCGACACGGTTGGCAAAAAGCGAAAGAAACAAGAGAAACATTTCTTGACCAAGAAGGCAAGAAAGGCGCTCAAAGAAACCCGGGAGATCGAAAAAGAGTTCCAGGAAGCGGAAGCCGTCGTCAGCAAAGAAGAAAAGGATAAAAATGTAAGCACACGAGACGCATCCATTTTTTTTTTGTTCAATATGTCTCATCTTTTATATTTGTACTCTGTAGCATACAGAAACGTTAAAGTTGATCTTTACTTTCTACTTCCGAGTCCTGAAGAAACAGTCGTCGTCACCGCTGTTACCGGCTGTTTTGGAAGGGTTAGCTCGATTTGCCCATCTCATCAATATCGACTTCTTTGACGATTTGCTCAACGCTCTGAAAGAAGTGATGCATACCATGGAAGATACAAGTGAAGCCACCCGAGGAGGTGGTGGTACCCGCAAGCGTTTACTGTGTATCATTACAGCTTTCCAGCTTCTGTCTGGCCAAGGTAAAGCAAGCCGAGTATAGATGAGTTTCAGATGATGTGTGCAATACGATACTGACAAAATCTATGGTTTAGGTGAAGCGATCAATTACGATCTCAAGGATTTCTATACAGAGATTTATGTGATTCTCTTCAAATCGGCTTTCCGCACAAAGTTGGAAGATAAAAAAGATGCCAATATTGCATCCGAGAGCGAATTGCTGCTGAAAGGCTTGGAACAAATGTTCTTGAGAAAGAGACAGGTACAGCATAATGAATTGACACAACGGTAAAAATGCGACATGGTATTGACCCAAATCATTCAGATTCCTATTGACCGATTGGCTGCGTTTGTGAAACGATTCTGCCTGGTCGCATTGAATATGCCCAGTAAATCCGTTCAGCAATGTCTGTCCTTTGTTCATAAACTTGTTCAGGTGCGTCCACTTATATGCCAAAGCAATCCGGTGCTTATTACTGATACTGTTAATACACTTTTTTTCGTCCTTTTTAGAAGGATCGCCGTCTTGATGCCCTTTTACAATCTGAAGATCGAGCTGCCAGTGGTATCTATCTTCCGCTTTTGAAAGATCCTGAGTTGTGTAATCCTTTCGGCACCAGTCTTTATGAATTATTCCTTTTACAGGTAGGTGTCACCGATAAAAAAATGAGTACTTACTTGGAATAAGATATGGCTGACACGACCTTTTTGCATAGAACCATTATGATCCGACTGTACGCCGGTTGGCTCAAACAATCCAGCAATCTTCTTTGTCATCATAAAAATAAACTGCTTTCATAATGCATCTTTCTTAAAACGTTGTAAATCAAACAGGCTTTCTACATTACGATCCCACAGTTGTTTGCCATTCTGTGACTCCGGAGTTTTTAAACAAATGACTTGTAAACACAGTAACCTTATTCAGATCATATAGCAGGAAACTAAACGTCTCTCTATTGTACTTTATGTAAAAATCACAGGAATCGAATCATGTATCTGCAGAATTAGCTAAGTAACGATGGCCCATTGATACCACCTTGTAAGTCAAACTGATGTATCACTGTATGCATCCGTTGTTTAATGCTATGGCATTGAGAATTGTTTCTTTACTGTAAAATTTTGTTCACGATACAATAATTTCAGACAAAGGTTATAGGTTATAATACATGACTGGATGATTTAATCATCCAAGTCGACCTTTATATTAAGCATGATGATAAAATATGCAACATCTAAGCTAAGGTTTAAAAAAGGAAAACTATGTAACATGCGAGAGGAGAAGGAAGGGTAGTTGGCTTTTTTTAATTTTTGAACCAAGAATGTCGCTGCATTTAGTCAACTTCTTCAACAGAAGGACCATCGTTGTCAGCACCAGCACCGGCACCAGGGAAACCACCAGGAGCAGCACCAGGAGCAGCACCGGGCATACCACCAGGAGCAGCACCACCGTTGGCTTGGTAGAACTTCATCATGATGGGGTTAACGACTTCTTCCAATTCCTTTTGCTTGGATTCGTATTCTTCCTTGGAAGCTTCCTGGGATTCGTCGAGCCACTTGATAGCCTCATCGACAGCGGCCGTAAGCTTCTCCTTGTCATCTGCGGGAAGAGCACCACCGACCTTTTCGTCTTGAAGAGTGTTGCGGATGTTGTAAGCATAGGATTCGAGGCCGTTCTTGGCAGTAATACGGGCAGCAGCAGCCTCATCTTCGGCCTTGTACTTCTCGGCATCGTTGACCATACGTTCAATTTCTTCCTTGGACAGACGGCCCTTATCGTTGGTAATGGTGATCTTGTTGGACTTGCCAGTGGTCTTGTCAAGAGCGTTGACGTTCAAAATACCGTTGGCATCGACATCGAAAGTAACTTCAATTTGAGGAACACCACGAGGAGCAGGGGGAATACCGGAAAGTTCGAACTTGCCCAACAAGTTGTTGTCCTTGGTGCGAGCACGTTCACCTTCAAAGACCTGAATCAACACACCGGGCTGGTTATCAGCGTAGGTCGAGAAGATTTCGGATTTCTTGGTAGGCACGGTAGTGTTACGCTTGATAAGGGCGGTCATGACACCACCAGCGGTTTCGATACCGAGGGAAAGAGGAGCGACATCGAGCAACAACAAGTCCTGGGTCTTTTCAGAGGTATCACCGGAAAGAATGGCGGCCTGGACAGCAGCACCATAAGCGACGGCTTCGTCAGGGTTGATGGATTTGTTGGGTTCCTTGCCGTTGAAGAAGTCAGAGACGAGTTTCTGGACCTTGGGAATACGGGTGGAACCACCGACGAGAACAATATCGTGAACGGAGCCCTTGTCAATCTTGGCATCACGGAGCACCTTTTCAACAGGATCCATGGTAGAACGGAACAAATCCTGACACAATTCTTCGAAACGGGCACGGGTCAAAGAGGTATAAAAGTCGACACCTTCAAAGAGCGAGTCAATTTCAATGGTGGTCTGAGCAGCCGAAGAGAGAGTACGCTTAGCACGTTCACAAGCGGTACGAAGACGACGGACAGCACGAGCATTGCCAGAGATATCCTTCTTGAACTTGCGCTTGAATTCTTGCATGAAGTGGTTAACAAGACGGTTATCGAAATCTTCACCACCCAAATGGGTATCACCAGCGGTAGCCTTGACTTCGAAAATACCATCTTCGATGGTCAAGAGGGACACATCAAAGGTACCTCCACCCAAGTCAAAGATGAGCACATTGCGTTCGCCTTCGGTCTTCTTGTCCAAACCGTAAGCAATGGCAGCGGCGGTAGGTTCGTTGATAATACGCTGAACATTCAAACCAGCAATGAGACCGGCATCCTTGGTAGCCTGACGCTGAGAATCATTGAAGTAAGCGGGAACGGTGACGACGGCATTCTTGACTTCATGACCAAGGTAAGCTTCGGCGGTTTCACGCATCTTCAAAAGCACCATGGAGGAGATTTCTTCAGGAGTGAAAGTCTTGGTCTCGCCCTTGTATTCCACCTGGATGACGGGCTTGCCTTCACGATCAATGACCTTGAAAGACCAGTGCTTCATATCGGATTGCACTTCAGCATCGGCAAAACGACGACCAATAAGACGCTTGGCGTCAAAGACCGAGTTGTGAGGGTTCATAGCGACTTGATTCTTGGCGGCATCACCAATCAAACGTTCGCTGTCGGTGAAAGCAACATAGGAGGGAGTGGTGCGGTTACCCTGATCGTTGGCGATGATTTCAACACGATCATTCTGCCACACACCAACGCAGGAATAGGTTGTACCCAAGTCAATACCAACTATTAAAAAAAGAAGTTACATGTAAGTATACATGAAATAATACAAAATGCAATCCTAACACACGCTGTGCGTCGTGTGTTATTTAGCTAATAATACTTACTAGATTTGCCTCCAGACATTATGAAAGGATGTAATTTACAAAGATGAAAAAAAAAAGAACTAAAGAAAATATCAAAAGTGAGCTTGCACAAGCTCCTTATATAGAACGAAACCTGCATTTGAAAAAGTTGCCAGCATTTTCTCCAATCTTCGAAGAATCCTTGTCAATGATTGGCTGAAATTTCTCGCGAAGAAAATGCTCGAAAAACCAACTTCGGTTTGTTTCCAAGTCATTCCAAAAAAGGAAAAGCGTATCTTGAAAATCGCACTTGGCATGAAATTGACGAATCGATGGGAACCGCTCTTATCGCGGCAAAATCGCCGTTGAGCTGAAACCGCACCGTTGGATTTTTTTTTATCTGGCAAGAGTTTTACTGCGACAATGGCTACGCATCCCCTTGACGGTTCAAAGGAGGAAGGAACCAATGGCAACCCGATTGCTTGGGAATACAACGTGAACGGTTGCTTAGTCATACGAACCATTGGTGAGTGACCAAGAGAACAGCAAAAGATGAACCGCAGCGGACCATGGCAGGGATATCTGACATAATTTGTTGATATCATCCCTTCCATTTTGGGTGAACATCTTTCTGAATGTCAAAAACGATGCGTGGCATGAGGAAACGCATTGAGAAATATATCGAGTGACGTATGACCTACAATCTTTCACCCCACAGATCACCATTCACCACTTCAAACAATCGGCTTTTCTCACTTCTTTTCTTTTAAGCAAACATCCCACAACTTCCTGCTCAATGACTTGGTTCAAACCTAGCGGAGTGATAAGCCCATGTCGGCCAATGAATGTCGCATACTTGAGAAATGTAGTCCATCCTCTTCTTCCACACTCCTAGAGGAGCCTTCAAGGCAAACGAGCGACCCGTAAGTTCTCCAATCCGTGGCATATCCGAGCCTGGTGTAGACCAGGCTCTCTCGGTGTATGTCGCTCATGGGATCTCTTCCAACTGGGACAAGAGGGAACATCTCTAATCGGAGCGCACAAACCCTGACGTCTCCACAACAACAGATATTGTGAAGATATACTTTTCAGCAAGCGTTAAGAAGGGGTTCCTGTCCACTAAGAAAACTTCCGAAGAAAAAGTCTCTACTTTGCCAAGGGATATCGAAAGAACCTCCTTCACGAGAGCGAACCAAACACCAACTATCGGATGTTTATTTTATCTCGTCAAACGCTTCACCACCATCGATACAAACAACTTGCCGATAATTCCTGACCTGTTTCTCGACGAATTTTATTGTCCTGTCTCACATCAGCTCGCTGATGGCTTTCATGGAAGTTCAGGCCCGAATTTACTGATCAACAGGCCGTATTAATGATCGCAGGAGCGGTTGATCATTTAATGTACCGAGCGTATAAATTCTAGCAAGCGATAGCGCCCACTTACATCAATATGAAAATGGTGTTGGTGAAAATTCGGGAACTTTTTGCGATCATTTTCGATGATGGTAGAATTGAAGGCTTGCAGCACAACGAGGGTTGGAGCTCGCCTTGGTCGACTTGTGTTCCTTGACTGCATCGAGTGAAGATGGTTTTGGCGAAACAATTTGTGCTTGCAGAAAAGTAAAATGCATCGAGCAGTCCCCGGGATAATAATCCGTCAGTGTCTCTGTGGGGTGAGCTTAAGGACCAAACTGATTTGATTGAGAGATCTCAAGCTACAACGAACGAGCTACGATATGAATGACTCTACTGCAGCTGAAGAATAACATAGAATCCGCGCGGAGTATGATACCAGGAAGAGCTCGCCAGAGTTGATGAGAAGTCCTCTGACCGGAGCTGGATTGATGGTGAGGAGAATCCCGAAAAAATGTCATATAACCGAGCAATAAAATGAAATATTGTTTACCCTTATTAATTTTGCATCATTCTTCGAGAATACATTGATGACACAGGTGATATAAACAGAGTACCTCGCTGATTTTCCTTTTTCCCTGTCTTCCACGGGAAAGCATTAATTTACATCAGGCTGAACTTGCAGCGATTATCCGCCAAGTAAATGCGGATGCCCAAATTTGGCAAGTATGACAAAAAAGCTCAAGGGAGACGGACTTGTAAGCGGCAGAAAGGTTTTAACTGCACATCGCTTTGCTTCATCCGAGTCATCTTGCCCTTTGCCATGGTGATATCTATTGCCCAAGTATGGCTGTTTGTGCGATGTTCAATACCAACCGGTCTCTTTTATTTTTTTACCAACCCTGATAAGGGAGTGTCGAAGCGACTATTGATTGTGCTTCTCATTCTGGAAATGCTTATGCCACTGACCAGCGATGAGCATGTCGTTTTATTGGACAAGGCCTTGGTGGCAATCAAAGCGGTCGTGATGAGTGCATGTATGGGATTCTATATCCGAGATCGTCGTCAAAAGTCGGCCGATGGAAAACAAATTGCCCCCTTTTACGATGTCCTGGGACGCTGGAACGAAAACCCGCTCAAGTCTGTACCGTCCAAAGTGGACAGCAAGGAACAGTCAATAAACATCGATACGATCCGTCGAGATTCACGCTTCTGGTTACTGAGGGCCGTGGTTTACATGTTACTGTTTGTCCCGGCCATGACTCTTTTTGACGGTTTCCTTCGTGTGTGTATGGAACCGCCAGAGATTCGAACCAATGTAGGCTACATCGATAAGTTTGTTCAGCACACTGTCTCTCTACGCAGCTTATACTATCATGCCGTCGTCGGATTTACTTTACACCTTCACGTCGCTATCGTGCCAGTGCTCCAGTTGCTATTCACTGCTGTGCATCTCTTTTTCCTCGCTCAATTCGTTCCCAATAACACTCCTCTCGCTCGATATCATCAGCAACTGGCTCGGTTCGTTGCTCAGCCGCCCATCTTTGATAAACCGTGGCTGAGCCGAAACGTCCACGAACTATGGTCCAGGCGCTGGCATCAGATTTTTCGGCCTGGCTTCAAACAGATAGCCTATCAGCCCGTCCGTGCTCTGTTTGGCAAGAATCAGGTCCTCGGCGCCTTTGCTGGCACAGTGTCCGTATTTCTTCTTTCCGGTTTAATGCATGATTACATCGTATTGGTCATGCTCGGCTACAAGAACTGGAATCAGCCCGGCATCTTGGGTTATCAGACTATTTTTTTCCTTCTTCAAGCAGTAGCCACCGTCGTCACATCTCCAAAGTTTTCGTGGATTCCAATCTTCCCTGCTTCGGCAGCACGATTATTGACCGCTGCTTGGATGGTTTTCACTGCCCCACTTTTTGTTGAGCCTTTTCTACGATTAGGCCTTCATCTGGATGCGGAAGTGCCTGGTTTTCCTCGCACGCTTGATCCTTACTTGGATGTCATTTGTCCTTACGGCGGACGCTCATAATATTACTGCCTATTCCTAATTATATCTTTGTTTTCCCATCTCTGGACCTAATTATCTAAATATCAAAATACCTTGCAGGAGTACCCGTATCATAGTTCTTCTTCTAATAAGAAAATAATATATAGAAAGTGTATTTGTGGGATCTTTTTTGTTTTGGCTTTTTTTTTGTTATATCTCGCTCGCTGTGTTTGATAAGAAAATGGTTGTAAATTGAGCTAAGCAAAAATTTTATAACATGACTCGAAGGCCAGAACCGTTGGCTCCAATTTGAGCCACTTCACAAACAGTGCACAGTTTTCCGCTCATTTCAGGCTTATAGCTGGCTTGACAGAAGGGACAATTGACCTGAGGAGAACCCTTGTAAATCGGCTCAAACGTAATACCACACACCACGAAAGGATTGTACTGGTCGTATTCCAACTCAATTTCATCTCGTAGGTTGCGTTCACATACGCTTTGAATTTGGCGAGCCTATTATTTTTTTGGGGGGCGAAAAATCATCAGTCAGTGTTAATAATCACAACAAATTAAAAAAGATTCATACCTCATCGGCAGCCTTTTGGGGTGGTGCCAATTCAAGGAGGCGTCGAGCAAAGTGGGTGGCAGTGCTAAAGTTTCGAAGTCGGAAGGCTTGTTTCATGGCTTGACGGAGCGCCAGTCGAAGATGGGGAACCTGTAACTGACTGTGGGTGAAGTACGCCGCCAATTCCAAAGCACGCTTCAAGCTTTCCGGTTCGGTACCAGCCGTAGCTCGACGTTTGGTTTCTATCGCGAGACCCATGATATATTCTTTACAAATACCAATGAGCTGTTCCACTTCATCGGCTTCCACTTTGTTAGCCACCACTGTGAATAGAATGGAATGCAGAACATGCTTGAACTGAGTGGCCGACGCAGCGAGCCTTCCGTCCGAGAAAAGCTTGTATCCCAGTTGAAGCTGGTTGGACACGATGTGTTGGAAATTGTGAACGGTGACCGGCAAGCTGGTGCGTGGATTCGAATCTTCGGGTTGGCGGCGAAGGTAGAAGGGCAAAGTTGGATTCGAAGGCATCGATGATAGATAGACACAAGAAGCTTGCGAAATGGACAAGAAGTAGGGTTTCAACGGTTCGAAATTGACAACACCCACTTGACGATTTAAGGTCTACGTCCAATGGGATTAGAACAAAATGTATTTTTAGCTGGAACAAAAGATCCCTATTTTTCTTTTAAGTTGCCATACCTGCATTGCAGTATCATAGGACCCTGCTGCAATATGATCTGCGGCCAAAGGTGAGTTCTGTATCCAGGCGGCTGTTTCGCTCGTGCCGGGGGTAGGAGCGACGAATTCGGCCGTTTCTTGTGCTGCCGCTCGACTGATTTCGGAATCAATGTGTGCGCGGATATCATCATCATCATCCACATCCCATCCAGCGCCTTCTTCATCCGCTTCCAAACCAGGCTCGGCTTCCAGTGCATCGGCATCAGGTTGCAAGGCATGCTTGTTATTGATACCAGGAATATCCAAGTCATCATCATCCACACCCCACGCACCACCGGCTTCTTCCGCAGCATCCATTTGGTCATTGTACAAGAACGAAGGAGCCGCAGCGGCTTCAGTAGGGTTCTGTTCAGCCAGCGCGAAAGCACCTTCAAAATAGCTCTTGGAAACCGTCAACAGAGGCCAGTTGGGATCTTCTAATTGCACTTTAGGTGTCATGGGCGAAGGCAAACGCTCGGATACACTGGGTAATTCCACTTCGTCTTCGGTCTTGCCCACCGCCGCCAAAATAGCATCGGCTTGTTCTTGAAGTCCGTGAGTTTTGGCAGTCAAATACGCCAACGGCACTAAAGTATTCCGTGAGCACACTGGTAAGAGTTTTTAATCAGCAACAAGGCCGATACTTACTTTGACCGACATCTTGGAGCACGCGAACCCGTTCTTCAGCATCATTGAGATACAGAGCGTTCTGGAAACGGGACATGGGGTCTTGACGGAGTTCAGCAATCTTCATCATTTGACGGAGATTGGTTTCGTTGCCGGTGGTCAAATACAAGAAGGACAAGCGATCATAGTTCTTGGTGCGTTGATAAGCAAGTTCAACAATCTGTCAACAAACGCCAGCCGTCAGTGGTCCATTAAAAAATTAGCAGTTGCATCTCAACGTACCTTATAGTTGCCTTGTCTCAAAGCCTCGGTGCTCAATTTGCTCCAGCAATCATACTTGTCCATCTTTTTGGCAGTTTCAACCGCGATATCCAAATTACCACATTCCAAAGCAAGTTCAAATCGTGTGCGATCATCGCGAACGAAATGCAAGGCGATCTGCAGGTCATCGTAGTTTAGTATGGCTCCTATATCATCTCGAGCCGTCGATCGATAACTCACCTCAGGATATCCTTTCTTTTGTAAATAAGCAATGATAGATTGACCGACGAGATTGGAATTGCGAATGATGTGGAGCACTTCTTCGTATTGACGTTTGATAAGAGCCAACTTGAATCGATACTCTGTAGGGTCAATGGTAATGGAGCGAGCCTGACCGTCACGATCGAGGATGTACAGCGTCTTTCCTTTCACTGAGGCCAAATACACGGGCTGTTCCAAAGTGCGAATGATGCCGTTATCTCTGCAGTTCATCAAAAACACGCATATCGTAAGTGACAACGGAATAAGACGCAAAATAACCTAGCATCACACTTACCCTTGTGGCAAAGCATATTTGATATGGTTCAATGTGCTGTACAAAAAGACGCCCGAATTATCCCAAACACCGCTCTTGATACGGATGGTCTCATGAATCTGGCACATCTGGGTCAAGTTTTTATCGGCGAGCGTGATGGCTGACAGAGAAGCATGAAGTTAGAAAAATCCATCCACACCAGTAAAATGTTATTTAGATAACTTACAATGTTTGCTAAGCAAAGCCACCATGCCATAATCGGCAGACCATACAACGTACTTCACTGCAGCTACTGGAAGTTCATTGACAATACGTCGTTGCTGGATATCGAACAAAATGACGGAATTGGCGGACGATAAAATCAGGTTGCCGGTACCAGCATAAAAGATTTCATTGACTTGAGTGGGCGTCTTGAAGGACTTGGTCACAGTGTTGGACAAGTCACGGATTTCAATTTGCTGATTGACCTTGTCAAACACGGCGAAACGGTTACGAGCAATGAACAAGGCCGATTGTCCGGTACCACGCTTGGCTTCATCGGCCGGTTCTTTCAGACTACCCGACAAGTTCTTGGGCAAGTGATAAAGCTCATAGATCCCACCTTCATGAGGCTATTTTTCCATCTGTAGCGTTAGTCACGAAAGTCAGGGAGAGAAAAAGCAAACAAAGAGCGCCTTACCGAAGTCAAAAGCACGGCGCGTTCGGCAGGGTTATAGGACAAGGTGCGGGGTTGAATATACTGAGAACCCAATTTGCGCACACTCAATACTTCCTGATCAGCGGTGCTTGCAAAATCGTGAACATGAATGATTTTGTCCTTGACATAGTATAATTGTTGCTGATGAACCTGGAAAGCGGGACGTTCACGCTCCAACTTGAATACGATTAAACCACTGTCATGACCTAGATATCGATTGGGTGTGAGTGTCTCCTTGTCGTCGGCTGTAGTGCTCAAGGAAGCAAAAAATAAAGAGTCATTACCTGCAGCAAATAGGTTCAGTTCAGGATGAGCCGTCAGTACCCAGAAACGATCATGATCTCGTCTGAAGGTGGCCACCGCGGTACGTTTGGTCATATCCCATACCCGGATCGACTTGTCTTCACCGTCCGACAGAATGAGCTCCTGACGTGGATGGAAAATAGCATTGGACACATTGTTAAAGTGACCTCGACAGCTGTCCACCTCCCAAGCTCGTGTATCTGTGGTATTGAAATGACAATAGCTGAAGATTAGAGAGCGATGTTTTCTCAAGCAAAGCAAGTCATCAGACATTTACCGCTCATTCTCCAAAGCTTGACTTGACGGTCGTCACCTGCGGATACGATCAACGGCAACGTGGGATGGAAAGATGCCCAGTTGACACCGTGATCGTGGCCTTCCAAGACATACTTTACCATGACATCGGTGCTTCCGAATAAATCAGCCTGAGGACTCTGACGAGAAAAGGGATCCTCGAAAGCCATGGAAGTAGGTGCCTGGTTCTTTTTACGAAGACCTACCGAAACGCAAAAAAAAAAGTCAGACAAAACGCTCGTTTGGCCACACCATTCCCACGTATTTTCTGCTGTATATCAAAATAAAACTCATACCGGTGATATCCCAAACACGGACAGTTTGATCCATGGAGGCGGAGACCACGAGGTCGTTCTTCGGGTGGAACTGAGCGCACATGACATAGTGATTATGACCTGTCAAGATGGCAATGCAGGTTCTCGATTGCCAGTTCCAAATGCGAATAGTCTGATCGTCTGAAGCTGAAATAATCCAAGGATTCTCATGATGAAAGAAAACGGTACGAACGTAGTCGAGATGGCCGCTCAAGGTGAAAAGGCAACGGCGCGTTTTATAATTCCAGACCTTGATTTTGTAGTCGTCACCACCGGATGCAAAAAGAGGCTGAGTGGGATGGAAGGCAATACCTCGAACAGGACCTACGGATAAGAAAACGTCAGTATAAAACACAGCATGCCGAGATGCCGCCAAGAACTTGGGAGCTCACCATCATGTTCGTCAAATCGTTCGAGAAGGGTGCCCATGCGGTAATCCCACAACTGAATGCACCCGTTATGCAGCGACGCTAAAATCCACGGACGCTTCGGGTGGAATGCAATGCCTTTAACGCGGTTGCTTTTCGACTCAAACTATAATGGGAAGATAGCGGTTAGTCATTCCAAAGGCACGCGACCATCACTCGACAGTAGAGCCTGATGTTACCTTCGTAAGCATCTGCATCTTGATAACTGATGAACAGAGAAAACAAAAAAGCGTCAATAATACAGTCGGTAATTGTACAACTAATCACATACACTAATTGTTTGTAGGAATTGGCCACTTGTTTCTATTTACACGTGTCGTTTTCCTGGACTATCGATACAGCTGCTGAAAAGGAAAGGACAGGAGAACGACCCAAGTGCGGAAAACCCGCGCCAACCAATCACCACCAATCAGAGGATGACGTAGTATGTCGGAGGGCGAATATTTCACCCAATCACAACATCATTGTATCTAAGCTTCATTTTTTCCAGTCGGCCGTCAATAGCCTTCAAATCAAAATTTTTCGAATGATCCTTGGGCACATAACCATGGATCCTTTGTTTCAAACATCTTAAAGCAGTCGTCATGCCCAAAGATCGAGTCATACACTATGGGAAAAAATTGTTATGTTTAAATAAATAATGCCAAGAGAGAATGTAAAAAGCACAGCAATTTCATGGTGCGTTCATAGCCATATAATGATTTAACCGCTATATACACAAACCCACAAAAAGGATGGCTCGTTCGCAACACATGGTTTGTATGGATGGTAGTCATTGTGACATAGTGCACACTTGCATGGAATAGAGGCCCAGAAGGGTCTTTCTGTCATGTAGAAGGGGGTTTTGCAGCGCCTCGCAGAAAATACTGTACTGAGGTTTAGACAAGCATGAGAAAAAATCCCCACACGACACTCTGCAAGCTTATATTTTCTATACTCATTTCTCGAAAATTTAGAATGTCAATTTTTTGGGTAAAGAGTAGTAGAATATTTTATCGTATGATATTGTTAAAAAAAAAGTGAACTAAGAAACGACAGTGCACGGCCGAAATCATAATAACGCATAACATGTTGGATTTTTGTTGGGTTCGCATAGGATAGGTAAGATACTGGACATGGAAATGCCTACATCGATGAGGCGTTTGCTGTTTGGTTTGTAGATGGATGATTGGATTTGGGGCTTAAAACGCATACTGCCGTGCTTGCTTATTCGATGTGGTGAGGAATAAAAAGCAAGAATAGTGTGAAAAAGAGCGTGTCATTGGGGGAAAAAGGCTGTTTCCTCTAATGGTGGCCCCTCACCAAGCTGTGGCATAGATAGAGTGGAGGAATGGGCAATGTCTCATTTCAACAGTGGGCAAGTGGTCCTTTGATGACCATATTTACCGCACCAGGCACTAAAAAACGATCCAAAGGGAAGAAAAACAGATCCATCATATAAGTTACCGATCAGTGGATTGATGGACGTATTGTCTAACTATGTATCACTGTTACCATTGCCCACCATCGAGATTCACTGGTTTAATAACTTCCGCCAACATCATTACGGCAGGAAATATTCGGGTCTTTGAAGTGAAATCAGATCGCGTCGACGCCACGCTGGTGCTGAACATATAATGAAAAAGAGATTTCTCCTCTGCTTTTTACCGCTTTTTCCTTGGGCCGCGTACCTATTTATAATGAGAACGAAAACTATGGATATCCAGGCTTGTTCTAAATCGGCTGTTGACGGTGATTCAGGAGAGGCGGGAAAGGTCGAATAAACATAATCACACGGACATGTTTAAACCGACATTGCTTGCAGACCGATCTGATTCATGTTGTCCTATTCTCTAAGCTCCACACCGTGTTCTTCTTTTTCCACGCAAAATGATCCCACTCACTGTGGTATTCTAATGTGGCCTTGACTTCCAGGTCGTCCAAGAATATGAGACAAAATAATAACCAATCATTCATATCCACCGCCCCACCATTGTTTTTCACTGTTCTACCACATTATCACGAAAAAAAAAGCCTTGTGGCTTAACCCCTGATGTTATGCTGCCAATCCATCAAGAAACCATAAGATGTCTGTCTGTATATTCATCCGTCAACAAGGGAGCATTGAACCCAGCAGTCAGCTCCTAAAGGGTCTCCTGCGGCGTGCACTCATCGCTATAGACAATTTTTTTTGTCAGCCAAATGGAAATGATGCATGGTATGATAACAAAAGCCGAAGCTACGCCATTCTCTGGGTATTACGTGCGACCCACAGTATGATACAGTATGACGATCGAACAAAAAAAAAACAAAAAAGAAATTCCATAGGCTTAGTATCATGGTGAAAATGACAATGGCGGCAGACTGCAACACAAGGCCCGGCATTGATTAAAGGGAAAAAAATTTTCTTGAAAGGAGTGATGTGATCAATGATGCAGATATGCAATAGATCGCCTTTAGATTCTAGATCCAAGGAGATGATAACGAAGTGAAAAGGGAAAGATTGTCTTTTAGCCGTCCCTCACCTCCGTTTTCAATGCGGCGCTTTTTTTTTTATCTTTCACCAAGGCGCGGATCAGCGGCGTTTGGATTAAGCGCACGATTTTGAATGTTGAAGAAATGGTTAAAACACGGATCGACTTGCCATGGTTGCACGGTGAGGTCGTTACGTTATCTCCCAGTGTAACTCAAGCCAATGAAAGGTAGTCCAGGTTGTCTGTATCACGTCATTTGACACCGGGGTGATATTTAGAAAGAATGATGCATCGTTGTTTTTCTTGAATCGACAAGCGATTGAAGATGGATGCACATGAATTCATTCAACGGATGGTCAAAAAGATGGATCCTCATGCCTGTAGGAGATTAAAAAAATTGAGATAAAAATAAAAATTGAGAAAAGGTACACATGATGGCCACCTAGTGTTTTGGCGAATCAGCTGGAGCGCCGCAAGCATATGTGCAAGCAAAGTTGCTGGTTTCCAAGTTGCCATACTGTGATTGGCGAAAAACAATGATGGAGCTGACAATTCAAGAATCAACGGAGGGCCAAAAGAGGTAAAACTATTTTTTTTTTTTTTTTTTGGTTTTGCCTATCTCTCTTTCGGCATCATCATATTCACGTCAAATGCGGCTGATACACATTTCATACCATGTTTGCGTAATTTTTTAAAAAAGCAATTAAATGAGTTATGAACTAGTTCAGTCGGCTAAAAAAATGAAAAATGTGGTCGTCGATGGGGATGAGCGTCCAATGACAACCCCATTTCTCCCTTTTGACCCAAATGCCGTGAATGGGTATTGAGAAAACGCCGTGGTTGCTCGGCAATGGAAAAGTAAAAACTCCCCGTGTAACCTAGCAAGATGTGGTTTCAGAATGAAAAAAAAGAGGGGTGGGATGGGATAAGGCCGCATGAGGCCCAACTTTGTTCGTTCAAAGATAAAAAAAAAAGATTGGTTCCAATCAATGAATTGCCTTTTTCGGCAATCTTATGGAGCACCGTTTCCCCATTCAAGTTGGCTTCAGCCAATAAAATTCGCACGTTATGCATTGAATCAAAGGAAAAAAAAAACAATATAAAATAAGCGGCCCATTCGTTTTTCTCATCGCCTGGTTTTTTCTTCGTTATTCTATCGTGCGTCCCCTTTTTTGTCAACCATAACAACAACAAGATCAACAACATAGAACACAACCCCATTTTTTATACTACATCAATATCTCTAGAAATGGCTACACCAATGGATTTCTCGCCTCTGGCACCCAGATCACCACCCATTGACCCCGATGATAAAGTGCTGACAGACGTTCGTCGAGAATCTGTCTCCACCCAAACTGGTGTATCGCCGCCCAAGACCCCTCCCAGTGAAAAGCAATATGAAAATAGGGCTCGTGTGGTCTCGCAAGGGGAATTCGAACCGGAACAACACTTTTATCCACGCGTACTCAATGCGCAGATCCATCCACTGGTCCAATCCTTTTTTACCCTGGGAAACGAACGTATCATTGCGCGGTATACCCATCTCAATCCACAAGTCAAACCAGAAGATCTCAAGGAAGTCCTATCTTATCAACCTCAGCATTTTCATTGGGCAGGTAATTATAATTCATCCAACATGGAACTAAAAAAGCACGGAGGCGGAAAGGCAGACAGAAAGAGGGATGCCCGCTTTTCACTGCAAATCACAAGTATGGAGAACGTGTTATTTACTAAACTCAACCTATCCCATTTAAAGGTTCCGATTTGTTTAATGTAACGACCGCTTCTGGTCAACGGCAAATGATCGTCATTGAAACAAACTCCTGCCCATCTGGTCAGAAGTCCATGCCGCTTCTGTCTGAAACCGATGAACATAATGAACAAGGTGGTTATCGCCAGGTGATCCAATCTGCGTTTCAAGAACAACTTTCCAAAGCCGACCCAAATCTTGGCGGGCTCGCTGTGGTGTGTGATAAAAACATGATGGAAAGCAGTGGATACGCGGCGGTGTTGGCGGACATCGCCAAAGAAGACGTGTGGTTGGTCGAATGGCATGTTGGTGATCCAGACCCCAGCGTTAAGTTTGTCGACCGTGTTCTGTACATTCGAGATGAAGAGAAAGGTAAAAACCTCCCAGAATGTCCTTAGTTTGAGTATTGGGGTGTGTATATGACAGTTGACTTGACAGGCGACTTTTTTTTTTCTTTTTTTTACAGTTTGGCATCCTATTCGAGCTTGTTTCCGATATCTGACACAAAAGCCATGGAATCGATTTCCACTTCAGACTAGAACGGTTGTCATGAATCAGATCATCAGTTGCTTGGCAGGAGGTCGAAACAAAATGATGGCGGCCAGAGCGTATGATTTTTACAATTCGGAACTGGTGGATACGGGATTGAATATTCGTACTCCAGAAACGATCAACAACGTTACACGTGGGGAGATCCCGCTTTGGATGCATTCCATGGGTGGTCATGCTGTACTCAAAGTGCCTTACAGCAATGCAGGTAAAATAGAAATAGGGTTCAGTTGCATGAAATGGAGATTTCTCATTCAGTCTATTGCGGTTTTGGTAGGTCAAGGCGTTTACACGATCACGAATGAAACTGAACTGGGCAACTTTTTGGAACAAGACCATCATTATGACAAGGTAACCGCCGGTTTCAAAACCGTTTGATAGATAATATCAAATATCGTACTCACCTTTTATTCCCAATGGGCCCTTTAAATCTTTATAGTTTATCGTCCAATCGCTTGTAGGCAACGCATCATGGTCCAGTCAAACTCGTGCAGGCAAATTTTATCACGTCGGTACCATTCCCAATAAGAAGAGCAATACCTTTGTCAGTGATCTGCGAATGATGGTAACAGGTAAATGACTGGTTATGATGAAGGCTTGTAGTATTTTCCACAGCAAGTACTAAGCGATTTTTTTTCTTTTTCGTTTTTGGGAAAAATAGGAAGCAAGCAGGGGTTTGCACCTGTGTGTATTTACGGGCGAAAAGCACGTTTGCCCTTGACCTCCAAGTTGGATCCCAATGGTAAAGGCGGAGACGGGAGATGGATTTGGATAAGAGATCATGTCATTCATAACTCATGGTTGGTCTGATCTTTGTATGTAGGAGAAACATGGGATATGCTTGGCACCAATTTGTCTATCAAATTACCCGATGGTAGCTGGACAACCGATACGTCACGGTTAATTCTGATGGATCGAAAGGATTTCAATCAGTTGGGACTTGGTATTGATGATCTAATCGATGCTTACATCCAAACGGTCTTGGCCGTGATTGCGATCGATCGAATGTCAGCAAGGTTGATGGCCAACGGCAAATTCGATTATCAGCTCTTCCGAAGTTTAAATCCTGATAATGCTCTGTTACGAGAAATTCAAGAGGCCAATGAAGATTTTTAAACACAATATACGATGTCCATCCATCAATCCTATATATTATCATTATCTCTAGCACAAATACCTTTTTCTTTTCCTCTCCCCAGAAACACACATACACATACACACGCGCACAGTTCATTCAAAATCGAGTTCGTTTTATGTGGTTATGATTCCTCTTGCACGTGTTTGTTAACGAGTCTGCTGGTATGTTTGACAGCAGTTGGATACCCTACTTCTTTTTTTAGGCCAAGTCAAACGACATAGGTGAGTTTTAAGCTTAGCTCTCGTTCATATAAATCAATACATGAACAAGATCGAGGGAAAAATGATCAACATAATGATGTATGGTCCCACGCAAATATTGATATTTACTTTATTTTCTCTTGCAACACGCAAAGAAACAGAGGCGGAACATGCAAATAAAACCAATCGCAATGCTAATTTTGACAATTGGATGACCCAGCCGGATGATCCAGTTGGGATATTCCCGTACAATTCGAAGAAGCGTGCGAATTGTCATGAAGGAGCGTGACATTTGCTGTCATTGGTGCGCGTTCGCAGCGTTCCACAAAAAAGAACAGATATAGCAAGTTTTCACTGCATAGAAAAATGGGAGAATTTGTCACACAAAGAAAACATCAACAAAATAAACATACTAACTTGTCGGAGCGTTTCCGTGGTTACACCAAATATGTGGGTGCCATGTTCATCTATGCGTGTTGCTTGTTGCAAGGGTTGAACATGGTATAAACGCCATCGCCTAAATACGATCCACGTAAAGCTTATCTCACTTTGTTCTGAAATCGTTAGAGATATACAGACTCATAGTTGTACCGCTCGCTGGTAAAAGAAAGACAAGAGCGATCGCTTTCTTGGTATGGCTACGAGTTCGATCTCATAATTTTCTCCGCAGAGAATCCGACTCGCAGATTTCTGTGGAAATTCTGCAACACACAGCTGGAATTCGCTTTTGGCGCTTGCGAACCAAAAATTTAATAAATTGTTTTTTAGCCTAACGCTTCTAGGAGGCTTTTGTTCGCTTAGCATCTTTGTTGCTTACCACACTTGCAGCAAAAAAACTCATTTTGGCCAATCACGTTGATTATCTTTTATTCAAACAGAAAACAGCTTCCCACCAGTGCAATATCACTTACATGTCATTGCAAAATATCTGTGAAATTTTATTGTTCAGTGGATTGGGCCTTCTTATGCCAAGTGTGATGAAATTAATCAATATTTAACGTTGTTTAGATATAAATCGACAACCAGGGAACTTGATCCGAGAATTGATTGATATTACCCTAATGATCGCATCGGTCATTATGGTTGTCATGCAGTAGTAACAGAGTTAACAAAACCTCCGTTGCTCTCAGTAGCTCAGTTGTTATGCTCATGGGATTCCGTTGTAAGAAATTTGAAAACAAGATACGTGCACATGTCCAAATAACAATTTTCAATGCCACGAGTCTCAAGCGTATGCTGGTAGACAAAGAGAAGAGGAGAAGGCTACGGAACATATTTTATTTCGATCCGCTTCGTGAGCTATGAAAGATTATCGCTTTTTGTCTGGCGAAATAATACGGAATCGGCTGCTGTGCTGCGGTTGCTAGTCATCCGGTGAGATCATTTTATCTTCAGAACTCTCTTTTGCTGGCATAAACGGATCTTGCTTTGAGCAATATTTTATTCCGTCGATGGTTTCCTTGTAAAGTGGAGAATGAGGCACCACGACAATCAGGTAACTGCAACTACACTCAGCTTTCTGTAATATACAACCGCCGATCCGACCCCAGGACACTTACCCGGTAAAACTTTAGTCGAACGGACCGATCGTTATTTTGGAGCGACCCAACGTTTTTCGACGCCAAGTTCCAACATCGAGGTGTACCTGCCAGTGCGATTAAGAAACTTGCCGGTTAGTGAGAAAAAGATCATCAGTATAACTAGAAGAGGTACCTATTATATCATCTGCTCGCATATGTTGAGCCAAGCCTCTATACTGAGTCCTCGTAAATACATCGAGTCGGTACTTGGACGACGAACAGGCCACTATTGGGCCGGCCAATAATGGTTTCACTGACAGTAGCACTGTGACCATCAGCAAGACAATCTTTTTCATTTGTGTGATTATAGGTCAAGCAATCAATGTAAGTTATTCGTAAAATTCATAAACAATACGTGGCAATCAACATAAAGGTGAACTTAAATGCAGTAGGATTAGAGCAAGCCTGTTAACATCTCGTTTATAAAAGAGAGCCTATCGGCTTCTAACTTGATCAGCTAAAAAAGGGGGATTTCTTTCTTACACATTACTGTGATGCGAAATGATCGTAACGTTTCGAGGCTGTCATGGTCACGCGGGCTATAAAATGCACTATTTTCATCATAAATTCAATTATCATTTCATTACCTTGCACTTTTAGCTTTGATTTTACATCTCCTTACTCTTTAGAAACTCCTGGAAAACTCCTACGGATGGTTCTTTTTTTGTAGACCAATAAAGTCATGATTTCCTTCTCATTTAACCCTTGGTCTCCAAGTTTCCCCTGATTTTATAGACGAAAGGCGATCAGTGTCATGCAAGTGGTGCACCCCGTTTGGGATTATTTTCCTTTGGTCAAACAAAAATTGGGATAGAATATACCAATCAGCTATAGAAGCACAGGCACGTTCACCCAAACCGGGTGGCCACAGCTTCACAAAAAAAGACAACGTTTTTATTTTTGATCATTTCTGATTTTAAGATAACGATGCCACCTTTCTATATCTAAAAAATTGTACATATTTGCGCCTCACGAAGGTACGGCTGCGCTAGAAATTTTAGTAGGTTGACCCAACCGTTGATGAATACCTCCCGTCACCGGTAAGCGGGTCTGACCCATCAGGAAGCGGTCCACCTCACGTGCACATTGACGGCCTTCATTGATACCCCATACAATCAATGATTGTCCACGACGACAATCGCCAGCCGCAAACACACCGGAAGCCGAAGTGGCATATTTACCCTTGAGAGTTTCAATATTGGTACGACCATCCTGCTCGAGTGATAGTTGCTTTACCACCGCCTCTTCGGGGCCCAAGAAACCCATGGACAGCAACACAAGATCGGCTTCAAAAAATTGTTCGGAACCTTCGACTTCCTTCATCGCCCAGCGACCGGCTTCATCTTTAGTCCATTCCACACGCACGGTTTGGATTCCCTTGACGTTACCATCGGCGTCCGATACGAACTCTTTGGAAAGGACACAATACTCACGTGGATCCTTACCAAAGTGAGCTTGCACTTCTGCATGACCGTAATCCACTCTAAAAACACGAGGGTATTGAGGCCACGGATTATCCTTGCCACGTTGGTTCGGTGGTTGAGGAAGCAATTCAAAGTTCACCACGGATTTGCAACCATGACGTACCGACGTGCCGATACAGTCATTACCGGTGTCACCGCCACCAATCACAACCACATGCTTGTCCTTGGCCGAGAGATAGTGACCATCCTTGAGTTGAGAATCCAACAGACTCTTGGTATTGGCTTGCAAGAATTCCATGGCAAAGTGGATACCGTTTGATGCACGACCGGGAATATTCAGATCGCGAGGCCACGTCGCTCCCGTAGCAACAATCACTGCATCGTTCTGATCCCGTAACGTGTTGGTGTCCATATCCACACCAATGTGAGCATTGGGAACGAAGGTGATGCCTTCAGCGGCCATCAAGTCGAGACGACGTTGCACCACCTTTTTGTCCAACTTCATGTTAGGGATACCGTACATCAGCAAGCCACCCATACGATCATTGCGATCATACACAGTAACAAGATGACCAACTTTGTTCAACTGATCGGCGGCTGCCAAACCTGCCGGGCCAGAACCAATAATAGCCACCTTTTTTCCGGTACGATGCACAGGAGGTTTGGGAACAATCCATCCTTTATCAAAACCATGGTCTATAATTGCACACTCAATGCTCTTGATGGCTACAGGAGGCTAACAAACACGCGAAAAAAAGGGTAAATCGATCCATTCCACAGACGGTCAAGGTTTTTCAAATCAATGTTCAAAGCTTACCTCAGAGATCATGAGGGTGCAAGATCCTTCACAAGGAGCAGGGCTTTTTTACAACACAAAATAGAGAAGATTAGCATCGTTTTTGAAAGTATCATGTGAAAAAGGATCAGAATTGATTGAGAGATGGATGAAAATGTCAAACGACATAACCTCTGAATATAATTCAATTCCAGATCTGATCCGCCCATTGAATCACACAATTCGGCAGATCAAGAAAAAAAAAAAACGAAAATCAGTACTTACCACACACGACCAGTGAATTCAGGAAAGTTGTTAGTCATTAACAAGCGATCCAGGGCTTCTTTCCAGTTATCCTTGTAGATGAGTTCATTCCACTTGGGAATAATGTTACCAATGGGACAACCGGTGTCGGATTGGCAGAAAGGCACGCCACAGTCCATGCAGCGAGCCGCTTGCTCGTGAAGTGCGGATCGTGATAACCGGTTGGTCACCTCATTCCAATCATTGATTCGCTTCTTTGGATCTCGGTATGGATCGTTGCGACGCTTGTATTTCATGAATCCACGCAATTTGTCCAGTTTGGCACGACGAGCCAAAATGGTTTTTTCATCAAGCACGCTATCTTCCACGTCTTCGATGGCAGGTGTATTTTTGCCGGCATCGGTCACCGCCGCTTCCACTGCTTCGACGTCCTTTGCGAGCTCTGTTGCCGCCGCGGCCGCGTGCTTTTGTTTCAGTAGCAAAGCACGGTATTCGGTCGGCATCACCATGGAGAACTTACCAAGATATTCCTCAAAATGGTCCAGGACCTGACGTGCGATCGGTGAGGAGGTGTGTGCATAATGATCTTGGATCATGCTGCGAAGTTCTTCAACCTGCTCAGACTGACTGACCGCTTCCACTTCCACCATTTCGGTGTTGACGTTTTCTTTGAAATCACCGGCCAAGTCGAGAACATACGCAATACCACCGGACATACCAGCGGCAAAGTTTCTTCCCGTACTACCCAGAATCACCACTCGGCCGCCTGTCATGTATTCACATCCATGATCGCCCACACCTTCGCAGACAGCCCAAGCGCCCGAATTGCGAACACAAAAACGTTCCGCGGCAATTCCGGAAATGAATGCTTGCCCACTCGTAGCGCCGTAAAGACATACATTGCCCACAATGATGTTTTCATTGGGTACAAACGAAGAGTTTCGCGGAGGATAAATTGCAATCTTACCACCGGAAAGACCCTTGCCGACGTAGTCATTCGAATCACCTTCCAGTTCGAAAAAGATACCAGGAGCCAAAAACGCACCAAAGGATTGACCGGCGGACCCTGTCAAGCACACATGAATTGTATCGTGAGGCAACCCTTTTTCACCGTGACGTTTGGAGACATGATACGACAGCGTGGCGCCCAAGGCACGGTCGGTATTGACCACTTGAGCGTCGATTAACACGTGCTCCTTACGTTCCAGGGCCGGTTCGGCTTCTTCAATAAAGTAATTATCCAGCCTTGTGTGCAAATTATGACGCTGTTTGATCGTCTGATGGTTTGGGACGTCGGGCCGTAAGGAGCTGGCCGGCGTAAGGATCGGTGAAAGGTCGAGGTTGGCGGTTTTGAAATTACGAAGCGACTCATCCACTTTGAGCATATCAGCTCGTCCCACCATTTCGTCCACGGTACGAAAACCAAGCCGAGCCATGATCTGACGCAACTCTTCAGCAACATAGTAAAAGAAATTGATCACATGGTCGGGCGACCCTTGAAATTTTTGGCGTAACACTGGATCCTGAGTAGCAATGCCAACCGCACATGTATTCTATACAAAGAGATTGAGAAAAAAATCCCTCGGCAAGATTGATAGATTTTATCCACTTACCAAATGACATTTGCGTAGCATGATACATCCCAAAGCAATCAGAGGCGTGGTGGCAAATCCCCATTCTTCAGCACCTAATAAGCAAGCGATGGCTACATCACGACCGGTTTTGATCTGGCCGTCCGTTTGTACGACAATGCGTCCGCGGAGATCATTGAGGACCAAGGTTTGATGGGTTTCGGCAAGACCCAATTCCCAGGGCAAACCAGCATATTTGATACCGGTCCATCGCGAGGCGCCGGTGCCGCCATCGTGACCGGAAATCACCAAGTGATCAGCTTTGGCTTTGGCGACACCCGAAGCCACGATACCCACGCCGACTTCGGACACCAACTTGACCGAGATCTGGGCACGTGGATTGGCGCACTTGAGATCATAAATGAGCTGCTTTAAATCTTCGATGCTGTATATGTCATGATGGGTACTCGGACTGCGGTTTGCAAAGAAAACGCGTAAAGATGATATATAAATGCATTAGCATCCGTAGGAGGCGAGCAAACAAAAAAAAAAAAAAAAAAAAAAGACCTACCTAATCAAACCGATACCGGGCGTGGTCTTTCTTGCACTGGCAATTTCTTCCGACACTTTGGTACCTGCCAATTCACCTCCTTCACCCGGTTTGGCACCTTGAGCCATTTTGATCTGAAGTTGGTCCGCATCGGCTACATAAAAACTCGTAACACCGAACCGCCCAGATGCCACCTGTTTGATGGCCGACCGTTTGTTGACCCCATCTTCGCCTATGATCGACCGTTCCGGTTTTTCGCCTCCTTCACCCGTATTGGAACGCCCGCCGATTGCATTCATAGCAATCGCGAGGGACTGATGCGCTTCCATGGAGATCGACCCGTACGACATGGCCCCCGTAGCAAATCGCCGTACAATCTTTTGCCAGCTTTCTACTTGATCGATCGGCACCGGCGTCGCCTTGTCAAAGTCAAACGTTAGCAAGCCTCGAAGCGTACATTTCTTGATGGCTTCATGAGCATTGATGGCATACACATCATAGGCTGCGTGGTCCTTTTCGCGTACCGCTTCCTGTAGGTTAGCGATGCCTGCCGGTTCGGCAATGTGAGGCTCACCACCGTCGCGCCAGTGATATTCGCCCGATTCAGGCAATGCAATTGGCTGAGCGGAATTACGTGAAGGGTACCCGTTTTCATGCAATGCTAAAGCATCCAAAGCCAAGATGCTAAAGGTGACTCCTTTGATGCGTGACGCCGTGCCTGCAAAGCAACGAGAAATAACCGAATCATCGACGCCCAAGGCTTCGAAAATCTGTGCTCCCTTGTAGGAAGCCAAGGTAGAAATACCCATTTTAGACATGACTTTGAGAATTCCATTGTCCACCGCTTTCTTGTAATTGGCGATCATGGCAGGAAGCGAAATATCGGGTCGCACCGCTCGATCACGGAATAGTTTCATAATGATTTCAAACGCAAGGTAAGGGCAGATGGCATCGGCACCGTAACCCAATAATACGCAGAAATGGTGCACTTCACGCGCTTCGGCCGTTTCAACCATCAATGCCACGCGACTTCGTTTTTTACAGCCGACCAAATGATGGTGCACCGCACCGATAGCCATGATTGACGATAATGCCACTCGATGCTCAGAAATGGCACGATCCGTGAGCAAGACAATCTTGCATCCGTCGTCCACCTCTTTTTCTGTTTCTTCGCAAACGCGACGAAGCGCATCCACGTAACCGCGAATCCCCGTTTCTTTTTCAAACGTGATATCAATGCTGGTAGTTTTCCAGTCGGAAGAGTGCCGGTCAATGCATTTTACCGCCTCGAGTTCCTCGAGGGTCAGAATAGGGGAGGGCAAGGACAGCCGTTGGCACTGGGATTCATCGATCTCGAGCAGATTGCCTTGAGGGCCAACCAGGCACTGGAGGGACATGACGATCTCTTCACGAATGGGGTCAATGGGAGGATTGGTGACTTGAGCAAACATCTGTCGAAAGTATTCGTACACAAGACGAGGCTGGGTGGCTAAACATGCCAGCACGGTGTCGTTGCCCATGGATCCCAGTGCTTCCTTGCCACTGTAACACATGGGCAGAAGTAACAAATTCAGTTGCTCCAAAGTGTATCCAAACGCTTTCAACCGGGGATCGGTGTGCACAGTGGTGTCATCCAAGGCGACAGATGGTGAGGAAAAATTTATGGACTGAACAATGTCCTTGATATGTAACATGCGTTTGGCTATCCACGCCGAGAAATCGTGCCGAGCGGCAGTTTGCGCTTTGAGGTCCTTATCATTGACAATCACGCCTTGCACGGTGTCAACGAGAAGCATACGTCCGGGCTTTAATCGGCCTTTTTGAACCACTATGGATGGGTCCACGTGCACTGTGCCTACTTCGGATGCGCAAATCATGATATCTTCTGTTGTCACATAGAACCGGCAGGGTCGCAATCCATTGCGATCCAACGACGCACCGCAGTACCGTCCATCAGCAAACGTGAAAAGAGCAGGCCCATCCCACGGTTCCATCAACGCGCTTGCCCAAGTGTAAAAGGATTTCAGTTGGGGAGACATGGCATCGTTGTTCTGCCAAGCCTCGGGCACCATCATCATGACCGCTTCAGGCAGAGACAAAGCCCCATTGATAACGAGTAACTCCAACACATTGTCAAATGCGGCTGAATCCGAGCCGCCTTCTTCAATGATGGGATAAAGCATGGACAAGCTGTCACCAAAAACGTCCGAGGTCATCACGCCTTCGCGAGACCGCATCCAATTCTTGTTTCCTCGCAACGTGTTAATTTCGCCTATGCAAATCGTGAATCATGGGTTCCAAAGGCCCAAGGTTTAAGCATGAAAATATCGTTACCATTGTGAGCACACCAGCGCATGGGTTGAGCACGGTCCCACGAGGGAAACGTGTTTGTGGAAAAACGAGAGTGAACGAGAGCAAAATGGGTGGTGTATTGGACATTGACGAGATCGTGGAAATATTTGTACACTTGCTTGGGGGTGAGTTGACCTTTGTAAACGATGTTTTTGTTGGAGAGAGAACAAATGTAGAACCACTGCTTGGTAGAAATAGCGTAGGTAGCATGTTTTCTCAAGAGGTAAAGGCGTCGTTCAAATGATTGTGGGGCAAACTGAGTTGTCATGGTCACAAAGGGTTGTTCAATGGCGGGCTCTTTAAATTTGGCCGATTGCCCGAGAATGGTTGAATCATGCGGTACAGGTCGCCAGCCGATCACTTGCAAACCCACCGTTTTGGCGATATCCTCGAAACGTTTTTTGGTGTCGATCTGCGTTTGAGGATCTTTTTTCATGAAAATATTGCCTACTGCATATTGACCTTCGGGCGGCAACTGAACGGCATGGTCGCGTAACATTTCATTAGCAAAGAATGGATGAGGGATGGCTGTCATGACACCTGCACCGTCGCCGTCGCGTATATCGGCTCCACTTGCTCCACGATGCGTCATATTGCACAAGATATCGTTGGCGTCACTGAGGATTTTGTGCGACCGGTGACCTTTGACATGGACCATAAACCCCACGCCGCAGGCCTCTTTTTCATATGCCGGATCATACAATGCTTGAGCTTCAGGCAAAGCACTGTCTCTAGTCTTCATGGCGCAAAAACAACAAAGGATAAAGAAATAAAACAAGAGAACTCGAAGCCCATGTCAGTGGAGGCCCACCTTTTTTTTTTTTAGGTATCTCAATCCCTGGCCGGAAATCATTCGACTGAAACATGCAAGCAGAATAAGATGAGCACACCACGGAACATTTTTTTATGTTGGCAAAAAAAAAAAAAAAAAAAAGAAATAAAAAAAATGAGAGACCAAGGGAGCTAACCAAGCAAAAAATAAAAAAATAAATAAAAAGAATCGAAATGTGAATGAAATCATAGATAGATGCGTGTATTCGTTATCATGAGGATGCATAAAATTGAAGGTGATAGTTCAAGGAAAGCAGGAGAACAAAGGAAGGCGAAAGAAAGAAATGAGCAAAAAACTATGAATTCGAAATGGGTTAAGAATGAGGGTTTTTCCTACTTTGAGATGGTGCAGAACGATCATTCAGACCATAATTGATAAATTGAGGATCGTACGGATGAGCATCAGGTCCTCCTCCACCGTGTGCATGTGGTACTGATGGTGGCATCATGGTGGATGGGTTACTCACGGGCTTAGAACAAGGTATAGACATGTAGTCAGAGCTTGATATAAAGGACGGGCTGGTCGACATTTCCTCCAAAGGAGTGGATGGCGGGACCGACGGTGGGGGAAATGACTGAGTGCCGCGGGTTGGTCGATACATTTGAGGATTTCCCCATGGTAACAACGAGTCGTTTGGGTTATACATTGATTGCGATCTCAGCGATTCCGGACCGCCTTCCGACGACAACATATTTGGATAGAATGCCCCGTCATCTGTATCCATGTTGTTGTATCCATTCCTTGCGTGATTATCATTAAAAGAGGATTGCATCAACGAGTGGTGAAACGGAGCCCCAGTATCTGTGTCATTGACCTCGGATGGCAATAGATCCATTGGATAATATGTTTCGTTGCCCATATCGTGAGAGCTTATACCCAAGGTATCTGCCAATTGTTCCACATCGTTCTCGAGAGCATTTATGTCGCTCGAAATGGCTTGCGCGGAATCAGTGGCAAAGTCAAGCACATCGGAGATACCCGAAACCACCGTGTAGGGTTGAATGGATGAAGCATGTGTTGCTGATTTTTGAAAAGACGGTGCCATTGGAGGCTCTTGATGAGATTTGTATGAATACATATAATCTGGCGTAGCAAGAGGTTGCGTTCGTTGGATATGGTCGTACGTTTTGCTGGAAGGGAATCCAGTAGCCACTGTATCATCAACACCCTGTTTAACTTTATATACTGCGCGGATATGCGTAATGAATACCTACTGTTCGTTTCTGTCGTCTGGGCTGCTGTATCTCGACTGCTACCTGAATTAGCGCCATATTCTAATCAAAAGCAGGAAAAAAAAAGGTCGCTTTAAACATTGTCGTTCCATGATAAAAGTTGAGAAAAAAAAAAGATCGTCGCGTCATGGGCGCTTGGCATAAAATGAAAGAGACTAAAATGATGAAACTTACCTACTCCTGATGATGAGGAAGAGGCGGACGTTGGGTGAGGTTTTGCGTAGGTAATGTGTTTGCTTGAGGAAGCCACGGAATCACCGAGAGCATTGAAAGATGGTTTGTCTTGCAATGGAAATACCATTTTATTCAGATCCTCCAGACTCGGTGCTTCCTTTGAGTAGACAGAGTTGAGAAAGTGTACAATTTTTTCCATGGCGTCTTGATGGCGGTGGTACCTCTCTCTTGCCACGAGTGTTTCTTGCCAGAGGATTTCATTGTCGCGGTGCAGGTCGTGTAAATCGGAATTGATGGTGGTTTGATTCTTTTGAATAGCCGATATGTCTTTGACTACGGTGGTGAGACTCAGGTTGTCGATCTCGGCGAGTTCATTCTCTCGGTTTCGTTTACGCGTCACCAAGACCAGTAAATCCGATCGATTTCTCTGAAAGTGTGGGTTACTGAATTCCCAAACTTCGTGCTGCTGGTCGGTGATCAACACACCCTGCTGAAGATGAGGCACCTTGTGAAAATCGTACATGTTCAATTGGCGTACAAACGAAGTAAACGTGTTGTGTTTGTAGTATCGCGGTAATACCGCTTGTGCAAACTCTTGATGTCTTTCCACTATCAACATTTGGAAATCAAACAATACGCTTTAGTTATGTTTTGAATGATGGCATTACAGGAGCGTAAAAATACGGATGTTGTGTTTTAAGCATTTGCAAACAACCTACCTATGAATGACGCGCCATCCGGAGACCAGCGGATCAGATCATTGGTACTTGGATCGTCGACCATGCTACAGAAAAGGGAAAATAAACTAAATACCGTGTCGAAAATTTTTTTCTTCTTTCTCGTTCTTTTTTTTTCGTTTGTGAATTGTTCCATTGGTTTCTTTTCCGTGATTGCTTCACGAAAGAGTAGCCTTTTTTTTTAAAAAAAAAAAAAAATCAAAACATACGTGTAAAGTTTGTTCAGGAATGCGGGAACGTTACGCTGACTGCTGGATAAGCGGGCAGGAATGGTTCCAGGAGAGGTAAAAGGTGCGGTAGACACGAGCTTATCCGTAACAGATTTTTGTCGTTTGCTCACATCCTGTATTCGAACAGGAGACATGGAAGACGAACTGGAGTCGGAAGAGGAAGGGTTGGAAAATACAGAGACAAGTGGCGAACCCGATGAAGCTGATGATGATGTTGACGAATGACATCGCTTTCTAGACGTCGACTTGCTTTTCTTTGATAGAGGATGGGTCATATGATACTGAAAAATAAGCCATGTTGTCAAAAAAAAATTATGATTATTGTTCCAACGGATCATTCTTCTTCGTTTTTCGCTTACTTTTCGTATATTTTCGGTCTTTAAGGTGCGTTTTATTTCCTTTTCTTTTCTTTTTGTTTTTTTTTTCTCTGTTCACTTGGAATTGGGTTTGTTGCGTGTTCTTTTTTCGTTACTTTGAAGAAAAGATAAAGAAAAAAAAAAAAGGTAGGCTTAAACTAAGGGTAAGTGCACTAGCGTGAAAGGGAAAAAAAAAGGTGATCAGCGATTTAAGGGAAACAGAGAAAAAAAAAAAATAGGGGAACAAAAAAAGAGAAATGGGGAAAATCGTTTAAAGTGAAAGAAAAACGGCGTTGAGCGAGTTTGGAGAAACCCTTTTTTCAGTTTTGAAAATGCGGAAATTAAGATGCGGAATTCTTGATGACCGCCCACATTATGGCTTTCGCAACACAAATCATCGACTTTACCGAAAAAGGACAGTATAGTTTTTTGTATTTTTTCGCTTTTCTCTCATTGGTCATCGATCACCTCAACATCAACTGACATTGCTGAGTTGACGCCGTCTCCGGCCCACGCAAAAGTGCCGCAAGTCGTCGGGTTTTTTTTTTCTTCCTCAATACAATGATAACATCATTCTGCTCAACGCGTTGAACAAAATATCACAGATACTGCCACTCTTTTTCTTCCAATCGGAAAGCTTCGGCCAAAATAAAACATGATCACAAAAATGCAAGGGAAAAACACAACTACACACGCACACTTGGGAACCATCTTGTACCACAATGACTGCGCAAAAGGATGGGTCAAAATTTTTTCAATGAAAGATGATCGATTAAAAAAAAAAGTCAAGTTCGTATTTTTCAAACGCAAATGTGCCTCGACAAGGGAAAGGAAAAAGGAAGGGCCATTTTCTTTTTGATGGGTTTATATAAGGTTGACCATTCACGAATGATAAATAAGATTCCATGTATTTCCACGTTCAACTTTATATTTTATCGTACTACCATATTTCGTGGGTGACCCATCTTTTTCATCAAATGGTTCAACAAAAAATTTTAATGGAACCGTTCACCGCTCAGAAATCCATAATGAAATTTTTTGCAAGGTGCTACAGAGTGCTATTCATTTCTTAAATGTTTTTCCAGCCATTGTTCCCTCAAATCCCGATTGAATTCGACGATGATCAACTCTCTTGTTTGTATTTATTTTTCGTCATCAGGCGACGTCCGATGAACCGTGTCAATCGAGCCTAATCACCTAGCAGGTTAGGATGCACGGATAATTAAAAAAAAAAGGAGTTGGGATTTAGGTTTATTGTCCAACAAGAAAGAAATTCAAACTAACATGAGGGATGGCCATTCAAACTACGCTACCCATCGACATTAGCAAAACGCCATTGTGTCATTTCCGGAATTCTGGTGTCTGGTTCTGCTGCGGGACCGATCTCTTATCCTTTGAACCCATTCTTTTTTGACTACACCCACATAACCCATGAAGCATGTTTCAAAGTTCCGATCCAAAAAAGAAAATTATTGAGCATGCATGTTGTAACATGACAAAAAAAGGACGCGCAAAACATTCAATTCAATAAGCTCGCTTTGCTTAGATGATCAACAGTCGATGAGAAAAAGGCGTGTTTCTCCTTTTTTTTTTCTTATTCACAACGCTCGATCGATCTTGATTCGGTCTATACCAGATGGAGTAAACATTCCTATCGTTAAATCCGATGTCAGCTATTTTTTCCTCGATCTCGATCGTGTTTCACTCGCTTAATGTGCTTTCGACTGCCAACCTGATGACGGACCCATCTTGTACCACCACTGCTCCTCTGAAAATGCAATGTATCCCCTTCTTCCCTCCCAGCATACCTTGTTGTCAACACGGACTAATCAGCCTAAATGACCAACACGATTGAAGGCGCCCACGATGTCAGTTCAATGATTGTATTTTTATTATGGATACAGCGCACCAGCGGGCTGTGTGCAGTGATTATGAATTCGAAGCTCAATAGCACGACAAAACATTTAAAAAAATCATCTCCAATAAACATAGGATGTCACTGAAAGACGTATTCCATTTTTGAGCAGTTGCAAAGTCAATTAACGATGAGTTCTAACGGGGTCTACAACATGGCAAAGAAACATGGCCTTGTTTTTGCGCAACCGTGTTCATCAAGTTTCCTTGGTAAAAGGTAAACGAGTGGCTTCAATTTTTTTTTTGGGTTTGATGATATTCCGGCCCATTTGCTAGCGGCTCAACCAAGAACCCTTGGGATGGTTTTAACGGCTGTTAGGAAAATCTATACAGCTTTAGCGCGTCTTTAGAACTTTGCTATTTGTCGTATCCACGGATTTAGCCGCGAAACGGAGATCAAACTGTGTTTCTTTTCTTCTCCAGTCTCATTTGCAAGCAACAATGAAACGGCAGCCATGACAGCGATTTTTCCACGACAAGACTGCGAATCCAAGAAGGAAATCCTGGAATTTCTATAAAAGGCAAATGTCCGCCGGCCACACGTGCAAGGCTGTTTCTCATCAATAGGGCTCTACTTAAATTTAGATTTGGGTGTAGGCGGACATTCAATTATTCTCATGACAAATTTGAATTGTTCAGCTTTTATGACAGAAATTGGAACGGTTGTTCCGAATTTGCGAACCGGATTCCATTTTCCCTTGCGTGGACCGCTTCAATCCATTTTTCTTCATTAACAAGCGTAGGGTGTTATATGTAACATGCATTAGGCATCTGATATATTTTTTTGCAGAGTCCATCATGGGGCTTTTTGGGGGTTGAACTGACCAGTCATGGCACAGACAGCCTCGATTCCAAGCAGAAAAGGTTTTCGATTTGCAAGATTAAACATTTGTCTCCGAAAGGCTAATTTGTTTTAGCGGCTAAAACAGGTGGCCATGATATATATACCTGAGCCATGCATAATGGAAAACTCCACAAAAATTCACTTGTATTATTATTTATTCACTTTATCATGACTTCTCAAACAATATCACTTATTGTAGCCCTGAAAGGGGCTGAAAACCTTGAAGACGAAGGACGAATCATCCGTTTTGGCACCGGGGCCAATCTCGATACCATCCGCGGCTTGGTGGCGGAAAAGTTATCGATCGTAGGCGCCTTGGACGATATCTTACTTCTCGACAGCCACGATCGTCTTCTCGATGGCATTGGAGAGTTATCCCAACAACAAGTCGTCTACGTGGACGTACGAAATCACATCAAAGAAATTATCCCAGGCCCAGCCAAGCTGCCGTTTGTTGGAAATTTATACGATCTGCTGCCTAATATGTAAGTGCATGAAATCGCCTCGCTTTTTTTTTTTTTGCATCCTCCCATATTTGATACTGAACTGGGTGAATCGCGATTTTTCTAGTACCGAAGGCTGGGTGAAGCAGTTTGAAAAGTATGGACCTCTGGTCGAAGTGACGCTTTTGGGTCGAAAAATCATTGGTACCAACGACCCTGCAATTGCCGAAATTTGTGTCAAGGAATCCGAATACTTTACAAAGAAAGTCAGTGTGACCCCTCTATCTGAAGTCAAAGCTTTTGGTCGTCAGGGTCTGTTTACCACTGACACGGACGAGATGGATTGGAAACTGGCGCATAAATTGTTGATGCCGGCCTTCAGTCCTCGTGCTATCAAGGTACCGTGAATGGAAGAGATGGAATCTCATGATTTTTGGACAACAGGAGATCTAATTGTGCTGTCTTGTTTTCCAACTCGTGATATTGCAGGCATATCAAGTGGAAATGGGTCTTATTGCTCAACAGACCATCAAGTTGTTGGAAACCTTTGATCCTAGTGAACCAGTGGAAATTATTGAATGGACGACTAATCTCACGTTTGAGACCATCGGTCGTGTTGGTTTTGGCTACGACTTCCATCTGCTGGACAAGCGCGATGCTCCGGTCCATCCTTTTATCGAAGCCATGGGATATTGTCTGCAACGCGTGGTCACCCGAGTCCAGCAAGCTCAATTCATGAAACATTTACCCACCGAAGCCAACCGTCGTTTCGATCGATCCGTTGAATTGATGCATGAGACCGTCGACCGAGTGATTCAGGAACGCAAAGCCAGCCCGGAAGCCCACGACATCAACAAGGACTTGCTTGGCTTTATGTTGAACGCACGCGATGAGAACGACCTGGGATTGTCCGATGAAAATATTCGTGATCAGGTCGTGACCTTTTTGATTGCAGGCCACGATACTACCGCTAATACTCTGGCTTGGACACTGTATGAACTGTCGCATAACCCCGACGTGGAGGCCAAGGTGCTGCAAGAAATTGTCGACAACGGCATCACCCACGATACCTTGCCTACTCATGAACAGATCAGCGGTCTCAAGTACATGCATCAAGTGTTGAAGGAAACCCTCCGTAAATATTCTCCCGTTCGCGCATTGAACAAGTACTGCACAAAAGATTGCATTGTTCCCGGTGGTTACAAGGTCAAGGCCGACAATACCGTCCAGATCAACGTTTACGCTATGCATTACCGTGCCGACATTTACCCTGATCCCACCCGTTTCGACCCTGATCGATGGACCCCCGAAGAAGAACAGAAGCGATCGCGCTTTGCCTGGTTGCCTTTCAGTACCGGTCCACGTGCCTGCATTGGTATGGCCTTTGCTCTGCAAGAAGCCAAGACGGTTTTGGCCATGATGTTGCATCGTTTCAAGTTCACTTATGGTAAGTTCACTTGGCATAAAAAAACAAATATGTCTTGATTGATTCAGGGTCACTGATGTTTGCTGCTGATCAATAGATGGTCCACATCCTATGCCTTTTGATCCCAAGATGGCTACCACCAAACCATTGAATTTGCAGATGCATATTCTTCCCCGTACAGACTTGCCTGAGCCTCATGCGTCTGCACCGGTGATGACCAAATCAGCCGAATCTGCCACTTCACCAGCCACGCCTGCACCTACCATGCCTACGATGGCGACCGTGCCGCACTCGGGTAGCATTGAATTGCCATCGGTGACCTTCTTGTTCGGTACACAGACAGGTACTGCCCAAGATTACGCGTCGCAGCTGGCCAGTCAAGCTCGCAATTTCGGGTTCAAGAACGTGACGTTGTGCGAAATGGATAAATGGGAGGTACTGAAGAACGGAAAGTACACGGGCGGTCAAGGCAAAAATGATGCACGCGAACTGGTCGTCATTTGCACTGCCACCTACAACGGGCAACCTCCGGATTCCGCTGAACATTTCCACAAGTTTATCAAGGCCAAGACCGAAGAAGAAGGTCACGGAAAGATTTTGAACGGATTGCTCTATGCGGTGTTTGGTCTCGGTAACAAGAACTGGCGCACTTACCAACATTTCCCCATTATGGTCGACAACAGCTTGGAAGAACTGGGTGCTGAACGCTTCTTTGTTCAAGGTGAAGGCAATGCCGACAAGGATATGGATGCCGAATTCAATGAATGGTAAGCTTTTTTTTTTTTTTTTTTTTTTTTTTTGCTAAAGCCGGATTACCTCAAAAGTGCAATTCAATTGACGTTTTATTTTTTCTTCATAGGTGCGCTCACTTTTGGACGCATACGTTGAACTATTACGGTGTGGCTGTATCCGACAGCCATTCGGTGGTGCCGACGGCGACGGCGAACAAGACCGGTCGTAGCAACAATGTCCAGATCCACTTTATCAGCCCCAACGACAAGGAAAAGTGGGAATCCGCCAAGAAGAACCGCAACGGCGAGTGCAACGCCAAGATTTTGGTGAACAAGGAGTTGCAAGGGCAAGGATCCGGTCGCAGCACGCGTCACCTGGAGATCGATATTGCGAGTGTCACGCCTTTGGGTGACGAGCACCTGTACGAAGCCGGTGACCATTTGGAAGTGATGCCTGAGAATGATCCTGCTCTGGTGGAGGCGATTGCTCTCAGCTTTGGCTGGGTGCTTGACTCAGTGTTTGAAGTGGATCCTTCCTCCTTGGACGGTTTGTCTCCTCGCTCGTTGGCAGCCAGCATCCGTGGCCCGTGCACTGTGCGAAATGCCCTGTTGTACTATGCTGACATCTCGTCTCCTCCTTCGCGCAACATGCTCGCTTGTTTCGCGGCCCAGCTTCGTTTGTCGGCCCCCGAGACGGCCGATGCCTTTGAACAATTGACCATGCCCGATCAAGACAACAAGGATGGCTATCCGCTCTTTATCCAACGTCATCGCACGCTTTTGGACCTTCAACGCGCTTATCCTCAGGTCAACCAATTGGATCTTGCCCAATTCTTGGCCGCGGTCAATGTGATGCAACCTCGCCGTTACTCGATCGCCTCTTCGCCGCTCAAGTATGGTCAGCAAGCGCATCTTGCCGTGGGCGTGGTCGACGATGTTGTCAATGATCGTCACTATCCTGGTCTGGCCTCTTCTTTCCTAGCGGGTACTTCAACGGATGTGGCGATCCGCGCTTCGCTTAAATCGTCCAAGAATGCATTCGGTTTGCCTTCCGATCCTTCGGTTCCTATCATTATGATTGGTGCAGGCACAGGCTTTTCTCCTTTCCGAGGTTTCTTGCAGGAACGCGCATATCAAAAGGAGCATCAGATCGAGGTCGGCGAAACAGTTCTCTTGTTTGGCTGCCGTCATCCCGATCAGGATTACATCTATGCCAAAGAACTGGAAGAATACAAGCAAGCAGGCGTCCTGAACGAACTGTATGTGGCCTTCTCGCGTCAAACGCCTCCCTCGTCCATCAAGTATGTGCAACATCAAATCCTGGCCAACGCCGCTACGATCTGGCCACTCTTGGTGCCTTCCGATCCTTCGGCCAAACCGGCTTCCATCTATATCTGTGGCAGTGGTCACATGAGTCGCGATGTACGTCGCACTTTCCTCAATCTGGCCGTCAGTTTCGGTGTCGCCAAAGACGAAGAAGAAGCAAACCAATTCTTGCAAAAACTCATTGACGAGAAGCGCTACAACGAAGATGTATGGGGTTAAAACACTTTCCATAGAACTTACTGTATAATTTGTATATCTATTTCTTTTTATATCAAACTTGTATCATATATAGAATAAAACCATCAGTTCATTTAGAAGTTTTATCACTTAAGAGCGTGTCGTAACAGATATAGTGGTATAAGATCTGTTCCGTTAAAAGTTACAAGTTGATGTAACTGTATCTTTTTGCCACGGAAAATGACATTGCTTTATTCATTCACCCAACTGCGAATGTTATTCCAAAAACTTCTCATTTTTTTTGACAACTTTAATGTTGATTCGCTTGCACTAATACGACTACTAACAATTTTCTTGTTATCATACACTTTATCTTCTATTTCGTTTTGCATTCTGGAGATGACTTGCAAGGTATGCAGCAGACAAGTCATAATAATCCCGATCTAGCCATTTCTGACCGCAAGAGTAGGAATGGACGTCAGTGGGCTACGGATACAATGTAATCAGTCCATTGGTGTTGTAGAGACTTTGCCTTGAAGACCTCGAATGACTAGCAAAGCTGCGGCAAGTGTAACGAGGATGGCCTTGCTGACCACATGAAGCACAAATTGGTTAAAAATCTGAGCATAATCATGCGAGTTTATAATAAATAAACATTGTTGTTAAGAAGTACGATTACTATTTGATTCAGGTGGCTGGAAATTTGGTTGCTGAATTTTATGTAGTGGGAAGCTTTCGGCGTTTGAAAAGTCGCCATTCTTCCTGAATTGTGGGTCCTTTGAACTCCACCTGCCGCCCTTTGGTTGTGAGCGTAATTTTTTTTTTCAGGATTCTTTTTCGTGAACATTGTTTCTTTCCCTCATGGCGAGCGCAACAACTTCGACCCCGAATATGGTGACACCGATGCGATCTACAGACAGACTTCATTCACATGGGATCGATAGTCGGTCCAATCACTTTTCGCATCCGACGCATCACGGCCGACAAGACGTGTTAGCCATTAAACAACAGCTGGCCGACGCTTTGGGAGAAAACGGCCCACTTTACTGGGATGCCCTCAGAGACTTTGTCATGGGAAAACTTAACCGACAGGAATTCGACTTTTACGCCAATTTGTACTTGAGCCGTAAACATGGTAGGTGTGATCCCGTGGTTGCATTGGGGAGTCCCTAAACAATTCGCCCCACCTGAAGGAACGAGAAAATAACTGAAACTGTTGGCATGCTAGCTCATTTACATAACGCATTCATTCTGAGCACGATTCACAATGCGCAAACAAACACATATCCTCCTTCCAAGCACAGAGTCGTGGGTTGGGCCAAGCGAAAACGGGCCAGAGACGGGTCGCTCACCGATGCCGATCACGATATGGATCCTCGCAAAAAGAAACTCAAAATGGACATCATGTCGCTCAGTAAAGTCGATCGAGAACGATTAAAAACGCTGCTAAAAGTAAGTCATTGAATCATTGGGACGGTTTTCATGCATTCGAAGAAAATTGCTTGCTAACTGTCGTTCTTTCCATGTCGTTCCAGTCAAGCGATCAAAACAAGTTACAACCGCTCATCGACAAGTTACTGGAACCCCGTGTCAGTAAACAACCTACTCTTCCGTTTGCTCCGGATCAATTCCCTCCTCAAAGTAAGTTTAATGTGACCTAGAAAGCTCAAACGAATCGATCGACTCATTGACGATCTGTGTAGATTACATGAATGATTATTCACGCGGATTACTGGCACCCTTGTGTATCGATCTCAAAGAACTGCCGTCTCCTAGCATCCTCCACTCACGAATGACCAGCATTGCATTAGAACATGGCTTGGCAGGCGGGGTCGAACAGGACGCCGTAAATGCAATGTTATTTGCTATGGAGGTACGGTGATCATCTGCGTTAAAAACGGGGGAGAAAACGATGTATTAAGTAGAAGCTCTTCTTTGTTCCAACACAGAGTTACATCAAGTCTGCGATATCCAACACGATCAGCAAACGACGAGTCAATCGATGTATTGGTGTTCAAATGATTACGGCTTCTGATCAACAAGAATCTCAAAAGGACATTGCATCTGCCACGGGATCGCAGACACGAGCCACAACTTCACAATTGGCTCCGATGAACTCTTCCACGGACGATGATCAATCAACTTCCGACAATACCAACGTTGTAACAGAATCTCTCAACCTGCACGATCTGGCCTTCTCTTTCCAAGTCACCCCGTTTGTTCTCGTTGAGAATCCGCTCAATGTTGAAAAGCTTACGGCTCTCATGACAGACAGTGAAGATGAAGTCACTGATGATGGTCTGGGGGACACCACCTCAGAAGACGAATTTGATCTTTGATACATACATCCCATTTGCCATGATCCATCAAAAAGAACAAACCATGTAGATACCTTTCTTTTCCCCCCCCTCTTTTTTTTTTCCTCATTTTAACGTCTCATCCTTTGCAAAAAACTAGCGCAGTTCCAGTTCCATAAAAACAAATTTATTACAATGCAGAAGAATGACAAAATTACAAAAATGAGGGTAAAAAAAGGTAAAGCATCGGATGAACAGGGGACACAAAAGTTGTGAAAGAGACATGGTAGAATTCGGGTAGATGAGGGTTTCGGCAAGATTGTATCACGGCAGGCATCATGGTGCTTCGTTAGATTGCTCCATGAATTCAGCCACATCGGCGGCGTGAGCCCGACTGCGCAAGTGGCGCTCGAGATCATACTCTCGGATATACTTGTTATTGCAATCTTCGAAAGGACAAGCGAAGCGTCGTTTACTGCCTTCGCCAGCATAATTGGAACCAGTAAGATGCTCAACTAACGATCTGGAGGGCTCACGGGAACGTTTTCGAGGAATGGTTGGATCCTATACCGTCATGAGTCGCGGATGACATAAAAGGAACAACAATGATCGAGATACATACCGTATGCGATTTTAAGTGTCGTTTCAAGAAAGACTTGAATGCGAATAGTTTATCACAACCTTCAAACGGGCAGGGGAGGTGTTTTTCCGATTCATGCACCATACGAATATGCATACTCAAACTTCGTTTCTAAGACAGTAATCATCGTTGAATGAGATGGATATGGATGATAAAAGCTCACGGTCATCCCATCTACTTACCGAAGCGCAAACCTGATTGCAACCTTCCCAGTAACAGGCGAATGGGTCGCCTTCTCCATGAACCGTCTTGACATGTTTCCGGAGCTGAGAACGACGATCGAACTGCTTGTTACATTCCGGACAAATGTGAGGGTGATCGCTATTGACGTGCGCACGAAGTTCGGTCCATTTGTTAAACTTAACCAAGCATCCCGGGTGACCACACATGTATCGCTTCTCGTCTGCAGATACAAAGGAAACGTATACAATGAGTTTTCTATTATCTATCCCACTCAAAAAAAAATTCCCATTTTCACGTACTTGAATGAACCGAGGTCATGTGGATTGAAAGTTTGTGTCCGGTGAGAAAGCTGGCATCGCAGCCTTCCACTTCGCACATAAACGGTCGCCGGTGCGTATGCGTACACATATGATTCCGAAGCTGAAATCGTTTGGCAAACGCAAGATCACATCCTTCCCACGTACACTGATGCGATGATCAAGAATCAAAAAAGCCAAGTGTAAGTATCAAGGTTACTTCAAGTCAGCTTCTTCCTCATGCTTGGGGTTTTTACCTTGTAAGCCAGTGGTACCACATGCAAATGTTCATGTCGCTGGAGATGTTGTTTGGTATAAAAGGATTTGGAGCATCCCTCATGCGAGCATACATATTCTTTGGTGGTTTCTGGATCGTGGGTGCGTGCATGGACTGCCAAATGAGTCGATCGTCGGTATGACTTGCCGCATCCGGGAATAGGGCAAGTGAATGGACGCTGGGGAAGAAAATGGACGTTCAAAATGTAAGTAAAGTACTTGAGAACTTGCAAATGTGGACTCAAAAAGTTTACCTCGCCGGTGTGGACGCGAATATGCTCATGGAGTTTGGACGGTTTTTTATACACTTTAGTACAACCGTCATAGGGACAAGGATAGCCTTTGGTAGCTGACGACGATCTGGAGATTGCGGGCCGATCGGGAGTTGGCAAGGGTATTGAAACGGTCCCACTGATCGTTTGGGTTGTCACCGTCATACTGCTTACTTCTAACGGTGAAGAATCACCAGCAAGCAACGAGGTCCCCAAAGACACTGCTTCTGTCATTCAAACAACGTATACATTTGGACCACAAAAAAAAAAGACCTTACTTTCATTCATCATGGAATTTCAATCTCCGCATTTTGGTTCGGCGGCTTGGGTTCCGTTCAATATTTTTTTCAATGGGATCACCCCCAGTCTCTCAAATAGAAGCGCTCTTGTTCAGTATAATGTTGCATGCATTTTTACAGATAAGCGTGTATATAGGGGTATACTATTTTAAAGAGCAAGACGAGAAGGATCGGTGTTTATCTTCGATTGGCATACTGGGACATGGGTCGTTTTTGAAGGGCGTTTATCAACCCCATTTGAGTAAGGTAACCACGATCGAGCAAAGATTTGCCAAGACAATCTAAACTCTCATACTTTCTACCACTGATGGGCACTGCATTTTGCGTTCCGGAAAAGCGAATTCGCAAGCTGACTTTGAAGTGATACTGAGAACGTTCTTAAAATCATGAAACGCTAAAAAACTGCTCTAGTTTGCTTATCACATGTTCGAGTTAGTCTGTGGAGTCATCAGTGATGTAGAATGAACCCATCTTTTATTTGTTGCAAAGCTTACACACGGTCCCCGCGACGGGATGATGGACCTGCTGTGGCCTGCAAAATGGACCAGCCACAAACTGAAAGCTTACTGCTGATTGGCCAATGTAAATCAAAGCAAGTCTTGTGTGCGAGAACCACTAACAAGACTTTTTTTGTTTGATTCCTCAATTTTTGATTACATCAGATATCCCCTTATTACATCATGCCTTGCAGGAATTTGGCCCCGTCTTGCCATTTTTTCATTCTCAATAATGGAACATTGAATACATTTGCTTGTTTATTGTGTGTTGAAGAAAAAAATATGTTTATAGGCTTTTTTTTCCCTTTCTGGTTGGGATGTAAAGAAAAAAAAAATTGAGCGGAGATTTTGACATTTTCCAAATAAAATTGAGCTAAAAACTATTGACAGATGAAAAGGCTAAAGAGAAGGGAGGAGAAGGAGGAAATAAGATGATGGAAGCAGATGATGGTTGGATTTGACATGAACTTGGGGTATTTTTTGCTTGTTTCTGAATTTTTCTGAGTTCTGTGTTGGTTTTGTTCAAAGGCAACCAGTGCAGATCTGTAATCAGTATTGTTCACTTGAATGATGAGCCATAGGACATGGATCGTCGCCTAGCTCCTTCAAAAGCATTTTGCAATGATAAAGCGGTTGGCATAAAGAAATTGGTCGGCATGGAAGTCGACAAATCACTTCCGCCCGCGGAGGCTTCATCGCCCGTGGGCGAGCTGGTTTGAGATGAGCCGCCGGATGACAGTAATCCCGTCAAAGATAACGGAGTTGTATTCAGCAAAAGAGGTGGTTGACGCACCACCGATGAAGTGGCGCTTGTATCAGACATGCGTCGAGAATGGAACTGAGCACAAGCCGAAGTGTGGGTGGAAAAAGAATCCGGCTTCTCATAAGTTCGTCCGCATTTGCATCGAAAAGGCATTTTGAGAAAAAGATAAGAAAAGTGATTTGGGAAAGATCAAGAGATGAAAAATCGGCTCAAAAGGAGAAGACGGTGACAAAAGCAAACATTTGTTAAAACGTAAAAAGCAGTGCTTTGTTCCCAGCGCATTTGAAATTCGTGGGAAACTACAGGCAAAACTGGACCATCACCATGTGACCTTTTTTTTCCTGCTTATCTTGGCCAATCATAACCTTGTACTACAGTACAGACTTTTTTCCGTAATCTTGCATAAAAATGAAACTAAAAAACCAATCAGTAGAAAGCGCCCTCTGAAATACAAGTTTTCGACTGAAGGTTATTTGTCAGACAAAGCGAGTGTGGGGTCCGACTATGTTTAGTTATTGGAAATGCTAATTACTACAAACAACAGCCGTCTTCTTTTACTGCAGAGCGTGATGGAAGATTCCAGGTCGCTCTTTTGTCCTATGCGATACTGGCGATGATTTTCAGTAATTTGACACATAATTTCTACTGGCCACGACATCTGGCTCGGTTCCGTATTGTCTTGCAGGCTGATTCTTTTGCAGACCAAGATTGAATGTAGAGTTCCTTTGCCTCCGGCTTCAGCTATTTTCTCCTGATGCTTGTTATAGACCCTTAAAAACGGGGAAAATTCAGATAAATGGCATTTTTTGAATAAGCGACGCAAACTTAACTTTTGACGTATCTGTTTTCAATGCAAATGGGACAATAACGCAGGCCTTGATGCTCGGCCTTTATTTAGCTGATCAACACATACCCAAGATTTCGCGCAACCCATTTCTGATGGCCTCGTAATCGATGCAATTAAGACTATCCTTTTGTGATTTCTGAAAATTGGGGGCTCTCCCGTTTCCCGGCTTCCTAAAAATGGAAAAGCCACCAACGATTTTTTATCATATGCTTTCTTCAATGCTATACGGCTTTGCCTTTCCTTTTTTTTCCCTTGCATTTCTTCCATTTGTTTCTCCTGTTTGTGTTTCTTGGGCTTTCAGGGTGCTGAGGATGGTGTTCACGGGGAAAAATCGTTGCTTGCCGACAGTGCGCGGGGATGTGTGAATTTCTGCAATTATTGCTGCCAACCTTGATGTCCAATCCAGTTCTTCCATATCTTCAAGCCAGCCAAATGTATACGTATACAGCCAAGTTGCCATGATCGATGATCATCGATATCCTGTCGCAGTCAACATGAATGATAAAGTGATACTTTGTCCATTTCTGAAATTACCTCTTAAAGGATTCGGATTCAAATAAAAAAAAAGGCGCTTTGTTCTGCTCGCAAAGCGCTCAACGATATTGTGGACAAAAAATGGTGGCGGGGGCTGTTGTTTTGATGAAAGAAAATGTCGTGTGAAAGCACTCTCCCTTTTTCCCATGAATCAGAAACCAAATCATGCGCTTGGAAATTTAAAGTCAAAATGTAGATGATGCTTTTGAAACCTGATGGCTTGGTCTTTCGAATCCTTTCAGGATTGGTTCGATTGAAGCTTCAAAAGGTTACTGCCAATATGGCATCAAGTGAAGGCCGCCTTGAAGTAAAGACACTGCTATTTATGCTACTATCATACCGATATTCATTTTGCTGTCTGATAAATACAGGAAGCCACCAAGAATTTATCTAAAACATATATATCTCGACCTTATTAAAATGTTTGGGAGTTATGCGCGCTAATTTTCAGCCACAAGGCAGTCACATTGGGTTTTTGCTACATTTGTCGGCTTTGATTGGGTAATTTTTGAAAAAAAATATATATGATTGGTTAAAACGAAACCAGACAGCTGTTGATCGGCCCGACCTTTGCGCTCGAATTTATAACATGAAGCGTAAAGCTCTGATGGAAGATCTAAAGAAGAACCATGTTTGGGAAGAGTCGTTACCCATGTACACACGGCGGAGTTTTAGAAGCGAGGCTTACTGCATCTTCATTTGCTTTTGGTGTTACTCCGGAAGATAAGCCGAGAACACTTGATGACTATGATCGTATCGTGTGTGCCGAACTTCAGGACAGAGAGAGATTTCCTGATCTCTACGACACCGTCAGCATATGTATGGTGCACGGTCCGTGTGGAACAACGCATCCGAGGTCTCCCTGCATGGAAAACGGCTCATGTAAAAAGCGTTACCCGCGCTCCTTCAATGAAGCTACTATCGAAGATCACAGTGGTTACCCGTTATACCGCCGTCGCAACAATGGTGATTTTGTGGTCAAGAACCATGTCCAGTTGGACATAGATGGGTTGTTCCCCACAATCGATACCTCTGTGCAAGATATAACGCTCACATTAACGTCGAAATCTGTACTTCTCTGGAAAGCGTCAAATACCTGTACAAGTATGTTTACAAGGACCACGATCGTGCTGCAGCAGCAATGTATCATGCCGGCAATGACAGAATATGTCAGGCTCCTGACCCGTTTGCGCTTTGGATGCAGTTCCGCCAGCATTTGGCAGAAGACTATTTAACCTTTTTGGAGCAATCAAAATCAAGACAATGATCATCAAAATTGAGCCGCCCCAAATCGTGTACGATCGCGCTTTGCTGGGCATTGAAGAGCATCTGAACCGCCAATCGAGTTCACTGCTGAGTTACGATCGCTTTGTTCTTCCTGATCGCCAAGAAATTGGCAGAAGCACACTTCGCCGTCAGCCCAGACTGGTAAGAGAACAATTCGATCTCATCGCAGACGCTGCCAATGTTCCCCAAACACACGAGTACCTAAACCGTTATCAACATGCCGTATACCACGCAATTCTCCAGAGTGTCACGCATGGAAGCAACGAATCAGCCCGATTGTTCTTTGTTGATGGTCCTGGTGGCGTCTTTACCCTTATGTTGTTGTTTTTATTATTCCTTTATATTTTACTGTATGTATTTTGTCTTATGCTCCTTTGATTTCATCCTTTGCTATGATTTTTCAAGTTATTCTTCACCTTTATGTTTTACTGTATGCTTTTCGTCCTTATGTTCCTTTTGATTTTATCCTTATGCTATGTTTCCCCAAGTACGATTTTTTCTGTTATCTATTTTGTCTCTCCATTTAATATTATACGATGCCTGACTATTTCTGTTCCTAACTTTGTGTACATATTGTTGTTCCTCTGTCGTGGATGAAGAAAATGATCACTATGTGGCGGTAGGTCAGGGGGGGCAAGACCCCCGGGAAAAAAGAAAAGGAGACTGTACTACTCTGTTGTCCATTGAATACGCAAAGATTTATGCGCACATCAACTAAATCTTACCGAAAAATCAACCGCTTATTGACAAAAGATTAGAGTTAAGAGAACACCATGACCTTTGGATACACAAATTCGAGTGCGGAGTTCTGAATATTGCAAATGGAGCATCCCATTCCAAACGCATCTTTAATCAGCTACTATTCCCACTAGCATCAGAGTAACAACAAACTACACATCCAAAGAACCAAACTTTGTGATCTTCAAGATCACACGCGCTACTAGTCTACATAATTAAAATCTTTGGAAATTAGCGATTTTGTAAATCACATGATCTACACTAAGTTATCAGGACCTGTTAAACCTTTTTTTTTTATCTTTCAACCATGCCTCGCTACCCACTTCCACGGTAATAGGCGAAACAATCAGCAGCAAGGTGCCGTTTGCGCCAGTTGTGGTCAAACAGAGCATGTCGTCTTCCAAATAAAAATGTGAGTAGAGCTCTTTTTGAAGAAAGGTGGTTGATGATATGACTGGCGTTCTAACTTTTGTAGCATTATTCGATTTGTTGTTTTTTTATGTCAGTTATACTGTCATTTATACTGTATATGTCCTTTCATTCTCTTTCAATTTTCAATGAATCGAATAATACATAAGCAGACGTGCTTCGATCTATGAATTCATGCATCAGTGGGGTGACTATTGTTTCATCCATGGAAAACCATATATTTTTGTCTTCAATCTTATCTTTTTTCTTTTGATTTTCTCTCTCTCTTTCTGTTTGCTTGATAAACCCTCACTATCATTGTATCAAGATCCCATCCGCATCCATCATCCAGACCATTCTTATCCCGTGTATCTAACTTGGTTAAATCGACCATCATCCTCAAAAAGGTAAGCGTGGAGTGGTCTACCATCGATTTTGCTCCGGCAAAACAGACTTGGGGACTCTCGATATTTGGAATCCAACTCGAAGTTACCGTCACTTCTGGCCACGTCAATGTTTTTTGCCTGCTCAAGCTGACACCACCGATCCATCGCTTAACTGTCCCTGGAAGCAATTTTATTTTCCGCATCGAAAAGAAGCTTACCTGTGTTCCGTATTCATCTTTTTTTTTCCGGTACACCATTTGGTTCAAAGGCAAGTCCAATTTCTTTTCCTTTGCTATGATGTAATGAACGTATACTAATTCAAATTTTTTCAATGTCATATAATCCAAGTTGTGTCAAGCGATCAATGGCTATTGCAAACTCAAATAACAAAGGTAAAATATCTTGACGAAAATTTGAATCAATCAAAGAGCTTACTAACTCATTTTTTTAAATACCCAACATACCCACACATCTTTCTAGATCTATCATAGCCTGGGCGGGATGGAACTGAGGGGGGGGGGGGGGGGAAACCAGTGCTGCCCTGCGCGTGTTCAGAAACAAATCACGTTGCAACGTATGCCATAAGGTTGTCATTAATATACCGAAGTTCCGTCAAGAGTTCTCGCCCAGGTTATGCCGTGTATGCGTTAGGCTTTTTGTCTGACGAAAGTCGCTCAATGTAAGAGGGCGGCCTCCGGTGGCAGGCGGCATCCATTGCACAGCGGGTGTACGGCTTGTTAAATTAAAAAATCGATCAGTATTGTTAAATCAGGCGACTGTAATCGAACAATTATCGAATTCACAATTTTTCTCAGCTCTGTTTCCTCTTCCAAGAAAAACGGTGTTATTTACTGATTGGGTTTTAGTTTTGTTTTAGCGATAATACGTAGGAAAAACCCATAGATACACGTTCTGCTCAAATAAATAAAGATGAGGGCATCCCAGAGCTAATCCACTCCCCGGGATTAAGAGCCAGGCAGAAATTCCCGTTTTTGATTCAGTCGTAACCTGGAGCTTATGGCTTCTAGGCGCACCGCACACAATGTCACCATCTCGTCTACAATGTGGACTGACATCATGCCTCGCCGTAAAATAAGCTTCAACAGTTGGCAGCTGGTCGAGCATTTTGTACACGGTTCCCAATTCGATTGGATATCTTCATAGTTGACCAGATCCCCCAGTTGTCTAATTTCTCGATCATCCACCGTGATGGCGCACGCTTCGTCCAAATAGATGCGTTGATTGACGCCGCCTGCTGCCTTGACCGTTTGTGCGATACTTTTCAGTTTTTGTTGATCGGCTTCACCCATGTCCACCGTGGCCATAAAACCCGTCGTATAGTGGATCTGCATGCAAAAATCGGACATCTGCACCAGCAAAGCATGGGGCGATTCTTCGCGCTTGTATTGCAACTGGGCCATTCCCCAGTCATGCGGTCCCATGGCTTGTGGGGAGACGTTGAGCGCAAATCCCTTTTCCTCGGCTTTGGTAGGCAGCAAATTACGCACGCGCACATCCTGAAGTAACAGTAGCACTTCGGGACTGCCTTGTTCGCCAAAACCGTCCACCGTCTTGCGTGCCGTCAGCAATTTCTCCATGAGTCCACGTAAAGCGTAATAGCTCGCATCTTTCAACAGATTCTTGCGGTGCATTTCGTCCTTGATATAGATTGTGTAACCACGCAAATGGTTGATAATCGCTTCAAAGTTGTCAGGATCGCGGTCAATATAAATCGGCGGAGCTTCCACGCCGGTGCCGTGCGGATCAAACAGGGAATGCATGAGTGGTCCCGTAAAGAAATTATGAGGTCCATCTGTAACCAAACCGCGATTAATAAATCCATGGAGATAAAAATTCAATGCCATGGAGTGACACATTACTTTTCCGTAATAGCTCCCATGACAGTCGGAAGGGCCGTCCGCCGACATTGATATAGAGGAATTCCTGCAGAATTTTCGTTAATCGTTTGAGGCCGTAGTATTGTGCATCCTTTAATAAGGCGCAGTTTTGAAGGTCGTCTCGAGGCCGAACATGATAGCCACGTAAATGCTGAATAATGATGGCAAATATATCGGCGTCACGATCAATGTACATGGTGCGCGTGGTCTTTTGCTTTCTAAAGTAGTTGGTGAAGAAATTATTGGGTCCGTCACTTTTCAACGATTCCCAGCTCACGCGGAAGATTCTTCCGCCCACCACCAGGGTGAACACGGCCTGGTCTTGCCAGTCCTCGGAAACTCTTCGTCGCTTTTGTCCAGCCAGTACCGACGATGTCCTTGACGGCATGGCCATGGGTCTCTCCAGCGAAGCCGCGGGCGAAAATCCGCTATTGGTCACCGAATTGCTTACAGAACTTGCTCTGGATTCTGGCTTTTTTTCGCCGTCACTTTCAACGTAGGGGTCTGTATTGGTGGTGGGTGGTACTTGGCTGATGTCAGCAACGGGCGCGGACGATGATGCATCCGTGACAAATTGAAAAAAGTCATGGGGGATGCCTTCGGATCCAAGAAACGACTGATCGTTGAAATTCGGTTTAAACCCGTCGCTGAGATTGAACGAGTAGCCTAGGTTGAAGAGGTCACTAGGATCTGTGGTGGACGACGACTCTTCACTGTTGGCATTGATATTGGTGTTAGTGTTATTCATCATGCCCACCAGAACACACAGGCTTTTGAGGAAGGAGGGATGACCGTTTCTGTCGATGAAAGCAGTCCACAGACATGTGATGTCGCCTAACGCTGTGTTTCAATAATGAAACAATTGGAAATGTAAAAAAAACAAAGCCCACATGTGTCATTCGCCGTATCGAGGTTGTTCAGGGCACAGAAAAAAGCATTTCCCATTGTACGTGGCTCCTTTGGATTCTTTTGATTGTCTTCTATGCAAGTCGTTGTAAGATCATTCAAATTTTACCTTTATATCATCGCATATCATTTGACGGTAGTACGAACAATCTAATTCAAATGTTCTGGTCACAGCTGCTTAAAAAGTTATACAAGGGTTCAGTGTTGATACAAAATTGCCATGGTAAATTCTCCGTTATCCGTTAGGCATAGCCTAAAACCATAAGATCAATGAAGAGATCAATTATCGAGAACCGCAGATCTACTATCATTTTTTAGCAGTAGTGATTTGTTACTGCTGAGTGTTCAACGTCGGCTGGCAATGCGAAAAAAAAAAAAATTCAGGTCCCTCCACCAAGCAGTTTTTATTGGATAGATTCTTTCTAGCATTTTCCAAGGCGATCGGTGACTAGAAATATTTTTTTTTTTTGAGGACCTGAGAAATCACACTAAGAAATTTTAATCGACAATCGAGTCAAAGGATTTTGGTCTCTTTTGCAAGGTTTCCACCTTACTTTTTTTTGTTGTTGTAAGCCTTTGTCGATTCAAAGTCAAAATGAGCGGCACAGCTATGGAAGTCGATCCCTCTCTGTAAGTAGATGTGTGCTTATTCATCCCCCACCAGAGAATCGTATGGACCCCGTTATCTTTTGACCGAGATTGGACCGTTCATTCGCTCTGAGCCGATGATGCACGCTAATCCACTCCCTTGTATCGCGGTGCTCACCACCTCTGCAACAGGTCAGCAGAGGATATCAAAAACCAGGGAAACCAACAATTTAAACAAGGCAACTATGACGAAGCTGTCAAACTTTATACCGAGGCTATTGGTGGGTTGGATCGACAAAACAAAATTGTGGGGAATCGTATTTTGCAAGACACACTTTTTTGTTGATGTGATAAATTTGCTTGTGTTTGTCATAGCTGCTTCTCCAAAGACGTCTACTTATTATGCCAATCGCGCGGCGGCACTCACTATGATGGCGAAATACAAGGATGCTGTGTCCGATTGTCGCATGGCCACCGAATTGGATCCCAACAATGTCAAAGCTTACTTGCGTGCCGGTAAATGTCACCTCAGTCTTGGCAATCTGGAAGAATCCGGTCGGCAGTACGAAATGGTGTTGGAGCGCGATAGTCAAAATGCTCAAGCTAAAAATGAGTACAACAACTTACTACACGTCAAGAATTATATTGCCCAAGTTCAGATGTATATGGCCAACGGTCAGTGGGGTTTGGCCTGCAACAGCTTGGATCGCGCCATCGCTATTATCAACGTCGAAAATATCCCTACCAAATGGAAGATCTGGCAAGCAGAGTGTGCTTTGGAACAAAAGAAATACTCGGAAGCCAGCCGAATCGTAAAGTGAGCATCTTCCAAAATTTGGGAAACACCCTCCGATGATCGGTTCATTGGATTAGAAGGCTGATATGTGGCATATTTCTTTACTAGTAACATCGTTCGTCAGGATACCCAAAATCCCGACGCGCTGTATCTGAGAGCTCGTGTCTTTTACGGTCAAGGTGATAATGCAAAGACAGTGGCCCATTGTATGGAAGCACTTCGCTGTGATCCCGATTTCGTCAAAGCACGTACATTGTTGAAGAAAGCGCGAGCCATCGAGGCTCAAAAGGAAACCGGCAACACTGCCTTCAAATCCGGTCAGCTTCAGGAAGCTTACGATGCATACACCGCCGCTCTGGACATTGATGAAACCAACGATGTCATGAACGCTAAATTATACTCCAACCGTGCAGCTGTGCTGCAAAAGGTAAATGCTTTGATATAATCACTTGTTGTAGACCGAACATGACCGCTAACAAGTGAAAAAATGTGTGTGTCTAGTTGAAAAAATTCGACGAAGCGTTGACCGATTGTAATAAGGCCTTGGATCTGGATCCCGATTTCACCAAAGTATACAGTCGCCGTGCGGCATGTTACATGGAAACCGAACAATATGAGGAAGCGGTTCGCGATTACACAAAGTTAACCCAAGTGGATGCTGGCAACAGAGGTAAAAAAGAAAATCAAACGAGTAGTCTCCATTGGGAAAACTGATCTCTAAATTGATTCGCTTTTCTTTGAAATTCAGAATACCACAATCTTTTGCGCAAAGCCGAATTGGAGCTGAAAAAGGCGCAACGAAAAGATTATTACAAGATTTTGGGATTATCAAAGAGTGCGACCGAATCCGAGATCAAGAAAGCCTATCGCAAGCTTGCCCTCCAATACCATCCTGATAAGAATGCTGGTGATGAAAAGGCTGAAGCGAGATTCAAAGAAGTCGGTGAAGCTTACACTATCTTGAGCGATCCTCAAAAGAAAGCACGATACGATTCTGGCGCGGACCTCGAAGGCGGCATGGGCATGGGCGGCGGTTTCGATGCCAGCGGAGTGGATATCAACGATGTCTTTATGCAGATGTTTGGCGGCGGCATGGGCGGCATGGGCGGTATGGGTGGAGGACGAGGTGGGTTCTCTTCCGGTGGATTCTCTGCAGGAGGCTTCCCTGGTGGCGGCTTTGGTGGTGGCGGCTTCCCTGGAGGTGCTGGTGGATACGGACGAGCAGGCTCGCAAAACGGTGGATACCAATTCCACTTTGGTTAAACAACGACGAAAAAAGAAAGATAATATCAAGTATGCAAACAACTATCGCCCTATCATTTTACCATCCCATCATCATCTTCTAGAAATATGCGTCATTTTTTTTATTCCTTTTTTGCACGCCTTTCACATAGTAAAAAAAAAAATAAGAAAATCACCTTCATTTCATTCAAAACCACATCTTGCTTTTTTGGAGTTTTAGAGCCATCGTCTGCTGTTCACTATCTATGATCATTTTTTCCAGTTTTTCATCATTTGATATCATGCGGACCAGTCAAGTTGGTTATGCTTTTTGGACCGTACTTGCTGTTATGGTCATAAGAAAAAGTAACTAGAGCTTCTACGCAATATCGTAAATTGACTGCGCTTTCGTGAGGTGGTTACCACGGTCGTCTTGGCAATCATCATGTTATTTTCATACAAAGGTTATTAGCTCCATGGTACACTTAACGCGGCTTTTATTATGATATTGCCAAGAACGAGCCTATCTAGAAACTACAGGATGGGAAAATACTGACGATCTGTTTGGATACCACAGACACTCTGTACTACCCCTCGAGCCGCGTGGTTCGAGTTTCTGTTTTTACAACCGTGCATCAGCACCATTGCTTGAGAAGTCATGGTGCAATATTCTTTTGAAATTGCCAAATTGGATATGGATATTGCAATGCGGATAGCCATCGAGAAATCTCAAATCGAGTTGCAGTCAGTTTCAGTCTAAATTATCTATGCGATGATCTTTTCTGAACTGATCCAACGGAATAAGAAATGGGATATGCTATTTATGGTAACCAAACGATGATTGCTAGTTCAATTCAAACCAAAGTTTATCGGTGCTGCATATCACAATTGTTATTCGTTCGTTTCTTTTTTAAACAAGTACAAGAGATTTGCATTCATAGATTTCAATGAACATGTGCAGATTCATCAAAATCCAGTTACAGGTTCCTATTATTCTCTCAATCATCTCCAAAGACTAGGACGGATTTAGTTGGAAGATGATCCAGAGTCCTCAGTTTAATTGACGGATTTAAAAGCAAAGGATAGTCATCCACTCCATGTTTCAACGTAATCTGTTCCTTTTTGCGCACGTGCTATTCAAGGGGAAAGACTTATAGTTTAAAGAAGATCCTTTAACGAATGAGGTTCATTACCGTGAGCCGATCGCAACCTTCCGCTTTGAGTTTAGGCCATTCGGGGAAAATGAATCGAAGTTTCTGGTTTCATTTATCAGAACGTTCATCCACTGCCGCATCGATAGGAACGCTCCTTGGCTAATTTCCACATTTAGTATATCGATTGGGAGTCCCAACAAAAAGTCCTATGCTCTTTTTTTTTTTCGCGCAAAGTCTAGCCTAAAGGAAAAAAGAAACATGCACTTGTCATTTGCTTGGCTGCGCGAAAATCGAATGATCCCAAATTTTGCAACTTCACGGCTTAAAGCTGGTGCAAGGGATGTACTTAAAATTGGTAAACAATAATCTGGTCGATCATAAAACTTTGCTTGGGAAAGCATCTGAGCACTTGCGCATCATATTATTAGCTTGCATTTCTGTCTTGGATCATATGCAACCTTGTATTATCCCTCGCGTAAAAGGTTGCAACGGATCTTTCCCCCGTTCCGACTCTATATAAAGGGACCTGCTCCAGTTGGATTTCCCATCATTATCAGTCAATTCTATCATGCGTTGGTTTGTACCTTTATCGATCTCTGCTCTGTCTATGCTAGCCACCATCCAAGGTGCTCCTTTGGCGAAACGGGATGGTTCCGGCGCTACCGTTCAGGCTGGTACCCATATCGGATCTAGTGGCCGTTCACCTGACCTGGTTTCTGGGCTCTTGAAATCTGATAAATCCTATCGAGATGACGATCACTGGGATAAGGACCACGACAACTGGAATGATAATGGCAAATATGGCCATGATGAAGGACATAAAGATGACTGGAACGACAATGGCAAATATGATCATGACGACGGACACCGAGATAACTGGGACGACAATGGTAAATACGGCCATGATGAAGGACACAAAGATGACCGGGACCACCACGACGGTGATGACCACAGGGGTGACTCGCATGGCAGGAACGGTCACTATGGCTCAAAGAACGATGTCAAGTCAGACACTCATGGAGGTGTGTACTTGTACTGATCAATGCCATAATATCATCTATCTTATATTGCAAACATAGACAAACACTACGACGGTGACAAGAGCAAGCTCTCTGGTATTGTGAACACAGAGGCTGTCCACGATGTGAAGAAGAATATCCACAAGAACATCCAGAAGGCCGGTGTCGATGTTGCTGGGTACGATGACAAGTACGATGATAAAGACCACTGGGGCAAAGATGGCGATCATGACAACGACCACGATGATAAAGACCATTGGGGCAAAGACTATGATCATGATGACAAACATGGTATGTATTCCGACTTTCGGCCACCACCATTATGATTCTAATTTTCCTGCTTTAGATGACAAGCATGACGATAAGGATTACTGGGGTAACGATCATGGTCACGACGACAAGTATTCGCGCAACAAGGACCATGATAGCAACAGCCATCATGGCAACGATCATCATGGCAACGATCATCACGACAACGATCATCACGACAAAGGCTACGACAGCAAAGACCACCATGGCAAGGATGGAAAGCATGGTCACGGCAAAGATTACGATGAAAAGAAGTACGACGTCGAGGGCTACGACGACAAGGACTTTGATGGCAAGGAGTATGACGGAAAGTACGATCACGGCAAGGACTACGATGAGAAGGATCACGATGGCAAGCTCCACAAGGGAAAGAAGGCATCCGGCAAAAAGCATGGCTCAAAGCACGGCGATAAACACAAGAGAAAGATTCGACACGACAAGGGTCATGATGACAAAGGCCACGGCGACAAGGACCACGATGACAAAGATTACGATGGAAAGGGTCATGATGGAAAGGGTCATGATGATAACGATTATCGCAAGAAGGACGATGATCATGACGGCAAGGACCACGATGGCAAAGATTACGATGAAAACGATCACGACGGCAAGGACCATGATGACAAGGACTACGATGATAAGGACCATGATGACAAGCACTACGACAATAAGGAGGACAATCACGGCAAGGCCCATGATAAGAATGATGATGATAAGCGTCATCATGGCGATGGTTATAACGACAAGAAGCATGATGGAGACATTAAGGAAAAGGGTCATGATTTCAAAGGCAACGACTGGAACATCCATGGAAGTATCGATACCAAAGGCAAAGGAAAGCTTGGTTACTGGGATGGCGACAACGATCATGATGGAAAGTACAACGACCATGGCGACAACCACGATGGAAAGCATTACGACGATGATGATAAGCATGATGGAAAGTACAATGATCATGACGATAAGCACGACGGAAAGCACTACGACGATGATGACAAACATGGTGACCATCATTATGATGACGACGATAAACACCATGGAAAGGGTTACGATCACCATGACGACGATAAGCACCATGGTAATCACAAGTAGTTTAGTGACAAAGACCACAAAGACTGCTAATCTTCTATCCGACATGCTGAACGTCTTGTCAATTTTCCTATAACTTTCTTGCAATCATTTCAATAAATTCATTGTATCATTGAGAATATTATCTTTTACTTTATTGGCTTCATTTAATATTGCTTTTATTTATGTGATTTTATTCTCCACTTGAAGATGGGGTTCAGCCGATGGCGCTTATGTCCAAATACTGGACATCGACGTCTGTGGAAGAAATCGCTTTCAACAGATTATATTCCCTGAAAAATATATTACACAGTCTATAGTGATGAGCAGAAGCTCTAAATGAACATATATAAAGATCGTATACAGGCGCAATCCACCTGAATTGGAAGAACAAGATCAGCAATGGGTATGACGGTTGCCGTAGAATTTTGAACGCAATCTGTGCTAATAACAACGTCGATCATGTTATTTCTGCTTCGAAAAGGTATGGTTACGAAAAAATGGTTTGGTTCCCCTTGTTTGAAGTGCACTCATCCATTTATTTCAATGAGTTTTGGAAAAATGAAACACGTGCAGTAAACGATAGAACGTTTTTGTGTGATGGTTGCCAAGATAACAAGCAATCACGACAATAACAACAAATCTAGAAATTACCTACTGCTGCTGTCTTTTTTTTTTTTTTTTTACTGTTGCGTTTGACACCTCCTGCATGATTTCACCCAAAAAAAGAAGGTTTTTTTTTTCTTTCGTCTAGTTTAAAGAAACAGAGCGCGCTGAGGATTCTTGTTCGTTCTCTTCTTTTTTCTTTACGCTCTACATCAGTAGAAAAAAAAAGCAATTCGTAATTATTGCCACGTGTCTCATGATATCCTTTGTTGATCGATTCATTCCGCGTCGATGGCATAATCGTCGCTCAAAGACCACCTCACCTCTATCGTCGACTTCAGGTCATTCCCGGCATTCATCCTCGGATTTATCGTATACATTTGACCCAACGCCTTCTCATTCTTATTCGTCTTCGATGAATAACAGAAAGCGCAGAAGCATTATACGACTGTTACCCAAACAATGGTCGCTTTCCATCTCTTCGTACAAAGGACAATATAAGACAAGAGACAACGGCATGGCGTCGAAAATCGAAATCGATGATATGACATTTGCGCCGGTAGAACAGAATTTGTTAACCCAATGTATTCAATCAGCTTTGACGACCCCGGGTCATCCCAACGATAAGAAGCGATGGTCCATGGATATGCTTGACTTTCACTGGAATGATCAAAACAGTAAAACTCCGCATGGTTGGAACCAATATCTCACACCTTTCTTGCTTCAACAACAATATCAACAACGACAAGAAGAAGAAGCACAACAACAACAACAACAACAGCAACTGGCGGTTTGTCATTCTCATTCCAAGCGAAAATTGACCACCAAGATTGCCAACTATATATCTCCACCGCCTTCATGCGGGTATCGGCTACTGTCGTCCATCCCTGAGATCGAAAGTCAAGTCAATCTTGATAAGCAGTTGGTGCCATGAATTGCGGACCCCACTTGGTCGGACAAAGAACCAAAAAAGATTGAGTTTTTCCCGCCCTATCCCCTTTTTTGTTACCTTTATTAAAAAAAATATCCTCCTTTTTTTTTACCATTTTGCTATTTAAACCTATCCACTTGCCGAAACATAATTAATTTAATTTCGTCCATTTGCAAAACAAAATTGAATATAAAACAATTTCTATAATGACAAACCAAAGACGAGAAAATATTGAATGAATCAAGGACCTTTTTCAGTTTCTGGCTCCACAGGGTTGGAATGCAGTGCAGTAGTCAAACCAAGCTATCCCTTGGTCCTGCACTGACAGTGTTATGTAGTAGTAGCAGAAGCAGCAGTATCCCTTTATAAAAAGGGAACACCGATTTTCAGGTGAAGTCAAGTCGACGGCTCATCAGCATACAAACACAACAAACCGGTTGACACAGATAAATCAACATTTTACGATCAGCATCTAACTTGCCCCAATATATCAGTGGGCGCTAGAAATGATATGAGTCGCCCTTGATTTAGAAAATAAAAGGATTTCTGCGTACCAAACCATATGAATGATCGATGCTTGATTACCCTTCGACTGGTTTCAAAGGAGTACCCAGGGGCGTATATCTTGTGAAACGAACAATCAATGCCAACTGTGAGAGGACTCCAATCACAGACACTGTGGATATCGGCTGTGATGAAGTGCGATTTTTTCAGTCATTAGCACCAAGTAAAAACGCTGGCTTTATTCATCGTCAAAATAGTTCAACTGCAGGTCCGAGTATCCATTACTGTTTGACGTGCATTGTTTGTATTGCATTAAATTGACCTCATTAACCCAATTAATAATGTGTCTATACTACGGTACGTGTGCTTATTTCGGCTGTTCATCCTCGTCAACGTGGATCAACGTCCATGGTATGGCTCGCTCTTTGTCACTCTGTTCATTGGCTATACATAAAGCCCCGTCGTAATGACCTGATCAATATCACTTCCTTCTCGGCAGCCTTGGGGATGCCAGGAGGTGACTTATGCAGGCAGCGGTCGATCTTCTCTTTAAAAATCATGCAAGACTATCCTAATGCAAGTCCCCCATCTCCAGGCTGTACAGAGAACCGTCTTTTCTTTTACGCCACAGATGTAAATTCTTTTACTTGTTGTTTCTGCGCATGCATGACTAATAGGTGGGAACGTGAGAATGTGGGTCCACTCCAACTCAACATAATCGGTGCCTGTGCGAAAATTTCGAACAACTATCACGTGCAAATTGACTGACCTGAATCAAGTTTCGAGGCATGAAATTTTACCTTCGATTAGCTTCTTTATTGTGACATGTCAAGCACTAAAGATCCTCAACTACTGATCTCTGGGCTGTCGGGATGGCCATTGCGAGCAGCTGTGTATGCCATGGAGTGGCTTCCGCTACTTTCATACAAGATAACCAAAGATTCCTTGATCTACGAATTGCGCAACCACCATTTTACCGAGACACCTACGATGCTTCCCATTCCCAATCGTTGTATTCATAAAGGAACCGTTCCTCAGAAGGAAAACGTAGGTGGACAAAGATTTGGGGTTTATCAGCTTCGAAATATTCAACGCTTTTATAGTTTCAGTTGGACGCCAGCCGAAAAAGTATTTCCCCGTTTCATTCGTTCTGGGATTATCATGAAGCCTATCAAAGTGGTAAAACAACGCCTTCAAAGGTGAATAATCATGTTCCAACCGGGTAAAAAAAAAGCTGCATATGGGACCTGACCATTATGTTCCTTTTACAGGTTGCTACCCGTTTCCTTGAGGCCGCCAAGGCTACCGAACACTGTCACTGGCTACGAACTTATATCGAGAAAGACATTCTCGTCCAGGCGGCGGCCTCAACCGAGCGCTATGCGAGACACCAACCGCTCAGTCAATTGGATGGTGTCTTTATAGGCATCAAAGAAGAGCTGGATATTCAGGGCTTGGAAACCAAAGCAGGTACCTCGTTCATCAATGACGGTTCTCCAGCGACCAGCGATTCCACCATTGTCAAACGGCTCAAAGATGCAGGTGCCATCATTGTGGGCCATACCGTCATGCAAGAACTAGGTTGGGAGTAAGTACAGGATTGATGGCATTGCACCATGTTATTGATGGCCGGAGCGTTGTTCATTATAGCGTTTTCAGCGTCAATCCGAACACTGGCACGCCTATGAACCCGTACGGTGTCAATGTCAGCTGTGGCGGGTCCAGTGGAGGTTCTGGAGGGATTGTCGCTGCAGGCTTATGTCCCGTTAGTATTGGTGCAGATGGCGGTGGTTCGATTAGGTAAGCGTTCCGCGCCTACGGTTGACCGGAAAATGTAGGGCTCACTACCAACGTTTCAGAATTCCTTCTTCTTTCTGTGGTTTGTATGGGCTGAAAACGACGTTTGGTCGGATATCGGCGTTTGGCGGAGGTAAAAAGGCTTGATTATTCAGAGATGTTGCCGCGTTACAGCAAAACATCTAACGATTGGCTATCGGTTTACTAGAGAGATCGGATCCAACCTTGAATGCTTACGGTCCGCTGGCGGCCACAGCCGACGATATGGCTCTAACGTATGCCATCATCGCCGGTCCTGACGAGAATGATTGGTATACCCTGTTTCAACCACCAGTGTCGTTGGCCAATTATGATCAGACCGACAGTCTACAAGGGATAACCATTGCTGTCGTACCTGAATGGAATCAGGACGCCGACCTGGTATTTTTGGAACGTCTCGAACAGTTTAAAAACTTTTACCAGCGATTGGGAGCCACCATTGTTGAGATTGATCTCCCCGAACTATTTTTGGCCAAACGAGGTAACCTAGTTTGAAGGACAAGGAACCACGTCAACCAGAACAATGGAAAGATAACCGTTCTCATTTATGACTGTAGCCCATACCATTACCATATGCTCGGAAATGAACGATTATGCAAACAAGTTTTTACGACAAAAGCATCAGTTTCTTTTGCATACGCGGATCATGATGGGGCTTTCCAATAACATTTACAGTATTGATTATTTGCGTGCACAACAAATGCGCACACGCATGATGGATCGTCTTACGGATCTTTTTCAACATCACCACATTGACCTCATACTAACGCCCGCCACAGGAATGCAAGCGCCTGAAATCTCGCCAGGCGCCATGGCGCACGGTATGTCCAACGTCAACTGGACCGTAAAAGCGATGCATTACGCTACATTGGCCAACCTCACGGGCATTCCAGCCGTTAATCTGCCTGCTGGATTTGAAAATGGCAAGCCGGTTGGATTACAACTGATGGCGGAATGGTGGAACGAAGCCTTGCTGTGTCGCATGGCTAAAATCAGTGAAAAAATACCCAATATTGAACGCCAAAGACCTCGGCAAGACTACTCCACGGATCTTTTGTCATGAGTTTTTAGTGTAAAAATGGAAGAAAAAATATATATGAATGTACAATTATATGCAAACAGGCAAATACAAATAATGTTGGCTTTTTTCGTTTAAATAATCTAAATGACTTCTCATCTACAGTCTACAGTATCATCAGAAGCTTGCCTCACAATAAGCGCAGACTGTGATGTTTAGGCATCTCTGAAAATCGTTTGCTTTTTGGTATTGATTTCTTCCAGGCGCTGGAAATCCGTTTTCCGCTGTGTCCGAATAGCAGCAAAGGATTCGGTCAGACCCAGTTGAGCACACGCTTCCAGGGCTAATTCGTAGCTGTCGGCATTGGGTCGTATTTTGAGCATTTTCATGTCTTGCCAGATATTCATGACTTGCGGTAACTGGTTATCCTTTTCCAAGGCTTGCATTATGTTGTTGTAAACCACCACTGGCATCGTAATCTGCTCTGTTTTGGATGCTTCGTACGTTAAAAGGGCCTGACGAATTTGGCCCGCCTTGAGGAGAGAAGTGATAAGGACGGCATAAGTGGCGAAATCCGGTCGGCGTATGGTGTCTTTGGAATGCTTCATTTGCTTGAAGATGGACGTCATTTTCCGTATGGCCTGTTGCTGCCCGTTCTTGGTCGCGACAAATTTGGCCAACAGGCTCAGGTAGGTATTGTAAAATCGTGTATTGGGTTCAATGCCGGTCATTCTCATCTTTTCTCGAATGGTTTCAGCGTAGCTTAGATCTTTGGGTTCCAGACGTTTGTGAACAAGAAGAGCGAGAAGTGCACTAAAGGTGAACGAATTGGGTTTCACTTGATGACGCTGCATTTCCTCCAAGATCCATAGTCCACGTTCAAACGGGTTCTTTCCACGCGAAGCCGCCATGATCAAGCTGGTATAAACGATGGCATCGCTTTGAATTTGGTTGGTTTTCATTTCTTCATACAGATCAAAGGCAGTTTCTGGAGGTTGTTCGTGATCCTTGGCAATGATATCGATGATCATACTGTACGTGAATAAATCGGGCGGTATATCATTTTGACGCATGATTCGGAATACTTCAAGAGCATTCGCCATGTTATTTTCCTTGATGCTTGTATTGATGAGATTGTTGAAATCTCGAATGGAAGGTGTGACGCCAGCGGTTCGCATTCTTTCCAAGATTTCCATCGGCGGTAACCCCAAAGAACTGTAGATCCCCGTATCGACCGGCAACCCCGTCTTTTGCACATCTTCCCAGATCTCGTTGGCTTCCTTGGACATTCCGTGGCTTTGCAAACATTGGACGATGGAACCGTAAATACGGAGGTCGGGTTTCACAGATTCCTGAAGCATTTCTCGGTATAATGCCAGCACTCCTTCGGGTTGTTGCGCCGCCGCATACGCTTTGATCATGGCATGATAAACAGACAACTCTCGCGGGTTGTTCTGTTTCTTCAGAATCGCAAAGTAATATTGGCAGCTTTTGATATCGCCACGTTCGCTAAACGCTTTGATCAGTCGCAGATATGGTTCGATGCTCTTGGGGAACAAGCCACTGTCTTTCAGGAACTGATAGAAATTGTGGAGATCCGTGGCCGAGCCGAGACGGGCCATGCCGTCAATGAGAGTGCAGACGGTGACGGAATTGGGATGATACGATGACTTTACCATGCCATCAAAGACCAGTCTGGCGGTTTTCAGATCGGATCGTTCGATAAACATCATGATCAGCATATTGCAGCATCGGATAAAGGTCGACATTGGTAACTTTTTTTCAAGGACACGCTGATGGATTTCTCGCAGTACCGCTTGAAGACGTTTGACGGATTCCGCCGATCGAGACTTTTTCAGCAAGTTGCATACTTGAAGAAAATCCTTTTCGGTTAAACGTTTCTTGTTGTCGACTCGATCGCAATATTCTTTCCAAACATGCTTCAACGGTTTATCCGTCACATCGATCGTGACTTCGGGGGACACATGTAAAAAACTTTGCGTTTCAAAGGCGTCGGTCGCCACTGACGATCCTACCAAAGTCGGGGAATCTTGCTTTGCGTACATGGCTGCACTACAGTGAATGGATCGTGGGCATATCGGCCATCGTGGACGTACGGTTACTGTAATACGGTCGAACGAACGCCCGGTAGCAGTCGACTGACGAAGTATAGACCATGCTCTCGTTGTTGATCGGTGCATGATCCAAGAGACAGCCACACCGATGCTTTGAAGATGAAGAACTATTACAGTCTTAGCCTGACGCGAATTTTTTGCATTTCACCGGATCAGCTTCTGCCCTATCCGGCCCCGGCGAAATTTTTTTTCTTTTTCTTACGTGGCCGCACGTGACCCGTACCGGAAAAAACGAACGGGCCCGTCCGGTTTCTCAACAAAATCGTTCACCATGTCATTGTTTGTAGCGACATTCGTTGCTCTTTTGTTCCTGTAAGGAACTTGCGTTTATATGTGACGTGAAACAAATTTATTGGCCTAAAATGCCGTTGATAGCATGGTGGTAGTTGGTGGAGATGGGGAGCTTTTTGTATTTTTCCGCCCTTGAAATAAATTATATAGCCAAGACCAATATCTAAAATAGTCGCTGGAAAAAGCTCTCCAGATGGAATAGTCAACTGTTAATTGAAGCGACTACGATTTATATGTTTGTCACAACCCTAATTGTTCTGTGTTATCGTGAATCATGAAATCATGGAATACATGATTTTCCCAAATTTTTGCATTGATTTTCAATAACCAAATCGAATCCTTGTGACCACGATTTGTTATTCATCTTTTTATTGCTGACAGCTTCAAATCTGTTTGACGCCCATGAGTACTGATGCTGACGAGAATACGATGAAAATATTGGTGGCGACGGACAATCACGTTGGCTACTTGGAAGACGATCCTGTGCGAGGTCAGGATTCTTTTCGAGCGTTTGAAGAAGTACTGCAGATGGCGCAGCGTCACGAAGTGGACTTCATTATCCTGGGAGGCGACTTGTTCCATCACAATAAACCGTCGCGTTCGTGTCTTTATACTACGCTCAAGCTGTTGCGTCGTTACTGTATGGGAAATAAGCCCAGCAAGATCTTTATTGCAAGCGATCAATCCTTGAATTTCAGTGACGAATTCTGCATTGCCAATTATTTGGACGACAATTACAACATTAGCTATCCCATCTTCTCTATTCACGGTAATCACGACGATCCCTCGGGAGCCGGTAATCTGTGCGCGCTCAATGTGTTGTCGGTATCGGGTCTCATGAATTATTTTGGACGGTGTCACAACCTCAACGATTTGACCCTGTATCCTATTCTCATGCAGAAAGGCACCACACGCTTAGCGTTGTATGGATTAGGTAACGTGCGTGATGAACGGTTGCATCGAGCGTGGCGTGATCATTTGGTCAAGTTTGTTCGTCCGTTGGATGAAGAATGGCAGGAAGCTTTCAATATTTTCGTCTTGCATCAAAACCGTGCGGCTCACGGCCCGACATCTCACATTCCCGAGGAATTTTTGGATGGATTTCTCGATTTGGTGATATGGGGTCATGAGCATGAATGTCGCATCAATCCCGAAGCCTCAGAAGCGTGTGATATTACCCAGCCAGGGTCCTCGGTGGCCACCAGTCTGTCGGAAGGAGAGGCGGTTCCCAAGCATATTGGTTTACTACGTATCACCGGAAAAGAATACACGATGGAGAAATTACGTCTGGCCAATGTCCGCCCGTTCCAGTACACTAGCATAGACTTGACATCGGTTCCCGATCTCCGAGTTTCCGATGCCAAAGCGTGCCAGGCCTATTTTGTTCGCGTAGTGGAAGATCTCATGAACCGTGCCAAGGCCGAGTGGGAAGAACAGCAGCAACAAGCACGTCAGGCATCTGCATCCGAATCACTGCCGCATCCTCGGATCGAACCGATGCCTTTACCACTCATTCGTGTACGTGTTCAGTATGGCGATGGATTCGAAACCTTCAACGCCCACAGCTTTGGACAGAAATTCGCAGGCCGAGTAGCGAACCCAAAAGATATACTTAAATTTCAACGTATCCGTGCAACGACCTCATCACAGCGACAGAAAGCGACGGATATTTTGAAAGATCTGAGTTCCATGATCCCTGAGCGGCTGGACCGCTTAAAGGTGGAGGATCTGGTGGGCGAATTGCTGAAGGATTTATCGCTTCTTCCCGAAAACGAATTGCAGGATACGGTCAAGGCGTTTGTTGAGAAGGACGACCATAAAGCGATTACCCAGTTTGTGGAAAAGGCTTTGAATCGCGCGCAGACATCGAGTGTGCCGGAGGAAATGACCGATTTGACGGACGATTTTGTCAAACGACGAGCGGCCGCCACCAAACAAAGTCGTGTACAAGCTTATGCGAACGAGCAATCGGGGAGACGACGGAGGACCTCGGATGCCTCAGATACCGATTTATCCAATAAGCGTCCGCGGATAGGAAGTAGCTCGTAAAAAAACCATACACAAGCGACGGGATTCCGATGGATTAGCTTGCCAACAAAAAAAAAAAAAAAAAAAAAAAGTTCGGGTCCCCCCCTACTTGGCGGATGTGAATCAAAGGTCACTCAGTTGTGTACCTTGGGTTCAATTTCAATCAAACAGTACCAAACCTGAATAGAATACACATCATGTACAGTCAAAGCATTATTACTATAAATCGCACCTGTTATTCTACCTCGCATACAGCAATGAAAATATCATGGGATGGATCAAAATAATAGCAACATCATAGTGCTTTATAAGATCACAAGAGTATGATACTGTATCTTTTACATTACTAGGTATTACTGAATTAAAGAAGCGGTATGAACAAGCGAATGGTTATGACATCATTTGTTATATGCGTCCATTCAATCTACAGTGTAAGCAATGATACGATACGACAAAAATGAAAACAAATCAAATGGTATGTGCCGTAAGATCGTCATGGAAATTGGCGGGTGATCCTGAGAAAGCGTCATCCTAGTTCTTTGCTTTTTACACGAATAGCCATCAACGTCATAGCTTTTTTTTTGTTTATGGGAATTCGATCTTATTCGTAGCACGGCAGGATATGACAATCTTTCATACATCCGATTTGGCTTTGCATTTGGAAAGCTAAAGGGTAGCACACGTATCACATTCATTAATACGGAGTACAAAGCGCCATGCTTTGCAGATGGACCGGATTTTGACTTTTGGTCAATGAGGGATGTACAAGCATCTAAACAACTACAGTGTATTCAAGTTGAAGTCAGAAAAAACTAAAAATTGTCAAATGACAAAAATAAAGAAGCAACGGGCCAGAATGAAAAAGAAAGTCCGATAGACACAAAGTGGAAACATCATAACAAGGCAGCATTATGGATGTAGCCAAACGGAAATATATCAAGATTTAGATGTAAATTAACTTACCCGTATACAGCACATCATCGGACCTTGGTTGCCCGGAGGAACCAACCCAAGCGGGCAGGATGGACTTTTGCAGGATCATTCATTCACTGGTCAACTGTGGAGAGTACGCGCCGGAACCCGTCGACTGTGGGTAGTTTTTGTCATCCGAATAAGGAAGTCTCAAAGCATCCTCCGATGCACATAAAAATAGGGGGCGACGGCGATGCAGAAGGGGTTTCAATGCAAGAAGTATACAAGAAACCAGCTGAAGTGCCGTTTTTGCAACACTCGCCAGAAAGTTTGTGTGCTTGATTGGAAAAAGACGATAGCATCCCGCGTGGTTCCCGATATGGCAACACCAGAGCAACACAAGAACATGGGTTGGTTGCCATCGCCAATCGGTCGAATAATCCGTAGGTTACTTGTCATCGAGACACAATGAAATGATGGCACACAGAATTTTTCTGAAGAAAAAAAATAATAATACTCAGGATCGTTTTTATTTTCGCCTCAAGACAGGGTCATACTGCTATCATTCTTGAACGAATGCGCGGGTATGAAGGGATAATGATGCAACGACCATCAAGCTTGCATTCGAGGCAATGGCGGCACAAGTGGAACGTTGATTGTAGCACCAACGGGGAGCATCTGAGACAACATGGCAGTGACGCTATGATAACCATCTCTACAGCTTATCCTACCGTACCGTCACCCATCTCAGACCCATGCTGGCGGTGTCATCGGTGGTTGCCACTCTGCCGTTTCCGATTTGTCCTTTATTGTACGTTCCGATCCTGTCGTGCCACATGACTAACAGCCATGGCAACTCCCAAAATGCACAAGAAGGTTTTTCCTTTTTTTCGGCCAAATGAAGATGGTATCGAATAGACGAATATAACTTGATGATTGTTTTTTTATTCTAAAATATGAATGAGATACTAAGAAATATGAAATTCATGTGGTTTGCTTTTAAACAAAAAAAAAGAAAAAGAAAAGAAGGGAACCAACACAAAAGTAGTAGCAGCTACACTTTTGCTTCCTCCGACCTTCGTCCTTTTTTTTTCAGTAATAATTCTTTAAAAGATAAAGTCCAATCGACGTCATCCTTCAAGGAAGAGAGGTGTGAAAAATCAATGAGAAATACTATATCAAAAAAAGGGCGAGTTAAAAAAAATTGGGGGGGGGGATGGTGAGATTTTTCTTGAGTTCGACGCAAGCCTGCTTGCACTCAGCGAGAAGGATTACGACCAACTGTACAATGATGTGAAGAGCATTAAAAACTGTAATGGTGTACATATGTACATGAAGAAAGAGGGTGATGGATGACAAGAATACTAGTAATAATAAGAAGAAGAAAAATGGTATATACACAAAAGAGAAACAACAAAATAAAGAAATTCCCCGTTTAAGCATCGAGTTTCGGTGGTTGCCGTTGGAAGAATCTTCTGAAACGATTGGATGATTCGGATTTGTTGTTGTTGTTGTTATGTTGATGATGCTTCTTGAATGATTTTTTCAGCTTCTGAACCAGTAATTTCCAAGGTTTCATATGGGTCATGCTGGGTTTTTCCGTCACCGACGTAGGTTCATAACAGGTTGGCTCCTCCTTGTGTTTCGACTCGGTTACAGGTTCAACGGACGGACCTGATCGTTCTAATTGCAAAGCCTGGCTTGCTTGAAGGGGTGGCGATGACCGTGGTTTGATGGGATGATCCTGGAGACATGAGCTGAGGGGGGAGGTCGTCGAGGATTCCAGCAGCACAGGGTTATTGGAGATAAGTGAATAAGCTGGCGAGGGTACGGGATAATCTCCATCAAGGTCGAAATCCTCTTTATCCCAATGGTGTAATTTATTGGTGGCGCGCTGAACGAATTCATCCTTCCAACTCCATGCATGGGTGGCTGCCGTCTGTTTCGTGGTGGTGGTGGGAGTAGCGGTGGCGGGGTTCCTTGACGGGAAGTGATCATAGGCATTGTTACGTTGCATATCATTTTCGACAATTTCTAATGCTCCTCTTAACGCGGCTCGTAAATCCTGTTTCTGTGATGGTGGTTGAATGATTGGGGGAGAGTAATTGGCGGTCTTTAATGTGCTAGAGAGCACCAGGATGACGGCTTGATCATCTTGTTTATCTTGCAGGGCAAACAAGGGGGGATACTTCCACAAAGGTTTTTCATCTTTTACGGGTTCTAATCGACACAGGTCCGTGAGCGAGTGTAAGGGTGTGCATTGCTTTTCAAGCGCGGTGCTGTAGTAATCATAAACAGCCCAATCCACCGATTCAGGCATTTTCGTGCAAGGGTCGGCCGACAATTTGGGTTCATTGCTATCGGATGGAAAGACGATATCGCTTGAGAGAAAATCAACCGCCATGCTATATGCTTTCCAGATGGATGGATATATCGATAAATAAAAATGACAATACAAACAGACAAAGAAGAAAGGAAAAAGAGGACCGAAAATAAATAGAAAACAAAAAGGTAAAAAGGAAAAAAAAGACCCAAAAAAAAGGGAGAAGCAAGAAATTGGATGTCAAGAGTGAGGCAGATTATTTCTTATAAAAGTTGTTGATCGGCAGGAAAGCAATTTCGATTTCCAAATTTTAGCATGTTTGACAATCCTGTATATCCAAAAAGGAAGTTTAAAAACAGAGCATAGTGAGCGTACTTTTTTTTTTCTTGTGTTGCCCACATTGTTCCTGTGCAAGGCTTCGTTTTAGTCCGGGGCCAACCCGATACTACCGACAGAGACTTACATTGCTTTATTGTTGCTGTTCGTGTCACCATGGAAATCCATGCCCGACTTCGGCTGTCTTCCGAAGGCTACACATTCGTACTCCATTCAGAGCCCCACTTGCCATCGGCATCGCCCCGACAGCAAACAAACAAAAAAAAACCATCTTGTTCTCATTTTCGGCTTGTTCATATATGTCAATCAAACCAAATAAAAGCCTGAATAGTTACAGGAAGAACTGTAAGAAAGAAAAAAAAAGCTTTTTTTTCTTGTTTCTTGTGCCAGATATGTTAAACTCTATACGGCATCCCCTAATTCTTTTTTTCTTTCCAATCCTCACATGGGACCGAACACCTCCTTGTTTGAACAAACAAATTTTGCAACCCCCAACCCCCTTAAAACTCAAAAAAAAACTTTTAGACGTGAGAGTAACTGCAAGCCAACATTGATTGGCATTCGCCAGCAGCGGCAAAAGTTGACATGCATATATTAGTTCATCATCACGGTATTACCGTCACAAGAATCATAATCAAAATATGAGAGTCCTAATCCTTGAGTCTTTTTTCAACTGCTATCCACACGAACCTAAAAACTCATCCATCCATTCAGTCCAATGATGGCACAAATATAAATCATTTTGGAGACCGATCCGTCCATAGAATTAACCTTACGAATTAATTTTCGCCACATAAAAATTCCCTCCTCGTCTTGTCTTTCGCATCATAACGTATGGTTATAAAGGTTGACATCCGCGGATGTATGAGGAAATATCAAGTGATGAGACGCGTTATTTGGGTGGTGACAGATCTCAAACTCAAGAAGGTTGTAAGGGAGCACTTTCAAAACCGCGGACCATGTCATGCAAGCATGTGTGCCTTCCAAGGGTGGCTGCATCGCATCATTCCCCATCCTGTCCTTCTAATTACTGCGTATAGAGAAAAATAAAGAAAAGTGCTCCAAGTCTGATGGCCCACAATATTTTGAATAAACTGCATTTGCGTTCATCTTGCATTGAAGGCCGGATTGATAGTGCAGATGGAAAAAAAAATATCAGCTTTCCTTTTTGGACATTTTGAAAAACATTCAAACATTAACCATGCATAAAAAAAGTGGCGGCGGGGGCAAACCCTGCTTTGATTATAACTGAATTGATCCATTTATCTGAATGGATCATATTATAAATAGTTATCATTAGCAATTACAAAAAGATTCAAGGGCATGGGTGGATCAAGGGGCTGGGGGGACGGAGCGCGGATAATAGTAAAAAAAAAAAGCCTACGCGCGATAGAATACAGCGATATGATTGGATGGAAAATTGAGATCGGAAACTCAAAAGTTAAAGTGGTGCCTCCATTGGCTTGTTGTGGGGGCCTCCTTGTATGACCATGATAAAAAGATTTTGCTTTTTATTTTCCACAATCTACGGCTTTAATTGATTCGCTTTTATTATAATTTTGTATATATATGTTGTTTTTAGGCTGAACGATGAGGATAGTAATGATTAAAGGTTTTTTTTTTCTTTTTGATGAATTGATGAATGAAGTGAATTTATACATTGGCGGTCTTTTTATGACTTTTTTGGATTTCCTTGGATATGTAAAGAGATAAGGGGTAACCGGCGAACAAGAACACAATCACGGATACCACGGCTAAAATGGACATGGTGTTGCAAATACCGCGTCGTGAAGGCGCTCGTCGGAAGAAGTTTTCCTTTCGACTTGCCTGTTTCAAGGTCTCCTGATCGGTTTGGAAATCACCGTGAATGCTGGGCGTGTACAAATATTGCTGGGTCGTAGATCGGCTGATCTTGGACGGAGCCGACAGCACCGAAAATAATGAATGGGTGGTTGTCCTACTGAACTTTTTCGACATCATCTGCTCCGATTTCAATTGCGACTCTGCGCAAGTCAATGTTGCAGTTCCCATATCCGCCAAGTCCATCTCGCTAAGCTCCTCCGTTGGTTTCTCGTCGTTATCGAGAACGATCTCGATGAAATGATCGGGTTGGCTGACATGTTTTTCGTTATTGCATATCGCCGCCAACGCTTGTGTTCTCGGTGAATCGGGATAGTGACACGATGACCGAGTCTCAGAGTAGTCATCCACTTCCAATGACGACGCCGACGGAACCGATCGCGTGGACGCCCTGGAACTACGCGGGCTACCATCGGCTGAGAATTGGTTACTATCGTCGTTTGGACCCCATTCATCTACATGTCCCATGTAAAAAGATCAGATCTTAAGATTTCTATTGGCTCACAACATGCCCCCAACTTGACTATTAGAGGATAACTTTTTTTTTTTTTTACCGTTCGGCTTCTCGGATACCACGCCTTCTTGTTCCACCACGGTTTGCACATCCATGTCGGACAGACTCTCTGGCATTACCATATCACTTTTATGGATAGATTGATCATTATTTGTGTGAACCACCGGTGGTACATCTTGTACCATGACCTCGTCCTGGTCTCTGCTGTTGTTTTCCATTTCGGTTGTAACCGGCTGTACGTTCGCCATTTTGGATCAGATGAATGGTTTTCTTTTCTTTCCTGTGGGAGGCTCTGGGCTTGGTTACCGCGATCGACGTTTTTGTTAATTGGCTGATGATTGTGTAACCGTGAATTGAATGATCAAAGTAGTTTGTCTCCCCTCTTTCTTTTGGTTTTCTTCGACTGATACTCAATGGTACCCGAGAAGACGATATAATGATTGCTAGAACGGAGAAAAAAAATAGAATAAAAAAAAAAAGCAGAAGATACAATGGCTATGGGAAATGCTGAAATGGAGTTTGAGTCATTCTTCCCTTTTTGCACGCATCGTCGAGCAAATAGGCTGGAAAATTCTTTTTTAATTACCCCTTCATATTTCTCCTGCTAATGGTCCTAAAAATTTTTGCGGTATCCAGCTCAAGTTTCGCTCACACGATAAAGAGAAAAAATACAAGGGTCATGTTTGCTGAGCCATTCTTGATTTCTGTTTCTGTGATGTTTGCGGAGAAGAGACGCGCTTTAGTGTGGGAGATGGGGATCATGGATTACATTGTGTAACCGAACGTCCGTGCTCTCCTTATCTGTTACCGTTTTTACACTTTTTTCTATTGTTTCCTTATCCTCACTGTATCGTCCGTATCATTATCCATTCTGGTCTCACGGTGATATCATCATTATTGTCATCTGAGACCTGAATTTTCGACAAATGGTTAGAACCATGTCATGGTTAATGAACGTACAATGACAATATACCGTACTGTAATATATGCATCCATCATCATTAAGCAGAAATCGGAAACATGGGAGATTGCCGAATTTCATCATGCGGAACACGATCACGCGAAATATAGCCCAGGATTACGTATCATGAGAGTGATGGAAAGACATTCACTACACCAGTAAAAAATTATGGATTCTGTCTGTTGCTGTGTTGACAAACAATGGGAAGTGGGGCCTTCATGCTACTTAAATGTACAGTAATTCATTCATTGGCACTTGCCCGGACAAAATGCTCACAAAGTGCTATTGCTAAAGTATACTATAACTGTTGGATTTACCAAGCACGCTATTTGTGTCTTTTAAAAATCGGACTGAGATGGCTTGGTAGGAAAACGATGATACATGAATCGATGTGACAACTGCCTTCCAGTGATACCTACCAAGGACTGGACCCCTTACTTTGGACTTTTATCGTATACTTTTAAGCTTTGCTTAAAGCAACAAGTCAAATCCTTGTATGAAATGTTTACAAATTGTTTCAAATGAATGTTTGTGGCGTGTGGCAACCAGTATTCGATCAAAATTTCCCACGCCTTTTCGAGATGAGGGATCCCATGACGAGCCACACATATTTACTGTACGAAACATGCATTTGGTTCCGTTTCTAATCGCAACAGACAAACCTTGGATCTTTGACATGGTATGATATTTATTGCTTCCTCTTATATTGAGAAAAAGAGTTTCAAGTTCATCATTAGGGGCAAAAAAAAAGAAAATAATTTACGATGCAAAGGCGGGAACACCGGTGATGGCTTTGCCGAGAATGAGGGCATGGATATCGTGTGTTCCCTCGTAAGTGTTGACGGCTTCCAAATTGGCGGCGTGACGAATGATGTGGTATTCATCCGAGATACCGTTGCCACCGAGCATGTCACGGCAGTCGCGAGCGATTTGAAGTGCTTTGCCGCAGGAGTTGCGTTTGATCAGTGAAATCATTTCCGGGGCGATCTCATTGGCATCCTTTAGTCTGCCGACTTGAATACATGCTTGGAGACCCAAGGCGATCTACCAATGAAGTTGGAAATAAAAGAGTGATGAGTCGCGAGCTCATAGGGAAGACCATGTTCTTTTACTCCATCACATACCTCGGTATTAGCATCGGCCAATTTCTTTTGGATTAATTGATTCGCTGCCAAAGGACGACCGAATTGCTTACGTTCCAGCGTATATTCTCTTGCTTGAGCCAAACAAAATTCGGCAGCACCCAAAGCTCCCCAAGCGATACCGTAACGAGCATTATTCAGACAGCCAAAGGGGCCCTTTAATCCTTTCACATTGGGCAAAAGGTTCTCGGCTGGGACTTCGACATTGTCCATCATAATCATACCAGTGATGGACGCACGTAACGAGAACTTGCCCTTGATAGCTGGGGCTTCTAATCCGGGCATACCCTGTCAAGGAATTGCTCAAGTGTAAATGACCGGCCTATTATGTCTGTGCCGCCCCGCACAACCACACGCACGCTTGTCTATACCTTTTCCAAAATGAAACCTTGGATAGCGCCATTTTCGTCCAAGTTTTTGGCCCACACGATGAACACATCAGCGATAGGCGAGTTGGTGATCCAGGTCTTGCTGCCATTCAAAACATAATGTCCGTTGACCTTTTTCGCAGTGGTTTCCATGCCGGCAGGATCGGAACCGTGATTGGGTTCCGTGAGACCGAAACAACCCACAATGTTACCCTTGGCTTTTCCAAAAAAAAAAAAAAAAAAAATCCCACGGTCAGTCAACACCCAGGCACCTCTTTATTTTTACGTCCAATGGAGCTTGTCTTACCCAGTTCAGGCAGGTACTTTTCCTTCTGAGCTTCAGTACCGTACGCATTGATAGGGTGCATGACCAACGATGACTGAACAGACATGGCCGATCGGTAACCTGAATCCACGCTGTCAATGCAAGTCAGTATTTTCTTGTCACACTTGATCTTTGAATAAGATTGCATCTCCTTCGTGTTCTGCTGTAAAAGCGGCCACTGCAAGGTGTTCCGTTGAGGATATCAAGAATGCAGGAATTTACTTACTATTCGACTTCACGAGCGGTCAAACCATAAGCGACAGAGGATACACCAGCACATCCATAGCCATCAATGGTAGATCCGAGGAAACCAAGTTCGCCCATCTCGGCAAGGATCTCCTTGTCAAACTCTAAAACGAAAAATAATTGATCGAATAAGTATTCCATGGAATTGACTGATCTGCTCCTCAAAACACATATGGGGTGGATCGGATCATCCACTGTAAGCGGGTCATCACTTACTTTCGTTGCGGTAAGCCTCCAACACTCTGGGTTGAAGCTTCTCCTGACAATAGTTTCGAGCCGAGTCCCTACGTTTCGAGTAATACCATTGTCAATACTTTGGATATGGTTCTTTCGTCAACGCCATGCCGTCATGGTCTACTTACTTGACCAGTTGTTCTTCTTCTGTCAATAGTTTCTCGAGATTCAAGGGATCTTGCCAGTTATACTTTACAAAGCTGCTGGCTTTGGATGCCATGGTGCGTGCGTGAAGACGAGGCACCATCAAAGGTGCGACACGGTAAAATGAGCGTGACAACATGCTAATTAGATTCGTGGGGGGAAATTACAAAAACGTCGCAGAAGAAAACAAGCGGTTTGAAGTTTGAGGTTTCGACGCCTGTGATTTAAATACCATCTCCGGCTCCTTCACTCCTTCTTTCCAAATTAGTGCAAAATTTGTCTTTTTTTCTTCTCCAGGTTGCATTGAAAAACGATTCTTTGTCGTTTACAACAATCCTCATTACAAAATATACTGGTGATAATACGAGTGTAAGACGGCCAATACGTATTAGTAGTTTTCACTATTGTTCCTTTTTTGAAGAAGTGCCTGTTTGCTGCGACAACAGTGCGAAAAATAATTCTCACGGGGAAAATTTTACACGGCGATCCGAACCTTGACTAATCAAAAAGGTCAAAACTGCATTGCATCGTGAATTTAATTTATTCCCATCTCTTGAATGGAACGAAATACCATCTTTCTTACTAAGAAGGTATATTCCATGGCTTCGCACAGAGGAAAAGTTCCTTCTTTGCGAATCAAACAATAACTGTAACTATCGCAAGTCATATGACAAATCAAACACTGAATGGCTCAAATTCGATAAATAATACATATCATGAATACGGTCTGCGACTCTTTGTAAGACGGTGCGTTATAGAGAGCTAATTAACGAGATTCATGTGTTAGTCGATTTTCTGTATATGAAGCAAAAGCATAACGGAAAAATGGGCAATGTCAAGTCATGGAGAAGAGTGTTGCCGGCGGGATTTAAATCTCAGCTCGCCATACTCGTTGTAAGCGAGCCTTTGATTTGTCATTCAATTGTCCTTTATCCCAATTTTTTTTTTTTAACTTGTCATTTCCCCCATGTCTGAAATCAATCTATCCAAGATCAAGCATATTGTGCTCATTCTTTCCGGTAAAGGAGGGGTCGGTAAATCGTCGGTGACAACCCAACTGGCTCTGAGTCTGGTCGACCGAGGATTCAAAGTAGGTGTACTGGACATTGATCTGACCGGTCCCAGTATCCCGCGTATGCTGGGCTTGGACGGCAAACAGGTGCATCAGTCATCCCAAGGGTAAGTTATTTAGACGCTGCTATGGTATGGTTGCTTGTATTAAATATTCACTTGCTCATGGTTTCCTTTTGCAACGCATAGTTGGGTGCCCGTGTATGCCGATGAGAAACAGCGATTGTCGTGCATGTCCATTGGATTTCTTCTTGCCAGTAAAAACGACTCGGTAGTGTGGCGTGGTCCAAAAAAGAATGGTAAATAATGCTAAAGGGAATGATGGCTCTATGTGTAGCTGATTGCTAACTTGACGGGTACGGGTTGATAGCAATGATCAAGCAGTTTTTGCAAGATGTTTACTGGGGAGAACTTGACTATCTACTGATCGATACTCCTCCTGGCACATCCGATGAACATATTGGCATTGTGGAGTATCTCAAGGGAGTGGATCCGGAAGGCGCGGTGCTTGTGACGACCCCTCAAAATGTCGCTATTGCTGATGTCCGTAAAGAAATCTCTTTTTGTCGCAAAGTGAAGCTACCTATTCTAGGTGTGGTGGAAAATATGAGCGGTTTTGTCTGCCCTCATTGTACGGTAGGTGTTGCTGTAATATAAAACTGATGGCTAGAAAATAGAGCTAACATTACACCCTTTTCAGGAATGTACGAATATCTTTTCTACTGGTGGTGGAGAATCCATGGCCAATGAGTTTGAGATTGCTTTTCTCGGTCGAATTCCTATTGATCCCGGGTTCACCAGCATGGTCGAAACCGAAGGAGAAGGTTCCTACGTCAATTCTTTTGAAAAGTCCAATCTATTCCCGGTATTTCAACCCATTTGCGACAAAGTCATTGAAAAAACCACCCATACCACTGCATAAAAAACAAGTATCCGCACGCATAGATCCTTCTGAACTGTTTTAAAAATAACGTTTATTGTACATAGATAGCTTTTTTTTTGAAAAGGAAATAAATTATATTAATCGGCTCACATCCAGACCCCAATACGTTTCCAAATGATCGAGAATGGCCGGAATGCTGGATAATGTATTGAAGGTCTTACGTTCAGCATTGCTCATGAGATCCTCAAACATGTACATCAAGTGGTGATGGAAAATAAACGAATTCGTGCCGTAACCGAGCGCCAGTTGAACGTATTTCTAACGGCAACAAACAATGAATTTCCCAGAATGACACAGATCGGCTTTTTTTGGTTTCATACCTCTACGCATTCCCAAGGTGTGTAATCATGGCCTGCAAACAATGCAGGATTTTGTAGTAACCCACGCGCCGACATCACACCTAATTCGATTTTCTTAGTTATTCTTGTCGCGTTTCTACTGATCCATCATCCCACTTACCATCTACACCGGTCTTTTCGTAAAGAGTTTCGGCGTCTTTGAGAGAAAAGACGCCACCATTGGCAAGTACGGGCGTATTGATGGATTCTCTCACAAGTTTGATGCCTTCATAGTTGACAGGTTCGGTGGATTTCTGATGTCGGGTTCGACCATGGACGGTTAAATAATCTACACCTACGGATTCCGCTCGTTTCACAAATTCATATGTTTGTCTAATAAAGCATTGGGAGAGAAGTAGTTATTATTTTTGTGATTTAGCAGGTTGTAAATTATCAAGGTATATTGAAGTACTTACTTTAAATCAGGATGAACTCGAATTTTAATGCTGCAGGGTATATTGACTCGGCCTTTGACAGTGCGGATCATATCTCGCACCAATTCTGGATCGGACATGAGGTAAGCGCCAATGCGCTCCTGATATGCCCAACGTTGCGGACAGCCACAATTGATATCGATGCCACCAGCATACGGCGCTACCAACTCGGCGGCGGTGGCCAGATCCGCCCCATTGTTGGCTGCAAACTGAACAACCACGGGATCGTCTTGACTGTTGGTGGAAAAATCGCTTTCTCTCGCAAATTCCGAATTCTTGAACACATCAGCCAAAATCATGGGAGTGTACATGATGTGACAGTTGTATCTAATTTAGACATAACAACAGTTTTAACAAGCCCAATAGCAGGAATATGGACCACTAGTTAGATCAACTTACTGTCCAACCAGTTCTCGAAACGGTAACTTGCTGTACCGCACCATGGGAGCGCAGACATTTACTTTGTGACCTCGTTCAAAAACATCGAGAGGACTGGTCTTTCTTTTCTCGGCTGGTATTGACATGACAGAAACAAATCCGTGGTATGAATTGAACAGTAGGTGGTGAATCAAAGATTCCCAAAAAGAAAGAGAGAATATGCGTGGCTTGGATTTCCTTTTATGGTATTAATGGTTGGGATTTTTGGGTTTCATGGTGGGTTCTGTGCCTTGCATTTCGTTGGACGAATTATCTGGTGTTGGGTTGGGATTATTTTTTTCTTGGGTTCTGTTCAGATCTTGTCATTTTTCTCTTGATATAAAAAAAAGCATAGCGTTTGCTTTTCAGGGGGAAAAGTGTCTGGTTTGCTTTTTTTTTCTACATTAATCCAGTCCTTACCATATGCAACCGTCAATGGAAGGCAAACCCATCGCCGGTTCCTCATTCAGCTCACAAAAAGAATACCTATTGTCGTATCCTGGTCATTCCGGGGTCGAAAACGCTTCCCTAGAAAGTACCAAGACCGATCTTAGTCTAAACAGCAGAGACGTTATCGTCGGTGAACAATGGCTTGTGCTCGCCAAAGTAGGCGAAGGCTCCTTTGGTGAGGTGTTTGACGGTAAGCCTTATCTCGTCGACTTTAGGAAAAAAGGACCGTGTGAAAAGGGAAGTGTGAACTAACAGATCGGGTTATGGTATATACAATAGCCCAAGATATAGGTACAGGCCGTCATTATGCCATCAAACGAGAAACCCTGAAAATGCGCCATCCGCAATTAGCCCATGAAAGTCTCATGTACGATGTACTGGCTGGTGGACGTAAGTCCCACGGAAGATCGGTGACACTATTCCGATCGCTCACCCGCTTGTTTTTTTTTTTCTTTCTTTTTTGTTGCAGCGGGCATTCCTCAGTGTCACTGGCATGGTCAACATGAAGAATTCGATTGCATTGTCATTGACTTGCTAGGTCCCAATCTCAACCAACTTCGTGAAACGGTCTCGAAAGTACCGGTGGATATCGCCGTGCAATTCGGCTGTCAAATGGTACTGATTTATCGGATCATTTTTGGGAAAGAACCCGTTTTTGTATGCGGAGTTATTCACATCCATTTGGTTTTTTCCTTGAATGGGTGCGTAGGTTTCCATCCTAGAACACATCCATAAACGCGGTCTTGTATACCGAGATGTCAAACCCGACAACTTTTTATTCAGTGCCTCATGTCATTTGCCGGAACCCGAACTGATAGAAACGCAGGACGCCGATGGGGCCCATTACGCTTACTATAAATATCCTGACTGCGAAACCATTTTTGAATCGTGGGGGGAAGGGGTGCCCACCCTTCACGTCGTGGACTTTGGATTGGCGTCCTGGTGGCGAGATCCGAAAACCAACAAACCTTATCCGGAACTGAGGAAGCATATTCGCAACAAAACTGGCACGGCTCGATATGCGTCTCTCAATGTCCATCGTGGCAAAGTCCATGCACGTCGCGATGACCTGGAGAGCGTCGGTTATCTTTTGTTGGACCTTGTATTTGGGTCTTTGCCTTGGACCGGAATTCAGGCGAAAAATTCCAAAGCGGGATGGGACCGTATGCGACACATGAAAGAAGACACGTTCATGGCCGACTTTTGTGCCGGTTTACCTACGGGGCTTTTAAATTACATTGAATATACCCGGCGACTTCGATTTGCCGATCAACCCGACTACGACTACATGCGACGTTTGTTGAAAGGATGCTTGGAAGGAGGCGAATTTTCAGAGCCTGTGCGATCACCTTTTGGAGGTTCCACCACGTCGGGGCGGTGGGATCAGCAACACCACCCTGATACAGGACCGGCAAAACCTAACCAGAAATTCGCCCAAACCAATCGTCGCCTTGATCCGGCTGAATCGATGACCAACCACAAACGACACACGGGTCGCCCTGCTCCAGATCATCATGAGGATATCTTTTCCATGGACGATGTAAAACACACTCTCCCCACTTCGACACACGCTTTTCCTGTCCACCATGAAAAATCCAATCATCTTAATCCACCTCCTCACCATCGTTCTCGCCCTCGTCGATCGAGCAAAGATCAAGGCTCGCGCCACTCTCCTCAGATCGCTAGACCTTCTACCTCGCCACCTGCCAAACCAGGCAGCAAGAAATTATATTTACAGAAAAAGATTGGTTGGAATACGCATAAACATGACCAAGTACCTTGGAATCCACAGACGGAATGGAACAACGTGTCTGTATCACAACCGGACGATCCCAACACGTTGCATTGGGGATCATCGGACGCGACACCGCAGTGGGGCGATGTCAAGGTAGACCAAAGTGGATGGAAAGAAAATCCGGATGCATTCGACTGGGCTCAAGGAAACCCACGTCCTTGGGAACAGTAAATTATCACCATCACCGTCTACCTCTTTTTTTTTTCATTCATTCGACTTGTAAAAGTTTTTAAAGAAATTCACATTTACACCCCACGTGCATAAATATTTAGTTCTGTACAGTAAAGTTTCATTGAAAAAATTCTTGAGCACAAACAAAGATGAGTATTGTAGTGCGTCCATTGATGCGCTACGTGAATGCGTTTTGTGTATTGAAGAACGACGACTTGAAATAAGATCATTCAATAGTGATGGATGTTGCGAAGGTTACGAATCCATCCTTTGTCTCTAAGTTACGGTATCAGAATCGTATGAAAGACATGACGAACAAAGAGAGATATTTGCATGTTGTGTAGTTTTCAATAAAAATAAATTGACATAGAAATGGCCTACAGAAAATGATTTGTCTTGAATTGATGATGCAAGGAATAGTAAGTTACATGGATAAAAAAGCAACAAGTGCACATAAATTGAATGATATAAGCGTTGGTGTCGTAATATTGTCAGAGACAGCATGCCTTGGCACCATATGCACATGGGTCTCCAAAGTCTCCACATTCCTCTGGACAGTCCTCCAGAGCCACTTCGCGGCTGGGAGCAGTACACTTGGCTTCCAAGTCGCTAGGACAAATCGACTCTCCAAGAAAGCTGCCAATACACAGAGGGCCCACAGTACGATACCAGAGCGCCGAGGTCAGATCGAAAATGGTGACAGAAATAAAGACCAATAATAATGTTTGCTTTACCATCTTGAAGCATGGATATAAAACATTCCTGGTTTTGAATATCCTCATTTTATATACTTTGCAGGCATTACAAGTTCGTGTGAAAGTAATGCTGATACTATCAGCATTACTTCATCAGGAATTTGCAGTAATCGGTTAAACCGTTCCAACGTCATCTTTTTACTAGAGCCTATGGATCATTGAAGAACGCAGATCAAACAGTGACCAAACTTTTTTTTCAGAGAGGAAATGAAGTTCATATCGTTACTGACAGTAAACTTGCAGGTTTACTCTTTTACTTCCAAGTCTAAATTAGATAATCCATTAGAGTACTGTTTAAAGATATGATGTCTCATGCAACGTCGATCATGTTACAACGCTGAAAGAACGATTGATCGCCTGTCAATATCATACCATACAACGAGCCATGACGGATAATGTTTTTGTGATACCCCATAATGCGCACTGACATTGATTGTGAGGTTATCAACTTATTTTCATGAGCATACATAATTTAATGGTATGCATGGTGGCAGAAAGGATATAATACGAAAATTATCACAGAAAATCATGGAGTTCTGTGAATTTCTCATGGTATGCAAATGCCTTGAATTACATGTTAATTGATGTCATTTTCCAAGTTTTATGCATAAATTTTCGCCCCGAGATTGCTCAATTATGGTTTTGTCTGTGCAGCGGAAATACCCAAAGGATATGGAGCCTATACTCACTAATACAGCCAAGTTTGTTCTGTATCGGCAGCTATCTAATCACAAAGCGCTATTCAAACGTGTAAAATGGTAAATCTAGCTCTTACAGCAAGCAAGCAATTGTTCATAATAGATGCAACGTAATTTACTTTAGAATCGCCTACCCATTATCGCCACTCGGATGAGCTATCTGTGAATTCTCGGCATATCTCATGTACGGATAAGTTGGTCTCCTGCGGAAATTTCATTCTTGTCGCACAGTTTAGAGATCCTTTCCGCCCCCCTCGTGAACTTGCCTTTGCTTGTAGGTGCACGATAAAGATAACACGCGTTATCTAAAAAAAATGATACGACTGTTGACTTTTCACCCCCTTAACTCGCCTTTTTTCAAAGAAACAAATAACCTAATAACTCATTGGGATGATAAGCTCAATGATTGACGATATGATAGTGCGACGACTATGGCAAGTTCATACTGTATGTGGGTTTGGTTTCCAGGGTATGAAGAGAACAGAAATTAGTTGGTTTTGCGTATGATTTCCGCTCCTAAGTAACTGTTTACCAATAAATCTGTTCGACTGAGAAACTTATGCAAACAGTCCGCGATGATTCCAGGGATACCGTCGTTGAAGAGAAAACGGTCGACTGGATGGATGTCGATTAGGAGGCTTCGATCTAGGCGAATCTCATCCAAGGATTGCAGGCCACCGATTTGAATCCATGTGTTACCATGTTTCAGGTACGAGCAGAGCCAAAAGTGAACCTCAGGTAAGTATGCATTGCAAAGCAGTACACTCATTTTTACCTATGATGACTAGATTCTTTGAAGCCACAAGGCATACAAACCCAAAGATGCGGTCACAGACCAACTGCCGCTACGATTACGTTTCTGCCGTGCTATCGCCACTCCCACAGAAAACTAGCGTTCAGACAGCGTTTTTTTCCTGATTGGTAGGCTGTCAGATTTGCAGGAGGTTCGAATAACCCAAGTATCGATTGTCGCTGAATCTTTCGAAACCAGCAACATCATATTACCAAAAAGTGAGTTTTTAATCCAGTGGAATTGAATATCTATCAGCTTGATGATAAATGAAAGCAGTGATGAAAGCACTGTAACTCCAAGTGATTTGATTTAGTAAACAATAAGATTCAACAACCATGTGCAATCAAAATTTGAGTCGACGGATGCGCCCACTCAAAAGCGAAGCCGGTGAGAGAGATTGAGGTTGAAGAGCATAAAAATTTGAATATGAAAAATGTTTATTGTTGTTCTGCACGATTTATGAAATGAAAAGAGTGTATTACTGATTGGTCATTTGTTTCTTTTTGAATAAAAATACAAATTGAATTTCGATACTGCAGATAGTTCACTTTCGGTGGAATATGATATAAATGTCACCATTCGGGAGATGTGACTGATGGGATCCGAGGCTTACAGATAAGAGACAGAGAGAGAGAAATAAAATAAGAGAAAGGGGGAAATACAAATATCTTTCCTTGTTATTTTTCTTTTCTTTTGTTTCTTTTTTTTTTTGCTTTTTCGTTTTTGCTGCGGGAAATCATCGCTTGCTTGCTTTCTTTTTTTTTTTTTTTTTTTTTTTTTTTTTTTTTTTTTTGTTGGATATAAAGGGGCCCATAGCAGACCTTTCACCGCCACGCATGGCCAGTACGCCAAGGACTCCTTCCATACGTCCCACTTTCCCGCCAAGCCAGTCCTTCCCTGTATGGTGCACAAATCCGGATCGCATGACAACCAGTGCATAGAATATTACCGGTACCATGATCGCCCGTGCCCGTCGAAAGGAATGGCCGTAGCCATCCCTCGCCTATGTACAGGAAAGATCTTTTTCCAGTTAGATAATCGGGGAAAACTATATCTCATGGATCATTCATATTTACCTTTATCACGTTCGCAAAGGGATTCGCAGCGTATCATGGGTGGCCGCAAGCCCGCATGTTAGTGGACTATGCTGTATGTCGGGTACAGACGAAACTCGGCTCGGTGGGACATTGTACGGAAAGAACCTCGACGCCCTGGGTCATACGCAACGGCTACCGGGTCTTTTACGCTATGGGCAAAGAAGCGTGTAAGAAATGGGGGGAAAGGGTTAGGGAACTTGCCTCTGTTTCGGATCCCATCAGTCACTGGGGGAAATTTTGGCCGGATCGTCATCGGTCGCTTGTGTAACCGATTTGGCTGGCGAACTGTTGCCAGCCATTCGTTTTTTTTTTTTCTGTGTGCCGGCTGGATATAAAAACCAAAAAAACAAAGAAAATAAGTAAGGAGATTCACATCAGCGTCATACTTTTTTTGGGATCCCTTACCAGTTCAGCTTCGTGTGATAAATTTTATGCCAGCGCGTCGGCGAGCGCTGGAAAAGGAAATGTCCGATTTTTGGTGTGGGGGAGGGAAGGGGGTTCGTTTCGCCGTCGCAGAGTGTTGTTTGTGGTACGCCATACGGATGCCCCCTGAAAAAAAAAATTAACCAAACAATGAGCAAATAGTGATTTCACCGGCTAGGCATCGATCGGCCTCCAATGCAAGTTTGTCAAGTTACCCAAACAGAAGGGGAGACGTTGCTTAAACGCTTGTTTTGGAGGGGTGTGTCGGCTTGACACTCCCCTATGCGGTCGTTTACATGTGGCAGTTAGGATTCTACCACATCTGCAGATACTATTGGCTGCTAAAGGAAGAAGATTAGCATAGGTAGAACGAATATAGTCATTTTTCATTACATGCTTACAATTTTGAGTATACGTCTCGGACGGCCCACGTAGCAGCCTTGCTGCGCGATTATTTTGCTCTTGCGCCTAAAGATCATGTAACGCATGGATTTCAGTGTTCTTCTTCAGTGTTTTGTAGAGCGGTATTCAACGAATTTACCTTTTGGGCTTCGACGTTTTCGACTTGGATGGACGTCGGCCTGGATGGATGTCTAGTCATCGACATCCATCCAGTCAATCAATTCGTCGGGATGGTCGACGTCCATCCAGTCGACCAATTCGTCTTCGGTGTCGATTTCCATCGGATCGTCAATTTCGTCGTCACCGATTTCTTCCTCCTGGACATCGACACCGAAGAAGGGGAACTCTTCATCCTGTTGCGGCTCTTGCTGTTCACCACAGCCATCGTCATCGTCATTGTCATTGTCATTGTCATTGGCATTGGCATCCTCGTTGGCTCCGTTATTGCCTTCTTCGTAGTCATTTTGGTAGGGAAATTCTCCTAATTCTTCTTCTTCCTCATCTTCCTCATCTTCCTCATCTTCTTCTCCTTCATCATAAAAAAAGAAATGGCATTCTTCTCGTTCGCCTTGTTCTTCTTCTTCCTCGTCTTCTTGATAAACTCCTTCGTTTGCATCGTGAAACTCTTCAGCATCTTCGACATCTTCATAATCTTCTCTTGCATCATAGTATTCTTCTTCTTTTGCTTCTTGTTCATTAACACCTTCTTCATCTTTGTCACCTCCGTCGCTTTCTTCTTCTTCTTCTTCTTCTTCATTCTCAAAGTTGTCTTCTTCGTTATGTTGGCTGAAGAGATAAATACCATACATGTTAGTGTTTAAACTATTTAGGCCCAAAAAATGCACGGCTTACCGGTTCTTCAAACTTTTCGCAGTGTTCACCATGGCTTGGACAGCATCAAGTTCTGCCAACACCTCCGGCATGCACTTTTGGAATTGGTAAGATTCCGGTCCATAAGCAGCAATCCATTGCACCTTTTGATGTAGGTGGGAAAACGCTTTTTCAGCTGCCTTGAGGGCGATTTGGAATTCAGTTTTTTCACTATTTGAAATGATTGCTTATTAGAAAAACATTGATTCAACCTGAAAAGGCACAAATAACTTACGAGTGAACAGTGAGATTTTGGAAAACTTGTTTGGCAAAGAGTAAATTGAGCGATGATTGAAAAGAGAGAAGCGTTAATACAACCTATCGTACAAAACGTATCATGTTATTAATCATCACTTACGAGCAGAGAGGTCAGACATTGTAAGAATCAATAAAGATAAAGAGAAAAAAAAGGGTAATTGTCGCGTTTGGCTTTTTCATTATGATAACCAAAAAACGAGTCACCCATGATCCGGCAACAAAGAAAAACCTGTTTGCCCAAATTTGGACGATAATCGATTTCACAGCATGGCGCAAAGTCTGGACATCATCGTCTTCCCAACTGTTCTGTTACACAGAAGTCGGTGTTTTTGATCACGGGGTCATGCGTTTCTCCTTTGTGTAACGCTCGTTTACCGTCGCCTAAGCTTGCCCCGATTTGGGATACACTGCTTACGTTATCCTGAAACCTCATTTATGCTGGTATTTACCAAAAGGCGCGTCTAGCAAAATCAATTTTTCTAATGAGCTCCCGTTTTGATGTAAAAAGACGCGGAAAGTGGGAAACCATACATAATCAATGTCAAAGGGAACGACGATGGGAAAAAAGTAAAGTGTCAAGTTTCAAGAAGCTATGGAAATGCCGATCTCCCCACCAGTGCGCGAAATAAAGTTTGGATCGGTGGATGTGCCGATAAAAATAATATCAGTGGAATTACGTTACGCCGATGATACCATACTACACGGATGGATCCGATCCTCAGGTCCTCCCCCATCAAAGAGAATCTCTATGGCAGCATAAACAAAAGATTCATCCATCGTTTCTTCACCAGGGATAAAACAACACTCCTGAATATAAGAAAAAACCACTGTAAAGCTGGAAATCATTTAAGCGTCATTCATGCGGTGGAACAAAAAATAAGGTCCGGAAATTGGCGGTTCCATAAAACATCTTTTTTTTTTTTTCGGACCTGAAGTTTATTTTACACATGGATCTGGATCCCAATCATTTCCATGCCTACTTGAAACTTGACACTTTACTTTTTTCCCACCGTCGTTCCCCTTGACATCGATTATGTATGGTTTCCCCCTTTCCGCGTCTTTTTGCATCGAGACGGGAGCTCATTAGAAAAATTGGTTTTGCTAGACGTGCCTTTTTTGGAAGTACCCATGAAACCGAATTCCCAAAATCAAAGAGGACGGTAACCAAATTTGGGCAATCGCAGGCGGTAAACGGAGGGAACGGGGCGTTCCCGCATGAAGCCGATGACGAATTCAATGGAATGAAAGAAAAAAAAAGAAATACAAGCAAAACTTATGCAAAAAAAGTTTTTCAAACGATCAAAATGATAAACGAAAAAGGCTTGTTTTCCTTTTTTTTTTGCTCCTCTTCGACTTTTTCTTCGCTTTTCTACTTTTACTACTCTCCAACGGCTCCTTTTGATCAACTTGACATCGAATCAGCACGCTTTTCTACCTCTGCTACTCTACGACGGCTCCTTTTTGATTAACTATTAATGAATCATCTGGTTTTTCTTTGATAGTTTTGGAGAATGATGGATGACAAGGAAGAAAGTATGTGGTCGCCTTGACGAGATCCGCCATCGGATGGCCAAAAATGACGAGCAGTTCAGCCCCATGGAGAGCCTGTTGCGTGAAGAGAACTCGGCAACGAGGTCTCTTTTGGTTTCTTTAACTCAGCAACTACAGCAAGTGACAAGGAATCAGCAGCTGCTTCTTGTCAATTAGCAAGCGCTCAGCTCCCAAGCCCAGTTGCTGGTGGCAACCAATAATGGGACGTCCGCCAACGGCAGTCTCGCCGATTCTTCTGCTTCTCTGCCAGTTCAGGCTTTTCTTCCATTCCTTCCCCCATCAATTCAAACCCAATTTGCATTACGACCTATTACTTCCTCACCCATTACACACCATGCATCTACCCCAAGGCATAAAGCCAAAAAAAAAAAAAATGGATTAGTTATGATTCCTAAAATTCCATAAATAAAGGAAGATACAAATCGAAGGATCCTTGTTTAGGATATAACATATCTGTTTATAAGAAGGCTGATCTGAAGCGATTGAGTGATGTTAAGTATGCTCAGTATGAGCATCGAAATCATGACTAGATGCGAACTTGGAAAAAACTTGGCTCTGCGGTTACTCCCAGTTTAGAAAATCAGCAAGTATCCATATCGAGTAATTTGGGCTGTCCCAGGGCCAATAGGTTTAAGCAAGTTTTTTCAATTTTAGAGTTCACAAAAACCACACACGCTGTGTCTCTACAAAAGTCATGAACGTTTCTCTTTGTCACCCCTGCGGATATACCCTGTTCTTTTCGATGATTCATTCTCTTTGCGACCATCATATTATATCTTTGCTGTATAAAAAGCAAGAATAGCAAAGGGTAAGGTTTTTCGTTTTATTCAAGTTTTTTTTTTGTCGTCTCTGGCACATTTTTGATTTTCTTCTCCGTCTGTCTCTTCAGTGAACCCAACAAATAAATCAAATCAAGGTAATAACATGTTCGTACCTCTTTTTTTTTCAAACGGTTATTTCTTTCCTTTGCTAACATCCACTCTTCTTTTTTTTTCCACAACTATTCATCATGAAAAGGAACATGAATCCCTTTGGACAGCAGCATGGCACAGGAAGATGCGTCATTTCTGTGAAGACCTCGATCAATCATGCCGAATGGAATGCACTACATCGAGTAGCCCTCCACGCACTCATCTTGACGGCCAACGAGATTACAAGACACGCCTACTTGTTGGCTCGCTACATTTTTCTTCAGGAACTGGAGGAAAACCGCCGTGATCCGGGTCATGGGTTCAACTTGGAAGCCTGGGTGGCTCCAGTGTTTTTCGCCCAAGTGTGGATCCTATTAACCTAAACTCGTTTCCAAGTTCTCGAACGAAGGAAGAAACAAGAAGATATCGGACGCTTATTCGTCAGTATATCGGTGCTTACATGGCACAAGCCCTGTATCGTCCCCTTGTTGTTGGATCCGCCCAGCAGACGGCGCGCTATGAAGCAACGAACATCGCAACAGCGTATCTCAATGCGATCAGAAACCAATTTGGGAACCGATTGAGAATGGCGGTCAATTCGCTTCTCAATGTCAAACAAAGAAAGCGAGAACTGACCCAGCAGTTACAAGAACTGGACACGACACCGGCAGTCGGACAAGCGACATCCCGCTACATAGGGAACTCCGTTTATTGGCCTACATCAAACGCCACAAAACAGATGCGTATCTTGCTCCGGAGACTTCGCAAGGAGTTTGCCCAGACCCCAATTTGGTGATGGGTAACTGGTCCGCGCCTATGGCTCAGTACCATGAACCTATCCGTGGCACTGGATGGCGCCGAATGTTAAGTAAGAAGGGCGTCACAGCCGTGCATATTGATAAGTTTAAACGTCAAGCCTTTGCCCAATCTATCACTCTCCCCTGCAGATGTTCAAAACGGTGAGAAATCCAAGACCCTACCGACGACAGACCATGCCACAAGTTCGTTGCCATGGTCTATTTAAGGTATATCATGTTGTTGAAGCCGACATTGTACGATTTTGCTAATTGAACAAATACTAGATGTACCACTTTGGCTTGCGTGGCGGTCACCAGATGTTCTGGGGAAAACACATCGCCGACTGTGGAATAGAGACCTTGAAGCGGCTCTCACTTTCCGCTATATTATCCACAAGCTTCGTCAAACCGGCAATCGTCCCTAGAAGATAAAATAATGCACACTTTTATCCCAATAAACGGTTCATGCCAGCACATTCTGTATATCATTCACATCATCTACTGTGCCATTTTTCTTTGCATCATTTTTTTGGATCATTTTTAAATGTTTTTGGGGTTTTCTCTCTTCAAAATGTATTTCATGCATCAACGATATATGCGGGTAGAATGCTGTTATTGGTGTCCTGGGGTTGGGAAATATTTTTCATTGCAATTGCGTTTTCCTCGCCCGTTTAAGATGAGCTTACGTGTAAGTCTGGATCACTCATAAGAACTGTTTGGTGCCACCAGTAAAATTTCTTTTCCAATCGCGTTCAATCCGAATCCATACGATACAGGAAGGAAGGCTGTCAATAAGCGGATTCTACAAGATTTTATACAAACTCTGAAGAAATACGTAATTATATAACCATTCCGCCAGCCCGCCTTTAGCATGGTCTCTATTTCCGAGTATCCTTCTGATCCTTTAGGCAAAACCGTATCATGGATAGTAAAAGCATATTATGGCAAGCAGTGCTGTCTTATTGCAGTTGATCAGATACCTATTTGTAAAGGTCATAATATATAAAACCTCGACTTCGACTGAATTCGCCATTCGTGGGAGGATAAATTGTGCTTTGTTTTCGCTGATTCAGAAACTCTGCTACAGTATAAGTATGTAGGAGTTCCCGAATGTCTTGATGGACTTGTGACGTCCTTGTAGTCAATTGAATATCCCCAACACGAACGCTTGTACATGAAGGTCACTTGTTGGGAACTCCCTTTGTAGTACTGTACAAAATGTATTCTTTCATCCAAGTAAAACCCTTGAAATAGACAAAAACGACAATCGCTAGAAAGAGACAAATGATACAATTGACCTTACGTTATTCCCCTGTTTCTCGTGCTACAGCCAAACTCTTTACCATATGTCCGATGGTCTGTTAGTTAGGTGTCTGCACGTCATGTAGGCCTTCAGAAAAGGTTGCCTAATCATTACGGGACTTGTACGTATCTTTCCTTATTCGGCATTCCGTCCGTTCCTCTTCCTGATCTGGATGGCTTTAACTGGTGGCCGCCGGCACGCAGTGTTTCTTTTCTGGTGCCCTGGTGCTCGTCTATCCTTTCGGCGTCGCTTCGTTCTTCCGGATGAATATTTTCTCTCCTGCCTATGTCCCTTTTTGAACGTCGTGGTTTTCTATGATTTGTCCTTTCTGGTTACTGGTGATATCTTTGGCTTGTTTCTCGTCTTGTCCTGGTCGGTTATCGCCGGTTACTCCAGGTTGCGGACCTCTGGTAGGACAGCCCTGTCCAGCGGTTACGGTAAGCTAAAATGGCAAATGTAGACTGTATGAACAAGTTTGCCATACGGTTCTTGTTCTCTGCCTGTGGTTGTAAATAAAAAAGATCGAAAAATATCTCGTCACATTTCCAACTCCGCGAACATTTTTTTATGGGAGATGTCTACTTTGCTCGTATCACTTGGATTTCATACTACATTTCTCAATCAGGTTTAGGTGATAGACGGCACTATCATGCAGAAATTGATCTTATCTCCGTGCAACATCATGTAGCTGTGATCCCATCATACAAAAAAAATTTTTTTGGTCATGGCAAAACTTTAAAGATGCATAATCGACCTTTATTTGACAGTCGCTATGGAAGGGGATGCGAATGATGCGATGAAAAAATGACTGTTTAGTCAAAGAGACCGAAGCCCATATCCTATAAAGAAACCAAATCACATCAATTACCGGATCAAAACAAACCAAGTCATCATGTAATAAACTTACATCATCGGATTCCTCCTTCTCTTCCTCCTTGGCTTCCTCAGCGGGAGCATCCTCGCTGGCAGCAGCAGCACCGGGACCGGCAGCAGCGGCAGCACCACCAGTGGGGACGGAAGCAAGCTTCTGGGAACCTTCAGCAATGACCTGGATAGGTTATAAAACAAGAACAGAAGAACATCGATAAGTATCCCAACGCGTTCCATCAACAAATAGAGTGATTGAGAAATTTTTTCTCTGTTGTTTACCTCGGCGATGTTCTTGCCTTCAAGAGACTTGAGCAAAGATTCCAAACGGCCATTGTCAACCTCGACACCAACGGAGCTCAAGAGGGAGGTGATGTCCTTGGCAGAGGGAGAGGTGTTACCACCGGCAACGAGGAGAAGGTAGGCTGCGAGATGCTTCATTGTTCAAAAGTGTTTACAAGAAAAGAGAGGGCGAACCGACAGTGGTCAAACAAAAAAAAATATTTTATTGTCCCCCAAAGCCTCAAAATTTTTTTTTCTCAGCAATGCTTTAATGTGATTGGTCGACCCACATTTGTACGTCACGAAGAGTTAAGTGAATTTCATTGGCCATCCACAGTTTCCAGGCAATCACGGAAAAAGGGCTTGCGAAGACGGCTTCCGAGGTTCGTGGAGAAAAAACCTTGGTTTGGACACTTGTTTGCATTTTCAGACCAATTCCTGCACTTGCATTTTGTTTGTTTTAACAGACATTACCACACCATTGTCGTCTGAAGAATGGCGTGTTTCCCTGTCTCGCGTGAAGCCGTCATGTCGTGGTGTCTCTTTTTCTAACCGTTGTTCTAGATATTCAAGACTTCTTTCATGTATCCGTATACCGTGAAGCTCACCGCGCTCAAGGGAATAATCTTGATATACCCGATACTGAGACCAACATAAAAGCCTCTCCATCCCTTGCTTCGGTAAATGTCCTTGACAGCGTCTGCGAAACTGATAAATGCGTACGGATTCAACAAACCACCCACTTGCATTTTGCGTCGAATGATCTAATAAATGTTGCCATGTGAGTATTACCTATTATTTTTTCCTGTTCCTTTTTTAAAAAATGATGGGATTACCTCAAGGGGATAGCTGCTTGTTTGCGCCACCAAACCGGCGATACCGCCACAGATCAGTTTGGCCGATGTGGTTAATGCTGGCTTGTCGAGCAGACGTTGTTGAGAAGCGGTTGACTGTGAGCTAGTTGGGTCGAAATTTAGTGGGGCCAAAGTCCACCAAGTGACAGCTGGATGATGCCGACAAAATTGAGTGATTATGTGGTACGTCCAAAAAGACACTCCCGCATACGGTATCATTCCCGCCAAAGTAGGCATAAATCCTCGATAAAAGTTGGCAAGCTTAAAAAGTGGTATCGAAACGGCTCGCCGACCAGCAGCGGGTTCGTTGTAAATGGATTGACAGGTATCAGACAGACGAAGTGGCGTATCGCGGGACTGCTTGACTTGATAAGCCATGCGTACTCGCACCAAATCCATCGGGTATGTAAAAAATACAGACGTAAGGCCTACAGACAATGACAACAAAAGATAAAGGAATGGTAAGCATCACATGGCAAAATGAACTTTAATTCCCTGTCTTTGACTTGCCTGCTAAAGATCCAGCCACAAAGTGTCGGCTTGATGATGTTCTTTGTTGCGCCGTTGGCATCAGGATCTGTATTCACAGAGAATTGTCAAAATTTGCAGCTGTAACGATGGGAAACGGAGTATTGTTGGATCTTACCGCTCGGTATTGTTCATACGCGACAAATTTGATGGCCGAATAAGGGAATATCCGAAGCAGTGTCACAGAGTGACCTTGAAACAAGCCCATGACACCTTCATGCTTCATGATTTCGCGCAACGCTGAAAAGACTCCTGTGAATTTTCCTTTTTTTTTTTTGAACGGATCCTTCATGTTAAAATCCACCATGCATGTCATCCTCATGTATCGTCTTGAATGGGATGCTAATTTTGGTACCTGCATAACAATCGAATAGTGGGTTCCTTGCTTGGAATAAAATTTTTACCCTATCCAACGGCGCTACGATGGTTTTGCCCTTTCATCGAATCACCGAAATTATTATGTGCTTGTCATTCGAACTGGGCTCCACACTTTTTATTCCCACAGTAAAGGCGGATCCATTGTCATGGGGCATGGATGACCCTGCTTACCATGCATCCAGCTACGCCACCTGCCATGCCTGAGCGCAAAGCGTAGTCCATCGTCTGGGTGTTACGTTGATGGGTGGTGTGTGTGTTAGAGGTGGATCCATTAGAATGTCCGTGCTGATCGTTGGATGTTAGCTGTGCATAGGTGGATTGCATCGCGATACGAACACTTTAGCAAAGAAACAGGCGGGAAAGGAGGTGGGAAGGAATGAATGAGTTAATAAAATGAGAAAGCGGAGTCGCAAGTTGGACTGATAATCGTGAGAAAGTGCACGTAGCTTGCCAGCAAATCACATGCGAAGGATCAGACATTTACCGCTTTTAGAAAAAACGCCCTTCAGTTCACCTTGTCCATCACACGCTCGTCGAGTCTTTGGTAGAAAACCAGGTCCCTCTGTTTTTCCCTACCAAAACAGAAACTCAAACGCGATACATACCAAAATCTCCAAGTCAACATAAAACTTTGATAACCAAGCTACCCAACATGCTAAAGATGGTATTCACTTTTGCATCAAAAATGTGACACTTAACACGTCAACGTCAAGCTAAGTGCAACAGGATCTTTTATCCTGACTGACTCTGCCAAGCCCGATCTGTTGTCTGTGGTTTCCCTAGAGATCTTAAGATAGAGACACACATTTCGTTAATAATCCATTCACACGCGTTACCAAAGCGGATGACAATGACGTTGTCCCTATCAAAATAATCATTGATGAAAGACTAAATGGCGACGATATGGCACTCGCTCATGAAGTCAGACAAATGGGATTAAAGAAAAGTGAGCCGGGTCGAACATTGCAAAGCTGGCAAGGAAATAGGCCCCTTTCCCATGGTACACAAATCGACTGACGCTGAGCAACCATCCAACGACCGTGCAGTGCAAATCAGTACACTATTTTCTCTCCAAATCGCCATCAATTCTACTTTATGTCCCCGACAACAATCTATTATCTGAACGATTGATCAATATCAATGATGTTGTGCGTCGACCGCTTCTTTTTATGGGTCATTTATAAATTTTCAAAAAGTATTGTAATGTGACTGAGTGTCTTGCTCTTTGTATGTTGTTCTGTATAAAAAATCTAAAATATCTGGTCCACTTTTCACTTGATGGATGAGAATACTTTGATTTTGTGTAAAATAATCATCACTCGTTTGAACACTGAAGTTTTCCAATGAAACTGGGTGGCGGACTTTCAATATCATGTGACCACCTTCAATTGGTTGTCGACCCGCACCAAATAAAAGAAGGGAGTTCCAGGTCGCCAAAAGAAACGATCTTGGAGGCTTTCTGTTCTTGCGTATTCCATACCATGGGAGGAGGCGATCTCAATTTGAAGAAAAGTTGGCATCCCGTCACTTTTAAGAACCAAGAGCGAGTATGGAAAGAGGAAAAGAAACATGCAGAGGAACAGCGAAAGATCGAACAGATGAAGAAGGAGTTGATGGAGGAGAGACAGTTGCAGGACTTGCAACGATTACAGGAAGATTCAGGCGGCAGGTATGTAAATCATTCATCGCAGTTTTATTAAGATCAGTAGCGTTAACATGGACATCGGTAGAAAACGGTCCGAAAGAGTCGATTGGATGTACGCAGCACCTAATGCAGGAGGACGAAGCGGTGGAGTCAACAGTGAAATGGAAGAGTTTCTGTTGGGTAAAAAGAATGTGGATGAATTACTACGAAGTAAATCCAGTCGAGAGGAGGTAATGGGATACTTTTTCAGACGAGTCGGATCGGGTGCAGGTTGTCTAACGAAGAACACTTGTTATTTAGGTCGCTTCCACCGCCGATCGATTCGCTTTGAGCAATGCCAATGCAAACAACGAACGAGATATCCAGGCCAAAATTCGGGAAGATCCTTTGTTGATGATCAAGAAACGGGAGCAGGCAGCCGTCAAGGCCATTGTGGATAACCCTCTTCGCATGAAGGAATTAAGAAGACAGAGCAAGGATAAAAAGAAGAAGAAGAAAGATATTAGAGACAAATCCGACCGACACTCCAAACACAAGTCCGATCGCCACCATTCAAAAGAACGTCGATCGGACCATCGCCACGATCGTCATTCGCACGATCGTCACTCCACCAGTCGGTCAGACCGCCACCGCTCTCGCTCCAGAGATCGATCAGAACACCGTTCTCGTCGTCATTAATCGTCCCACATTTACCATGCGTCGGCTGCGGCGAACAACCGCAGCCAAGAACAAGGAAAAAAAGTTTGATTTCGTCGAAAAACTCCAGCAATCATTGTTTCGCGAAACTTATCATTTGTACATATTGTGGAATTCTTTTACTAAACTTCGTGGGTTGAGCAGCCACTGTTAAAATATACATATTGTTTATCCGCCGGAAATAAACATATGATCTCCCTCGATCTTACTTGCGTTCTCGGCATTCTTGATAGTTACATATTTCCGCATGAACATGATGAAAAGCAAAAGAAATGACAGCCACCACGACCAAAAATGAGATCACGTAATAGCTGCATATCTGTTGTACTCAGCAAGGTGCATAATCACGATTTATTCCATCGTCCCTGTGTAAACACTCCCTGTATACTGCCAAGGGACTTTGAAACAACTGTCGACAAAACTTATCCGTAGTAATGGTCACTCTCTTGCAAACGGAATGCGTCATTGGTGTTTTTTAACCATGACAGAATTTTGTAACACGAACAACGCCGCGGAAAATGTGGCTGCCCTATTTTTGGATCCTTTATTCATGCAGACAACCGATCACCCCATTTCACGGTACGTTATGTTTGTCTTTTATCAAAATGATTAGCGTGATAGCCGTGGGAGATCAACTAGAGATATGCGGACAATGCGAGGCACGGCCAATCATTTACACGCATGGAAAACGGAAAATGGCCCGATCGGGCAACATGAACCCTCGCTGCATATATTCTCATCCAAGACCCCTGTCAATGCTCAACTACAAAAGTTAGCTCAACCCGTCGCGGAAACGGTCATCAAATCTTCCTTTTAACTATTATCAAAATGCCTCTTTCACATATGCTTCGTACGTAGGTTGTCATGAAATTTAATGTGCAAGTAATACTTATGCGATTTCGTAGAGAATGCTCACGAAGAGCTTGTGAACATTGCCAACGAATGTAACAAACTGTCCCGTCAGAAATATACCGAAGGTGACGTGACAAGATTGCAAGTGAGTTTTTTTTGAATTGCATCTGCTTACTCTGTCAAATCAGAGTGAGCTGAATTTTTTTTTCTCTAAAAACTCCTCCACAGGAAAGGGTCCAAAATGTCGATAAGAAGTATCATGAGGCCGTCTTTGACGACCGAAAGGACAAGAGCAACCCCGAGGACGATCCTTATGAACATCCTGGTCAAGCTCAGGTGGCCGATGTAAGTCAGTGATTTCTATATATTCTATGATCAAAAAACGCTCATCAAAAACTTATTGCAGGAATTGGAGCAAGTCCACAGCACCCTCCAATCCATGCTTACTGGCATGGAGAATTAAATAATTTATGGAAAAAAATAAAGGACCCAAATTATCAATTGATTGTATGATAAAGAAAAAGTATTGTTATGTGAATGCACCCGTTTGATAACAAGCACAGAGAGTTTTGCTTTATGATATGAGCAGTAACAAAAAAGTGTTGTATTATATGAATGGGAAATGCGACAAAACGTAAACTTATTTGCTAGTAGGAGTAGACTTGACGTATGGAATGAAAGTGCGACCATCCATGTAAGGGACCAAAGGAGGAGGAATCTCCAGACCATCTTCACGTTGCCAGTTCTCGAGAATAGCACAGAGAGCTCTTTCCGTGGCACACAAGGTGGAGTTGAGACAATGCACGTACTTCTTCTCACGATCCGACATCTTCTTCACACCGCAACGGATTTCCAAACGACGCGACTGATAATCGGTACAGTTGCTGCAAGAAACAAGTTCCTTGAATTCACCTTGGAAGGGGAACCAAGCTTCCAAGTCGTACTTCTTGGCAGCAGCGTTATTTAAAGCACCCGAAACAATGGCAACAACACGGTAAGAAATACCCAAGCTCTTGAAGAAATCCTCAGAGTGGCCAATCATATCGTTGAACATTTCCCAAGACTTTTCAGGATCTGTCAACACAAACTGTTCAACCTTTTCGAATTGATGAACACGGAAAATACCCCAGGTATCCTTGCCGTGAGCACCAGCTTCCTTACGGAAACAGGTGGAATAACCAGCATATCTGTTGAAAGAAAAAAGAAACAATAGCCACGCATTAGTCCCATGTCCATTCTTGGCCTGTCCCCCGATGGCTCGCATCCAATTCTTTTTTATCCTAAAACGAGAAACATTACTTGATAGGCAATTGTTCGGCAGGCTTCTCGAACCATTCGTTGGCATGGAAAGCAGAGATGGGTTGTTCGGAAGTAGCAATAAGATACTTGTCATCACCATCACCAACGACCTAACGCAAAGAATACCCAAAAAGCATGAGCCCTCTGGCAAAAAAATTTGCAGGGTATTCTATAAAATGTCTCACCTTGTACAGTTCCTCGTCAAACTGTTCCAACTGAGCGGTCTTGGCCATCATGTCCTTCTTCATGAAGAAAGGGGTCATCAGCTTTTTATAGCCACGACGACCGAGGAAACTAAGACCATAGTTGATCATTGCCAAGTTCAAGTCAACACCCACACCAGTCAAGAAATAACCACGGTGACCGGCCACGTTAGCACCACGGTCTTGGTCATAACCGTCAAGACGGGCAAGCACTTCATGATGAGACAAGATATCGGTGCGCTTCACAGGCTTCACATCGTTGTGGTCATAAGTACGGATCACCTCGTTGTTGGCCTAGTGCACGTTGCAGAAAAAAAAATAAGTAATCCCGGTAAATACGTTGAAAGTCCAACAACGAGCCGAGCTTGTGCGCAAGTGCCATCTTGTTTTGGCTTACCTCATCCATGCTGGCGGGAACAGAAGAATGCACCAAGTTTCCAACAGTGGAAAGCTTTTGCTTCCATTGCTTTTCCTCTTCTTTTGCCTGAGCCACCAACTGCTCCTTGTCCTTTTGAAGTTGTTCCTTCTGCTTGACCAATTCGCTGGCATCTTCCTTGGCCTTGAATTTCTTGCCAATTTCCTTTTGGATGGCATTGATTTCCTTGTTCTTTTGGTCGCTTTGGAATTGAGCTACACAATGACCGGTTAATATCCACAAGAATATAGGCTCGGATGAGCTTTCAATAGGTCTGGAAATATAGACTTACTTTTGACCCATTCCTTGTACTCGGCAATGATTTGATCAATGAGTTCAACGGAAGCACCACGCTTTCGCTGGGATTCTTTGACCATCTCCGGGTTACCACCACGGTCTTCTAACAGCAAGTTGATATCGAGCATCGTCGGTTCAGTGTGAGGAAAGGAATCGTGTCAAAACCTGCTATCAACAAAAGGAGAAAAAAAAAGTTTGCGGTGTTCAATTTCGTGGCTTGGATTGGCAATGTTGCGTGACATGGCGACCACGCAAAAACACTTTATTTGCCTTATGACAACTTCCAGATACTTTTATCAAGGCAGGTTATCTGCTTGCACATTAACCCGCTAAAGATTTATATTTTAATGATACTAGAGATGGCGCTTTTACATGTTTACTAGTCTGGTATGAACATGGGATAAAGTGCCTTTTCTATGGGTGTGTCATCGGCCATTTGTATTCGGACTTTGAATTTACCACTCGCTCGCTTTTTTTTGTCCCGTCCATATTTTTCTCACTTTGTCAGACACTATAATACTGTATATACCACTGTCTCCTCTATGGCATCAACATTAGATTATAATACTATTTCAGATGCAATATTACATTGTGCAGCAACTAACTCCTCGCCCTTGGAAATTGATGCGTTTCTAAAGAGAGAAAATATTACCATGTCGCATGCCAAAGGTCGTTTACCATCTTGCTCATTTCGGCTATGTCCAAGTAAAACTGACAATTCTGTATTATATAGAGTTTCTATCTACAGACGTCGATGATTCGGTTCCTCCAGAAGAGCATTTAGCCATGCTGAAGAGTCTGTCGACAGACCCACCCAAGCATGAATCAAACTCAGCCCTTCATGCGGCTTCAAGGGGGATGGTGCAGAAGTATCTGGATGATATAGACAATATGGATCAATTGCAAAGCCAAGTCACGCAAGCCATTGAAAAGACAGAGCAATCGCAATCATTACTGGAAACTGCCGTCCAATCGGCACAAACCGAGTTATAATAAAATATGGAAAGTTTTTACGAAGGAGACAAGTGTGATGAGCGAAACAATGGGAATGGTAAGCCCAAGAAAGATGCACCACATGAATGTATCTCTTATGCTACTTGTATGCCATTCCTCGCCTATCGCCGCAGGTCCTCGCATGACCATCTTCTGGCCTCCCGCACATTATATCCAGCACTTAGAGATTTATTTGTAGACTGTATAGCCGGTATGCATGGCGACTGGCTCATGGATCCAAAAGCACAAGCGATGGAAATGTGCCTTCACAGCCCTTAATGATGTCACAGAGCGCGCGAATAACAACCGCAATGCAGCGGTGACTATTTCTGGGGAAACTTATCCAAACATTAAGAGAGATAATCTATTTGATCGTTGTGGATACGTCAACTGGGGGCAAAGAATGTGAGCAACATAATCAAGGACCGGCATCTTGGGTGCGGCGTGAACGCCATAATGATTTTGGGGCAGTGTGACTGGTTGCTCATGCAAACCCAAATGAGGCAGGCTTGAAAAAAAAAAATCACCGCGTGTTTTTAGGCCACCTTCTCTTTAAACCAAAAACAGAACAAGATATGAACAATGATAACGAAGGTCAGAATAGCTTGAATCAGCGTCTAGGTAAGGATACAGCCGCCACAGTGTTGACATGCTACACTCCATGTCACACATTAGTACCATTTACCTTTGGCATCAAGCTCAACTGCGGTTTCTTTTTGAAGCCAACATGAACGTTCACGACTCGCAGGACGATCGGCAGAGTGGCCGATCGGGTTTATCTGCCAATGCTGGCCGATACGTCCCGCCTCACTTGAAACGAACCGCTGCTGCGCCTCAAGCGCCTTTAAACGACTGGGATCGAAATCCTGCCCCCGAACTCCGTAGAAATAATCGGTAAATGGAGCCTTCTATTTCCGGCAATTTTCATTCGATGACCGTGCCATTGATAGAGAGTTATATCTAACGGCTTGCTTGTTAGGTGGAAAGAGATGCATTCGGATTTTGCTGAAACTCGAGGAGGATGGAGTGGTCGCTCCGGCAATGGTTGGGGCGGTCGATCTCAGTTCGATGAACGTGGGTCTTACGGTGGATATGCCAAACGGGGTGGCGGCTATGCTGGAACAACTGGAGGCTACAGCCGAAGAGAAGAAGGGCAAGGCTACTGGAAAGATGGAACGCATCATATTGGACCTCGTAATCCACGTATCGAACGCGAATTGTTCGGCAGTCCAGAAGATAAGGAAGTAACACACACTGGGATCAATTTTGATAAATACGAAAATATTCCTGTGGAAGTGTCGGGTCACGACGTACCCGAAGCAATGGAAAAGGTAGGCTTGAGACCCTAGGGCCGAAGAATGAGGAGATTGGTAGATTTGACTCATCTTTCAACATGAACAGTTTACCGATACGTTGATTGACCCTCACTTGCTGAGCAACATTGAACTGGCACGGTATACGACGCCCACCCCTGTTCAAAAGTACTCGATTCCCATTGTAATGCAAGGAAGGGATCTCATGGCTTGTGCACAAACAGGTAAACCTTTCAATTGATATCCACTCTTGAGTCACCACATGAACATACGTGACTGACTGATCTGGATGGGATCTGATTAGGTTCGGGCAAAACAGCCGGATTTTTGTTCCCGGTACTATCGTCCATGTTCAAAGAAGGTCCCTCCAAACCTCCCCCTGATAACAGAACCATGGGTGGCTATCGACCGCGCAAAGCGTATCCGCAAGCATTGATTTTAGCGCCTACACGAGAGCTGACCTCGCAAATTTACGAAGAGGCCCGCAAATTTGCCTACCGATCGTTTGTGCGTCCGTGCGTCGTTTACGGCGGCGCCGATATTGGGTATCAACTCCGCCAAATTGATCGTGGATGTGATCTGCTCGTCGCCACCCCAGGACGATTGGTGGATTTGCTTGAAAGAGCGCGCATTTCTCTTTGCAATATCCGTTATCTCATTCTTGACGAAGCCGATCGAATGTTGGACATGGGCTTTGAACCTCAGATTCGACGTATTGTCGAAGGCGAAGATATGCCCGGTGTACAGGATCGACAAACCCTCATGTTTTCCGCTACGTTTCCACGAGATATACAGATGCTGGCGAGAGATTTCCTCAAAGAATACATCTTCTTATCCGTAGGTCGCGTAGGCGCCACGTCGGAGAATATTACGCAAAAGATTGAGTACGTATTTTGAATTGCGTCATATGTCATTGGGGGTGGAGTAAGTAACGGGCATAATGAAACATATAGGTACGTCGAAGATGAGGATAAGCGATCCGTCATTTTGGACATACTCCAAGCGGAAGCCGACCCGGGTTTGACGCTCATCTTTGTGGAAACGAAACGGATGGCCGATTACCTGTCCGACTTTCTTCTCGGTAACGGATATCCCGCGACATCCATTCATGGCGATCGTACGCAGCGTGAGCGTGAGGCGGCATTGGATGCCTTTCGGTCCGGCAAAGCACCTATTATGGTGGCAACCGCAGTTGCTGCACGTGGTTTAGATATTCCTAATGTGACCCACGTTGTTTCTTATGATCTACCCACTGATATCGATGATTACGTTCATCGTATTGGTCGAACAGGTCGTGCAGGTAACACAGGAGTGGCGACAGCTTTCTTTAACCGCAACAACCGCAACATCGCTCGTGACTTGATTGATCTATTGAAAGAAGCCAAGCAAGCCGTTCCCTCGTGGTTGGAAAGTATAGCGCGTGAGATGAGCTACGCTAGCCGAGGTCGTGGCCGAGGTCGTGCAGGTCGCGGTCGTGCAGGTCCATCGCGAGACTATCGTCGTTACAACAACGATTTCGGAGGACGCGGCAGTGGCGGAGGAGGAGGAGGGAATGGTTATGGCTACGGTTATGGCTATGGCGGAAACACCAATGGCGGGTATCAAAACGAGTAAGTGGCCTAATTTTCTTTTTTTTTGATAAAATGAGAAGCAACCAATGACTTATTGTTGTCCTCTTCTAGTCGCGGTAACGGAGCTTATGGGCATGCTTTGCCTCCGCATGCGCAAAGTAAAACTAGCTGGTTTTAATCTATTGAATCCATCAATGGAAAAAACCCACACGCAAAGAAAAAAAAGTGCTCTTTGTCCCATGTATCCATATATAATCCACTTATTTCTTTCTTTTCTTTCACTGCTTTATAAACTTTATAGTAGATACTAAAAAATTATGTTTTCAATCACCCAATTTTACCAGCCTAGCTGAGTTTTCAGACAAGCTGTGTCCGGGAAAATCACGCCAATTTATTGCGCGGATCCAACAACATTTTTAGTTTTTCCACTTCCTCAATGCACATTAAGACGCAGCGGCCGAAAAAGAGCAGTGGTGGTTCAACAAGTCGACAGCGTGGAAGATGTACCAGAGGTCATCTGAAAGGTTCTATAATCACCATCAGCCGTAACCGCTAATGACGTTGTGGTGTGATCCGAAAGGTTTTTAACTCAGGACATGATTGCATAAGTACAGAGATATGAATAAAAGAAGGGAAAAGCTTGTGTTTATTTGGCTTTTTTATTTTTACATTGTTATTTTGAATGCCTCTGAACGGCAAACACAAAGAGTGAGAGGTGGATCCCCGACAAGGGTGGGGGATCTCTTATTTACAATTTTTTTTTTCTGATTTGAAAAAATTTAAATGAATGGATTGACACCTTGCATTCAATGAAAGGTGCCGTGCAGGTGGTGAAAGCGCACTAGGAGAGAGAATAGTATTAGTGAAATCTGAAAGATTATATCACATGCGAATAACTTACCAGTGCTGTCAATAAAACCGCGCATCGTCTGCTTGGTTTGTATACAGCTGTGGCTTCCTTTTCATTGAAGGAAAGCCACAGAAGGGGCCCCGTTTGGAGGGTCCACAAAAAGAAACATAACCGAGGTGGGTTGCCGGTAACCCGGAGACGGAACGCCGAGAGGAGAGTGCTCCAGAAAGCTTCCTGTGAGAGAGCGAGCCGAAAGCGTCAAGACAGCTTTCGGTTCGCGAAGGTAAATGCGCATCGGACCGAGTTACGGTTTCTACGTCCGCTCTGCTGTCGAATTGGGGGACAAATCAAAAGCTGGTTATCCACAGAGGGTGAATTTATTGCATAGATTTTATTGTATCGCGATTAGTGTATGTATACGACATTGAGAATCGAAAAAAACAACGGTCTGTTTTTTGGCAGGAACCTAATACAGAAATAGCCGTCGCGATTTGAATCAACGGTACAATTACCAGGAACTCAGTTGAAGGATTTTCATGAATCCATCAAGGCGTATGACAGGGCAGACAATGGTGTCTGGCTCTGAAATATTACGCCTTGATCCGCCGACTGCGGTAACACTTGAAGAGAGTCACCTACGAACGCCAAAACGTCTTGGTTATCTGGTCGCAGTGTGATTATGGAAAATTACACGACCAATGTAATTGGTAAGATGGCCAGAACATCTAGGCAATTTTGGGAATGGCAACATCAAACCGTTTACGTACATGTCAGTGACAATGACGATCTCAATTATCATGCCGAAGATGAGAACGAGGACGAGGACGAGGACGAAATGGGGATGGGGATGGGGATGGGGAATGCGGACAATGATGACTTTTCAGGCGATTGCACAACATGAATAATGGAAGCTGTGTCGGCTCAATAAAGAAAAAACCTTCTAGGCTACATGGACAAGTCACGGGAATCGCTAAGCGCTCTGATCTCACTATTCCAACGGAACCCTGATTTATGCAGATTCATTGCTACAAGCTTGGACTGAAAAAGGAAAATGCAGGAAACAGCGTGTTGCGACCGGTTTTTTGAGTGCAAGATGAACAACAATGACAGTAACCGATATTTTTCTACGATGTTAAATATACAAAAGGTTTATTGATGATCAAAAAAGCTAAATGAAAAAAAAGGGAACTTTTCTAGAGACTAAATGAGGAAAAAAAAATTTAAACACGAGTGGCAAGTTTGCGCATCAATTCTTTGCGAGCATCAGGGCTCATGTTTTCAATGAGTTTGGTGAAGCCTTCGAGGACAGCATCTTGATCCATGGTTCCGAGGAGGAGAATTTCATCCTTCAATGCGTCGCTTCGGATCTTGCTGATACGTTGTTCGATCAATTCAGCGCGCTTTTCGAACCAGTCCGCCACGGCTTGATCATCTTCGTTGTCGTTCTTGCTGGTGTCGGCAAGGAACCATTGCTTCAAGACATCGACCATTTGTTCGCGAGGCATACGGCCCTTGGTAGCAGTGGAAATCTTGCGGATAGCATATTCTTCAAAGAGACGACGACGCACACGCCAGTAGAAGTAGGTACGAGCACAACGCCATTCCAAAGGTCGTCGGATGACGCCCTTGGCCTGCATGCGACCAGCGCGATCGTGCAAATCGGCGAATTGGATAGCAATCTGTTGGTAGACGGGCATCAATTCCTGTTCACGGGCTTCAAGCTGACGTTTCACATCGGCTTTCTCTTCCGCAGATTGAGCGGTTTCCAACTTGTGCTTCAATTCCGCATACTTGGTATCCAAACGTTCCATGGTCGCCAACAACTGGGGCTTACGGTACTTAATCTCCACAATACCCTCGGGTTCCAACACACCACCACGAGCATTGACGTCGGCATACATTTCCATCATGTCTTGGTTGATGGTAGGATCCACCACGACCCAAGCACCACCACGCAATTCACCGTTGGGGATCACGTACACGAACACGGGTTGCTTGTAGTTGCTGAGCGCATCGACGATCTGGGCACCGTACTTGAGTACTTCGTGGTACATATCGCGCTGACCACCGGAGAAACCACGCCAGTTGGCAAAGATCATCAGAGGCAATTGTTCACCCTTGTTGAAATCGTTAATGGCCTGAGCGGTCTTGTACGCCGAGTTGGGGAACCACACACCACCGGCTTCCATGAACACCTGTTCGGTGGAATCGGTATTGGCAGGATCAGCAGGAATGATATTCTCGACCGTACGTGTTTCAACGGCCACAACACCCATGGGAATACCACCGAGACGAGCACGACCCACCACGACCGTACGAGCCCAACCACTCAAGGTTTCGACAAACGAGTCTTGATCAAAGAAACCGCTCAACCACTTGCCATTTTCGTTCTTACCGGCAAGGAAGAAGCGAGGATCGGAAGGACCCTTGGGAGGCATGTATTCGATCTCACGATCCACAGGATCCAAACCAAGACGCATCGACACGGGGTTGCCACGGACATCGGGAACAAACGACAACCACTGCACAATCTTCACAATACCTTCCAAATCGTTTTCGGCCGTCAAGTGAGACACACCGTTCTTGTACATGATCTGAGTACCACCGAGCTGCAAGTTGGAAGTATACACTTCGCGGCCAAGCACCTTGTTCAAAGCGGGAGCACCGGTTAAAATGATGGGCTGGCCTTCGTTCTGGATGGTACGTTGACCAAGACGCACCAAGTAGGCACCAATACCGACGGAACGGCAAGTAACCAAGGTGATGGTGAAGATGTCATCGTAAGCACGCGAAGTGGCACCAGCAATCAAACCGGAACCTCTCAAATTCTCGACACCCAAACCGTCGGTTTGACCAATGACATCAGTGATACGGCAGCGCTTCTCACCCTCATCTTCGATTTCTTCGATGAGCACGCTCTTGCTTTCACCGTTGCGATGCAAAGCTTGGTATTCTTCGGGCAGCAGGTACAAGTACTTGAAACCGGCCGAAGGGTTGTTGACGTCCTTCCATGCGGCACGGAACTGGCTGATCAGTTCTTCGGCCAAACCAATGCGAGCACCCGAGTTGGCAGACAAGTACACACGGGGCAAACCTAACTGACGGGCCAATTCGGAAGCCTTGTAGAAGACCATATCTTCAGCCACACCAAACGAACCAATCTTGAAAGTGATGTCGTTGGCAATCGCCACAACGCGACGACCGCGAGGATATTCGGGCGTACGAAGGGTCAACAACCAAGCCACCATACCGACCGTGTTGGTACCGGGGGCGCGGTCAATCTCTTGAAGAGTGCCATCTTCATCCAACACCAATTCCTTGGCTTCCACCACTTGACTGGGGGGCTTCACGGTAGAATCACACTTCATGGCCTCGTTCCATTGGTTATGGATGGCTTGACGGAACAATTCGGGGAAATCGTACACATAGGTGGTACCCATCAAATGAGCCTTGTAACGACGAGGCTGAAGCCATTCCTTGGTAGGATAAGGCGACGACAGCGATTGCATATGCATGGAACCGGGAATCTTGCCCACGGACTTGAGCACCCATCCGTTCTTTTCAGTCTTGACTTCCTGGTAGACATCGACCTTGAGGATGAAACCAGACACGTTATCGACGGTGAAACGCAAAGGAATGATGGGAGCATCAGGACGCTTGGACTGAATGTTGAAACGAATTTCGGCACCGGTCACACGAAGCTTCCAAAGACGCTTGCCGTGACGATCGACAAAGTCCTTCAAGGCATGCTCGACTTCATCGGCTTCGATGGCAAAGGTAGGGATGAAGTTGATGAACAAGTGATTGCAGTCGGAATTCTTGTACTCGTGGCTGACGATTTCAAGGGTATCCAAAATATCGGTCAACAAACGATCACTTTCCGAGATCAAGTAATCGGCCGTACGCATCGAGTTCTTCACACGACCGGGACGCACCAACGCACGGATGAAGAAACGGCAGTCGGAAGGATTTTCCTTGGCCACAGCATAGTAGACGTGCATCTGTCGGTTCTCGATGAAGCAAGGCTTGATATCAAAGTTGGACAAACGCGCCAATTCAAGCTGATAAGCCATGGCAGGTTCAATATGACGGATGGTTTCGTCTTCCTTGTAGTTCTGACGTTCACGGAAGGTGTAGTAATCGGGCCACTGGTTAGGACGGCACACCACAATGGAGATACGGCGAAGATGGGCCTTGCGGAAAGCTTCGGTGTGAGCATCAATGATCTCGGCAATCTTGGTACGCCAGTGAGCATCCTCGCTGTCAGCGGCAGCATGAACAGCCACGTTGAGAATATTCTCCATGCGAGTTTCCTTGGGAGGAGCCTGACGTTGCATCATGGGAGGCAACTCCTCTTCTTCAAAAGCGGTCAAGATACGGGGAAGTTCGGCCTCCAATTCTTCAAGGGATCGGCAAGCCGTCATGGCACCGGTACGGATAGGCTCTTCTTCGGTCTTGTTCAACAAGAAGGTAAGATCAGAGTAGGAAGCGATACGCTTGCTGGAATCCAAACCGTGGGCAGCGGTCTGCAACAAGAACTTCCAGGCCACAATGTAGGGTTCGCGTTCCAAGTTGTAGGCGACATCCAAGATCTTGTAAGCGTGGTACGAACGACGGCAGTACACTTCAATAGCCGCCAAAGCGATATAAGGATCTTCGTGATAGAAGAAGCTGGGCAATACATCGAAAACGTTGAACTTGGTATCGATCAAATCCTTAAAGGCATCCAAGCTGGGAGTGCGGTATTCGCTGCCTCCACCATACACGCTTTCGGTGACGGAGCTCTTGAGGATCTGGTACATCTGAGCCTGACGTTCTTCGTACGAAGGCAACTGGCAGAGAATCAAGAATTCACGAGCCTTCAAGGCCACCTTTTGAGTAGCACGGCTGTCAATTTCGGACAAACGCTTGAGAATAGGGGTGAAGAATCGGTCCAAGGCGCTGTTGGGCGAAGGATAGACGATATCGAGGAGCATCATGATCAAGTTGTTCTTGATGTTGACCTTGGCATGAGATAAGATGATCGACACGACCTTTTCCAAATCATCCTTGTTTTGATCACGCAGAGACAGGATGACTTCTTCCTCACGTTGTTGACCGCTGAACAGAATTTCGACATCATAGTACTGTTCCATCAAGTCGACATACACAGAGTATTCGTGCTGTTTCAAACCGCCGACGTAACGATCGAGGCATTCCACGAGAGGCGCCACCGAGTTCTTGTAAGCTGTGGCTTCTGCCTGAGTGGTAATATGTTGACGAGCAAAAGCATCGATCATCTCCTTGAGTTCAGCTGCAGGGAATTCCTTCTTGGCAGCATAAGATTCGCTTTGCTTGTCGTGAAGGCTCTGCCACAAACGTTGAGGGATACGAGCAGATAAGACGGACATCAAAGCGGTCATTTCAGAATAGGGCAACTCGGGATTGCGCAAGATTTCAGTGAGCTCCTTGACCACGGTCTGAACCAAAGCCTGGTTGTCGTAGCCTTGCAAGAGGTGTTCCAAGATGGCTTTGGTAGAATGGAAACGCTGGATAGGCTTTTCACCACGAATGTGAGGAGGACCAAAAACGGGGACCTGGCCAGTGAAAGGCAAAGCGTGCTTCACGCGGCTGGGATCATCAAGAGACAAGATACCAATGATATCGCCAGCTTCCAAGGTAGCACCGACTTGCTTGATGAACTGAACGTGACCGTCTTCGGCAGCGAGCAAAGGCATGTACATTTTCATGACCTAATCAAAGCACAAGAAAAAAAAAACATTAGCCCATGAGCCCACGCCTTATCTCCATTTTCCGTACAAAATCTTACCTCAATTTCAGCATAAGCCTCACCACCCTTGACGTGATCACCGTTTTCAAGCAAAAGGCTCACCAATTTACCGGGCGAAGGGCTTCTCAACTGAGTAGGATCGCTTTCCTTTTCCAAAAGACAGGTCTTGCCGTCAATCATCAAACGCGTGGCTTGCACTTCTTCGCGAGAGTAAGTGGTATGGGACTTGCCACCCAGAGAAACCAAAAGACCGCCATCGGACAAATCGCGGATGCCCACCTGGGTCTTGGTACCGTTCAAGTACAAGGTATAGATACCGGGAGCCGAACGAGTGACGGTGAAGTTGTAACGCACATTTTCGTAGATGAAATCGACGCTGAACACGGTCTTGAGACTTTCCTTGCTGGGGACCTGACCCTTTTCGAGCGACAGCTTGTACTGTTGCCAGCATTCCACGGACATGCTGTGAGCCTTGGTGACGGCACCGCAGAACACGGCCAACATGGTATCGGGGCGTTCAGCCGTCAATTTCTTGGAGATCAACATGTCCAACCAACCGGTATTGATGGTGTTTTCCTCGAAATCGGGGGTTTCCAAAAGACGAATGATGTATTCAACGGTGGTACGGAAATCACCACGAATGGACAATTCCTTCAAAGCAATCACCATGTTCTTGCGGGCTTGCTGACGGTTTTCACCGTAAGAGAAGATGTGACCAAACTGCGAATCGGCATATTCGTGCAGACCACCGGAAGACACGACCGAGAAGTAACCCCACACATTGGTACTTGAACGGAAATTGAGTTCTTGCATGGTACCGGAAGAAGGCTTGAAACCAGCATCAGGATTTTCGGCGGTAATACGCACAGCAATGACGTGACCCTTGGGGACAGGACGACGATGGCTCTCCAAAGCGGTAGGATGAGTGAAATCAAAATCGATAGGGGAAGCACTGTTGGCCTGCACACCGTAAAGGACACGGATATCGCGAATACGATGAAGAGGAATACCCATGGCGATCTGCAACTGAGCAGCGGGCAAGTTGACTCCGGAGACCATTTCGGTGGTAGGATGTTCGACTTGCAATCTGGGATTCAATTCCAGGAAATAGAACTTCTCATCGTGATGGCTGTACAGATATTCGACGGTACCGGCCGAGACGTAACCGACGAGCTTACCCAAACGCACGGCGGCCTTTTCCATCTGCTCAAACACATCGGGCTTGGCAATAGTGACGGGAGCTTCTTCAATGATCTTTTGATGACGACGCTGAACGGAACAATCACGACCGAACAAACTGATGGCGTTACCGTACTGATCGGCCAACAGCTGAACTTCCAAGTGGCGAGCGTTACCAGCGAGCTTCATGATAAAGATAGGAGAACCGGGAATTTCACCCTGGACCTGGGCAAAGGCCTGGCTGAAAGCGGAAGCTTCCTTGACCATACGAATACCTTTACCACCACCACCTTCGGAGGCCTTGATCATGACAGGGAAACCGATCTTTTCCGCGGCCTTGAGACCTTGTTCGGCGGTCTTGACACAGGCTTCTTCGTACACATCGTCCGGTACGACGACGTGGCCATTCTCGTCTGTCACTGTTTTCGAGATTCCATCACCGCTCCACCCCATAGTGGGGACTTGGGCACTTTGTGCGACAATGGTGGATGAAATTTTGTCACCCAGCGAACGCATAGCCGAGGCTGGGGGACCGATGAATACACATCTGTATTTGGATTTCGCAAGCATTTCAGGTAAGCGAGGATTCTCGGAAGCGTGACCCCTGTAGATTTCATGATCCCAAGAGTGTCAAAGAAAAATACAATGCCAAAAAAGGTGCGCATGCAAAAAGGGAAAGAAAAAAAATTTTGGTGAGTGGGGTTGTTGCATAACACAAAACAAGTTGGGTTCCTTGTTCCATCACAAAAGAACACACTTACCAACCAGCCCAGACAGCATGTACACCAGTACGTTCAGCGACATCGACAATGAGTTCGACGTTGGCATAATTGTTATTGTTGGAACCACCAGGCACCTCGACATAGTTATCAGCCATACGGATGTATTCCGCATTACCCTTCAAATCCTCGGGAGTTGCCATGACGGTGAACTCGATGGCACGTTCGTTACCAAAGGTTTCATAGGCCCACTTACGGACGGAACGGATCTCTTTCATTGCAGCCATACCGTTGTTGGCAATCAGCACTTTGCTGATCACGGTATGACCTTCTTGTGCTTGAACAAAGTCACGAACAGGACCTTGAGGAGCCTTGTCGAGCGAGTTGCCACCTTTGGTTGAGAAAAAAAAAAGACAAGATGACATGTTTAATGTCACTGGATCACACTTGTTTTCTGACCGTTTCCCATTTACTCACCCAAGAAGTGTGCAGGCAAATTGCTGTGTTCAGTCATGATATTATTCTGTGTTGTAAAACCTTTTTTTCCAAGAGAGATATGTACGAAAGGAAGTTTTGATTAAGATGGTATGTAAATAGACAAACTACGGGCGGAGACAGACAAGCAGACGTATGTTGTGTGTGAAATGTGGATGTGTGTATGTTTTGTACGGTGGTTGCGGAGGTCTGTGTCAACGTAGTGTTGGAAGAAGAAAAAGCGATCAATGGATCGAAGAAGAAAAAAGATATAAGAACAGAGAAGAAAGGGAAAAGGGCGTTTGACAGAAAAATCAGAGGTGTGCTTGTTTCCTCCTACCCAGCAACAACGAACAAAAAGGCAAAGAAGAAAGGAGAAACAAATTTGTTGGGCCCGTCAAAAAGTTCGGTTCGTTGTCTTGGAAAAAAAAAAAAAAAAAAAAATTAAAAAAAAGCCAAAATGTGTGGTGTCGGGAATTGAATGTGACGGTTTTTGTTGATCGGGGTGACCCTCAACACCCCAACGAGCGGGTTCATTGTCGACTACTTGTAAGCTTTTCCAATTTGTCCTCGAAAAATTTGTTTTGGGGGACTTTTTTTTCTTTCATTGCCTTTGGGGTTTGCTTCAATGACACGCAACGGAAAAAGAATATGACCCGCCCCTTGCTTTACCCTAAAAAAAAAAAAAAAAACACGCTTGGTTGGGTCCATTCTTATTTCGTGGTGGAACTCCAAGCAAAGTTTCTCTTTTCATCTTGCTCTTGCTTTATCAGCTTCATTGCAGCACTCTTTTGTTGTGATCCGAAAATCGACAAGAACAATGCGAAATCCATGCCGAAAATATCATTTAACCGTTACGACGTTTTGTATTTTTTGGACGATTGATCTTGTTACCATGCAGCCACCTTCGTCCACATCGATACTGTACCTGGGAAATATTGCGGGATAAAAAGAAGCACAGTGAGCATAATTATTTACCTTGTTGTGTTACAGAAATGGTCAAACGCTTTGAAGCGATAACAACACAGCAAACTTTTTTTCTTTTTTAAAAGACAGCCGATGTCTCGATTTGGACAAAGGAGCTTTTGGGAAAACGACGAATTTTTTTTATTTTCGGAGTTTTTGGCTGGCTGCAGATTGCATTTCTGCTGCACCCAAAGCCTGTCATGCCCGTTGTTGCTGTAGAAAGAATAAAATCGATCGTTCAGCCGACAGCAAATGGAAAGCAATTAAACGACAATATTCTCTCTGCAAAAGTAGAGAACCAATCAAATATTCAATGGTATTGGTAGTGGCAAAGCACGAAAGGGTACAAAATTGTTGCTTGGGGCATTATCAGTGGAGAGAGTAGTCTTCTGAATCTAGCCCGAAAAAACCTTATTTATATATATACTGTATAATAAAATTCGATAGGATGATCATTGGCGACCGCTGGCGGTGGAAACGACGCGTAAATGAAGCAATCGTGCAGTATACCATTTTTCAACGTAGAGACTTTTCAAACATTTTAATATGTCTACAGGGTATCATGCACAACTTGAACATGAAATGTTTCTGCTGAAAAACAAAAGAACTCTTCCTCACCGCATTAGACGAAAACTTGTCCTACGAGGACAATCAACTATGGGTTCTGGTATGTCTGGCAACATCCGCTGAACTACCTGGGGGTTTTTCTTTCTATGTTTACCCCACCATCGTCGAGTCAATGGCGGTAAAAAAGAGGGATGTCTGATTAACCAAACGTATCCTTTAATTTTGGAGAAATAGTTTAACCGGAGGATGGCGATCAATCGAGCAATTCGACCTGGAGCAGTTCATGATTAGAGACTTTTGAAATCTTCAAACACTCGCTGAACCCGTTGGATTTAACCATTTTCTTTTGAGATGTGGTTCAATGGAATTTCCTATGCTGTCTTATTACAACAAGTCACCAAAATACATTCGGTCCCAAAATAGAAATGAAATCAAAGCCAAGAACACGGTTGCAACTGTTTATCAACAAGTCTTCTTTCAATGAACAAATAAATCAAACTGGTATCACAGACTATTTTACCCAATCCACATCCTTGCTTCCTCTCTGCGTCGGCCTGAATGCTCTTGTCCCCGAACACATACTGCACTGTTCGGTTTAGAGGCTCGGACAGCACAACGTTTACCAGCTCAAACCCTTTTTTTTTCGGCCGAAATAGAGCCAAATCTGGTGATGAAGCGGAGTCAAAAAGGAACAGTTTGTAGGTACGTGCCAACCGTTTGAATACTAAGAGCGGTCGGTGGTACACTCCTCATAGTTATCGCCGCCCAATGGCCATCCGTCAACTTTTCTGCAAGTTCTCATTTCACCCTGCCCCAAAAAAATTCATAATAACGGAACAAGAATGTTCAAGTATCTTCCAGAAAGCTTTACTACGTTCAAGATTCAAGCTAAAAGTACTGAATTAAAATCAACTTGGTCACTGTATCATTGCGACAAAGAATCATCATGATAGTAGGCAGAAATCGTAGAATGAAGTCGAATAAAACATTGATTAAGTCCCTAGTGATCTCCTTCGTTATGTTACTCATACAGCGGCGATTAGGTCCGCAGATTGGAAATTAAAATCGAATTACGTTATATCATACTACTTATCTTTGTGATTGCCACTTTAGGATCAATAATACGAGGGAGTTAAATGAAATCTGATCCATCAACCAAAAAAAAAAAAAAAAAAAAAAAAAAAAAAAAAAATTGGGGTACCAATGGTAACGCAAAGAACGCGCTGTAACAAGAACAAGTGCCGTCGCCACTTTAAACTTTCTGGTGGATTTGGGGTCGAACCCAGCGGACTGTGGCGGATGTTTTTTAGATCCGTTTATTTACCGTTTTTTTTTAGACGGCCAATAGGCCGAGAATTCGTTCCATGTTTTGGAGTGCTTTGGTAAATAAAGGAACCAATAACAATATCAGAGAACAGTAAAATTGGGGAAGATGTCAGAGCGGTTAAAACATGGATGAAGCTGCAGATGTTGTCAACATGGAAAGGAACACCATCGAAAATAAATTACCAATACGTCAAAATTAAAACCTATCCAAAAGTGCGCACACTGGAACAAACTCGGAATGGACTGAAAGATAAAACAGGAGTTGGTGGTATGCTGAGTGGACAACGGCTTGGCAAGAGATCAACTACAAGCGACCACACAGGCCATTTGGGGGCGGACTATTATAGAGAAATGGACAGCCGGATCTAGTTTACGACACATAGAGTACATATGCTGTAGTTGACGAAAAAAAAAAATGGGTACCACAGATGGATAAGAGCAATCACAAAGAGTTGTCACTGATGTGATGTAAGGCCACGTTTGCTGGCGAAGAAAGAAACTGAGAGGGAGCGGGGTGAAAAAATTTCAACTTGGCAACTTGACATCGGGCAGACAGACAAAGCAGTCCGAAAGAAACACGGCCAACACTCACAACGCCTATGGGAACGGTTAATAAAGAGGAGACCATTGAATTTCTGAGGATGTTGTGATACATTTTTAGCTTGGCATGGTAGATTATTGGCTGGATCCGAGAGACTCTCGGCTGAAACAGATAGATATCTGGCCCCAAATTGAAATCAGGTGGATCCTTTATCTTTGGCCACTGGCCGCCTTCAAGCGAACAAAAACTAAACGTAAATGCATGATATCGCCGATGGTTTTCTTACGCATAGTGATTTGAACTTCAGTGCACATGATGACATTTTTCTTTAAACAAGCCGTACACCCGCTGTGCAATGAATGCCGCCTGCCACTGGAGGCCGCCCCCTTACATTGAGCGACTTTCGTCAGACAAAAAGCCTAACGCATACACGGCATACCCTGGGCGAGAACTCTTGACGGAGTTTGGTATATTAATGACAACCTTATGGCAATACCATGCTACGTGAGTTGTTTCTGAACACGCGCAAAGCAGCACTGATTGACCCCCTCAGTTCCATCCCGCCCAGGCTATGATAGATCTAGAAAGATGTGTGGGTATGTTGGGTATTTAAAAAAAAATGAGTTAGTAAGCTCTTTAATTTGATTCAAATTTCCTCAAGATATTTTACCTTTGTTATTTGAGTTTTCGATAGTCATTGATCGCTTAACATGTCTTGAATTATATGACATTGAAAAATTTTATACGTTCATTCCATCATAGCAAAGGAAAAGAAATTGGACTTGCCTTTGAACCAAATGGTGTACCGGAAAGAAAAAGATGAACACCGACCTCTCGATCATCATAAATGAAGAGAATGAAAGGACATATACAGTATAACCGACAAAAAAAAACCAAATTGAATGATGCTACAGAAGAACGCCAGTCGTATCATCAACCACTTTTCTTCAAAAAGAGCTTTACTCACATTTTTATTCGAAAGACGACGATACTCTGTTTGACCGTAACTGGCGCAAACGGTATCTTGCTGCTGACCTGTTTCGCCTATTATCGTGAAAGTGGGCAGCGAGGCATGGTTGAAAGATAAAAAAAGGTTTAACAGGTCCTGATAACTTAGTGTAGATCATGTGATTTACAAAATCGCTAATTTCCCAAACATTTGAATATAGTTAGAGATTTTAAAACAGGAAAAAAAAAAATTCCTTTTTCACTTGTGTTTGTCCGACTTTTTCATCATATTGCTGAATTCTTCACCTATACAGTGTAGTGTGTATATGCAGCAAATCAAAAAGTATGTTCATGCTCATGTTCGTATTAAAGGTAATGTAGGAAAAACGAGCATAATTCTTTTCTACACCAGGTATCATACTGCTATAGGATCTCATGCATCCGGAAATCTATCGACTCGTCGATCATTGAGGATGTATCGAGGTGTCTAGTTTGGCCGTCGTCCAATAGCATGGATCCTTTATCTGGTTGCTAATCTTGAAGAGTACTCGTTCTCTCATGACTTCGAGCTTTATTACGAAAAAACAGTATGAAGACGATCACCAACTGTATTCGAGTGACATTTTGCTCGACCTGGTACGGATCTGGTGAGCAAATCTCCGCAGCATGTTTACCTTGGATCTGTCCACCAGTTTGCTGTGGTTCCTCCACCAGTCGTGAGCCGGGTTTCCTCACCGACTGGCGTTCGTCCACACATGGTTGACTCGATTTGATTTCGCTTTGCCAGCGATTGTCCAGCCCAAAGATGATGTTTTCCGACTCCTTTTTGATGTGCTTCACATTTTTTATTCTTGCCTATCTTGGACGAACCTTCATTGTTCCTCTCTTTGTGTTACTACCATTTTCTCTTTCTCCACGAGATAAGCAAAGATTGAAATTGAAAATAAAAAAACAGTTGAACCTAACCGACAAACGTCAAGCAAATGTCGTGGTTGCGACTTTGCAGGGTGCCGTACCCCATAATTCATTATACTACTGTCCGGCCTTCATGACTATTTGTCACAAAATTTCGTGTGATCTCCAGTTACCCGTTGCTTCGCCACCCGACTTTTCGACAACTTTTTCATCTCTCAAAAACGCACAAATGTCGATGCAACGGAGTGGTGACATTGATTTTAATGGGTTTGCAACACTGTTGTCTGTCGGAACCACTATTTACAAGATAAAAAAAATGATTAGTGCTCTACAACATAAAGAAAAGGGTAGGGGGATCAAATACAAATAACTAAATATTATGTGAAAAAAATATAACAGAAAAAATTGGCTTATATGTACTTCTTTGTTTTTGCACTATTTTTTTTGCACGCTTTCTACTTAATACAAGATGCTAGAGGAGGAGGAATGAGAGTTGGATGAGAGTGGAGGAAGTGGATGTAACATGGCGGTTGTATCGTGAGGTGCCATCATCCATGACTGGTGAGGAGGAGTGGACGAATAATTGAGCAAAGACGCGGAAGAAGAAGATTGAGATATGGAGGGTTCGTGTGGAAGTGTCACGGGCGGCCCTACGGCCTGCTGCTGCTGCTGTTCTTGCTGTTGTTGCTGCTCAGCTTGTGATTGGATAGCTTTTTCTTTCATTTGTTGTTCCCGTTTCTGTTTCCGCCACTGTTTCCGCAACTCTTTAAATTCGGCAGGATGTCTTTTAGGTCCCTAAATAACTCCGAAGGTTACAACGCTAAATTTTTTCATCGGATCGGAGTGCAATGAAAAAGACTTACATGATTTTGCATGCAGACGTGAGCATTTAGATGGTTCAGTGTACCATAGGCTTTTGTACAGCCTTCAAAATTACAGTGGTAAAGACGTTCGACTTCATGGAATTTGCGACGAGGGCGCTTCTTTTGCGTTACACCAGGCAACGAAACGAATGAAAACACCTTTTGCTGATCGTCAATCGAAGGCGGCGGGGAGGGTGGTAAATGACGATGGAAAGGATGTGAAAAAGGTGAAGCGGACGACGAGTGAGGAGCGGCATACATTCCGGGCATCACAGATGAAGGAACCACCGGTCCAGAACTCTTGGACATATATTCAGTAGGGTACATCACATTAGTCGGGTTAGACTGGGTGATGTAATAGTCGGAGCAAGGGTCCGACGACGAACGAGTAGTGGTGGGTACCACAGGTGAATACAACATGTTGGATGGCACGACTTTTTCTCGAGGATGGGACGATGATTGCATATAGTAACCAGGATGTGGCTGTGCCTGAGGCGGGTGAACGGGCATGGTTGAAGCAGTGGTAGGAGGTTGCTGTCGGGCCATAGGCGCGTGAGAAACAGACTTGATGGATGTACTTGAACTGGGAAGAAGTTGGGACAACGGTGGAAGGGAAGGTGTGGATAATCCGGCGGCAGCAGCAGCGGCGGCCGCTGCGGCTGTGGTTTCATCATCCATCGAAGAAGGATGGCCGTAGTCCATGGCGGAAGGAGCTGATGAACGTGGGTCGATATACATCATTGGTGTAGATTTCGTTGTCGATGGATAAGCGTACATATTGGTAGAGGGATCATAAGAAGGGTAAAAAGTCGTAGTAGCAAGAGAAGGTTGTTCGTAACGGGAGTAAGACGCCATGGTTAGTTTTTTTTTCTTCCTTTCTCCTTTTTTCTGTTTGTTCAGAAATAAAAATTGTTGAGCGAATAAAAAAAAGAAAAAAAAAGTGAAATGGAAGAACCAGAAATTTTTTAGTTAGAAAATCAACAAAAAAGGGAGAAAAAAAGAAGAAGAAAGACTGGAGAGGAAAGAATTGAACGGTTTGGGTGAAAACCGGCTTTTTCTCAGTTTTATCTCTTACTCATTGAGCGACAAAAAAAAAAAGAGAGATTAACGCTTTTAAGGTTAGTGTGGATAAGACTAATATAGCGGTGGGCCAATGAGAAAAGGCAGAACTAGAGTCAGGTCCGTTAACCTGCTACCCCGCGCAGATCCCTTTCGTCATTCACAAACTTTCTTTTATAGATTGTACCACGTATTTTCATTTCAAATGTGCCAATCCGAGTTTCGAATGTTTATCAACCTTTAACTTTGTCACATTATAACCATCCATTTTTGTCACCATTGTCGATCTTCTCCCTTTTTCTGGAGTGGCGGGATACCTTGTCGGGCTAGCTCACTGTCTGTGTCCTCTATTTAATGAAAAAGCACTTGTTCTTATCATACATCTTGGCAAGATGACGTTACATCTGAACGGAATTATCTTTTTTCATATCACGCACAAACCTTAAAATTTTTTTCGCCTTTGCACTCCATGATCGTCACCTGTGATCAAGCTGACTTTGTAACCAGGACCTTACACGTGCGATGAGTGAGAAAAAAACAACTTATCCCTTTTTATTCCTGCGAATCCAGCTCAATTATTTTTTTCTGTACTTTAGCAGAATTCTCCTTTCAATCATACCCGTTCAACGGTTTTCTATAAATACCACGCGTACCCTATTTTCCAACATGAACGAAACATGGTAAAGAGAAAACCAAGGCATATATCAATGTCCCACTATGCGTAAATGCGCGTACTTCCGCCAAGCAATTCGCATCTGGGACTGATCAATAAAAATTCTGCATTTGCAGTGGGAAGTAATGTTTATTTTTATGTTTATTTTTTATTGGTTTAGAAGGATGTTTTTCATTTATGCTGTTCCATTCAAAGTGTTGCCTAGGGAACTCCAGTGATTCCAGATGAAAGGGGTGATGTTACTTCTACTTACCCTTCTTTTTTTTCTTGGCCTAATTTTTACATTGTAAACAAAGCAGAAGAGAGGGAAAAGCGAATGATAAATAGTATCAGTAGATGACAAAATGGGAAATCTGTGAGAGACAGAGAAAGAGAGAAAACTGGGACAATATACAATTAACAAGATGAAGGATTGAGAGATATATGGTTGAAAATCAGAGAATTTCGGTTGGCATCATTGCCTGGGACATGGAAAGGCTTGTCGGTAAATCGACTTGCTTGGTAGAAAGTAAGGGTGAAGTGATGACTTCTGTGATAAGACCGGAATCCAAATCGGGATCTGTCCGGATGTGTTTGGGTGAATCTGCTTTGGCCGGAGTTCTTGGGACGTTGGAAGGGCGGAGGAGGTCCGCGGTCGCCAGTAACTGGACACTGTATGCATCGGTATATGTTTTGGGGAGGAAGGAGGAGGCTTCTTTATCGGCCGCACTTTGATTAAGGAGGGATTCATTCATGTTCATGAGGGTTTGAAGGAAGTCGGGAGAAGTATTCTCACAATAGTTATGAGTGTGTTGCTGGCTCATCGCCGTAAGCTTGGCGGCAGTAATCACCGTCTGGAGTTCTTGTCGGGCCTCCACACTTGGCACATTTGCTTGTGTGGACGAGATGTCGCCCATCCAACCAATACCAGCGCCACTAAAATAAACAAGAAAAATAAAGGAATTAGTGATCCATACTATTCTGGGGTAAAAATTCCCTGTTGCCGAAAATATAAAAAAGCGACTTCCAAAAAAAAAGAGATACAAATAAACGAGAAACAGGAAGCTAAAGAGACAAACGAGACAAGCAAAAAGCAACAAGATAGAACAGCGTCTCACCTTATTTCCCATTCTTGACCCATTTTCTTCATCAGCAGCTCCATACTTCTCCTTTGCTCCTCCAAATCGAGCAAGCTTTGATCGTAATCCTGAAAAGTTCGATCCATTGGAAAGATTCCAATACTGGACATGGAATATAGTACAAATGTATTTGTTTATAGAAAATTAATGTAATTTAGAAGGAAGAAGGTACTCGATTGAAAACAGGAAAAAAGGTTCGAAAAAGAAGCCTGTTTCTTATAGCAGTTTCTCGACAATGGGGCGGTCAATGCGGCTTTCATTGTCCTTTGGCTAGTGTTACTTTCAAACGCCGCCGGATTCAAATGACCAACTTCTTGTTTCTATGCCTCCAAAGATGAACCCTTTGCTTCTCTCTTCAGCCGTTTTCAAGCGATTTATATAATCAAGCATGTTCTAACAATATTTTTCTTATATGAATAGAACTTTTTTTCTGTGAATAATGTGGTAGATGTGCACCTAAAAGTTATGCCAACGGGTGGGAACGACTGAATCATGGATGTGTTCCATCTTCCATGATATGATACATGGCGTGCTAGTTTCCTCATTTTTTTCAAACGCAGCCAGAATATGCTTCTTTCTGTCTTTGAATTAGCCCAAGCAATACTCCATGCCCGGGTTATTGTTTTGTTTACGTGACCATGGTTATTTTTTTTTTTTTTTACCCGTTTAGCTGAACGAAAACATTCTCGCGCCAAAAAATCACTAGAGTTTTGACAGATGTTTAAGGCTACACGAGATTGAACAAAGCGGAGCGCTTTAGAACCATCTGGCACCTTCTTGATCAGCAGAAACAAATTGTCTCCATGACTAATTGCGATCTGCCTGATCGTCCAAGGAAATTGCTTTGGAACATTGCTAGGAAACAAATTATGAGTGTGGATCAAATTTATTTGTTTAATTCTTTCTTTTTCTATCAAAGAAGGCTGGCCTCGTCAAAATTCTGATTCTGCTCACTCCGAATCTAGAATCCTGCCCAGATGCTGAGTCTCACTTCTTTTCACGTTGGGAAAAATTGTAACAGCGCTCAAAATTTGGCCGATTTCAGACAGGTTTTACCTTCCATGAGGAACTTCATTTGGGGATGGAAGTCCTGGAAATCACAGGAAACATATGTAAAACATTGTCTTCATGCCAGTTTCCTGGATGACAATAGGTTCAGTTGCTTTACAACAGCCACCGTCTCCTGATTTCTTCTTGTAAAGTTTCCAAGGATTCCCTCGATTGCCTACCGATCCGAAAACTTGGTTTTGTGTTACACACTGCGGAGCACTGATGCATGAAACCCACCGTCCGTGTGTCACGCTAAAGATTGAATGGCAGACCTTCCCTTCGTGATAAGATAGTAAACAGCGTTGATAAAAGTACGCTTTGGAGTATATTATAGCACAGTAAGTGACCGTTGGCCAATCGGATATCGCGCAAAAATTTTCACAAAAACATTCCATAAGCGTTGCACATGAAAAATGGATTGCTAAGACAGTTTTAATTTTATCGACAAGCCAGAGTTCTAGACACGTAGGCGCTACATATAGCCAATTTTTTATACAAAAAAAAAGTACATTAACATTGATCTACGACCCAAAATTCCTGCTTACACGAATTTCACTGATGCATTTATTGAAATCAGTCAATTACTAATCAACATTTGATGGAGAATGTGTACGGACTCTATTCGTTGCAAATGGTGCCTTCAACTACCGCGATTCCGGCATCCCGGAGCCTGTGAAAGTTTTGATGTTTATGGATCTAGCCTTAATCTTCTTCTTTTTTACAATATGAGGATCGTTTCTGTTGTTTACATAAGCGGATTTTGTTTTTCACTATTGGGAATTTGCTCAAATAATCACATTATCTAATATGAGCATGGGTATTTTTATTTGTTATCTTAAATTGGTAAATCCACATCTGGCACTTCACTACAGCGTATTATGCGAAACAGTCTTTTGCTGCGAAACCTCTGGGTAACTTTTGTATTTTAAAAAGCGGACTTGGTTCCGGGTGTAGCGGCGAAAAAGGGATTTGCCTTGTAAACATGACGGCAAGTCAACCGTCAATGTTTAGCATTCAATATCCGTCAACTGTAATCAGGGGTTTCCGTCCTACACCGAGACCCAAACCTACTTGAAGAAGATGGGTTAACAGTGTCAATGTAGAAGTAAGTATAGGGATAGGTAGCAAGTGATCGACAAAAATAATTGTTTGATCTATGTGGGGTAATGAAAGCTGCATGCTTAAGACCTTTACATGACGTGTGCATGCATACAGGGGAATCTTGTCCAATCGGGATGAACCGTCTATCCGCTGTCTGCCATTAGGAACAGGATTTTAAAGCTATTCTTGTGTATGAATAAGAATTGAGAGCACGACAAAGCTGGTTACTAATATTCGAACCGGCAGGTCGGTTGGGGAAAAACACAGATTGAAACATGGAACAGTTGTTTGAATGCCAGACAACACATTTGATCGGAACGAGTTCCGCTCTTTTTAACGGCTTGTCCGGAACAAAAATATAGCCAAAGCATCTTGATAGACTACTATAGAAAAAAGAAAGGGATTTTGGTCCGCCAAGCGAAACAGACTATGCAGTATGGCCTCACCTACAGTACGAATAGTGAACATTTCGTCGAGCCATATCTCGAATGCTTCTCCTAAGAAATTTTCAGTATTCAAACCCTGCTACTGTAATTTACACGATATTTGCCTTGACATTAGCGGAAGACAAAGTTATCCCGGACGTGCTGCCGGCTTATTCAGTAAGACACAAGTTTTAGGATTTTGAAAGAAATATCCAAATGGATTTTTAAATTTCCATATGGAAACGGTTTCGCTTATTGTTTGCTGGTGGTTAACCAATTCAGCTACTACCATTTATTGTCGCCTTGATGGTACGGGAAGTTTCAACTACTGATGTGGACAACACGGCTTACTTCCATATAAAGCCGACATTGTATTTTTTCGTTTTAATTCTCTGCTAAACTCATTCACAATATGACCTTTTCCAACAGGTAAGTGATGACACGCCTAAATATATCATAAAACGCGGGAACACTGACTTTTTTATATGCCACGTAACTTGTTATATTTTGTTTCCAAGAGATTGAATATCTTACTATTGCCAAGATAAGGAGATACATGCTTTTGTTGTGTACGCAAAATTTGACACATGTTCATAATAAATAAAAAGGATGCCGAGGGTAAATGGGAGGATTAATTTATGAATCACTATCGTCATCATCACTACTATTTCTTTCTTCTAATCCTTCGATCAGTGGTCCGGTATCATTTGCTTCATCTTCGTTGTCGCTGCTCTTCTCTGCGAGTCGTGCCTTCTTGGCTGCCAATCGTGCCAAGATGTTCTTCGCGGTATTAAATGTACCGCCCGTAGGCGCTCCACATGCAAAACATTTGGGCGATTTCTTGTAATTGTCGATGGCGCACTTTTCACAAAAATAGTGGTTACATTTGGTGACGACGGGGTTGTTGAATTCTTCACGGCAAATAAGGCAAGCAAAAGGTAACTCTTCGTCATCGGAATCGGAATCAGAGATGGCATATTTATCCCCACTCGATGCTCCAAACTTTGTCTTCGTCTTTTGCGCTTCTTCCCATTCCTTTTCAAGTTGCCAGCCAGTCTTATAATCACCACGATCGTGCAAGAAGATACACGAATCACCATAACCACAAAAACCGGTTTCTATTAGACAAAAAAATTCTATTAGTCATACATACTCTCAACCTCACACATAATGTTTAATGGCTTACCTTTATAGTCTTTACAAATATCAGGCTGATAATCGAAACGAGCGGTGACACGGATATTGGCAGGTGCTCGCTGAGGCCCCACTTGCATTTTTGAGTTCTTGGCGGGCTTACTCTTGGGTTGGACTCCTTTGGCAGCTTTTCCAGCTTCAATGGCACTGGCCATTTTCTGCATGGCCTCAGATTCCAGTTCCCATTCCGTCGCATATCGAGTAGCATCGCTGCCCTGAGTTTTCGTAGATCGATCTGCTGCGTACTGCACTCCAATGGAAGATGAATCTTGATCATCGTCCAGCTTTCGTCGAGTGCGTCGAGTGGCTTGAACAAAAGGTGTAGGTGCTGATTTTCGGTCCTTTGTAACGACTTCACTCACGACGCCTTCATCGTCGTCGTCGTCGTCATCGCTGTCTTTACGTTTGAATACGGCATTCGCTTTGCGTTTGCGAAGATTCTTGTTGGTGACTCGTTTTTTGAAAAAAGGCACTTTGTCTGTTTCCGAATTCAACTGGACTGCGTCATTTTCAGTAGCTCCGTTCTTTACAAGAGTATCGTCCCCCATACTGTAAATTAAAGAACTGTGAAAGATCTTTTTTGTAGATCAAGCGCAGTGGTAGAAAGGACTGGAAAGGTTTATATAAGGACCCAGTCACGGACGACGTTTCGGTTGATTTCAGACTCAGCATTTCCAATGAGCGTCCTGCGTTCTGCTTCGTAGATTGACCAAAGTCATTTGTAATATTTTAAACAATACGGAACCAATGAGATGGATTAAATTTTGCCAAAACCCGAAATGTGACAAGGAATCAAATGGAGGATATCCTAACGTTACGAGATATTATCAAGAAAGAGGATTTCCCTGTGTACATATTAGACCCCAAGGGCGCCTATGTGGTGGTACGTCGTCATGATTTGAGGTGAAATATTGCTAAGAAAATATGTGAATAGAGTCGAAACGAAGAAATGATTTGCTTTATGCGAGTTTAGTTGAATCGGTTACTGATATTTGTATGATGGTCTACCTTTACATTGGGGCCTTGCGCACATACGGACTACGATCAGCCCTCCTTTCTCAACGCCGCTGTCTGGACATCGCAATGCAATCTTTTAAATTTTAGAGAGCCAGATTCCCCTTGTCCAAAGTGACAGTTACGTCTGTAAACTAGCGTAACTGGTAGTGGATCCGACTTGCTCACGCTGAGTTTGCGTATCATAAAAGATCTCCACGACGACATTTTCTTCCAAAGAACGTTTGGGGGGATCGATTTACCATTGCGCCGCTGGCTTTTCTATCAAGTTATGAAGGTCTCAGCGGCATAGATATTAAAGAAAAGCGACGACTGGCTTAGCACAATGCAGCGTTATATAATGGAAAAACATCACTACCATTTCCATCCAGAACACCCATTACAGAACTTTGAATCATCCAGTCCTACCCGTCAGTAACCTAGGAATCATCCGTATTTCATCCTCGTCATCCCTATCCTCCTTCTTTTACTCCGATGTATAAAATAAATCACGCAGCCCATTGACTTTAAGGCATATATTAGGTAACCATTTCTTGCGCAAGTCAAAGGTTCTGCTTAAAGCAAAGTCATCTAGATGGTGTCAAAAACCCTTAGGATTTTGGTCAGCGTAATTTCAAGTAGCCCAATCGATCGATAAGCATGCATTGCCATTTGACAAGGAAAAAGAGGGAAATGAAAAAAAGAATCCTTATGAAGCTGATTGCTGATTGGTCAGCGTAAAAAGTGGATGTATCATGTGAATTTTCACATGTAAAAATTCAACTTCAAAGCAAATTTGCTGACTCCACACAAAGCAGCATTTTGAAACTGCGGTATTTCAACTGACTAAGGCCAATCTTTTATATTTCACAGCTTTTTTTTTCATTGCCGTTGCTTGCTGGTTCCTTGTTCTCTTTTACATTTTTCATCCAATGGCTTCTCGTCTTCAACAAGTTTCGTCTCATCTTGCTCCCTCTGATAACGTCGCCAATAAGGTTGGTGTCAAGTCTCCCGAAGACGTCGTTATTGTCAGCGCTCTCCGTTCCGCTATCACTCGCGCCCGCAAGGGTGGCTTCAAAGACACCTTGCCTGAAGGTATGTAGTCGAGACGGAAAACGACACAGCGGTTTGGGGGCGTGTATGTATGTGGGTGTGTCTGTGGGTGAAAGGTGACACTTGGTTGTGTGTGTATGTGTACAAGAACAAAAATTGACATGCTCAATGATCGTTTGGCTTCACAGAGATTCTGTCCGCTGTATTCAAAGGTGTGATTGACCAAAGCAAGATCGATCCTGCCCTTGTGAACGACATTGCCGTTGGCAATGTCTTGCCTCAAGGTGGAGGTGCTACCAATGCACGCATGGCCGCTCTTCATGCTGGCTTTCCTGAAACGACCTCCATCAACACCGTGAACCGTCAGTGTTCTTCCGGTCTTCAAGCTGTCGTCCAAATCGCCACCGCCATCCAAGCCGGTATCATTGAAATCGGTATTGGTGCTGGTGTTGAATCCATGACCCATAACTATGGCCCTCAATCCTTGGCTCCTTCCTCTGATAAGATTGCCGACTCTTGTCCTGCTGCTGCCGATTGCCTTATTCCTATGGGGTAAGTTTCTCTTTCTTTCATTTTTAGCCAAAAAGTTTTAATATATCGGTGCTGACTCCTATAATTTTTAAAAAGTATCACCTCTGAGAACGTTGCTGCTGAATTCGGTGTTTCGCGTGCTAAGCAAGATGAATTCGCTGCTGCTTCTCACGCCAAGGCCGCTCTTGCTCAAAAGAATGGCTGGTTCAAGGATGAAATTATCCCCATTCGTGCCACCGTCACTGACAAGGAAGGCAAGGAATCCACTGTTGTCGTTGATCGTGATGATGGCGTTCGTCCTGGTACCACTGCCGAAAAGTTGAACAAGCTCAAGCCTGCCTTTGATGAACAAGGTACCACCACCGCTGGTAATGCGTCTCAGGTTTCTGATGGTGCCGCTGCTGTCTTATTGATGAAGCGCAAGACAGCCGAGAAATTGGGATTGCCCATCATTGGCAAGTACATCACTTCGGCTGTTGTTGGTGTAAGTATTTTTTGCAAGTGAATGGGTCCTTGCAGTATGTTGCAGCATGCTGCAATAAAGACTTGAAAAAAAAAGAATGCAGCAAAGCTCACGCATGTCTGTTTGCTCAGGTTCCTCCCAGAATCATGGGTGTTGGCCCAGCTTATGCTGTTCCTGTTGCCGTTGAGCGAGCTGGTCTCAAGCTGTCGGACGTGGACATTTACGAAATCAATGAAGCTTTTGCTTCCCAGGCTGTTTTCTCTGTTGAAAAACTCGGTATTCCATTTGAAAAGGTCAACCCCAAGGGTGGTGCTATTGCTTTTGGTCATCCTTTGGGCGCCACCGGTGCTCGTCAGATCGCCACTCTTTTACCTGAATTGAAGCGTGCTGGCAAGAAGATTGGTGTCACCAGGTAAGACTGATACCCACCCAATCCTTTTTGATAAGAGATCGCTTGCTAATCCTTTTTTCACTCTAGCATGTGCATTGGTAGCGGCATGGGCATGGCTGCTGTCTTTGAAAGCGAGTAAGCAAGTCCGTCGAGATGTCACCCTTCTTTTTGATATTTTAAATTTTTACCTTTTTATTTCTGTAAATTGTCGAGCAATGAAAGATGTCATTGTAACCGTCACTGTTGAACATAGTCAATATTTATCGTCTTTCCCGAGAATTCCCATTACATATTAAAAAAAATGTTGGATTTCTATTGAATATCCTACACAAATACAGCGTTCAAGTGGGATTTAACGAGGCAGATCGGAAAACTAGAACATGAGATGGTTTCAGCGGGAAAAAAAAGTGCAAGCGAGGCTTTGAATGCGCAGGATCACCTGCATTTTCATCAGAACACTGTCTTTTTCGTCTGGATAAAAGAATGCCATTGTTAATTTTGTTTATTGGATTGATTCTTGGGTTGATCGAACGTTAAATGAAGAAAGTTGATGGTGGTAAAAATATATGCAGATGTATACAGAGGAAAGATGTGAGGGAATGGCATAAGGATTTGAATGAATAAGGAGTGATGGAAGAAATGTTTTGACCTAATGAATGACTCTGGAAATTTTCCTTGCTCTATCTTCTTCTACGATTCTACGTCGGTGGCCTTTTTCCTGTCTTTTATCAGATTTCAGCGCCGTCGTATTTGCAGCGCTGGTTGCGCTACTGTTTGGATTCCAATTGGGGGACACGATCAACTCGTCTTTCATCTCATACAAAAGAGAGCTGGCAAAGGAGCAATCTTTCAAAGACATGCTTTGCCCGCTGAAGACATGGCTCGAAATCACCTGCACATCGACTTGCAGATATTCCTGTAACTCAGTGGGCACGCCGCAATGCGACTTGGGTGGATGAGAAGAAGGCCCAAACGGTGAGATTAATGATAATACCGGTGGCTCCGAAGTCGCCAAATTGGATTTCAGCGTAGCTCCAGGAGTACCATCGTCATTGTTTCCATCGACGCGCGCCACTTGAGAGAACGAAGGCGAATAAAGGTAGACGTGTGAGGCAGGCGAAGAGCTTGAAGGAGACTTGTTGTAATCCAATCGATCCATGGTCGAATATTGAGCGATCTCGGATTTGGAAACCAATTGCAAGCGATCGTTGATCCAAGACTGCAGATCATGCGTTTGCACAGAATTCATCACAATAAGGTCCGTGGTCGGTGGAGGATTGTTTTTACCTCCCTCCAATAAATTTAATGGACTAGAGAAAGCACGGCTGGTTAGACGAGCGCTTCAACTACAACAGTTTGAAATGAATGAGTGAGAAATTTACGCTTTGTTAGGTGCCACCAAGGTGAGCTGTTTGGATGGTGCACCACCCACAGTAAGGCGATCCATCATACGTGATGACGGTAAAGTAAACAAGGCAAATGAAAACAAAATAATCTGTATAAAAAAGGATGCAGGAGCAGCTGAGTGACACGTAGTTTCAAAGTAAAGAAAAAAAAAAAAAAAAAAAAAAAAGGGGGCGCGTCTTACCATGAACACCATACTGGTAGCCGTCTTTTTCTGTACATTGATGGTCGATGGTGGATTAAAATCGTGAATGGGTAATGTGACGGAAATAGGGTGGGTGGTGGCAGCCGAACCATCAGCTGGGGAGAATTTCAACTGATTTCTTAGCTCCTGGTTTTCTTGCTGTAGGACGAGAACTTGACTTTCAAGAGCAGACACCTTGGATTTCAATTCGTGATTCTCTGCTGTGAGCGAATTGCGTTGCTCCTCTAATGAACTGACGTATTCCCGTTTGCGTTTGCGAGATAATAATGCCGCAGCCCGATTTTTTATCAGACGTTCCTGTCGTTTGGCCTGAGCCACGGCTTTGGCATCCACAGGCGCGGAGGCATCGTTGGACAGTGTTGAAGATGGTTGCGGTTTGGGTGATGAAGACGAAGAAGGAGGCGTGGTGGAAGCGGGTGTAGGGAAATCGGTTGCCTCTTTCTCTTCCGATTTGATGGCATGGTGGGTGGGTGATGAAGGCAAGGGAAGAATAGCGGGCAATAGTGTCGGCGCTGGAGCAGGAGCCAACATGGGTGCGGTGTTGACGGTGGGTTGTTCGCGTTTCTTGCGTCCTCGTTTCTTCCTAGGTTGTTCACTGTCCGATAACGAAGAACAAGACGACGACGAACTGCCAGGAGATAGCTGTCTTTGTGACGGGTCCAATATCGGTTGTTCAAGAGGATAAGGGGGTACAAAAGGAAGATAGAAAGGGAAGGCCCCCATGGATTGCGGTAGGCACATGGTCGTTGAGGGATCTTGGGCGGGCTCTGTCATTGGCGGAAACGACATGGGCAACCATGATGTGTAATCAGGGGGAGTGGATAAACCATGTTGGTCAATATCAAACGTGTCTTGTGGTTTCACATGGTCATCCGTGACGGGAGGAATATTCCACGTATTGACGGCAGCATGATGAGATTCGTCCGTAGATACAAGATCAGGATTCAAATACGACATGACGAGATCTTCCTGCTCCTTTTCCAGAACCTCTGGATCAGGCTTGATGTAAGGTACTGTTTCTTCGCTCATTGGGGGGGGGGCTGAAAGAAAACAAAGGAAAACGTTGGAAAAAGTAAAAAGGGGTTTTTGGAATGATCAAAATGGAAAGCCCATTCGCACACGAGCCGTTTGAAACACCGACAGATAAGACCGATTTATAGATTGCGCGCACCGAGCAATCAGTGACACCATCGACAAGGCAACCATGCAATTGCTCAATCTTCAATATATTTCCGTCTTGCAGCAAATCTATTGAATTTTTTTTTTACGTCGCAGCAGTCAAAATGATGTCTCTTGAATAGGTAAACAACTCGTTTGGGACTTTTGGTGACAATACAAGGTTGAAGAAGGTTATTCAGCGATCAATTTTCAGGACAAATATCACGTGACTGAAAGAGCCGGTTGTGTCCCTAGCGAAAAGGCATACGACCCAAAGCGGACCGAAAATCTGCTTTTTGGGAACGAACAGCCATGGAATATCCTGAAGTACAAGATTTCGAGGCATCCGCCTTGGGTACAAAAACCTAGTACGTTTGTATGCCTGTATATCTTCATATCGTTTTATTGGACAAAAAGGTTGACGGATCCGTTCTAGTTGGGATGCCGTGTACAATCGAGAAAACACCAATTTTAAAGAAATCGGTGACATTGGCGAGATTTGGTACGATTTTTACGTCTGCATTGTAATTGCTTTTTCGTGCTTTAACGAGTTGCAATAGGTTTGGAGAAGATAGCGTGGAACGCATGGTGGAGTGGGTGACTGAAAATGTGAACGATCCCAATGCGGCTGTGATCGATCTCGGATGCGGCAATGGTCACTTGTTATTGGAGCTTGCCAACGAAGGTTACAGTAACTTGACAGGTATCGATTACTCAGAGGCGGCTATCGACCTGGCAAAATCGGTTGCGGATCAACGAGGATTGTCCAACATTCATTATGAGGCGGTCGACTTTTTGCAGGACGACAGCTGGCGTCAAAAGACATACAACATTGTCCTTGACAAGGGCACATTTGACGCCATTTCCCTAAATCCTGAACAAAAAGCGGCCAAAGAGCAAGGAAAAGAAGGACCTAGGGAACGATATATTGAAGCGACCCGAAAAATGATGGATCCACAAGGCTTGTTCCTTATCACAAGCTGCAACTGGACAATGGAAGAATTGATTGAAAGCTTTAAACATCGTAAGCCTCTCTCACTTTTTGGACTGATATGGCCAGGACTGGACTGGATGGCTAATTCTCTTTGTGTGAAACGCTAGATTTCCGTTACCATTCTCATGTCAAATACCCTACCTTCTCGTTTGGTGGCCAGACAGGATCCAAGATTTGTACAGTCGCATTCGAACCATTACCTCTATAAAGAAAAAAGAAATAGAGCAAGAAGCAAATAGTGAACAAAGCAGTCGGTCTAATAGGTTCCTCATCAGCATCAAATAGCCCCGTGATCAGCTTTTTATTTATTTGCAATTGATGAATAGTTGTGTGATAAGCTTAGATATTTTAATGGCGATTCCATCCCTCATTCTTTCCAAAGACAATCGGTGGCATACCAGCGCCATTTCCTATTAAACATTCATATGTAAGCCTATCTTTCTTGGCAAAATTATGAATACAAAGTGATACAGAGAAAAAAATACATACCGTTGGCCATTACATGAGGAGGAGCCATATTCATGCGTGAGAAATCGCCAGGAAGAGGAGGCATCATATCAGGTTGCATTGGGAACCGTGGAGGCATTTGTCCTTGCAAATGCGAGGGGAGCTGATGAGGAGGAGGCATCATTGGTCTTGCTGCTCCGGGAGGCATGGGCGGCATGGGAGGCATCATGTGCGGCGGAAGAAACATATCCATTGAAGAACGTGGCATTGGGGGTTGTTGTGGATGGTTGTTCTGTTGATGTTGGGATGGATGTTGAGCTTGCGATGGTGAATGTGTCTGATTCTGAGTAAATGGAATGGGAGGTGCCATCATTGGATTCATCATCGATTGTGCACCTGGTTGCATGACAGGCACCATGCCTTCAGTATAACGCAATAACTGCTCAAATGCGGCGGTGTCTCTGGGTGGACGGTTGCCATTAGTGTCCATGACAGGAGGAGCATGACCCATGGGATAACCGGAGGTCGACGACATGGGCTGATGATATGCATGGTTATTGTAAGCATAAAAGCCGGGCGACGAGACTGATGTGCCTCCTTGCTGAGGTGATGATGATCCAATGGAGGATTTCAAGCCAGGTGAACGGTTACCAATCAAGGGCGATTCATTCGCCAGCGTGCGGCCTGGAGTCACCGATTTACTGGATACAATGGATGGCGATCGACTTTCTGAAGATTTCGCACTCATTTGCCGAAGCACCGACGTAGGCAAGTTACCTGCAAACCTCGATGTGACGTTCTTTGGTTTATGTGCTGGGGTTGTATCTTTGTTTTCCGTTTCCTGGTTTTCCTGATTCGCCATTGTTTTATCAAGCGCAGGGGCAGGTCCAAAGCGAGGAGAAGGCGTGCCTTGCGAATAAGTTTCTTGTTTATCCTGCTTTGGTGACCGAATATGCATTTCTTTGGTCTGGTTTTCAATGTCGGCCAAGGTTAACGGACGACGGGAAGGCGAGCTTTTACCTGAAGTCGTCATGATAGGCTAAATAAAACCAGAACAGTTAAACACCCAGAGCCCAATGAATCGGCCGAATTGACAAATGCAAGGTTTTTTATACCTTTGGCTGCGACAAGATCTGAAGTACGCGATTGAAACCCATAGCATTCTCGGCAGGAGAAATTGATTGAGATTCTTGGGATGGCGACTTGGAGGCACCCAAGCTTCTCAACACATCTTCTTCCGATAATGCGCGGACGGTAGGACTGCCACCTTGGCGCATGGAAGACATATCTGTGAGCGACGATTGCGATGAAGTCAGCGATGCAGAAGAACCTTTAAACAAGTCATTGAGCGTAATGGATTTGGGATTGGAAGGCGAATCAGCCGCTGGAGACATTTCATTGACAGGAGTGGCGGATGTGTTGGACGACGATTCTTCTCGTTTGGCAAAGAACTTTGCAAACCGTGAACCTCCCTTGGCCGGCATAGGTGATAAATTACTGTCAAAGAAAGAATCCACCAATCCGTCACTGGGAGGAGTGGCGAACGGTGCCTCCAATGGAGCACTGCTAAACACTTGATCGACTGCATCAATGGCTAAGTGATACGCACACAAAAACATGTTTAGTACAAAAGTTGAACCAGATGACGATATGGTAATGGACTCGACCGGACTTACGTTTTTGTGGCATTGACGGGGACGTCTTTCCCGCTTCATCAAGATCTCGTTTTTTCATACTGGACTTCCATGCTTCCAGATCATTCGCAAATTTCGCCTGCGCATCATCTTCTTCCAGGGTTGTTGCTTGTCCTTTGGTTTCATCTTCCTCCGCTTCTGGACTGTAATCCAGCCATTCCGGAACTCGCTCTGAATCGTTGTAGCTACCTTGTCCATGTGGTCTATTTCCGCGCATTGGCGCATCACGCGAGTCTAGAGACAAGTAATAAAAATAACATGACATTTAGATTAGAAACGACAACAATGACAAGAGCTGCGGGGCAAACATACATTCACGTCGACCTCTCGGGGTATCACCGTTCATCGATCGATCATTGAAACGATCATTCGGATGTCGCTTACTATTCAATTGAGAGGATGGGCCATGGGTCGATGTTCGTCGTTCACGGTCTCGATGAGGAAATCCTTTCTCGCCCACGTGAGAAGGACCTCGAAGTGGTCTATGTTCTTTGAGTCCGTAATCTCTATTCCGAGACTCGTCGGTCTATGGGACCAAAAGTGAGTTAACAAGAAAGATTCTCCCCCTCTCTCCCCTCCCCCCCCCCAAAAAAAAAGAACTGGCATTTGAACATTCCCCGCCCAACCCTTCTGATGTCGACTTACCTGACGATGTCTTGCGAACGAAGAGGAAGATGTGTATGAAGGTTTGGAGAGAGCGTTATCTTCTGAACGTTTCAAGCCTCCATAGAGTGAGGAAGCAAAATTGGTTTTGGGTGGACCGAGAACGATACTTTTGTCTGGTAATGAAAAGGAATGACGTTGATGTTGTTTTAGTGATTTTTGTTCGGCGCGTTCCCAGTAGCCTGGGAAATCCATTTCGAAACGTAGATGCAGGGTTCATTGCCAATTACCTATTGCACGAGGAATGACGGCTCCGTTCAAAATAGCTTTGTTTGCACTGCTAGGGTCCTCACTAAAAGGGTGTGAGCATCAATCAACGTAAAACCAGCTTTTTTTTTTTTTTAATGGTGCCAAAATGCTGGACTAAGTACCCAAACCAAACTGAAAGCGACGGCATGGTGTCTGGCTTGCTGACAAGTGGACTGTCGTGCAGAGAGAGAAGCATGTCCTTTGAGTATCGTATCACTGGCGCATGATTAGAAAGACTGGTGGAAGCCGCAGAGCCGGACGGTGAAGGTGTGCTTGTATGACTGGCCTCCTCGTGGTCGGACATGATCACAGATGGATAAAATCAAGTAAAGATTGAGACAAATAGACTTGCAGGTAAGAAGAAAAAGAAGAAGAAAGAGTTGACGGTGGTGTTATTGAGTTGAAGGTGCGTTTTTCTAAGGTTTTTCTCGTAAAAAAACTTGTAATATTGAGAAAAAGGGAAGAAGAAAGAGGCAAAAAAAAGTAGCTTATTTTTCCAAGCAGTGGTTTTTTTTCCGCAGAGACCAGACCCCACTGAAAGAAATTCGATTTTTTTTTTCTCTCATTATGGGTCAGCGAATCCCACCCAAAAGCAATACAAAGTCCGTTCACCCACCACCCAACTCGTATTAATATTCTTTCCTCATTTTTATCCCTCATTATCCACTCATCGCCCTCTATCATCCTGCTTATAATATATATATATATATATACACCACGGCGTATCATTCCTGCAATTAACTATGAACGTTATACGATGATTTGGGTAAGCCACTCTTGTTACGTGACGCTCATAAAGAAAAATTGCATCACTTATAAACTGCAACATGGCTACTTTTTTAATGCAATCGAGTAAGTAATTAACAAAAACAACTACGAGAGCCAATGTTCATATATGAGTCGGTCAATGTCTGCCCTCGTAAAGAGCCTCGAATGTTGTTAACAAAAAACCCATGAATGAGTCGCTGGTTTGACAATAAACCATAGAAGAGATTACAGTGTTGATTCTGTTTATCTCATAAGCTAAAGATTTATAATGGTAAAAGACCAATATAAAATTTATAAGAATTCTTTTATAAGAATCATCGTTCTACAGTATCAATTCCTCCTTATCAGATGATCATGTGTGCTAAATGCCTTATTGGACATGCCTGTATTAGAGTTTTCATACTAGCTATATTTGGATATAAGAAAATACGGCTTTTTTACAACACATTGTACGATGACGCCGTATAACACCATATCCTCTTTTTTTTTTGTTGCTGGACGCATGGGCGATCAATTTTTTTACCAACACCTTTTCTGGAAAAGACGGGCTTTGAAATGAATTTCAATGTTATTGGTTGCTTGGTTTTTTGTCGCACAAAAAACTTTCCATCACAGCTTTTTCAAGCTGAATACATCACGTGCATTTCTGGGTCAACCTCGGCTCCATTCATCCCGGGCTCCGTTGGTGTCCATTTCTTTTTGTATAACCACGCTTACCCGCAGCACACCGATTCTTTTTTCGCGTCCCTTAGCTTTTCACCATGCCAGGTCCTACTACTGTTGCCGTTGTTGGCGGTGGCATTTCTGGTCTTTCCGCTGCTTTTTATCTGTCAAAACTCGCACCTGCCACCACCAAGATTCTCCTCATTGAGGGCACTAATCGCGTTGGAGGTTGGATTCGCAGTCGTCGTATAGCGCCCGGTCACTACTCGTCGCCACCTTTCAGGGAAGCCCACGAGAAAGACGACAATGCAATTCTGGTTGAAGCAGGTCCTCGATCGTTACGACCAGGAGGTCCCGCCGGAGCTATTATGCTGGAAATGGTTTGTTTATGCCCTATTTTTATGCATTATTACAATCCGTCTTGTTTTTTTACTTATGCCCAAAGGACCGCTATTTTAGATTCGTGATCTCGGCCTAAAAGATGCATTATTATATGTCCCAAAAACGCATCCTTCGGCAAAACACCGCTACATCTATTACGATGGGAAAATTAATACTTTACCAAGCTCTCTTTCGGAATTTCTGTTCAAAAGGCCTCCCATCTTCAAGTCGGTTATGTCAGCCGGCCTCTGTGAACCTTTTATCCCCAAAAAGACGTTTCCAGAAGGTCAAGATGACGATGAATCACTATATGACTTTATGGTCCGCCGTTTCAACAAACACTGCGCTCTCAACCTTATGGGTGCATTAGCCCATGGTGTTTATGCCGGTGATGTAAAGCAACTGTCTTTGAAATCGACTTTTCGTGTGTTGTACGAAGCGGAAAGAGCCAAAGGAAGCGTTGTCCGCGGCATGGCATCTGGGGCTGGAAAATCCTACAGTTTTCGAGAAAGAGGAATGGCGGCCCGTGCTCGACAAGAGGACCCAGAATGGTTTGCTTCCACTGAAGACATGAGTGTCATTGGACTCAAAGATGGTATGGAATCCGTGACACTGCAGCTTCGGGCTTGGCTAGAGAATCAGGGGAACGTGCAGATTATTACCGATGAACCTGTGCAGCAAATTTCCCGCAGCGACAACGATAAAGAAATCAAGGTAAAACGCACCGCCATTGACCAATCACCCCCACTCGGTGACACGAAATGAAGTTAGAGGGGGGTTTTCAACCCAGGAACTGATTTCGTTCCTCGCAAATTTCATTAGATCACAACGACAAAATCCGAATTTTATGCTGAGCATGCCATTGCGGCTGTACCTTCCATTGGTCTGGACAAGTTGTTGGCACCGGGGGAAATCCCTTTTTTGGCACATAATCCGTCGGCTGATGTGGCGGTTGTCAATGTAGCCTATCCTGCCGACATTCCATTCTCGTTTGATGGTTTTGGTTTCCTCACGCCACACAAAGATTCCAAATCGAAAATACCCGTGCCTGGCACGTTGGGTGTCATTTTTGACTCAAATGCTCTTCCTGGTCAAGATCCACACCGCTCAGATGTGATCAAGTTCACAGCCATGATCGGTGGTTCAGATTACAATGAAGCGTTTCAAGTTCCTATTACGCAGCTTGATCCAAGCGCGGCCTATGATCATACGCTCAACATCATGAAGTCTTTCCTCGGCATTGATACTCAACCTACCCATTCCATGGTCAATCTGCTTCCTCGCTGTATTCCACAGTATCTGGTGGGTCATGAACGACGCTTAACTGCCATGCATCAAGCTCTTCAGCAGCATTACGGTCATCTAATGAGTGTCACTGGTGCAAGTTATTTGGGGGTCAGTGTGCCCGATTGCATTAAAAATAGCCGAGCGCTTGTGGAGGAATTACTTGTATCAGGTGCATTGGGCACCAAAGACAAGATTGTCACCGGCCTTGGATCCGCGGTCGAAGGCAAAAGTCGTCAAGAAATGGTAGACAGTTCTCGCATAAGCAAAAGTCATGTTGATATTTTAATGAAGGCATAAATATACAAATAAAAAAAAGGTAGAAATATACAAGGTATGTTTAAATCAATGTAAAATCTCAAAAATATAATAATTTACATAAAATGTGAAGATTGAAAGCTGTGGGTTTCTTTTTTTTATACGTTTAGCAGCTGTATGCTGGTGGCGGAGGATGGGTCGCTGCTAAAGACGGTGACAAGTGTTGACTTTGGAAAGCTGGTGCTTGCCTAAGGGCTTCACCGTAGCTTGGCAGTTCATCTTGTAACCAAGGTGCAGCCGAGTTGAGACTGGCCACGGATCGTCTTCTGGAAACCGATGCCGATGTGATCATTTCAAGATATTCCTTGAAAGCGTTCTGCCGTGCACGATCGGCCTTGGAAAACTTGAGTTGCACGATGTAGGTCTCTTGTTGGCATGTGGTAATCCGCAGTTGCATGGCTTTACTCTTTGGTGATTCCCATTTCAGCGATGCTAGGTTGAACAAGTCGACCTGAAAACTGAACACTGATGACGACTCATGGTAACTGTGACGTCGGGATGCCGAATACAGATTCGGTTGAACCAAAAGGACTAGACGTTTATCCGTCAAATGAACGGACGCATTTTCGAGCTTGTACCGCCTTCCATCATCGGCATGAATTACCGCTGAAATTGGGTCATGGTTGAAATAGAAGCTCTCAGGATTGTCAGGAGCAGGAGTGCGACGAAAGCCGGTGGTCGGACCAGAATCAGCCGAAGTAATGATAATTTGAGTGTTATTAACAGATGCCATTGAAATTGGTTGTAAAGTTAAGTAAAGAGTTGTATGAAAAGAAAAAGAAGGGTAAAATATAAAAAAATAGAAAGGAACGTTCTATTATATGAAAATGCAAGCCAATTAAATGAAACTCAGACAGACACTGTGGCAAGTCAGCCTCGGTAAGAAATCTCGTATGATTGGCAGGATTTTAACATAAACTTTGCAGTTATTTTGGGAATGCTACTGCCCAACACCGACACTTTTTGCTGGAAACTACGGTTTTGGTTTATCCTTCCTAAAACTATCGTATCATTTTTAGTAATCATTCACAACTTTTTCGATCGAATTATTGTGGTCCAATGCGGTATAGTGGATAGATATCGCAACGGCCTAACCAAGCTCTTGTTTGCTCTTGATGTCATTTTCCGGGGCTCATACATCAATGTTTCACTTATGTCAACTGGTTTGGTGAATAGAAATTTCTCGGACGGTTTCAGATTTCCATTAGCTTTAACTCAGAATCGCGCTTGTGCCTGGTAGTGATGTTATGGATTGATCAAATAAACATGACCAAATGCAAGTAACCAAGAGCTACCAAAGCAGGAAATCAAAGTTCTTGACATGCATGAGTGGTGTTTGCTAACACATGATCTCACGTTGGCACAGCCTGATAACTACGGACAAATTGACTCGAAAAAAAATTTCCATTAATCTCGGAACGTATTTATGACTCTATCACTGAGAGCGTTAAAGAGAAATCGGAATTGAATTCCAAGGTGCTGAAACCATTTTCGTATCGCAAATCAAATGGTTTCTTTTGGTGCATAAACTTTTCAACGTTTAGGCGGAAATACGGCAGGCACTTGTACTTACGTATTCATTTCTCTTTACTTACCATCTGCTGTTGTGTGATGACAATCATTATTTCCCGGTATGAGCAATTAAGATTTTACTAGGAACATCATGTGCTTGTTATGGCGTTGCCAAAGCCAGAATAAGACAAAATTCCATGCACAGCAAGTCCTGATGCTGTTCATGTGACAGAAGAGTTGATTTTTCACCACCACTTATTTACGAACCAAAATGTGCTTTTTTATTTACACTTTTTCCTAAAAAAGCTTGTCATTGTTCATCTCTAGCGGATGACAGCATCCGCGATTGCCATAAATTGCACCAATCATCCCCTCCTCATCATTCTCGACGACCTATGCTTATAATGCTGCTCCGACGCAAGAGACAACATAAAACGATGTGTATGTGGCGATGCATTGATATGGCAGAAACTTCCCTTTTCATACATTTGATACAGCAAATGTAATGCTGCTGTAAACAAGTGGAAATTGTCTTGAGTTTAGATGGGTGATCAATGTTTTCGTTCAATTTCATCAAAGTTTCCAAGCAAAAAATGAAGGGTGCGATTCCGTTACCTGGAACGTTGCTGTGACAATTCTGCTTCACAGGAACAATGGTTTGAGACTAAAAATAATCCCTTGTCACCTTCGTTATGAAATGATTGTAATTACGAAACCTGGAGCCCGAGTATGTTTTTGCAAAGCAACAAAAAAGTAAATGAAAGCTTAATTTTGAACAATGCATTTGTAAATATGGACATAATGACAGGTGGACAACATTCTTCCTCCTGGCAACAAAGAAACCAACTTCTTGTCGGCAACCCGTTACTTGGCAATAGTTGAGAAAAAAAAAGTATAAATGAGACTGACTTGAGCTATTTGTAACTCTTCAAACTGTCAGAATCTCCATCACGATGAAACTTTATTTTACCCCCACATTATCTCTGGTGCTGTCGCCAATGATACCCACAATCGAGCGACCTGCGACGTGCGAACTTTGTGGCCAATGGATGCCACGACATAATGTCAGTAGATATACACTTGAGATCACAAGACTAGTTCCTCACCACCAAACAATTTTTAGCCTAACTGCCCTCGCAACGGTGTTCATCCGTCTCAGTGGTTCATACCACAATCTCAGCAGAATTCTATCAAAGAGACAGCCGAATGCTAATGGAATAGGCTACTCACCATTTATCAAGCAAAAGTTTACTGTAAAGACATGTCAACTTGCCTATAAAATATTCAAGAGAAAATTGCCATCCACCCGTTCCTCTTGATTAGATCGTATTCTGTACCTTCTGCAATTAGATCCTTCTGAAAACCTTACCAAATAGGTTTTTATTAAAAAAGTTTATTTCTGATTCAACGACATCAAATCTTTGTAACGAGTACAGGTCACACACCAGTTGAAGACTTGTCAACCCCGGTATTCAACACTGATCGCGGTAAAAAGGTTGATTGAATAAATATGTTGTGGTGTTTCTTTTGAAGACGGGGATTGGTAGAATAACATTATTTTAATTGACACGTACACATACATCAAGAATTCTCCGTCACATATGCGTTAATGAAGCGGTTTTTCTGGGAGAGACTTTGGCATGCGTACAAGAATACATATACAGTATAAAACCGGCCTGCAACACTTTCTTCGAAAAAATTGAATGGCAAGAGGAGCCATTGTAATGAGATGTCATTTGAAAATCATACAGTGTTGACTATGCTAGCAGAGGTTGCCATTACATAAATCTTTTTTACTTTTTCTTTTTCGGATTTCTGCTTGAGTTTTACATATAAACAAGATATTAGCGGCGTATGAACATATAATGTAGGCACTCCATGATATGATGATAATGAGGAGGATATACAGAGAGAGAGAGAGAATACAGTATCTCTTCTAGCAGGAGTCCGGAGAGAACGGGATATCATTGGTCCACTTTGGGCGCTTTTTCTTTTTGTATCGTCCCATTCTCGTTCTCTTTGTTTGCTTGTCCGTTTGGTTTCTTTCCTCTTGTTTTTTCCTGATAGATCGAATTGGCTTGCCCAGTATAAGTTTTGGTTTTTTTTTTTGCGGGGAGATAACAGGCATCAAAGGTAAAATTATTTTCTTGCAGTGGGAATTGGCGTTGTAGTGGATTGCTTTTTTCGCATGACAGGTGATTTTGCTTCCGGAGCCGAATCTTTCCGTTTTCCTATCACTTGTTGGTAAGTGCCTTTGCTGTTGGATCGGCCACGTGTGCCGGATTGTCGAGATTTCTTACGCATCACAGGGCTCTGACCAAACTGATCATTTGCTTGAGCGTGTGCTTGTTGCGGCGTAAATTGCGATTTTTGTTGCGACGGGTATCCTGCTTGTTGTGAATAGGCAGTTTGGCCAGCTCGTGCCTGTTGTTGGGGAGTCAATTGAGGTGTTTGTGGCGCTTGATTTCCGCCTTGCTGTTGTGGCTGTTGCTGCTGTTGTGGCTGTTGCTGTTGCTGTTGCTGCTGCTGCTGCTGCTGTTGAAAGATCATCACTCGTTGTTGCTGTTGCTGCGGTGGCTGTTGTGATTGATTCGATGACGGTTGTGATGCTTGTTGTTGAGGGAAATTGGATGCCTGTAGTTGCTGCTGTGATTGAAGAGAAGGATTGGGATGAACTATAGGACTCTGTTGCGCAGATGAAACGGACGGTTGCGATGACGGCGCCGGCTGCTGTTGCTGTTGTTGTAATAACTGTTGTTGTTGTAGCAACTGTTGTTGCTGCAATAGCTGCTGCTGTTGTTGTTGTCGAAGCAGTTGCGCATGATGCTGTTGCATCTGCATAGCAGCTTGTTGAAATTGAAGCGATTGCGGGGTTGTCCGTGGATTGCTCTGTGTTTTTACAACGGGTGGTGGCGGAGTGCTCACGGCTCGATTTTGTCCCTGTTCTTGTTTTACAGTCATGACTAGATAGCTATTTAATATCGACCCATTTTTAACCACACAAATTCCAATTATTCATTTACCATCAGTTTCAGAAGCCACCTGATTAAGTCGTTGTTGGTAAGTGTGGGCGATGGCGGCCAAACTTTCTACATAAGCAATTCCCATCATGATTTTCTCTCAGTATCGAATTCCCCAAATAATAAACCGTCCATCAAGCTTTTATACCTCGTCCTCCGGTTCCAGTAACATGCGAATGAAAAATAACGTCGCCAAGGTCGGACATCACATTGGCCATCTGCATCAGAACAATGAGTCTCTTCCTTACCCACTGATCCATCATATCCTATCGATATCCTACCTCCAACATGTGAAAAACTCGGGGTGGAAGACCCCAAGGATTGACAGGAGATGGCTTCAACACAGGTGTTGTGGATGATTCGAGATCGGAGGCGACTTGGCCACGAGACACATATTCATTATGATCCTGACACGTAAAGTCCAAATGTTCAATCTTCCATACGCCGTCCTGAGTCATTGTGAACTGAACCCACAGATGCCCGGTTGAGAACACCTGTAACCATCGTCAGAGAACGAAATTTCAAAATCCCTTCTCTATAATTTACGATACTTTACCACGGTACCATTCTCATAATGATGAATCAGGCTAGCGCGAGGACACTCTACATTCATGACACCGTGGGGCATGATAAATTCCATCGTTTGCTCGAGTGTCAACTGAATTGCATTGGCATTGCACTGATATTGGGTGTGAAAAAACCGAGCCATCAACACCTGGCTCACCTCTGTAATAAATTCTTGGTTTTAGCTTGTTGTGATCTCATGAGAACTGGCCGATGGGAAGCATATCCTAAACAATGCAACCAAAAAAAAAAAGCAATTCCTTACCGTAGGGCTGTCGAGCACCTGATTCTCGATTCCAGAGTCCCATTTTAAGTGTACTTGTCCTTGTAAAGAATTCATCCACAAAACTATCCCAAAATACACGATCCGCTGCCTGTGGTAATCATCCCGAACGAGGAAACAAGAAGGAAAGAAAGAGGGGAAAAAAAGGCAACACCCACACCGTTAATCATTATATCTTTCCTTCACGAAGGGGTGGGTCAAAGTTACCTGATCACCAGGATTGAGTTGCTCGGCAAATTGGAGTAGGCGAAGCACAGCTTGGCCCATGGACGGCGTTCTGAGTGATGAATCGTTAAAAAGAGTGACCATTAAAGAAAAACTCTACAGTTGAATCATCGATAGCCTTCGATGTTACCTTTGGGTTGGCGTTGATGCAGCGAGTACTTTAGGTGCTCCAGATGGCATGACCTGATGGCCATTGGAAACCGCAGATACAGCCGGTGAGACTTGTCCTGTCATGACGGGAGTGGGAGGCAAAGCAGCGGCTCGTACGGCTTGCAAATATTGTCGTTGTCTGAACAATGCTTGTGCCTGAGCTTGGGCTTGGGCCTGTCCTTGCATTTTTACTTGAGCTTGGCCATGAATCTGGGCTGGGATAGGTTGTTGTTGTGGTGGCGGTTGTGGGGTCTGAATAGGCTGTGGTTGGGAGGGTGTTTGTTGCGATGGTGGTGGTGGTGCTCGCTCGGATGACGTCTGTGGTGTGGATTGCTGCTGAGGTGTTGCCACCAAAGGGGCTTTACCAGAAGACATCACAAGAACCAAAGGGAAATGGGACCTCAAAAGGAGGGGAGGGAAAAAAGAAGGCCAAAGAATCCGAATTACAACGCTTATAGTTCCGTTGTCCCTCCTGAATTGTGATAAAGCCAATCAACTGCTCCCAGGAGTTTGCAGTCGGATTGTTGTGACATCAATGATTCAAACGCCGGCATTTCATGGCTCGAATAAGCTACAGAAAAAGAAGATACAGTGGTTGATTCTAAAATCAAATCGATTGGTATTTCCTTTACAGCTGATGTGTTTTCTTATAGCAAAGAGCCGTTGGCTTTTTGGATATCATTAACAGCAGCAATGGTAACATGCAACTCGAAGGAATTTTTATCGCCGATTCCACGGGAAAAACTCTCTCACTTTTCTTTTTTTTTGGCATTGAATCTGAGCACCACGGAATGCCAAGCTCCCAATATCAAGGTCTATTGATGGTTCTGCGGGTCATTATTTGAAAATAGTAGCGTGAAGGATCATGTTACAATGAGTATAATATATTTATGACGAAGAGAGGGTTTTCACTGATCATCCACTGTTGTGGGGTTGCATGTTTTCCGTTATATGCTTGCTTTTGCTGAGGTGTGAAAATAATGGCTGTCTTTGGATTCCCGGACGAATCGGACCATCGCTCTTGCTGTGGTCCATTATCCCTCATAAAAAATTCTTCCTGACGTTCTAGTTGGCTCGTCATGGCTGCACTGAAAAAAAATTTGTCAAATATTGTCGATCGCGCCGCCTCGCTCACTTCCTTGTCACTTGGGCAACTGATCCTGTAGAGAAACCATGAAGGATTGGTATGAATAAGAACATTCGACATGAAGCGCGCTGCAAAATAATAAATAAACCTGCACCTAGCTTTCTCGAACAATGATCACGTTTTACATACTTGCTTGGCTACAGGGCCACTTCCTTCCTTTAACGATCGATTTGTATGCCCCATTTCTAACATCGCCCCGATGTTTGAAATCACAACCCTACGCTTTCTCTGTCCTTTGTATCCGTGCCACCAACCTGGATGGATAACGTCTTTAACAATAGATTTTAGAAAAAGGGTTCGTGTCCACTTTAAGGAATATACTTGCCAAACAATGTCTAACGATCACCAATTCTATCAGCTGGGTTCCTACGCCAAAGTAAAACGTGTGCCGCACTAGATCGTTTATAAATGATTGACTTCTCAAGCGCCAAGTACAGTATTATGATTATACCATATCTCATTCATAGTCCATTTTGCTCAGCGAAAGATATTTCGTTTGTCACAACTTAGTGTCCACATGAAGCGCAACGCTGCAAAGAACAAGTCGTAAGGATCTACTTTATGGTACACAATTCAATGCTTCCGTCCATTCGAATTACAGCATCTTTTTAACCATCGCACAAGATAACCATATTTCATCAAGGGACCACTAAATGCATTTCTCCTGAATCAAAAAGAATCTGAAAAGAAAAAAGATGGAAAAACCAACCGGTTCAAATGTTTTGTCATGCCTTCCTTTTTACTAAATTCTTTTCTATGAAGCAAACAAGGTTTACATTCAAGAATCAAATAATTAAGTTTTTTACTGCTGGGAGACGGTTCTCTTCTCCTCGGCACGCTGCTTGCGGCGTTCACGGAGAGCCTTGTTCTTGGCACGGAGAACTTCGGCTTGTTCGTTGAGGGTCTTGGCTCTCTGCTTCTCGGCCTTGGCCTTGTGGATGTATTCCATCAAGACACGCTTGTTCTTGAAACCGTTACCCTTGGACTTGAGGTACAAGGAGTGGTACAAGTGCTTGTCGATCTTGCCAGCCTCTCTGTACTTGCGCAACAAACGGCGGAGGACACGCATGCGGCGCATCCACAAAACCTGGCGGGACATACGGGCATCAGCAGTACCCTTTCTCTTACCGTGACCCATGTGGCGACCGAGACGCTTGGCAGCGTTGCGTTCACGGACACGGAAACGAGAGTGGCTGATTTCGGGCTTGCGAATGATCAAACCGTCCTTGACGAGCTTGCGAATGTTGGCACCTGTGTGGAATGGGCAAATATTAGATCACCACGTCAAATTGGTTTTTCACATTGATCCCCCATTGTCGCCTGTTGTTTTACGCTACTTACGGGAGTTGGCGTTGCCAATCTCGTTGACCTCATTGGGATCGAGCCAGATCTTTCTCTCACCGCACTTGAGCACGGAGGCAGCCAAACGCTTTTGAGTTGTCAAGTTGACCCTATAAAAATAAGCAGTTCAGTCACGTCATGTTCTTGTCATGCCACAATTCCCAACCGTCTTCTTTTTCTGCAACTCGACGCTTCCTTGTTACAATATTAAAACTATCAAATCTCGGCATTGTTTTGCTTCTAGTCACGCCATGTAGTATAAAGATGTACAAGCACTTTGATACTAGGGATGATGAGAATCATCTCGATCGCCCCATTGAAATGGCCGTGACGTATTGTTTTCTAATCTAGCCCTAACATCTCTCTATTTCTCTCACTCTCTCTTTACAGGCTTTTCGAAATAACAACTCACATGTTAACAGGTGCCGATTAATCCAGGCGAATAAAAAAGAGGACGATATGAGGTATGCCCACAGCTCATGGATATTCCCAAAATTTTTTCTTGTATCACGTCACTCGCAAGCCACCAATTTTTTTTCTTAAAAAAAAAAATGGTTCCCAGACGTGGGGGGCGCTTGGTGAGTGTTTCTTTGACCATGGAAATTGTCAAGAAATATGCACCGTGATACAGTGACAGTGGTCAGACTTGGCTAAAGAAGTGTACATTGACGGTATATGCAAAAAAGCTGGTGGCTGGTTTTTATAGTGTAGTTCACTGAACAAAGTGAGAACGACACTTTTCGATTTGTGCAACCCAAAACGAAACGAAAATACGAAACCATCGATCATCAGTGGAGGGAAGAGACTATCGCCTCGTCTTTTTTTTTCATTGTTGTAATGTTTTTAAGAACTGCAATTGTCATGATGATGTGATAGCAACGTTGACTTCCTTTTTGTACTTTTGTTTTTCTTTCCTTATTCACCATGACTACTCGATTGGACAGTTTTTCTCATACTTTTTCTCTTGCTCCAACACTTGTGTCTTTGTCCAGTGGATACATCAGCACCAAAGAAAAAGGATTGATAGCGGCATAAGGGAGGATGAACTAGAGCTTGGTTGAGTTTTTTGGTGGCACAGAACAAAAATTCTGAGAATACCCCCCATTTCGTCTCTACTGAAAATCAAGTACAAAAATAAAACAAAAAAAAAGAGGACTCTCCACCTTGAAACTTAGTCAGATCGAGATATTTTTCTCCGCAATGCGGTTTCCCACTGTCCAACAAAATTGCACTCATCTTTATCTTGTCGTTGAAGACTATGGTGTTATCGGGTGGAAAAGAGTGGGATCTCTCTCGTTGTTGAAAGGTATATGTTTCAGCGATATGCTGGTTTTATATACCGTGAACTATATTAGGGTTGTGTAACTTTGGAAAATGGGCTTGCTGTGGGTATTCCCGCGAATTTTTGGGGGGTTAGAATTCACAGATGGAAAATAGATGGAAATGCAATCCGTGGATAAACGATATCCTACTGAGCGATATTTCGTCGAATGAAATCATGACAGAAATGTGGAGTTGAAGACGTCGGCAGTAGTAAAATAGTGACAGAAAGAAGAAGCCTGGGGGGAACCGCAAATTGTTTGGGAAGCAAGGGAAAAAAAGCTTATTTGTACATTTGTATATAATTTTTTTTTCTTGTTCTCCTTGTCTTATTTCCCTTCCTTTTTTCCTCTTATCTCTCACACATTTATGAATAACCTCTCTCAACTACCAACCGGTCATCCACCGCCTATGACCAATCGAATCAATAATCGGGTGCCCAATATAATATCCAATAATCATCCTAACGAAGAAGATGACTCGGATGATGATAGCAAGCCGGAAAAACGCTCGGGACGACGAAAGATCAAGATCGAGTTTATTGAAGACAAATCGAGACGTCACATCACATTCTCTAAACGGAAAGCTGGCATAATGAAAAAAGTAAGTATGCCAATACAAAAGGATAAGGAAAGAAAAAGTAAGATGGGTTGGCAGTCTGGATGGCGTTTTTGGCTTTTTTCTTGGTGCACAATGACTGATGGAATCCTGTGTTTAGGCGTATGAACTGAGTACACTAACGGGAACACAAGTATTGTTACTGGTGGTATCGGAAACTGGACTTGTTTATACATTCACGACGCCCAAGTTGCAACCACTGGTTACCAAACCTGAAGGCAAGAATCTTATCCAAGCTTGTTTAAATGCACCCGACACCCCACCTACAGACGTAATTTCGGTAATATGACAAATTATGAAACCATCATCTGCATGGCAACATGATATCTAAAAAGAACTCAATGTTTCTAGCCGCGCCCCACCCATTCAAACCACACGACCAAAAGTAACACAACAGCATCTGAGCCTGTGGGTAAATCCCTGTATAACCAAGATATGTATGATAGAAAGGTGAGTCGATTCTTTTTGCGCTATCCTATCGTCATCTTTTTTTCTTTCTTCTGCAAACAGCTAACTAATTTACTTTTTATTGCCGTCAGCGTCAATCCAGTGAAAATTCTGTTGCAGGGTATGGCGGTGTCCCCATCCCGAACTATCCACAACCGCAGCCATCCTACGAACCAGCAAATTATATGAATCAACAGGGTGTGGGTGCTTATCCTGCTTACAGCACCGCTCAGCCAACCAGTTCGGCGTATTATCCTTCCTCCACCAATCAAGGCCATCCGCAGTATATGCCGCAGGGCGGCAATCCCAATTATTGGGCGCAGCAAAAAAAATAGTAGTATGATCTTTATCATTTATATTCTTACATCTTCTCAAGCGAAACACAAGACAGAAGAAAAGGAATAAAGGATTAATCGGATCCCTTATGTGTTTGTTTTTGTTTTTATCAAACGTGTACTTTTTTCTGGCTTGCCTTGATGGCGACGTTCGGACCAGAATCGTGCTGTGGTCTTTGCTTTTTGGCGGACATTCAATATCCGCCCCGTCTCGGTCATAGTCATGAAAAGGATAGGTCATTGGCATTGGATCTTGATTTGGTGTCTGGAAAAGAAATATTGAAATAATAAAATGCAATACAACCGTTACCAAAAACAACTTTTCGCATGTGACAGATCAAACTTGACAAGTCTTGGTCCGTCCGGGGAAGAAAAAAGATCACACAGCGAAGCTTCAAATTCGTCACAGGGCACTTGTTGGATAAAAAATAAAAAATTGCGCAAAGAAAATTGCAACGGAATGATGAAAAATATGACAGTTCTAAAATAAAAATGTCAAACAATAAGGTAGCCCATGTTTACCCATTCATGTCAAATTAGGAAAACATTGACATAGATGGCATTCTATCGTCGTAAAGAAAAAAAGGAAATAGCGAAGATCATTAAAAATGGAGTTAGAATCCTGTCAAACTATCTGATCTTTACTAACGGTGTCACCTACCATAATAGCTACAGACAATCATGCTTTATAAGAAGACGTTTCCGGTAGTAGCAAAATTATCTGTTTCCGTAACGGATGCCATGGTGCACCCAGTATCTATGTTGTCTCATTTTTTCTTTCTTTTTTTTTTTCTCACCACACCATTCACCGCAGTGGCCTCATCTGTGCAAAAACTTCTCATATCGCCTGCAAAGGTTGCCTGTGTTGTGCATTGGCAGTAATCTACAACAGAAATACCTCGGAAAAATCGCCAAGTATTGGACGATGATGAATAAGTGCTGTTAAGCAGGAAAAACGCTTCAATGAGAACATTAGCAGCATGAAATTTATAGATGTATTTCATGCTGTCGATTGCTCGCAACTGCGAAATACACACAACCACGAAAAATAGATCCTTAATTCCTATAGATTGTTAAGGTACATAATCATGTAGCAAAGAATAAGAAGGCACCCAAAACTAAGAGTTTCTATCTCGTAAAGTTCTAGACAGCATAACACTACAACTTCCCTATAATGGTAAGTTCATATAACCCGCGATCCAGATTTAATTAGCACAAATATCAAATTCTCGAAAAGAAGCCATTTCGGGAAGAAAAATCAGTTGTTACCCAGTAGATGATCGCTTTTTAACACCTTTTCGACCAAGCAATTCTGTTGTAGTCCATATTTTCTGAAAAGGGTATTATCATTTAATGGTCATGACAGTGAATCCAAAATTGTCCTATCGCGATGAGCACTAAAAATAGCTAGACCTGATAATGGGACGATAAAGGAGAAGGATAGGCAGACGTGTATCAAGTAAGCACACTTTAACAGATTTATGGTTCGCTTTCCAACCCCAAGTTATGTTTGCTATATTTGCTCGATAAAACTGTTCCTAATTTTCCTCGGCTATTCTAGTGAGCTGGATGCATGAGGAAATCGAGAATCTGCATTTTGAACTTGGAGCGCGGTGCATGAAAAAAAAAGTGTGTGACTTGATATTACTGGCCACAATGAGCTGGTATGAAATACCTATCTAGGCCGTTCTTTTTTTTTTTCTGCCGTTCTCCTTACAACACAGACTCTGTGCACTTGAAACTTTGCAAATGGCTTCCCATGCTCATTCCCAAGGTCCCTTTGGTGATCCAGAGAATCCTTTTCAGGATCCATCCATAACCTCGGCTCTTAATTCCACTCAACACGACCAGACTTTTCATCTCGATGCCGATTCTGGCCACAAAGACCATCAGGATTTCTCAGGCACATCTTACCAGCAATACAACGAGGCCACCGACCCTTTTTCATCGGCTTACGATCAGAAAACGCTGGTTTCTCCAGCAACGGAAGGTCTCGGAACCCCACGTTCAACTCCCGATTTACAGGCAAAGGAAGAAGCACTGCGACAACGAGAACGTGAGTTAGCTGAGCGTGAACGTGCGCTGGAAGCGCGACAACAGCAGCAGTCCTCTGGAAGGGCTATTAACAACTTTCCTCCATGTTTCCCCTTCATGTACCTTAATATTTCGGTGGAAATTCCCTTACAGCATCAATGGATCGTGTGGTGGGCTTATCGCGAATGGTTACTGTTTGAGGTTACACTTGTTTTGAATTTCATCGCATGCCTCTGCGTTCTGTTTAAGCATCCAGCATCGGTCCAGAGTGCTCCCACTGATCTCGGCGTCGCTTTAACCGAAATGTTTACACACACGATTGCCAGCTTTTTCTTATGGTATCGACCGGTCTACAATGCTTACATGAAAGAAAGCTCCCTGTACTATTGTAAGTTGGCCGATGTGGATCGCATTATGTCCAGTAAAAATCAGAAACTCACTCACTTTTTTTACAGTCTTCTTCTTTATCTTTAATGGATTTCACATCCTCTATACTTTCTACAAGCTTGTTGGTATTCCGTCCACGTAAGTCTCTTTGAAATGCAACTGTAGATGTTAAATTTATGGTCATGGTTATTGATATATCTGTGTTCTAGGGGTGGAGCGGGACTCATCCTATTGGTGGCCTTGTTCTCCGACGGTTATATCCTTCCAGGGATTTTGACTCTGTTGGCGACAATTGGCTGGTTCGTGATGGGATTGTTGGCCATTTATGTCTACAAAAAGACATACGACCACTACAAGGAAGCTGGTCACACCTTTAAAGAAGCGAAAACCGACGCACTCGTACATATGGGTAAATCAGACACCGTACGTCAAGCAGCTTGGAATAGCACCTTCAATAGATCGTAGTCTCTTGTATGACTGTATAACGGTTGAAATACCATCATAATGATATCAAATTATAAATATTATCTCTGTCGCACTCACTTTCTGATAGTATAGCAAGCAATAGCGGCATGGAATGCTGTACGCAGGTCCCGGATGGATAGATGAGGGATCGTAAATTTTAATCAAACGTTGAAAAAATAAGCTTAAATAGAAACATCCGCAATACAAGCCATTCCTGCATAAAAGCAACAGGAAAAAAATATAATGATGGGTTGAATGAAACAAAGCGAAATTACAAGGAGAAATCAAAAGCGGTGGGCAGCCAGTTGCGTGATCGCGAACAAAGGATCAAATTAATAGTCTTGGCCATACCAAGGGCAATTGCCGAAGACAGCAGCACTGGCCGGGGTATCTTTCACGCATCGGAAACCAATCGTAGCCGATCGATCAATGGAAGGTGCCATCAACAGATACTTGCCATGCTCAGTATTTTTATAGGCCTAAAATATTAATAGATGAGCAAAAAGAATAGCATAGTGTTTCGAAACAAATGGAAAAAAAGTAGCGGTAACGTAGCGTACCTGGGGGAAGTAGCGATCGCTGTGTTGTGGTTTGTAGTACGAGCCACCACGAATAATAGCTGGATGCAAATATACATTGATAAGCGTTTCATCTACATGCCTTACAGCTGTCTGAAAGTAGGCTTACCTGCACGTGTATGTTCGTCCAAGTAAACATCGGTCCACTGCCATACATTGCCCACAAGGTCGTAGACTCCGAAAAGTGATCGGCCCTGTGGATATGCATCTACGTCGGCGGGAGCGTGGTCTGGATAAAGCCGGCCACGACCACTGTAAGGAATGGGGACCTTGGAATCATCCCAGTGATCACCCCACGGATAAGTGCGATATTCAACGCCAGCTTGAGCGACATATTGCCATTCCCACTCATGTGGTAAGCTAGATAATCAGACAAAAAATAAAAATAAAAAGATGAATCAAAGCTTCTTTTTGTTTTCTTGAATATTTCACACAACTTACCGTTTGCCTGCCCAGGCAGCATAGGCACGTGCGTCTTCAAGAGAAACATGAACCACGGGTTTCTTTGCAGAGCCAACGGGGTAACATCCTTCAATCCAGTGTTTCAGGAAATTTGTAGAATCAGCAGGCTGATAATGCGTAGCATCCAGGAATTCTTTGAACTGCTCCTCTGTGACAGGGTAAGCGTCCATGAAAAATGGGCGGATTTTCATCTGATAAGTGGCATGCACGCGGGATGCCTCGTATCTAATAAAAAAAATTGGTTTCAATTCTTGTATTCAGTTCAATGTCACTGCTTGCTACTTACTCCCAAGGATATTTGATGTCAGCGCTAGAATAATAAGTCATCATTATGAGTAACTAGGATACAATGTCAATATCATCATGTAACACTTACCCTGGATATTCAAGTCCTGAAAAAAATTGAAAGAAAAAGATTTTGTGATGAGCGCGCATGTTCCCTTTTTGGTTGGATCTGTTGTTTCTTTTTTTACCTGGTGGATGAGCGCCTCGGCCAGAGACTGTGAAATTGTAGAGATCACCATCGATGCGAACCATTCCCAGAGGTGTTTCGTTAGCAACCGGGGACACCTGGATTTCGTCAATTTCTTGCCACAAGACCGAGTTCGAGATGGGATAACGGTACAAGGGGATCTTGGAACGGCGACGCATAAAGAACAACAAGTCGTTGACACCATCGGGGAGTTGGGCAATGTCCGGAGTGGCAAAGATGCATCCGTAACCGCGTGGTTCAATATCGAAACTCAAAGTCGCCAAACCGTCGACAATGTTGGTGGGGAAGATTTCCTCGCCACGCCACACGTCGTAGAATTGCCAGCCAATTTGGTAACCTACAACGATCTGATGACCGACGGCGGGAAGAGGGCTACGGTTGACAAAGGTCCACAGCACTTGGTTGGCGGTCGTCGACGAGACCCATCGGCTGCCAAAAACGCATTTCCACTGAATGCATGGCGTATGCGGCTCCCAGTCGGGGTTTGCAAAGAAAGTTGGGCCGAAGCATCGCATGATCTTGGAGGTGCGGCGCAGCGCTTCACCATCGCGTGGGCTGATCTGATTCCAGGTACCAAAGATATTTTCCCAGGTTTCGACACCAATACCTATACATGGTAACATAAAGAAATTCTCGGTTATAAACATATATTTGTTACACACAAAGACAAGACGTTTATCTCGAATAACATCTAAGCCTTTGAATACGCACCGTTGAAGAAAGCGTGTTGAATAAGATCGGTCTTGTTGCGAGACCATTTATCGCTGGAATGGGTCATGTGTCTCGATTCCAGATACTTGCGAGATGCCACGGTCGGAATGCGTCTAACGGATAATCAGGCCCGAAATGTTAGCAGCTTGGACTACATACATACACCTGCATGCATGACTTTCGAAAAACGCAACACTTACAGCTTAGTGTCATATTTAGCTATATGTGAGAGACACAATGTTTAGTTTTGAAGCATTGACGCTTGCTTTTAGCCTGGGGTTTTGTTTTTTTCACTTACCCATATCCATGGTGTTCCAGCGCATGATCTGAGAAACAAACAATAAATATTTGAGCCACTTGTTGTATGCGCGACATTTGTGGATTCATGCAATACGTTACCACATTTTCATCCGAAATGGGGGAACGATTCACAGAGTCTTCGGCGTCAGCCGTTGACTGAAGGACAAGAGGATGGCCAATAGCAATAGCGTTCAACCAATAATCTTGCGTAAAGAAAGCGACATCGCTGGAAATACCATCAGCGTTGCATTCCTCTAGAAAATTGATTGTCAAGTTTGCCTTTGCTCAGGGGACGGTGTCAATGATTTTTTTTCTTACTAAAGAGTCGAGGCAGAATATAGCTCCACGATACTTTGGGATCTCGCTACAAGAAACATAATTTTTAGCATATGCAAGTGCGTTGTAACAGTAAGGGGCAACTATTCTATCTTACCGTGCCATTGTCCCAAGGCAGCATCGGCAAAAGAACTTTAATTCCACGTTCGTGGAACTCCTCAATCATGCTTCTCACGCCTGCGGGACCTAGAAGGGGGAGACACCAATAAAAGCACTTGTTAGACACGAATTGTTTCATCTGTGCAAGTTTCTTGTTTCTAAATGCAAACCTCCTGGAAGACAGCGGAAAAAGTCTTCAGTGTTACGACTGTCGCATCCAAGATTTGGAAAAGGAGGCCAAACCTAAAGTGATAAAGTTTAGCATTTCACAGGCGTTGGGTTAAAAAGATGGTCGATACATTACCACGATGGAGTCGATATCACCGTATCGGTCATGGATGTCTGTTGTGTTTTCATGGAGTGAGCAGACGATACATTTACAAGTTCTATTAAGATTTTACCTCTGAGGAACCGATCTACGGTGTACCGGTTGGTGTGGCAATCGTATAAGAAGCGATCATTGGCCATCACCTGAGGCTGGACATAGCTCGATTGGCTCCACTGTAAAAGGCAGATTAGGTACTCCCATCACACTGTCTATTGAGATAGAGGCTATCCGTACCTTAAGAGCGGCCACGTCGTACCCCGTGGTACCGCGTTCGTTGCGAACTCTTTCGTGTTGTTCGCGGCGCCATTGTCTGACGGCGACGTTCCAATCCAGATATTCGCGTGGACCTGAAGGACCATCGATTTGGTGAGGGCGAAGGTTGAGCTTGTAATCGTCGCAAAGCACTTTGACGCGCATTAGATGGAGAAGCAGACAAGGTCTAAGAGGGTATGCAAATGTCGCCCAACTCTTTCATTTATATAGTTGAGCTACCCTCAATATTTTTGATTTGTTTTTTTTTTTTTTTTTTCCTTTATTTTGTTTACTTTACCGGTTACTCAAACGTACCGTACATCAAGATAAAATTTCATCCCTGCTTCTGTTCTTGGGAAAAGCAAAAACCGGCGATTCAGTCCACAGGATGCTGTAGATTCCGACGGTCGCCTCGGCATAAACCCCAGATTAGGCAAAAAGGGCGTTTGCCACCCCGATTTTAAAGTGTCTAGTGCGTCCGAACAATGAGGCGTATGAACTTTCCCCTCGTTCAAGTGCTGCTTCCTTGGCTTCCCCTCACTTTTAGCGCAATAAAAACTATATCGTCATTTGGCAAATCTTACTGAACAGAAAAAAAAAGGTACCCAAATCACCGTCGCCTCGATGCAACCATCTACAGCACTGCTTTACTGTCACTCCAAATAAGCACCAGTACCATACAGATCCGCCATTCGGCCAAGGAAAGAAAAAAAAAAGATGCATGTTCAGACGAACGGATATGAAATAATTTAGAGCGCGTTTTAATGAGACTGGCATTATGATGTAGTGTTATTTTGTAAGGAACATGATAACTAGCAATTTCATTGCTGGCTGAAAGTCTTTGCGAACAACAAAATGAATGGCTTGTTTACTTGTCTAGGGCGTAAATGGCCTTGTCCGAATGTTTACACAAGATCTGCAGAGTTCATGCTGACTATTCGCAGTCTATAGGCAACTCTTTTTCCCATCGGAAAACCTTTGCGAAACAGCAAATAGCAATAATGCATGTAAAAGTAGTATGTTCCCTTTTTTGTATCGTTGTAAAATTCTCGGTTGCCAGGATATCCGGATGTAGCATTGTAATGTGAAAGAGTAAACTGACCGACAAATTTTATGGCTCATATTTAATATCTAACTCTCCATCTAAAAGGGGCATTTTTTTTTGCCCCGTTCTCAGACAACCGTAGTCTTTATGTTCTTTATGTGTGGTTACGATTGATTCAGTAGCGCGGGCATCATCGGTTTAATACGATGATCCATCCAAAAGGAACCTCTTGACTGGAATTGCTTTCTGATTTTGAGATTCAATTCCCAGAAAATAGCGAGTCACTGCAAGCGCTCTGAGCATGAGGCACAACGTGGAAAAAAAAAAAAAAGAGAGATTCAGTGAATGCCTAAAGTGTCTAATATCAACTTTTTGATGACTGAACCAAGAACTGTCATTCTGCTTGACAGTTATCACTCTGTCGCATTTGCTCCTGCAGCTGCTGAGTACCCTTCCAATGTATCATTAGCACGTAAATGCACACCGCGGCATGCATAGGATTTTGCATCACCACCTTACACACTGTTGCTTTAGAACAACCTCCTTCTATCCCCCTGTGGGCCACCATGGTCAACGGTACGCTGCAATTCTGTCGACTTGCCTGGGATCTCGGCTCTCCTGCACGCGCTCCTGTAAGCCAACGCTACGATGATCACCACGATTCGAAATTGTATGCTGATAAAAAGCTGGTAGATCTCGGTAACAGTGGCTAATGATCAACCTGCCATTCTGAACCAGTGGGAAGGCATGGAGCAACAGCAACTTCACACAGTAAGCTTCGAATGAAGTTTATTACGAATCTGCTTATTCATTATCCGGCATAGGTCGCTTCCGGTTTTGTCAATAATCAACCACGATATAATGAATCCATCAACGAAACACGGTTATCTACCGCATTGGACCTCGCTATCGAACACACAATCGCTCCTCGATCATCAAAACAACACCGATACCGACTCATTTTTGTAATTCTGTGCAAAGGCGCCGATGAAGATGGTTTCAAGTAAGGACAATCGACTCGATCCCGCTGTACTACATGCATTAACCTTGATAAAGAGCTCGCCATGGGAGCGAGCAAGTAACTTTTGATCTCCGTGCAATGATGTGCCGGTCATTCCACGCCTTGAAACACAGGTGAGTAGACAATAACAATAGAGTAAGCGATTAAGGATTCCATGGTCACTGATAAATACCTTAGATGCCAGATACATATTGATGTCCTGCGAGTATGGCCTTCATCGACCTCCATACCACAAGACAAGCCATTGACCAAAGTAACCCGATCATTAGCATCGCTGCGGAAACCGTCATCTTTTTACTCATCATTGAACAGATTAAAACAGACGAAATCACCATGTCCATCTATAATATACCAAACGGACAGTCGGATCTGACTCGTGCCATGGTCCATCTGGCCCAGATCTACTATAACATCAACACACTTTGCATCTGCAGGATACCCATGAAGGTAATAATCATGTGAATGCATCAATCGTCCGTTCTCTAACTGTGAATTCATGAACAGAACACGGCCGACACAGCTGAAGGCAGCCAATCCCCTTCCACCCAGGACGTACACTTTTATTACGCATGCGGCAACACTCATTTAATCAATCAAGCTGAACCTACAAAGAACAAACGGTTATACGAACCAGCCTATCTAGAGAATCGAACCTTACGACTGACTTATCTAAAACGAAGCAAAAGGCCTCCAGCGGGTAGGATGCTCTTTATCAAATATAGTTTCGGGAATGTTATTTAACAGATGCACATAACAGAAACGGAATGGACCCGGTGCATGCACTCTATCAGTCCTGTTCAGGTGAATATTTTACTGATGCATAGGTTCCTTTCGAGAGGCATACTCACTTTGTTCATGATAGACATCCCATCCTCCAACCAATGCTTTTATTGACATGATGTACAAAGGTATACAATACATCATTTAGGGTAATGAAAAAAGCTAATATATCCGAAATTGTTACGATCTACTTAGGCAGTACATGTTATCTAACAACGTCCGAAGTCAAGATCGAGTCACCTACAGTGAAAAACTGGACACATATGCTTGGGCAATACCAAGGTAAACTTAAAATAGAGAAAATTGTCCACTACACAACTTTTATAAATTAATCACACACCACAGGTACTGTTTTTCTTTATTGCCTTGATAATAAGCTGGAAGCCGATTTTGCAACTATGCGCGCGAACGCTATGGAAATGATGGAAGTGAAAGTGGAAAATGATCATTCGTCAAATCTGAAGTCAATTTATATACCCAAGAATAAGGTAAGCCGTAGGCCATAATTTATACATGCACTCACGCACACACACGCACAGAGAGAGAGGGTATCCATCTTTAACACGAGTTGATTTTTTTTTTCACAGCAAGAATTCGATGCCATGATTCGGTCTTGTACGTTTGACGACTTGGACCATGCCTTCAATGCGGCCGAGACAGGCCAAAGTCCTTTGGTCAAATATTCGCCATTGAAATATGCTCACTTTATATCCATGACGAAACTTCTTCATTCGCCGTCTGTCGGCGCATCAGACAGCAAAACAATGAAGTATTTAGAAAGAGCCACGCGATGGCATGCCTGTCTTCGGGATGGCAGTGGGGCCGTCTCTGATCCCAACGATAAACGTTCGATTTCAGAGCTGGCGACCGATGTACTGAATACGGACTCGGAATGCGCAGGGTTTGGAGGATTTCCTGTAACGTATCCCAGATGACGGTGTCGCAAAGTTCTGGTCTCTTTAACCGTTGAGTTTTTTTAACAGGGACTTGGCTATGATCCATTGCTCGTTTTAAAAGAATACATGTTGCTGGACAACGTATACGTCGAACAGGCCACCAAATTCATCAATACCGTAAGTCTAGATCGCTGCTCGTTTATTGGCGATTGTATGATTCACCTTTTTTTCTTTTATTAGCTCGTCTCTGAACTTCATTCGGTACTGATAGGCAGCAAACTGCCTCCTTACATATTAAAGTCTCATCAATATCAGGCACCGTATGTGGACGAATGTCAACCAGTCTTTTTTGGATTTCCAACATACTAATGACGACTATCGGACTGGTAAAAAACCACTTAGATTACTAGCCAAAAAATTACTAGTTGCGCTGTATCTGATCGGGAAACGATTTCAACACGATTCACCAACTCACATGATGGTAGGTCTGCGCAACCATTTGGAGCATAATGGCACTAGCTAATTTTGTGTGTACAGGTTTGTCAAACCATTTTAACCGTGCTCCGTGATATGGCCATGGCCTCAACCACCGATAACAACTCAGAGTTTGATGTGGCGAAAACCGAGCCGGAGAACGCGATGGATATGGCATGGCATCAAGCGACTCGTATTGAAAAGATGACGCAGCGCGAAAAGGAGGATTTGGTGCATGATGTGGGACCAGAATCGAAACGTATTAAAACCGAAGGACCGGCGTTATTTACCAATCAGCTACCGATTCAGCCTCGTGCCGCTGGACGAGAGGCCAAATCAGGCATTAATCCCAATTTTCGAGGAAGACGAGCTCGAAGCGGTGCAGGCGGTCCTGCACCTCCGAAATATCCCAACCCGGCTATCATGGTTCCTTATCTCGAATCGACTCCTCCAACAGTTGGATCGAAGCGAGCCGAAGAAGAAGAAGAGAAAAAACGGTTGGGACCTACTAACAGTCTGTTACACATGTATTGGACAGCTCAAAATTTGCAAAAGGAAGGGCTGCGAGATGAGGATGACGAAAGCTTTATTCGCACTGAAAGTGTTTACAGAAACGGGTCGTGGAAACGGGTCCGACGAGAATTTGATGGCCGATTGCCAAGCTTATAAATTAAAGAAGTCGATCTACTATGCTTTGATGATGGGATTCCTTTTTGTTCATCTTGGGGATGGGAAGAATGTCAAAACGAAATACATGTGGAAATACTAGCTTGCATTGGATGGGGTTCAAATGGACGAAAATGGCAAGTGCCAGCAGATCCCCTATTGTGCGAGGCCCAAAAAAAAAAAATCTCAAACGCATTACATCACGACAAACCCAAATACGGAAAACAGATACACAAATGCTCACTGGCCCTTGCGACTTTACTTTTTGAAAACCTCAATATCGGCCAAAAATTGCCAAATGCAGCAAGTGGGGCGCCGGAGATTTCCAATGGATTGAAATAACGATCAGGTGCCAGAAAAGAGAGTTGTTCTAAGTTTTTGCTGTTTTCTCTCTTGTCTCATCTCTTTCTCTTTTTTATTTCTTTTTCATTTTTTATTTCTTATGCCAACCCTCTTCACCTTGACCAAAGTGGCTCTCGTTGCCACTTTGTTTTCGGGAGTGACGCTTGCCGAACCGCAAGGTCACTTTTTCAAGCAACCCGTGGACGGATTGACCAATATCTGGCACCAAACTCAGGATTTGGTCCATGACGTGGTCGATAACGTTCAGCATGTTGTCAACGACGTGAAATCCGAATTTGTTACCGCCTTTTCGCATCCTGCTTTCCCGCAATACACGATGCGTTACAAGCGCCCCAATACCATCTGTGACCCTGACGTGAAGCAGGTACCGTACCGTCGCAACTCATCGGCCCCGTGGGAACAGCTTAATTGTTGCCATAGTGAGCTTGCATTAATCATGGGAATATTTTTGCATATCGTAGATCAGCGGTTATTTGGACGTTGGCAATGACAAGCACTTTTTCTTCTGGTTCTTTGAATCCCGAGACAAGCCTCAGGAAGATCCCTTGGTTCTCTGGTTGAATGGAGGTCCCGGCTGTTCCTCTCTCACTGGTCTCTTTATGGAACTCGGGTAATTATCTTTTTTTTTTTGCTTTATCTGATTAATCATCCTTTTTTTCATGATGATCATGACAACTTAAACAAATAATGACGTTTTGTAGACCTTGCACTGTCAACAAGGAAGGAAACGACACCGTGGTCAACAAATATTCTTGGAATTCTAACGCCAACATTATGTTTTTGGATCAGGTAAGATAAAATGGGTCTTTTCTATTTTTCCTTTTTGAAACGGAACTCAAGACAACGATACTGACGGTGTTCCGACCGGACTTTTCCAGCCCCTGAATGTCGGCTATTCCCATGGTAGTGGTGGGGCCACCAACTCGATTGCCGCCGCTGAGGATGTGTATGCCTTCCTCCAACTGTTTTTCAAGGAATTCTCAGAATACGCCCATCTTGATTTCCATATTGCGGGTGAATCATGTGAGTTATCTCAATACTTTGATAACCACCATTAATGGGCGAGGCTGCGGACGGAGAAACTTACAAAAATTTGAAACACCATTAGATGCCGGTCACTATATTCCTGCTATTGGCGGTGTTATCCATCGTTCTAATAAGGGACAATATTTAACCGCAACGGTGGCCGACAAAGCCCACACTTTGTCTAGTGTCAATTTGAAGAGTTTGCTTATCGGCAATGGCTTGACGGATCCTCTCGTTCAGTACAAGTACTACTCCAAGATGGCCTGCGAAAACTCTTATGGTCCTGTTCTTGACGAACGCACCTGCCGTTCCATGGACAGACAATACCCTGCTTGTGCTCGCTTGATTCAGAACTGCTACGACTCGCAAAGCGTGTTTGCGTGCTTGCCCGCGGCAATGAAGTGTAACAAAGATCAGATCCAGCCTTACCAGCAAACGGGCATGAACCCTTACGATGTGCGTGAAAAGTGCAAGGGCGGCAATGGTTTGTGCTACGAAATTTTGGACAGCGTTCAGACTTATTTGAACCGTAAAGAAATCATGGAAACGATTGGCGCTGAAACCGAGGGCTACAAGAGCTGCAATATGGAGATTAATTTCCGTTTCAACATGGCGGGCGACTGGATGCGCCCTTACGTTGAAGAAGTGCCTCCTCTTCTTGAAGATGGTATCCGCATTCTTATCTATGCCGGTGACGCCGACTTCATCTGTAACTGGATGGGCAACAAGGCATGGACTTTGGAATTGCCATGGAGCGGTAAGAAGGAATTTGCTAGCGCCAACGATACTGAGTGGTATTCTGCCATCACCGGTAAGCACGCCGGTGACCTCCGCCAGACCAAGGATGGTCGCTTTGCTTTCCTCCGCGTTTTCGGTGCAGGCCATATGGTGCCTTATGATCAACCTGAAAGTGGCCTTGACATGCTCAATGCCTGGATCCAGGATGACTTGCAGTAAACTGGCTCGCTTCCGACATTTTTCTTTTCTCCCATTCCGCCAAAAAAAAGCTTTTTTGGGCAAATGGATTTTTGTTCTTTGTATACTGTAACTGGAATAAATGATATACTACAATCTCTTTTATCGCTGATTTGTGCGACCCGCAAACCACCCAACAAGCGGCGCTCTACAACCGTTGATCGATCCTTGTTGTATGATGTACACAAAAAGGATCTACCGGTTGACTGCAAGTGGGCAATATTTCCGAGCGAGAGATCGTCACTGACGGAAACTGTCGAGGTCGGATAGAAAATGCAGAAATCGCCCGGTTAGTCCATTTTATAACACGGATCAACAGCAATTAACAATACCTTCTGATAGCAGAACCCAGACTTTTACTCTAATTGGCGTCCCTGCCGTCCGCGCCAATACGCTCAGAATGAATTTGTGAAAGAGTTTTCTTGAAAGCCCTTGTTTCTGTGACTATCCTACGGTTCTGACAGACAATGCCCTCAATACGCTGCAAGCTTATCAGTAAAAATCACTACCCCTTAACTGGCGAAGATTATCTATTGTCGATGCGTAGGCAACTGGATGTGGCATCTTTTTCTATCATATGAAAACCCTGTAGAAAATGATACATATACAAGTGTTGAACTTTCCTGAGAAGTACGGCATTGGTGACAGGAGGCGAACCAGATTAGCCTGCTTTGATTAGAGAGCACCATCACTGGGCGCCCAATTACTGGAAACACTGCCGGCATTTATCTAAATGATTTAGTAAGCCAAGAAAGGTATCAGCCTGCATTACAGCAAGCGGATATAAAGTGGGGATAACGACAGGGCAGGCATCTCTACCTTTGATTTCTTTTTCCATGCTCCTCGACAGCATGAGTAAGTTCATGCCAAAAGTTACCTCTTTAAGTCGATGCTGTAATAGCGTCCACAGGTGACTCTGAATCTGTTGGATCTTTTTCCTCTTACATCACTGATTTTCCCCAATAAGATGGCATAGTTCGCTAAGGGTAACTCTATCGAGAGCAAATGATCGTCTTTTATCAGAGATGGTGGCTCATATTTGGAAATAATAACTGTACAAACAGCGACTATATTTACTTGATACATCGCGCTACTGGACGTTATCTGAGCTCGGATGATGTAGCATATGATGACGGCGTTGGACAACAGAGGGTAATCTTAGCTTTTCCAGCTGCTTGAAAAGACATCGATGAAATAGTACACTCAGGTGTTAACTTTGTATGCTGGTGTTTCTAGTGAAGATGATAGCAAAGATGTTTCCATATGGACGTTCATGCCTTTTTATCTCGAGGCGAAACGTCGTGGCTCTAAAGTTCAATATGACGATATTATCCGCTTAAAACATATCGGCACTGGACGTTATCTCCACTCCCATTATATTCCTAGCTTTATCTATGGGCAACATGAAGTGTCAGCCTTTAGCAACGGTGAGAGGCACGAAGACACCAAATGGCGGTTTTTGGGACGTCACCTTTCTTTTTTGAATGTTATGCCGAGTTACTCACTCGCTTTGTGTGCTTCTACTGTGTAGTTTAAAATACGGATGAACAAAGCCCATGTCTTGGCGGTATGCGGTGGCGGCTCCCGCAATGCGGTGAAAACAGTTTTTTTGTAAGTAAAAACAAAAGAAGAGTAAGTGTGGCTTGTCTAATGCATCCATCTTTTTTTGTATGTCCTTGTCCTTTGGTTTTCTCTCTTTTTTGATACTTTAAAACAACATTACCTTGCCTCTTTTCAAAATTTTGATTTGTAAAATTTTTACCCAGATTTTTTCAATCAAACTGTACCGAACACGGACCTAAGAGAACAAAGTCCATAGATTAATACGTATGCCCATCCTAATAATGAATTAAAGACTCAACTTTGTCGCCCTCACAGACGGCGCGGCCCTCGCCCTCCACTAGGTCTTCGTAGTCGAGGGTCGCCATCAACTTCTTCTTGTTATCCTACAGGATGATAGTTTCGTTAATCAGATCAATATATTTTATCCATTCATCAAGCCCTTACTTCATCTCTTGCATTGTACAAAGCAGCTAGATCCTCATAACGAGCCATCTGCTTGTCATGCTTCTCTTTCCGTTTGTTAATTTTCTGTCGCTTCATGGTTTTTTTTTGACGGATGGACTTGGGTTTTCGCGTTTATTGTTGCTGTTGGAGGACATGATGATTTTAAAATAATAATAAAAAGGAGGAGGATCAATGAAACGCGATTAGATCGATTGATTTTATAGTGACATCCAGCATGACTGGCAAATGAACGAGAGACTGAAACATCGATTCTTTTTAGTCACATCATCTGATTGACAATACTGCTCACAATCGTGCTGATCTCCTGCTTCAAGTGTTTTTAAGCCGATAGACAAAAACAATACGCAAAATAGCATTTAACAATCTAACTTACGAGATTATTATTAAAACCATCGGCTCTCAGTGTAATTACGACAAGGGACTTACCTATGTCTTGTTTGGTTGAAATGTATTTTACCGAATTAGTGGAAGTTTTGCGCGCTAGATGTTGGCACTATTCAAAAGGTGGCAACGTTTCATCATGACGCTTGCATCATAACATTGGATCGCTTCTTGATAACAAAATTGAAAACGTCAAGTGAAGATTATTGACCGTTTGCTTGGATATGATTCAGTGGGTGTGTATCACGTATGGCAGGGGTCGTCCTGGTAATGCAATTGTATAAACAAACCACTAGCTATATCGTTCATATCGTTAAGCCAGAAGCGAATTTATACTGAGAAGCATCTGCGCTTTCATGTCGTTCGCAGTCCTATCTCTGAACAAAACATAGTATCAGCTTTCGGTAACGATAATAAAACATGACAATGATCTGTGGTCTTTGGAGAGATGTCCTGGTGAGAACGACCCCACGCCGGACGACGTGAGTATTCAAAAGTGCGATTTCTCATCAATGGATCTTGCTGATTCCCCTTATTTTTCGGTTCAGTATTGGGCATGTCAATTCGTCCTTTTGTCCTTCGTCACACAGAAACCGGCGGCATTTTGGAAGGATTCCGACACATCGCTTGAACTCATGAATATCTAGTTACCATTTTACCTGTATGGACATGTATGCAAACATCCGCGCGTACGAGTGCTTGAGATGTCAATTATGAAGTGATGAGTAAGCCTGGCGAAGGACGCTTGGTTTGTTTCCACTTTATTGAGTAACATGGGTACATATTCTTTTCGACAATCTATCCCAAATTTTGGCCCGTGTGAAGTTTCCTCGTTTAGACTGATAAACGTTAACTCAATTCCAGTGGCGATAACGCCTCACTATCACAATTCCGTCATGGCATTGGGCGGCTTCTTTAAGGGTTGAAACACCGGTATTGTCCATTCAATGGATATGATTATTATTATTACGGATGAAGAAGTTGCGAATATCGTTCATAGCAGCATCGAGGTTTTTCGGGAGTTTCTCCACTAGCTTTTGCAGGATTAAAACAAAGCCAAGTATCAAATTGTAAGCAGAGTTTATCGTGGACTAGAAAGTTCGTATTTTACATACTATACAGAAACATGTGTATTCTCGGAATAGCTTGGCAATTTTGGAATATTCTCGGGCATTGCTTTTGGAAAAACAAGTCATGAAATGTACAACGGGCAGTCAAAAGCTTTCAAAAGTGTCTCCTTTGCCGATACGCTTAGTAACTCAGCCAGAACATCGCAACCTGGGCCCAGCGAGAGTCAGGCCGCTGACGACGTGGAATCCATCTAGCCCATTGAAATACGTCGATAACACGGATATCGGAATTGCGTAACAGGATGATGAAAGGCTCCAGGGTAATTTGCCTAGTCCAACTCTAACCTTTTTGGCAAATCGGCAATCCTTCGGAATTTCATTGCCGATATGTAACTTATTCGGTGAGCCAAGAAAACGACGCCAGCTTGTATCACAGCATAGAAATATAAAAAGCGACGATAACCGAGGACGACAGGCATCCATACCTTCAATCTTTTTCTTCTGCTCCTATCTGTCGATAATATGAGTAAGTGAATGCCAAAAGAGTTCGCTCCCAAGCCGGTTCTGTGATAACTTATCCAATTGTTCCAGGTGACTGTGAATCTAATGCCTCCTATGAAAGTGGTTTCCCCAAGGACGATATCGTTCGCTATGGGTATGTTTATCCTGGGGAATAATATAATTCTGAGGAGACGGTTTGCTCATCGAATATATCGACTGTAACATACAGTGACCATATTTACTTGAAGCATTGCGCTACTGGACGCCTCTTGAGCTCGAATGATGAAGCCTATGAGGGCGGCAGTGGACAACAAATGGTGAGTTCAACTTCCTTGGCTGCTTGAAAAAGGCAAGAATAAAAGGGTACGATGATGTATGACGTTCTATACAGGTGTTTGCCAGTGATGATGGTGACGAGAATGTTTCCGTGTGGAAGATTTTGACTCCTTCTGGCTCTGAGGAACGTCCTGGTTATGAAGTCGGATATGATGATATTCTCCGCCTGAAGCATTTGGGCACTGGCCGTCACCTTCACTCTCATGAGATTGAAAGCCCTATCACTGGGCAACAGGAAGTGTCAGGCTTCGGTAACGATGACGAATCCGATGATAACGACTTGTGGGTCTTGGAGAGATTGGGTGAAGGTGACGAAGACAGCGTAAGTACTCCTAATATTCTGGAAAAGAGCTTTATTGTCTACACCTGATTTACTCTTTGCCTTAGTTGTGGCACGTCGATACGCCCGTTATCCTGCGTCACGCACAAACCAGAAATACTTTGTAAGCCATCTGATGCAATGATTCAGCCTGAGATTATTTAACTCATCATCTGTTGTTTCTTTTAAACGCTCATTATTAGGCATTCCCATAATGAAGCCTATGACGATGAAAAGAATGAAGTGACAGCCTATGGAGCCGAATCTGATGAAAATGACGCTTGGGTTGCTACCGCCTAAGTGAAGAACGTGTATATCCCCCTTTGTGCAATATATCCCAATAAAAGTCTCATCACATAAAACCCACTAATGTATCGGCCCGTGTGAAATTTCCTCGTTTAGACAGATAATTCGTTGACCCTATTCGAGTGGAGATAACACTTCGTTTTCTTTCTCGATGTTGGCTAGTTTTTTCGGCCAAGAATAATCGATATTGGCCACCATATGGAAACCATTCAATGAAAGTAAACTAGAGTGTTCCTATTTTCGCATTTAGAAACGTGTGTGTTCTCGGAATTGCTTTCGCATTACCCAAGTTTTCGCTCGAGCACTTTTCTTTGAATGGTCATTTGTACGACCCAACATCGAAGATTCTTTTTGGTCAACAAATTCAGTTGTCTCGGCGAGCTTTCCACATTCTCACACTCTCGCGGTAGGAGCGAGAAAATTTTGCAGGACGCTGTTGCCGTGATATTTGTAGTACCCACCCCAGGCGGTTCCCTCAAGCACTAAGAAAGCAGTAGTTGTCTTCTTTTGTTAGTGCTTGACTGACGTATCGCCTGCATTGAGAGGTTAGTTGCCTCCGTATAGTGCAAGTTAAAAACCAGCTGCAGGACCTGGACGTCCGACCTTCCAAAAACACCGATCGTGGCGCTCATTTCGAGGGGTGTCTTTTTTGATCTTGAATTCATTTAATGACTGGGTTTCCTTTTTATTTCCAGCCTATATTGTCTTTTTTTCCTTATTTTCTTGCGAGGATGGTGGGCTTGGGTTATCTTAATGCGATTGGATTTTATGTACCAGCTTGGACTCCATTGACCGTAGCAAGTGCGGTGTATGGGTTGACCTTGGCCACCACAGCTGTGTTCACCGAAACCTTTGCACCCACCCCTTACAGCAAATTCGGGTCTCACGGCCAAGCTCTAGGCAAAATCCCGTCTCGCAAAGCTATGTGGATCATTTATTTGCCTAGCATGATTGTGTGCTTGCTATTCAAGCGCATAGGATTTACAACGCGACTGGATCTGATCCATTTGCTGGTCTCGGGTCATTTTCTCAAACGGCTTTACGAAATCAACTTTGTCCATATCTACAGTAGCTCGACCGATTTAATGACCGCACTGACAATTACGACCTGTTATGCTTCGACGACGCTTCTCGATTTTTTGGTTGTACGTAGTATTCCTGCTGCAGTGTTCAGCGGCCTCTGGCTCAAATTGGGGCTAGTGTTGGTCATTGGTGGCGAAGTAGCGAACGCATATCATCATTGGTTATTGCGTAAATTGCGTGTCAACCGCAAGAATGGACAGAACTACCGATTACCCCGTGGAGGGTTATTCAATTATGCAGTTGCTCCTCATTACTGGACAGAACAAATCGCGTATACCGGGTTCGTCATGCTCAGTCAAAATGTGGTTTCTTTGTGTCTGAAAATGTTTCCCATGGTTTATTTGACCTTACGCGCCGCACGCACCCGCGAATGGTATGCGACTCGTCTATCTCCCGAAGAACAAGTAGAATTAAAGCACCGTAAACGACTTATCCCCTTTGTATGGTAAATGAACTCGAACAACAAATAAAACCATTGCACCAAAGAGAACTTGCAACAGACATCATCAGATCATGTAGTGTTATGCTGAACTTGAAATCCGCTAAATTATTGTGGCACACTGCGACATAGATGGAAGCATCTGCAGCGAACCCCGAAATAGTAAACTCGTGGCTTACGTGATGAATAGCGCGTGGGGAACGACAACAATTGAAAGCCCAATCAAAAGTACCAAAACACAATTGGCCCGTGGGACTAAACTGGAACGTACACAATACGAAGAATTTCAGCTACGACATCAGCCGCCATTCGATTGTGAATAATGCTTCCTGCTTTGCTACCGTCTTCTTCTTCTTCTTCTTCGTTGGTTGGCAGCGCGCTATGCTCCGCTCTTCCAGTAACATAAAGCCGATGCACAAATACTTTTTCCGCTGCAATTGCGATTAGCTCTGGTGTCAAATAATCTTGCCGAAAAATGGTGGCCAAAGATCTGTGAAGAAAGGGAGGAGGTTAAATACACCATCATATGGAAAACAAGACTACTGGACGGTTTGGCAATTACTTTGTTACAGTCACCAAATCTTGGGATGCTCTTGCCGTTAATCCGCCCTGAATGTTGGGATGATTTCGAATACCGACAACGACATCACGGATGTACCTAGTAATGTCAATATTGATGTATACTTTGGTGGCTTCTTCAGCAAGCATTTGCAATTCCTGCGGATACGAAATTAATTGACAGTGATAAATTGGAGTTTTCCTTTTTTCCATGATGCTTGCCTCACTCTTCATTAGGGCGGAACGTCGGGTGGGTATCGAGCGTGGAACGGCATTCGCGGGGTATTGGAACATGTCTTCATCGAACCGATAGCCGACGAAAAATCTGTCAAGCTGCGGTAGAGTATTAGGATCGGCATGGACCACTAAAAGACGACATGATCGAAGAAAAAAAATTACCAGTTGTGCAGAAATGGCACGACGGTTAAAGTCATGCGGTAATACTAGTATCACCAGGAAATAAGGCTTGGGGGTATTATAGCGAACATTTGATATTCGCAGCTCCTTGGCAATCACAAGCTAACATCAAAATACCCAAGGGAAAAAGAACGAAAAGAAAAGAAAAGGAAGAAAAACAGGATATGCAGTTTAGTAAGGAGAGCCAGGCGATCCTCCGCATAAAGCACCTTTGCTTACTTCTGTGAGTGCGGCCATGATGGCCTCATTGGCGTCGCTTAACCGTTGAATGACGACGGTTTGCGCCAGTCGATGCGTTACGGAGGAGACGGGACGTTTGAGTTCTTCGTGCTCGGACCACCGAGTCCGATCTTGTCTAACAACCATGGAACTATGGGGTGATTCTTTCACAGGCAGGAACGCCGAGTTCCGTGGCGGCAGAAAATGAGATCGATCCCGCTTTCGGAGGGTAAAGTCCATTGGATTCACAGGAGATACCGGAATCGGCTGCAGTGATGGAAGCACGGACGATTCGTCTTCTTCTGTTGACTGATCAGAAAATTTATCGTTTGGACGAATTATTTTCTTTGTGCTATTTACGTGGATTCAATTTTGCTCTGCTTTAAGTTCATACCTTGCTGTAAGCACTTCTGGCCAAGAAGGAACCCACGGAATGCTGTGAACCAAAAGTTTGCGCAGACCGAGTGTGACGATGATGACCATGACCACTGTCTGGGGCTCGACCACCGGCTTTTGGTGGCGAGTCTGGGTATTGACGATAGTCGCCGTCAGCATCGTCACGGTTGGAGGCGAATAAAGCCTGGACCAAATCGGTGACGCCCAGATCAGCTTGACAAGCGACATTGGCGGTTGTAAAGCCAAAGAGCCCGCGACAAATCTGTAGATAGTTGGTTAGTTTGCCAAAATATGTATCGTCACGAACGAGCGATTGGAAGGTTACACACTTGAGTGGCCATTTGAGCTACTTCTGGAATGCGATCGGAAGGGGCGGTCAGGACGAGATGCTTATCACGATCGCTCACAAGGCATAGAAGAACCGATATGAACAAGTCATGATTGAAAGCAAATCCTGCTTGTTTCTTCAACGTGGCCATGCGTTGCTTGATCCATTCTTTCGAGCCTTGTGACATGAAATGAAAGATGGTTTGTAAGATGCACAGTGACCAGTGTTCCTTTTTTTTCCGTGGGAGTCGTTTTTTTCTTTGTCTCAGACACAGTGGTGCAAACTCCCCCGATTTTAGCCATATAACCAGCCCATTTACAGCTCTTTCCATTCTCCACATATTTTTTTAATCCTTTTTTCGTTTTCTTATTCTTTTCTTACACCGTTACTTGTCATTATTTGCCATGCCTGGAATGAAAAATACATTGTACTGGTAAAAAAATAGCACTATCACTACACTGAACGCATTCATGTAACAATAGATGCGATAGGGTTGTCCCAACAACGCTTTTAGGCGTCACTGCTTTTGCCAAGTCGAGACCATCGGCTGTTGCCAGTCAACCGTTGTTATTTGTGCCTTCTGGTAAGGCCGAATTTGACTCTGGAAACCTAGAACGGATTCGTCAGGATTGGAAAATCCGCAATAAAGGTCTCGGTTTACGGGATGTAAGGTATGTATTGCACCATCCTTGCTCTGAAGCAACCCATTCTCGTTTCGTTGACAATTGGTTATACGGTTTATTAGTCGAAGCGGTGGCGGTGTGTAAGAAGAAGAAAAAAAAAGATGGCGTCATTTCTTTACATATCGCCAGTATCATCCGTTTTTTCTTTTCGTATCATGCACATTTACGCTTTTTAATCATCATCTCATCCCCGCTATACATCATGTCATATTTTTAAGAAAAAGAAAATAAAAAATTAAAAAAGATGAAATCCAGTTAGTGCATATTTCAGCAAGTCGGTATCCGGAGAATGACTTGTCTCACAAATTAACAATTTTGTCTCTGTATTCATCGATGTTTTCAAAGTCGAGGATCACTGTAACAACAAGTTAGAATGAGACATGGAATCAACGAAAACAAGCATCCTACCCAAGTCCCGTTTTGTCAATGGTTTCTTTGTCAGTGGGCAAATATTTCGTTTGCCTTCCCAGCTTGTCAAGCAGCGCACCCAGCTATCGTACCTGCAAGGTCATCACGAGATGTTAGAAACGGAAAATTAAGGAACTTTGTTGTGATCGATATTTTTTACCCCATCACATGACCATATTTGGAGATGGCCGGTTTGACCACCTCGTCAAGAGTGATAGGATCAATAAATTCTGGTAATGGATTCGTTCCATTGGTCTCGTTTTCATCATCTGTTTCGCCATCCGATCCTTCGTCATGATTTTCGTTGTTGTCAGATGATCCTCCTTTGAGATGCATATCCCATGCACATTGCGGTTTAGCCACCAGTCCCGCTTCCACAGCCGCAAGTGTCGGACGTCGGCGTCGCTTACTGCGACGCTGACTGTCACTTTCTTTCTCTTCAGCTTGGGTGGCTCGTGTAGCATAAATACCAGAATCGTCATCGTCATAATTGCTTGCGTCTTCATCACTATCGGAAGCCGAAGAGTCTCCCCATCGGCCACGACGGCGACGGCGTCTAGTAGTGGCACTTGTGGCACGGCTTTCCTTTGTGTTGCTTGATGATTCGATATCGGTAGAACCTGCAACACCTTTTCCTTTGCCGCGTTGAGTCGATGGACATGGTTCACTCGCCGTCGGCGTTGGGGTAGATTCTCCACTGTTGTTCTGCTTGTTATGAGTTCGAAATGTTTTGCGAATCTGACCATCCGCATGTTTCTTGTCGAATAAATAATGCGCTTTACCCCGCTCGTCCAATACGTAATTCGGATCTTTGATCTTTTTTGTCTCCACCAAGAGTCGGTAAAAGTTGGAACACTGTCAACAAGATAAATGGTAAGGCCATAGAATGTGTCAAAAGGTCAGATTACTATTATCAGACTACCTGATATCCTACGCGGCCAGGCACTTTCATCGAAAAGATGCCCCATTGGCCATTGGCACCGACTTCGCGCAAACGTTCAAAAAAGACTTTTTTCTCGTCCTGATTCAATAAAAAGATGGATGGCATATAAATAATACAAGCTACATGCGTCAAGCGTAAATGAAATCCGTTGCTGTTAGTATTACCTCTGTCCATTGACCCTTGCGCTGCTCTTCTCCGGGTGCGTTGAAACGATAATAATAGCTATTTGGATTTTCATCAATCATTTGATACGCGCGAATACGGGCTTGAGACCACCCTTCGAAAGCCTTTTCAGGATCCACATGATGTTCCTGAGCCTGTTTAAGAGCATCATCTAGCGCCAATCTAGTATCGTTTAATTTGCTCGCATTAATGCTGTTCTTTTTGTCAAGCTGCATTTGACTTTTTTTTCAGTTGACTTACTTTTTCAAGTGGTCCCTGGTTGTTTTTTTCAGAGTGGAGGATCGCTTCTTCAATAGTTGCTTGTAAGCTATTTCCTGATCGGTGTTCATAGTGCCAACTGACGTTGCGGTTTCAATTATTCAATCGGAAGAACCATTCGATCGGCAAGAACAATGACTTACTTTTGGCAATATCATGATGAGCGTATTTTGTAGCGATGGCTTTTCGAATCTGAATCAGATATTGCGAGTTGGTAAGGCGATAGATCACCTCATCCTCCTGCTCGTCACAATCCAACAGCATTTCTTGCACTTCTTCGTCATTGACATAATCAAAGATAGCACGAATCTTTGCCGACTTTCGAAGTCTGTCTCGACGTTCAAATTCGGCAAATTGCTTTTGTTGCAATGCCACACGCTTAGCAATAATGTCTCGTTCTTCTTCCGTCACTTCTTCGCTGAAAAAGTTTTCTTTGCGAACAATCTCTATCTTTTGACTGTATCGGTGCGTGCGTTGTCAGCATTATCCGCATTCATTAACTATGCGTCGTTTTCCCGTGATCTACCTCTCCAAAAGACTTTCTTTGAGATAATCCGATGTTTCGAGTGCTTCAATATCTGGTTCGATACATGTGGATGGCTGATCTGTTGATCGTAGCTTGGTCTGTAAGGGTATCAGTATTCGTGTGACTACGGATTTAACGATAAAAAATGGCACCATTACCAAGATAGGGGCTACTTGGATATCCACCGGTCTTGGGGCATAACGCCAATGAACCATTATTTTCTTATCAAGCAAACTGGGTACAGGAGAACTACTGGGACTAAACTCCATGCTGGACTCTGTGTCGAGCTTGGCTGTGCTCAAAAAGAGAAATGAATATTGCCAAAACGGCAAAAACACAGGAGCTGAATATCAAGGGAATAATATTCTTTTTCTTTTTTGTGTCGTTGTTTCGCTAAACAAACTGGAGAAGCTTACATTTTTCCACGAAAAATTTGCTTTTAAGCGTGTTATCTTCTTGGATAACGGCCTTCTCTTTTGGTTTAGTCGTATTTCTTGAAGGCATTCTTTTGTTATGATAGAAGTAAAGGGCGAAAGAAAGGCAAAAAAGGGAAATGGTATGTCAAAAAACGGGTCCATAACTGAAACGAAAAAAAAAGTCAAAAAGATGCACACGTCATGGCTTTATTTTTGTTTTTGTTTATGCTTGTGCGACCTCTTCGAAACTGCCGCTGCTGCATGCTGACAACAGTAACTGCTCGTCGCCATGACGTTAAAAAGAGAAAAATGCATCAAGTGCAGGAATGATTTAGGAAACGATAGTTCATCATATTACTGTTTGGATCCACTTTTATCGAAGATCAGGGATATGAAAGCCTCCTTCTTCAAGAAAGGAAAAATTTTACATGGAATGCAATAAGTATCAATTAAAGTCATTGATGCCTGTGGAAAATGATCCAATATCCTTATTAACCTATTTTATTCAAGCTTTTTTTTTTACTACACATAGTCAATTTATTTGGTTTTTTCATTCTGTTTCTTTTTTTTTGGCCTCTCCTCTTCCAGTTTTCTTTTGCATTCTCTTAAATCACATTCTTCACATCACTTTTGACAAAAGCTTGATTAGGCCGTGTCGCCAACATTTAACATGTTTTATACATCAAAACACGCTGCCAAACGGGAGCGTTATCGTCGTGATGCCAGCATCGATCAAGAACACGATCAACTGATCGAAGCCTGGTCGCAACAGATCAATCAATCGACCTCGTCGCGTTCGAAAAGACACTATAAAGGCGATGATCCTATGCCTATCGAAGACTACAACCGGTTTATCTGGTTACGCATCGTTGACCGATATCTGGAGCAGCAATGGTTGGATTCCCAGGGTATGCTTCAGTGTGCTTTAGCATGGAAGTCGCTGGATACATTGAGCATCAAGGAAGCGGCTCATACCATGAATGTTCTCAGCTTGCGGCTCATGCAAAACACCGTGGATGCAAGGCAGGAATTGCTGGCGGCGTTGGGCGAACCTACTATTTCGATGCCTTCTATCAAGGTCGAAGATTCGCCTCAGGAATCCGAATCCACCTTGACGCCGGATGCCGCGGCTGCTGCGGCTTATGAGTTGGAAGAGGTCAAGGAACACGCGGATGGCTATTCGATGAATGCTTCCGAAGAAGAGGATGAAGTTCATGCACCCATCTTTCTCAGACACCAGCAACCGGACTCACCTCAAAGCCTCAACAATGACTGGGGGGAGTCATCGATGGGTAAACTCACAAGCAATGTCTGGAAAGAAATGCCTCCGTTACCTTCAGAAAGAACATCGCAAGAGTATCCACCTTCGACACGACTCCAACCATTAACACCATCACCGTCGTCTCTCAATCTGTCCGCCTGGGACTTGAAAAAGCGAGAACGAGAATTTGCACCGGACAGCACGTATGACCGAATGTATCAACAAGGAAATGACTATCTCTCACCGTATGAGGCCGCATCATTAGAAAAGCATAATCGTAAAAGCCATCTCAGTATTCGAAGCATCAGCAGTGATGGACAAGAAAGTAGCAGCCAAGTGGAACCGTGGCAAAGTTGGTTTGCCAATGATAGAAGTAATCGTAACAGCAATTGCTGCCATCTGTGCCGAAGCCCTGCACCCACCAAGGTCTATTCGCGTCGAACGAGAGGCGGCAACCGATCCGGAGGTACTTTACGCGAAACCTTGGACGATGAGGAAATCGAACGTGACGACGATGACGACGAACACGACGCAACGTCTGAAGTTTATGGCCACAAGAAGGGAGCGCATCGGTATTACTCTAATTATTTCAATGAAAACTCTCAATACCTTTCCCGACCCGCTTCTTCACGCAAGACGGCCGGCCATGTTCCACGAAGCGAATCAAGCATCACTGCCTTTCGTCCCATTAGCAAAAATTTAGCCCCGCGATGTACGCTTTACCGCTCACGACGTTCGTCCGTCGATAGCAAAGAGTCTTATGTGTCAAGTCTGCTAGGATGGGATCCATCGGCACGTGCTTTGCAGCAAGATGGCGATTATCCACCCGGTCTTACGAAAAGCCGATCGTTTCCATCCAAAGCCTACAAGCTTGAAAAAACTCCCGATCCGCCCCCAATTCCTAAAGAACGGAAACTTGTTCAATCCATCGTTAGCAAAAAGGCGTCCATTAGCAAGCTCTTTGCCAGCAAGAAACCATGATGATGCTCCTACGTAAATTCTTTTCCAACCCTCGCCCTTTTTTTTCTCCTCCGCCATTTGTTTCGATATTTTTGAATTAAACGTTTTCATGCACAGTCAAAGCGTATATTAAATAACCATATATCGGATCTTCCTTTCTTCATCATTTCACTGCGGACCAAATCTATACATTCATGCATATCAAAAGAAAAAATGCGATTTTCTATTATTTTATTATGCAATCCGTTGGAGAGAATGTCAAACTGAAAGTTACAGCTTCCCGATTCCCATGCTTTTTACCAAATGAGCAGCCAATCAAACTCCAAAACGCAACCCAATGACGTACCGCGCGAGGCACTTTTTTTTCGGATTGCAAAATAAAAAATGCTTCACCGTCATGCTAACGTGTATTTTTCGATTTTCTGCGTTTTCTCAAGTTGTTTGAAACCCAATGAGCGAACACAAGTACACTAATAGGCTCGCTACGGAAAAGAGTCCATATTTGTTGGTAAGTTCATTGTCCATGACCCAGTCACTGTTAACATGAAGCTGATGGTTGTTCTACAGCAACACGGTTAGTAATTTGCTCATTTGCAATGACAAGTGCATAAAGCAGCTCACTTAATGATTTTTTGTTTATTATGTCACGCGTGCAATTGTATATTTTCTAGCACACAATCCGGTATGATCCAAATTACTTGCTTGTTCAAAGGACATGGTTGAAAGACTGAAAATTTTTTGATTCCAAATTCAATTTTTAGGTGGATTGGTATCCGTGGGGCGAAGAGGCTTTCCAAAAATCGAGAGACGAAAATAAGCCCATATTTCTTAGCGTTGGCTACAGCACCTGCCAGTAAATACTCGCATTCATCTCTCGTGCATTTGCTGGAAAAAGCTAACTGAATGTTCCAATATACAGTTGGTGCCATGTTATGGAGCATGAATCTTTTGAAAACGAGGAAGTAGCCGCTTTGATGAATAAGCATTTCGTCAACATTAAAGGTATTAAAAAAAATTCTTGCGCGAGAAAAAGTACTATTGCTCACGCCTTGTGCAGTTGACAGAGAAGAGAATCCTGGAGTCGATAAGTTGTACATGACATTTGTGCAACTTTCTTCTGGCGGGGGTGGCTGGCCAATGTCCGTGTTCCTCACACCCGAGCTGTACCCGTTTTTTGGGGCCACCTACTTTCCTCCCAATGATCAATTTGGTCGCCCCGGTTTTAAGACGCTCTTGACACGGATTGCCCAAGTATGGAATATTTCACCAGACAAAGTGAGGTCCAGTGGTGAAAGCATGATCTCGCAGATCAAGACTTATGTCGAGGTAAAAAAAAAAAAAAAAAAAAAAAAAAAAAATAGCCAAAGGCAAAAGGATGTAACAATTCGACAACTTAAAATATGATCCTAGGCTAAACCTTCGGCATCCTCAAAAGAACTGGATGCCAACGCTGTTGCCGAAGAGACATACAGTCATTTTGCACAATCCTTTGATGATAAATACGGAGGATTCGGCACCGCACCTAAATTTCCAACTCCCGTACAGCTTAATTTCCTGCTAAACTACTACGCATACAATCACAAAAAACCCGAAAAATCAAAAGAAGCGAAAAACGCCCTGGAAATGACTCTGTTCACGCTTAAAGTAAGTTGTACAAAACGCCGGGACATGCGCGCATCCATGATTTAACGGAATTTGTGCAGCAAATTGCGGCGGGAGGAATTCATGGTAAGATAGTTCTTCCACCATTTGATAATCATCCCTACTTTAACAGTTTTGAAATTGAAAGATCACGTCGGCAGCGGTTTTCATCGGTAAAAGAAAATGATTATCAGAGTCCTAACACTACAACTGCAACTAATCCGGGTCGTCAATAGCTATAGCACAGATAAAAAGTGGCATGTTCCTCATTTCGAAAAAATGCTGTATGATCAAGCACAGCTACTTTCGGTTTATTCAGCAGCGTATCAAATCACGAATGATTCATTGTATGCCGAAGTGGCAAGAGATATCGTGAAATACATCGCGCGCGACTTGCGACATTCTGATGGTGCTTTTTACTCTGCAGAGGATGCTGACTCTTATCCTTCGGAAAAGAGCGCCAAGAAGCTAGGTAGGATTGAAAGGATCCCTATTTTTTGACAATACGACTAACAGATTCCAGAGGGAGCTTTTTGCGTATGGGAAGAATTGGAACTTCAGCGGCTGTTGGATGAAGACGAGGTCAAACTCTTTGTCACTCACTACGGTGTGAAATCGAACGGGAATGTCGATCCAGCTCAAGATCCCCACGATGAGCTGCGTCAAAAGGTGCGTTGACCTTTGTGCGTTCCAACTACTGAAAACGTAAACTGACCACGTCAGGAAATCATCGTTAGAATGTTTTGATGGAGCAAGGAAGATTAGAAGAGTCTGCCCAAAAGATCGGCATCGATGTAGACAGAGCCAAACAACTCATTCAACAGGCCAAGGACAAGCTTTGGAACCATCGTGTTAACGCTCGACCTAAACCGCACCGTGATGACAAGGTGAGCTTGTTATTCTACAAAATTGGGAAAGGATTTCAAGAACCTAAACCTTTACGTGTTAGATCCTTACTTCGTGGAATGGTTCGTATGACCGAAGCTTTCACCTAATGGATGCATGGCTTATCTTTGTTATTCTATATAGGATTGATGATCACTGGTTTGTCCCACGCGTATCAAGCTTTAGGCGATCAAGAATGTCTTTCTCTAGCCATTGAAGCCGCTACATTCATTGAAAAGAATTTGTACCAACAGGAGACAAAGACTTTACTTCGCAGTTTTTGCGGCGGTCCTTCCGCTATTGAAGGCTTCGTGGATGACTATAGGTATGGAACAGGGGACGATTTTTCACTGCCAACGACGAATGCTGATCGCTTTTGACGCATTAGTTATTTGATCCAAGGTCTTTTGAACCTGTATGAAGCATCCTTTGATGAGCGATGGGTACAATGGGCCTTTGACCTCCAAGAGCGGCAGAACGAGTTATTCTATGATAAAGATCAAGGGGGTTACTTTAATGTGGCCGGCGACGATAAAAATATTCTGCTCAGATTAAAAGAAGGTAAATCCCTGGAAAAACTTGATACTCGTCATCCCTGCATAACAATTCCTTTTTTTACTACTCTAGAGCAAGATGGTGCAGAGCCTTCCGCGTAAGTCATCTGCTAACCTGATCTCAATTGTGGTTTTTTTTGCTTTCTTATTATGCTGACCTTATGAATGTTCACTTCAGGAATGCTGTATCGCTTTATAATCTTATATGCCTTGGTACATTATTCGATCATCGCGCCTATCAAAAGCACCAACAAGAGGTTGTTAATGCATTCTATCTGGCGCTCAGCAAATTTCCTTTCGCTCTACCAGCTCTCGTTAGCTCCTTTTTGGTGTTGAGTAACGGACTTAAAGAGGTACGCCGCATTCAAAGCTTTCCGAGACATGAACTGACATGAATTGGTTTAGATCGTGATCACTGGTCACCGTGAAAACAAGCAAATTGAATCGTTTATTCAACTGTTATCACAGTCGTTTACCCCTAATAAGCTGATGATTTTGGCTCGAGAAGACGGCAACATTGCCAGCAAAAACTCTGTCGTTGGAGAAATCACTCGCTCAAATCAACCGACTCCTTCCGTGTACATTTGCGAGAATTTCACTTGCGGCCTTCCCATAACTGATATAAATGACCTCAAAGCTAAACTCGCATCATAGAATAGATATTCAGAAATGCTTCCAAAAATATTTGTGCACTTGTAAATCTGCATAAAATCTTTGGGAAATTAGCGATTTTGTAAATCACATGATCTACACCAAGTTATCAGGACCTGTTAAACCTTTTTTTTTTTTTTTATCTTTCAACCATGCCTCGCTGCCCACTTTCACGATAATAGGCGAAACAATTAGCAGCAAGATGCCGTTTGCGCCAGGGTGGTTAAACAGAGCATCGTCGTCTTTCGAATAGAAATGTGAGTAGAGCTCTTTTTGAAGAAAAGTGGTTGATGATACTACTGGCGTTCTTCTGTAGCATCATTCAATTTGTTGTTTTTTTTTTGTCAGTTATACTGTATATGTCCTTTCATTCTCTTTCAATTTTCAATGAATCGAATAATACATAAGCAGACGTGCTTCGATCTATGAATTCATGCATCAGTGGGGTGACTATTGTTTCATCCATGGAGAATCATATATTTTTGTCTTCAATTTTATCTTTCTTCTTTTGATTTTCTCTCTCTCTTTCTGTTTACTTACCCTCACTACTATCATTGTATCAAGATCCCATCCGCATCCATCATCCTGACCATTCTTATCCCGTGTATCTAACTTGGTTAAATTGACCACCATCCTCAAAAAGGTAAGCGTCGAGTGGTCTACCATCGATTTTGCTCCGGCCAAACAGACTTACCTCTCCTTTACTTCCATCCTTCTTCCAGCTTCCGGTTTCCGTTTTCTTTTCGCCTGACAAGTTCTGGATACTACAAGTTGACTTTCTCTCGCCATCCATCTGGCGAAACCGAATGACGTCAAAGGCCATCGTTGGTGGTGTGGCTCTCTTTTTCATCAGAAAAACGCTTACGTGTCCTCTTCATGTTCCTCTCCTTTGGATTGCTTCTCATCATATGGTATTCGAGTTGTCTTCCCGATTATTGTATTTCGTAGTTTATAATCTGTATTTTGTATTTTATATTTCATGTACATATTCTTTTCGCAGTTTTTTCTTCTTTTTTTCCCACAGGGTTTTTTATGAGGTTTTTACTGACGCGACCATTGTTTTTTTTTATCATCATGTACTTTATTTGTTTTTCTTTCTTTTTATCGGGGGACTCTCGATATCTGGAATCCAACTCGAAGTTACCGTCACTTCTGGCCACGTCAATATTTTTTGCCTGCTCAAGCTGACACCACCGATCCATCGCTTAACTGTCCCTGGAAGCAATTTTATTTTCCACATCGAAGAAGAAGCTTACCTGGCGGTCCGTATTCATCTTTTTTTTCCGGTACACCGTTTGGTTCAAAGGCAAGTCCAATTTCTTTTCCTTTGCTATGATGTAATGAACCTATACTAATTCAACGTTTTTCAATGTCATATAATCCAAGTCATGTTAAGCGATCAATGACTATCGAAAACTCAAATAACAAAGGTAAAAATAACTTAACGAAATTTGAATCAATCAAAGAGCTTACTAACTCATTTTTTTTTTAAATACCCAACATACCCACACATCTTTCTAGATCTATCAGAGCCTGGGCGGGATGGAACTGAGGGAGTCAATCAGTGCTGCTTTGCGCGTGTTCAGAAACAAATCACGTTGCATGGTATTGCCATAAGGCTGTCATTAATATACCAAAGTCCGTCAGAGTTCTCGCCCAGGTTATGCCGTGTATGCGTTAGGCTTTTTGTCTGACGAAAGTCGCTCAATGTAAGAGGGCGGCCTCCGGTGGCAGGCTGCATCCATTGCACAGCGGGTGTATGGCTTGTTAATAAAAAGGAAGAAGCGACTCGTGCGGAACCAGTATATTCAAATAGAAGATTTTTGTATAGGTCATTTTACACACCAAAAAAAAAGAAAAAAGATAAAAAAGCAAAAACTTAGCCCGACGGGGGGCTCGAACCCCCAACCTTGAGATTAAGAGTCTCACGCTCTACCGATTGAGCTAGCCGGGCTTCTTGTTTTAAAAATCGGTTGGACATTGAGGATCCATTATTTCATCACGTGACCTTTGGCCAATCAGATTCATGTGTTTCAAGGAGCGTCATCTGTGGTAAGTAATAATCGCCTTTTTAGGCGTTATGCCTGTGGGTCTGTCACGTTTTGAGAGGCGTGTAGGTGAACTGTAGAATTGTGTAGTTTGTGTGTTTGGTCCCACATCTTAATAAAAGGTGTTGGGGGCCTCGATGACTATTGCCGAATTATAATGCGGTGACTCTCGACTGCGGGAAAAATCTTCCTGGTATGAAATTTTCATTCGTGGTACCATTGATGTACCAGTAGACCTGGTATCAAAATGATGACAAAATATCTTCCTGGAATCATTAACCTGATATGAAATTCTATCATGATAGAAGGTCAACTAGAATCATTTATCTGGTATTAAATTCTATCATCATTCAGGTGTCCTGGTATCGCTTTTACATCAAAACTATGATCATATAGGTGTCCTGGGTGGTATGCTTTTAAATATTTTTCTTGTAGCATTTTTATAATTATAATCTTACTACTCCGTCTTCTTTTATTGTATAATTAGAACTTGAAGCGTCTTTGTGTTGATGATTTCATTTTTAATTCCATCAGCAATGCATGCCTTTTGCAGGTTTTCCAAAATGCAGCCAAAAAATTGCCTCAGTCTTGCGCGCTGCCGGAGAAAGGCGGTTGCCAACACACACTTCCCAGTCGTTATTTCATCGTCGAAGTTTCCAAATAACTTCCCCTGTTCTTTTTTTTTTTCAGTGTCATAAAAGAAACAAGTCTAATGCTTGGGAGTAAAGTCGCGCTGTTTCTATGCGATGTTTGGACTGGTGTGCAATAATGTTACGATAGCGCATTGAAGCGAATTTCGGATCAACGTCAACAAGTTCACAAAGTTGATCGCTCGAGATCTTTTCGTTTAATTAGGCAACGCAGCAACAGGATTAGTAAAAATTTCATGTCGACAGCGAAATAGACGATCCAAGCAAAGTAACTCGAAAATTCAGTACGGTGACTTGGGCAAAAGGAGTATGCCACTTTCTGTGAGTATTAGAGCCCGTCAGCCATATAAGATTATGATCAATGCCAATGCTACAATAAAAATATTAAAAGCATATCAGGTATCATGATATGACCATATTCGAGATGTAAAGTGATACCAGGACACCTGGGATGACAATAGAATTTAATATCAGATAAATGATCCCAGCAGTCATACTATGACGATAAATTTCATACCAATGATTCCCAGGAACAGTTTCCCCTCACACACAGAGAAGCTCTTTTGTGAGTTAAAAATCCTCGGTTTCCGTACGAGCTTTATACATACGACACAAAGCTTATTTGTAATCATTTTATGCGTCGTCTACTCAAATTCATCCAATAGTCAAAGTAATGCTAATAATGTAAAGCTAGCGTTGCCTTGGCTAAAGGCCAAAATATCGTACAGCTTTGATGAATTTGTTGACATTGATCAGAAATTTACAACAAATTGCATCATAAGATCTTGTTCACACCAGTCCAACATCGTGCAAAATCGACACGAGTTATTCATAGTAATAAAATTCTTTCTCATATGCCACCAGAAAAAGAACAGTGATATTTTTTTTTCTTACTTCGACAATGGAATAGAGACTAGAAATTTGTTGGTATCCTCGAGAACGAATATACTTTGTTATGGCAACTGAGCTATAGATAAAAGCATTATCACGACAGGGTAATGCCTTTCACTCCGGGATGTTTGTCCATTTCTTCAGGAGTTTAGAGGGAAGATCGAATCTACTTACGTTAGCTTGAATCTTTTGATGAATGGCGTACTTTAATCTTGTTGCTATCCACAAGGTTTTTAAAGCAAGGTGGGGGAATCTCGACGGCTTATTCATTTTTGGCGAAGTGAAAAATTATTCATGTCAATCTGCATTGTGAAAACGCCTGAAAGTTTTTTTTACATGGGATAGTAGATCCACGAATGAAGTGGGCATAAACGCGATAGCCATCTGTGATCATCAGCCATGCGAATGACTTACGGAAATTGAAAATCTCTGGTTAACGCATATATGCTTACAATAATTTTTCTTGCCCCACACTGCACATATCGGATTACGATCAGTCACTCGTAAAAGCGACGTATTTAGGTCATAGACTGGAGCTATCCTCTTATTTTTTATTTTACAAAATGAAAACAAACAGCGAAAGTTTACTGAGTGCTCAAGATGTCAGAGTCACCGGCATCGGTGATGGAGAGAACGCTGGTGCGGAAAAGCTTACCGCAAGCAGTACCGAGATCAATGTTGTCTAGAAAAGAAAGATTAAGAAAACGCATTCCAATAAAAATATAGAGATGCTTAATGAGCAGGTACTTACTGCCGTTGTAGTGGTGGACACCGGTCTTGGACAACATAGCATAGTACTCGATCTCAGACTTGCGAAGGGGAGGGCAGTTACCAGCAATGATAACCAACTTGGCTATTGCAGAAAAGAAAAAGGGCGGTGTCAGTGAACGGTTGGGGGGACGATCTCTGCCCACAGCAACAGGACTCAAAGAATGTGCTTTTCTATATCTTTGGGCTCCTGTCCCCCAGGGTTGTTGATTTGGTGATCCACTTACCCTTGCCTTGACGGAGGGTCTTCAAGGTAGACTTGTAACCGAGGGTGTACTTGCCAGACTTGGTGACAAGCTGGAGACGGGAGTTGATGGACTCGGCGGTCTTCTTGGACTTCTTGTTGATAGGGGCCATTGTTACTATTACGGAAAAAACGTCAGCAACCAAAGGATTTCCACGATGGGATAACAACTACGTGAACGATGATTTACCAAGTCTAGAGTTAAGACACGAAAGAGGAGGGAATCACTTTTGCGCAATGAGCTGAATTTGATATAAAAAAAAACATTTTTTTGGGAAGTCGCAGTCTGTTGATTGGCCGAATCCAAGCCACCCAAGCCAATGCGATATAACCCCGGTCACCCGAAAATGCTCCCCCTTTTGCTGAACACTTACTCCATCCTCAACGCTTGCTTTATACCATGAACAGTGTGAAATTGTACTCACAAGGTTCCTTACTACGAACAGCCTGGTGCCGATATTATGCCACCGCGGTTAAGCCCGATATCAAATTGTTGAGCAAACTTCGTAAGGAGACCGAAGTGTCTATGACCAAGGCTAAAGAAGCTCTGGTAAAGCACAACAACGACTACGAACAGGCACTTGCTTGGTTGGCCCAGGATGCTCAAGCGTCCGGTGCCAAAAAAGCTCAAAAAGTGGCAGGTCGTACCGCAGCTGAAGGTCTTATCAGTATTGCTTCCGTCAACGTTCCTAGCGCCGCCGCTGGTGGCTTCAAGAGCAAAAGCACCATCATCGAGGTAAATATGATCACCTCCGTTCAGCTGAAAAGGTTTACTCAAATCATGGATGGAATAGCTTAATTGTGAAACCGATTTTGTATCTCGTAACGATGTATTCAAACACCTTGCTTCCCGTATTGCCGCCACTTCATTACTTCTCCACGAACCATCCAGCGTTCAGAAGCGACCGATTGAAAACATTTCCGTAGAGGATTTATTAAAAGCACCTTTGATGCCACATCCCGATCAGAAAGATAGCGCGGACATTGGAAAATCGATCGAAGAAAGCATTGTCGAAGCTATTGGCAAGTTGGGAGAAAAGATCACTTTGCGTCGTGTGGCAGTGGTAGCCGATGGTGTGTCGGCCGGATACGTTCACGGTGGCGATGCTGTCACCGGCAAAATGGGAGGTTTAGCCGTTCTTGAACCTCTCAAAGTCACCGCCAGTGAATTACAAGCATCGAGCGGCGAAGCGTTGGCCAAGTGCGCTCGTCAAGTGGCTCGTCAGGTAGTAGGTTTCAGCCCTTCTTACCTCCATGCGGATGATGTACCCAAGGATGTCTTGGAAAGCCAAAGTGATCGAGACGAAAATTTGCGCAGTAATGTGCTGAACGAGATGGGTTACCTGTTGAAGCCAGATCAGACTGTGGCCGAATTTGTCAATCAAAGCGCCAAAGACACTGGTGTGGAAGGTGCTGCCGTGGTCGATTACGTGCGCTGGCAAGTGGGTGAAGGCATCGAAAAAAGAGAAAATGATTTCGCAGATGAAGTGGCTCGAACAGTGCGTGGCAACTAAAAAAACAACTCATAGACTTATAGAAAAAAAAAGAGTAATGTTGAAAAAAAAGTAGCATAAAAGATGCATCAGCATCTATAATAAAAATCGGACGATCCCAATGCACATCACTTTTTTCTGTCATGATTCATCTGCATGAATGGTAGGTGTCCAATATGTTCAATATCTTCAAGTTGCGAGTCGACGGATTCCGATAATCATATACAGCAAAGAGAAAAAGATAGGTGTATTTATTCCCAGGATGTTTCTACAATTTCACGAACTCTTCGTACATACTCCTTTTTATTTTCTCGATAAAGGTTGGCGGCTTCGGCATTGGCAGGTGAATTCGGGTTGGGATCGTGCAAAAGAGATTGGATACTGGTGAGGATAGCAGCAACATCGTAGGTTGGACTCCAACGATTCTGAAGGATATCGAGACAAAGTTCGCCATTGGCATAGACATTGGGATGGAACATCTTGGAGACGAATTTAACTTGCGGTGGTTTGTTCGGCTAATGAGATGCAGGAAACACACATTAGTAAAGTTCATTCTTCTATGAATGCCGGTTATTTATCTCCTACTTACATAAGTTTCTTCAAATTGAAGTACTAATTTGAAGGTACCGTCTTCAAAAGGAGTATCCGCTATTTGATGGAGGTTAGGATGGATAAAAAAAAAAAGTATAACATATATAATCGTTTATGCCTTACCAGGACCGAAAATTACAGCGTTCCACAGCATGATGTTATCAGAGCAGGGAGAACCTAAGAAATACGTATTAAATGTCTGCCAATTACTGCATGGGATAAACGAAATAGAGAGACTTTACCTGATACACCTCCTAATGAGCCGTGTACAAGGGATCTATGGTCAGTTTCGTTGAGTAAGCGGGAGATTGGTGTGGCGACTTACCTGGTGGATCGCTTTGAAGTCTCTTAAAGTCTCGCATGAGTCTTCTTCTGGTCGGTGTAGACATGGCGATAATTTATGATATAAAAACGAAATAGACAATAAACTATTTCCAACGAACAAAGATGGTTGAATGGAAAGCTGCGCTTCCTTTCTTTTTTTTTTCCTCTGCAGACCAACCAAATGCACTTCAGCAGAGCACGAAAAAGGGCACCGCCCGCCCGATATACGTCATCAACAGTCACAAGATTATCGGAGCTCCAAGTTTGGCTGGTCCACCTCATGCGAGGTTCGCTCATCGTCTGATTTCACACCCAAGAAAGTTTTCCATGGCAGCGTACTATATCAGTAAAATGTATGAGAACGATTATCAATTCCAAATTGCAACCATCTTTGAGTACTCGTTATGGACAGCAATTTATTTATGCAAATGATGGACGAATAGTGTTCGACAGTTGGCCGTTGATAAGGAGATGACTGAGAGTATATGTTGCTTATAAAATAAGTTCCTTTTTGGCAACAGAGTCTGATCACTCTATAGCCCTGAAAAATCCTGCCAACAAACGGCACAATGCAAATGCAGCCTCAATAGCATTAGTTTGGCTGTTCGCCTTTGTACGTGCCCTATTGGACGTAAATGTTTGGTATCGTCCAGGTTGCACGCACTGAATCTTGATATATATGCCGTGTAATTCGTCTTCAACAACGGGCCATTACACCAGCTGCAGTCTTTCGAGCAAGGTCAATAACCTTCAAGTGCTAGATATTTGTCTGTTTCTGCAGACCCACGATATCAGTGTGATACATAGTTTCAGCGAGATTGTTGCTTCATCCAGAAATAGAGGGACGCATTGATGGCTTTCAAGCGCTGGCTGTCATAGTATGGATGGACTGGCGGTAGCGGATCATCAAAGGTAAACGGTCCATCGCCGTCAAGCGAAGCTGCAGAAGACGAAGACGCGGGATCCTCCTCTTGGATATTTCCTTGCGATTCACCCACGACAAGCAGTACGTCTTTATACTTTGCGATATCGATGAACGCAGATTTCCGTGTCCATTCTTTTGGTCGCCATGACTGCTCTTCTACCTTGGCAACTGCATCGACTGTAGCTGCGGAAGGACTGGCCGGAGTTGCTTCCTCCGCAATCACCATTTCAATGTCATCCAGCTGGTCGTTCAGTAACATTATTTCGTCCAGTCCTGAATCCATAGGATCGTCCACAATTTCCGGCTTGGCTATTGACGTTTCGTCCGGTACTGAATCCATAGGATTATACACAGTTTCCGGCTTGGTGACTGATGTTTCGTCCTGAACCACCCTTGCCGGTGATTCCTGTTTCCCCTGGGTTGCTTCGATCAATGATACTTCATCCAGCAGGGCAGCATCGAAAAACGCTTCATCAAGCATGAATTCCGGACTCATTTCCTTCTCCACTGGCATCGTTGTCGCATTAGCTTTTCCCTTGCCTTTATGTTCGTTCCTTGGCATGTCGTAGTCGTTTGGCGGTGGATCGTCATGGTAATCAAAGAAAGACATTTCCTCGTGAAAAAAATCGGCGGTGTCCTCACCAGGAATTCCTTGCGTGATCAAGGCAATATTCGGTATCCATTCATCTTCCAGAGGAATTGCAGGTATTGCAGGCTCGGATGGACCGGGTGTAGAAGCAGGCAATCGTGGTTTGGGCATCACGTTGTCGCGCTCCATTTCATTACTCTCTTCGTTTTCTTTCGATGGACGTGTTTTACGACGTTTGGGAATAATTAGTGCCGGTGCCTGGTTTATTGGTTCGTCCGTGGCCCCGAATGCGGTGTGATACAATCGCTTGTCTTCATTAATCGGATGATGAAACATGTGCTGTTCCATTTGCTTGATTAAAGTAACAAAGTCTTGCGTCCGTTTTGAATGTCCCACCCGTTTGGATGAGCCTAGCTGCGTTTGTAAGGATATATACTTGCGCGCATTTGCAGCGCTGCTTTTGACAGGCCAGAAGCGATCGGAGGCTTCATCGATACTGTTGATACGTTCGCCATAGGTGCTCAGCCTACTCAGGAAATCTTGCAATGCACCGTCTGTCAAAGTACCATCTGATTTTACGCGAGCGGCATCTTCCTTCCGCTTACGACCTCGCTTTCCCGTCGATGGCTGGATATACTGACCAATAACAAGTTCTTTCTTGCATATGACTGGTTTGTAGTTCTCGGGTATCACAGTAGGATTCGGACTAAAGTATTGCAGACGATCGCCTTTGGCCACCGCTTGCTGAACGATCTTGTAGGATTCTCGTGCTTTGTACAGCTTTTTTTCTTCATGCTCGGTCATCAACATCACACAACGACCTTTGCGTTTGCGGCCCGTGCGACCCATTCGCTGAAGCTAAATTTTATTTTGGAGCAAGAAAAATAAATGAGTACGTAAAAAAGTGAAGTCATGCACAGTGTCGCACGTACCATTCTGATAGGAGAGTTTTGAGTATCGTAGCAAACGATCAAGTCCACTTCACCAATATCCAGGCCTTCTTCACCAATGGATGTCGCAACAATAACATTGAGCTCTCCTCGTTTGAAGCGGTCAATGAGCTGTAGCATATTAGCATTAGATAAAGTCTTTTCGACTCGTTCAATTTGATTGGTTATCACTCGCTATACCTGTTGCTGCATTTTTTGATTATGACCCTTCGCACCTGATTTACTGCTAGCTTGACCGACAAAAGATGAACATCGTATGAGAGGTTCATGTTCCGACAATACTTTGACAATTTCATCGACGGAATTACGGAAACTCGAGAACACAATCACACGGGTATCGTTCATGTCCGTATCTTGACCGTTGCTTAAATGCTGGAGAATGATATTGACGAGACATTCGAGCTTTGGATGGCCAATAAATCCACGCTGTTGTTGCTGTTGTCTCAACGTAGTGAGCAGTCGCTTCAGGTGAGAGCTATTCAGGATCCTCTGTTTTACTTGAGACAACGATTTCTTGGCCGCATCTGCCCGCAGACCGTCAAGAAAGCTGTCCGTAGTTTGGAGAAACGGGGTCACACCATGTTGACACAACATATCGTAGGCTCGACTGAGATGCTGGGCTACGGAGAATTCCGAATAAATCTTGCCTTTCAGTTGAGCATTGAAGTTACGAGCCCGTTCGTTGAATCGTTTTTGCGCACTCAGCAAAGAATACGGTGAATTGCGGTCGGCGTTGGTGTCATCGATCGCTTGCAATTTCTTCAACCCTTCCAGGACCGGCTGGAAAATCTCGGTTCGAAATTCTTGTACTGCCTGAGGAACTACACCCGATGCACCTGCGGTGTAATCGAGCTTGACAACAATGTTTTCCACTGTTCGTCCGTGCGAAAACTCTTGAATATCCATCGATGCTTCGGTTCGGATCTGGACATTGGTGATGCGTAAATTGGTAATGACAGTTTGCACGTTAAAAATATTGGTGCCTGGAGTAGCCGTTAATGCCAGCACACGAAAGTGCGATTGACGTCGCGCAATAAGCTTGATGACTTCCACGTACGCATGGTTACCGGTGGCCTTGTGCGCTTCGTCAATGACAATACATGCAACCTTGTCGGCAGGACAGTGATGGGATTGAAGGTCGTTTTGCAGCACTTGAGGCGTCAAGAAGAATACGCGTTTCGACGCCCACAGAGTTTTTCGCGCTGCCGGCGGCATTTGTCCTGTCATTTCAATCGTGTCTTCCTGCGGCAGACCGCAAATTTTGAAACATGCTTCGATCTGCTGAGCAACGAGCGGTCGCGTAGGAGCCATAAAGATGATCTTTGAGCAAGGAAACCATCGCCAGTAATTGTACATAACAACGGCCGCGATAAAGGTCTTTCCCAAACCCGTAGGCAGCGCAACGAGGGTATTCGAGAAAAGGGCTTTTTGGACAATATTCAGTTGGTATAAACGTACTTCGTAGTTAATGGGGTATATCCATGTCGGTAGTGCTTCATGATTCAGCGGGTGAAATGACTCAACATCTCTTGAGGGTGGCGGAGGAGGAGGTTGCGATCGTTCGGTATGCCTTGCTGCCTGATTGAACGTTGTTCTCGTTACTGCCGACTGCGGCGTGGTATTCGGTATAGATGTCGTTGCCAATGGCGCAGATCGTGGTATCGATGGTTGAAAGAAAGACGTCAACTGACTCTGGGGAAGGCTTTGGGAAGACGGCACAGAACGATGACTTTGCTCAGCGGATTCTGCCACTCTCGACAAAGCTTCCACGTCTAGATCGTCGCCAAAGTCACCAAAATCGTCACTGTTCGTTGGTGAAAGCGGTACGTGAGTTGATCGCGACTGGGGCCCGTCCTGCTGTTTTTCGGCCTCCTCAACCGCCGCTAGCAGTTCCGAAGTGAAAAAACTATCATCAAGATCGTCAAATCCATTCATGTCAAACGACTCTGTAATCCAGCAAAGCCGATGAGTGAGCGATTCGAAAAAAACTAAGGATGAGGCACCAGCCGAGGAATTTGGTAAGCGGAGCATGAAAAAAATAGCCTGATTGAGCACATCTGGCACCACTTAAAGTTGAAATTGAGTGCTTACGATCGCCAGGCTAAAGGTGTTGACATCAATGCTGTTTTCGAGTGAAGAAATCCCAATCGATGCATACAATTTTTGTGGAATGCATCACTTGATTTTATTCATATAGCGTTCATTATAGCGAGCATTGAATTCGCTAAAGTGCTGTAACATAATAGGCAAATTAGGACCGAGAAGTATAAGATCCAACTTGAGTCAGTAGTGGTAGAAGGCTGTGGATTAACGCTTTTTAAATGCACCAACATAATAAGTAATTGTGAGGAAAAGGCTGATGTAAGTTTCGAAATGCGCGGGAGGATTGCATGTATAGCATCTTCAGATTAGTTAACCGGGTTCTTATCATATCTCATCTTTTCAAGGCCGAGAAAAGATCTTCAAGGCTTGGACTGCGGAGGGAAAATGTGATGATTCTCATAATGTTTATTCAATAAATGGATGTAAAAAAAAATGTAGAGGGTATGGGACGTCGTATAGTAGATGCGACGAGTGGATATAAATAATTTACAATGTACTGCTATGGGTTTTCTCTCATTCCATCAATTTTCTTGCCATGATTTCATCGTCATCCTGATCCTGCAAACGCTGATGCTGATAATGACGTTTCAAACTTGTCGCATAAACACCGATCGAGCTTGCAAAGTATATCTGCGCCGGTTGTTTTGTTTAGTTTCCCCATGATCAATATACATTTTTTTTTTAAAAAAAAAACTCTGGAAGTACCTGAATAGCGTTGCCTACGAATACAACGACGCCAGAAGCAATCACGAGTTTGTTTATCAGATCTATACAGTATTGTTTATCGTTTCCTCCAGCAATAGGCTTGTTGTGTGGAACAATCACGCGACTGTATGGACTATCTTCCGGCAATCCCGCCATCTTATTCACCAAATCCTGGCAATCGTTAACATAAACATCTTGCTTGACCTTGAAATAGATCCAATACGCCAAAGAGCTGGTGAGAATTAAGAGTACGAAAATCCAGTTCGCCACATGGTAGATGCGCACCACCCTTCGATGTTGCTGAAACGCATCATTTTCAGTACTCGGCAAAAAAGCTTCACAACCCATAGGCTTATTATCAACTCACGAGAACAATCGCTATGATGCCGAACACCGAAGTCACTGCATATCCCATAGTGACGCACGCGAACGCTGCAAACACCCCATTGAATGCTGTATCGGTGAGGGCGGTATCCACCTCCTGGATCGATGTAGCCCACAGGTACATATCTAGTCATATTATTACTAACACACGTCAACCGAAATACAAACACAAAGTATTACCATCGTGCTTGACGAACATGAGAGTAAATAAAGCGAGGTAGACGAGCTATTGAAATACGTGGTAAAAGGGAATGAGCCACCTGAAATCTGCTAAATGGACTCGCCCAAAACTACTGCATGTTAATACTTACACTCAGAATAATGGATATTAGTAGGACGCCGATGCGTACAGGAACGCAGCAACATACTCGCTCACTGACCAAGATCATTTGTTGAGTAAAAGAAAGTTATGCATCGCGAGATTCCCGTTCTACCGTAGATATAACTACGCTGTGTGGCTTTGCGTGTAACCATGATGAGGCTCATCCACCATCAAACAGTTTCGGAGACAAAAATAATCCTTCACCGCCTTGTGCTGCGCAAGTGTCAGATGAATCACTTATCAGAGATTTGTTCGACACCAGTTGAGAGCCTCTTGCCTATTTTATCCAGTTTCTAACTGTGAAGAAACTCTTCAAAACTTGCAGCTGGCTTACTCTCAGATCGAAACGACCACACGTTGGTATCAGATCAGAAAAATCGGTTGTGCTTGCCCGGCGTAAACTCAGACTGTCGCTTTTGTCCTTCTGCGGCCATTGAAACGCTGGAATCACGCCGCTGCTGAATGCTCCCCAAAACTGCCTCCGACAATATATGACAGCAACCCAGCGTCTTGATCCGATGACTGGCTTAAGTGATTTTGCATGCAACACTGTCTTTATCAAATTTCACTCGTTCGGCTTAAGAGTCTCCATCGCACCAAAGTAATTCCTTCCCAGTGCAACTAAAAGAAACCCCATCGAGTTAAAAGAAAATCCTAGCACAGACACCGGTCGATTTCAGAACGCTGGCTTTTCGAATTCCCAATAATGAGGTTATTTTATTATACGTTATATGCTAAGACTAAAAATCAGTTTTGGATAACTCAATTATCACTTTTCTGTGCTTCCCGGGGTAATTTCGAAATCGAGCGGTAAGCTGTAGTTCTATGGACTGAGAACAGTATCCTTTGAATGAGTGCAAGCTGCTTCCTTTGACAGATAATGCAATGGTGTTTGAGTGCTGACTCTGATTTAACATGCAATGGTATTTTTATTAGCTTATCATGTCAATGAACTTAATATCTGAACAATTCCAAAAACTCTAGCATAAGCTACTGGGAAATTATGTTTTATGGCATCGGTTATTGAGCTTGAGACAAAGCATTTTATTAGCTAAAAGAAAAAGAAGGATCGGCGGCTTCCCTACGCAGGTATTAACCTGATCAGGTGTTAGGAGTATAATCTCAGCCACTTGGTATGCTTTTTAGGTCATACTCGAGCACCTCCAGCTGCCGATCATTCGTGTAAAAAATTATGAAATATGACGGTTTTGAAAATGCATAAGATGAAAAAAAGGGTATAAAAAGACGTACGCAATATTAATGACGGTTCGTTGCATGATGTGTCACGACTTACCTTGTGCTATTCTTCAAGCTTTAACATCGACTGTAGCTCCGCCACAGCATCTTCCAGTGCGGCAGTAGCCAACGACGCCAGTGTCGACAGTAGGAGGTTCTACACCGGCAGGACCTTCTTCCAAAAGGGGCCACGTCAAGAATTCATTGGTTTGGTTCTGTTGGAATTGATCGTCTACGATTTCCAAACGCTTGCAGTAGTTGGTCACCTTGTCCCAATCACGTTGCACGTTCTTCAAATCGCGGGACATGTATCTGAAAGATCGCTGGAAGATCTTGCGGTTCACTTCATTGTCCATATGAGGCTTCATTTCCACAAAGTGCTCATAGGCTTCAATAGGCTGGGCAAACATGTAATCGGCGCCACGCTTGACGGCTTTCATGAACTTGGCCACCTTTTCAGGATTCTCTGCAATGAACTGCTCGTTGCCAATAAAGAGAATCTATTATAAAGTAAAAAAAAAGATGAAGATTAGAAACTCGTTGAATAGCGGATAGGGAGGTGTGCCTATGTGTGTGTGCGTGGGGGGGGGGGCGGTCTTGTAAACTTACCGAGCAGAAGCAGCAGCAACCCAGATGAGCCAACTCGTCGATACGGAGCATAGCCACATCGTCGCGGGAACGGCCTTGAGTGACGGACCATTCTTCGAGCTCGACCATTTGAACATTTTCAAGACCAATGCCGGCATCAATTTCACCACGAATGATGGCACGGGTCACATTCATACCCACACGAACTGCGGTATAGTCCTCAGGAGTCATACCATATTGGCGGGTCAGTTCGTCCAACTGGATCTTGCCAAATTCACCGACGTAACCAATGCGTTTGCCGCGCAAGCTCTCAAATTTCTCGGTAATACCGCTCTGGGACTTCAAATACACGACTCCCGTAAATGGTTCATCAAGAAGAGTACCAATAGACTTGATAGGGAAACCACGAGCCTTTCCGGCAATGGTATGGATCATCGCCTTGCAACCGAGGTCAACTTTACCGGAACCAATGATTTCCGTCACATCCGAGGGATCGTTCGGCTCCAAGATAGCCACCTTGACACCTTCCTCTTCAAAGTAGTTCAGCTTCTTGGCCAAAAAGAGAGGCAAATGGTACGGAGTAGCGTGCCAGTTCAACAAGCAAGTGATTTTATCAGTAGACATAGTAACAGGAAAGCGATGGGGAGATGATGGTTTCTTCTCGAGCGACAGTGGAGCTGTCTATTTATAAGAAAATAAATGCAGATTGTGCTAGGGTACCCGAACCATCCAAACTAGATGCAAAGAATATCGAGATGGAACCGGATCGTCTCTTGCCATTGGCAATTTCCTTTTAAGATTATAGACCTACATGGCTGTGTAACATCGCCAACATCCGTACGAGTCCGCAGAGATCCGAACATAACAGCAATATGACCTTAATCGGTTACTGTACCAAGTTTGCAAGCAACAAACAGTCATTTATCATAACATGAATGCGAGCAAGGCTGTTTTAAACTGCCTGCGACAGCGCAGGTGCATTAGCAATGTCTACGACGGCAAGATGAAATATAAGAAAGGAAGAGAAAAAGAATCCATGAATCATTGGATCAAGGGACTCAGCATAAATGGTGGTGGAGTCAGCATATAAGCCTCCTATATTTTCAGTCAGAATCAGCTCAAAAATCTAGGACTTAGCGGGTGTAAATCTCTCAAAAGATGGACCTTTTTGTGTCGGAGTAACAGGTTGTCTTTTCATGGAGTTCTTTCGAAATGGAGTTTCAATAACGTACAATTGAAGATCAAATAATGGACCATGAGTGTCTTTCGAAGGTGCATGAATGACCTAACAGAGTTCATGTACAGCTCATCATATCAAAAGTTCTCAATACATTGGAGTAATTGGTAGACTGATGGGATGATATTATATTTCTTAGCTTTGGAAAAGGTCGCAAAAAAAACGACATAATTATCAGAAGTCGGAAAAGTGGGAAAACGCATTGCAGAATCGTGAGAAGTATGAGTCATAGGAACGCGAACAATCGGAAATTAAGGTATTGCAACTTAGTGCGAGCATCTCAGGACTGCATACCATTATCCGTTTACATATATTGCCGTTGATGGTCATTTCAGCATCAAGATAGCCGATGAATGATGCGACGTAGCTAGCTAAATAAAATTACTCTTCGAACATTTGTTGTGGACTATTCTGCTAACTGTAGCAATAAAAAAGAAGCCTATATTTTTAGGGCTGGAAGTAGTGGCAAAGGAGTATGGTTGATATTTGCCTTGTGCTATATGTAATCAGGATCTTAACCTAAACTATTATCCGGGAGCTTACCTTTGAAGAGCATACGGTAGCTTATTTCGGGAAGACCGACGGTCAACAGGATCTCCTTCTTTAGAGAATAGTGGTCTAACGAAGCAACACTCCCTGTCGTTTGGCAATGCCTATTTGGTAAAGATCAGTACTTGTAGTACCTTACTAAGCTAGTTATGATCACTTTATTATCACTCAAAAATCTGTACTTGTATTATTTGTGGTGTCTAGACTTGATTTTACCAAGATAATCCCGGAAAAAGGTTACTCATTGCCTGCCTAAAATACGTACTAGCGAAATATGCCGCACGTTGCTAACTACTTGCTACCTGCCAACTTGTTCGGAATCAACTTTTTCTTTACACGTGGAGAATAATGAAGATGTCATGTCTTTCATTCCATTCACTTCTACATGGATGCAAAGTGCAGTTTATGAAAAAATGATCCATCATTTTATTTATGCAGGTACGTTTTCATTAATTAGGATTTGTCATTTGCACTTTTTACATCATCTTTCTCTTCCTTCTTATCAGCCGAGTCTGATTCCTTGTTCTTCTTCTCATCTTCAGTGGCCGTTGATACCAAAACTCCCTCTTCCTGCAGGTTATCGATTTTGTTGTTGATTAAGTTGTGCAAAGCGATGACGGCTCGAATCAAACTGGACAGATACATCACAAGAAGTTGATCGTTGGTCTTTGTGCTGAAAGAGTTGACCATTTCAGGGGATTCCAAGCTAGGCAACAAGTTGAAAATATCCTGAAGATTGTAAATGATTTGATGATTCACCGGTAATTTGCCGGCCACGACCTTTTGCAAGTAGTCGCGGATTTCTTCCAGTCGTCCTTGCAATCCAGATAAAGATTCCAATTGTGAATTGATGCGAGTTGAAAGTGTGCCCACTGCGTTATCCTTAATGTCTCGCAATAAGTGCTCCACACCGATTTCTTCAGCCTCTTCAGCCACTATCTCTGAGGGAACATGCATGAACGTCTTCGTTGTTGCCGTGCCATCCTATCCATGATGAAACATAAGTCATCACTCGTCCTTGGTGTTTTCCGAAACTCGCCCTCAACTACTCACATCTTTGATCTCTTCAATGGCAAAGTAAGCATCCGTAGGAATTTCGACATCTTTGGGTTTCACATCGACAATCACCAGCACGGGATTGGGTGTGTATCGTTTGAATAAATCGTTGATCTCCAAATCTGACGAACGAAGCTTCGGTCCACTGTGGTACCATCCAATCAATTTCTCTTTGGCTGTAGTAAAAACAGATTAGTGATCCATGCCCACCATGGCCGAATATAAGACCCGCTTACCGTTTACTTTCTTGAACATGTCATTCATGGCTTCAACGTAGTTATGATCGAGAAACCACACTGAGGGATCTTTCTCATCCTCCTCAAAAGGAACTAACAAACGTTTTCAGCTGAATGGTCCTGTTTGTTGATGCATTTTGCAATGGGGGGACGGATTTACCTGCAAAACTGTTGGATACATTGACGGTCTTGCCCTTTTGCTGTCCAAGTAAAACACCCACGACCCGCTTTCTGGTGTCTTTAGCTACACGGTTGTAGTGATCGGTGGCTGAAAGAAGAACTAAAGGATGCACGTGAACGGTCGTTGCAGACGAAATAGAAGTTGTGGCTGGCATAATGGCTGAATCGTTGGTCCACTGATGGATGAATACGTTGAAAAAGCGTCAGGTCCCGGAGACGGCTTGCTGTGCACACGCGTATATCAAATTGTCTTTGTGACATCATTCTGGCGGTGTTTAAAAATGGAAGCGCTTCTCATGTGAGTGCTCGAGCCCGGCATTGAAGCCAAGCACCCTCTTTTTTTCTTTTTCTAACCCATAGCCATGTCAAATTACAATTATAGCTACATTATCAAGGTATGTATTTTCAGATATTCCTCGTAATGGTTGCTCTAAGATAGTAAAGTAGTATATTATCATCGGCGACACCGGTAAGCCTACAGAAATAGACGCCATTCGAAACCAATTCATCTCAATGCCTTGAATCATCTTTTTTGTCTGCAGGCGTTGGCAAGGTAAGCTACTTTTACTGTTTAACTTGTTCACAAAAAGAAAAGGAATTGTATCGATTGGCTATTTGGATACAGTACCATATGAGAATATCGATACTATCCTTCTTTCTTTTCCTTTTCATTCATCCAGCAATGATATAACTTTTTTGTGTTCCATGGATTGTTCTCCGCAGTGGATCTGATCTTTTTCTCTTTATCGCTTTTTAGTCATGCCTCCTTTTACAGTTTACGGATCAACGATTTATGCCTGCGCACGATCTTACGATTGGGTGGGTAAAAAAAATTACAAGGCTTAACGACAGTTCGGTACACCTCTTAAACATATCATCCACACTATAGTGTTGGTTTTGGAACGAAACACATTAATGTAAACGATCAGCAAATCAAATTACAAATTTGGGATACGGTAAGATTGAATGAGGCATTAAATGAAATCAAAATAAAATAAAATGAAAGCACTTACTTTTCTCTTAAATATCATTGCATTTAGGCTGGCCAGGAATCCTTTCGAACGATCACTCGCAGTTATTATCGAGGAGCAGCGGGAGCATTGCTGGGTGAGTGGAACAAAAATCTAGTGTGACAAGTGTATCCATAGTTGTCTTACCCATTCGGTTTCGTTTTTTGACGTTCCAGTTTATGATATCACAAGGTAAATATTTCAACAGATCTAAAGGATGACCCTTTTTTTAAACCAATGTTAATTTTCTATTTAGACGCGAAACCTTTGAAAATTTGCCGACATGGTTAGAAGGTTGATATTGAAACGTACTTTAGAATATCCTTTTGAGCTAACGTGACGCTGTGCCATATCCAAGATATCCGTCAACACGCCAATCCCAACACTGTGATCATGGTGATTGGCAACAAAAGCGATCTCGAAAGCAAGCGACAAGTGTCAACAGAGGAAGGCGAAAGATTTGCACGCGAAAACGATCTCTTCTTTTTGGAAGCTTCGGCTAAATCAGCAGAAAATGTGGAAGACGCCTTCTTAAAAACCGCCCAGACTATATGCAAGAAAATTCAAAGCGGTGTCATTGATTTATCAAACGAGGTAATGAAACCCGTTACTTGATCAACGAGAAAAAGAGTTCATACATTAACTAATGGGGAAAAAATACAACATCCGGTTTTTTTTTTGGGGGGTTAGACAACGGGCATCAAATTATCCGCGCCTCAAGGTGGTTCGTCACTACCTTCTGCTAATGCAACATCCAACAAAGGCGGATGTTGTTAGACAGACTAGGTGAACAAGCTGCCCATATCATTTAGAACCACTGAAGATTCCCCGATTCCGTATCAATCATATAAAATATAGTTATTTTATTTTCGTCCAGATATGAAGTGCTCTTCATTACTTCCCTCTTTCCCGTGCACCATTTCCTACATACTAAAGCTTAATGCAACCGTATATATGTTACTCCTTGACGTAACTACTGACCCATGGTTTGTCAAAAAAACCCGAGTAGCAGCAAACAAGCTGGATGGGATTGCGAGAACACGAAAAAGCCCTTTTCTACAGCAGGCAAGTTTTGTTTTACTTCACAATGATGCCATTGTTAGATCTGCATTTTGGATTGACGTGTATGGAACATCGTTGCCAAATTAGCAAACACTAAGCCTAGTTATCGATGTGGGATTCATTCTATTAATAGTTGCTACTTTATTTTGAAATGACACTTTGGTATACAGCAACTGCTGTGCTCTTTGACCATAGTAACGGTCATGTTTTAGCTGGTTTTCTTTTTGGGCAGCATATGATATATGTTTGTAAGAGTGTATCCGCCAGTGGCAACAACGCGGTGGAATTAAAGCCAGCTGGTCCAGCCTTCGTACATCATGCAAAGATTGTCAGGGGATGTAGCTTGTTCAATACTTCTTGTGACCTATGGATGAAAAATTTAGATATTAATATTACCTTATTTTCTTCATGTTGAACCAACCTGCTCTGAAACTGTCATCTTGTATGGCACGTTGAAATCCCTTCCTTCCAATTTCGCTTTGATACGACGCATAATGCCCAAAACGTGTTCGCTGCGTTGCATAACACGGACCGGAGCGCCAGTGCGTTCTAATAGAATGGTATAAGTCATTGATTCAAGGAAGGTATGATCCATATTCTCTGTTTATCTACCATGGGGATGGGTATGGACCAATTCCTTCTCGTCAACGCCAGTAGCTTGATGATGTGCTGCATCGGGAATACTTTGTTTTTCCGTCATTTCCGGATACTGGGATCGAGGTTCCGACTGACCGCTGGCGTACATGGACGTATGTTCATTATCACCAGTATCATCGATCGATGCATGTTTGCTCTTTTCCTCTGCAGTCAACACGCTTATAGGTTTCGATTTACGAATATCATCAGCAGAAGAAGCCTTGTTCTCGGGACCGAATTCTTCAAGCGTTTGCAAGGATGTGAACAGTTGTTTTAACGCTTCCCCAATATGGTCCATCGTCTCGATCTATGATTTCCATCAATGATTTCGCTCCCGACAATAGATAAATGTCATCCTACCAGCTGCGAATAGTCGCACACAGACGCCTCCTTAATGAATGAGATGTGTTTTTCAAGCTTGATAAGTGCATCTAACGCAATCTATGCAACATATAAGCATACTGATCCGGCCAGTCATAAATTAGTGATAGGCTTACCTTGGCACTTTCTTGCGCTGGCTTCATTTCATTATCTGCGTTGGTATCCACAATCGTAATGGATTCTAATAACGGACCGACGCCATCCACAGGCGATTTCACTTCCGCCACCAGTTTAATCACATTGACAAGCTTGTCTTTGACGGTGTGAAGCACCGTAGAGGGAACCACAAACTGGGAGCGAATCATTTCAAAATGAATATAAAGCTCCACATCAGTGAGATCGTTGTCATACATACCGTTTTCTGGGTATCTTGAGGAGTTTCGTTGACATCTCTATGGGATAACGTATTAATGAAAAACAGCCGTTGGTAAATTCTCTTCCATTAATTTTCTTACTCTTCAATTAGGATTTGCAAGTTTTCTTCAATTTCTTTTGCAAATAGCATGGCTTGGGTATAGTTCTCCCGACAACTGTCGAGTTGAAGAATGCTGTTGTACAACTCCATGATCGTGGTACACTAGCATCGCCCAGTATGAATATGCGCTTTCACTATCTTTTATTGTGATTGAAAGTTAGTTTACCTTTTCCTTTTCGAGTCCATAAGCCCTCTTCCACTGGGATTGGATCATTGGCCATTTAGAATCTTTCGGTGACACGCTATCCAGCTGCTCACAAGTCTTGTCCAAAGATTCCAATTCGATTCCCAGCAGCCGCAGTTTTTCAGCAGCATCTGAGAGCTGGACAATAAGCTACATGATATAACGGGTTAGCAAATATTGAGATATCTCTACAGTAAAAACATCCCAACCTGGCTACGTAGAAGTGGCGTGTGAGTCTGTACATAAGGCGCATTGTACCATTCAAAGCGGGCAATGTCCGCATGGTATTGTTTCATGGATCGGTCATACTTTTCCATGTATTGATATGCCTATGCATCTACTTGTTAATAAACAGAATCAAACGTTGGCTCAAACTGGCGATCGAAATACTACCTTTTCCATAATGAGTTGTTCCGTCATCAAGCTGCACATCTCTTTAACAATGTCGACCGAGGAAGTAGTGGGTGCGTCTTGGTTCACGGATAACTGAAGACTTAACCTGTTTCGCATGACGGATAAAAGCTGATTGGACGCAGGAATGTAGATATGCAAAATGAAAAAGCTGGCCATCGCAGACAAACTGTGACTAATCACAGGATTGGACGCCATGCTCCAGGCAATGATCAACGGTGGTACCGAAGCATGGGGTGGAATGGCCTGGAAACATTTCTGGATCTCTTGCAGTATATTCAGGAACAGCTATAACAATGCATTTTTTTAGCCGCTGTCACCTTTATGTCACTCATTACATAATTTCTTACTGTTTGTTTGTACAACATGTACTGCAGAACAATCGGATCGTCCATCATCTGGTTTAGTGGAATCAAGCATGTAAGAACATGAGAGCAACCAAAACATCATTGATCTGAAAAAGTCTTATGAACGATCACATACCTCGGCTGCCATGCATGCATAATCCAGTGCATGGAAGGTATCCAATATCAACGCCAAGGGACCAGATATATGGGGTTGTTGCTTATAATCTCTCTGTTTGTAGAGCATACTGTTAACGGCGTTCAAAACATTGACTCAATGGAGTTTACCATCTGCTCCGGCGTCAAGTTGCGAAGTGTGGTAATCATCGCTTCCAAACTCTCTGCTGAAAAGAATTCAAGCTGCTCGCAAATCGAAAAGCATGCCTCGTCCAATTCAAGCAAGGTAGGCGTCATTATTGACAGACAATCCAGAACTCGAGTTTCGCGTTCTCCCAAGAACTCCACAAGTCGATGACCTCCCCAAATATCTAAATAGTCTAGCGTCAGTATGATAACCACCCAAGCACACTTTCAGACATTCCAGTATTACCGCGTAAAGACGATAGATATACCCGCCAGTAGGAGCTGAGGGCCAAAAGGCCTACGTCTTCATGGTACGGTAAAGAGAAAATGCTCAGACGACATTTCCCTTCCTTGGCCAGCAATTGCCCTTTCAAGATAGCATTAGTTTCCTGATCATCATCGTGGGGTTGGTCAATTTCTTCGTTGGCTAGACGACGCAGCAGAGTTTCCACCGTCGGCATCGAATCCAGCATGGCCAAGGTACGAGTCTCATGGTCACACATCATCCTCCATCGCTTCTGTGTTTGTCGCAGCGCTGCTTCAGCACCGTTTCCACGGCTGTTTGCAGATTGGAAACCGAGGACTAGCGGCCTAACGTAAGCCAAGTACTGCAATAACGCATTGCTAAAACTATAGGTTCGACTTTCCAGCGTCTGTAGAGCGGGCGAAGTCCTTTTGCTGTGTAATCGTGACAATACTTGCTCGGCTAAAGGTTTCGCAAATCGGTGTTCGACCAAGTTGGCCAGCATGCCACCATACATTTGACACGTGTCTTGTTGCAGCACTTTGCCTTGCAATGGTTCTATCAGCTCTCGATACGTTCGGATCTCTTCCTCACACTCGTGATAAACAGCATTTCTTTGGTCAATCCACAGGTTGACTTTGCTGGTAAACTCCCTGTAAATGTCCACACAGGCTCTATCATCGATGGTCTTTGGGATTACGTCCCGCTCAAGCCCCTTTCGGGATATAACGTCATTGAATTGCTGCGGTTTCTACAGGAAAAAAGATATTCCTGTCATTCACTGCGTGACATTCAATGTTTACCGTGAGCCAACTTGCCTTTACCATGTCGATAGCGATTCGATGGTTCGCGTGCCAAGACCGACACCGAGCTAATATATCGTGAAGACGATCCTTTGCACCTTCGAGACGATCCTCGACATTGGTAATGATGTTCATTTCATCCTCATCGCTATCATCCTCGATTAACAGTTGATCAGCACTCGATTTAGCCGACTGAATGAGGTCCGCCAATCCGGAGAGTGTGTCGGATACTCTTGCCTCCATTGTCTCGTAGTGGGATCTTTTCTCAGCTAAACAAGACAGATCACTTTTTAGAATGCCATGAATCCGTAGTATCAAAAAGCACAAGTACATACTTAAACGGGAGGCGATGAGGGCAAGGTTCGCTTGAATCTCGGTCATTTGACGTTCTTCTACTTCTTCGGCTTCGTTTTCCCAATCGACCAATGGATCGTAGACAAAGGCATCCAAAAGTGTCAGAAGCACTTCTTTGTGCTTACGCAGCACGCGCATCGTCTCTTCCGCTGCTGTACGGAAAACACCATCCACGCCAGTGATGCCAAGAGCATTGAATAAATTTTGCGTGAGACGATAAGGCACCAGTTCAGGAACACGTAACCGTTTGCCTTTTTCAAAGCACACATTGTAATCGATGTGAATTATCTCGCCGGTTTTGTAATCGACCATGATGTTGTCGAGATGTCGATCGCCCAAGCCGATAATATAACCAATCATTGACATGACAGCAAGCGATCGGCTAAAAGAATTCGTTTTCTGAAGCCATTCCGTGGCATCCACACTGTTGCACCATATCTCCCTCGCCAACAGCTCGCCGGGGCTTTCCTTGACTAAATCCATAAACACTTTCTTCAACACATGTTTGGGCCAATGTTTTCGATTGGCGGTGACACGCAGTCCCTCGGCTTTGAGAGCCTTGGCGACCTTGTCCATGAATATTTCAGTCGGGATACGTGGTTGGGCGGGCGGTGCCACTTTATCAGGGGTCTCGTTGGCCAATAGCATTTGACCAAGGTGTTCCTGCTTTTGCCATCGCTTGTAGAGCGCAAACAAAGGCACCGCATCGTTCACCCATTGAATCATTCCTGAATGATCGCTCAGAGGGATCACAGCGTAGGTACGTGCTTTCATGCCACGCGTAGCTGTCGCTCGATCTTCCACAAGCACTCCATTGATCGTACGTAGTAGTTGCATGATACGTTCATCCAGGTGAAGATCCTCCAATCCTTTAAACAGGTACGAGTACTTTTTGCCATCCGTGCCCACCACTTTTAGCTTCTTTGGTCGCGTCTTGGTCGGAATGATCACTACACTCGTGCCAAAGGTCTGGATAAAGCACGACGCGTGACTATCGTGGATGCCAGGCAAACCGATCACCGTGTTCTTTAGACCTGCCAGATACGGTGACACATCCTTGAGCTCCAAAAGTCGCACTTTATGAGATTCTGCAATGAGTTGGCGATGCAGCTAACAAAGAGGTACAAAGTTTATACGAGCGTTCATCATTTCACGTAAGAATAGTTCTACCAGTTACCTTTTGGAAACGTTCCCAGCCAAGACGATGTTCTTCCATGGATTTCGGTTTTTGCAGTAATTCAAAGGCTTGCTGTATTTCGTTTCCGTATGTTTCACAAAACCATTCTTCATGATGCGTGCGGGAGGCACTATTGACGGTAGCGGTCATCAGCTTTTCGATCGAATTAACAATGAATTTCATCACGCTATCATAGTTGTCTCGGAAGATCTTTTGGCATTGAACGTTTTCCAAGTCCATTTGCTTTAGACGAATCACTTCATGCTCCAGCTTTTGAAACTGTTGCATCACGTCGAGTTGCAGAGAAGCAATCTTGTTAATCCACTTTTCTTCCCAGAGCACGGTAATCTTCTCCAGTTCTTCGGCCATCCGTCGCGTAGAATTCCATAAAACCGCGTTTTTTTGCATCATCTGACTGGCAATGGTATCGAGCACGAGTTTGGCTTCACGACTTGTTTTCGACGACGTGTAGCCAACAATAACATCGTACACAATATGTTGAGGATCGTCATTGCATATACGGCTGATGAGTCTTCCAATAATCTGCCGAACAAACTCGGCAGGATGGTGCAATCGGGAGAAAAGTTGAGGAACAATCTGTTTCCATGGTTCAATGTTCACCGTTTCAACATGTGTCAGAAACAAATCTTGCAATGCTTCTCCGTATTTCACCAACAGCCGCAGTAAACGCAACGTAGCCGTCATTACGCTGGACGTAGAAGTTGAAGACAATCCCTTTTCCTGCGTACAGCGGACAGCGTTAACAGACTGACTCCCATCCTGCGCAAGATTTGTGAGTCGTACCTTGTTCTGATATTTATCCAGTGATAAGTGTTGGAAATAGGCCAACACTGCGCTACGGAACCGTTGTAGGATCGCCTCTTGCAATTTGTTTAGAGTGTCGATCACTGTTTCTTTGCATTCGTTACTCATATCAGGGGCAATGTGAGTGAAAACGTGGTTGAGTGAAGAGGATTCTTTAAAGCCCTGCGATCCTACATCAGCCGATTGATCTTGTAAAAACTCTAGCAAAGCCTGGCGAAAGATAGATTAGAACGAACAGAGACCAAAAGAACCCCACTTCAAGTATGTCAGTTATCGTCTTTCATCTTACCTTTTCTATATCGGTGATTTTGCCATGAAGCCGTCCGTTTGCCTCTTCACTCTCCAGTGCAGCACGCAGATGGTTGCGAACCCAGAGAATGGCAGCAAGTTGAGATTCTTCACGCGACAACTCGTTGAGCATTCTCCATCCCTCTTTGTAGTGATGCGTAGCATATTCGAACCATACATCTGCAGAACTGGATGATTTTTCGACCGCTTTTTCAAAGGCGGAATCGATGGCTTGTTCGACAGGAGAATACAGTTGGTTTGCCGATGGCGTGTCCGTCGACGACAAGTTCATCAAATGTTCGGTTAAAGAAATCGTATCATTTTCAGGGGCATTATCCAGTAGTTTCGCAATCTTGACGCACACTTTGCTTTGCAGCACAGCGTATTCGGGGCTCGACTCGGTGCTCTGAAGAATGGTGTGGAAAGTATCCACAGCAGCGCTGTAGTGTGACTGGGCTAGCAGCAGTTTGGACCTCTCGTACAACGTATCCATTGCCTCGCTGTCGGTCTTAGCGACACTGTCCAACCAACGTTCGGCCGTGGCAATATTGCCTTGTTTCCGTGCCACTTTGGCTACATGCAGCTGGATTTCTTTGAGGTAGGGCGCCGCATACGTTAGATCCATATCATTCAGGTTATTGCGGAAACAATTCGTTAAACGGTTCCAGATTTTTGTTTCAGGTAAAGAAGCGATCGATGGAGCATGATGGCTGAAATGAACCCAATCTTGGGCTTGGAACAGAAGCTTTTCGGTGGTGGTCTGCTGCAGCTGGTATTCCAGTATTTTGCATCGGTCCGACAGGACATCTTGACTGAGCGTGAGCCATAGCCGTTGCGCCAAAAAATCATTGATATCTTCGTTGGTTGTCGTTGAACTGTTCGTCATCCCCAACCAGTGCCGGTACCGTTCAAGGCTAGCAATATCGAGCGACGACTCTATCGAAGTATTGTCGATGTACGATTGCAGATCGCCCAGAGTGAAATCACTGTGATTCGTTTGCAACTGCTCCTGCTGATGGCTAAATTCCATCAAACTCTTAAAAACGGCGTCACTGAACATCGATGTATTATCACCGCACAGCTTCTCAATCTGCTCGTAATCCTCCAGAGAAGCATAAAAGCGAAGTGTCTGAAAAACACAGCCCATTAGTATACCGATTTTCATCGAAAAAAAGGACAAGCACATACTTCAGCATTCAGCATCTTGATGATACCAAAGGGATCATTGTCGACATGCAAATCCATCCGTTGGAGGCTTTTGATGGCCGCTTCATCATGACCCTGAAGAAAATGAACAGATCAGTATTTGGATTTCAGCTGCGGTCAAAGGAAAAACTTACTGAGGCAAACATGGCAGCGATATGGAACCAGGACACGGACTGACTTTGGGATTCATAAGAAGCTATTCTTCCTGGTGAGTAATCCATGGAATAGTTCTTCAAAATGACCTTGTGCAATACCTTTTGGAAGAGGTCCGATCAAAAATCGAAACGTATAATGCTCCAAGAACGATGGCTTGATGTGTGCCATCTTTCGAATTAAGCGTTTGTACCAGGAGTGGAAACCCTGAATAATGTCTGCTTGCTTTTGGCGGATGCAGGTATGCACTGGCAAGTTCCACTTTGTGAGCTTCATTGTTTGTAATTTCCATGTATTTAATTTGTTTACCTAATTCTCGTAGCAGTATATTGGTATCCATAAACCATTTGGTTTCATTTTCTGGCACCTGTTCCGTAAGCGATGCTTCTCGCTCTTTTAGAGTCTGTGCAGAGAAAAAAAAAGGGTCCACTTTCAGTCATTTTACCGCGGGATGCAATTCTTGATGAATACTTACCTGGAGAGCGTGGCGAACGAACAAGTCATTATCTCCAATGAGTTTGGCGGCGCGGATCATATTTGGACGTATCCTTGAAAAATAATCTTGACATGTTTTACGGTTGCCTCTGAAGAATAATAAACTTGGTCTTGGCACGGCCGGTAAAGCACCAGTGGTGCAACCTTCCGATGCATTGTAGATTTGTGTTTCCAGTCGATCCAACAGCACCAGCAAATGTTGCAAATGTTGTCTAGAGGCCATCATATGAGTCCCTGCACAACTTAAAACACTGATGGCAACTTGCCTGTTGCATTGATCGTCTGCTGTAACTAATGCGTCCAGTTGCCGTTCAAAAGCTGCAAATGTCTGAAAGGAATTTAGCGAAATGACCCACGGCAAAACTTTCTTGCACAGACTACACACCTGTTGAGGCCCTCCAAAGGGTGTCCTTAAGCGAGCTAGGATGCAATAACGCGCAGATTCCCATATCGCCCAATAATACAGCAGAGACTGCGAATGATTGATAAGGTTGACCATCTCCGTATTTCCGCTACCTGAAGTGGATGCTGCAAGTAAACAACTGGACTACTGTTGAGGGAGGTCTTTGGCCAAGTACGAACCTTCTTTTACATCTTCATAGATGCTAGTGCTCTGCATATTTTTCAGTGAGCTACAGTTATGGAAGAGTCGTTTCGCCCAGTCTGCATCTTGAGTAGTATTTGGATCAGGGTGATTGCCACTGACATTGAGTAAAAGCTTGGTCATTCCCAGATTGCGCATGACAATCTCATAGTGTGCAGGACGAAACGATCCTGTATGTGGGGTAGCCATGCATATTTTCTAAACAACAAAGAGCATGTGAGATGTGTCGAACAGTGTAAAACAAATTAAAATAGTTACCTTAATATTGGAAAAAGCCGCATTGCCTTGTTTAGCGATATCAGCAAGCAGGAATATGTTGAGCTGATCAAGCAATTGTTTGCTAATTTTCTGGATTTCGCCGCATGTATCATCCACCCTGTGAATGCAGATTAAGTACAAGAGATGTTGTCCATATCAACTGGTCACTTACCCTCGTTGTACCAAGGAAATAGCAGGCAACAGAATATCCGTCGATCGGTATTCTTGGCAATACTGCGAGATTAAGTGGAGTAATCGTCCTTTGACATGGTTATTCCGTTCGTGATCTAGCAAACAATGCATCAGAAGATATTCGTGAGCAAAGATTTACCGACGAAGATACCTGTTGCATGGATGATCCGAATAATGATATCTCGCATGTCGGACTCATTCAATTGCACGGTGGGCTGTTGCAGCATTTGTTCGACAAAATCACAGATGGCTTGCCGAGAACGAAGTGTCAATGCATCCCAGTGATCGGCACAATCTGCTATAAGAGCAACTTGCAATGATAATTCCTCTGCTGCCATCCGGGAGCTTCTGTGTGCGACAGCAAGTATTAGTAAGGGTTCAAGACAGCATACTGTATCGATGGTAGCTTACTTTGTCCAAAAGTCAATCAGCATTTGTAAACAAGTATCAAACATGTCGAAACATCGATATTGCCATGTTTGACATAACATTCGTAGAATGGCCCCAATATGCTGTTCTCTGCCAACAGACCAAATGGTAGCCATATCCAGCAGAATATAACCGTAGAAAAGGGCATTCAGTACGTTTGAAGACGCAGTAGAGGCCGATGGTCGATGAGTATTTTTGTACTGCGGTAAATGGGTATCAGTTTGCGTCACCAGGTTTGACAGTTGCCGAAATGGAGACATGAGATCAATGGTTGAATAGCTAGAAAACACTTCGGCAAGCGTACTGTGGAGTTTTTCAACGAGTTTTTCGCTAACAGGTGCCGTAATATGATTGCTGCCGGCAAGACGAATGAGTACACGGAATAGAACGAGGATATCGGCGTTCAATGACTTGTCGGTCGGATGCTCAGTGCGCCATCGAAACAAAGGCGAACTGTCCACATCGAGAAGGTACATGATTTTCTCAGCATCAATATTGGGCGAACAAGCATGAATCGTCTGTATTCATCATGTTAAGACACTCATTGTTATAATGATTATACGAATTGGTGGGACATCCTTACCCGCATCAGCATTTGCACAGAATGTGTTGGACCAGAAACCGTGTTCAACGACAAGTAGTGAAATACGCGAGATTGATAGCCCTGAAACGATTCCGGCCGAATAGATACCATCTGTAAAACGATTTGATCGGCTAAACACAGCACGTTAGCAATGTAACCCGATAGTTTTAAAAAGGTGGACGACGTACAGATGTGAAGCCAGTGGGTATCTGGGGAAGCATTCATGGCTTTGATGAGAAATTCGATGGTTTTCGGCCGCAAGGCATCCAGCATACGCCCTGCTACATCGTTTGCGTCTTTCTTTGAACGTGCATCAATGAGCGGAATAACGGTCTCGAGGATTTCGTGGAAACATCTATGATATAAAAAAACAATTAAGTCAAGATGGTTCTATCTGCACCCAGCAGTGGTCATACCGTAAAAGGTTCAAACAGATTCCCCATTTGGACTGAACCGTGGTCGATTCAGCCGGTGCTGTGGTCTGAATCTGATGTAAAAAGCCCTCAATGTCGCTCAAAAAGTGCTGCATCAATTCAGATGCGAACGGCAAGTGATTGTCCCAGAATGATTGATACCGTTGAAAGGAGTCTGAGCAAATCGATGGGTAAGTATAACGAATATATTTAGGTTCGACTCTGCGAAATTTACCAAGGATAGCGGCTCGTTTCTCGTCGTCCAAATCAGCATTGACGTCAATGTACCATCCAATCAATAAATCAATGATATCCTATAAAAATCACATCCAATGTCACCGTTCCTTCCTTTTTAGTAATCCCAAGGGTCGGTACCTGAAATTTGGCAGCAAAGGCATTGTGGCAAAGCGACGCAATGGTGTTGAGAGCACGCAGGATTTCTGGAAAGTAATCCGATGTATCCATCGCATCCAATACCGAACTGATATTGGCAAGTAAAGCTGGCGCCGTGATTTGAAGTGCCTGACAGCTGATGCTTCTGGTCCCGATTTCTGTCAAAAGCTGAAATAACATGGATTGATGTAAGATAAATGAGTCCTCAAAATTAAACAAGACAATAGGCCAAGTACCATATTGAACGTGCGCAGGTACCACATTGTTCGTTCTCGTTCTTTTGCTCGGGCTGTGGCGCTGATGGTCTTATCAAGCGTGCACTGATTGGTGTTTTCCAATAACCAAGCTAATGGTACGTCAATACGATTATTGTTGCCACCAATCACAGCGACAATCTTTGCACACGCCTGCTTCAGTGCCAGTGGCGCCTTGGCCACTTCAAAGATCAGTCTTAAACCAGGTCCGTATAGGCATTCGCCTATGAGATGCGTGCATTCGCGCCGAAAAGGCAAAAGATCGGCGCCTTCCAAATCGCGGTATTCGTCCAACAGAGCCAGCAGTTGTTTCGCACTCGTCAAGCGACGCGAAAAAGTGGTATCATCGTCGTCTTGAAACACTCGTCGCAATAATGCTCGTAATTCTTCAGGGTTGCGTCTTCGGATCGAGAATGAAGACGGCATGTCTTGCGCTAGCGCTGCATTGGAAGCATGACTCGGGCTGTTACCGTGCGATCCTCCATTATACTGTCCGCTGCGATTCCGTCCAGGGGTTCCACCATTTCCAGTTCTCCTCGACGACATTATCAGGAAAAGTTGCAAGGAACTCTATTTCCGTTCGCAAGAATGGATTTTGCGTTCCACTGAATCAAATTTGCGGTTCGCAGCGTCGGACTTTTAACAGTATCGAATCGACCGCTCTCGGAACACACCATCATGACACTTTGGCTTGATTCATGCTTTGAAATGCGCTAAAACTGTTTTCAAAACAATCGATCTGATTAACTGAAGACGATGACAGCGGTTTATACTAGCTAAAAATCGTACATATTGTTTATGTAACATACAACTTGTGACGATAACCGAAGCTGCTGGTGTTCAATACCATATATTACCCACTGATCTGGTTTGTTATCTCCCAAAGGCAGCCTTTTCTAACTAAGCTCTCTCAAATAACCAACACATTAACGATTATGATCTACACTCAAGACAATTTTGTATGAAGTCTACATTCAATCTATTCGGATGCTGTAATTAGGAAAATTAAAGAAAAAGAGCGCAGCATGAAGGAAACTAGTAATATCCTCTATCATCATCGTCGTCATCTTCTTCATCACTGCTTAATGCAGCAGTTGCTTTTGAGCTGTAAATAGATTTCGACTTCTTTTTTTCCGTAAAATCATCGTCTTCTCCTTTCTCTGGTGGAACGGCCCCGTAACGAGCCAGAATCGCGCGTATACCTGGAACAGACGTTAACTCATCAATTTGACGCTAACCCTTTCCAATCGTCCTCAATTCAAATCCAAAGCTTACTTTTCATGGTCATGTTCATTCCACCAAACTGAATAGCGCCGACAAGATTGGCTTTGATGTCACCGTCACCATAGATCAAAAGCGTTGGGAGATTGCGGTCAGGATAATTGGGTATACATTGATCTCCCACGATTTTAAGGAATTTGGTGGCTTTAAACTGCTGTGCTAATGCCGATAAATGATGATTCATGAGCTTGCATGCTGGAATGCTGTCAAGAAAAGAGACATTGATCATTCAGTCTACTGCTGCGTGGGATTCTATCGGCACCGGGACTTACGAATCCTTGAACAGATGCACTACAACGTGGCATTCTTTACTCGCTTCGGTGACTTCTTTAACAAAGTCTGGCTTGGAGATTTGAACCAAATCGCCATATTTTTCTTTGGCTCCCTGAGCTTGCATTTCCTGCAGACGCTTTTGTCTATGACTGCAGTGTTATCACCGTGCCCTTTTGCGCGTGGCTCATCCCGTTGATCTAATTTACCTGTACTCCAAGATGATACGATCGTCCTCCAAGTCTTCCAATTCATCGAGTTCATCGAGGGTTTTGTTATCCAAATTGTTGCGTTCTTCTTCTTTCTCCCGAAGGCTGTTGACGTACATGTCTTCCAATTCGTTCATGGTCTGTTCTTGCTTCGGAGGCAAGATGCCTTTGGCACGGAGAATGTCATTCCTTTCATCATGATCAGATGAGCATATTGCTTTCGTTCCATCAAGGCTTCGTCACAGTTACCATTCGGTATCAGCGTTAGGATCGTCCATCGTTGTAAAATAGAGCTTGTTAAAACCCGAGTTGGGAGGAGGAGCAAAGAAAGATCGCTGTTCTGTGAAAATAAGCTCAGCCAAAGTTGACATGTTGAAAGTCACGCTTCACCCTCCCGATTTCAATTTCCTGGTGGACATGGCAGTTATTCAGCAATGAAAGCTAACGATAGAAAGCAATTACTGTAGAGAGATTTAACGACAGAATTGGGTATTGCTGAACGTTGTCTATAGGGTAAAGCGTGATAAAAACTGATATCCTCCACCGACCGCAGGTGCCAAAAATAAACCATGCCAAAAACGCTTACACAGTTCCAAGGGCATATCTAAACTGCAAAATAATGCCATCTGCTAAAACTGAAAATGAGATCATTGTCTACAATGTATTTGACGCATTCTACATAATCTTTTGATTCGTGTGGTAGCTTATTTTGCGGTAAAAGAATGCTGTCATAAAACGACTCTTTTTGGGGGGGCGTTTTACACTTAGTATATCCATTGCTCTTAATCGGACCTAGTGTATCAGCAATTGCCAACTTATATCGCCGACAAGATAAGAACGATGTATAAGATATTTTCCAAACTTAAAACAGCTTGTCATATGAGAGAAGAACGAACGGATCGATAGATAGACTCATGTGATTAGGAGCTTAATGATATGCCGGGTTTATCAATACAGAAAGATTTTTATTTTTATTTTGCATGAATGCAGCTGACTTTAACATGATAGGTTCTTGGAATACACTACAGCTTCGAGGGAGCAAAGCCAATGCGATCATTTTCATAATCGTACACAGAGTAGTAACTTCTCAAGAAGGTGTCACCCATGATGATAAAACTGGATCTTGCTTCACCGATACCCGAGTAGCATAATTCACCGCCTGCAGCCGCACGTTCACGGACAAGTTCGGACATGGGAACAGGGAATTCGTACTCTCCTAGACGGAAAGTGACAAGGGTGTTGGCACTGTCTTCTTTCATTTGACAAGGCATGCGCCATCCGTAAGCATTGTTGTAGGTGGCTCCAGGGATCTTGGAATGGATCCGGCGCGATAACTCGGGGGTCAAAATGATCAAGGTGGTACCTGTATCGATCACAGCATCGATGGAAGAATTCACCATTTCTTCACCGTTGATTTGGATACCTGTTAATTCAACTTGCCAGTATTTTCTGCTGGATAGAGATACGTATTTGAGCTCGCCCTCGTAATGGTCTGGATTGGTGTTACCGAACATCTACATGTGAAGGCCCCGTTAGAAAAGAAAATTGCCGATGGAGCCGAAATAACTTACCACTTCACCGGCCCCGCCATCTCTTGCACGTCCGAGCCACACCCCTACAACCGCCGAGGCGATGGATCCTGTGGCTTGCATGTGCTCGACGGTCGTCAATGTCAGCCCCGTGTGTGAAATATTCGGAAAAGCAAGACCAAAAATGCCGTCCAAAAACATATCTCTGGCCAAATCGGTACTTTCGCTTTTTGCCAAGCCGATGGTCTGTCGGTAAGAGATATCACCCAGCGTGATTATATCCTGACCCGAAACCCCTTGTACAGTGGATCCATCGCCGTACCGGATCCGCCAAGTTTGGTTGCCTTCAGTAAACGTGGAAGATTTCTTCGGATCAAACAGAGGATGACCACCACATCCATTACAGTCAATGGTTGGAAGCCATATGTCAGCACTTCCCGTATCAAAATCCATGTGAAATATCTGTGGTGGTGTACCAATTCCCATTTCCCCAATGTACTACCAAGGCATGTGAGCCAAAATTTTGATTACAACGATCACAGCATATCGCTTTTCTGCGTTGCTTTAGTTTTTTTTTTTTGAAGATTCACACCTCGACGTCGACAAATGCACTTGTCAAATCCACAATACCTGCTGCGGCTTTCAGCAGGGTTGGCGATGCGGTGGTTTCCAGCCCATACTTTGACAAAGCACGCTGCAATCGGGCAGGTGTATTCAATACATGGCCCCTCTTCTGTTGTAGCTGTAAAATGCTAAATAAAGTTGCATTTTGTGAGCACTGAAAAAACATATACAAAAATATATATGGGAACAATCAAAGTTAAATAAATCAATATAGCCTACTTCGGATCGGCGGCACTCAAATCGAAGCATAACGACGACAGGGCTGCCAAGCAACCCAATATAAACTTCATGATCGTGAATAAACTGTGAGTGCCGATAATTTTTTGTTGCAGAACTTGGAAAAAAGTTCTCTTTTATGGGAACCTAATCAACAAACAGTAGTTTCGTCTTAGCATTGTCTTTTTGCCCGAGGTCTCTTTTAATTTATAGTGCAATTTCAATCATAACTAAAAGACCGCAGATTGATCATAACTTGGAAACAATTTCTTTTTGGTGGTCATGACAATGACTTTTCAGCATTTTTGGGCACAAGAGCCGAATTGGAGACCAGAAACCGATGTCAAAAACATGTTATTCAAAAAAAAATAGCTGATATATACAAAAAGAAAGATATATACGGTTACCATACACGCATAATGAGATGATAGAAATACAATAGTAATATGGTGTCGCCAGCTTTTTCACTTTTTGAAAAGCTTTGTTAATCGACGCCCAGACTTTTTAATGCGGGTCTGAAGGCGAACGGACACAGAAGGTTTAAGGGTAACATGCCGGTTGAGCGGGGTATCAGAAATCGGCTCGGTCTGAGTTGCTGGTCGCAGTCGAGTTTTCAACGGTTGGAATTGATCATCGCTCGTTGTGCTACGTCGTCGATCGAATTCCAACAGTGGGCTCGATTGGATAGAGCTGGCGGCCGTCTTATCATCACTTTGCTGCTGAGTCATTTTGTCATTCTCCTCATCGTCTTGTTCTTCCTGATAAGTGATCTGGCTACTGTCGGAAGTGTGAACGGGGGACGTGGGATCGTCGTGTGCAGCCAAGCTTTCCCGATCCACTTCTGATAATCGGTCAGCTGCTGGTTCTACGCTCGGTTCCACAACATGATCAGACGCGATACTCTCTTGGTCCATACGCGCAACGTTAACTGGGATCTCTGGTTTCGTTTCCTTTTCAATGACTGGAAGTGGAGAAGCGGATACAATGGACGTGGGAGGGATCTCTGCTTTAGATATGGACAGTGATGGATCGAAGGACTGGACTGCTGGTTCTTCCATGGTTGCGGCTGTTTCAACTGGAGATGAGGATCGGTGATCCTCACGTAAATGGGAGGAAGACGGTTTTGTAAATGGAAGAAGAGTAATCATGACAATGAAGCGAGCAGTAAGTAGGATCAATCGTCCTATGCGCGTCTGAAAGGACACCTTCAGCGGGTGGGGCCATAATGCGGCGGCACACATTTGAAGGTAACAACTGGTTGCATGGAGTACCCGAAACGGTTGGGTCAGGGCCATGATCATGTATACATGAGCCACGCCATAGAGCAGTATTCGCGTCAACATATCAATCGATGGATGAATAAGAAATAATTGAGAATAAAAAAAAAATCAGGACAAGAAAAGAGCCAAAAAAAAAAAAAAAAATTGAAAACGAAAAAAGAAAGAGACTTCCCAGCGGCCCCTGTATTTTTTGTTGAAAAAGGATAATGCAGATAGTAGGTTTGATTGGTGGGTTAAAATTACAATAGGCTCAATGGCTCAATTGAGTTTTAAAAATGGTGCATCCTCAATTCTATTGTATAAAGAACATCTCTGGCGCAGTAGAGTACGATCGTTTAACAGGTTTGGTCGGTCGATGGGGTAACGATGATAATTGTAGTTTTCTTAGCATGACACTTGGTTCTGCACTCTTTCGTCGTTGTTGTTCTTCTTTCAGAGGTCGACCCACTGGATCATCCACGCTCACGCTACGCACACCCCAATACGTGCGTTTTAATCGCCCGTAACCCACGGTCCGTTTCTCCAACTCTTCAGGAATGACCACCATACCAGCGGCCACACTGACGCGACGACCGGAAGGATTCACAATAGGTCGATCTGGCAAAATATTGGAAGGCAGTGGTCCCCAGCCTTCTTGGCTTCGTTCATCCGAGGTCACGGTGCCAAGATCTTCGTCTTCGTCGGTACTGGCTAACGCTTCTTCTTCTAGCTTCAGCCACTCTTTTCTGTTTTCGGCAAGGTTCCGTAGTAGGTCGTCTGCTTTAGGAAAAAGAGCGGCAATAAGTTCGAAATATGGATAAACAACAAAGTCACCAAATTGAAGGCTGATGGTACTTTGGCTGATTTGGTCACGGTCCATGTTGGGTGATACTGGCAATCCATGTTCTTTTTCTGCTTCCCCTTGACGAAAAAATTCCTCGCATACAAGGTTGGACCATGCTTGGCATATCGGCCATGATCTTACTGCATTGCTGATATCGGCCGCATGAATCAGGACTTGACACAACATATCCCGCTGCTCCTGATCCAGTACGATGGAAGCAGGAGAATGGGTCATATCATTGACCTCTTCTGCTGGAGGGGTAACGGGTGTGGTAATCCTTGCTAGAGTATCGTCATTGACTGTATCATCAAACGATGTATCACTTTCAGTATCGGATCGTGGATCGTTCGGATTGGGCGGTTGTTCCGCAAGGAAAATCGGATGATCATGTAGGTTGCTCAACTGGCGTGGTTCCTTTTCGGTGTATCGTTCTTCTGTTTTGGTCACCAGGTCAAGCACTGCAGTTAAATTTTCCTGCAACTCGTAGTGGAATATCATGTCGGTCGCGAGAATCATCTTGATGATCGACGACCGTATTTCAGGCTCCGTCCAAGGAGTACCCATTGCCGCACTTGCCTTTTCCACGTGCCGCAGGAGTTTGTGTTTTGTCAATAAGTCCATCGTTAGGGTACACGAATAGCTTTCCAAGACGGATTTGTTTTCATATCGTACAGCGAGTTCCGTCTGTAAATTCACTTGATAGTTGTTGTTTTTTCCAGGCTACCAATCCCAAAGAAATAAGAAAAAAAGGGAGAAGAAAAAAGGAAGACCGAACCGCAGGGTGTGCATCAAAAAACAAAAAAATACAATTTTTTGTCACAGACAAAAGAAGAAAAACAGTGGAGACTCTTTTCTTCTTCTCTTTCTCTCTCACACATCGGTTCCCAAAGTCCCCACTTTTCCCAAACTTACATGGCCAATATCGTGGCATAAACCTGCAATGAGTAGAATTGCCATATCGTGGGCTGATAGATAAGAGGAAACTTCGAAATGACATAATAGGTGATAGAGTACAATGGTTACATCGGCGGCATGAAAGAATGAATGGTATGCATTGGGAAGATAACCATAGTCAATGTCAATGAGAAAATCCAGGAATTCTGAAGGAGTAATCCCCATGGCGTCATAGATTTTCAATCGCTGCAGGATCCCTAGTATATAACCGTAAATCTCGGCGCGCGATTTATCAAACACATTGAATTCCAAGGAAATCTCGTCAGGAAACGATGTATCGGTCATCTTGAGCATCAGCTACATAAACGAAAAGAAAAATTAGCTCATCCGCAAAACGAAGGCGCTTGAGGGTTCAAGAAGCTCACTCGTTCGATGATAAAGAGCTCTTGAGCTGATAAGGTATTGTGCCACAGGAGAAGCATGGTGTATAATATAAAAAAGTAAGGAAAAAAAAGGGAAAGAAATAAGATGCTCTTTTTCCCAAGCAAGCTGGTGTGTGTGGTGAATCGCACGGGGGGTTATGATCCCAAATTGATTGCGGTTCTTTTTTTCCCTCTTTCTCATTCGTTTTGCTGGGTCGTGATACTCCTGCTTTTTTTTCTCCGCAACATCATTCATAGCCACTCATCGTTCATCTTCATGCAAAAAAAAATTTAACGCTTTTTTTTTATTTAGTCTTTTGTCGTCATTCATTGTCACACTTGGATCATAGCAGAAAAAATATGTTAGGAGATTTACAAATGGCTCAATTCCTTGCTGGAAGGGTCATCTTCAGTGTTCTTTTGTTCTATTGTAGGAGACCACATCCTGGCAATGATATATTGGAGTATCTCATCGCGCGAACTGCAGGCCGCAAGTTGTTTGTTTTTCGCCACTTTTTCACGACATGCTTCTTCACATACTGCAGCTGCGACCTCAGCCGAGACGGTTCGGATGCGTTGCAAAGATGGATAAAGCCACCCTTGAGCCAATTCTTCGGGGGTCAGTGAGTCGGCCAAGGCTTTCGCAGCTACAAACATCATCCGATCGGAAATGTAACTTGGACGAGCGAGTGTGGCTCCCAACCCCACCCCGGGAAAGATGTACATGTTATTGCCTTGGCCTGGAATTCGGACTTCTCCCGTAGAAGGAATGGTGTAAGCTGGAAAGGCCGTGCCAGATGCAAAAATGACACGGTATTCTGTACTCTCCATGGCTTGATCAAAAGTGCATTCGGCTTGTGTGGCTGGATTCGACAGCGGGAAGACAATCGGTTGCCGGTTTAACTCAGCCATACGGGTCAGCACTTCTGGCGTGAATGCGCCCGGGACGGAAGATAATCCAATAAGACTGCCAAAAAATAAAATAAAGATGATTAGTAAATGATATGATTTGTCCACGGTGTAGTTGCTACTCACGCGGTGGGTTTAACGTAATTGATGATATCCACTAGTGATTTGTATTGCTGGCCGTCGTTGTCATCTCTTGCAAAATACACTTTATGTTGAGCCAATTTATCTCCTCGATCGGTGGTGATCAGTCCCTATCGATTGTTTCAGATATCTCATCTATGCAGCTGGTGCGTTACAAATATGCATTTCATCATACCTTGGTATCAACAATCCAAAACATGCGTTTGGCTTCCATCTCGGGAATCTCATGCTCGACCTGGAAATACTCTTGGATCTGACGTGCTACACCAATGCCAGCTGATCCTGCACCATAAAAAACAATGCGATGGTCGTGCGGTGCAACCGATGATTCAGCTTGCACCTTTTTGATCGCGTTCATTACCCCTGACAAGATTACCGCTCCGGTGCCTTGAATATCGTCGTTAAAACAGAGCATTTGGTATTGGTACTTCTCCAGCAGACCAAATGCATGCTCGGATGACCAGTCCTCAAATTGGATTAAAAGATCCGGGTAGACTTGATGAAGTGCCTTGAGTGTTTTATCGACGATCGGGTAGAACTGAGCAAAGGGGCGATCGTTAAACTTTACTGATAAAACATAGTCAATGCATTGATGAGAAAGATAAGCTCACCTTGTCATCACAGGGACGCGGTTGTCGTAGACCCAGATAAAATTCATGATGTCGTAACTTCTCGTTACTGGTTCCCAAATCCAATAAAATGGGAAGTGTCCGTCGGGGATCGATGCCTGCCCCAGCCACGTAGAGTTGGAGCTTACCAATTGGAATTCCCATTCCGTTCACCCCCAAATCACCGAGTCCCAAAATACGGGAACCGTCGGAAATAACGGCAATCTCTGGTGAATAATCGGCAAATGGCTGATAATTGCGAATTGCTTGGCACAGCGTCGTTTCATCGGTATCCGTCAAATAAAGACCGTCAGGAACACCTGGTGGAGCAAGAAAAGGATAGATGTGCGAATACTCCAAACACGCCGTGCCGACAGTCGGAGTATAAATGATCGGGGCGAGTTCCTGTCAAGAGTAAAGGAAGGTTGATCATCCTTGCTCTCACAGCATGTTGCCTTTTTTTTTATGTCGCTGCAACCATCAAGGCCCACTCACCTCTAGCTCATCAATCACAATTTTGTAAAAGAGTTGAACGTGATTATTTCGTAGCTGGGCCATGAATATATATTTTTCCAGCATGGATGATTTGGAACGCAGTTGATGCAAAGCACGTTGTTTCTGAATGTCAAGATTTTCCACCGCCGTCGGCAAAAGACCGATCAATCCGAGGGCTCTCCGCTTCTCGACATTGGTGGCAGTCCCTGGATACCATAACAGTCAATAAAGGATGAAAGAAGGTTTAATATGCTGTTTTTAGTCCATGGTGTCACGCATTTTACCTTGATTGTCATAATTTGCTCTTGCAAATGTTGAACACTGATGCGGCAACGATCCATTCGTCTGAACTTGATCACTGCAACCGTCCAAAAACTGCCGTCGAACGTAATCCAATATGGCCATTGTATTGATTGTTGGTAAAACAGAAAGTAATGAAAAGATGGGAGCGGTGTCGGTACAGATACAGATACGGATACAGCACAATGAAAGCTAATCGATTCAGGGAAGGCGGAAAATATGCTGGTTATGGTGTCTTAAATATCACTTTAAGCGGAACGCTACGGGTTAGCAATCACGAGCTTCAGCATGATGGACAAGGTTGTGATTGGCAGAGACGCAACGTGAATCACACTGCGTTGATTTATGCTCACATGCGATTTGTCCAAAATTTTGTCGTCACATGGCGTGAAGGCTCCCATTAGAGTTTTTGCGGATAACCATCCATCTCTGTGAAGTGCGCATGTATTTGCCCGCTCCCGTTCTTCAATCACTGATTTAGTCCGGCGTTAAGCCAAAAACAAAAGACAGAGAGACAAATTATCACTAATCGTGTATCCTAAAATGGGCATGATAAACTCAGCCCTGGACGTATATGGGAGGCGTTTGGGAAAACAAAAAAGGCCAGACTCCTCCTTTTTCCCGATTTGATGATTAATTGACATGGAAACGTTGCAGCTTTTGTGTCGATTTTAATTTATCCAGCTTGTATTCTCCATAGGGATGTTGTTCAATACAATTTATCGTTGTGGTTTGATATATTCTTTGAATGAAAGTCATAGTGATGGTGGTGCAGTAGGTATGATATGCTAAAGTCGTTCTTTCGGCGTCATTTTACACCGTTAAGAAATGGCTAACTACAGGGCGTTTAAACGAGAGGAAGAATGAAGGAAAGAGATAACAAAGAGATGACCAGTGAATAATATGACCTCATAAGTGATGGTCCACCCATGCCATCCGTAGTGAATCTGATGGATGCAACGACCATGACGTTTCACTGTCTTCCCCGTCTGATCCATCAGCATATCGCGAGCTTGCCCGATTCGTTAGATCAGACCGTCTTCTGCTAGCTGGATGGATGCCTGTGCTGGGTCGTGCTTCGTCCGGCTGTTCCACAGGATCTGATGTGACCGAACGTCGGCTATCGTCTTGGCATGAGACAAAATGGAATTTTGAAAAAAAAAGAAAAGCGGCAAGCGCCGTTGTTCACGTACCATATCGGACATGTGGGTTTCAGCCGTAACCATTGGTGAATACATTCATCATGATATTCGTGACGACAAGATAGACGAATGATGTCTAATTCGGTGCCAAATCTTTCCTGACAAATACTGCATTCTGTTGCCACATCTATCCACCGTATGTTTATCAGTCCGCATTAAAAGATAGAATTCACACATGCGAAAATTTTCCCTTACCTTTATCAGTTGGCCGTAACCTTCGTTTGTAAACGTGGAGATATCGAAGATTTGGTTCCGATGGCTGACGAGTAGTGCTGATGATTGGACACTGTGGTATTAGTGATTGTTTCTGGGGTACCCCATCACAATTCGCTAACCTTGCGGAACGATTGGTCAGAATATCGATCCAGTTGTCGAGGAAACTTCGTTGATACGCATGGTCGTCTTCGTTTTCACTGTCGGACTCTGGCGACCCATGATAAATGACACTAACAACCAATGTCAGTACAGATATGCAAAAACCATGAAGGATGCCTTTTTTTTCTTTTTTTTTTTTTTTTTTTTTTGGCCCTGGTTTTGAATGGAGCAGGAGTAAGGCTTACTCAAATAAGCGTTCAATTCGAGAAAACGGTAAGCGAAAAAAGCCTGCAGAATTTTCGGGATCGTCGTTGGGTTCCCGTGCTGTTTCGCCACGGATCAAATCTTCCACTATCGAATACTCGTCGCCTGCCATACGTTGCATTAGGGCTCTATAGGTGACAATGGCTTCGTCGACTTCCCCGTCTGCCAAATCTTCCATCATATCTTCCATCAATCCGCCCCGAACAAAGCGATCATGTAAAAGCTGGTCTCGCTCTTGTTCCTGAACTGTTTCGTCTTCCTCAGGTTCAAACCACTGATCGTGGAATATTTCCGAAGGAGGTGAGGAATAGATTGTTTCATGATCAGAGAAGGATGGGCGAAAATCGAGGAAGGGGGAATCCATTTCATTTTCGGGATAGAAGTTGTGTGACTCGAAGGGCATAAATGCATGATCCATGACTATAAAAGCGTCGTCGTCCGCCGTAGAATCACCGGCATCATAGGAATGCCGCCACGATTCACTTCGTTGCAAAGGACTACAGTAGAAATCGGGTGTACTTGATCCTTCGTTGTCTGATACCCATGGCGGTGACAGCAGCCTGTGCAGATAATCATGACGCTCCATATCAGATTCCTCAGCATACTCGTCGAATCGAGGAATACTGTCCGTGGAGAGATCGCTGTGCACTGTGTGATGGTGGTCGTCAGAGAGCATAGGTTCAAAGTCAAGATCCTCTCTGTAATCAGAAGTCTAATTTCAAGCCTACGCGTTGAGATATGGGGTTGGTTTTCTCTTAACGGTTATTCCTAGGTACCTCTTCAAGAAAAGGGGAATGGCAATAATCACAAGTAAGATCGGGTGTCATCGTAGCGATGGTTCGATGTTGACACGAATAGCAATAATAGACGTTTAGCATATAAACAAGGCAGAGAATAAAATAAAAAGAAAAGGCACTCTAAAAAAACCCCACTAAAACAGTTCGAAAATGGCAATCCTGAACAGGACAATGCGTCACAGAGTGCATGCAATGTGCGTGTGTGTCTCGATAACGAGGAACTCGGCTGTCCAGCTTTGACCTTCTCTCAAAAAGAACTTCCAGTGGCTTCAGTGTATGTTTTTATACAGCACACGGTGATAATGTTGGATTTGCAACAACGCTCTGCTTTGGATTCTGGAGGAGAAAAATTACACCGTTATTGTGCCTGCATAACAATGGCCACTGATAAAGTAACAGACAGCTGGCGATAAGTAATAGATAGATAATCACAGCACAGTATTTACCGCTGCCATGACTTTCCACTTTTGAAGGACCCACTGATTCGCGAACTGGTTTGTCAACCGTTTCTGTATTAGATTTTTGCAAATTGTCTGCTTTTTTACTCGTCATCATTCCCTTGCTCTGCTTATATGCTGCTTTTGCAGTGATGGTTCTGATCAAAAGTAGGATTTGACGGCGACAATCGCACATACAAAACGTTTCACATACAAGATGATCGGTCACACCCTGATTTCTAACAAAGCTTTAATCAAATACTCTATTAGGCATGTGATGAATATCCGATAAAGGGGGTTGCTGAATGGGTGATTCCTGAAATTACGGCACGTTCTGTTCGCTGCTGTTGCTGTTGGATAAATTATGGGATACAGTTTTGCAATGTGAGCCTAGAAGTGAATAAAAAAAAGTTCTATAATAGGAAAGCTTATATGCTACAGTGGATTGAAAAATTCTGCAGGTTAATTAGTGGCGTGGTGATATTTCGTTGTGTAAGATTCCTGATGATGACGGGTGATATTGTGATTTAAACCACCGAATTCGTTTGACTCGTATATTATATGCGAGAGGTCGTTTTTTTATGCTTCTACTTTGTCTCATTTGCAATCTTCAACCGTAATGACATGTCAAGCGACTCCCATGGCCAAAGAGGCAAATGAGCCTTTGCAAGAAGAAGAACTAGAAGTAGGCTATTCAACGGCCACCGGCAAAGCATATCTTTGTGATACTGTAAGCTGAAACTCAGATATAGGTGCTTCGGAAGCAATTTGAAAGAGAAGAACCCAACGTCTGCATCCAAACCAAGTTCAACTATGCATGGGGCTTGGTCAAATCAGATAGAAAAGTAGATATTCAGTATGGCATTATCTTATTATCAGGTAACAATGTGAGATGGAAAATAAATTGTGAGTTTTTCCCAGCTGATATGGACCGTTTAAAAGAAATCTACACAGACGCACCTGAACGACGGAGGGAATGCCTTTATTACCTTGCATTGGGTCATTACAAACTATCGGATTACAGAGAAGCCAAGGAATTAAATTATCAGCTGCTCAAGCTTGAACCCAAGAACCATCAGGCCATCGACCTGGATCAACTTATTGACCAAAAATTATCCAGAGGTAAGCCCGGGAAAATATTCATCGACACCTGGAAACGGCAACCTAATTTGTTGGATGTAGACGGTATGATTGGTCTGGCTATTGTGAGTGGGATGGTGGCCGTAGGCGCAGCTGTGGTTACTGCTCTTCTCAGGCGTGGCGGTGGACGGCGATAAAAAGAGTAAAAAAAAAAATCACGGGTGCGGAGATTCAACACTTTAGACAACTTGGCAGTGTTTTTGTTCGTGTTTTTTTTTCTTGACACGGTTTTCTGATTAAAGCATTCTTTTACAGTTTATTTCATCTTGGTTGTAAAAACACGATACCAACCTAATCGGATATGGCCATGGAAAGCATAGAAGGCAGAATAGAAACTAAAAAGCCGACATTGCTAGATTCAACCCAATCAGAAGCATCCAACACCTCAACCGTAACTCCATGTCCAACCGAGTCGACAACCGATCCGTCGTCTTGTCAACTAGGCACCAAGCGAAACATAGAACCTGATAGCACAGCAGTTTTTGAAGAAGATACAGAACCTAAAGACGATGAGAGAAAAAAACGTCGGACCCAGTCACGCGATCCTGAACCACGAGAGGACATGTCAAGTACGCGTCTAAGAATGCAACAATCACCTCAACAAAGTCAACATCGAACATCCACCCGACCTTCTACACAACCGCGATGGCACAGTCAATCCTACATGATGTTCTTGGCTTTGCGGCAACATCCCGATCGATGCTTACCTCGTACACAACTTATTAAAGCGGCCATCGACTTGGATAAAAAGATTAGCCAGGAACGTAACCTACCAAAAGTGTTTCGAGGCAAGGTAGGAAACAAGACGATTAGAGGATATATCACGATCAATACTGATGAATATCACTGCAGACGCCCATGAATTCGGCTTCAGCTATTTTAACCTACAACAGCGATCGATATTTTGTCCCTTTCAAACCGGAAGGAAGCCGATCGACTCATTTCAAACTCGCATACGAACCTGGCAACTTTAAAACAGCGGTGCAAGAATATCGGAAATGGGAAGCCAAGTTGGCTGAGCATGATTGGCCCTTTTGCTTTGGTGAACTGAAGGAGGAATTCAGGAACAAAGCGCCCAGTAACCCGTCGGAGGTGAATGGGGAGCAACCAGTCGAAAAGGTGACAACGGAGACCGCCAACCCCGCCGAGGAATCTAAAACACAATTGACGACCCAACCGAGTATGACAATGAGTGAATCTTCGGGACAGATGGAAGCCAAGGTGATCAATAGCGATCGTCAAGACACAGTAGCTATAGAAACCGAGAACAAACCAAAAGACGATACAGCGGCCGCGCCAGTTTCGCATGACATGCCTACACTGGATCAACTGGATTTAACCAACGTACCGAAATCATGGACGGATATCGTTCGTGTAGCGGATTCAAACATACCTGGAGCAGGCAAAGGCCTATTCGCGAAGCGCCGACTGCCGTATAATACTCCTTTGGGATTTTACTTTGGCGTACCAATGACAGAAGACGAATTCGATTCTCTTAAAGACGGCGTAGGACGCGCCTCGGAATATTCCATCATGTATCGCAAAACAGTGTTGGATGCCACTGATGAGAATGGGCAACCCTACAGCGATCCGGAGGGAGAAATGTACTGTCCGTTCCATTTCATGAATGAAACAAACGAGGCCGGTGCGAATATGTGGTTTTTGGAGGGGGCCTTGGTAAATCAAGTGATCTGTTGGACGAAACGCGATATTCAAGAAGGCGAAGAATTGCTAGTATGGTACGGACACGATGTGGATCGTTATTGGAGCCAGTCATCGAAACCCACCAAATCATCTACTCCATCTGTCCGATCGCCTTCTTCTCCGTCCTCCCCGCTTGCATCATCATCATCTTCATCAACATCTCCCGCAGCTTTACCGCCATCGACAGCATCCCAATCACCATCTGTTCCAGACAAGATCGAACCATCATCCTGATTATTAATATGTGTAAAAAGTATTAATTTTCTATTTATCATCATTTCAGAGTAAGTATATCATGTATTCTATAAGGTTCGGTATATCAAGACACCCGTAGGCGCATGCCCTTATGATGCCACAAAAAAATAAAAAATAAAAAACGTCAAACATTCGACTCCGCCTGTGCCGGAAGAAGAATCACAAGCGGCTTCCGAGTTGTTCGAGGAGTTGGCCAGATCAAGCGGGCAGACGATAAAAGGAGGGAGAAGAGTTGACAAATGGTGGTATTGCGAGACGAAAGAAATATTCAAGTTTTGGATGTTTTCAAGGTGTATATGTGCGTGTATCTGTTGCATGGATGACGGGACGGGACAAACCATTTTTTCACCATCCGATCGTTAGGTTGACAAATCAAGGCCGATGAGAAGATGAGGGAGATCGAGAAAAGAAGCCCATGGATGTAGCGAGTTTATGGAGGAAAGAAGGGTCTCGGGAAGAAGAAGAATCAGCAGACAAAGAAAGTTTCCTTGTCGATATTTGACCCGAGGGCGTTTCAGGTTCCCGAAGTGAAGAGACGCGGGCCAAGGTTGACATGGACGGTGTACTTTTTTGGCGGCGAAGAGATTGATACAGGGCACGATTCATTTTTTTCGTCGATGGCGAAGCTGGAGCAGAGGCTGTTCGCACCAGATTCGCCGCGAAAGGAATGAAGGAGCTGGCGCGCATCAGCTCGACGACCGCATCACAAGAAGGCGTCAGTAAACGGGGATGGTAGGAACGGTCTTGCTGATTTGATTTCAATAATGTATCTCGAATGTCATAACGTATATTGATTTCTTGGACAGCATTGGTCAAAATGTGTTGTTGTATGATGGTGTCGAACTTGATCTTTAAAGCGTCGAAACGGACTTTTTCGTGCGGTGTTAACCATGCTTCTTCTGCTACGTTGAAATGAAAAGGATAGCCACTACTGAGTATCACAGCATTGTCGAGCAGATCGCCAAACGCTGCTTGGACCGCGCGCTGGTAATCGTGCACCGCCGTGTAAAACGCTAGATTCTCGCCGCAATAGGTTTTCTCCAAGTAGTTTTTAAATTCAGCCAGCATCACGTAAGGCGATTCATCATTGAGAACAGTTTCCAAAGTCAGGTCTTCCGGCATGGACGGCCATGGGAAAGACGTGCCGTTACATGCCATTGCGAACGATGCCAAGGTAACGTAAACAAACCAAGAAACAATCAAGTGACTTGGTATGAGACACTTTGGGGGATCGGGATCGGCTTTTAATTTCATAGCAACCGTTGCCAAAAGGCACCGCGACAAAAAAAAATCGGAAGGCAAAATGAAACCACGTGCTAGAAAGATTTCCATGGTATCGGCAGCAGCGTTCCGTTGGCATTGTCGCACCAAACAAGCTAGAGTTTACTTGTCATATTTTTTATAAAAATAAACAGACAGCTGTCAATACAAGTAATCTTTCTTGTGCTGCAGCAGCTTATAAATTTTTTCGTTTTATTTGTTTTTCCTCTTTTTGCTTTCTTTTTCTATTGAATTCTTTTCTTTGTTTGCCCTTGTTTGCTTCTTTTGCTTAAATGCGTCGACCACTGCGCAAAAAGATCGTCATCGTCGGCGACGGTGCTTGCGGCAAAACGAGTTTCCTTATCGTGTATCAAAATGGACAATTTCCTGAAGTAAGAAACACAGCGAGAAAAATTGAAACCTATCGTCTTCTATTGTTGCTAAATAGAAAAATCCTTTTCTTTCTATTCCCCCTTTCTTTTTGGCTCTCGTTTGAATTTTTTTTTCCTTTCTTCTCTCATACGAAAGAAATACCTGCCTACGGTGTTTGAGAATTATATGACGCGACTAGAGTTGGACGGCCATAAATCAGTGGAATTAGCATTATGGGATACGGCAGGGCAAGAAGACTATGATCGTTTACGACCGCTATCCTATTATGAAACCGATGTCGTCTTGATATGTTTTGCAGTTGACAACCCGATATCATTGCAGAATGTGCGTGACAAGGTACACACATTTTTTTTTTTGTTTTTGAAAAGCGGACTTGATATCCATGGTAGTGGGTTTGACTGACGGAGATTCATATCGGTTACATTTCTATTTTTTTTTCTTGACCAGTGGTTACCCGAAGTAAAGCATTATTGTGGCAATGTCGCGCTTGTGCTCGTGGGACTCAAAGTCGATTTACGCAAAAATACTACTTCTTCCGCCTCGATGGTCACGCCCCAACAGGTACGCGATATAATGCAAATGATGTGTTGAACGGATGCCTCAGCGGACGATCCTGACTGATGGACGGAATGGAATTTAGGGAGCGGCATTGGCCAAGGAAATCAAGGCGAAATATTGCGAATGCAGTGCAAAGGAAAACTTGTACGTATCGGATGTCATCCGAACAGCTGCACAAGTGGCTGTCAAACCAAGGCATATTCTCCGTAAACGATGGTGTCGTATCCTGTAAATCCGATGACGGATAATGCGCACAGAAAAAGCGATCCTTTACCCATGGGTGATGATGATTTACCCTTCTTCATTTCAATCTCCTTCTTCTTTTTTCTTTCTCTCATAACCATCTGATTTTCTCCTTGTATATCTTGATTCTTTGATTCATACCCTTTTACTGTTTAGCATCATTCCTTTTGGGTCTCTTTATTTTGCTTGTCTTGATCTTTCCTCATTAGACATAGAGTACATACTATCAGGTTTTATTTATATAACGCGTTCCTTTCTTTCTACATAGCAGAATCCTTGATAAAACAACCTTGCTTGTTCAATCCTGAATGGCTCACTGTCTAATTAATTTTATTTTATCTGGAAACGAGGGACTTCGTTATGTTTAAAAGCATTTGTGGTTGTGCTACAAAGAGCATTCAATATCTTGAGCTTATGCATTTCGCGTAACAATTAAGTTTCCTTCGACATTCTGTGCAAGGTCTCGGCTTCTGGAACTGTTGCACCAACGCAAGCTGTTGACCGCACCAACACAAAGTATCTTACCGTATTTTGCCGAAAATTGCTGGCTAGTACGCGTAACAACCGCGTTACTACCTTTTAAATACACAGATGAAAAAGGAAATACAATGTGGAACAGAGGGATAACATGAGCAAAACTGCCGTGTCACTTATTGAGAAACTCGGTCCAAAAAAAAAAAAAAAAAAAAAAAAAAACAGATTAGCGAATATGTATGATATAAGGGATCAATTATACACAAAATAGTAGGTTCATTTACAGCGGAAACATAAAGTAGGGGAAAAAAGAAAACAAAAACAAAAACACGGAACCAAAAACATGCAGACGTATTGTGTGACAAGAAGAAGTGGAAGCGAGGAAATTCAAGGGAAGGATCATTGGGTCATTCTGATGGATGGTTTTTTGGCAACGTGGACGTTGATGACGCCATTGTCAAAACGCAAAGCAACCGACATATCATCGTTTCCTTGACGCTGTCGAATAGCCATCACCTGCTTCGCAAACTCAAATCGTTGCATAGGATCCCTTCCAGCTGCTAAATCAGGTTGACCGAGGCATCTTTTCAAAAACTCGAGCGGCAACTGAGCAAACACTTGAGCCAAATCCAACACATTCTGGGTGAACGGAGGTAATTTCGAGGATGAGATATACGTATTGTTCGAACGCACTTCGTAGTTGAAAGCATCCAATTGAGTCGCCAGATGCTGGCAAAGGCACACCACTAGACGGTGCTCAAACACAGACGCCCAATGTTTGGCACGAAAGGGCTGCAAAGCATTCAGCCAAAAGTAAATGTTGGCGGGTTCCAAGCTATTCGAGACAACGTTTAACACAAAATCCGTCAAATCCATTTCCAGTTGCTCCGCGACATCGACAATTTCCAAGCATACGGCCGGCTTATCATTCAACAATAGCACGATTTCCTGATGCGTCAGCGGCCGGTATAAATGGCCTAGCGTATGATGTAATCCTTCCACGGACACAGCTGGTGATACATTCAACTCCATCGATGGTTCAGTGGATTCGGACAAGCGGCGATAGAGGACAGGCGATCGGGAAAGAGCAAGACAGTGCAACGCCATGGTTTGCTCCAGTGTAGGAACGGTGACGGTAATATCAGAGAAAAGACCTGTTTAATTATTTTTTTACCCAACGTGTATCGAGCGGTTGGTTAGCATAGATCATAGATACTCGATAAGTGGGTCGCCAAAGTCTACCTTGCTTGAAGCCAACGTTGAACATGTAATCGCAATATTCCTGAGCTGCAGCATGACTGTACATGGGAGTGACTGCAACTGGATTAGGAGGTGGCATAGCCTGATAAAAGGACTGCGCAGGGCCAAACTGATTCAACATCATGGGCACGGGCATCAGCGGTGGTGCATGGCCATACTGCTCTGACGTAGAGTAGATGGCCTCGTTCGCAATGGGCGTGGGCATTAACAGAGCAAGGGCAAAAAACGAAAAAACAAAAAATTAGGGTCACGCGCTGAACAGGGAAATCGCTCCATCGACGCTGGAACTGCCCCCCGTGACGGCTTTTTGCCAAGAAGTGATATTTAAACCGGGCCTTGCTAGTCTACTTAAACACAACCTACTCATTTTTTATGCCAAGATATTATTCCAATTTCGAACTATTGGCAGAGCATTTGCAGCTGCTGCCAACCGATTTTATTGATAGTCTGTACCTTTCGTCGCAAACCATACTATGTCACGCTTTTGAAGGATTACAGAGGTTCTGTTGCTCTCTCGCGCCAAACGATGAGAATATAGAAAAGGTAATAGCGTTTGGCCATCCTTGGACTTCAAGGAATCATTCTATTTATTTTACAGTAGCATTTGATGCGATTTGAGGAAGAAATCGAATCGACTCTTTCTTTTGATGTATTGCAGCAATACCTCTTTGACTCGGTATTCTGGATGCCGCCCGATTTATCCATCCAGCTTGACCACTACCGAGATCTCGATCTAACCCTCACTGCAGAACATGAGATGACAATCGATAAAGAACTCCAAGCAGCTCTAGAAGGGGTCATGGCAGTAAGTGGGAAAATGACGGCTTAATACTCGTGGATGCCCTAATTTTCCCTTCTACTTTGACCTCAATCTCAGCAATGGCAATATTCTCACTGTTTAAAGCGAAAACATGCATTTATGAACAGTCAACTACAACAACTGAACAGTTTACAGCAGCAGCTGGCAACTTTACCTTTGAGCGAAATTAGCCGAGGTATCAAACACAGTTTAGAAAACGATCCATGACTTGTGTCTAACGGTCCCTCTCATGCTTCGCATTTATGTCGGAAAGATAGACTCCAACATGTGGTCAACGACGTAAGCGAGCTACAAGCATCCATCAAGCAATTACAAACACTGATTGGGGCAGCTGCACTCTCTTTTCATCCGAGATATGATAAACGTATCATTTATTTACAACGCTTAGTGCAAGCTCAGTTGTGACGATTATTGGCAGAAACGTAGAGTGAAGAGAAAGAGATATAGAAAATAATGTAGGCAAACAGTTTCTGAAAATTGCCTAGTGCAAGGAGATTATACGATTATTTGGTTAAGAATAAAGCAATACTAACTGTGAATGTTAAATTAAGCAAAAACAAGAAAAAAACAGAAAGAAAAAGCAGGCAAAGAAAAATGAAAAAAAGAGCAACGGAGGCAAAAAACTATCCATTGTCGAAAGAAATAAGCAAGGCATGTTTAGCTGACGGGCGGAGATTGCGGAACGCTGCGAGATGGCGTCTCCACAGGCGATTGTTCAGTCGATCCAGGTGGGGTGCGTTGTTGGTCTTGCAACGCTTGCTCAGCAAGCGATAACCGAATGGCTTCCATCACCATCACCTCTTCAAGGTCCATATCCATATGACTGTTTAAAGAGTCCATGTAATTGGAGTATTCGGAAGGCACCATCGAACTGTAGGTACGTCTCGGCCGGCTCCGTGCATTTCCTCCCGCGGCATTCGGTCGCACCACCGTTCTTCGCGTTGTACCACTACCGGACATGCTGCCTGAGTGACGTCGGCGATTCGGAGGCATGATGTCCAGCATATCCTGCCAATTCGGTCGAACTTGATCTAACGGGGTGAAATAAAAAGCGACGTCTCAGAATCCGTTCAACCACAGCTATTTCCTGCCTTCAAGTTCATGGGTTGTTCAAAATACTTACCTACAAGCACCACATCTGGGTCATTGGGTCCCAACCTTTTCCGTCGAGTACTCGTGGTCGAGGTATCATTGGCGGACACTGTTCGTATTAAATCCAGGCGTCGTTTAGATAAGTTCTAGATGGAATCGAAGAATGAGTCTCAGCATGACATAAAACCACCCAATAGGAAAGCTTACCTCGTAATGGATACTCCAAACTGGTGGAACATGAACTACGCCAAAATTAGGTTGTACGCAAAATGGACAAACGGCGGGTATCAATGGCGACTCCGGTGATCGTCTGAGCTGTAAAAAGCATTCAGTGCAAATGGGCTTGTCGCAGCAACGAGAATAATTGATAAACGCAGGATAGATCTACACCATGAAAATAACACAGTCAAGAAACAGTCGGTTAGGGCATCTGATTTTTTCTCCGGCAAGACCAATACACCAGAGGAAACAGAAATACATACCAAGAAACAAATAGGGCATTCGACGGTGTCTGTGTACAATAAAGCATTCAGATCGGAAGGTGATTTTGAGGGGCGCAACGAAGGACGAGAAGGAAAGCGGACAGCTTGTTTCTTCACAGTGGGACAATGGGTAGTGACAGTGGTGGCGGTTGGGGTGGTGGTAGTGGTGGTGCAGTGATCAGGAGTGGAGACAGTTTTGGTGGAAATGGGAACGCACATGGAAGGCGCTTGGTTGTGATCCGATATGGATGGTTCAGGCAATTCATTCAATCCTATCACAAATGTCGTCTCAGTTTTGACTGTGGAGCAATGCCAAATCAGCGCATGATTAATTTACCTTTGTAGAAAGGAGCCAGTCGGCCTTCACGAATGAAGCGTCGAACCACTTTGTAATCATAGTCAACACATGCTGAGGAGTAGAGGCCTTGAGGAAGAAGGGAGCCGTAATCCACGGTCTCGCTCTTTCCAGCCATCATGGAGTTGGGCGACTGGATGGTAAAAGCTTCTTTCGACGGATGAATCCCCATTGGCACACCTACACAAAGGCGAAAGAAAGAACCTGCAGAGAGAAAAATTGGAAGAATGGGCGATCATGGTTCATCATTGTCTCACAAAAATCAAGTCACATTGCGAACCGTGAACTTTTTTTGATGTAACCATTGGAGCATGAACCAAGCAGTGAGAAAATGTCCACCATTTTCCAATGTCAGCGAAGATCCTGCTTTTTTTGTCTAGACTAACATTCGTCATATCTTATTATTGAACGGCATGATAATATCAAGTGGTTCAATGTTGGTGAAAGCTGGCCTCATATTAGTCATCGAATCATGATTGGGCGCAAACAGTCAGAAAAATGGATTTTTTTTTCAGAAATCCACCGTGCTAAATCATCATGACGCGCATTATCACGCTACGATGGGGTTGGCTTTCGTTCTCAGGAACCGATCGACGGAAGGTGGCTCACATGTACAGCACATGCATGCGCATATGCATACGTTTTGCCAAGCTTCTCCGCACTATGGGTCTGGGAATCCCCAAATATCATAGCTAAACCCCTCTATTTGTTTCAATGACCAATGTCCTTCCCATTGCCGATCCAGTCATGGCGGAACCACGAAAAACGGGACAAATGTGATTGTTGCACGAGATAAAAACAAGGTTTGAACGGGTATCCAAAAATAGTGGATCACTAAAATAGTAAAATAAAACGAACAAAAACAGTTAGTCATTCATAAAGTCAGCCATGAAAAGAAAGCGCAAAAGAATGAATTAAAAAGAACATGTTTTCGTCAGTTCGATTCACCATTTGGTCGCTTGTTGCTATGAAAGAAAAAGAGTCAGTCATTAAGTCTATCAAACTCAAAACTCTACCGAAACCCCCCGGATGCTTCCCGAATCCGCTATTCTCATTCAAACTCTGATGGATCAAGTCATGTTGGAGCATCAGTCGCTTTGATATTCGTCCTTGATCTTTTTGCTCGCTGGGTTCTGCTATTATTTTATATATCAAATTATAGTCAATGATTTGAAGCAAATCAGAGGAAATCAAGAGCATAGAAAAAAGATTAAAAAGGTGGATATCATAAAACAAACCCCTAAAAGATTTTAAGCAAAACAGACAAGTGAGGAATGGGATACAAGGAAAAAGAAAAGATGAAGGAAAGATGAAGAAAACAGGAATTAATGCGTCATAAGCTCAAAGAAGATTACTCAAAGCATACAACAGAAGGGAACGTAGATTTCCTGAGCGCCCAAGGCTGAGGTTTTCTTTAATCATCCGGATCGACGACCCAAATACATCCACTGCTACTTGGCTTGGATTGCATGTCTTCAAACTCGTCACCGGTGACCCATCTTCGCCATGCTTCGAAATAACCGTGTTCCAGATTCCGTGTCCATCGATGCGTGTCAAAGAGTCGACTTTTCTCACGGGTACAGAATAACCGTTTTCGGAGATTCATCAAATCGCCTTGACCACGCCGTTGCACTTTCCCAGGCATCACCGTCTCATAGGTGTACACCAGTCCCTGCGCTAGAGAAACTGCACGATCTTCATATTCCTTCTCATTGCTCACAATCATTTCGTCTCCGTAACCAGTGGCGCGTGCAATGCTAGCGCCAACCCGCGAACACATCTTGTGCATATACTTGGGATACGTCACAATAGGTGTGCCTGACCATAAAATATCCGCCGCCGTCGTGTGAGCATTGCATTCGGGAGTATCCAGAAATAGATCGGCCACTCGACCACGGTAGATATGGATATGTTTAGGTGCCACGTCTGTGAAAATCACTCGTTGAGCCACTTGAGGTCCCGCCCAATCAAGCGCACATCGTCGTAAATGTTGTTCTCCCGCCGGCGGAAATCGAAGCAACCACAGAATCGAGTTGGGCACACGTTCAAGGATGCGTAACCACATTCGGAACGTCGAAGGTTCCAGCTTGTACAGTTGATTGAAGTTGGCAAAGATGACAACATCATCTGACAGGTTTGGAAATACTTCGCGTCGCATTTTCCACCGTTTCTCTTCTTCAATCGCCCACAGCGAATCGATATCCGCAGTATCCACCGTCGACGATCCAAAGCTTAATAGATTTTGACTCGAGTGGTTTGCATCGGTTTCGCGGAAGCCTTGCTTGTGATCATTGACGAAATACGAATGAGGCATATAGATGAACTTTTCGGTATACACAAAGTCATCGGTATCTTCTTCGGGATCAATATCGCCTTCAAAATCACCGTTGGCCAACGTGGTCGTCGTTCCACTGGATTGTCGTGATCGCCACACTTCGCAGCTCGTCATTTCAGGAGGACACACAATCGCATCGGCAATGATCCAGTCACACCATCCTCCTCCCAAGGTACCGGCAAATCCCATGAACGAGCATTGCACGGGACTGGGACGAGCGGCAAATATTTCATTTCGCGCGCCTTTGGTATAACCGTTCAAATTCACAAGCACATGGATCCCTTCTTCCACTACTTTTTCAATAATCTGTTGATTCGACCAGCTAGACACATCGATGAAATGTTCCGCTTCGCGTTCGATCTTTAACCGGTAAGGCGTATTGTCACTCGGGGTCGTCGCATAGCAAAACACTTCACACCGTTCGCGATCGTGGAATCCAAAGACCGACTGCATTAAATGGGAGAGAGGGTGGTTGTTAAAGTCGGATGAGATGTAACCAATCTTCAATCGAGGCGAAGGCGGAGGGGGAGGAGGATAGACGTGGCTGGCGACCCATGACGATGTCAATGTGGTATGTGAGATTCGGAGAGCGTTACGATGAGAAATTAATCGCACCTGGCGAGCTGAAAGGGGATAAGTAAAGGTATGGAAGGGTAGCACGGTAGGCACGGGCGGAGCCGCCAAGTTGCTGGGTATGAGAGGACGTTGGTACTTTTGGATCGCTTCGGCCGTGACAAATGCTTTCGGTTGTGATTCTTTGCTTTGCAACACCGCCCCGTATAGTTCCAGGTACCAGTTGCGTTGCAACCGGCGCATGATCCGTTCGAGAAGCCGAATAATCCAACCTCCCTCGTTTTTCTTATTGCCAACTTTGTGGTAATGATTCAGACGACGGCGCCATACGTCCAGTTGATCGGGTGAAGCCTGCTGCACAAGGCTACTGATCCGCTCCGTGAGAATTTCGCCAAACGTCATACCGTTGGCATCCACGGGAAGCTTGAGAATGCCAGCGCCCCACACGGACCCTTCATCCAACTGCTTTTCAACGGTATCCACGACACGTCCAATCCATCCACTACGTGCATGTTTGTCGCCAGTACTAGGGAAATATTTTCCATACTGATCCACCGTAGGCTCGTCACCGACGCCACCGCGTCCACGCCAATCGCACACACCACCCAGTGAATTCACAAGGCCACAGATGGCATCCACAAAGTTGGGGTTCACCTCCACAGCCCGACGGTACCACTGCACTGAATCCTGGACACGACCCATATCCTTGATAGCATTGCCGAGATTCGCCAGCGCCACGTCGAAACGGGGATTGTATTCGACGGCCTTTTCGTACATACTCACGGCTTCGTTCAAGTGGCCCATATCCTTGAGAAGTGATCCCAAGTTGGTGTAGAGGTGAGGGTGTCGAGGATCGATCTGAAGACCGTACATGTAATATTGCATGGCCAGCATGGTGCCCGTCAATGGTTGCTGCTGTTGTTGCTGTTGAGGGCCCATGGTCGGTAATTTCACAGCGGTCGCTGCTGCAGCTCCCGAGATATTGCTGATAATAATACCGAGATTGTTGGCCGTCGATGGACTAGGATGCAATGCCAAACTCATGTAGTACAGTGGCAGCAATAAGGAAAGGGTGGGAATGAAACTCTTGTCAGAGGACGCCGCAGCGGCCAAGGCTGGGGTGGAAGGGTTCATCATATCTTGGAACTGCTTCGCCAAGGTCAGCAGGATGGTGGAGGTGGTCTGGTTGGCTTGGTGCAACACACTGCTGCCAGTTGTGCCATCGTTGCCTACAGTGGTCTGTGAAATAGCGGCAAATCCGGGTAATACACCCGCCGTGGATGAAAATGTGATTTGCAGAATCCGAACGGCTTGATCCGGTTGCAGCAAGATCAAAGGTAATGATGCGGAATCCAACGTTCGTCCAAACCTCATGGCTTCCATGACCGCAGTCGATCCACAAGCCAGCGCGATATGGTTGATCACCGTCAACAGATTGATGCCGCCAAATGCCAATTCTAATCCCTTCTCGTACTCTCGACGTGCGCCCGCAATATCCGACAAGGCATACTTTAGGTTACCTTTTGCGTAAAAGAGGTTTTGCAGTCGTGGGAGCTGATTTGTAGGAAGTTGCTTGGGCGCTTTAATAGGACCGTGAAGAAGGGCGTCTGTCTGCGATTTAAAGTAGTACTGTTCCACAAATTCGCACACGGATAATGCTTCTTTGTATCGAGGCGAGGGTTGCTGTTGCCCGTGATCTTGGGTTTTTTCATGTTTTGTATCCAAGGTGGTATTTTTTAAATGTTGTTCGATACTGTTCACCGTGGGCGTACTTGAGCATAGTACGCCTACAAGGTTTTCCACCGCGTCCCAATAGCCCGGTCGGAGCTTCACAGCCTGATACCACCATCGCTCCGCTTCACGCGTCCTACCCATACTACGTAACGTCGTGCCGATATTACTCATCGCTTCAACGTATACAGGCTCATACTTGAGGATCAGATGGTTGTAGCGAAGAGACGACTGATAATCTTGATACGAGTAATAGACACAAGCAAGCAACAGTAAGGTTGGAAGATGGGTGGGGAAAGCAGCATGGATCGAATGTAAAAGGGATAAGAGAGTCGGATTCTGGGGCGATGATGCATACAAGGTGTGAGCGTACTGCAGCATACTTTCCCGCAACTCTTCGGTGAATTCCATTTTCCCCATGGACGCGAGGGTTGGATTGAACATGGCAGGTTGGGATATATTGGTGGTTGCCGGTGCATTGACCACGGCGGGGAAATATACGTCCGGGATGGTATCGTTAGATAACGACTGCTGAACCAGAGGATTGTTATGGATGGATACCGGACCGCTGGGAATGGAAAACGATTGTAGCGGAACCCGAGCATCAAAATCTGGGCCAATATTTTGCTGATAAGTTGGATGCCTCGGTGGCAACTGCATATTGTAATGGGATGCAATATTGTTGGATGAAAGCATGGTTTGAGAAGATGAATAAGGTTGCTGGATGGATAAAACATGCTGCTGCTGTTGCTGCTGCTGATGCTGTTGCGGATGCTGATGCTGATGTCCTGAAGGATGTTGCAGTTGTTCCTTTTGATGTTGTTGCTGCTGCTGCTGTTGCTGCTGCAACTGAAGTTGCTGGGAATAGTTCAAGGAATCTAGGGATGGTAACACGTTGGAATGAACTTGGCGTGGTTGCTGCGCGTATCGTTGATGAAAGTCAGGGTTGACGCGACTGGAAAGATATTGCCGCCTTCGAGGATCATAATAATGATTGACCCATCCATTTGAACCTTCAAAGTAATAACTGGCAAGTGTCGGTGACTGCGGTGGCACCATAATCGAAGGACGGTGTTGCTGTGGCTGCTGTTGTTGTTGAAGAGACTCATGCTGACGTGTCGGGTCGTAGCGAGTCGGTTGAGAGGGATATTGACCGAGTGTAGCTGCGTTGGCAGACCCAAACGGTGCTTGCTGTCCCGTTTCCAAAAGTGCTTCTTGCAACCGCGGCGACATTAGCTCCTGTTGAAAGTATGCAAATGCAGCCGGGTCGTTGTGACCGAAATAATGTGGGTAATGCATCAGTTACTACAGTTGAAGACAGGACAGGAAGGTTTAGTATACTGGCAACAAGTTTCCTTTCCTGCGCATTTGCTCACCACTCAATTTGTAAGTTTGCGTTGCGTAAGTGGGATGGGTAGAGTGCTGCGACAAAGGCAGAATTGAGTTCTTTTTAAAAAACGAAAGTGGGTGCGACAAATGGAAAGAAAATGAAAATGAGCTCGAATTGAAGAAGACACCGTTCTTGGCTCAGCCCTTTATGAAAGAAAAACACCAACTTCTCCAGAAAAGTTTCGAGAACTCGTCGACACAATATGCAAAAGGGAAAAGAAGAAAAAAGAACAGTGTTTTGAAGCGTAAAAAGCGAGCATAACTTACCGCACCCATTTCGTTATTCAAGTAACGAGAGAAAAAAAAGTCCGCTGATGGTATTCTCTCCCCCCCCCCCCCCTCCCCCAAAATTGAGTGGAAATTTCGAACAGCGTCAGTTCTTATTGCTTCCAGCCGGCTCTATTAGTTGAATTTAGCGCAAATAATAGGGGTCAACTGCAGCTGTCAGTAAAAAAAAAGGATTACGGTGTCTTGAAAAAGCTTTACTTGAACTTTAGTACCATCACTTTTTCTAAACGACAATCACAACTCGATTTTGTTAGTGCTATTAGCTCCTTCCATGGTCTCTGATTGATCAATCTTTTTGTTTTCTGCAATCTGCAGTATATTGTGCGTTATCCAATATATCAATGATGCTAACCCCTCACTAGTGCACATTCATTGTGATTTTTTTTAGAGTTTTTAGTATCGTAGCGTCACACCTCATAGTTATCAATGTTACTCTATCGTAGAAACTATGATACAGCAATGTTTCATAGGTCGTTCATTGCTCATTTTATTGAAAAGCATCCCGGACTTTTACTATATCATATCATTGTAGAGAACCGGCCCCGTATACTATAAAATCAAAATAACAAGATACAATTTTCTTACAGGAAGAGAGCAACTATTATAACGGGAACTACCTATTTAATTTCTATCATGCAAAAATCAAATAAGACAATCGATTTCGTTTGTCACTCTGTATGTGAACGTCAATTATGCCGATATGTCAATGTTCTTGCATCAGTCCCTCTGGAAACCAGTCAGTTTTCAGCCTGAGACAAAGAGGCAGCCCTATAAAGATAAAAACCACATGTATAGAAATATCTCGCTTTTTTATTGCATTCTTCAATGACCTGTATATATACTTTAGATGGTTACAATTATCAACCACCTAAGCCTTCGCACATAGCTTGCTCACCGAAATTGGGAACGGGCTCGTATTGTCTCGACTGTCTGGCTCCTTAGAAGGAACAGAACCCCTGGGTAGTGATGATCACTCATTGTATCTAAAGAATAGTGGTTGGGTAAAGCCGGGGCACAAGAAAAAAAATATACACAGTGATGACGATTGTAATGATAGGATGAACCAATAAAGAGACTCGCTATTGAGATTATGCTTAAGGTGTGCCTGATGGGATAATTCGCTTGGCAGCTTTTATTATTACGTGGGATCAAACTTTAGGAAAAGGAAGAAAGTTAGTAAGCGGTAATCTATTCGACACGAGAGGTAATGTAAGTTATAATCTATTGTGTTTAGCTGAATGTGATTAGAAAAGTAAGAAAAAAGGGAGGGACTGTCGAGGAACGATCATCATCACGGTGATGAGGGTTGAGGAGACGGAAGGGAAGAAATCAAGCGGTTCCGACATTGCGTTCCACAGATCTGATACTGCACTGGAGCCTGTTGTCCAAACAACTCTTCGATTTGAACGTACTTCATGTCGGCATGGTAAAGGTAAGCTCCACACATTGAACACCGAGACGCTGTGGATGGGTCTTGCAGTATCAACAATTCCGCGATGGGTTCCGGTAACCAGCTGCATAACTCAGATATTGGCAGCTCAGTGCCTGCTATTTGCAAACACACCGATCGCAGCGACCCCATGCCGTCATGGGACGGAAGATTGGTCAATTCGAAAGGATTATCGTCTATCCATAACCGTGACAACGACAGCTTTTTTAATTCCACCGGCAGACACCTTAGCTGGTTACGAGTGACATCGAGCATTTCCAATTGCTGTAACTGACCAATCTGCGAAGGGAGTTCCGGAATGCGGTTGTTATGGATATACAGTTCGCGAAGGTTGGTCAATCGTGCAATGTCGGGTGGGATTTGGGTCAATTCGTTGTAGCCCACATTTAGTTCTTGAAGGTTGCTTAACCGCCATAGTTCTCGAGGAAGGGTAGTGAGTCGATTCTTTTGCAACTTGAGTGATGATAGATTGCACAAGTATTGAATGGGAGCAGCAATAGTCTAAAATAATGCACACAATAATAAAATTCGCAGTGAGTCAGAGTGTCAAGGGTAGTCGATCGGATGAGCAAAGTACCAGAACACTAATCTGTTTGTAGGCTAGATAAGCTTCCACTGTAAAACTTTGTGTTTCCAGCGCAACCCGTTTCTTGGGGTCGTTTTCTCGGTGTTCATAAAACGTTGCTTGGATTCCCTGCAGATGCCATAAGACAACCGATTTATCTACGCCATTTGTTGACATTGGCAGGGCTCAGAGAACAAGGCACATCAAGGGAAAGAATAGGAATGAATGTGGCTTGTCAATTGAAGCCGTGCTTTAATACAACCCACTTGTCCTGCAAATCCGATATTTCAGAACTCTTCTTTTATTCTATTTTTCTCTGGTCCTCCCACCCCCGCCTCCCCCGCCCAGTCAATTATCGCATATCTTACTATTCCTTGCTCAAAAACTCATTTCAACCGTTATCATGGATCTGCCTTATTCGAATCGACGTCGTTACTCCTACTCACGCGCTAGTTACACCGACGACGACGACCACAGCAATCGAATGTCGGATCTTGAAGGAGACAAAGAATTTACGCTGGGTCGAAGGATGTCCACCACCTCACTCAGCGACTCAGCTTCCTCTTCCTATAAAATGAGCATTGACTCTGACGATGCACGTTCCGTTTCTTCTGTTTTCGCAAGCAGACCACCCACCAACTACTCTCGTCAGGTGACACCGTCAACCTTACTGCCCACTTTGGACGTCCCCGTGCCTCGTCGTCCTCAGTTGACCCGCTCTTTATCGGAAATATCATTATCGAATAATAATAGTTCGTTATGGGCCTCACAGCAACCGTCACCCATGGATAGCGGTTTCAAACAAAGCAGGGGGATCGATTCATCTATGGGTGAGTCTAGTAACACGAGCCAAACTCCATTGGATGCAGCAGCAGCAGCACGTCCCCGTCGTCTGTCACAGCAATATCCTCCTTTTGGTGGAAGGCCAGTCGGCGGTCATACCCGATCGGCAAGTAATAGTAGTATTGAGCTCCGGCGTGATCCAGAGCGTCGAAGTGTCGTAAGGAGAAGCTCGTTGCTGGTAAGATAGGGAGCCTCAGACTCAAAGGGAATGGGGGAAAAATCGATGTCGGAAAAACTTCTTTGTTACTGATTGTTTCCGTTGTTTACACTTTATTCATTGCCAATAGCCCAAATCAAAAGCGCTGGCAAGGGTGCTCACACAAGCCGATGTAATGCTCATAACGAGAAAAAAAAGGGGGAGGGATGGTTCTCATCAAAGTTTGACTAATGAAACTAATTGAATAGGAAGATAGCCATCTTGCGGATATCGAAATGCGACGTGAACAGGAGACCACGCATCAAATTAAGGAGCGACTGGGACGAATGTCCATGGATATGGACAATGGAGTCAGAGGCCAGGTATTCAATGGATCGCATGCAAAGTATCCCATTGTACGGAGCAACTAACGGGGGATGGACGGATGTACGTTAGGCGGCTTCAGTGCCACCCGCGGCATGGGTACGACTGCGAGATATGGACTCATCTCCGACCATGGTGCCATATCAATGCTCTAAACTCAATCCAGAAACCGAGATGACGGTATGTCACATGGAAAAGTGCCCCATCCTATTTTTACGAATACGATCACTGATGATTTGCCTGCACTCAGAATTTTCAATTTGAAAATTTGCCATCTCCTGTCCAGCAAGGATTCAAGAGCGTCAAACGGAAAGGTATCTAGCGTGATTTTTTTTCTATTAGCTTGGCTTGAACTTCACCGACTTATTATTGTCTACTTTTTGCGTTTTGTCCTATGCGTCATTGACAGGATCGGAGGATCGTCTTTTTGAACCCTATTTGGGGAGCAGCCTTAAGCGACGAGCAGTGTCACCTTCCGTGTCACTATCAGCCTCTCCCGTTCTCACAGGCATCTCAAGTCCTCCCGGCGTTTTATCTCAGTATAACTCGAGTCCAACCAGTAGTAGTACTGCCAATGCTGCTGCCAGAGCTCAAACCAAACCAGGACAACTACCTACCAATTCGTTCAATCTTCAGGATGCCAGTGGCGGTTTAAGTCGCATGTCTCTGAGCGAATAACGACATGATCAATCCCACCAAAACTCCTTCGTCTCGCTCTGCTTGCATTACACGTTCCTATGTTTCCACCTTCCCTCGCTAATATTCTCGCCTGAAAACCACTGTTCTCTAGATTCATCGCTCTATACACTGTACTTATCTCCCGACGGTTGTTAATTGTTGGCAATGCTTTTCTAATATAATTGTTATTTTCATAATTGTTTTGTCATCAAAAAATTTGCATCGGGTTAAATCAAACTAATAGCATAGATATAATATAGTTCTCGTATATTGAAATGTGACCTTCACGAGTAGCGCATCGTCATCGATATTTCGCTGTAGAGCACCTACTGTGCTCAGCTTTTGTAGAAGCAAGAATATACGTTTTAATTTTTTTAGTGTGCCATTAGCTCAGGGTCTGGTAAACAGCCGGTAAAACAGATGACCACACGTGCCTACATTCACTTTGAGAACAGAGCGTTATTTATGGTATGGAGAAAAGGCACCAATTCGACGGAACCTGCGTGTTTTAAGGAAACACAGGCTCTAACCGCACAGGAAAAACCCATAAAGCAGGTTTTCATTATTATTATGTCCAACTGCTCGTTGCAGCAACGAAATATTACAACCGGGATTGACTTTTGCATGCTGTTGGAAGCCTAAAATCTTTACTCTCGTTCTTGGAGACTAAAAAAAAATTGGCGCGCGCAGAAACAAAGGGAAACGCCGCTTCCATTTAAGGCTCTGGTTGGCCACGTCCTGTTACGTATGCTTCTGCGAATAATTTGATTGGGCTGTAATTTCTTTGTGGGGAGCACTCGCACTCGCGGGTCAAATTTCCCGATTTCAGTGGAGGAATCTTGGGGCAAAGTAGGATTTGCGATTCAGCATGTCAAACTGTCAAACTGTCAAACTGTCAAAGAAAGAAACAAAAATAATAGACAGCGAGTATCTGACTGTTTGGTAAAGATTGAAACACACTAGGAACAAAGCATTGGAGAGCCAGGAACAGGGGGATAAACATAGGGAAAAGCAGTAATAGTTCATCATTTTGCCAAGTCACCTGACAGAAAATCTAAAAATACTGAGAGACTAAGTAATGCGTGTCTAACCAATTGAACTTGCTATATACTGGTTAAAGGAAAGAACTTAATTGCGAAATGAAGATCTTAGGCTTGTATAAGGCTTGTATTAATAGCGCAGGAATCAACCAATGACGGTGCATTTATCTATATTTGCAGCAGTCCTCTGCATATTTTACCATGGCGCCTAACCAGAAAGGGATGTACGACCACTTTTGACACTCGAGTTCAGAATATTCGCTCTATCTTCATTTTCCATTGAAAAAGGTTCTAAGGATTTGAGCGTGGAGTTCCCCAAAAATGTCATACCGTATGTAAAGTAGCTTGGTCTTTTTTCGCGAGACTCTGCGCATTAAGTTTGCAAATGCCATGTGCAGCATAGAAGCACAAGAAAAAATATATATTTCATGACAGTACCTGCCCCAGATTGTTCGCTGCGCTGGCACCTGGATATCCCTGTGATGTGCTATTTACATCATTCAATGCTGCTCATCATCCGCCAGATAGTGGCTAAAAAAAACTATGTTATGGGATCATTATAGAAAATGGCAAGTGAATTAAATCGGTAATAGAGGTATTTAATGCAGTAACTTCTTATAATATACGCGTTCGATTCGCTTACTCCAAAAAACTACCCAGAACCTCTGGCTGTTGACAACCGATGCAACAGGACTTTATACAACTGTCATGCATTCCATAGTCCATTTTTGAATCTAGCAAATTTTGCAGTTGGCATGCCTTGAGGCAGTCCATGTTTTTACGTTGCGGGCTGCATTGACATTGTCGGAATTTGTAATCTTGCTCTGGATAAGATGGATCATTGTCAAAGCAGCACATAGTTTTTATTCGCTTCTGGCAATGTTCTTTTTCAGGTATTCTCACAGTGTATATGTATAATTGTTTCAAGTGACGCGCTTACTGAATGGCTTTCAGGATTTGGCGGTGCAAGTAGTTTTTGTATTTGTGATATATGAGAGAATTTAGAACAAAAGAGACAATAAGAATCCTTTGAGACTTTTGGATCATTTTATTTCGATTAATGTGATCTGCCTATTTATACTTTAGTCTTGAGTCGGAATTAATAAATATCAGTGAGCAGTCCTCGGTTATAAGGTGTATTAGGAAGGATCCACATGCTGTGATGTGACAGCTTTACCCGTATGAATTGATCTCGGCGATAGATCCAAGTTATGGATGAAGAGGCTCAATCGGTGTTCTAATGGAGAAGCTCACTCAGAATGGAAACACGTCTAGATCCCGATCTTTCCTGTTTGGGAACACCAGTCTAGGATGGATAATACGACAAGTAGTGGATATACCACAGTATTTTTCACTGATCGCTTGCACCGTTTCAGCATGATCCCCTGATAAGTCGGATACGGCACTGGTGCCGGATTCTTTTAGCGGCAGTTGAAGCACTGATGCAACGGCTAGTCAAGCTTGCTGCAGAGAAATCGGAGTCGCCATTTGTCAAAAGCAAGATGCCTTGTTTGCAGAGATGATCAATCAAGGATGCTAAATATTTTTCAATTCTGTAACAAAGTTTTCAAACTTCACCGTGAGAACTTGAGCAAAGGAGCTTTTATTCTTCGTATGCTTGTGTAAGGATTACAGATGAGCGGTGTTTGAGTTGTTTACTCCATAAATTAAAAGGAATTAAGGGTGGCATCACTGAGAAGGCATGCAACTTTTCGTCAATAAGAGAACTTGGCATTACAGCTGTGAAAAGTCTAAAATGCTGACTGATCAGACTTGCAATATGTCGGGAACTTTTTTTTTCACAATGTGAAGCTTGATACTGACAGTGTTAGCAAAATATTTGAAACTTTTTTTCAGCAAGATTTTGGTTGCCGACGGTGCAGCGACCTGTCGTAGAATGGACTATTTTGATTTGGCCCGGAACTTTCCGTGTTGGGTAATTCGCTAACCTTCCACGAACATTCCAACGAACTTCTACGGCGACGTAACTCCGTTACCTTTGATCTTATCTACAAATCGATTCCGATAATCAACATGTGTCCAACCCCTTCACGTTAGTAACGGATGAAATCAAACAACTAGTGTGTGCAATCCACTTCATACGGTTCAATATTCGTAGGTCCTGTTATTTCAGTCAGCACGATATTTTCTCAGAGCAAAGAGTGCCATCTGCTATTTCACCCGCAAAAGAAAACGGGGAGTGAGGGCCACCGCCGACGGGTAAACTATATCATATTTTAGTGTATGCTGATCTTATGACAGTTACAGGAATGTCACAGAATAAGTTGGGAAAGATCAACAGAGGAGCGAAAGCCAGTTTGGTGAGTTTCACGACAACAGGATGTGTTCCTGGAATAGGTTGTACAATAACACCTACTACCTGAGCGCTGCAAGCAAATTGATCATCCTCCGTGTGAAAACCTTTCCCGCAAAGTTGCTGTCCTTCCTCAGTTGTACCCTTTTGTCATATTCTCGGCAAAAATTGCCATTATCTGTCATTTTTATTTTAGAACTTTTTTTAACCGTAATATTTATTGCCGCGTCTCACGTACGCGCCAAGAGTCTATGTGGAAGTCGAAAGTAAATCTTGGCGCTCTAAAGGCAGACATCACAAAAACGTAACAATGAATATCAAGTTTGATAAGCATATTTTTGTGCACTAAAAGCATCACTTGACGAAGGTCACAGAAACAACAAAAAAAAAAAAAAAATCACAGTTGCACCAATAAAAAAAAAGGATTGGAGCTATATTGAGTTCAGAAAAGAATAGATTGCTGTGGCAACTGTTGAAAAGTCTCATTTCCTTTTTCATAAGCGAAACAACACAAGCTATCGTCGGAATCTCGCAAATTTTTTCAAAGGTTGCATTCAAAGTATCGCAAGAAAAAAAGGGTCTATTACTTTTATTATATAGCCTGGTTCGCTGATATTTTGTCAAAGAAGAGCAGTGATATTGCTTACAAGACTTGGGGTTGACAAAACAATGGCTGTCAAAAAAGGAAGAAAAAAGCGGAAGAGCGTCTCCACAATCAGCAGTTCCTTCTTTCGTTCCACGACCGCTCTTTTCACCTCTTTAAATTTCCGTGGGTCTGTCAAAGCTCAGTCGTTCACACCGAATCGTTCATATACACGCTCAGCAAAAGCTTCTGGAATTTTTCTCAACTTTCCATCCGATCTGTGGATTGCGTATCCAAAAGGAGGACACGTCCAGCAAAAAGAAGTGGAGCTTTCGAAGATTGGCTTGAAATCTTTTCCATCTCTTTTAGCCTGATTTCTGAGCTCTCTCGGTGATGAAAATATGGCTACCACGAACGTCAGAAAGATAGGATACTAATATAAAGTAAGAGAACTCTTGTGGCAGCTGCAAAGAACGACCATCGCGTGCTAAAAAAAAAGTCTGCCCCTTGAACGAAAAAAATTTATCACCATCCTTTTAGATCTCAGAAGATTCCCTTTTTTTCCAGATGAAAAAAAAGAGAGTTCTTTATACTTTCCAAATATGGTGTTGCTATGATATGACGCGTCGGAAAATGGTATTTACTTTTTTATGATACATGATTAGATGGCGGCAGCAGTCTTTTTCTACGATGCATATAAAGGGTAAACTTTTTGGCAAAGGGTTTCTGAGAAGAAGAGACACGTAACGGAAAGAGCAAAAAAAAAAAAAAAAAAAAAAAAAAGAAAGAAAGAAAAAAAAAAAAAAGAGAGATGAAAACAGGAACGGGAAAGCGGGTCAAGTCGGTATTTGTAGGCAGTAAATAAAAATAACACCAGAATCCCCGGGCAAAAGAGTTGTGATAACATTGTAAATATGACATTCTATATTCTCTTGCAAGCAAGAAAAGAACCACCCAATGCACCAGGTCCTATGGAAGTAAGTCCAGGCGCTTTTTACGTGTATTACGATTTTTAACTTTCAATGAAAGACAAAACCGACGACAGACCGAAGCTGGAAGTCACCAGTTTGCCAAACTTTGCGGCCGTCAGTTTGCTTGTGCTTTTTCTTCTATATACTGTCAAAGACGATGCATAAGACCATAATATTTGCAGGTGGATCTTGGCGCCTTCACTTACACATGCTGTGAAGTAGACGTCAACGATGGCTCATCGATAAACTACAGTCAAATCAAGCGCGAATAAAAGCAGGCGTGCGTAGGTCAAACGAGGAAGGGCTACCGTCTTTCCTGTTGATTATCCGGGATACCAAAATCTTGCAGCTGTTCTCGTAATGAAGGTAATGCTAAGTTGGTTTTTCGTGAAGTGGTTGTGCTGAGAATTATTTCTGGTCGATCAGAATGAGTTCCTGGACGAAAGGGGAAAAAATAGATGCGTTAACAAGAACGATCGATGATACGTCACCGCCGCCAAAAAAAAAAAGGAGAAAGAGCAGAGAGATTGCGTCGTCTTCAATTGTACATACTTGTAGTACGGAAGTTTTGCAGTGAGGCGGAAGAGGAGGGTATATTCCAGGACTGACTACCTTCTAAAGGATTGGACGATCGAAGCATGGACTGTTGATATCGTGTCGATACAGGTGGTGGTAATTGCCAGTACGTATTCTGAAGCGTGGATGTGGATGTATCGTGCTGCGTAGCTGACGTACTATTTGTCGTCGATGAACGTGACAAAGGTTTTTGTGTCGTGGGATGAAGGATGTGGGCTAAGCTGAGCCTGTGATTAGATGTGATTGAGTTGAGTAACGCTGTTTCAGCTGTTGAAAAGAAAAAGTAGAATTAGAATTATTGAAACAGGATAGTGAGGAGAGATGCGTGGACTTACTCATTCCAGCTTTTTGTTCGGTCGATGTGGATGTCGCAGTTGCTGCGTAAAGGAGGAAACGTCAGTAGCCGGTATACAACAAGCAAAATCCCGTAGCAGCAATATCACTCACCTGTGAAATGTGCCATTGACAGTGAAGTGAGAATGGAGGGTAAGGCCACAGAAGACTGATCTAGCTGATCTGAAGAGTCGAGAATTCGATGAATGGATAGCTTGCTAGAAGACGAGTTTTCAGCATAATCGTTAGAAAAATCAGATTCTTCACTCAAGGATGCGCTCGTGGTGGGTGTATGCTGTGTGATGTTGGTGGTATAAGTATTTTTGGAGGAAATCAATGTAGTGGCCTCTGCTTTGGCGATGGGTCTGAAGGTGGAGGAGATATCCGATGCTTCTGCATCAGAATTGGTGCCTGATCTGGATTTTGGATCTGCGTCCATAGCATTATGTTTTTTGGTTCGTGATTCTTTACGAATTCTGATCTTCAGACCTTGTTCCGCAAAATGGCGCGCCAAAGGACATGATTCATACATTCCAGGGAACTATGCAAATGGTTTTTTAGTGCCATCCATTCATTCATTTGAACGCAGTCATGAAAGTATGTTCTAAAATATGCACGCACCTTTTTGGCAGAATAAACAACGAATGGGTTGGTTAAAATGGATTGCCGAAAGTATACGTCGCCACTAAAGATTGAGGGATGTGATGAATATATATGCATTGTAGACTTATTGGAGGGAGGTCACATTATTCAAGTAATAATGTCGGAAGGATGTCCAAAAAATTGAGCCTTTTTCACTTACTTTACGATTTCAAACAAGCACATGCGTAATCGATAATGGCCTTCTGCACGCACTGAGATATCCGAAAACACAAAAAAGGCGCCTTCCGTATTGTCGAGATCTCGCAAAAGATATAACGATGACACGGTTCGACCAATGGCTAATTTGGAATGGACATCCAAATTCAATTCATCCAAAGATTGCATTCGATGCTCAGATCCACTGTCTTCTACCAAGATCGCGGCCAGAAAGAGGTGAGGCGATATCATTGGCAAACTATAAAAGAGGATGAAATTGAAGCATGAGCTGCCATGATAGATCTTTTTTTGTGGTTCCTATTTTTGAGTAGATGATTTGTTCATACATATGACTATTTTCTTCAAGTCTGAGTTCAACAATTGGCGGCGGGTCAATGGGTCTGCGGTCGACTGAGAACGTGTATATATGTGATATATGAAAAAAAAGGCAAAAACCAAGGTTACTATAAAGGAAATGCTTATATATTAATGTCAGGAATGAATAGAAAATTACCTTTATCTCCAACGCCACACATTCTAGAACGGATAGGTTGCTGCCGCATAATAAGTTGGAACGTCCTAATGTCGAAATGAGCATTCCGTGAATTGGGGTACTTGGAATGAAGAAAACGAGCCGAGGAACTCACATATTGTTCTTGAGACCATGATCAATCTGCGTGTGGCTGGAGGGAGCGGAGCTGCACATAATGCCCTGAACCAGATTGTTTTCGATCCCTTATATACTAGGACAGACAATCAAGGGAAGTATACAGTGCAGCCAAAAGGGAAACAGAAAAACAAGAAAAACAAGACAAGGGAAAAAAAAAAGGTTTGGAATTGGGGATTTCACCTCAGCTAACGTTTAACGTAAAAAAAAAAAAAAAAAAAAAAAAAAAAAAAGTTTAAAAAAAGGGGAAAAAAAACGAAATATGTTATGCTGATAACAGTTTGTCCGGTCGGCTGGTTTTTTATTTTCTCATTAACTACTTTTTTTGTTCCCAGAAAAAAAATATCAAGGGTTTTTCCTATTACTGCTACAAGTGTCAACTTGTGGTAAGAAATTAGGAAGTAAAAAAAAAACCGACTTTTGTACACCAATCGAGATCATCGGTGGAGGAAGAAAAAGAATGTGGGTTTAGCTCATTATGTCAGTCTTGGAAGGCGACACAAGAAGACAGGCGCTCGGAAGACCCATCCAAAAATGGAAAATAGTCATACGCGGAGTTTTTAACAGAAGTTTCTGGACGTATCAAAACAGATCCACTCCTCTTTTTTCTATTAGTCTTATCCAATAACAAAACCTATCCTAAGATCGGGTAACGCCGTACAAGCAACCCTTTTTGAACTACTTGCAGTTCGGTTTCACTATCAGCAGCATCTTTGATAAACCGCTACAAACCCAGGTTCCTCAGACGGATGGAATAATAATAATAAAAACATTAAATAAATGACCTGCCTTTTTTTTTTTCTTTCTCTTTAGCGCAACATATGAATCATCGTGATTTCAAACTGTTCAATTGCGGGTTTATGATGAGACAATGGAAAAACAAAAAAGGTTTTAACGGGTTTAAAAAAAACATCCTATTTTGGATAATCGCCATCATGTGATATGACTGGTCCGTCCATCGTCTTACTCATCAACGCTTGCTCAGACTCTAGTTGCCGTTGCAGCTCTTCTTCTTTCTGTCGCTGTTTCGCCTTCATCTTCTCGCTTTCTTCTCGAAACCGACGCTCCCTACTGCTGTATTGATCGTTATAAAACGTATCGTTACCGTCGGTCGTTTCCGAGGAAACCGCCGGTGTCGGTCGATGCACACGCGATTCATATACTACAAGAAAAAAATTCAAAAGAATTAGCGCCATTCATCACTCCGCATGCTGACCATGGGGAGTTTTGCCCAAGTACAATGTTCCATTTACACCAGTAAGCACCGTAGACAATGCCGGATGCTGCGGCCGCCATGCCCACGCGACGAACGTTTTGACGGTATTTGTACACACGCTCGGCGTGCTCCGAAGACCCAGGTGGGCCTAACGCTTTTGGTTCCATTTTATCCAACACCCATTTAATTCCATATATCGAAGCCCCGCCCAAGGCGGCCAAAAGCAACGGAGGCAACCGAGGCAACATAGTAAAGAACGTTTTGGGCAGTGGTTACAGCGGCGAGAAATATTTCCCTTTTTTCTTCTTGCCCCTCGAAATGTCTCAATAAATTTCGCAGAAAGCAGTCCCCCTGCAGGTATTTTCATAGGCCGCAGATCTTGATCAACTTGAAAGGACAAAAGCAGCATATGTTTTTGATATAACATCTTTCAAGTCAAAAGAAAGAACATACTATTTATCAGCTATCTATCGTATAGGAGCAGATGCTTTTCTCTGTGAAAAAGGTACGTCAATCCATTGAAAATTGTAAGGATTTTTTTTGGGGGTGTTATTTTTTGTGCAAAAATGGTCAACAAAGTTCTGTGACACCAGTCGTGTGATATTCCCCGCAAAGCATATCTTTGCAAAATGCACGATGAGTTTCCCAATCACGAAACTTTGAACAAGTGACGTTTCGACATCTGTCAAATAAACAACCTCTGTTCTTCTCAATATATAATTCCACTTTTTTATTTTCGCGAATATCTGGCGCTTACCGCTGAACAAAAAATCGATAGATTGAACGAACACGAAAAGAATGACCACAATTCTCTCACGACATGAGCACCATCTGCAACGTCATCAAGAATCATGAGCGGAGAGGACCCCGCAAGTAGTCAAGGGAAAGAGACGTCCGAACGTGTGCGGCAAGTCCACAAGGATCGGCATGTGCGATTGCCCGACCGTACCATCTGCTCATGAAGGTCTCCTAAAAAATAGTTCAAATTGGAACTACATCGCCTAGCTATCTACTCTCGCGTGGCCAGAGTAACCCTTGTCTCAACCTAAGACACATCGCCCGACGTCTGGAATTTGCAAGAATGCATACAAACTGGACAGTGGATCAATGGCAACGAAGCGACGTTTGAAAAAGGCAAGGATAGACGGCAAGTTCTCGTGTGACGTGCCGGGAAGGAGGCAAATAATCTCGAATATTGAAGTCTACGAGTTGAGGATGTGACAGTTCTGAGCAAAATGTGGTAGTTCTTGTTCGACAACAAGGCCGTGAATTCCCTCTCCAAATTGTGTGCGGATCAAAAACTTGACTTTATGCAGACCCAAACTAGACGAAAACGCACAAATGATCAGAGAGAAGATCCGAACAAAATCTTTATACACCGTGAAGAGCGATTATTTTGGTAAGAGAACTTGTAATCAAACTTCCATTTTATAGATGACATTAGGGAACAAATCATGGAGTCCAAAATACCAGGAATAGATATGGTTTTGGCTCTATTACACAAGAACCGATAACTTTGTATGTGGCGGACTGAGTTCTCAAATCGTCATGATATAACGGACACACGGAAGACTGATACTTATGTAAATCATCGTGCACTACATTACTTTAAGAAATTGTATCATTGCTTGATCCCTAAATCGTTTCATTACATCGAATACTGTCCACTGATTTGGTATGAGCATCTCTTTTTCGTAGAGGATTTATTTTTTTGTTTTTGTTTTGATAGCTGCATAGGATGATCAGAGTGCAATATTTGTTATGTGCATTATCGCGTTATTTCCATTGGTGAAAACCTGTTTTTCTTTCTGCGCACTTTTGGAGAATGTGGGTTCATTAAAGTGATGAAAATGCACCATATTATTTGATATAACTTTCAGCTTTCGCCCACACAGAACAGTATTATCAATTTTTCAAAAATGATGCGGGCTAGGTTTTGAATGGCCGTCAACAAGCGGTATTCCAAAAAGACAGATGATGAGATAGTTGGCCGTAATTTATTTCAGCCAAGGCGTCCGAAGAGACCAGTGGTATTTTCTGCAAAAGGCCAAAAAAAAAAACGGGAAACCCGAGTTCCCCGAAAAAGAACCCCCTGAATTTGACCACCTGAGGTTTCGTGTTTAAACCCAGCGGGAAGGCAAGGAAACATTCTAGTATTTGCTGGAACATTGGGGGTTATGTAGCGTTTATGATTCATCATGAAATCATGATATCCTACTGGCTATCCCAATAAAATCAATATGTTGCAGTAATCCAGAGTGAGCAAGGTTTGCTGCCTTTGCATTGCCGGCAAAAGCACATATCGGTATACCTTTGGTTCTTTTTTTTCTTTATTGTGCAAAGTTCGAATTTATTTTATTTTTTCGCAGCATTGTTCAACAACATGACCAAAGCATCAGGAATGTATAAAAGACTGGTCAGATATGTATGGCAAAATGTGCTTGCAGCAGTTAGACTGAAAGCAAACAGTGCATGCTGGCAATAGTAAAGTCGTGGCAACAAAATAATCTTTTGCATGCGGTACAGTTTATTCAACTTTTAAAGTCACAAAAAAAATCGGTGTTCAAATGACCAATAAAAAAATGGAGAAGCAACCAATGAGAAATCAGATTGAACGAAGGAAATTGGGAAAAAGATCATAAGTCAAAAAATGTGGTCAGACAGACGAAAAATAGAAAAAGAGCAAGTCAGTATGACTATATAGCAAAAAATGTTGAATGCCGCTGGCTTACCTGTAAACATCTACAGGCCTTCGTTGGCCGGAAAAACCAACCAAGTGGGCCAGGACGGACTACGCAGTACTGTTCAGCGCTTGTCGAACGTGGAGAGCACGCGCCGGAACCGTCGATGGTCGGCCAGTTGAATAAACTATTATAGGAAAATCATATTTAGAATTACAAAAATTTCTATTCTTAAAGGATCAACAGCCTTGAGCTTACCTTCACTTCAATGCAAAAAAAAAGACAACCTCGGAGAAAAAGATGACCTTGAAAGGTAGAATGGAGGTTCGAGGAAAAGGAAAGAACTTTGGCAGACGCGGTGGGATGTCCATTTTATAGACTTTTTTGATGGCGAGCCAGTCACTGTTGGAAAATCTCGTGAGAAGTATCATCCCATCAGCTGCGATGTACAAAAAAAAGGGGGAGTGGTAATAGAGCAGAACTCAAAGAAGCAAACAAAAAACTTTTCATGTCTTCAAACCAAATGTGAAAGGACCGTAAACCTAGACGCGGTACTACAAGAAGCTTTTGGGGCCTCTTGCATACGAATAAGGAGGCCTCAAAACATCAGCTGCAATGCACAGTAGACAAAAAAAGAGAGAAAGAGAACAGTGTTCCCCGGAATGACAGGAATCAATCAAGAGATGCATCGGATTTGAGAGTTGTGTCCTTTCACTGTCAGGATTCCGCTGTGAACCCGAGTGCTTTGAAAGACAATCGAAAAGCAGAACGGTAAAACTATGATGCCTAGTGTGATTCGTTCACGGAAAATATAAGAAACAAAAACTAGGAAATCTACAGTATCGCCAAAAACTGTACATTGACCTAGATTACAAGAAGATCAGTATTTGTATCAGTAGGTTTATCCTTGAAAAGTTAGTGATGGTGTACTTGATTTCGTGGGAAATCTTTTTCTTGTATGCGATGTGCAACTATTATTCACCCGTTGAAGATTCATCAAGAGACGATGGATCGGCAAGGGGTACCCTCCTTCTTTATGGTTGGCAGCATTGATATTCAGGAAGTAGGAGCCCAAAGGTCTCTTATCATCTCCGTTTTTTAGTTTACGGTGGCTGTCATTATGTTAGGTTCCCTCTTAGTTTAATCGCGGTGACAGTAGTATGTTCATTTCCATACACACAATGAAAATAAATGAATACGAATCGAGGCAAGCAGTTCATCTAGTGCTATACATTCTACGATATGGTTAAGAAACTAAGAATCTGATAAAGGGTACCCAGTTGCTAACGTAGACTATAAAAATCGGGCTTATGCCAATGTAAGCGCGCATCGTTTATGTTCGATAAAACTGCCGGTGGTGCGTTCGGTATAATAAGTAAAAATTTCGAGGATATCGTTTTTCCAGCTCATGTCAAAACCATTCCCGGGGGGGGGGGACCGAAGGCGTCGGGAACATTGGCTGAAAAAATTCGAGAACAAAAAAAACTTAATTCGCGTACAGCATTCCACAGCGAATTCCTCCGCCCCCATGTTCGTGCCATGCTAAGCATGGCAAGGAAGAATTGGAAATCTCACATCAAGCTCAACTGCTTGAATTTTCTTCTCAAGGTCACCGAAAAATTGATTTTTAATATATCATTGCCATTATACCAGAAATCGTCTATTTCATTTGTCTTATGTGCTAGTGTGCTCTATTCGCATTTTAGAAAATTTCGTCAATAGATGGAATGAACTGGTCTATGGAAACGTAGTGTAAAGCATAATCTGGATTGTTGTTGCTATTGTCTCAGATCGGTAACATCCCTATCGATATTGACCTTGGATGTGGTGTTGCGTCCTGATCGACCTCCTTCTGATCCAAGCACTACTAAAAGCTGCACAGCTCAGGTCTGAAGTCATAACCTAGTATTTTAAAAAAATCATGGAGTCATGTGGGGTGCTGCGGTGACAAGGTAATGAAGAGCATCAATCCCGTACATAACAACTCTTGTTGCATCAATGGGCCAATGCCGAATAAAAATTCGCTACACCGTCATATGATACCACTCAGCAGAGAGATGCGAGCTTTCATTATATTCAGACAGTGCTTTGAACTGATTTAACCTCAGGCACTCGCTTTTCTTTATGACTATAATAACATAACGGTTGGGTTGATTGGGGATATTGTTGTTTGCCAGATTGATTGAGAAATAATCAAAATTTTCTCACTATTTTTTCTTTGCGCTACCCAAATTGTTAAACAATACACAAGTCGACATGCAAAGATCCTCATACCGAGCTGGATTCGTATTTTTCTGATAAAATATTCCTGTATTGTTACAGCCACCACTCGATTTAAGAATTACCCCAGGAGCCATGAAAAGTGATTCCTAAATCGACTCATTATTCAAATCGAGTTGATAACTCATATGCACCAGGTAATGAATAATTGAGAATTCCAAAAAGCGATTCTTAAATCGAGAATATTCTTGAATCAAGTATTCTTTAATCGAATGCGGACTTAAAATCAATGCACCATGTATCTGTGCGCAGCTTTGATTTTGATAATTTTTTTTCTTTCCAAAACCAACATCTATCATAGTCAGGCGAATTGGAATGGAAAGCAATAGATGAACACTTTTTATTTTTATTTTTAGGAAATGGCTTTCAATAATGCACTGTTCGTTATCTATCAGGTTATCATTCACTGTTCGTGCTTGATAGTATGGCGTCTGCCAGTGTCTGCTATCTCAACGTCCAGCGCCAAGTCTGAAATACAGCGGGTAATGTGTCGCTGAAAGAAGAGGTCTAGAACGAACCTTTCTGGCTAAAGAAGGTTTGATGCACAGACAACTGCACCCAATCATATGTGTCTTCGATATGCACAGGTATGCATTTATCCCAGGAACTTCTGCGAGAAGATCCGCCCCAACTTCTGGTAAACAGTCATAATAATCTGTTCATCTAAAGAAATCATCAATTCCCGTACCATGCTTGGAGATGTCATGCATGTTCAGTACGGTATGAATTAACGTGTCATGACTTTCGCTTGGAGAGTCCTGTGTGTGTGCCTGAAAGATCTTGATTCAGGAACTGTTTAGTTCTCGGAGTTTGTGCATTAATTCCAGTTTGCTGCAAGGGGAAGAATCCAAATGACAGTTCGGTCGTTGTCGGTTTACTGGTCGAACGGTCATCACCAACTATCCATTGGCGTTCTTTCACTCTTGCTGCGTCAATCTCCGTCTGATAAACCGCATTTGTCGTTACAGTAACACAGGAATTGTCTTCACCAAAAGTAGTCTCATCTTATCGTCTTGGCGTGAAATGACGTGATGTGAATGATCCATAAAGATGTCAAAGCATACCTGACCCAGACAACGTCTGCGGCAGTCCCCGATGATTGAGACCATCAAAAAAATTCTCGAGAATCAAACAAAAAAATAAACATTTTTTTTGAAACCCAGTTAAGCCACAAGCTTTAAATATGATTGGTGGATCTTTGAAAACGTATCAAAACTGACTGGTGCACGTCTCCGTCAAACAATTTTAACTCTTTCCTCTTCTCACATCCCATCATGACTCAACGCGGTAAGTGATTTCGCTTTCCACTGATGTCAGATAAAGAAGACAAAACTAAGCGTGGTCTACAGACGTTTACATTGCTGCTGCTCAGCGTACCCCTCTTGGTGGTTTCAACGGTTCTTTGGCTTCGTTGCCTGCTACCAAGCTCGGCTCATTGGCCATCGAAGGTAAACTATCTCATTCATGTTTAATTACCTACTGTATTCACCGGCTCACCTAAAACAAATATCAAAACGTGTAGCTGCTATCAAGAAGATTAACCTTCCTGCTGAAGCCGTCGAAGAAGTCATCTTTGGTTGCGTTTTGTCCGCTGGTCTCGGTCAAAACCCTGCTCGTCAAGCTGCCCTTGGTGCTGGCCTCAGAGATGAGACCATTGCCACCACCGTGAACAAGGTTTGCGCTTCTGGCATGAAAGGTATTCTTCACTCCCGAGATGACCTGGTCATTTCCCATGGTGCTTGTTGGGTTTTTGTGATTCCCGGTTCTCATACTTTTTCCTTTTTTCTTTCGTTACAGCTGTCATGATGGGTGCTCAGAGCATTATGCTTGGTAATGCCGATATCATTGTTGCTGGTGGTATGGAATCCATGAGCAATACTCCTTACTATTTGCCCAAGCAACGCTTTGGTTCTACCTATGGTAACACCGAGGTCGTTGACGGTATTGTCAAGGACGGTTTGACGGACGTGTACAACAACTACTTGATGGGTGTTGCTGCTGAGGAATGTGCTGAAGAATACCAGATTTCTCGTGAGGATCAAGATAACTATGCTGTCCAGTCTTACAAGCGTGCCCAAGCTGCCTTTGAAGCTGGTTATTACAAGGATGAAGTGATTCCTGTGACTGTGTCCGGCGGCCGTGGCAAGCCTGACCGAGTGATTGAAATCGATGATGAAGTGTCCAAGCTCAACGAAGAAAAGCTTCGCGCTGTGCGTCCTGCTTTCCTTCCCAAGAACGGAACCGTCACTGCTCCCAACTCCTCACCTTTATCCGATGGTGGTGCCGCCATTGTCTTGGTGTCCAAGGAAGCCGCCGAAAAGTACAACTTGCCTCTTTTGGCCCGAATTTCTGGTTTTGCTGATGCCGCTCAATCGCCTAATCGTTTCACTACCTCCCCTGCTCTGGCTATCCCCAAGGCTATCAAGCATGCCGGTCTCACGGCTGAGGATATCGAATACTACGAAATCAACGAAGCCTTCTCCGTGGTGGCTTGCGCCAATACCAAGATTCTTAACCTCCCTGCCGAGAAAGTGTAAGTTTGAAATGTCTTGCACTGTACCTTTTTCCTATCGCATATCGGTTCTTGAATAAGCGATGTCATGTTGACCCATTTTTCTCACGATCATTTTTTTTTTTTTTTTACCATTTGCTTTAGTAACATCTGGGGTGGTGCTGTTGCTATGGGACATCCTTTGGGTTGCTCTGGTGCTAGAATCATTGCCACGTTGACCTCGGTCCTCAAGCACAAGAATGCCAAGTACGGTGTTGCTGGTGTTTGCAACGGTGGTGGTGGAGCTTCGGCCATTGTCATTGAGCGTTTATAAAGTAGCAGAATATAGTAGAAAAAAAAAAACAAATGCCCTTTCTGAACACGATGCTACCTTTAGGTAGAAAAAAAGGTTAAGATAATAGGGAAACATACACACAAACACACATAAAGTAAAGGATGCTTTTTTTTTTCATGCATACTATTTTTGGAAGACGGTTGCGAGTATTTTTAGAAACGTCTTGACTGGCGGCGGCCAAAAGCGGAGCAGGCTTGGCGAGTCAAAGGAAAAATAACATCGAAAAAAACTGCTTACCATATTTGGGGGCTCGTCGATCTTCAATCAGAATAAGTGGCATTCAAAACAATACAAAAGGACGAGTTGTTACATCTTTTGGATAGTGTGATTTTTTGTCCTTTTTTATCTTCTCTTGTTCATATTATCTTCATCTTATCTGTCATCTTGTTGTTCCTTATTGCAAGATGTTGTATTCATATGAAAGCGCTTGGGCTGCGTATTGCTCCTTTTTCATCTTACTGAGTGTGGCACTGATCTGGCGGTGTCGATCCAATCTCTTGTTGTTACCTTTTATTGGCTTTTCGATCTTTGCCACCATCGGTTTAATTGTCGCCATCACTCGTCGCACATACGAGACGCACTGGATCGAACGCAGTCCGGTATTATATCAGTGGCCTGTACTATCGCTTTTGCTGTTCATCGGTATCATCGAATCCCAGCAAGTATTCTTCCGACATCTGGCCCTGGCTCTTTACAATCGTCAACGCTGGGGCAGTCTGTACGTGCGCGATCCAGAAAAGGCGGCGTTGTACGGTCGAAAACCCGGTTCAGCAAGACCCTGGACTTACTGGTTCAATCTGGTGTTCCTGACCATCTATACAGCGGTTGTCATTGTCAATCTGTGTCTTCAACTGGTCATTCTCAATAAGCGTGGATCGCTGGCTTCGGCGGTGTGCACCACCATCCTTGCCGGTTTAGCTTGTATCAATGCCATTCTTATTAGCTCCGGCAGCAGTCTTCGCGCTGCCCGCCACCTTCGCGTGTTACGAAAAAATCGTCAAGATCTACTGTTTCTGCGGGCCACTCCGATTCTGTTTACACTAGTTATGGCAGGCATTGCCGTCGAAGGCTGGTTATACGTATTTGATTTGGACGGAACCACCACCGGTGGATGGATAGCTCTGGAAACAATGATTGTTATCCTGACCATGATGCTCCTGGGGATGTGCCTGTATGTTCGTAAACTCCACAAATTAGGTCAGCAATACCCGATGATGGACCCCATGATGGAAAAACGAAACTCGAAACGATCCCTGAGACACCCGCAAACAGAAAAACAAATCACAACCATGATTTCACGCTTAAGCCAAGATGCGGCTGATCGCGTCACTCCACCTGCATCGCGTCTTCCACCCACCGCTCAATTTTAAAAGCTACTTTGTTTATAATTTTATTTACATGTAATCTGTGCTTCTTTTTATCGATGTATTTTTTTTTCTCATGCGCAGGCTTTTCAGAGTAAAACCACTCTGGTGTATCATGATTTATCGAATAGAATTTGGACAAAACAGTCTGCGCATATCGTCCACCCAAAAAAATAAAAAACAAATGATACCCAAGAATTTTTCGTCACAAATGTCTACCCTCCAAAACCTTTTGTGAATGTTCGGCTCTTGTTCCTTCGAAAAGCATCAAACTCGTCCATGGGTGGTCCTGATTCGAATGGTCGAGGTTCGTTGCCACGTTTCCCTTTCATGTAACCACTTTTATATCCTTCGGTATCTGTGGCAGAATGTTCGCTGGAGAATGTTCGACGTGGTGGCGGTGATCGAGAATGACGTCGATGATCATGGCGTGAATAAGGAGAGCTTGAACGTTTACGGGATTCATAGCCACGGTGACCGTATGATCGAGGAGGACTTCGGCTTCGGCTTCGGCTTCGGCTACGACTTCGTGATCGACTATTCAGCCAATGAATTATTACACAGCCAAATGACCAAGCCAGTAATTCACCGTTCGCCACTTTACCTGTCACGGCCGTGAAAACGATCTCGCCGATCCTCAAAATCTCGTCTGTGACGGCGTCCTGGGCTACGGCCGCGTTGGTAACGTTCGCGGCTACGACTACGGCTACGACTACGACTTTGGCTGCGGCTGCGGCTCCGACTTGTGCTTCTACTTCTGCTGTGACTCCAACTGCGACTGTGACGTTCTCTGCTTCGGCTTCGACTGTAACTTTTTGAGTACCGGTGAGATCGTCCCGAATCAGATCTGTAACGATGGGTATCGGCTCGAGTGTCGCGAGATCGATCGGTGGATTTTCGTCCATGAGCTGCATTGACTGTTGACCTGCGTGGAGCCGCCGCCTCAAATTTTTCGTAAAAAAAGTCCAGATACCCTTCCTCCCAACCGTTGCGATCTAGTTTAGAGTTTCGATCCTCGAGGAAAGCCGTGGTATCTTCATTCAGATCAAATCCCGAATAGAAGGAGGCCACGGCTTCGTTGAGCTCTTCAGTCACAGGAGCATAGATTGGCTGTCGAATGGCGTCTTGATCGATAGCCTTATAAGGATGACTTTCACCCTGTATTGGACCACGGTTAAATGTACAACGAATCTGTGGCGCTTTTGTTGTCAGACATCTACCTTGATGACCAGCATCATTAGACTGGCTGGTAATTGAAAATAGGGCTTATCAGGTACCGATGGCGGGTTGGGTGGCATAGGTGGCTGGATGGAAGGAGGAGCAGCGGTGGGCGGAATCGATGGATGGACTGCTCCAATGGGCTGAGCTACGGTTGGCATAGCCGCATGCATGCCGGTGGGTGGCAATGATTGCGCCGCTTGATAGACGCTCCTCGGAGGAGGTGGGATGAATAAAGATGTAAGAGGCAAAGCCACACTGTTCATAATACTGGCGATGATACCGTCATCATAGATATGCTTGTCGCCCCAAATCTTGATGACCTTTATGCAAGGAACCAATCAGACGTAATTTCACATCAGTTTACACGGTTTTTGATCAAATGACGGGACTGCCTCGAGATATAAGCAGCCAAGGGCAATCATCCCACCAGTGATGTCATGCGACGTTGCCAGCAAGGAAGCAGTGCTCGTGCATTTACCTTGATGACTTTGGCTTGTTGTTCCTCAGTGACGCTCGGCGCCTGATATGCCAACTTGAGCAATGGCATCACATGAGATATGATCACCTCTTTCATCCATGGTATTTGACGTCGTTCACTAAAAATCGAATCCTCATGGTTCATATTTCGTCTTTGACCGAGAAAAATTGATGCCTAGGGAATGCATTACCTGTGAAACAGAATATCGTTGATCAGGTACACCAAGTGAAGTCGATCCTTATACGTTGGTCGCGCCGTCGAAAGCACCACCATAAAATTTAAAACAGCCTCCAACTGATCAGGTTGACGACAGTTGCTGACAATCCAATTCTTTCCACTCTACATGGCCCGTTGAGCAGCCCGAAAAAAAAGCCTGGTTTTGACGAGAGATTCAAAAAGCTTACCTCGATATTGGACATGGAGCATTCACGAAAAAGAGCTTCAAGAATGTTGCACAGGTTGGTGGGCGCATCCGGTGCGGATCCACCGTCTTCAACTAGGATCCGATATAAAATGTGGAATGCGGCGGTTACGACGTCTTGCTGCTGGCCGACTGCTGAATAAAAAAAAAACACCAGAAAGGGCATAAATGTACCACATTAATCAGATGCCAACAAAAAGTAGAGCATCATGCAATAAGGGAGTCGGCCTGCTACTATACCTTGACGGTGATGGGCATCCATTGGCGGTCTGATCCTGCTTGTTGGCTGCCTGCTCCAGAACTGCACCTGCAAAATTCATTGTGGCTTCACAGTCACGGCCGATCAAAAAATTCTATGGTTTCCGCCCCATGAATGCTGTCCAGTTACAAGAGCCGATGAAATATTTTATACATGGTTTTTGACGATAAAAGGTAAATGATATGTGCATACATGTAGTTAAAATAACCCTCGGAACGCCAACTGCAACTGACGTTGTTCTGCTCACACGCTCCAAAACCAGCAACATTATACTACCATAGAATGGGTTAATCCAGTGGTTTGAGTATCTATCAGCGTGGTGGAAAATGAAAACAGTGGTGAAGACACTGTCACTCCAGATGACTTGATTCGATTGACAACCATGTGCGATCAAAATTTAGTCGGTGAATATGTCAACTCAAAAAGCGAAACTGGTTCGAAAGATGGGGTTTGAAGAACACGATGTTGTGTATGAACAATGTTTATTGTTGTTCTGCACGATTTATGAAATGAAAAGAGTGTATTACTGATTGGCCATTTGTTTCTTTTTGAATAAAAATACAAATTGAATTTCGATACTGCAGATAGTTCACTTTCGGTGGAATATGATATAAATGTCACCATTCGGGAGATGTGACTGATGGGATCCGAGGCTTACAGATAAGAGACAGAGAGAGAGAAATAAAATAAGAGAAAGGGGGAAATACAAATATCTTTCCTTGTTATTTTTCTTTTCTTTTGTTTCTTTTTTTTTTGCTTTTTCGTTTTTGCTGCGGGAAATCATCGCTTGCTTGCTTTCTTTTTTTTTTTTTTTTTTTTTTTTTTTTTTTTTTTTTTTGTTGGATATAAAGGGGCCCATAGCAGACCTTTCACCGCCACGCATGGCCAGTACGCCAAGGACTCCTTCCATACGTCCCACTTTCCCGCCAAGCCAGTCCTTCCCTGTATGGTGCACAAATCCGGATCGCATGACAACCAGTGCATAGAATATTACCGGTACCATGATCGCCCGTGCCCGTCGAAAGGAATGGCCGTAGCCATCCCTCGCCTATGTACAGGAAAGATCTTTTTCCAGTTAGATAATCGGGGAAAACTATATCTCATGGATCATTCATATTTACCTTTATCACGTTCGCAAAGGGATTCGCAGCGTATCATGGGTGGCCGCAAGCCCGCATGTTAGTGGACTATGCTGTATGTCGGGTACAGACGAAACTCGGCTCGGTGGGACATTGTACGGAAAGAACCTCGACGCCCTGGATCATACGCAACGGCTACCGGGTCTTTTACGCTATGGGCAAAGAAGCGTGTAAGAAATGGGGGGAAAGGGTTAGGGAACTTGCCTCTGTTTCGGATCCCATCAGTCACTGGGGGAAATTTTTGGCCGGATCGTCATCGGTCGCTTGTGTGACCGATTTGGCTGGCGAACTGTTGCCAGCCATTCGTTTTTTTTTCTGTGTGCCGGCTGGATATAAAAACCAAAAAACAAGAAAATAAGTAAGGAGATTCACATCAGCGTCATACTTTTTTTTGGGGTCCTTACCAGTTCAGCTTCGTGTGATAAACTTTATGCCAGCGCGTCGGCGACGCTGGAAAAGGAAATTTCCGATTTTTGGTGTGGGGGAGGGAAGGGGGTTCGTTTCGCCGTCGCAGAGTGTTGCTTGTGGTACGCCATACGGATGCCCCCTGAAAAAAAAATTAACCAAACAATGAGCAAATGGTGATTTCACCGGCTAGGCATCGATCGGCCTCCAATGCAAGTTTGTCAACTTACCCAAACAGAAGGGGAGACGTTGCTTAAACGCTTGTTTTGGAGGGGAGTGTCGGCTTGACACTCCCCTATGCGGTCGTTTACATGTGGCAGTTAGGATTCTGCCACATCTGCAGATACTATTGGCTGCTAAAGGAAGAAGATTAGCATAGGTAGAACGAATATAGTCATTTTTCATTACATGCTTACAATTTTGAGTATACGTCTCGGACGGCCCACGTAGCAGCCTTGCTGCGCGATTATTTTGCTCTTGCGCCTAAAGATCATGTAACGCATGGATTTCAGTGTTCTTCTTCAGTGTTTTGTAGAGCGGTATTCAACGAATTTACCTTTTGGGCTTCGACGTTTTCGACTTGGATGGACGTCGGCCTGGATGGATGTCTAGTCATCGACATCCATCCAGTCAATCAATTCGTCGGGATGGTCGACGTCCATCCAGTCGATCAACTCTTCTTCGGTGTCGATTTCCATCGGATCGTCAATTTCGTCGTCACCGATTTCTTCCTCCTGGACATCGACACCGAAGAAGGGGAACTCTTCATCCTGTTGCGGCTCTTGCTGTTCACCACTGCCATCGTCATCGTCATTGTCATTGTCATTGGCATTGGCATCCTCGTTGGCTCCGTTATTGCCTTCTTCGTAGTCATTTTGGTAGGGAAATTCTCCTAATTCTTCTTCTTCCTCATCTTCCTCATCTTCCTCATCTTCTTCTCCTTCATCATAAAAAAAGAAATGGCATTCTTCTCGTTCGCCTTGTTCTTCTTCTTCCTCGTCTTCTTGATAAACTCCTTCGTTTGCATCGTGAAACTCTTCAGCATCTTCGACATCTTCATAATCTTCTCTTGCATCATAGTATTCTTCTTCTTTTGCTTCTTGTTCATTAACACCTTCTTCATCTTTGTCACCTCCGTCGCTTTCTTCTTCTTCTTCTTCTTCATTCTCAAAGTTGTCTTCTTCGTTATGTTGGCTGAAGAGATAAATACCATACATGTTAGTGTTTAAACTATTTAGGCCCAAAAAATGCACGGCTTACCGGTTCTTCAAACTTTTCGCAGTGTTCACCATGGCTTGGACAGCATCAAGTTCTGCCAACACCTCCGGCATGCACTTTTGGAATTGGTAAGATTCCGGTCCATAAGCAGCAATCCATTGCACCTTTTGATGTAGGTGGGAAAACGCTTTTTCAGCTGCCTTGAGGGCGATTTGGAATTCAGTTTTTTCACTATTTGAAATGATTGCTTATTAGAAAAACATTGATTCAACCTGAAAAGGCACAAATAACTTACGAGTGAACAGTGAGATTTTGGAAAACTTGTTTGGCAAAGAATAAATTGAGCGATGATTGAAAAGAGAGAAGCGTTAATACAACCTATTGCACAAAACGTATCATGTTATTAATCATCACTTACGAGCAGAGAGGTCAGACATTGTAAGAATCAATAAAGATAAAGAGAAAAAGAAGGGTAATCGTCGCGTTTGGCTTTTTCATTATGATAACCAAAAAACGAGTCACCCATGATCCGGCAACAAAGAAAAACCTGTTTGCCCAAATTTGGACGATAATCGATTTCACAGCATGGACATCATCGTCTTCCCAACTGTTCTGTTACACAGAAGTCGGTGTTTTTGATCACGGGGTCATGCGTTTCTCCTTTGTGTAACGCTCGTTTACCGTCGCCTAAGCTTGCCCCGATTTGGGATACACTGCTTACGTTATCCTGAAACCTCATTTATGCTGGTATTTACCAAAAGGCGCGTCTAGCAAAATCAATTTTTCTAATGAGCTCCCGTTTCGATGTAAAAAGACGCGGAAAGTGGGAAACCATACATAATCAATGTCAAAGGGAACGACGATGGGAAAAAAGTAAAGTGTCAAGTTTCAAGAAGCTATGGAAATGCCGATCTCCCCACCAGTGCGCGAAATAAAGTTTGGATCGGTGGATGTGCCGACAAAAATAATATCAGTGGAATTACGTTACGCCGATGATACCATACTACACGGATGGATCCGATCCTCAGGTCCTCCCCCATTAAAGAGAATCTCTATGGCAGCATAAACAAAAGATTCATCCATGGTTTATTTACGAGGGATAAAACAACACTCCCGAATATCAGAAAAAACCACTGTAAAGCTGGAAATATTAAGCGTCATTCATGCGGTGGAACAAAAAATAAGGTCCGGAAAGTGGCGGTTTCCACAAAACATCTTTTTTTCTTCATATCGGACCTGAAGTTTATTTTACACATGGATCTGGATCCCAATCATTGCCATGCCTTCTTGAAACTTGACACTTTACTTTTTTCCCACCGTCGTTCCCCTTGACATCGATTATGTATGTTTCCCACTTTCCGCGTCTTTTTACATCGAGACGGGAGCTCATTAGAAAAATTGGTTTTGCTAGACGTGCCTTTTCCGGAAGTACCCATGAAACCGAATTCCCAAAATCAAAGAGGACGGTAACCAAATTTGGGTAATCCCAGGCGGTAAACGGAGGGAACGGGGCGTTCCCGCATGAAGCCGATGACGAATTCAATGGAATGAAAGAAAAAAAAAGAAATACAAGCAAAACTTATGCAAAAAAAAAAGTTTTTCAAACGACGATGAAAACGATCAAAATGATAAAACGAAAAAGGGCGTCGTTTTCCTTTTTTTTTTTTTTTTTTGCTCCTCTTCGACGTTTCTTCGCTTTTCTACTTTTACTACTCTCCAACGGCTCCTTTTGATCAACTTGACATCGAATCAGCTCGCTTTTCTACCTCTGCTACTCTACGACGGCTCCTTTTTGATTAACTACTAATGAATCATCTCGTTTTTCTATGATAGTTTCGGAGAATGATGGATGACAAGCAGTTCTTTTCTTCGCAGTAGTTTACGGTTACATTTGAAGGACTCACCAATGCTCCCTTTTTTTCTATTTTCTACAGAAGGTGAAATGGCAGTCTGAGACGGTGGACAAGGTAGGTTTGTGTTTTGACCGATGGTTTTTTTTTTTTTTTTCCGTTTCCCTTCGCCCCATTTTGTAGATGGTAAGTCCCTTTCCTACCCTTTCATACTCTCTCATACCCACTCTACCCTACCTTTCCCTTCCCTACTCTATCCTTATCCTTATCCTTTCTTTTCTATTCCCTTTCTTTTAGGCTTGTTTTATGTACTTTGACCAGCTGTCTAAAGGGTAAGTTTTTCTTTTTTTTTTTTTTTTCTTTTCGTCATATGCTGCTTGTCACCCATCATTCTCCGGTGCCGTCTGCTTCCTGACCTCACTATGGTGTCTCCCTCTGGATTTTCGTGGTTCGATATTAGTTTTCCTTGGTTGCCTGTTTGCTGGACATGTTCTTCGACTTAGTATTATCTTAGCTGTATTTTATAATGATTGTAAATTGATTGTAAAATAAATTTTTTCGTCACATCAAAGTGGTCCATTCAATCTATTTACGAAAAGCAACCTTTGGTTATTCATCAAACTAAACCTAGCTACACTGTTTTTCGCCGTTCCCAACTGCTCTGCGTCATTGAAATACAAGGAGTGATTCTCATAGATTAACTTGAAATTCCACTGCGTCCTTTCATAATGCCTCGCAACCATATCAAGCCCATCTTGAACTAAGTTATGCACACTGCCGAAATAATGAGAGTCTCAAAGAAACGGTTTCAATTACGGTTTCGCATATCTGAGTATTTGTCGTTGGTTTCTCATGAGTGGGTCCAACTTCGGCGACCTGGTTTGATTTACCAAATATACTATAAATTTTGGTTGATGTTGCAGAAACGGAACGACGCAGCCACCTGGCCCAGGATTGGCATGACAATAGAAAGCCCAAGTTACAGAAATCAGAGAAAATAATTATTTGTTTCCAGCATAATAATGCATTGAATACACTATGGCAAAGGTATCATCTGTATAGAATAGGGAGGGTGCTGCGCATAGTAAACAAGGATATGGAATACAACATGTGGGATCATCTACAAACTATACATTATTGCACACACTTGTCTAGATCACCTGGCGCTAGACTTTGTTGTTTTTTCTTTTTTTTTTTTTCCTATTTTTTTCTTCGTCTGTTCTTTTTGCAACTTATACGTATTTGAAACGTATTACGGTATGCAGCAGAAGCAAACCTTTATACAATGGCAGTGTCGGGACTAGTATATAAAAGGGCGAGGTTGGCGCACCGACGATGAAGCATGAAAGGCATCATCATCTTGCTCTTGTTCCTCAAAGTAAAGATTTTCGTTCTGGGTGCCTAATTTCGGGATTCGCAAATACGCATCGGTTCCCCAGCCGTCCATGGAAACCACATTGATCGCGCCACCCCAGTACTCTGCATAAACTCGACTCATCGGCAGTCCAATCCCCAGTTGTGCTTTCATATGATCATGCTCAGACATTTTAGCCTCCAGCTGCGCTACGTGACGAAAATTATCCAGCAAATCAGGTTTTCGTCCATACGACCACAAGTGTCGATGGGTTTCGTTCGACATGCCGCCGCCTTGATCGGAGATGCGGAAAAAGATGTCGCTGGGGTTCGAACAGATGGTGACTTGGATGGGCGGATAAGGTGGAGAGTGGGCCGATACAACGTGACGTAGAGAGTTGGAAAGAATTTGGTAGAGGATATATTCGATGTGATCGGCAACGTAAGTAAATCGAGTGTCTTTGGGATTCCCATTGATGTGAACTTCTGGTAACACCCAGGTGTGATTTTTCGATGCGATTTGGCGTGCATGAGCCTGGACCCATGCTGTGCATTTGTTGACGGTGTCATGTGCAGAGCAGCTGCTGAAGATGGTGGTGCGTCGATTGGGTCGTTCCTGTGACAGGGAAAATCCATTGGAGGGTTGATGGGCGGTATGAGGGACGTATTCAGAAAGGACGAGATGCTGTTCTGCTAAGACGCGCCGCGATATGCGAGATCGCAATGTACCATTCATGAACCGATCAATCCGTTCGGAGCTCATATGTTGTTGGCATTCAGATATTCCCAACGCTAAGCGCGGAATCGCTACAAGATGCGCTTCAAGTGATTCGCTGAGAATAGCACAAAAGGCATCATTTTCCTGCATGGTTGTAATGGGTCGTACTTTTCGAAACCGCTCAAACGCTCGCCAATACAAGTCGTAAATATGTTGGATGTGAGGATTGGTGCCGACAATAAAAGGAAGTTTCTGAAATTCTCGGATGCGATGGGAAAGCCGTATCGGCAGTTCGGTTCTGACGTAATTGGCGGATTTGAGAACCCTGTCTTCATTTTTATGTCGCTCGTAAAACACCAATTGGCGAAGTGTAATGGGTGTGGTCTTTTGTTGCACGAATTGATCAAGAATCTTGTTCATGTAAAAGTGAGGCCCGGTACCTTGTACGGGAGGTTTCTCTTCGATAGCTCTAGCAACGTGGCCGAACCGGCGCACCAACCGAGGTACATTAGTAATGGTGAATGGTCTTGAACCCATCGTCATGGTGAGTCAGTCAGTGTTCAGTGCAAAACCGCTTTTTTTTCGTTCTCCTGAGAAAAAGGAATAGGAAAAAGGATGAGATGCGGAGAGAAAATTCAAAGAGCGATCTTTTTCATCCTCCAAAAGATCATCGTGGCGGAGTATGCTAAGATGGTCAGAGGTCAGACCAGTGTGGTTGGTTCCTTGTGATCTTCACGACGAGTTACTTGCCGAAGGCACAGACCAAATTCTGGGAATTTGAACTTCACCAAACAAATACTAAACGTAAAAATTCGGTCTAGACTAGCCGGGTGCTTGTTATCGATAACCGAAATTGGATAGACATGTTTTGAACAGATGACTGAGATCCGGAGGCATTTTTGTGTAGTTTAATGATGGGATTTGCACGTTCATGTGCAACTCTCGGCCATAAAAATCATGTCTCATCACTAGCTAGTTCTCCAATAAAGTACCTCTTATATTTTAACTTTTTTTTTCCCAATCGCATCATCCATGGTGACCACATACTCAAACGACATAAGCAGTGTCACGTTGTTTTCTCTTTTGACAGTATTTTCTGTTGGTTGGATCTATTCATGTTTTGATGACACTGTAATGAATGACTTTCAGCTTTTCTTTCAATATTTTATGACATGACATTTTAGTCATTCCGTTGCTTAGAGCATAATGCAGAATTTTTAAAAAAAAATTGTCAGCTCACTCTCTGACGTTATGTGACACCAAGTGAACTAATATTTTGGATCATTGTTCCTGCAACATTTCGCAGCATCAACAAACATCGGAGAACATTTTTGGGTTTCAGCCCCATTCACCACCGTCAAAGAATTCGTGGCCAAAAAAGAATAAAAGCCAGTTATGGGAACAGTACATAGATTCCAGTACCGGCGTCTTCTTTTCAAGCTGTTGGCTGAAGCATGCCTCATATACTGTTGACATTTTATTTTCCTTCTCTGTCTTTTCGTGTATGATAAGAAAATGACTCCTCGCATTGATGTGCATATTTGTCGACACTAGATCATGTTGTTGAAACGCTCAGAGAACTCGGTCCATATGTCCTCAAGTCACAGCTGTGGTGAGGTTTACAAATCCGTATATGGTGGAAAATGATGATGGGTTGTTGCCAGAGTGACGAAATTCGACGTTTGATGCTATTGTCAGTGTGAAAACTCCGACGAGCTCATAAACTCTTATCCAGCTTTGTTTTAAGTGATCAAAAAAGAGAGAAGACCAAAGGACAAAGACATACAAAGAAAACAAGATGGATGCATTAGACAAGCCACACTTACTCTTCTTTTGTTTTTACTTACAAAAAAACTGTTGTCACCGCATTGCTGGAGCCGCCACCGCACACCGCCAAGGCGTGGGCTTTGTTCATCAGTTATCTAAACTACACAGTAGAATTACACAAAGCGAGTGAGTGATTCGGCATAACATTCAAAAAAGAAAGGCCACTTGAGCTATTTGTGGAGGTTCAGTCGTTTTGATATCACATTTGTAGTCATCATGAGTATACGTACAGGATAGTTGATTTGAGCAATGTTGATAAGAATAAGCAATGAAAAAATATATCGCGATAGATGGATGTTTTTGCGCATGAAAAAAGAAAATAGATGTGCGATGAAGAGGCAAAAAAATGGATGGAAGATGCGTCGTCTTTATAGACATGAAAAAACAGGCGATCCCTCGTAATGTAGCTAAAACCTTTATTCTCCAATAATGAAGCAGGAAAAAGACGCCATGTGTCTTTTCTCATTGCCTCACGTCATATTTATCCTTTGATAAGAGAGTGGGGCCTCATCGCATGAAATAGCTGCATGAAGTAGGTCTCAGATACTGTTAGAGAGAGATTTTTATTCTCAAGTGTTCATATATCGGCTGATGGGATACACAGGTGCACATAACTTTGGTACAGACGTAATGCGTGGCTCGTTAAACTATATTTCAACTTGTATTATACACTTTATTGAAAATAGAAGTCATCCTAATGAAGATGGCCTCTTCTTTTTGATGAACAAAGTCGTCAGTTTCAGCGCATTTTCCCTCCAGGATTACGCAGGCCAAGGTAATATGACGAGAATCCCACACTCCCCTCCAATAAAGGTTCAAGTCATGCTTTTTGCTTCCTTGCAATTTATTTGACTATCATTTCTTTATTTTCCGAGAAAAATGAACTGAAAGATGAAAAAGACATTAGGGAAGTCAACAAAATTTATCGGGATTACAAAAAAATTTGTCAGGGCGCTGTAAAGGTTTAGCTTTGGTACAGAATGGCGTCATGCTCATCAGAGACAAAGAAGATGAATATGTGAAAGGACATATTGACATATTGACTGAAAAAAAAGAAACACGATAAAGCTGACGACATAAGATGGGGCTGAATAGCTTCCACTTGTATTTTTCATTATTAAGCAGAAAGCAAAGGTAATATGTTGCTGTGAATTAATGGTGACAGCGGACACCCAAGCTGTCATTCAATAAACCAAACAAACGAAACACCTATTTGTATAGCATCCCTGTCCCAAAACAGCCTACGCCTTCCTTTTTTTTAACTCACTAATATTCACTCATGTCTTCTAGTAAGCATTGTCTTGCAAAAACTCCATATACTTGACCACAATCACTGACCATGCACTTGCACAGATTTACGAATTGCCTGTGTTGTAAGTAACCTGATTCGCAACAAGAGTCAAGCTCCTCAAGTTCCCTAATCACTTTCGCTCAGATGGTCGGTTTACCGGCTCGAGGCAAAACTTACATCTCTCAAAAAGGTACGCTTGACGTGATATTGAGAAAATCTTTGAAAAAAAATTATTTATCTGGGGGAAATGATTTGTCAGTGTGTCGTTATTTGACTTGGCTTGGGATCAAAACCAAGGTGTTCAATGTGGGAAATTATCGTCGTCAACTGCATGGTGCGCATCTTCCTCATACTTTTTTTGATCCACATAACGCTGTGGGTGAACAACAACGACGAGAAGCTGCCGCGGCCGCTTTGGAGGATATGATCCGTTGGTTTGATGAGGAACAGGGGATTGTAGCGATTTACGATGCCACCAACAGCACCCAGAAACGAAGAAGATGGTTGAAAGAGAGATTAGCCAAAGAAGACATTCAAGTTCTCTTTATCGAATCGATCTGCCAGGATGAAGCCTTGATCCTCGCCAATATCAAGGAAGTCAAACTCTCCTCCCCAGATTATGCAAATACCGATCCCGATGAAGCTGCCCAAGATTTCCGTGCGCGCATCGAGCATTACAAGGAACGTTACGAAACAATCACAGAACAAGAACTCACTTACATCAAGCTCATCAATGTCGGCAGTCAGAATATCATTAATATGATCCAAGGGTACCTGGAATCGCGCATAGTGTACTACCTAATGAATCTTCACATCGCGCCACGAAAGATCTATTTCAGTCGGGTAGGTGTCACACAATCAGCATGAAACGGGAACGCCTGATGTACTTATTCGTGACGGTAGCACGGTGAATCACAATACAATGTTGCTGGCAAAATTGGTGGTGATTCGTACTTGTCACCACGCGGAAAACTATATGCTCAGAAACTGCCTGGACTGATCAATGCCAATCTGGCAGATCAGCCTCTCACGGTTTGGACGTCAACAATGAAACGGACCATAGAAACAAGCGAGCTATTGGATTATCCAAAATTACAGTGGAAAGCTTTAGACGAGCTTGATGCTGGTGTGTGTGATGGCATGACCTACGAAGAAATCGAGGTAAATCCGAACCGTAGATCTACTGGGGGGGTTTTTTTTTTCTCATCGCTATTCATGTATGGTTGACAGCAAGAATATCCGGAAGATTATGCCAATCGGGACGAGGATAAGTTTAATTACCGGTACCGTGGTGGCGAGGTAAAAGAAAATACCATGTCGATAAAGGGACGATAGGGAACATCCGGCTCATAGAGTATACCCTTTAGTCTTATCGGGATGTTGTATTACGATTGGAACCTGTGATCATGGAACTGGAACGGCACGAGAACATTTTGATCATTGGACATCAAGCTATTCTACGATGCATCTATGCGTATTTCATGAACTACAGCCACGAGGAATTGCCCTATATCAAGATCCCGCTACATACCGTGATTGAGTTAACCCCTAAAGCGTACGGATGTGAAGAAAAACGCTATAAAGGTAAAATTGATCGAAATTCTCGTCTTGCAAGTCAAAGGGATATTCATGGGAAGGAAATGAATAGTGGATATTGATGCGGTTGATACGCACCGTCCGAGACCCAGTCGCGCGGATTCGATACGCAAACAAGCGGCCAAGGCAAACGTTGGGAAATCCGAAGGATTACACCTTGGCAAATTGCCTGCAGGTGCGAGTGGTGAAATTGTGAGAGACCCAATGAGTCCTATCGTACCCATCAGCCCACAGTTATTTCCCAAAGGAGGCACTCCTACCAAAGATAGAAAACGAAGTGCTTCCTCTTCTGGCACAACCAATCACTCTGAAGCTGAAATGACAACGTTAAATCTGCCCAAATAAAGCCTCTTGCAATATTTAAGTTAATAACCATGGTGACTGATAATTTCCACACTAGATTAAGAATTTGGATAATGTGAAACGCAACAGTTGATGGCAGAGAATTTTAAGAACGACATTGTAAATACTATACGTTCGCAATGATATTTTCCACATTGATCACAATACCCACATGTGGTGCAGAATACATGCCCTCACGCTACTGAGCAAAGTACCAGTAATTTTTGGGGATAACGGTAATGGAGAGTTGTTGCTTTCCAAACTTGAGAAGGAACAAAAAAAAAGGCAACGTCACTGCTCCGATTGCACCAAATTTGGGCAATCTTCCATCTTTAGCCAAATTTTTGCTGCTTCACTTTCATACTCTCTAATCCACACCAAACCATGGCAGCAGACGAAGAAAACACTTCTTTGGTAAATACGACAAAGAAGGAAAGAAATTGCACAGATATTAAGATGCTTTTCGTGTCTTTCAGCGCACCGATGAACAAGGATTGTTCGGTGACAGCAGTGGTGACGAAGAAATGTCTGATCTTGAAGGAGATCAAGGTAACAGCATTAACGACGATTTTATGGAGTACAGTCGCATTGAGCCATTTTTCAATAGTCTCCGATGTCGATCAAAACGAGATGCCCGAACAGGAAGAAGGACTGGAGGAGGATAGCGCCGAAGCGTCCCAGTTGAACGAACCATCAGCAGCAGACACTGCGGCCCACACTGCTGCACCAAAATTACCTTCGTTCAAAAAACGTACTCGCAACATATCCAAAGAAGAAAGTGACCGATTGGAAGAATTAAAGCGTGAATTACGAGAAAAGAAACAGAATGGAGGTAGAGATGTCGAGGAGCCGGAAGAAGAAGAAGAAGTGGATCCCCAACAAGGTATATAGTAGACGCAATGCTGCAATAATCTGACAATGGATGCCAGTCAACTGAATTTTTTTTTCTCTTTTGAATTCTTTGCCATTAGCATTACGAGACGAGATTGATCGCGAGTTCGCCAAAGCCTTGGCAAGTGGCAAAAAGAAGAGAAAGAAAGTAGACGAGGAAGATCTGGAACGTAGCATGGACGAAGAATTGTCCAATCTCCGTGAACAGATGAAAATTGCTGCAGAGGAAGACGCTATTGCGAACGGGAAGAGAAAACCGGCTGTGGCTAAATTGAAACTGCTTCAAGAAGTCGTTGGCATGTTAACAAAGTAGGTGTGAGATAAAGCAGAGACGAAACAGTCATCAGTGACTCAAGGCTACTTGATGAATAGCAAACATTGGCAGGACAGCATTTTGGACAATCAGCTGTTGGATGCCATCCGATTATGGTTGGAACCCTTGCCCGACCGCTCCTTACCAAGTTTGGACATCCAAACTGAGATGCTGGATATTTTGGACAAGGTAAACATGGATTATTACCGTGATAGATGTACGAATACTTATCTGTGATACAGTTACCTATTGCCTCTGACCATCTTCGTGAAAGCGGTGTTGGCAAAATCGTCTACTTTTATACCAAATCTCCTCGCATTGAAACCCCAGTGAAGCGAAAGGCGGATCAGCTGGTAGCAAAGTGGAGCCGTTTGGTGATCAAGCGTAGCGAAAACTATCGAGAACGACGACACGAACTGCGAGAGTATCGACAAGAGGACGCGTAAGTAGTGGCCAACGAGAGAAATCCATCATACTTCTGTTGCTTATTAAAAAACCTTGCTATAGTGGTTATCGACGCAAGAAGTTCCGATCTCAACAAGCGCCTGACGAAGAGTAAGTTTATATATGAATGCCACTCCCTACTTGCTGGTTGACATGAACATGGGAAATAGGGATGAAAAGAGAATGCATGTTCGAATTCCGCAAGCGGTGGCTGCCGATTATGATATTGTACCTCAGAGCACGGTTCGAATTGACAAAGTGAAAGCCAAGGTAGGAATGCATGGATTCGTCTGCGTTTTTTTTTTTTTTTCACTGCATTTTACTGACTAAGATGGATGGTTTTTACAGAATGATTCAACTTTCAGACGATTAAAGAATACAATGCGATCCATGAAGACCGGTCCCAAACGTACTACTCCCAAGGTGTCCATTGAAGGCAAAGGCATGGGTATCTAATGTAAATAATCCAAAACAATAAAAGCAAATTACCTTGATTATTGATTGTACGTACGGGGTATCCTACGCTATACTGTCTCAGTCTTAGAGAAGAGCAGCACATAATGAAGAGAACTATAGAGGGTAATTTGCTTTTTTGGCGATCCTGCCTTGAAGTATTTGCTTTTTTTTATGATTCAAGGCGTGAATCATTTGGTTCTTTGATGGGGCAAGGTTGAGGGGCATCGTGTACTCGAGCTTCTGGATAGATCGTGATATATTTGTATACGTACTGGTATTTGTTCATTTGCATCGAGTGTAGAATCACAGTCCACTGTTGATCGAAGAAGACTTCTTTACGTATTGTATTTGACCAAAAAAAGACCCCAATTGTATGGCGGACCATGCGAAAGCAGAACTTTATTTTCACAGAGAAACATTGCATCGTATTCGTCCCCATATTCGCCACTGCAGATAAAATTAGTCTAGTATATTGACTTGCGCAAGATGTTTCGAACGTGCTTCATTGTGCCGAGGCAGATTGGGGTTTTTGTAATGCATTCTAAAGTTCGCGTCATGGTTCTGGAATCCTGACACAAAGAAAGAAAGAAAGCAGGATCGGAGCCATTTCCGTGCAGCTATGGAAGCAATGTAAGGTTGGATACGGAAACACGCAACGTGGCACAACTCTAATTTTGTGCACGTTTGGGCATGACGGAAGATTATGCCGGTCCAATCATAAAAGGAAGTGTGGAAACCATCCAGAATATATAAAAATCAAACTCCATCATCGCCACCTCGTGCACTTGGCTTTTCAGCTTTTCATTATTATCATGAGTAAGTCGCTTTTCACCGAGAGAAAAAAACAAAACGAAACGGATAATAACGCACGCCCTTGTTACCAGGTGACGATATCCATTACGGTTCCCGACCTGAAGACGAGATTCGCTACGGGTGAGTTATGACAATGTGTCTTTTGCGCTATCCATCGGATATTGATTGTTACGCAGCGACCACATCTCTCTGAAGCATAACATGACGGGAAGATACCTCACTTCGGGTGAAAACACCTATGAATCCGGTAGCGGACAGCAAGTTGTAAGTGGTTCTACGACTAGTGTTTGATAAGTTGTCAAGGCAATAACCAAAAAATCAATATTACCACTCAGGTGTTTGCTGGTGGCTGGAATCCTATTCTTGAGGCCACTTGGATCGTTATTCCTCCTCTTGAATCTAGTAAAGACTCTGGCGAGAATATCTACTTTGGCGACGTCATTCGGTTGAAGCATGTGCCTAGTCGCTGCAACCTTCACTCGCATGAGGGATTTGAAAGCCCTGTTACCGGGCAACAAGAAGTGACCTGTTTTGGTAACGATTACGAAAGTGACCCAAACGATCACTGGCGCGTGGAGAAATGGGAATACGAAGAAGATGATGAAGGCGACGACGTAAGTTTGCTGTGACAAAACAGAACAAGGACCAGTGAAGTGTCTGTCCTAATGTAGACATAATAGGTATGGCGTGTCGGCAATTCCTTTATTTTGCGGCATGTCGAAACAGGAGCCAAATTGTAAGTAACCGCCCAAAGTAGTTGCGCTGACAAGGAAATCAGTATCGCTTACGTCTATTGATCATAAACAGGCACAGCCATGAGGAGAGTTTGGATGAGGATAGCAATGAAGTCACTGGTTATCAAGACGAAGTGGATGAAAATGACAGATGGCGTGTGCTCTTTGAAGAAGCCGAATAAATTACATAAAATACCACACAGTAGAACAGACGCTCACAATATACCAATAAAACAAAGGATGCAGTTTTATCCACCTTTGCCACCGAAAGGCTCGATTTTAAGCAGTGATGATCGCTTATACATTAGAGACTTCATTGTAATTCCTGACAATTGACTACAGGGCAGGAATGCCTCGGTTTCTATTGACATACGGTAATCAAAGTGACTAGAAAGCAGTGACAATGGGCACCCAATATCAACGGGATGGTCCTCATTGTGACGGAAATTTCTGAAATGAGGCATCCCGAATAGATCAAACGCAAGCGTTCGTACTTTGGACAATAAGAAAAATAAATATACTTTACATAATGACTAATTAGATACATACAAGTGTGGTAATTTTATTCTACAAAGCATGTCTCTCGTCACTGGAAAGAAAAAATCACTAGTTTCTACATTATGCATCGTCCGCATCTGACACATCCATATCGGAAACGTCCATATCATCTTCTTCTACAGTGGTATTTGTCGTTGGATGGGATTCGGTAGGAGGTGGTGCTGGATTGTCAGTTTGTGGCGCCGATTCTGACGGTAGCACTGGTGCTGGCGGCTGAACTGATGCTAGGTTTGTCGATTGACTATCATATGCGGAATAAGGATAGTAATAATATGGATTTTCACTGTAACTGCCTGCTTCTTGATAGGGATAGGGATAAGGACAGGGATATGGATATGGATACGGATACGGATACGGATAGGCAGCCTGTTGATAATCTACTGACGAAGAAGGAGGAACGGATGAGGAAGTATGAGGTACTGGTTGTTGCGGATAGGACGCATATGCATGTTCATTCTGATGGGAAATCAGGTGTGATGATCCATCAGTTATGACCTGATCCAAACGGGACGTATCCAAGAATTGCAGTCCCGGGTAATCAACAAGTTGCACCCTTTCTGAAGAAGATAACGGAGGACGTGCCAAGGACCTCGCTGAGGGCTCTGTTTCCGTGTTGAGATCTCTGGAAGTAGCAGCCTGATCGGAAGCCTCATCTGTTACTGCCTGTTTACCATCGTATATTTTTAGCAGAGGATCTTTATCGCCATTCTTTTCTTCTAAAATCCACTTTTCCAGGGTGGTTTTCCCTTTATACTGTTCGTTGGCTAATTACAAAAAACCGAAAAAACGGCAATGAGCCTTTCATATCCTGTTTCTCGCATTCCCAAGTATCTTACCAGCACGAATATCAGGGGAACCCCAGTAGCCTGGTGGATAACCATGTATCCGCATTCTCGAATAGTAAGGCGGTTCGTCATCATCAAAATACATGTCTAGCGCATCCTTTAGACGTTGCGACAAGTGCCCCGGGGCTGCAGATGCCACCTCATTTCGTAGCTGTAATTCCACAAAAAATCGTCCTGTCGGCGGAGCGGCTTGTATATCTTTTCGCATAGCTTGGATTCGCTTCTCATTACGTGGTTCCGGGCATTCGCTCAGCTTGTGGCCTGGCTGTCCGCAATTCCAGCAGACAGGGCCCGAAACACTGTTTCCATACCAAAAAAAATTGTTTAAACACCAGAATTCACCTTTGATAAGACAATCGGCCGATGAACTCACCTTGCTTCACTCGTGCGTTTGACCAATCCAAGAGGTTCCGCATTCTCAATCCCATAATCCGGTACCCACAGGCCAGGCTTGTCCGCATTGGCTTCTTCCCCGGCTTTTGTGTCAAAGTAGAATTTGCCGTCCTCAAAAATGACAGGTTTTACCAGTTGCTGCTGAGCTTTCTGTGGGCTCTTCACATGTTCTATTGTCCATTTACAACCAACGTGTGAGCTCCATGCTATGGTGATTACGTTAATAATGGAGGATAATGTTACCGTTAGTCGAACTGTCATTGTTATTTTCTTCAGTAAAAGGGACCTTGGGCGTGGAAGGAGAGGTGGATGTATCGTGTAGTGAGGCACCGTACGCGTCGGTTTCTCGGCGTTGATTAGGGTCACGATAGCGCACTCTGTGACCATCGTTGCTTAGTTCGAGATGAGCCGGGTTTTCTCTTTGAAGACAATACTGAATATAGTCCAATGGGAACGGATTAAGAACAGACACCATGCTGCGTAAAAGGTTCAGCGGCATGTACCCGTTCGGTGCATTGGTTACCGCTCGTTCAAGAAATGAGTCGCCATAGTCATATGGGTGAAGCAGCACTTGCTCAATCTTGTCCACGACTTCTCGTCTTTGAAGCGATGATCTGGACATGAACCATGCCCAATTTTTCAAATTCTGCATCCCCGTATGAAGCATGACCAATGGAACTCCGAAAAGGAACTGTTAACCATCACCGAAATCTGAATTCCAGCTGCTTCAATCTCTTGTGTGGAAGCCGTTGCGGTAACCTTTATATTTTTAAAGCTTTGAAGAAACTATGGAATAAGTCAAAATACTGTATTGTAGGAAACTCGATCCTATACTATTTCCACAGAAACACAAGCGTAAAACATCGATACGTTCCATTAACCGTCTGAATAGACTTTCATCCGCCCCTGATGTTCTCTAATTTCTGAAATTCACTGTGCATGGATGTGAATCCTCTCTAAATAGTGAATCTTTAGACCTTTCACAATGTGCCCTGAGTTTATTGGGGCTGATCTCCATCTTTTAGACAATAAATTTGAACACCCGCTATTAAAAAGCTTGTAAGCTGCTTCATATCCCTTCGATTCCCCGAGTGACAATTTTTTTCTCTTTTTCGCTTTGTCAGTATATTAGGCCAATCAGAGTTGCTTGGACGGTATTCAACATTGGTGAATTGAAGCAAAACAGCAGCTATACTGTGTCTTTTTTGTTGGGTTCAATTTCTTTATTGTTGTCATCGCGATCGCTTCGAATGCTCTATCCCTTGTCACAATGACGTCTGATAACCTAAGGTACCGCCGGTACATGATCGTCATCACAACATTTTACTGAAACATGGGTCACGATAGAAAGGAACCACTGCTGAACGTCGCTGATGTTGGTGGAGAAACTCTGATGCAAGCACAAGAGCATCAACCCGATGTGTGGAAACAGTTGTTGTGGAGTAAGTAATGTCAGAGTATGTGTCAGTGGTGATCATTGTTGATTAACTGACTTGCCGGGTGATGAAAGGCAACAGAACCGTGGTTGCTGCTTCCAGTGCAGCAGTAACATCCGTCCTTGCAGGATTTCCGGTAAGCGCTTGATCGTCCTGTCGTTTCTGCGCAATCACTCAATCTCGCTTTACAGTTTGACTCGGTAAAAACGAGAATGCAAACTCATCATTATGACTCGATTCTCGATTGCGTTCGGAAAACATATCAAGAAGAAGGGGCTCGAGGGTTTTTTCGGGGTATGCTGTTGTCAATGGCTTATCAAGTGGATGTGATGGTGGAAACTGACCGAGGATGATCTCTCCCAGGTATGATTCCACCGCTTGTCACCGTGAGCATCATCAAATCGGTATCGTTCTCGGTGTATGAAGGAACAAAGCAAAAGCTAAAGAGCCACGGTTTACATGGTGATACTTTGCCGTCACTTATTGGTTTGGCGACACTGAGTGGAGCAGCCAGTGGAGCCTTCACAGCAATGCTAAGTTGTCCCTTGGAACTCGTAAAAATCCAACGCCAGCTGGAGCAAGTCATGCTTGCTAGCAGATTAGCTTCTGGTCAACCCGTGGAATCGTCCAGCTGGAATGCAGCCAAACAAATCGTTCGTCGCAAAGGTGTCTTTGGACTCTGGAGTGGACTCGGATGTCATTCAGGTAAGGTCGAAAAAAGTCTCAAATTTCAACGAAAATACCAAAACTGAAAATTTACATCATGGCATACTCTATTGCTTTTAGTGCGTGACACAATTGGCACCTCGATCTATTTCGGTGGCTATGAAACTGCCAAGCGATTATTGACCAGTCCAGAATCCAGCCCAGGACCTTTGACCCACTTTATGGCAGGTGGCTTCTGTGGCATCCTCAGCTGGCTGATCGTTTTCCCGTTTGATGTTTGCAAGAGCATCATGCAGAAAGATGTCATGATGACCCACCCGAAATACAACAGTGCACGCGAATGTGCAACAGCTCTTCTTCGTCATGGGGGTGTGCGTGGCCTTTATCGTGGACTCTCGGTGACTTTAATACGGGCTTTTCCCATCCATTCACTTAATTTTCTGGTCTATGAGCAGGTCCTTAGATTGATCCCCTCCTCCCCCACACACTAAAACTGTAGATTTTTTATACCAAAAATAGAGAATAAAATGCATCCTTTGAAACACAATATATTATTGACACGGCTTGGCTAGATCGCCTCACATCTTTATTCCTTATTAACGCTCTTGGTTGCTATACATAGATTATATAATTTTTGCAACTACATTATGATGATGATGATTATTTACAAATAAGAGCTATGCGAAAGTTCGTATCGTCCGTCTTAAAAGTCGAAACCACCGCCCATATCGTCAAAGCCGCCGCCCATGTCATCGTAGCCGCCGCCGCCCATATCACCGCCGTCGCCATAGTAGTTATTTACGACATCCGGATTGTGGTCGAATAAGGCGTCGCCAATCATATAGCCTGCTAAACCGCCGCCTACACCTGCTAATGCTGCGCCGCCCATGCCCATACCACCGCGACCGGGACCACCAAGGCCACCAAAGCGACTGCCTGCGGCGCCCATCATGGGTTGTTGCATGTAAGCCTGTTGTTGAGGTATGTATTGCTGTTGGGGATAATATGGTTGTTGTTGCTGTTGTTGAGGATAACCACGGTATGAACTGCTTTCTCCACCACCGAGCGGTTTGTCATGTGGATGTTCCCATTGGCGGTGAGCGGTGGGCGTGTATACGTAGAACCAGCGGTTGGTGGAAGGATCCAGCTGGCTAATCCATCCTGAAGGTAGTGGTCGACTATCCGGGTTGGAAGGTTTCGGTGGTGAGGGAGGAGCGTAAGACTGTGGAGCCGGACTACCCGTACTTTGTGAATAAGGAGGAGGGCCTTCTTGGAAAGAAGCAGGTCTAGGTGATTTCTTTTTGGAAAATAATCCCATCTTTCTTTTGTTTTTTTTTGACTTTTTTATGCTATGACGAAAGAGAAGAAGATGGTTAGTTTTTTTTTTTTCACTGCTGCTGTCTTATACCAAATGAACGTATGACCTTTTCCTTTTCTGTTCTGATTTTGGGGAAATTTCACTGGCCGCAAACGAATGACAAAATGCGAATGTGACTTTGCACAGAAATTCTCGTCTCGTTGGTCATGTTCCAGAGACCATTTGCGTGGTTGTTAACGCCTCCGGCTTTCTCCACGTTTTCCACCCTAATCATGCTGTCCACCCATGTGCGATACTCTATTACAGCTACAGTGAAAAACGATAAATGGAACTACTAATGAAAAAAATGTTGAGAAAAATAAAAGCTTGGAGAAGGATGAGTTCATGCTCCGCTGTTGTGTGGGACTCGATGGAAGTTCTGCTTAGAAATGCAAGAAAAAATAGCTGACCAAAGAGATCACTGCATGATGTATGCTGTCAGTGGGTGGACCTTTGTATTTTCATCTACACAGCATCCTCATCATTTGTCCGCTATGTAAAGTCCAAACAATGGGTATAGATTATGGAATTTGGCTTGGCAGACGATGTCATTTTTTTTCTTGGCATTGTGGTATTTTCGATCAGACACACAATGCGCTTATGGAAACATCCAACGTCCAAACGTCCACTGACAAGCCATTGATCAGCTTGATTTCCGCGGCACTGACCGGTCAGTGCCGTGATGATGGGTGAGGTTATTGATGAACCTATTTATTGGCGACACCGGCGAACAGTCTTTGCTTGCAACTTGTCATGGGAATAAGGGATTTTTTTCATTTTCCATTCTAACCGAGTCGCTGGTTCACGAAGTTTTTAATGCGACACGTGAATGAAGAAGTTATTGGTGCGCTACAACCGTTTTTCGTGTTCTTCTTTAGGCTTATGTCGCGCGATCAAGTATACAACTACGTCCAACCTTAGAATGTGTTCTCTATACTTGCTATCGTTAAACGAAATACATTAGCAGAGAGTTTCAATGCTTGCTTGAGAAGACCAAGTTGAAAATGTGCAAGGCTGAAAATAAATTGCATCTCCGCCATGACAGCCAGGCAAGCGAGTGAAATGTTTTTTGTGCTGTCACCCGGCTTGACTTCAAAAATCCAAAGTCGCGCGGCATACAGCGCTAACCCAAGTTTTTCGTGTTGCAAAACTAAAAGTAGTCAACATGGGCAAGGGCAAAAAGAAGAAAACCACCAAATCCAAGTCCGTGCCACCTTCCAAGGGTAATCCTATTGGCTCCGTGGACGCTCCCTCTACACTCCATTCCACCACTTCCAACCACCTTGACCAGAAACCCAACGTGCAAGTCAGCAATGCTTTCGATATTCTTGACGATTCCCCCAACGATTCACCCAACGATTCCTCCGTAGAAAGCGAAGATCAAAGTGTACGTTGATGTGTTTGGAAATTGAAAGATTCAAGCTAATCATGTCCTTTACAAATAGATCGCCTCGAACGATGCTTCCGTCTCCACTCAGGTACGTCCCATTCTTGCTCTTCTGCCGCCATAAATTCAATTAACCCTTTCTCCATTCCTGTTAGGAGGAGAAGACTGGCATTGTCTCTAAAGACAACGCTAATGACTCAAAGAACGACGAGAATGAGCCAGAGTCGTGTCCAGAAACCGAAGCATCACCAGCCACAGTAGATCCGCCCGTAGATCCCTCACAATCGACTGAATCTTCTAAACTTGCCAGCGACAAGCAAGAAAACGATGCCGATTCTGTGACAGGTCCTTCCATCAACGCTGAATCGACCAAAGAAAGCGAGATAGCTGATACACAACCGTCCCAACAAAAGTCTTCACCGACAAAAGTGGACTCCAAAGAACCAGCCGAAGCTTCCAAAGCAAATAAGACGAGCAATGAAGCTGATACGATTAATGTGACCGACTACCCGAAAGTAGACGACACAGTAAAGGCGCAAACGGAACCCATTTATACTGACGCGTCGAACCCTTTGACAAAGGAAGTTTACCCCGAGGAAACAGCAACCATTGACGACAAGAATGTATCTGAGGCATCGAAGTCCGAGGAATCAGAAAACATAGACGAAAAGAAGCCATCCGAGGCATCCAAGACTTCTGAGGAAGCAAAGCCAATTGAAGCATCCAAGGCCTCCGAGGAAGCAAAGCCATCTGAAGCATCCAAGATCTCTGCGGAAGCAAAACCATTTGAGGCATCACAAGCAACCGAGAAAGAAAAGTCCTCCGAGGAAACAGATTCGGTCGATAAAATCCAAACCACCAAAGTTGATGCAGAGAAGGATGCTTCCAACGCAGTTGATCCTTCCAATGACAACGTGCCGACAGATTCACAACATTTTCCTTCATTACCAAAAGCACTCTCCTCCAAAGATACCGCAGTATCAGTTGAGCCATCAAGTATCAATGAAGGCATTGGCGAAGAAAAGATGTCAAAGGAAAATGAACCGCTCAAGGTAACCGAAGCATCAACAGCACAGCCGAGGTCAGATACGGAATCAGCTTTGCCATCGTATGCATCAAAGGCAGCGAAATCGCCGGAACAGACGGTATCGCATGATAAGCATCAGGAAAAGAAGCAAGTAACATCAGACGAAAAATCACACCAAGTTGAAACGGATCATCAAGTTGAAACACATCAAGCTGAAGCAGATAAAAAGGAGGATTCGTCGGAATCTGAAATGAAGAAAAGTGAGGAGAACAGCGAGGAAAAGGTACGTCGATACGATATTCGTTAGTTTGTCGAAAGTCATTGACATAATGGGTACGTTAGAAGCTTAATTATACTCAAATCTCCGATTCTACTCAGGTACGCTTAAATTGTCATGTCACTGATTGACTGCAGTAATGTTAACTTGTCCCTTTTTTCTTCATATTACTTAGAAATTGGATGACAGTACGATGACATCCGAAATGAGCCGATCATTTGAAGTGGTTGGTCAGCCTTCCAGTGATGCTGTTAAGGAAAACAAAGCTGCGGCGGTGGTTGCATCGGTACCGTATTTTAACCTGTTTATTGCGGTAGCCTTTTCTAATTCGTATTTCCCTGCTATAGGAGGAGAAAACCGGCAGTCGCGATGCTCGAATGAAGAGCAATCCATTTGAAGTGCTGGAGGAAACGTCTACAGATGCAGAAAGCATGGACAATGATCAAAAGGTATAATTCGCAAGTCTTGATGTGAACATAATATATTAACCAGTTTGGTTGATTTAGACAAAGGCATCAGAGCCCTCCAAACCTGCAGATGATGAGGGTGACGTGAACGTAAATGCATCGAAAACAAATGCAGAAATACCAATAAGTATTCCTTCGGAACTTTCAGCATTGTCGGTTCTTCCGACGGTACAGGAGGATCTGGTACGCAATTTATCGTAAACTCTCTACATGGAGTGGTTATGCTAATAATATTCATATTAGCGTGTGCCCATGACTTCGTCATCTACGGAAAATGTAAGTGGCTGATTTTTTTTTTTGCTCATACTGGATGATAGTAATTCGGTGTATATATAAATGTTTACAGAGATCAGCAGTCGATCATGCCACCGAACAAAGTTGTGATGATAATGCACGTGATCAAGATCAGGAATCTTCAACTGAAGCGCCAGTGCCCAAAGACGACACCGAGCTTCCTGCATCGTCAACAGCCACGAAAGAGGTACTATGATAAAGTTTCCTTATGGATCGAATATTCCCAGAATAACCGTTATTAAAACCATACAGGAGGAAAATCATGATGAAGCGCAAGAAAGCGGACAAGACCGCACATTACATGACGCTGATGCTTCGTCCGATACCGGTTTACCAGAGATGGATAATCAAAAGGTATGAATTTGCGAATGAATACCGAGGGAACTCCTTAGGCCAACCATAAGCTTTTTTCGGTAGATGTCTTCTGAAGAAGAAACGTCACTTGCGCCTGAGGTAGGGTTATTGTATGTCATGTATAGAGGAACGGCACATGCTTAACACAGTGGACATAGCCTACCGAGGACGTCGATTCTGCCAATACAGAACCATTAAAGCCACAAAAGAATGCTGATGACAAGCGCAATATGTCTGCGCATGAGGCGGGGTCAGATATTAAGGATGCAAAGAAGTCAAAAGAAGCGCCTGCTCGAGACAGCTTGGCACATGTTGATGATACCGTCACCGCGAAATCGGAACCATATGTTGCCACAGAGGTAAATTGTTAAACGTGTGGCAAACGGCAGTTGGGTGCTGATGTGGATCTTGTTCGCCTAGGTTGATGTAAGAGAAGAACCATTGGACCATTCTTTCGAAATGGTGGATAAAAGCTCGGAAGCTGCAGATAATGAAGCTGAATCTGATATGGCGGCTTCATCGGTTGAGGATCAGGTAGGTTCTACATGGTCAAAAATGACGTTATATCATCGGTATTAACAATTGAAAATTGCTACACAGAAAAAGAACGATAACTCAAAGGCTGAGGAAAAGGCTGATCGTTCATATGAACTGGTGACCCCTTCTTCGGAAGAATCGCCAGTTAAGCCCCACGAGCAACCCCGCCCTAGCGAGGCGGCCGGTACAACAGAATCTACGGAATCTCAGGTACCGTATCCTACTGAATCTCGAATGCATGTACTTGCCATCCTAAGTATGGAGCTGAATATTGATATATAAAAAAGGATGCACAGACAAACAAAGCAGAAAAAAGCTCTAGTGATGTTACTCCGGAACAACCGTCGACTGGTACTGAAGTAAGTGCTCTTTGTTCCTATCTTCTCCAGACGCTCTATGTCTAATTGATATTTCAGGATCATAAGGAAGGCACTTTGCCTGACGTTGAGCCTGAGGTTTCCGCCGAAGAGCCAAGCCAAATTCCAAGCGAACCTATTATTCCGATCAATCCTGATGATGTATGTTTGGATTGGTCTCGTTGATGTTAAAAGTGTGCTTTAACAAAAACACTTGTAGATTACATTATCGGAATTCTCTGCATCTTCAGACGTAAGCGATGACTAGCCACAGTATTCTTATTAGCATGCCTAATGACTGAAATATTTCATGTAACAGGAGGAATCGGATGACAACGAAAGCTTGACAGATCAAGAAGCTTACGAAGATACCGCTGGAGAAGAAGTGGATAAAGAAGTAAGAAAAAACCAAAATGACAGAGATGTATGATTTAACTTACATATACATATAGAATTTCCCGCTTTTCCAGAAGCATATGGATGAGATCAATGCAAAAGCACCAAAGGATCAGGAAGAGGTAATAATAGAACGTCTTCATACTCCTGATCGTCGATGCTTAACCAAATTTGCAGTTTTATCGAGCTTCCTATGCTATCTTTGCCGACATTCTTAAGTATCAAACCGCGCAACTGAATTCGCAATCTCAAAAGGCTGCCTTTACGGCAAGAGAGTAAGTGAAGAAAACAAAGATGTTCAATGGTAGTCGCCCACGGTAGACTGACCATGGCAAATAGTAAATCGCAAATTATTCGATGTGCCAAAGACTATATCCATCTTTTGCATTCCTATCTCAACCACACTTCATCAGTAAGTCCATACGGTCCCATGGTGTATGTTATGATACTCATAATGTTATTCGTCAATTCTTTTAGCATGCTTCACAGCCTACCGAAATTGATTATCTTCGTGACATGGTACAGATATGGGATTTGTGCGACATACTTTGCTTTACACAAGATGACACGATTTCCACTGTCTCCGTATGCAACTGGCTTAATACACACTGGCCATTAGGTAAAAGTTGAATCTTGTCGCTTTCTCGGTGTGTAGTCAAGTTTCTGACGTATATGCTTTCTTTTTTCGTTGTCTCTCTCTGCATCGTGCAGAAGAACGCCGTAGTCAGGGTGACAATACAGCATCTATCGACTGGAAACTTGTACACAGGTATAGTGGGATAAAAGGGGTGAAAATTTGTGTGTTCGTTCTAATGATGTTGTAGACATCTCCTTCGGTTAAACATCCACGAAGCCGTGCATCTGTTGCAACTGGGTTTGGACGATTATTCTAACAGGCTGCGGGCGGAAATCGAGCGGGTGATTGGGCTGTTAAAGGCGGTGCCAATCATTCATCATCACCAGCACGGGCTACCAAATCTGAGAGTATGGCGTGAACAGGTGTTGGAAGCATATCAGTCTTTCCTTCGTCAATCGGATGCCAGCGAAAGCGATGCGAATATCTTGCAGATCTATAAAATCCTCGCTGGCGATGGACAGACGGTTATTGAAGTAGGAAACTACTTTGAAGCTCTGATTGGCATTTTGTTCTACAACCTACAGTTTTATTCCTACGGGTTTGCGGACTTGGCGGCTGTAGCAGCGCAATTACCATTCCACGAACAAGACAGAGTTCTCCGTGTCTGTTCTTCACTGTTGCAGAACGACTGGGATACTGCTTTGGCTAGCTATGACGACTATTGGTTCCAGGCGCATTTTGGCCATTTATTGGTCGCTTTAGGCTTTGTATCGGACGTCGATCAGCAAGTGGATGTCACAGGTCCCATTGCGTTTGTGATGGCGGCTCACGCCCAGTATATCGGAAAGACTTATCAGATGTGGTTCGAAGCGGTGGATTACATCTGCGCATCTGGTGCTTCGGAAGGCGGAGCATGGATGGAAAATGTAGGGCAAACAATTTTCTGATGGGACGGACACTTTTGATGGAATGCTTATTTACTCTATGCTAGTTACTGGAAGACACCCGGAAAGTTCAGGATATGTCATTCTTACAAAAGGTATTGGCCAAATGTGAACACTTCAAGGCTGATTCCGCACAACGATATATCCACAAGGTAAGATAAACGATATACGTATGAGCATCATTTGTTGCTAACAAGTTTTCCTTAAAGGCGATGGCAAGGATATACGAAAAAGAAGGCGATCTACGGTCCGGTGCAAAACATTATGCGCAAGCAGAAGATACTGCGGCTTTGGACATGATGGCGGATAAGTTCATGAACGAATTTGTGATGAGGGGTATGTATTATATTTCAGTTCTCTTGATCATAAAGCAGCGTGATTTAATGACAAAATGATAGGTAAACCATTCACTGTTATAACTGACGCCGATGAAGTTCCATCGATCTTTAAGAGTGAAAAGTATGCATCTTTGCTCGAATATGTCCATATGAAATCTGCTATAAAGGTAAATCGAAAGGAAAAAGGATTTTTGAAAACGTATTTATTGATGTTGCGATCGCACTATTTTGTTGATCAGAATGAGCAGTTCGATGTAGCAGCTCAGAGCATCCTTCGCTTGCTAAAACGTCCGTGTGTATGTCCAGAATTCCGCGTTGTGTTACTCTTTGACAGTTTATCTGTTCTTCAAGGTATACAAAGATAACTATCAATTTAAATGTCGTTGGGTACTCATTTTGCTGTGTTGATTAGATTCTGTGGCGGCTCATTTCAACGAAAAAGAAACCGAGGAATTGCTGACACAGCTGAAGGAGGCATCCGAGGACCAAACTGAACATGCTTACTTTGGAGTCTACTTTGCACAAATCGAACCGGAGAAACGCGCGCCCAATAAGGACATTATCGCCAAAATTCGAGAGAGACTGATATTCAATATGGCACGGCTGAGTCTTTTTCAGTGACGCTGTGTGTAAAGCCCGTTTGATTTCATATTTAACCATTGCATATCTGTCATTTGGTATTATCTGATTCCTGTTCTTCCACCCAAAAATTTAACTTGCAAAAGAGCGCCTGTTATATTAATAAAATAAGCTATGTCACATCGCCTTTTTGGGTCCATGGCCACACACTGTTGGTTCGAAAAAGTCCACCCTAAAAGGCTAGTTGTCCACACACTGTAAAAGGGCCTCTATAACATTGCCTTTTTGGGAGGTCATTGCCACCTACTGTTACGTAAAACAATCCACCCAAGAAGACACGTTACCCACACACTGTCCGACAGTATATAAAAGAGAAAGATTGCTTTTGATTTTTAAAATAGTTATATCCTATAACAACTAAAAAAATAATCTACAGTATGCCTTGCCGTTGTAGAAGTACGGATCATCGAAGAATTACCAGCCGTTGAACCCCAGGAATATAACTACTGGTCAGATTATTCAAAAGCGGCCGTTTGTTCGAGAAGTACACGCGCAGCAGCTTTTTCACAAGTCTCTCCACAATCTGTATAGACTTCTCTCGACAATTTCCCAAGATATGCATTTTTCTTTTTTAAAAAAAAAAAAAGATTTATCGAATCCGGATAGAACCTTACCGGTCGCTGTCAATGTGGACGTATGGATCATCAAAGAATGACGAGTTCACGGTGTCCGTTGACGCACGAATGTAACTACTGAATTTATTCAAGTTACCCCACAAAGTATTTTACGTTTCTCAGGTAGTAGTTTAATCAAATTTATTTTCCAATTTTTCAGATCCTGATAGATCTGCATTGCAATGTCGAGGTACAAACCACCAAAACGTGTCAAGCTGGCTCTGTGCCTTAAATCCAAGAAATACGACAGCCGACGTTGAGGATACCGTTCCACTTCTCCCATGTCTTCAACTACAGAAGGTATGGATGTTTCTTCAAAGCTTCTCTAACATTGCATGCATTAAGAGCTTATCCATTTACTTTGTTTTATTAGTAGGACCATCCCACAATACCGCCTGCATCTCTTTTGAAGAATTCAAGGAGGCGCCTCAATTCAAGCTCCAAACGTCCACGTCGATGGAGTAATGGACAATGGCAGCATGACTTTGGTCTATGTTTCCTGGGGAGCCAAAAGCTGGGAATCCGAAAAAGTAGCTGGAACCCGTCAAGAACCTCGGTCTGCCATTTGCTGCAAAGAGGGGAAGGTCCAGTTGCCCGTCCTTTAGCCGCCTCCTGAAGAGCTGCGACAATTGCTCAGTGGCCAAGACGCGATCTCCAAGGACTTCATACATTATATGCGAAAGTACAATAACCGTCTTGCATTTACTTCGATTGGTGTCGAGGTATTGTACTGTACATTTGGCAGTTGTTGCGTCAAGCCAGCGCCCAAAGAAAACAGATAAAAATGTTACTTACTAAAATGAGTGTGATATACTGTAGATTGATGAGGCATTGGCCGGAAGAAAGACTAGTAAGAGCGAGGATTACATCGTATATTTGCAAAACCGGCTTCCGAAGCTGCAACCCTTGTTGGATTTCTACAATGAAAGGTTTTGCAGTCTGCGTTTTCTCAACTATATTGGCAAGCAACGTGCGGAAGCGGAGATGGTGAATATTTTCTTGGATGGAGGAAAGAAGTATAACAAACGTGGGATGAAGACCAAGAAGCGCAATCAAGAAAAGGATCGTAAGAAAAAAGAGAAAAAGAAGCCACGCCGAGGAAAGAGAAGGCAATTCCTCAATGAAACCGAAAAATAATACATCATCTAACTGTTCCTCCAGGAAGGAAGAAATTCAGCCGTATCCAAGGTATTGCTTTTGACATCAGTCTGCTGTTAAATAACGGTCTTACGAATATTATTTACAGAAGATACGGTAAATGGCGAAAAGCACCACAGAACCCGGTGTCAAGGTTCCCTCTGATCGCTTTTGGAGACACTGTTTTCGGAACAGCATGAGAATAAAATTGACCGGACTGGCCAACCGTTGTCGACAGTTGCTGTGGCACCAAAGTCCTTTGGCAACCGCTGATAGATCAGAATGCAACACATCAAAAGTACGCTTGTTATGCGTTTTAAGTGTGTGATGCACTAACTCATCGATCCTTTTAGGTGTGTCCTAGATGTCAGCTGAAGACTTTGGAACAATTGCGTTTGAATACCAATGGCGAAAATCAAACGATGCATAGCGTGCAACAATGCCAAAACAGCCGTACGCTATGACAACGAGACGTTAACGTCAGCGGAAATATGTATCCGACAGCAAGAGTGCTTGCTGATGGTCAAGAGAGACCATCATATTCAGTCACCAATCCGCGTAATAAACACGCGTCGAGGTTTACAGCTGGTGAGTATTATCAGATGTCGCTTTATTTATTTGGCTATGTACTAATCCGATATTTAAGGAGCCCTCTGTTTTGGGTGGGCCGCTGTATAATACGCATATCAGACTCTATAGCAGGTTCGACGTTCTGGGAGACAAGGAGCAGCATGCCAAGCGATCGTAGCCAATGACCTATAAGGACGACCGGTGGCCTGTCAACTTTTTTTTTGATTCTAGTCCATGAAACAACATGATTAAATGTTTGAAAACATGGAAACATACTTCTTTCCAACAAAAAAAAAAAAAAAAAAAAAAAAAAAATCAATCGTCGGAGTCGCCAAAAACCAATGCGTGGACAGGATGTGTTTATTGATGCAGGGTTGAAGAAAAAATAGAACGGGCTCGAATGCTAAGTACATAGAATGCAAAGTAAAATCAAAACAAATAGGAAAAAGAATCACGAAATAATATTAAAAAAATGCGGACGGGAAATACAAGAGGTAATTGATCAAAGAAGAGTAAAAGAAGAAGCCATTTTGGCAACAGGCTTGACACCGAGAATCTCATCAAGACGTGCCTTGTCATGCTGTGTTGCCATACGCTTGGCCCGGAGGAACTTGGCTCTTGCACTAAAGGATAGGAAACAAAACGGATGAGTAAACCTGAATACATCCCGCACTACAAGCCAGAGAGAGAGAGAGAACACTTACGCATTACGCAGAACGGCCGCTGCAGGTTTGGTATCGCTGGCATCACTGTCAGAGTCTGACTCTTGCGCCTTTGTCTCCTTTTCCTTTTTGCTCTTCTTCTTTTCCTTTTTATCTTTCTTATCTTTCTTGGACTTCTTTTCCTTCTTGGATTTCTTCTCCTTCTTGCCCTCCTTCTTTTTGCTCTTCTTTGACTTTTTTGATGGTGTTTCATCATCATCGGCTGATTCATCGGAGTCTTTCTTTCGTTTCTTTGAATTCACATCAGTTTCTTCTGACTCCGATGTCGCTTCGCTGCTGGCTTCCGAGGGCGTACGACTGTTCAAATCAGCAAGAAGACGAGAAAATGCATCGGTGTTGCCTAGCCAGTTGTCTGTATTTTTCTTGTTGGCGCCCAGGCCCAAAGTATCGTCTTTCAACTTGATCTTTACATGATCGCGTGTACCGTCTTCATTGATGCCGAGACCTTTTCCGGGAGCCCAGCCCATCTTTTGCAACATTTTGAATCCAAACTTGCTCTCATCTAAATAGGATTCCGAGAAACCACGGTGAGCGAATAAGACTCACATGTGACGATGGTGATTCACAACCCGTCACTCACCTTTACTCCAGTGCAAGTTGTTTGGATCGGCAGAAATGCGCTGCTTGTCTCGTTGTCCTGCTAAGCCCATGGGTATCTAATGCTGTGATCGATGATGGATTTGTGTAAGGAAATAGGAATAATGCTTTTGAACGAAAGTGATTGGAGCAAAAAAGACCAGAAAAAAAAACTGCACTTGGCTCCGAAAAAAGTAAAAAAGGTCACGCTATGGGGGCCTTAACCAAGCCTCTTTTCTTTTTTCTTTTTGAACAGCTGACTATGAAAGGTGCGGCAGAGGGCTCCGTGAAGGAAAAGTTCCCACTGTGGCCTGTGGCATGGCATTGGATCAGTTGGTTTGACTTTTGGCAATAGCAAGCCCATATTCCGCTGGGCGCGGTGACGAATTGCTTCGATCTGTGGTGTGGAAAAAGTGGGCAAAAAAGAATGGAATTAAACCTGAAAAAAGCTATTTTCAGTGATGAAGACGGAAAATGAAGCTGCGTTTTGGTTGGTGCAACCGTGAAACGTGGCCTGAGCGGGGAATCTAATAGTTAAAATGAGGGAGTTTTTTTTTGCTCTCGAAAAATAACAGCTTACCTTACTCAAAAAGTTTCCCCTCCCTTTTTTTGCCCGCTTTTTTATCGTATAACTCTTTTTCTTTTTCTTTTTCTGCTTCATTTTGTTTCTTCCTTTCTTCCTCTATTTTACTTTTTTCAAGTTATTCGCATTTTTGCATGTCGAGTATCAGTAATACCGATAAATCTCGGATGCATCGATATCATGACAGCACGTCCAGCAATCAGGATACTTTGCCGTCACTATGTAGTTCCATTTCCACCACGTCGTCATCGCTGCAATCGTTCAAACCGTATCCGGGACAAAATCACAGTCGGACCTCGTCCCTAGAGACACAGGCGATTTCTACCATGAAAACGAGCCAGAGCGCCCAATCTCCGACTTGCCAGCACCTGCAAACGAACCACGATAGGATTTTATCTCAAAACGGGATCCGGTCTGGACCGCATGGTGCCAGCGACCACCAATATCCATATGCATCGTCCATTTCCAAAAATGTGGATGCACCAAATCAGCAACCCAAACAACAACGTTTGTGGGACGAGTCACAGCTTGCATTGGAGCTTGCGGAAGACGATTTGATTGATATCACCAAGAAAAAAAAACGACATCCTCCTCAACGACTCATGCGCTATATTCTGCATTCAACTTCTTTATTTTCTGCACCTGATGACCATACCCCCCTTCAATATCGTATATCCACTTCATCTTTACCATTGAAAAATGACCCGCTGCTTAGCAAGCCCCCCACCGGCAAATGGCTCGGTCGGTCTATAGAGAAAATGAAAAAACTGATCACACAGTAAATTTTTTTTAGCTTTGTTTCTTTCTTGTTTTTTTTTCTTTCTTTTTTCCCCCTGCATGCGCATGTATCCTTCATTGAAAGACATCATCTGTTATGACATCACGTAATTACCTGCTGAAATAGTTTTGTACCATATCATATTATTATTTAAAGCTCTTAGCTGCACCAAAAAGAAACAATAAAATCACCAGTACCTCTTCAAAACAATGCACATAATATGATTTGCTGCTTTTGTATATATGCACACAGCAAAAAACGTGACACAATCATTGCGGGAACCTTTTTTTTCTTTCCTTTTTTCTCTTTTCAAGGTTTACTTTTGCAGCGGTCAGTTGTTATTTCTTGTAATCGTTATCACACTCTATGTGTGCCGGGTTCTTGTTTTCCGTTTTAATCAAATAGGAGCATTCCGTTATCTGGCTTGACAGCCGTTTGTCAGCTGGGATGGTGGGACCGGAGTGGGAAAACGGCAAAAGCATGATCTTTTGTTCCTCATAATGGCAATGGGTGGCCCATTTTTTCAAACTCCTTCTGCATGAAAGCGTAGCTCTGACCGTGGTCACTCTTAATGTACGAATGCCAGAAAACAACTTTCAACTTTGAATTGAACCACTTAGAATCCATCTTGCGTAGTGCATTGGATAAAGGGCAAGATTCGGCATAAACCCCCGTGCGGAGTTTACATTGCCATGACACGTCTCCCAACTACATCAACCATCATCGGCAAAGTTTAAAATGGACACTACTCTCATCACATTTGTGAACTAGTATCATTTGATGTATATAAAGTAGATATCACCGCAATAGATTCGTTACTGAATATTGAATCGTAACAGCCCTGGAAAGATAAGTCCAACGGGTAAAGGAAAATAGATGCATCACTTGTTGTGGAGATGGTTTTATTGGACCAGATCATGCACCAATTTCCTTTAATCATGGCGTCAAATATAATTAGAAAGTTGCATAAATATAAACTGCAAAAAGGAAGCCTTTATTACGATTATTTTAGTTAAACGCATCTTGTGCAGCGTGATTCTGATATCGTATGCGCGAGCTTCTTTCGCCAATTATTTTTGATTGATTTGAATATTTTACATGGTCATTCGATAATAGAATTAAATCGGGCTTGCCGGCAAATTTATAATTCCCCCCACCGAGAACCTTTAATTTGCCACAATAAATAAAAAAACAAAAAGAAGGGTGAGACTGCAGCAGGAGTCATTACAGTCTACGTCCCCTGGTTATTGAGACCGACACACCAAGCACATGCCCATCGTTTTCACAAGGGAGCTCTTAAAGCGAATGTTAGATGATGGGTCGAGCTCTGTTCTTCTAACTTTATATGATTTGAAAAACACGACTACGATGAGAATTGAGTGTCTTGTTGGAGGAACATGCAAGGAAGAACTTTCAGAACAATCCTGTCATAGCATGTTTATGCCAGTACTAGCGGCAGCAGCAAACAGGCAAACATCATCAGGATTCTTGTACGAGGGTTGATAACTTGATTAAGCATCCTGTGGCACTAGTCCCTGGAAAATGTTCATGAAGTGAAAAAGTAAACATTGTTGAATTTGATGCAACATTTTTGTTGACTGAAAGTTTCACAAAACGCTCTGTTGGGAAACACAAATATATACATTGGACTGGTAATCCTTGTTCCGGATATAGGTTATTATTTGCTACAGCTGATACACAAAGCTTATCCCAAATTTCTCTTGGTAAATTCTCATGGGCCAAATTTTCGGACGATACTTTGTCCGTGATAAACTTTTGCCTGCTGAGCATAAGAAGAAGAAGGGAGAGAGAGAGACATCAGCTTCTTTTTCCACGTCACTTTTGTGCTTTTGAAACAGGGCATTGCTTACCTCTGCGTTAATAATTAATGTCTTACAAGCAGAATCTCGTGGGTAACCGCTGCCCTTACTTGCCTTCTTGTTCTCCTGAATTCAATCCAATCAAGCAATTTTTTGTCAGTGGTCAAAGGTAAAGTGAAACACAACAAGTTTCTCAAGGAGGAAACTGTAATGGCTCGGATCAGTTAAAGCTTCTAATAGCTTGAGGCTAAGCGACTTCTAGGAATTGTCAGACATCCTCACAAATGCTTGGACAAGTGTCGTCATTAGCAACCGCTCTGCAAGGCGCAAAGTCACTAAAATTAAATCAAAAAATGGCGTTGCAATATTCGCCAGGCATTTTGGCGGTGTGCGTTGCAAAGAAAAAAAAGCGGCGTTGCAACATTCGCCAGTCACTTTGGCGGTGAGCGTTGCAAAGAAAACAAAAGAGCGTTGCAACATTCTCCAGCCATTTTGGCGGTGAGCGTTGCAAAGAAAAAAAAGCGGCGTTGCAACATTCGCCAATCGTTTTGACGGTGTGCGTTTGCAAAAGAAAAAAAAAATCAATTGAATTCTGCTTGACTTCTCTCTTTTACTGGCTGCTAGTCAACGGTTATTGTACAATGTTTGCAAACGTTGAAGTACATCTTTCTTGATCTTTTGATTGGCTAATGACACTGCTGTGCTGGCTTCGATTGCAATTGTTGAAAAATTGACTTTCGTTGCAATAATTACTGGAGACAAAGCTTGACTGTCTTTTAAGATATGATTCAACTCTTCAATAAACTTTTTCAAAGTTGACAATGATTGTGATGCCGTCATGTCAGATCCCTTTGTTTTGCTAAACGCAAGAAAAGATTCGATGGCTGATTCAAAGCTGGCAGGAGTTCCTTTGATGAACGAGAGTCCCAAGACTTGTAAGAACCGAGATGATACTTTTCCCACTGAATTGGCCGCAGAACCGTATCCTTGGTTGTGAGGCAAGTCACAAACTGTGAAAATGGAACAAGGCATCAAAAGATCGGAGTCAAATTCTTCATGGGAGGCTCTTGTCATGGCAAAAGTTGAAGGATGATTGAACCCTGAAATCAGTTGACGCATTGATGTAATTGATGGGGCTGGCGAATACGACATTGGCTCGTGTTTCATGATTGCACTAAACTCCTCCGTGCGGCTTTGGCGAAACAAAATGCGAGCAGAACTGGGATCAATGCTGTGAACAGAACACGACGACGTGGGGCCAATATCAACAGCCGAGGATGAATCACTCTGCAATCGACAAGACAGAGTTACCAAGACATTCATATGCTTGCTATCGATCTTAAGTTTCTTTTTCATTGCTTTGCCATCAGATTCTTCAAAGACGCCAATTGATAAAGATCCGTAAACACAGGTTGATGGTGATGGCAGTGTCTTGAAGTTTGTCTCTCCGTGAATATCTGTAGCCTTGCCACGGCAATAAGCTTCCACTGTGATTGCAAATACCATTTCTTTGTCGATGATGATGGCGCCTGTGTACAACTTCGCAACAGCGTGTAAGAGCGATGGTGAGATACGAAAATCGTAATTGAGGAGCGCCAGCAATTCCGTGCTTGGTTCAGCGTACGGACCATTTTTCGTTAGAAGACTGGGAATGAATGATGAGCGCACAACCTGGTTGGCTACAAGCATCATATTAACTTGTTTCCCTGGAACGTCTGTTGGGCTAATCGGGGTATCTCCTTCATGGAATTGGATGGTACAATCCAGATGTGGTATCGTCGCATCCGCTGCAATAGGCAGTTTATCGCACATTTGAATGATGTCACTTTCATGGAAGAAACCATGCACCTGCATTTCCTCTTCGGTGTTTTTTGCTGAGAGATAAAAAGCTACGGGCTCACAGTCCAAGGATACAGCCGTGTGGTACGCTTTTTTTGCTGCATTGGTTTTCAACACGTGCAGGCTGCCTTGTTCCATTGTAAATGAATCGCGTTTTCGACTTTTGGAAGATTCAGCATTGATTTCGTTGTTGTCCTCCTGAACCACCGGTGCCGCACTGCCTTGATGTTCCTTTCCAACATGGGACTTCAATCTCTCGAAACTTTCAAACTGTTTCAGACAGTCAGTAAGCGGGCAATAAAACTGGTCGTTCTTCTTGGCCACTGTGATTGTAACTATAAATGTATGTGTTAGTATTTTTACTACCTGCCAATGTTCAAATGCTTTTCCTTACCGCCTTCTTTTAAAGTGATTCGGGCTTCAATAGCATGTTTTCGCCACCTGTGCGATCGATACGAGGAAGTACTTTTGAACGTGTCTCCACAGAAACAAGCGTAAATCTTGACTTCGTCCAAAACATCCGAGTTTTTGCTTGACATTGCAGTTTCTGTGACAACAAACATGTAAAATAAAAAACAGTGTGTGAGAGAGTCGCACGCCCTTATTTGCCGCATGCCCTTATTTTACCACCACACTTCATCAGATCGAATTCTCCAAATTAACTTTGAACACCGCTTGCCAAATAAGCATGCCACAATTAGACTCAACTAAGGAACTCGTTGGGGGCACTTTGACCGCCGAGCGCGGATTGTGCGTTGCTTGGTCGACAAAGAGCAGCAGGGCGAGCGTTAATCTGGTAACCCGAGCTGATATACGCCATGTAAAATTGTCTCCTATTTGTGGCAGCGGTTATGTCCCCCCGCTCGTACCCTAATTGAATAAAGAAACATGTCAATATGTTCAGATCATCACAGAATTTTTGTTTGGCTTACCAGTCCTTCAGAGTCATCGTTGCTAGACTTGCACTGAGGGCACAGTCGAATCGGGTAAATGCTACTCCGCCAAGCTCAGCCTGTTTACTATGTTAGCGCCGTTATGTAATGTGTTCGATAAGGGTGTTAACTTGCCTGCAGCCCTTCTTTGATGACAAATTGATGAATTTAGGAAATAATGTTTCCCTCGTCACCTAGACATGCCTTCGAGGCCTTTTGTCTACATTTTGCGCTTATAAGACTTTTTCCTTCTGTCACAGTGAGGTTAGTTTGACAATATAGAGACCGTACCTCTTTAAAGCTTACTTATGCTTGCAGATGAGAATCTGTTCATCTCGTACTTCCACAGTTTCCGCGTCACATTGACTGCAAGCCTTCCTAATCACTGTGTATCGATATAGAGCTATTTAATCGTACTGGTAAAAGAGTCGATATCTTAATGTCGCCAGCAACATCAGTCCAATCATTGGTGTCGAACGGGTTGTAGGCAACCAGCTTTTCTGCCTATATTATATCGTTTCATGAGAACTTCGATTAGTTTGCATATTTCCAACCTAACTCACCAAGGGTTTCGCACTGACTGAAAGCCTGCTTTCATGGCGGTTGTTATAGTCTCTGAAACCCTTCCCAAACTCGCAACAAGTACGTCCGACAGTTTTTAAGTGCTCAATTACATCTACACAGAGTCGGTTATTCTATTCTATGTGCATCGAAGTCGAAACAAAAGATATACTTACTTGTATGTGATACAGTAGCGTATTGATAAGAAAGTTCCGAAAGTAGGGAAGACTATTTGGATACTCATAGCCTGTGGTAAAGGAAGCATTTATTATAAATGTATTGGCCTTCTTCACAGTTTTCGCACCTCGAATGGATGGCTTAAAAATCGTGTCAAACGCGTATTTCAAGTCAACTTCCCATGAAGATCTCGGTGGGTCTTTCAAGAAAATTTTACGGTTCAGTAAAGTAAGAATATCGTCATTAGTGGATTGTAGTTTATCATACCAGTTGTGTTGCCTCTGCAAGATGACACTACTTACGTGGAACCTTATTGACCAGAAAACCTCAGTGGTGATCCGTGGGAACGAGACTCTACAGGTTGAATCGAGCCACCGCCAAATAGGCAAAAGGGTCAAATTGGTAGGGTCCCGTTTTAACAACTTTTATTCTTCCCTCCGAAGAAGTTGCTGTATCTTAAGAACTATTAATCATGTATTCTTGGTGAATTTTAAGTTCCCTTACCCGATACGAGCCGTATGCCGGCCTTAAATCGTGCTCAGTTTTGTTTTTCGACTTTACAGGTATTTGTTGTCCCTTTGTGATAAGTGTGGACTGTCTTCCGGAAGACGAGCCCTGAGCAGCGCTCGTCCTATAGAAAAAGGCAGCGGATACTTGCTTTGCACTTGAAAAGTAAGGCAAGAAGAGATATGTGTAAAAAGGTTTGGGTGTTTCATCTGGTTGATGACAATCTGGCTATACGCATCGTCATTTGGTGATGCGGCCAGAACTGATACATGCAAACCTGATCTTTCTCTGTTATGATATCATCATGTGCCCGTTAATTTCCTGCAAATACTATGAGGTGAATCAACTTCTCTTAAGTCAAATCATTCAACGAAAAAGGGTTTCTTTTGTGATCCCATACTTTCAGCCACTAATGCAAAGCTTCCTGTGCAGAATATTTATCTCGGTTGATAAGAAATGAATGTAACAGCGAAATAAAAACCAAGCAAGGGAATTCATGAGAAAGTAATCACTGGCACCCAAAGCACGCTTTGACGAATATCCTCCGATCAGGGACTTGCTATATCGCGTTAATCTTTTTATGTATGTGAATAAAACAACAAAGACAAACGAAATAAAATATCAAAACCTTTGACTCACCGCAACTTACCGATTGCTCATAAATGATATTGTGGAACACCCGTCATCGACAGCGTCATGCTTGAAGGAATAACCAACTTCTTGAATATTATGCTGCCACAAGCGCAAGCTCTCGTTCACATTCTCATGTAGACACGAACAATTCTTCAAAAGCCTTTTGAATCGCCTTGTGCCAAAGCATGCAACAGTCGAGAAACTTTATGGATTGGGAGCTTCATCATCCAGACATTTTTGTTAAGATGAGAAATGATAAAGGTTATCCTTTTGGCAAGTTACATATGGTTTACTTTCGTCAAAGTGCCGCTGTTTAACCGAAGCATCTCGCTGATCTAGGCTCAGGTGAATAGGCGCTGCACCTGCTATCAAACCTTGAAAAGATGTGCGGAGATGAGTCCGACTCTGAGGACTTCAAGCTTCCCGGTTGTGTAAAGAATGCTTCCAATGATTGGTTACCTTCACAAAATCCCTGTCAGCCTCGAACGAAGAACTGACAATTTTTCTGCAGATCCACGACGAATGGAAGGCTTGAGGCGCCGTTTCTTCTCTGTGAAGATGTAGAAGCCACTATGTTGCCATCTGTGAAAGTGGCGAAGAAAGAGAGCAACAAGCTTCCGAAGAACTCTCCTTCACAAACGTACAATGACAGCTGTAGCACTTATTAAGTGGCTGCACACATTTTACTTTTCCAAAAAAAAAAAAAATTACCGAACTTCTTCTTCCTTGATGAAACGAGGAATGTCGTCTTGCGGAAACGTGGTGACAGCAGGGGATTCAGCGGCAAAGGGCCCGACAGGCTGAATAACAGCAGCAGTGTCATTGTTGATGGTTTGAGGGACGGACATGACTCACGCAGAAACGGGATATAGGGAATGCGTATTGTTGTTTATTCGTTTACTATTTCTTCGTGAAATGATGGTTGCGCTACTCAAAGATGTCAGGAGAAAAAGACCTGACTTACCGGTTTTATTGCCCGCTTACTGACTGTCTGAAACAGTTTGAAAGTTTCGAGAGATTGAAGTCCCATGTTGAAAAGGAACATCAAGGCAGTGTGGCACCGATGGTTCAGGAGGACAACAACGAAATCAATGCTGAATCTTCCAACAGTCGAAAATGCGATTCATTTACAACGGAACAAGGCAGCCTGCACGTGTTGAAAATCAATGCAGCAAAAAAAGCGTATCACACGGCTACATTTAAAAGAAAGTCAAGCTTTGTCTCCAGTAACCATTGCAACCAAAGTCATTTTCAACAATTGCAACCGAAGCCAGCACACAGCGTCATTAGCCAATCAAAAGATCAAGAAAGATATACTTCACGTTTGCAAACATTGCACAATGACCGGTGATCAGCAACCAATAAAAGAAAGAGTCAAGCAGAATTCAACTGATTTTTTTTTCTTTTGCAACGCACACCGCCAAAATGCGTGGAGAATGTTGCAACGCTCTTTTGTTTCTTTGCAACGCTCACCGCCAAAGTGACTGGCGAATGTTGCAACGCCGCTTTTTTTCTTTGCAACGCTCACCGCCAAAATGACTGGTGAATGTTGCAACGCCGCTTTTTTTCTTTGCAACGCTCACCGCCAAAATGGCTGGCGAATGTTGCAACGCCACTTTTTTTTCTTTGCAACGCTCACCGCCAAAATGGCTGGTGAATGTTGCAACGCCGCTTTTTTTTCTTTGCAACACTCACCGCCAAAATGCCTTGAGAATGTTGCAACGCTCTTTTTTTTTCTTTGCAACGCTCACCGCCAAAATGGCTGGAGAATGTTGCAACGCTCTTTTGTTTTCTTTGCAACGCTCACCGCCAGAATGACTGGCGAATGTTGCAACGCCGCTTTTTTTTCTTTGCAACGCTCTTTTGTTTCCTTTGCCACGCTCACCGCCAGAATGACTGGTGAATGTTGCAACGCCGCTTTTTTTCTTTGCAACGCTCACCGCCAAAGTGACTGGCGAATGTTGCAACGCCGCTTTTTTTCTTTGCAACGCTCACCGCCAAAATGGCTGGCGAATGTTGCAACGCCACTTTTTTTTCTTTGCAACGCTCACCGCCAAAATGGCTGGAGATGTTGCAACGCTCTTTTGTTTTCTTTGCAACGCTCACCGCCAGAATGACTGTGAATGTTGCAACGCCGCTTTTTTTCTTTGCAACGCTCTTTTGTTTTCTTTGCAACGCTCACCGCCAAAGTGCCTGGCGAACGTTGCAACGCCATTTTCGCTTTAGTTTCAGTGTCTTTGCGCCTTGCAGAGCGGTTGGCAATGACGACACTTGTCCAAGCATTGTGAGAATGTCTATCAACTCTTTCAAATTCGCTTAGTCTCAAGCTCTAGGAAGCTTCACGGATCCGACCCATCAAAATTTCCCTCTCAAGAAACTTGTTGCATTCCACTTTTATTTTGGCCTGACAAAAGTGCTCGAATGGATTGAGTTATAATAAAGAAGGCAAGTAATAAACGCAGTGATAAGCGCGAGATTCTACGGATCCGGCTATGTACTTTGATGTATGGATAGGAGCGTTATTTATCACCAGGCAGTATCTTCTCATGTGAAACTGGCCCGTTCATCCATTATGGCCTCCAGAAAACGGACATAATGTCCGGTCACCGTTCCTTTGCTCATATTCCAACACCATCTACCCCGTTTTCTTTTTATTAGATGGAGACTGAGGAAGTCGAAGCTGCATTATAATTCCCCAACGAGAACCTCTAATCTGCCACAATAAAAGAAAAAAAGGAGGTGAGACTGCAGCAGGAGTCATTACAGTCTACGTCCCCTGGTTATTGAGACCGACACACCAAGCACATGCCCATCGTTTTCACAAGGGAGCTCTTAAAGCGAATGTTAGATGATGGGTTGAGCTATGTTCTTCTAGTACCTTATATGGTTTGAATATACACGACTACGATGAGAATTGAGCGTCTTGTTGGAGGAACATGCAAGGAAGAACTTTCAGAACAATCCTGTCATAGCATGTTTATGCCAGTACTAGCGGCAGCAGCAAACAGGCAAACATCACCAGGACTCTTGTACGAGGATTGATAACTTAATTAAGCATCCTGTGGCACTGGTCCCTGGAAAATGTTCATGAAGTGAAAAAGTAAACATTGTTGAATTTGATGCAACATTTTTGTTGACTGAAAGTTTCACAAAACGCTCTGTTGGGAAACACAAATATATACATTGGACTGGTAATAAATAATCCTTATTCCGGGTATAGGTTATTATTTGCTACGGCTGATACACAAAGTTTATCCCAAAGTTCTCTTGGTAAATTCTCATGGGCCAAACTTTCCAACGATACCTTGTCCGTGATAAACTTTTGCCTATTGGACATAAGAAGAAGAAGAAAGGGAGGGAGAGATATCAGCTTCCTTTTCCGCGTCACTGTTGTACTTTGAAGCGAAGAATTGCTTACCTCTGCATTAATAAAATCATGTCTTCAAACAGAATCTCGTCGCGTCCAGCGTGATTGGAGTATGTATTTAAATCATCGGCAAGTTGTTCAAAGAACAATTCAGTCCTGGGAAACAAAAGAAAGGGCATTTGAACAAGGCAAACAAGGGTCATCAAGTTAGAAAATGCCGTATTCGTATTGAGGAATTTTCATCTCTACTTACACTTCCGACAGTTTGGCTTTTCCGCTCGCATCCAGCAATCCGTCGGTATACGTTGCGAATAATCCATTCCGCAGCGCAAGAGGAAGACCTATACCAGGACCTGACCTAAAAGATTTGTCATATGGCTTTAGAAAGGAAATAATTGAGATTGCCTTGACCAATTGTCAGTCTAACCTGGCAGCACTGTTGGTGTCTTCACGCTCAGAATTTTCTTTTCGTCGACGTCGTACAAATGTATCCCCTGGCTTAATCCTTGGTTCGCTCCTTATCTCTCTTGTCATTGGTCTTTTTGCAGCAGTAGCCGATGATTCTTCCATGATCATATCCGATCTATAAAAAAATGCCATTGAAAATAAGTGTTTTTCATTCGTGTTTTCTGATTTCTGGTTTGCCGATATTGAATCATAGGCACTTACATGTCTACACTGCCAACGTTTTCCATCAAATCATCAAAATCATATTCGAACCCAGATCCTGCGTTGGATCTTGGGGGCGTTGCTGCAACCTGATCCATCACCTGATCAACAGGTAACATGTCTTCAGCTGCCGTCGCCGTTCTGCCGTTATCAATCTCGTCCACATGCACTAAAGGAACTGAGACACTGCGTTGCAGAGTTTCCCCTGCATGTGTTTTCTGAGATCGGATTTGGACATTGTCAATTTCTGGATGTTCCTCTGTTTCTTCGAACCAAGGATCTGATGGAGAAAGAGGTTGTTTTGGCTGTTCTTTTTCGTGCAACGTATCGAAAGGAGTTTCCTCACGTATTGGTGTTGCTGGTACAATGTCGGCTACCCATTCACTGATATGTTCATTTAGGTCGCGCGTGGCAGGAGTGACCGCATGTGTTTCTTCCATCTCCATGTGTGATTCTTGTTGGAGCCGCGGCCGGCTGGGACCGGGGGATGCTGAAGGTTGGGGTACAGATATCTGCGTATCTGGCAGCAGATCGAGCATGTCTTCCTCAGCATCAAAGTCTGGCAATGATCCATCTGCAGAGGATATTGGCGGTTGCCAACCTTGTGACAAGGATCGGGTTGGCGTCTCGAAATCGAGTTGATCCAAATCGAGTGACAGTGCTTCTTCCTCAAGCGCGCTCGGTTCGGGTCCAGACGATGAGAAATCCAAACGAGTGAAATTGGTATCGGAGTTGTAGCTAATGACTGAAAGTGCATCTTCATAATCGTTGTGAACGTGATGTCTGTCGCGCCGTCGACGAAAGGAAAAATCAACCGGTGGATCGGCTACCGGAGGGCTATCGTGGCGTTTGATCGCGTTCAACCGTTGCTGGAATTGTCTGAATCTTTCCAAAGGCGATAACGTGGCAGAGGGTGATGCATACACAGACCGCCAAGTCTCAGTTTTAGTTTCTTGACCTCTAGGCGATGTTGCCCGTGGCGACGACGGTGTAGCACCCCTATCCTTGGGTTCATGCCTCGCTACGTGAGGCACTGATCATAAGGAAAAAATGGGGTAATCTGTTTATCAGTTTTCGTTCGTCTGAATGCACGTCAATATGGATAAATGATTTACTTTTACTCAGTAAACGTAGCAAATCGTTGGTGGATCGCGAGGTTTGTTTGAGTTTCGACGTTGCTGCGGATGGTTTGGTTACACCGCGCAATGGGGATTTTGTAGTATTTCGATACAGTGACGATTCTGGCGATCCATAACCCAGCCGTCGATCAGACACAGACCCAGCTGGTGATGATGACTCTATCTAAAAAGAGACACCCGACGTCAGTGGAAAATCCAACCGCTACTCCTCGCACATTCTTTTCGAATAAAGAACTTAGTGATCACCTGTTCATTGGGAAGAGTATCGTCATTGCCGTCTTGTGAGGTCACCATGCTACGGTCCTTTTCATTCCACGTTGGATTCAAGGTGTGTTGATCTACAGATCGCCAATCCATAGGATAGAGACCGATGCTGCAAAAGTGGGGACCGTGACACTATGCGGTGGCGGACCAACCAATCAATGCGGGCATACTGCCTTTCCATTGAGTGGCTTAGGTCAACTCCGCACTAGCAAATGGTTGGGAGGACGTTTCTTTTCCAGTCTTGCTGTCGGGGCCCTCATTTCACTGCGCCCTCTGTCCGTTTCCCCCATTTTTTTTTATACATCACCATGTCACAAACTGAAGAAGTAGCGAAACGAAAGAAGTTGGATCTTGTCCAGGAAATGGAAACGATGCGAGCGACCACACGTGCCGGTGGTGCGTACATTCCGCCTCATCGCTTAAGACAGATGCAGCAGAATGTTACTGATAAAAGCAGTGAACAGTATCAGCGCATTACCTGGGAAGCCTTGAAGAAATCCATCAATGGTCTCATCAACAAGGTCAACAATTCCAATATAAAGATGATCGTTCCGGAACTGTTTGGTGAAAATCTCGTACGAGGACGTGGTCTTTATTGTCGAAGTGTCACCAAAGCCCAAAGTGCCAGTTTGCCATTTACCCCCGTTTACGCTGCTGTCACCGGTGTAATCAACACCAAATTGCCTGCCGTCGGTGCGTTATTGTTAACACGATTGGTCGTCCAATTCCGTCGTGCCTTCCGTCGCAATGATAAGGTATATAATATATACAGGCTTGGTTGGTTAATACGCAAAAGCTCATGCTCACTCAAATGTCATGCTCTCTCTCTTTTTAGACTGTCTGCTTAGCCGTATGTACATTCATTGCTCACTTAACTAACCAACTTGTGGCCCACGAAATTTTGGCTCTGCAAATGTTGGCGCTACTGTTAGAACGACCTACCGATGACTCTGTAGAGATTGCGGTAGGATTTATGCGCGAAGTGGGCGCTCACCTTGCCAACGTCTCGCCTAAACCGAACAATGCGATTTTTGAACGCTTCCGAGCAATCTTGCACGAAGGTCAAATTGACAAACGTATTCAGTACATGATCGAAGTGTTATTCCAAGTTCGCAAAGATAAATACAAAGACAACCAACCGGTGGTACCTGAACTCGACCTCGTAGAAGAAGACGATCAGATCACTCACTACATCGGCCTTGATGACGAAGATTTGGATGTGGAAGAAGGTTTGAATATTTTCAAATACGACCCGAATTACGAAGAAAACGAGGAAAAGTATGCGGCTATCAAGGCCGAGATTTTGGGTGAAGAATCGGATGAAGAATCCGGAAGCGGGGAATCCGAGGATGAAAGTGAAGAAAGCTCCAGCGAAGAAGAAGAGACGCAACAAATGGAAATCACTGATGCTACCAATGCGGACGTCATTGAACTTCGACGCCGAATCTATCTCACTGTCATGTCTAGTGTCGACTTTGAAGAATGCTGTCACAAGCTGATGAAGCTCGATATTCGTGAAGGTCAAGAGGTAAGCGATCGTCTGAATGAAAAGAGAATCACACTGTGTATATGAGAGATAAACTGACCTATTTTATTTCCAACGAAAATTAGATTGAACTGTGCAACATGATTGTTGAATGTTGTTCGCAAGAACGTACTTTTCTCAAGTTTTACGGTTTGATGGCGGAGCGATTCTGCAAAATGAATCGCGTTTGGGCGGAAAACTTTGTAGAATGCTTCCGGGAAGTGTACGACACCATTCATCGCTACGAAACCAACCGTCTCCGAAATATTGCAAAGTTATTTGGTCATTTATTCTATTCGGATTCTTTGGCATGGACGTGCTTTTCCATTATTCATCTGACCGAAGAAACCACCACATCTGCCTCTCGTATTTTCGTCAAGATTTTATTCCAGGAAATCAGTGAATCGCTCGGTCTGAAGAAATTGAAAGAACGAATGGGCGATCCTTACATGGCCGAGAGTTTTGCTGGCATGTTTCCCAAAGACAATCCCAAAGACACGCGATTCGCCATCAATTACTGGACCAGTATCGGTTTGGGCGCATTAACAGAAGACCTTCGTGAATGGCTACGAACCGCTCCACAACAAATCATGCGAACGCGACGTGGCAGTACAAGCAGTACCAGCGGTAGCGAAAGCAGCAGCAGCAGCAGCAGTGGTAGCTCAAGTGATAGTGACAGCGACAGCGACAGTAGCAGCGGCAGTTCCAGTGGCAGCTCATCGGATAGCGACAGTGACAGCGACGCAAGCAGTCGTAGCCGTAGCCGTAGCCACAGACGCACCTATAGAAGAGGTCGCAGCCGCAGCCGCAGTGTCAGTTCCGTGTCAAGCCGTAGCCGTAGCCCCAGCCGTAGTCCCAGCCGTAGTCCCATTCGTCGTCGTTCCCGTTATCGCAGCCCATCTCGCGAACGTGGTCGCCCTCGTAAGAGAGATCTTAGTGGCAGCCGCGATCGTAGCTATGACCGCAGTAGAAGGAGAAGAAGATCGGACAGTTATTAGTGGATGTCCTAGATACACGATTGAAGTTATTGTATAGTGAAACCCCAGTTTCGTTTCAATTATAAAAAAAATAATGAAGGGATCATTTCGAGAATATAAGGGAATCCACCGCCTCTCATGTTGCAGGAGGGATTTAATTGTATTGTTCAGCTCACAATGACAGCCGTTCAAAAGGTTAAAGAACAGAAAAAGACGTGAAAATTTTATAGCAGTGTAATAATCACAATATCATTTACAATAACATTATGCGGCAAGTTCAACAGCAAGCCCATGACTCTCTATCTATATTTTGGTTTTATCATAGTTAGCGTTCAATAAGAACATACGGCTGAACACAAGCAGACCAGGAGAAATAGGTGGTTCGGCGCGATGCAGGGTGATCCAATACTTGAGCGCACGGCGAAGATGATCTTCCGTGGCACCGATGGAACGGCTGGGTATAAATAAAGATAAGCTTCCTGCAAAAGATTCCCTTTTTTTACTCTATCTTAATCACTTACATGCCACGTTCTTCCGCAGCAGCCTGTAATTCTGCCAAGCCAAGACTGTCAACTCCTTCTGCAGCAAGAAGCTAACCATATCGTATTGGTTAATTGTAATTGTTCCTTGATGATCATCAACCGATCCAAAAAAACTTACATTGTCATCTTGCAATAAATAATTCATATGTTTGGCAAGGCGATTCTTCAGGATGCCTTGCGTACCCCATCCTTGCAAGCCCATGAAGCTACAGAATATCGTGTATCAGCATGATTTCCCACATGTCATCCGACAATGCCTCGATATTTACCGACAGTACGCAGATAAATGACGTCGATCAATGCGGGACAATTCGAAATCATGGTTGTAGTGTTTTGCAATACGGGTAAAGTTGTGGACGGACAAGAAATCTTCAGGGGAAATCTGAACAACCCGACACGTAAGAAAATCAGCATCACACAGCTGGCAGATCAAAAACCGGTCCTTACTCCTTCCACTTGTTCTGCCGACTTGATAGCATTCATGGCCATATTCTGGCGAACCTTATCGAGTTTCTCCCTTTGTTTAAGCTGTCAAACCAAAACCCAACCTGTAAGCAACATGTCTCGCGTCAATATGTTGATATCCGTATTTACCAGTTGCGACTCTTTCAAGCAAGTGCTAGGCACAATTCCGGGCAAAAAGATGACCCACAATGGAATCTATTACGTATTCAATTCACCTGTATTCCAATTCGAACCCATCGAAATAAATCATGCAACATACCGACTCTGGAAGGATACAAAAAATGATACCAAACGGAATCAATTTGATCATGTCCTTGCGGGAATGATGGATCTGAGCCATATCACAAGGATTAATAAAACAAAAGCACGCATACTTGACAGGGTATCATGATAGTTACCAGCTGGAACTGATTTCGATCCAAAACATAGCCTTCCTCTGCAACTTTGCGTTTCAAAGCTTTGGCGGTTTTGTTATTGTTCCACAACAACTGGATACCGTTCTTGTAAAAGATAACAAGCTCTTTGGACTGCTTATACAGTTTGCCAAGGCGAGAAGTGGGTTCGTTATTGGGTGGTGTGACCACGGTCGATGAAGTTTCGGATGCCGGTGGTGCCTGAGATGTTGCAGGGTTGGATTTCTCAGTCACCACTTGCTGCTTCTCGGGACTGACAGCCGCGCCCCGATACCAGCTCATAGAGATCGATCTACCCAATTCCCAATAAGATGTTGGAATATAAACACATATACGCAATAAATGATGTACCTGGACGCATTAAGCATAAATGGGACATGCTGATGCTTTACAGCGCCCAGCATCTGTCGTGGTGCGCTGTGGCTGATCGTAGGCACAGTCCTAAGCCGTCATGGTTAATCTTACACTGCCGCTTTTTGAAAAAAAGCGAGATGGTGTCTTACCGAATAGTGGCTCTGGCTGCATAGCGTGAAACAACGGCTGTGGCCATGGCGAATGGATAATGAACTGTAATCAGGTTGCAACGAGAAAAACAGATGTCAGTTGGATGACTTTTTTTTTATTATATTCCAGGTTCTTTCCGTTGCGGTCATTGAAATTGTCGCAACCAGCCAATGGAATGCCCTTTTGCTCCACCTAGGGCACATTCATGGATACTGAAACCAATTCTTTCCATGATTTATGAGTCATCGGCACCCGCCACGGAAGTCCTTATAACATCCAGTAAGACCATCTTCCATGTTCAAGAACACATTGTATAGACCTTTTTTCTTTGGCTATTCGATAACTAGGGGCGATAATTTATCTCAAAATCGCGAGCCCATTTCCAATATATAATCTATCTTTTCAAAAAAGAAAAAGGGCAACTTTGGCAAAATAAGCTTGAAATGCCGCCAACAAGAGGTTTCAAGAGAATGAAAGAATTACATGTCCCCTCAACAGCTTGTGGATTAAATGGCTTACTGCGGTTCTCGCACTGTAAGCATTAGCAGCATGTCCATTTTTCTTTCGTATATTAACTGGGAACTCTCATGTCATCATAGTAAAACCAGTAGCAGAACGTGCATCTAAAATCGATGTTCTATTCGTGACTTCAACTATTGCAAGAGGTCATCTTCTTTTGAACTTATGATGCTAGGCTTCACCGTTTCCATCACAACAGCAGAGGGGTAGTCCTGAATGTATTTTCAGGATTTTTGGATCAGTTTCTGGTCAAGTGACAAAAATGTGTATCGTATGGATATGATGAATATCCTACGTGTGCACGGACGTGCACTGACAATTGCAACTGTAGTGTCTTCATCGCAATACAATAGATAATTTCCATACTCCATTTCTATAAACACTCGCGGTTGTCTGTCATGCAAAGATAACGCGCACCTTTTTTGGGAGTTCCTATTTACTATGGCAATGCACGGTATAAAATTAGCAGTGCAAAACAGCGGGTCAGTGGAAACCAAATGTAAAGCAATGTTTCGTATTTCCATATATTCGACAGGATGAGATGGTGTTATAGTAGTAAATGCTGCGGAAAGCAGGCGAGCCACACTCTCAACATGATACCAGACTTTATTTGACGGACTTGGAATGTTAGTTAAATCAACAACGTCATTTCCGCTCGAGATTCTTACATGCGCCGGCCCTTAACCCTCTTCCTTGATATTGTGTGAAGCTTTTTACAGCAAGATAACACGATGTATATTTTTCGCTGTCTCTTTGCCAGTGAATAATTTCTACGAATCGTTACAAATGCGGTACGTCTTTCTACGACCATTTTTCGTGGAGTTGGCTTTTTTCACTTTGTCCATTCGACGGCTGCCTTTCAACCTTGGCATTGTATAAAAACAACTGAATAAAATAATGCGTGAATGGCAAAAAATCCTTTTTTCCTTTTTCTTCTATCTTTTTCGCTTTCTTTTTTATTATGCCCTCCACAATTTCTCATCGCTCTGCTCAACGTCGAGCTCACATGCGCCGAAACCCCTTTTCTGCCCCATCCTTTGTAGCCGTTGTGCCTCCCTCTGCTGCGGCCGCTATGTCTGCCTCGCCTCGAGCCATTGTTCCTCCTTTTGTTCCGCCTGCTGTTCCGGCTTCGGTGCCTTCTTTTTCTGCGACCATGATGCCTGCTTCTTCTGCGATGTCTGTGCCTTGCTGTCTTTTCACCTTTTCTTCTTCGATGCGTTTGCCTTTGATACAGGGCGACCCAGTTCAGATCTACGTTTCCGAGGTTCAAGATATCCTACAAGAGATCCTCGACGACCCAGAGTACTGTGAACATGATGATGCCGTAGTTGGTGATTCTTCGAAGTAGGAAAGGTTCCGCTCTCTGTCCTCGTTTACTCACGATTCCAATAAAAAGTCGATGGTGGCAGTTATTCCATCCGTTTCCACCTATTGAAGCGTCGCACCTATATGACTTGGCTTGCGTTTTGTCTCTTGTTATTGCCGGCTTCCGTTCTCCGTGTCCGCGTTGCTTTCGGGTGTCGCATGGGGCTGTCGTCAATGGGTTGCCCGCTGTGGCTGTTGCCCATCAGCTGTTGGCTGTCTTCTATGGCGGTTTTTCAGGGTTGTTGCCGCCCTTGTCCGGTTTTCTTTTTAGCAGCAAGGGTCTTGGCTTTTGCGTTGTGGTTTTTTGCTTTGTTGCTTCGGCGGCCTCTTTGAGTCTGTATCGTTTATTGTGCTTTTTTGTCCGTATTTGTCTCTGACACTCTTCCTGACCATTGGATTCAAGCCTCCCTCTCCACAAACAAAAAGCTCAACGTGCAAAATGGTTCGACCACGAACTCGAAATGGAAAGCCGTTGTCACAGTGTTACGTACGTACATCCATGTTCGTTCATTAAAGTTTTTACAATGAAATAAGTTTCAAGATCTAGTCTGCGAGGGCTTCTTCTGTCGGCTTTTTGGATGCCTGCCTCCGTTACCTTGATAGACATGTCGATCATCTAGAATATCTCAAATCTCTCTGTTTCTTCTAAAATGATCATCATCATTATCAGCAACGAAAATGGAATAAACTTTTTTCAATGGAGGTTGAGTGGGCGACAATAATCCAGACACTTGTTTACTGGGGCAACCACCATAGAAACACATCGTTACTGTTTGCTATGGCAGCAGCAAATACCACGCCTCTTCGCCTTCATTTCAAAGCAACCAGCTATTATCGAGTTGCGTAAAACAAAGCTTCTTCCCCCATATGAACCCACCAAGGACAAGATGAAATGAGATGCATGTCCAATGTGTTGCTTTTTTATTATTTATTTATGATGAAAAGACAAGAAAAATCAAACCATGTAAAACCTTGAGAAGCTCTTACAAAAGAGTTTCGTAGGGGATGGGAGTGATGGTTTGGGGAACATTGGCCTTGGTGGAGACGTGGCGGGCCTCACGGGGCTGGACAGGGATACGCTTGAGGTTGATCTGGACACCCTTGGCCTTGGCATCCTTCTTCTTCTGAGCGTTTTCCTTGACACGGTCCAAGAATTCCTGACGGCACTTGGAGTGCTTGACGTGCTCAACACGGAGGTTGACACGCTTCTCCATGTAGCGGTTGCCGACACGCTTGTAGACAATGACACCGACAGCAGACTTGGTAACGTTGTAAACAACACCGGTGCGGCCGTGGTAGAACTTGTGGGGCATGCCCTTCTGGACGGCAGCGTTAGCCTTGATATCGACAATATCGCCAACCTTGTAAGTCTTCAAGTAGGTCGACAAGGGAATGGCACCATGCTCGCGGAACTTGCGCGAGAACATGTGGCGGGTACGAGCACGAACTATGAACAACGTACGTTACTTTTCTCTGCCGCTAGTTTCCCATTTGCATTCGTGCTCATTTCTCGATAAAAAAAGATACTTACGACCGAAGGAGTGAGGCATTCTTTATATAACGAGAACAATTGCGGCAAAGAATGAATACAAAAGAGCAAAGAAAAGAAAAAAAGAAAATTGATTAGTTCATCGATGATACAACAATACATGGGTGGCTTTGACAATGGACTTCTTCCCGAGACGAGCCGTTATGGTTTTGAAAGGAATGGCGGCTCGGGATGAAATGTAAAAGAGTCTCGCGCAGTGTCAAAACGAAGCTAAAGTCGTAACAAGTAGTTACCTGTCAAGATTGGCACAGGGCTAAACTGTAGGAAAAAGAGGAAGAATCAACACTTTCAACTCCTCACCGTCTGGTTATTGCCCGAAAAAAAAGAAAAAAATTTTACAGGCGACCTTTTTTTTCGGGCCAGCTGCAAAACCGGCAAACCATAAGAAATCTACAAACCCAAACCACAACATATAACCGACTATAATATATTACCTATAATATATTACTCTATATCATACGTGCTTTATGTTTGTATTCAACACATATTAATTGAGTTATCTCTGTATGCAAATATTCTATTATATAGTCTGACTCAAACGGCACAGACACACCATAGAATTGGTGGCTTAGACAGTAAGCCAATGAACGTGCATGGAAAAAAAAGTTTGTAAAAAACAACATTAGTCCGCGCCCAACGAAATTTTTTTTAAATCACTTTTCCCTCTCTTGCTCACATTTTACTTGTTAATTCTCATCATGACCGGTGCTCCCAGAAACTACAGCAAAACCTACAATGTGCCCAAGCGTCCTTTCGATTCTGCTCGTCTCGATGCTGAGTTGAAACTCGTGGGTGAATTCGGTTTGAAGAACAAGAGAGAAGTCTACCGTTTCGGTTATATGCTTTCAAAAATCCGTCGTGCCGCTCGTGAGCTTTTAACGTTGGATGAAAAGGATCCCCGTCGTCTTTTCGAGGGTAATGCGTTGATTCGGCGTCTTGTCCGTATCGGTGTCCTCGATGAAAGCCGTATGAAGCTCGATTATGTCCTTGCCCTTAGATTGGAAGATTTCTTGGAACGTCGTCTTCAGACACAAGTGTTCAAGGTCGGCTTAGCCAAATCTATTCATCATGCCCGCATCCTTATCCGCCAACGCCACATCATTGTCAACGGTCGCATCGTTACCGAGCCCAGCTTCATTGTTCGCATGGTAATGGAAACATCAGAATGGTTACTGGAACACCCGACTGACATTTTGTGTCGTTTAGGAATCACAAAAACACATTGACTTCTCATCGTTGTCACCTTATGGTGGTGGTCGTCCCGGTCGCGTCCAGCGAAAGAGAGCCAATGCAGCTGCTGGCAGCTTGGAAGAAGACGATGAAGAATGAAGGCCCTGATTTCCCGGTTTCCTCTGGTTTGTTTCTTTCCACATTGGATGAACCTTTGCAATTATGTAAAATAAAGATGTCCACTACGGTGGTTTCCTTTGGAATTGCAAAGCACCTGCATCTCTATATGGGAGCAGTATCATCACAATCCAACTTCTGCCGCCCGGACCTATCCATTCTGGGATTGTTTACGAATGGAGCGTTGCGCTGCGCTTTCCGATGAGGTGAATAGTCTGATGGGTTTTCATGACCTTGACCTTGACATTGATAATGACATGACGTGACACGGCATGCCAGCTTCTTTCATTGAGAAGTTATGCGGCCTGTTTGGACATGACATGGCAACTTCTTTTACTGAGGTGTTATGCGGTACGTTTGTACTTGGTTATCGCGACGTATTTGGCCGTTTTTTCTTTTGGTTTCTGTATGGGTTCGTCTCTGTTTTAAACATGCAATGGCAGCGGGTTAGGCAATACGCTTTAGTATTCGGTTGATGCCGGATGATGGCACCATTTATCAACCACTTCAGCTTCACCATTATTATCCTTTCCACCAAAATAGCTCTGCGAGTCTTGATGAAATGCCAATTGGCTGTCACTTGTTGAGTATAAGATAGCTTTAAGAGGAAATAGTTTTCTCTCCTGTATTACTCCGTAGCATTGTAAGATTAATTGGTCATGTCTACAAAGTGCTTTTGCTATAGGTCACTGATTGATAAGCATTCGCCCTGCGTTGCAATTAAAGTGGATACGGTCTCGTAGCTAATGAATAAGCACGTAGAAACTGTGCAGCATTCGTGAAGTCGACAATAAAATTACAAGTTTCATCAGACATTGTTCCATTTCCAAGTTACGGTGCGACGTTTCAATGGCAGATTCAGGATATTCCAGACCTTGTGATGATGTATCGTCGTTTCAATCGGGTATTGCCATAAAGTTCTCTATAACTAGAATGATAGGCCGCATTTGGACTCATAGGCCATCGCAGGTTCCCTAGTCGCCTTTTTTTGCAGCGCAAGAAAGGGGAAATAGCCCTCTGCTGAAAATGCAGGAATGGGGATGGAGTTATAATGGCTTACTGATCATTTTAACGTTTCTTATTGGACGAAATTGCGACTGTGGGCGGAGACGGAAATGAAGGGGAGTATATAAAGGCGACGATTTTGCGAATTCATGAAACGGCATGTTGTACGGCGGCGGGGCTGATTCGCAACTGGGGCTAGCATACACGTAGACCTTTTTGTCTTCCCGCACCGGTACGTTTATCCGTTCATCAGTTGGTCGGGCGTTGACCCTTGCGGGAATAATGTACGGCAAGGTGGGCTCACTCCGGGGGAGTTCTTTTTCTTTTCCCATGTGGGCGTTCCTGGCACGTATGGCTTTTCTTTTTGGCCTGCTTCGGCAGGAATCAAAAAGTAATTTTCTGAGTAAATGAAAAAAAAAAGAGAGAAGAGAGGGTAATACCTCGTCTCTTCACACACACACACACACCTTATCCGCATTAGCTTTGGCTGTGTCGGTTGGGTCATAACTAGTTAGAGTAGAAAAAAGTAGAAAAGAGCTGAATAGAGTTGAATAAAGTAAAAACAATGATATAAATAAAGCTTTGGTTTCTACCGCACTTCTTCACAAACTATTGTCGCCACTGCGACGCTGTGAAAGCGACAGAGGTTTTCACTCAAAAGATGTGATGTCAATAGCATTCGTTGGCCTTTTTTTTTGGCTGCCTATCTGGCTCTGATCCTACATTGGCGACTGCGCCACCATGTCAAATTCACCACCTGTGCTCCTTTTTGTCAAGAAGTACGTGCGATTGCCTGTTTGGATCGGTGGGGGTAATTCTTATTGAACCATTAGGAACATAAAAGCAGTAAAGCGAAAAAAAAAGCCCGTGTTTCAATTGGTAGTGAAGATAGACAAGATACTATGGATAGAACGATATATCGTGCAACTGTTGCCTGGTTAATGGATACCCTGTTTTTACTGCGAAACTCGTTTTGTTTCCGGTTGATTTTGCAAATAAGGCGTTCGTTCGTATTGTTTCGCTGCATGTGCAGAAACACGCCCTGAACGTTCATCGATACGATTCCACAGCGTGCTACAGATCCTGCATGTTCATCTGCTCCTAAGAACAACCGCCGGATCGCTATCTAAGAGGACAGATACCGCGAACAGCTGTCTAGCGAGTGCGTATTTTGGTCACAATCTCTTCTAATTTGATCCTCTGGTACTTGGCCTATCTCAATCTTTCCTGTAGCACTTCTTCCACAGTGCCGTTGCGAAGACGATTTTCACGATGCTGATCGCCATATTGCGCCTAAAATGATATGGAATGGGATGGGGTCTGGTTTGCAGTGACACTAAAGGTGCGTGCCCTTCTATTCTAAAAAAATAAGAAGTGCGTATTAAAAAATAAGTGCATCATGTGTTGTATTTTCTAATATCCCTTGGAACAACCACGGCTTCTTGATGTTAAACCCAGCTTCGTCAATAATGATACAATTTTGCATGAAGTCCAATGGATGTCGGTTGTGGTTCAATACTTGACCCACTCATATCGTCTGTTGATAGTTTCCAATGAGTCCCGAACTTCCGAGTGCATCTCTATCAAAAGTCATTGCATGGTACCTTTTGCACTGTGGATGGTGCGACGCTCAATCCGCCAAATTGATTGACTAGTTCGCCCACTGTGGATGCAGAGTAGCGTCAACGTCATTCTCAAAATATCCCTGAAGGAATTGCTTGTCAATTTTGCCTAGTTTGGCTTTCTACCAACCTTTTCGTGGCTGGTATGATACATTTTCGTCACCTTGGTCTCGAAATTTGACTTTCGCTGAGCAAAATGAGCATTGACACTGAATTTTGCAGCTATGCTGGCAATCGAGGTGCCAGGGTGCTGAAGGACGTACTCTACCACCATAGCTTTTACGTCATCCAAATGCATACGATAAACTGCATTACTTTCTTTACTTTCTGTTGCCCTATTTGCGATTGGTCAGGAGCAACGCGCTTCTGTATGTAGTTGTCGTAGCTAGTTGCCTCTACAGCAGACATTGAATCCATCGGCTCCAATTCCATTCGCTCATCGCCATTTTTCGTCAACCTCTTTATTTCCCTTTATCGCCTGCTTGTATGAATCATTGAGAAATTTGAGAGGACATGTTAAAAAACTACGACATGATTTGTCATGTAATGAGAATGACTGTGACACGGGAAAACAATCCATGCATTGACTAAAAAAACGATAGATTCGACACCTGCTTTCAGGGCCATCAAATTTGTAACTAATAGGGAAATGTGATTGTAGAAAAATTTACGCCGTAAAGCAAAAGATCATTGAAAAGCTGACTTTGAACGTAATGAACCTGTGTTGACACTTGGTCCTGGACAAATCATACTTATCGATATCAATTAGTTTTTTTTTCTTCCGTTGTCGTACATGGAGGGCACGAATCAAGTGCATGCACCGCATCATTCAATGAATCCGTTTATGGAATAAGAATTTCTTAGAATGTCGATTGTATTTCAAATTCAAGCATTTCACAGTCATGGTTGATACTATATGTCCGCATGGCTCATGAGCATTTTCCTTTTACTTATCAGTGGATTCCGCGTCCATCTTGACGGTATACCCATCCAAAAATGGTAAGCATGCTTCCCATTAGTTTGAAACGTGGATAAACCCGCTCATCTCGATGGTTCCACACATGCACCCTGATGTCGATTACTGCACGGTAAAAAAAATAAAAAGGCACAAGATGGGCCAATCACATCAGGAAAAAGGAAAGAATTTTTTCGAACGTTTCGAAGATAGCACCACCATGCATGGGCGTATTTGGTGAAATCTTATTTCTGAGTCTCAAGCCATAGTTCTCCCATACCCGTTAGTGCCCCAGATCAAACACTGTCCCCAATTTTAAGAAAAAGAATATAAATAAATGAAGCAAGAATCTAGAAGCAACCATTCCCATTTCCCGCTTCTCCGCCTTTGTCATTGGCTTTTCTCCAACGAAGAAGCTTGGCAGAAGCCATGCTTCAGGGTGGGAGCCAATACTTCAAGAACGGAGCCAATGCTTCTGATAATTACGTCACACATGGAAAAACTTCTTGCGCCACTCCGTGCACTCGATCTTGTTGGTCCTTTGGGGGGGGGGTTTTCCTATATGTTTATTCCATAAAGCTTATGAAACCGCGTCTCCAAGCCGTATGTATTTATGCTAAGCCGACAAGCCGGGCGCCCTTGTAAAAGCAGGTTGATTAGACTCGCACTCAGTGCGGAAAAAAGCTGTTCACGCTCGTTTGAATCACTAACCCGAGATATTGTGCCCAGGAACACACCGCTTGCGCATATAACGATCCTTTGTGGATGTGAAGCGAAAAAGGACACGGTCGCAGCTTCTTCCGGGTTTTCCGATATCCGCCTTGTTGTCCCCTTCTTGGTGTCACCGGCCTTTCACCATGGTCTTCACCAGCCCACCATTTCTGGCCTGCTCCACAAGGTAATCTCTTCCCTGGAGGTCGTACGTATGGACCGTCAAGGCACCGGATTCAAAAGAGGGCCATTTCCTTGAAATTCGACCTTTCTGAAATCTCCGGCACGTATTCGAAACGATGTCGTCTGCACCACGACATCAAGCCGATACGATGCCCTCAAGTTTTCTTTTGATACGGATCGCCGATGCTAAGCGAAGAGATGGTTTTGAAGTTTAAAGATGATTCATGAAGTATTATCGGTTTCGAAATTGTTACCCTTGATATACGACCAATCGACAGGAAAGATTGAAGGCAAAAGAAAAGCTGTGTCACGGTGTTCGTCCTAGGATTTTTAAAAATTTCGGGCGACAGGCTAAAGTCACAGGGCTGGATCTGAAAGTCGATCGCTAAAATTGTCCGTACCGAACGTGAACACTGGAAGGCAGGAGGTTTCTGAAAGGAACCAAGGTTCGACCGTCGCACAATGGGCAAACGTTGTATTACCATGTATAATCAGCATTGTATTTACAATAAAGTGCATCTTCGTTGTTCCCGACACGGTTTTCGCTTATTCCACTTTTGCCAGGACCGATGAAAAAACAAAAAATAAAAAATAACTAAACAAAACGCTCTTTATTTACCATAGCAACGGTCATTAGGAGTTTTTTTTTTTTTTTTTTTTTTTTTTTTTTGTTGGAAACTAAATATTTCAAAGCTTGGCTGTAAAACATTACTTTGTAGGGAGCACAACGCACAAGAAGATAGTTTTCCCATGGTGAAAAGAGCGTCTTACAAGAGCTCGTGTTTTTCTGGGGACGTTGGCTTTTGGAAGCACATATTGCTCGATCTACATGTTTTGCGCCTTAAAAAGACCGTTGGATAACATATCTCAATGTCAATAGGAGATTTTTTGCGCAGGAATGGCTTTTGTCCGTAAGAATCAAAACCGAATATTTAGCAAAATTGACATCGATCGTGTTTTTTTCGGTGTTTTCTTTTTGGGCCTTCTGTTGGTGGGATCAAACTCAAGCTCTTTTTTTTTATTTTATTTCGAACTCCTCTTTCGAGATTTCATCTACAGAGGACACTCAGGTGAAACGAACGATGCGTGAGACTTCCGATGGAAATAACTGTCCGTAAATAATCCTCCAAATAAAAGGTACATGTGTTTTATTTCATATATAAAAGATAACAATAGTGGTATATATATGAAGATGTTATAGTTGGAAAAACTGTTCGCCATTCTTCTCGACACGACCTCGGGCTCCTAGCATGATTCGAATATCATAGATGAGATTATTCCACTCGTGCCACAGAGACCGTTTGGCAAACATTAAGAATAACCATATGCCAATCAAACTGACGAGGAGCTCGGCCGTGATCATCAACCCGTAAGGAGGCAAGTAAGGGCTGATTATCGATACACACGAGTTTTGGCTGCCGCCAGGCATCAAGATACAAGCGATCCAGTCGCTTGTAATCTCCAAATTTCGGTCCAGATTAGTAATTTTGGGCACTTGCAATAAATAGAATAGCTAGGATTTTCATTGGTCAGTGAAGGAATGATCGCAACCGCATACGAGACGGAAAACCATGTCAAAATTATTCCCTTACCCAATAGAACAACACAGTACCACACGCGACCACCGCAAGTAAAAGGGCTCGCCATTGAATTTTGACTGCAGCAATTACATGCTTATGGTGTCTTCTCTTTACATTGATTGCGTGCTGTTCGGTGTTATGAGATGCCGCCGATAGTGTTTGCGACATTTCCGAGCGAACTCCTTCTCTGAAAGCAACCTACGATACAATCAGCGCTCACATTACTTGGAATAAGGTTATATAGGGAAAAGTAAGAAACCAGGTACTTTACCTTTGCGATATAGAAAAAGGTGGCAATGTGAATGATAAAACTGGGACATATAATGGCGGCCATTGGATAAAACAGAATTTCAGATATGTAATCGAGTTTGACGAGACACAGATTCGCGAACTCGAACTTGATGCTATGCAATCCTAAAGCCACAGCCGTCATAGCCGCTGGAATACCCCAACACACTGCATTGAGATACAGATATCGCTCGGTGAAGTAGTTTCGGTTCCACACTGTATACACATGCAAGTTGATAATCAATGCTGCACACCACAGACACGTTGCAAAAGCGGCAAAGATCAGAACAGCACCTATACGCAATGCTTGAGTATTAGTTGATTATCCTGCTAATACATCAAATTTAGTTGTAACCTTGTGCTGCACAGAGCGCATTGTTATCTTGCGTGCTCTCATTAATCACATCACTTGCGCACTGTAATCCTACAGGGTCACCGATGGAGAAAAACACCGTGAGGTTAAATAGGAACACACCAATGGAGAGATTAAGGATCAATAGCGAGGGATGTCTGGCGAAAGAGACAAAATCGGTATGAGTTGTCACGGTCGTTTCACTGCTTACTTGTGCCAGCCACCGGGCCCGAAATAGATTCCTTTACCTTCTTTTGTCCGGCAACACCAAATAGCTAATGACAATGAACAAAGATAGAACTGCCGAAATACATCTGATAATATTGGTCACCAAAAACCCCGTCTCGGCCCAACCGACTCTGTAAAACTATGAAAATTTTCAAAGCAAGGTAAATGAATTTTTAATAAAAGGCACGCTCAAAAATATAAAACAAAAAGATGGCGCGGTCTTACATAGTTTTGGGCAGGGCACGGAATACAACAACCATAACGGCACGATCGGGGTTGCAAGGTATCGTTGGTGCCTGGCTTCGCCAACGGATCCCGCACGAACGGGGCAGGACAAGTGGCTAACATAAACCCAAAAGGAATAGCCGATAAATTCAAAGGGTTCTCGCCTTCGGCCAATGTCACTAAGGTGTTATAAAGTTCAAGATAATGCATAAATAAGATGCGCTGGCCACAATCCGTGCGAGATTTGGAACTTTGTACTACCATGAGGAGGGATCATATTGCAATTATCATCAGGTTGAGGTGGTGTGGAAGGTGTGGAAGGCGAAGACTTTGAACAATCAGGAAGCAATGGACTGAGCCCAGTCAATGCAAATGTATCCCCGCACGCCGCCAAAACTTCTTCACACGTCGATTTGCACGTTGTCCAGGTACGTTCATCTACATCGCATATCGTCAGATAAAATAATTCGTCTCACTAGTCTGTGAGGTCTGAGTTACGTTTTGTATCGTTCATGTCGCACTTTGGGTACGCGTACGTGCAAGCGTATCGATAATAAGTATCGACGCACAATGCATTGAGTTCTCCCAGTTCGGTTGTAAGTTGCGACAAGGGTCCACGAATTTGATTCTCGATATCCGATACGCCATAGGGTGCAAAAACAGGGTAAGTGACATAACTCTATCGTAGAGAATGATTCCTTTGTCAATGGAAAAAAGCATGCAAATATTGTAGTTGCCGCAATCATTACCGAGCAAATACCACCAGGGTATTTTATACAGCTATCGGTTCCTATAGTCACAGGTTTAATTGCGTTGATAATGCCCCAATATGTATGTTGTTGCTGTTCTTACGGTTGGAAGATGGTTTAGGTTGCGATGGTCGTTGACCGTACGCAGTACTGGCGAAAACGATGAATAAGGATAACAGGAATTGCGTCAAAAGGAGATTCATGGCAAAAGTATAACAAAAGGATAGGAAATCTGAAAGAATGTAAAAGATCGCCGTAGAAAGGCGGATGAAAAATTGCTGACAAACTTTAAATTAGGTCAACTGTGAGATAAAATCAGCTTCAATCCCACCCTAACAAACCTTTTTGATCTATCGAATGATTATGTAGGATGGATAGTAATGTCCTCTTTCCTTTCTTTTATTGCAAAGGCATCTAATTATACAAAAACAATTGAAGCGGTAGAAAAACAAGAAAAAAAATCAGAAGAGAAAAAAGTCAAAGGAAAGGAATTCAGAATTGAGAAACTGGAGAAAAAAATAAAAAGAAGAAAAGGAATCTGTAATAAATAATCAACATCTGTCTTTCTCACCATCATATTGCTCAACACCTTATTTGTTCATCAGTGGGCCTATAAATGCACTGCATTTAAGGTGATACGATGAAGTCTATTTTTTCTTCAAGCCAAACACGGCTCTTTTCATCCTCTTTAATCCGTCGCTTTATCCAGCGTATCCTTATCGCCTTCAATCACAACGCTGCCCTCTGCTTGTAAAGTTCCATGGTCCGACGGGACAGCAATTCCATCGGCTATCTCGGGAGCTTGTTCTTTCCTGTTGAACATGCTCTTGATTACATTTTGCATCTTTTCAAGTGCCGCCACATTCTTGGATTCACTGGTGTAATACATTGATAGATCATCGTGGAACCTGGAAAGAGAATAAAACGCTTTGCTCAGTAAGCTTTGATCGCAAGCATAGCGATTCACAAATTCCACAAGAGAATCGTAGACTTACACCACACAATCAAAATCCCATGTCGAACGCCACTTGGCCGTTTCACAAGATGTCTTTGTCCAAGGATCGCCATAGGTGATAGGAATAAAGCGACGGTACACGAGTATCACACTCACAGTAACGAGCATCGCCGCGATCATGCGCTTTCGAGACACCAGTCGAACCGTCACCGCATCAAAAATAACGCCAAACAGGAGGATATTGAAATATAAGGCCGGCATGTAATGGTGCAAAAATAGCTGCCGTCCCATAAGGAAGAAGGGCAAGTAGTGCAGGGCCCATCCCACTAGGAAGAACCCGGCTGACTCCTCATAATATCTCCGAAGACCTAAAAAGTGTCAAAGCGTAACTTTTTTACAATTGTAACCGTGACAATCATTTACCTCCCAATTCGATGTTAACCCCTCGCTTGTCCAGCAACAAAAGGACACATCGGACAACAACAAAAAGAACAACCGTCGATGTGCATACCCAGTAAACGAGTGGGTTGCCCAATAGATAGATGTGTCGAAAATCTTTTCCCCAGAAATTGATGCCTCTTCGAAGCATGGGCCAAGACTACATCGGAGCGTGAGTTGTCGGACACAGAAAAAAAAAAGCTTGCAACTGTTACTGAGCTTTTCTGTGTCAAACTTACCTCGGGTCTAGAATCGTAAGGATGGGATGCTGTTAATCCTTTGTTGGTTTCCCACATCACTCGGTTAAGTTCAAGGAACTTTGATAAGAAGCCTGGCTTATGATAGTTCACTTTGGGAGTATCCGGTGGCACTAATAAATCAAAAAGGCACATTAGCATGGAAAAAACTTTTTTTTTTGTTTTTATCTTTTTCCAAACAAAGGAATCAACGTGGCATTACGTTTATCATTTACGGTGGACTCGATGTACCAAATCGTTTTGGGAATCTTGCCGTTTTTAATGCAAGTGACTTCTTGTTGTCCCCAACCCCAATCGGGCAATTTGACTGAATGCGAGAAAAGCGCGCAATTTTGCATAATGTGAACGAGCCGGAATTTGGAATGAATCGTTCTTAGGCGTTCTCCAGCTTCTTCATCATGCTTGTCATGGTCAACAATTTCCACTCGCCAATAATCGTTTGCATCACCACCAAAACCAGGGAAACCATAAGCACTGTATTGTCCGAGAAACATTCATGTTCAGAGTTCCAATTTTTGAAAGGTTGCTTGGTTACCGTACCTGACTTCGTTATGGTAATCAAGATCGGTCATCGGTGGACGATGATCGTGAGAGTGGAGCCGCTTTTTGCTTTCTTGGTGTATTAAACGGATAACGTCGCCGTGACGTACATACTCGATCCCAACAGGTTCTTCCGAGTCCTTTTTGTAGATGATCCACCAATTATTATCGTCGCGGTGAGGATACAGTGTAATTTGTTGCTCTACAGGGGAAATCGCTGTCAAGTTTACTGTGAAAAAACCCTAAGAGCATATCTACGTACGTTTGCTGCCGCTAGGATAATCATGAGGATGCGAATGCAGGTAACCACCGTGAGTAGCGACATGACGAATATAGACCTTGGATCCGTAAGCGATATCTATGCACACATACGTACAAAGATTGAATATTGCATGGTGCCACAATAGAACGTTGATCTATTTAAGGAACAACAAAACCTACCAATGGGGGCATCGGCCATGCTGTGACCGTCCAACGTTTGCTGAAATTCAGGGCTCATGAATCCATCTCCCTCACCGCTGTTGGGCAAAGAATGAAAATGAATTTGGAACATGATCATGTAGATGAACACCGGAATTATGATCAAGCAAACGGCTCGTGCCATAAAGTGACGCACAAACGTTCGCTGTGTCCCCAAATTCATCGGTTGCTTGTTGTCAGCGACACGATTCTTTCTCTCATTCACTGCCACGGCTCTACTTACCACTGATACATGGGTGTCTCCCCACAGTCGCCAGAGATCCTTTAATGTGGATACACCGACCGTAGCAATGGTGAATAAACCGACCCACTTACAGCTCGCTGTGAGTCCCAGCCCACACCCAGTCAGGGCCAGCCAGATGTACCACCATTTTTGGAATGGTCTAACCAATGCAATTATGAATAAGACCAACTCCTTGCCCCATTTCATGTTCACAAAATAGCCTACTGTTCATGCTCGTTATGGAAATTGATCCACACCAGAATAGTGGCGGCAGTAAAAAACAGCAGCGCCGGATCCAACAGAATGAGTCGATTGTTGGCGATTAAACCATTCTCTGTCCAACGCATGTATCAGCCTTCCTAATCTCTATGGAGTAATTCTGCGGATCAACCTACCGTAGCACACCATTAATGCCGCTACAATGCCTGCTGCCACCGAATGCCCCGCGCCACGCATGGTCAAATAGCAAATAGGTACCACCAACACCCCCAGTAATCCACAGAAAACACGCATGGGAACGTAAGGAACACCCGGTTCAATATAATCCCTATCCCCGTTATATTCAGTATCCATGCGTTGGCCAACTTTGACATTTCAGCGACAAGGGTCCCCGCACTTACTTGCCAATATCCTTAAAATCAAAGGATCCGTCAAAGCCCGACAGCTTGGCTACCAGTGCAATCAGCATTTTCGCAAGCTAACATGCAATGAGTGACCTCCACCTTGATATAATTGTTTTTCGAGCCATCACTTACAGGCGGATGAACGTCCATAAAGAACCTCGTTTTGATATATTTGCTTGCGAATCCGCCAAAATGAACCTCATCGAAACTATGCAGGCACATCCGATTATTACCAATTTCTGCCTTTTATCCTTCGCAGCCAATGGTTACTTACACTACAGACGACGGCTGGTATATCTTCCACAAGCGAATGTAACCTGCCCACAGGGTCAGTGCTGCCACGATGCGCCAATCGCGGGTCCGTGCTGCTTTTTCCGCCGATAATCGTTTCCGATGCACTTTGACGAGTTTGGAATCATAATCGAGAGACAAATCGACGTCGTCGGAATCGTAACCGTCCATGCCATGTTTTCCGCGACGTTGTCGAAAAGCTTCCGGTCGAGTAGCAGAAGTGTAGGCGACATGGTTACTATCGTCGTCGATGGAGACCGGAACATGATCGGCGTGAGGTGACCCGACCACGGCCGCCGGTGGCTGATAGAATATGTTTCTTGACATTGGACAGAATGTCCGTAACTAGCAGTTTGTTGCTAAAGGGGGGCAAATTAAACCGTTCAAAAAAAGGCGATGAGGAGCCAAGAAAAAAAGGAAGTAGTCTATTTTGAGAAGTCCGTTCAATATCGTATGCCGACGAGCACCTAATTTGGTTCATTTCGTTGTCAGCCCCGCTGAGCACAGAAAAAAAACGTCGAGTCACTATATCCACGTCCTGGAAAATAAATCTCCCGCGCGCGACTCGTTCCTTTGTATTTTTGCATAGTCTCTGCTTTGCACTGGCTGTCACTGAAATGGCAGACTCGAAAAACTCCATTAGCTCCTTTGTATATAACATTCAAGAACAGCTGTCCAATTTGCAAAAGGAATGGCCCGCTTTAAAGAAACAGGAAGCTTCTGACAATGCCTCGACAACGGGTACTTTTGGTTAGTTGACAACGCCGTGATCGGTCAATCTTCTGTGTTCTCATCAATGGCGTCAGATCTACATGCGTATGGACCTGTGAATCTCGATAAAGCACGCCAAGAGTTTCGTCAGCAGATTGATGCTATCCGTTCTGTGTGTTTACAATTCGAAAACGAAGTGTTGGGCGATGTTATGAAAATGGGAGCAGGAGCCGATCCAGCCTTTCGCAAACATTTCACGCATCTCAAAGTAAGCTTCTTGACGTGCATAGTTCCCAGTAACGAGGAACGTTATTGATTCGATTTCCATGAATACTGCAGGAACAAGCTGCCTTGGAGAGTACAGTGAGAAAAGTCAAAGATGCATTAAAGCAAACAAAGGACCACTTGGAGCAATGCGTAACGGAAAGAGAAGAATCGCGACTAAAAAAGTCGATCAAGTCATTGGAACGTATTGCGCAAGGCATGGGGTAATGCTAAAAATACCGGCAACGACCAACGCGTAAAGGTTATTGACGAATCAATTTCAGACTTGTCACTTTTGTCGACTCTTCTCAGACGTCCGAATCTGGCGTCCCGTTAACCACCCTCACCTTGGGTGGCACCGTGATTGTCGTTGATGTAAGATGATTGATGATATATGGTCTTGGATTTTTGGTTCGCTGATAGGGAACTATGCAGATCGATATGGATGACACAGGTCATGTTCTGAAAACCAAAGTGACCTATGTATCGGAAATACTTCAAAATGATCATGATGACCGCGTAAGTTTAGATCCCATTTGCAAGGATGATTATGATCTACCTCAGACTCATTCCTTTGGACAGTTAGATCGCATGTTGGCAGAAATTCTTCGAACTGAGGATTACGACCTGTTCCGTCGCAATCTTGGAACCCTGGCCCTGCTGGATCGTCTGAACGTCAAATACACACCGACCAATTTTTTTTTGCTGACAAGAGGATTGGTAGCAGATATGCGATCAATATGCAGTCAAGAAGCGTAAGTAATGAGGGAATGAATGAGTCAACCAATTGCGTTTCTAACGTGCAACTGTGCACAGCCTACTGGTGTCGGGGGATATGGGAACAATCCTGATGGAGGGTCACGGCGTGCCCAGTTTGTACCTGGATTACCCCGGCCTTAGTATTGCTTACTGGATAGACAAAAAATCGATGCTCGACACGGATTGGGAAAGTGTACGGAAATCAGTCGAGAATGGTACGGCTGCAGCAGATAACTGATGTCGGAGGTTCTGATGACTCACCAGCTACTAGGAGATAAGCACACAGCGCTTCGTCCTGCTGCCAAGCTCAACATCTCTTTCGAAGCTTCTGAACAGTCTCACTACTTTCTGCCACCATCAAGGACACGCTATTTATTGAGTTTGGAAGAGACAGAAGATTACATTTTGGAAGGCGAAAACGGGAAACATATGAAAATTCTCAGGGAAACGGCCTGCCCAAAGTTCATGCAACCCATGCGATTTATCAAAGTATTATCAACGCACCCGGAAGCGGCGGCTATTCCTGTAAGAATGGTGGCCACCCTTGACCCTCCTCTTCCTGCTTCAGATACGATTATACAAAGTCTGATGCGTATCACTGGATACAAGAAACAAGGTAAGTTTGGACGGGTGATTGTCGGTCGTCTACATTAAATTGACCTGATATTATATATCAGAGGAATTGGCGGAATTCAACATGGATGCGACCGGATCTTTGTCGAATACAACACCGTCATTAGAGCAACTGTTGGTAAGTAGGATCTATCATCTATCACCAAATTAAGTGCATAGAATTAACACTTGTGGTGATTGCAGTTATCGCAAGCCATTGTTTCACAATCACAACAACAATCTGCCACTGCGCATCAAAAAGTATCCTGGATCGCTGTAAGTGGTTTCGGTCGGATTTTTCACAGTAACGTTTGATCTCATTGTTGGGTTTGACAGCAATACGATGATATGCAGGACCAGATATATCAATGGGTCAACAAAACGAGCACCTCTGGAAAGATGCTCAGTCGTATCCCATTTACGCATCTTGCTCAACTGTATCCCATGATGCAGGTAAGCTATCTTGGACAGAACACCGGTTAAAGACAAAAAATTGTTTACTCACGGCTTATACGTCTAGGTTCTTCGCCAGCAACAAATGTTCAATACTCTAGTTCAAAGCATTTTTAATCCGTCAACCTACCGACTACATGAAACTTCAACGGAGCGTGTCAACGACCTGTCTCTTGACAGCATCCTGAAAGGTAAATGCCAGTGACGCGATCTGATGGGAACTTGCTAATTTTCTCTCTTGACACAATGCAGAGAGTGAAACGGACGACAAGTTACGATTCGATGTTGCTACTGCAGGTGCCCCTCATTCAATTCACATCACATTTTCTCCGCCGCCCACGGCTGATCATCCCTTATTGCTAATTCCATTATCCATCACTATCCCCACCGACAATCCAACCCGGCCTACCGTTAGCGTACATCGATCTTCCTCTAAAGAAATGGATACTCTGGAATGGAAGTGTGATCCCAAGATATTTGATGAAGAAAAAATGACGCGCGTACTACAAGCAGGACATCATATTCCGCTGTTGATGCGATGGCTGTGGAAACGGATAGAACGATACGAAGGCAATTACATGTTCAAGACCATGAAGCGCGCCCGAGGCGATGACGCTTCAGAGGTTGATAACAAGCATATGAAGTCTGAAATGTCCATAGAATAAAATAAAAGGATAAAAGACTGCCTGTATTGCAGCTCTTTCTATTGACTGTATTATTAAAGTCCACCCGCAGTGGTGTATTCTCTACCTACGCTCTGATCACCGCCCAGATTCTTGACGAAAAAGTCAAAGATTCTTGACCAGGCGAGATCGCGGGCGGCCTTTTCGGCTGTTCTCACGTCCACATTGCGGTCAACAAATCCAAGCTCTTTGCGTTGATTGATACTCCAGTCATCGTCGTTCATGAACGCGTGGCCTTGTTCTGGATATCTGTAAATCGTGGCATCGGCGGCCTTATTGCTATGCAAATTGAACTCCAATGCGTCCGCTAGTGAACCACCCGTAGAGTGAGTAAACTGAATCAAGAAACCCAACTGTTGTTACCAAAACTTACCTGCCCCGGGATCACTGAAACCGGCCATTTTATCCTGAAAATCGCGTAAAAAAGTGTGAATGATATAAAAAATACAGCACGAGTCTCTGCGTAAACGTACCTTGCCACCGAAATGGCCCTGAACGGGAGTGATCTTTGTAATCTTTCTTACATCAAAGATATCACCAGGAGGGGTACCGTAGCATGCGACAGCCGCTCGCAGAGGGTGACGCGTTTCAGCTAAACGAGAGGCCAGAGCCAACGAAAGACCACCACCCATACAAAAACCAATCGAGCCAATTTTGCTAAGCATCGCCAATATTAGTAACAATGGTCATGGCAGACACGTATGGCACCTTTTTTTTCACTCACGAGTATTTTGCCTCACGCAAATTTGCTGCCAATTCATCCAACTCGTTAATGGCCGTTTTCCAGTCCAAGCCGTTCATCAAGTGGCTCGCTTCCTGTCACGCCCCAATGGTCAGTCATGTTGAATGGCAATCCTGTCAAAAGTGCACCGCATTACCTCCGCATTCAGACCCAGCTTGCCTTTATACAAATCGGGCACCACTGTAAAAGCACCAGTATGGTCGGCGAGACGTTGGGCATGACTCTTAATCTGGTCGTTGATGCCCCACCATTCTTGCAAAACCTACGACGCGTTAGCACAGACACGATTGCAGTGGCGTTTTATTACTACATACAATAATGGCGCCGCCCGTGAGACGAGCAGGTGTTGTGGGCTTAAACTGGAATACTTTAAAGGGCAATGCTTTGGCAGCTCCTGACATTATTTTAACGATTTCTCGGTTGACACAAAAGAAGTATACGGCTTATAATAATGGGAAACCCCAGTTCAAGATCCGCTCCCATCGCTTCCATTTTTTTGCATATTAAATCATCAGCGCGTCATTTTGTATCCCCGAAAGGCACTACTTTATTTACAGTGTTGTGCCACAAAAATTAGACAAGGTTCTTTTCCGAGAAAACTTACCGAACTGTAACCATCATACGTTTTTGTTACGTGGAAGGAGAGCGATTGTATACCACTGAATATTCTTGGCCGTAAGCCAATGCGGCTGCGATAAGACGAATGTTACGGCTGGCATTGGCATCACGCTGCCATAGTGTGTCACAATTTGTACAATGCTGCACACTATGCATCACTCCGCCGTCGGCAAGCCGCAATTGTTCCAACGTTTTCTGTCCACACCGCGAGCAAACCTGCCATGTTCCGTCAGTTGTTGCATTTTCACCATCTCTACCCAGGGGAAAACTTACTTTCGAAGTATTGTATTCTTCTATATTCACTGTCACCAGCAATCCTTCGTTTTTGGCTCGCCGCAAGCAACAAGGCCCGGTACCTGTTGGCAAGTCCAGTAGGTTTGCCGCGCATGAACTGCCTAAAACCAGCATCGCCTATGGCATTCAACGGGAATCTTGTGGTTGGCTATAATCGGTCTTGCTCCACTTGTTGGACCTAGGAAAGCCCTCGTCTTGTGAGTCTCGACTGTGCATCAAATCGTGAAACAAAAAGGAGAATTCAATGGATGTTACCTTTTGCCTCTTCTGTCCCTTTCCTTCTTTTCCTCTTGCTTGGGAGTGGCGTATTTTTTAGCGCCATTTACCATGATGTTCACAAGCTCGCTCCCGCCTTTTGCTTGCCGATATAGTTCCAGAAACGGAGCGAGGAAAAGCGATCATCGTAAAAATTGAGCATGGAATTCAGATCCCGGGATAACTCTTGGGCATAACGGATGATATTCGCTTTAGGAGACGATTTTCGTGACGGCAAATCCCGCTCAATATCAGCAATGGATCGCCCATCAGTTAATGTCTGCTGCTTCATTGCAAGCATTTTCGCTGCCGATTTCTTAACCCCCGAATTGTGGTAAAATTCGGCCGTTGAGCACCTCCGGATCTGGTGCGTTTGTTGGCCATGTCCATCGTTGACAGCGAAAATTTCGGTGATCCCTGGATCGACTCCCCAAAGATGGAAAGCTCTGTCAAGTTCAGCGGTAGTAAAATTTTCTATTGCTAGTTGTGGCAAGCTTTCGAGCTTTCTTCGTGTGAAAATACAATCGACAGCGTGCCAAGTCTGTGCGAATACTGTTTCACGAGCTGGAAGGAGTGGAACGCGTGCTTTGAGCAATAATGATCTCAGAGTCTGTAAATCGATCGTTGCATATTGCCGGCGAAAGTGATACATTGGTATCAATGGAAATACTCGGCTTTGTTTGACGAAAGTAGATACTAGTATCGATCGCAGTTGTGCCACGTTTTGAACGTCTAATAGATATTGTCGTGAATTCGCAATAGCACTTGTGGCTTCGTTGATAGTGCTCCGCAGGATTTCAATAGAGCGTACGGATAGACGTGTGGAAACCAATGGGGCAACTTCTCCAGAGCTGTTGACTTTTGTAACTATTTAACGAACTAAGCGAAAACGATATTGGCGGGGGAGAATGGAAAATTCATCGAGAGTCGTGATGAGAGTCCGCGCCCATCCGTTGTTTGGCTTCGGTTTGTACAACTTCAACACTGTTGATCTGCTCGGCATTGTAATTTTCAGTTTCACGCAAGATGGCGTGCAAAAACGGTAAGTATTTTTCTGGATGCGCCGAGAGGGTCTTCACATTGATCGGTTTTGGGACGTTTTCAAAAAGCTGGCGAATATCGTCGATTGCGGAATTGAGCAAGTCTGAACGTTCAATGGACGATGGCCATTCTGGCAAATTCGCTGGATCGTTGGACGCAGGCGATTTTTTCAGCATTTTTCTTGGTAAGTTCCTGACAAAATATGAATTAATGGCATGTTGAGATAGAATGGTTAGTAAATCTTACTCGAACAGCATTTTGCAATTTAAGGCAAAAAAAAAAACCGGATGGTTCGATGCTCAAAATCTCAGTGATCGAGTTTACAAAAATTGTTGCGGATTGCTCGGCCAACGAAGCCAATGCGTGCTTATAGCCGGGTATATGGGTCATGACGCTTGTGGGCAAGGTCCCAAGTATTCCTGTTAGCATCCGGTCATGCTTTGCCTCGGTATCTTGCTGTTGGTATTGCTGATCTCCTCCCCGTGAATGAGCTGTATACATGCGTAAGAAAAGTCTTGCGAAAAAATGATTGAAGGGAGTTCGCGATGGGCGTCAAGCAAATCCAAGATAAAATACGCTGCAACGCTTGTGATTTAAGAGCTGCTGCACGCCAATAATTCGACAAAATATTAATTTGGTCTTGTAGCCTTTGCTTGGCTGGTTCCTCCAAGCTCAAAAATCTCGCAAGTCCGATCTTCTTGACGGATGTTGTCCGATCTCTTCCAAGTAAGAAGTTTTGTCGCTCCTTAGGCGACACACGGTGGTGCGGACAGTGGTAGGATTGTCTGTCTGAGTGGAGTACCTGGTCTTCGTTCCTTCTAGCCGCGGCGCATGTTGAACAGCGTTTAGAATAGTCCACATTGCGGTTTTTGGACTTTCTTTCTTGCCTCCCCAACGTTCTTTGCATTTTTAGGGCCTGCTTTTCTTCTGATTTTTTTTGTTTTTGCCCAGCTCTGGGTTTTCCCGATGCATCTATTTCCATCGATGTTATTCGTTCCGTAAAAATCGAAATGACGACAACATTACTGTACCTCTCTTTCTTTGTTCTTTCTGTTCGGCTTCAGCTTTCAGGCGCTCTTGCTTCTTTATCTTTTTTCCCGGACAAGTTTTGTCACTGACGCCAGGAACCGTTGATCTGGCTTTTGGTACTTTTTTGAAACGCCAGACTTTGGAGGCGGTGCAGGAATGGTTTGTACAGGTTTTCCTGGTACCTGCGCTGCTAAAGGCAATGGCTGCAAAGCACGGTTAAAGTTTGATGGGCCCGCTTCGCCATATCCATCAGAGCTTATATGTCTTTGCTAACTCTTTCTTGAATGGCAACTCGAAGATCTTGGCCCTCCTGATCGTTCTCATCGCTAGACTGTTCGCTTGGAAATGTATATGTAGCTCGCTGTTTTCTAATAGGACTTTTAATATTTTCTTTACACTTATTTGATATACCGGATATTACCCTTTGTCTTTTCGGTTAGACATAAAGAAGAAGAGTGAGGAAAAAGGAGCTAGTATCATTTAATGCGTGGCATTTTATCAATTGATTTTGTTCCAGTCCTTTGTGATCAGGGTGGACTTCATACAGTAAACGTTATGATGGGATTCATATCAAGTTTCACGGTTCCAGGACGCTGTGTACAGTTTTTTCTTTTCACAGCGCATCCGAAAATCCTTTATACTTTTTGTGGAACACACTGTACAGCATCCCTTCGCCTCTGTAAGCGTAAAATATGCCTTCAATAGAACCGAATTTATATTTTTTTTCGCTCTTTTTGCGTTGATGGAAGGGAAAAAATACATTTCCGGGACATGATTCTGTGCCCCCTTTTTTTGGCACTGGGTCTGACAGGTGATATACTGATTGATTCGCCTGTGATTGATTCGCTGTGATTGATGCAAGAGGCTATGCGATATTTTTTTATACCGGTTGAAACTAGTTCTTCTTACGAATAGTACTGTAGTTTTCTCGTACAATAACTGCAGTGTGGATTTTTAAAATTGTCCAAATTTTAGTGACAGGTGACTGCACTGGCGATACACGAAAAAGATCATTCAAATCCTAGGAACAACCCAGATTCATAGTTGTGTTAGTTACTTAATTTCATATAATAGCGTGCATTTGGTGAATTTGAAGGTAAAAAAGGGACTACAAAGGGAAAAGGCGAGAAATGCTGACTAGTCTGCTGAATGGTAAATGGATGGCTGGGTTATAGGGTTCGTTTTATCACGCAGTTGTGTCCTTTAGACAATCAACTTGTCGCCTTGCCTCTTCCCAGGAAAATACGTTCTATACCATGAAAGTTTGATATCACTTGCCAATAACAACCTTTATCATGCTTCGTCCCTGTATACGATACCTGCTGACAATATTCGATATGTATCTTGCAATAGGCAATAAGGATGGCGCGAAGGGACGCTGATCGCTGTTTTTTAAACAAAGCCATCTCTGTCTCGATATTGGAGGCTAGCTTTTTCAGATCCTCCTCCATCTTTTCCTTTTCTTCCACGAGCTATCACTTTTCGTGAGATGAATGGTTCTAAAAAGAGACACTAAAAAAAGTTCCGATGTACCTGAGCAATAGCTTTCTCGAGCTTACTGATTTGGGTCTTTCTTGTAGCTTCTGGGTCCACATCGATGATGCCTTGGAGGGTGCTACTGAATGCATTCAGCAGTTTTTGTGGCGAGGACCATTTACGCGATATTTTGCGAGACGCTCGAAGAGCTGCCATACTCGCTTGTGAGGGGTACGTAGGCATCTCGACGGTATCTTTACTGTCGGATTGAGCGGTAGGCATATCTATCGTTGCATAGTCGTCGTCGATGGAATGGGTATCAATATCGTCGTAGTCATGGGAGGGCGGTATTGAGCCATTGTGATTTATTGGTTCTGATTGTGATTCTTCTTCATTTACTTGCAATGTCGTATCGAGGCGTTTCGAATTACTTTCAATATTCATGAGTCCTCGGTGCATCCTGCGCTTATTCCCAATGGATTCGATGATCATCTCCAATTGTGCTTGTTTCATCTGATGCAGTTGTAATATATGCTGTCCGTTCTGCATGTACTGGTTATATTCGTGGACATGTTCCGCAAATTCCACTTCCAAATCCTTTATCTGTTACTTGGCATGAGAATGATCATTGACATTGACATATATTCCCAGCATTTGCATGCAAACAAATACGTAATCATCTGGGAGTATGACTAGGTCATTACCAGTTGTTCTGTTTTGTTGCCGGATATTTTTGCGGTCATTGCAATAGCTTTCATGATGGCGGACATGGAAGAGCTTTCATGTATACTGAGGTTATTGTATGCCGTGCTTAGATCGGTGTAATCGTTGGACAAGCCTACGGGTAAGGCATAAGCGAATGGACCATATAAATTGCCATGGGATTATTCGTAAAACCTGATAACCGCTGCAGTATCCGTTGCTGTGATCTATCAAAATGCGTTGCTGCTCTCACAGCACTCTTTTCTGTCATGTGTTCGGACAGACAGAACGAGGGGTCTTGTATCCTCGAGAGTGGAGGCGACTTGGTCATCGGTAAAATATTGGCAGACGGCCACGCTGCGGATGGTAAGTGGTCATTGATAAAAGAAACAAGCGTAGCGTTATTGGCAGAAGTCATGCCATTATTCGAAGCACACTCATGGTGTGTTTCATTGGCTGCGGTAAGTGAATGAAGAACATTTGCCTAAACGAAATTACCATCAATAAGATCAATCAAAAGTTTTGATTAATTTTTGGCTACACATGGAACATGGAATTAATTACCCAGAGGATATCAGGATCAAGGAACAGGTGAAGGATGTGTTCGCGGCAGAGAGTGGGGTGCGCTGCTAATCGTTGCAAAAATCTTTGCAATAGGCGTTTCCGCTTGTCAATCAAAGGCTGTTCGTCGGTCATGCGCCTTTGGACATACGCATATTCAGCTCCATGAGAGATTTAGTATAAAATCGATGAGTTATACCACATCACATGCTGCTACTTTACACAAGGTATGTTTTTCAGGAATCGGTGGTATAAGCAGTGCGGGATACAGCGTACTGAGGGCGGTTCGGAGAGACTCAAACTCGCTGTAACGTCGTTTGGCTTTTGATATAGAATGTCCATTATTTTCCAAAGCAATATAATAGAGCACAAAGCTGCTCTTCTCTGTCACTTTTCTGCAAGCATCACGAATCACGATGCAAGCCGGATCGTCAAGTGGACAAGCACATGCCAACCGATGGAAAGGGTTTGGGTCTCCTGTCATTTGAAATAAAGTACTAAAAAAAAAAGAGATTGAAAATGTATATGAAAAAAAAAAGCAAGGAGTAAACTGTGGCAACAAATCAAACTTAAACTGTAGGCTGTCAGGTCAGTCACGTTGCTGGTATCGTGTATCATTGGCATGATATCGACCTGGCACTTTTCCAAACTCAGAGTAATGCGCAGCATCTCTAATATGGCTTCAGTGCTCTTGCACTGCCAATTTGTAGAACCATCTTTTGGTCGCAGTGCCATCAAAGCACACGTCAATCAAATATGCTACGTCATTTGCGAGTTTTGCTAGTTCCAACACTGCAGACGGTATATACATACAGTGGGTCATTTGAGCACCCGTCAGATATCTCTCTTGCTATCGTCTCATCAGAGTGTAAAAAGGCAGGAAGAATGCGGACTTCGTGGAAGCGGAGATTTGGGGTAAAAATGGGCAATGTTTTATTACAAACGGGTGTAACCGAACCCAGGCATCATGCTGTTCGTCGGGCTGAACCCTGAACTGCGTGTTTTTCAGTTTGCCTGCAGCTGTTGGTTGCCCACCATAGCTCTGATAGTGCTAACAAGTTCTCTGAAGATCTGTTTCTGTTCCGGAGTTGCCTTTACAGAAGATTCTCCTCCGCCACAACCATCGGGACCACCTGTTTTTTTTTTTTTTGTTTTTTTTTTTCTTGGCAGTTAGCAACAGCTTTTATGAATATTCCGAACACATCAAATATACCATTTCGCCACTGGAAGTCGGTTTCCGAAGAGTAAAAGGCAATAGAAATATCTTCACCATAAATGTCCTCGCTGCCTTCTGGAGATTCTACTGGCAACATCTGCAACGTTTTCTCCAGGCCGGCAACAAAAGAGTGCAAATCTTGTTTGCTATGCAACAACCTAATCTCAGCTCACATTGTTTCATATTCACATATCAGTCACACTTACTCTGCAATAGTACCACTCATCGTTGTAAACCCATCTTGAGGATCGGATGCCGGTAATGCATGCATGACAGCTACACCATTATCCACGTTTTCTATTTGAATGTGTTCTCTATTTCGGTAGCATTAGGCTTCTGCTGTTTCCTCGGTTGCAATTCCTCGCGAGCCCAATTTACCTGAGTTGAGGGCCTTTGAAACCGCCGCTAATACCTTCGCGCAAGACAAGCGAGAAGGAAGGAAGCTCAGTCTGTCCAGTCATAATGTGCCAAGAGGAGTAATAGTAAAAGAAAAAGTAAGATAAAATCGCGGTACACAGTAGGGCTGAGATACGAAATACAGACTGCATGAGAGAAAAAAAATAAAGATCACTGGTTTTACGGTTGATCACCGGATACTAAAGCCAAAAAGGCAAAAACAGACTACCTTTTGCCCGTTTTATCATGTGCTGCATATCCGAGAATGCATTTTTCGACCTTTTCGAAATCTTTGTTTGCAGCGAAAAATAAAAACACAAAAAGAAACGGGACCTATCCCGGTTACTATCATTCTCCCCGACTACAACTTGGATTTACTCGGCATTGTCTCATCAAGTAAAACATAGGACCACAGGCGGGTTGAAACTATTAGATTTGCTTACGTGTCAAACACACAACCATGACATTTTCTTTTCATTATTATTATTTTTCATGCCGGCAACGATGCAATCGCAACGTTGCACACGCTTCTAAACATACTGTTCAAAGGGTACTTCTTTTTAGTTTATTTAAAGTTTGAAGCCAGTATACGAGTCATTCTTCAATTTTCCAGCAGCGGCGTTATCGATAAACCAGCAGACTTTGCCGGAAGCAGGTTGAACGCGCTGACAAGGCAGTTGCAATTGAGGTTGTTCAATGATCTTTTGTACCATCTCTTGCTTGCCTTCACCAGCCGTAACAAATACAATCGATTTGGCACGATTAAGCACAGGGTAAGTCAAAGTAATTCGCTCGGGCGGAGGCTTAGGTGAGTCGGTAAGCGAAGCGACCCAGCGTTGGTTGTCATCCAAAAGGGGGTGGCCGGGAAACAGCGAGCAACAGTGACCATCGGGACCCATACCGAGTAAAATGAGATCAAACTCGGGTTCTTTACCATTAAAGAAAGCCTTCAATTTGCTTTCATAATCGGCCGCCGCCTTTTGAGCATCCTTGCCGCGTGCATAAGGTTCGTGAATGGCGTGAATGTTGGCTTCGGGAATGTTGACATGATCCAACAGTGTCTTCTTGACTTCTTTGTAGTTGGAGTCGTCGCTTTCATAGTCTACACAGCGCTCGTCGGCCCAGAAAAGGTGCCACTTGGAAAAATCAATGTTGGAGTTCTGCGACACGTATTTTGACAGCAGCTTTGGCAACGAACCGCCGGAAATGGCCACGGAGACAACTCCGTGATTCTGAATGGCGTCGCGAGACAACTTTTCAACATATTCGTTCAAGCCTTGTGAGAGAGCATCGGTAGTTGGGAACACGTAGACAGCGGGCACCATGTTGACTGATTACGAGAGTAAAACGAAATATCAGATAACGCTGGTTTTATTCGTGCCATTTTTTGAATCCCTTGCAACGCATGACTGCGAACAGCTTTTCAGAGTCAGCGGTGTAATTGTTCGCTCATGCAAAACTCATGCCGCCGGCAACAGCGGCATGGTCGAACCTACATTTCTATTTATATCTCTGACAACCATTACGATGCCATGGAGATTGACGAAACAAGTGTGTGTTCTCGGTTTTGCTGGTTCGCGACTTTTCAAAGTTGTTGAAACTCTCCAAGTAAAAGTAAGACACCGAAAAGAATTTACAAGCGCAGGATTGTCAGCTTTCACAAGGATGCATATACCTTGGATATGAATGTGCTGGACCTTATGCTACAGTATCCACACTTTCCAACAACCGAGATTCCATGGCTCTTTTTTTTCGATGAATGCGGTATAAAGAAGAAGTAGCTTTTTTTTTTTCAGACAAGGCCGGGGACAACTAGAATGCGGCCTGAAACTCCGGTCCCATATTTGGCAGAAAAAAAAAGTCCCTTGCTTTGTTGAACTGGTCCATCCACTTCTTTCCATGATCACACCCGGTAATATGCTTCCTTAGCCAGAGTGTGAGAAGTTCTGGGTGATATGTTACTATTATTCGTTGAATGAAACTTTTCGTATCAAGCTTGCCTCGTTGGGGCGTACTACGTCGCTCCTTGACAGCATCGGTGGGCCAGTTACGGCCTAAAGTGCTGGATAAAGCGATCCGTGGTTATTATTAAGGTTCTACTGGTAAAGAGAATTATATGTGCGACCGAGTGACCTGGCTCCAATACTCTGGTCGTCACATTGCAACTGAATGAGACTGTGCCCCAACTGCGAATGATTCTTATTAGAGCTATTGTACCACGTAGGACAACAAAGAAAATACGGCAGACCGTTATTGCCAATCACTTATTAATCTTGCTTAGTTTCTATGACGTTTGTCTTTTTTGTGCAATGAAGATTCATCAATCGCAAAATGAAAAGAACCCTTTGATTCTTGAAAAATTGTCTGCAGGAAGAGCGATAATTTTTTCTTTGATTGTTTTGTGCCGGACCCACGACATAGTTCACCAACGACGCGACCTAGATCCGCTCCATGGATAGGCGTGGTGGATACTTTTTAGGTTTTGAGCACGTTTATCTGCATCAATGGTTCACTGCAATTAACTGCGCCTCAATATTTAATCGCCACCAACAGCACCAATGTGTCTAACCAGCACCCAAGTGTTCACCGTAGCGAAAATAACTCTATACTGACGATGATATGCAGAAAAAGATCCCGTCGACATTGACACACACCACCAGATACCAGAAGCTTGGTGGATCGTCGACGCTTTTCAACCATGTAGATAATATGGATGCATGAAAGCTATGATCTGTCCAAGCAATGTAATTTTTGGTTAAAATACAGAAGGTTTCATTGGCTTGCGCCTGGAGTAATATCCATAGGCTGACCTTTTCTGCAAGCCAGCTCTCATTTCTGCAAAGTTAACGAGCACAAAACTGACTGATGGCCAAAAAAAAGAAAAGGAAAAGAAAAAAAAGTCAATGCTATTTCGGGTTGCATTGATGACGTATCGGCTGGAATTTTTCTTGTTCCCCTGGAATAAGAAGCTCACCTGAAAGAAGCTTAGGGTTTCCACCTGCTCAAACGATCTTGGACCCGTTCCACGCGTGTACCCTTTTTTTTCTTTTTCAATGACGGCCAATTATGTACGCCACTCGCAGAGCCGATCGTCGACTACGCCCTTCATATCCTCCAGTAACGTGGTGGGCGTCCATTACAAAGTCGGACGCAAAGTCGGTGAAGGCAGTTTCGGTATAATTTATGAAGGTGAGTTTGAATCACTTCCATGTCACTTCCTTTCTCAAATACATGTCGTAGGAACCAATCTGTTGAACAACCAGCAAATCGCGATAAAATTCGAGCCTAGAAAATCAGACGCACCTCAACTGCGCGATGAATATAGGACCTACAAAATTCTAGCGGGTCTTCGTACGTATGGCTACCATTCAAAAAAAAAAAAAAAAAAGGATGATATCAAATCAGCAAGAAACCAAGCGCCACTCACCTCTTCGTGTTTCTTTAGCTGGTATCCCTACCGCGTATTATTTTGGTCAAGAAGGTGTTCACAACATATTGATTATCGATATGCTGGGACCCAGCTTGGAAGATCTTTTTGACATGTGTTCAAGGAAATTCACCGTCAAGACGGTAGCCATGCTCGCTAAGCACATGGTAAAACAAAACAAAAAGACACAATTCAGCCGTACAGCTTATGGATGGTGTACTGAAGTATCACTGTGTAGATCACGCGAGTTCAAAGTATCCATGAACGCAACTTGATTTATCGAGATATCAAACCTGACAATTTTTTGATTGGCCGACCCGGAACCAAGCAGGCCAACACGGTTTTCATGATCGATTTTGGCATGGCAAAGCAGTATCGCGATCCAAAGACGAAACAACATATTCCATACCGTGAAAGAAAAAGTCTATCAGGCACAGCTCGCTACATGAGTATCAATACTCATCTTGGACGCGGTATGTAACAGAGTCAATCAGCATATGAGCCATAATTGAATCTTATTGGCTTTTCTTTTTTCATTTCTTTACTTTTTTCAGAACAGTCTAGACGAGATGATCTTGAAGCGCTTGGCCATGTGTTTATGTATTTTTTGAGAGGTTCATTACCGTGGCAAGGGCTCAAGGCAGCAACGAATAAGCAAAAATATGAACGCATTGGTGAAAAGAAGCAAACCACAGCGGTCAAAGATCTATGCAGCAACTATCCGGGTAGGCATATTTCGTTCATTTGCTATTGCAAAAAGCCAAATGGTTTACTGACGCATAAATGAATGGTTGCTTTAGAGGAATTCGGCATCTATCTCCAATACGCTCGCCGATTAGGATTTGAGGAAACGCCCGATTATGACTTTTTACGAAGTTTATTCGATAAAGTGCTGCGATCAGAAGGCGAAACAGACGATGGTGTCTATGATTGGATGTTGCTGAACGGTGGAAAAGGCTGGGAGGTAGGTTTACATGAAAGACTTGCATAGTTCGGAGTGGCTGAGCGGGGCTGCGATGATCCAATAGTATCGAAATTCGGTCCATCGAGGACAGACGCACAGACAAGGGGCCGCTGTTGGTAATCATACTGCAGCGGCTGCAGCAGACAGTACCGGTAAAGGGCCGATGCGCCATTCATCGAAACGTGACAGCAATCGTCGAAACTCGAAGCAGCGATTGCATCACCAGGAAACTCACCTGAAAGCGATACCCTACCAACATTCACCGACGCAACCAATGACAACGCATCTTGCTCAACCCACGTATCAAAACATGGACACGGGCCATCTCCACGCCCAGGACGTGGAATCGGTACAAAAGAGAGGATGGTGGCAACGCCTCTTTTCTGTGGTAACATGTGGTGCATGCTCGTGCTCATGAACCTATGCTTCTGCTTCCTTGCCCTGAGGCGTGACGACGCGTTGAAATCCATTCCATGCTTGATGATGATACCCTACAAGCAAACAAATGCTTCAGAAAATCCTATTTTTTCTTCCTTCTACCCTTTTTTTTTTTTTGTTCCTTTACTGATTAATTGGCTATACATATACAATACTTGGATTATTTTATTGTATGACGGACCTTACCTATGGCAGGTGGCATATGACATATAAACTTTATGCGACAAACTAAAAACGATCGGTTATCCAAGCATATTACTGCGATCTCCTTGACTATTTTCCAGGAATTATTAAAGAAACGACCTTACTGGGGTATTCAGGTTGGACCAATTTTTTTTTTCAGCTTATCGAAGGGTTGCATGGCGGTGAGTGACACAAAATAGTAGATCCTCATAGTAGGCTCATGCTAGTCTATCTTTGACACCTCGATGCCGATATCTTAGAATGGATATTTATCGAGATTTTTGCAACAAGGCACAATACAGATTTAATGCAATGTCACTGTTTAAAAATGATAAAGGAACACAGGTTGTACCTGGAGACAAAAGTTTGTACGTCCTTGTTGGGCGTATTTTGATGCTATACGTCACTCAAAATTGGGCCTGATGAGCTAAAGATGGTCGGTAGTGCCTCCAGTAAAAACTATGGATAACAAGAATGAAAAAAAAAGAGGGAAACCAAGTATTAAATGATGGTCTTGCCATAGACTACGCTGAATGATATCCAATTCCATTGCAGCCAGGTGTTCCATTCATTGTCTTGTTTACAAATTCACTGAAAAGAGTAGTTGGCCATTTTTTTTTTAATTGTTTTTGGCGGTTGTTATTTTTCCTTCGCCTTTTTTCCTTTTTTTAGCGATGCATGTATGAAAACAACCTGTTTCAAATTTCTGTGCAGTTACTGACTCTCTAATGCATCCTTCATCAGACATCTCTCGTGAAGCCTTCCATCAAGCATCTCACACAATCCATCCTGGCAATGATAAACGATACGGGTACCTTCCTATACGAAAGGCAAGACCGTCGATTTTTTTTTCGAAACCCCTTGATGTGATATGTATCTAAAGTAAGAACCTGCCTATCCTCTTTATAGAACGCCTGTATCGTTTGTGCTGTGTGCTTCACTTGCACCAAAGTAAGAATCGCATTTTTGTAATACCAAGATAGTGAACCTACTGATAGATTGTTTATCTTTCTGATTTCTTTTATATATGTTACAGTACTATGGAGACGAGTGCCAATGCAAGGAAGTTCAACCTCGGCGTGGAAAAAACTTACCGAACGGTTGCCTGGATTCGAGAGCGAAAAAGCTACGTCGAGAAGATAAGGAAGACCACGAATTTTCGATTAGTTGGCTGAGAAAGAATGGGCATCCGATTTACAAAAACGAAAACGACGACATTGTGGGGCTTGCGGAGCTGCAAGAGGTGTCACTATGCAAAGCACACAGTAGCACCTTGTACAGGTCGAGAAGAAAATACGAGCTTCACAGGTTTCACTCGCCTCCATCGCCTACGGATTCCAATACCATGACGGTTGTCGAGGACCGATCACCATCACATGAGTCTACTCCATCCGATGCCTCCTATGCGTCACCCTCCGTCGTGTACTCGAACCAGCCACTCTCCTCTGGCCTGCGACGGGGAGGATTAGCGGCCAAAGTCAACGAAATCGCATATCGTCAGCAGCAGCAACAACAACATGCTCACCAATCACCGTTGCAGCCAGAGCTTCCCGACTTCAGTACCATGTCCGCTTCCACTTCCCTCAAACGAAAACGGACGGGGACACCGGTTTCACCTCTTAGGAAACCGTGTTCAAGTGCTTCCACCCCACTGTTGCCTACCGCGACCGCCCCCTTTTCATATCGTCAAAATGCCCCCATCGCTGCACCGCGATTCTCATACACTGTGCATGAAGCTCCCGAAACCTTCTCATCGCAATTGCCCCCATTGCATACACGGAATGTGTCGTCGTCGTCCGCGTTTTGTTCTTTATCATCCTCGCTGCAACAACAACTCCATCTATCCAAACCGTATCCTCAGCCCCCTACATTATTAGCGCACAAATCAGCTCTTTTAGACTCGTATCCTATGGTGGAAACCGTGTCGCTGAAAATGGCCCCGTCTTTATCCGAAGAGAATCCGACCTACTGTATCCGCAACTTGGCCATCACCGATCATTTTACGTTCAGAGACCTGTTGGCTGAAATTGAAATGATCGGATCGCCACCCCCAGGGAAAAGGATTGTCGTCTTTGACGATAAAAACGAAACAATATTTCCCTTTGATCAAGCGATCCGGAGTGTCATTCAACGACCTGAATCCTCTCACTTGGAATTATGCCTTGGTCTCACTGATAAGGCCTCCATTGATTGGAAGACGCTGTGTGAATAACCCTACTATTTCATATTTCAACATGACGTCAACTTTGAAACATAATTTTCATGAATTACAAAAAAAAAAAAAAAAAAATAAAGACCATTAAATCCTGCAACATGTGCCATGCTGAACGCCTCTTTTCCCTTTTAGTTTAACATTTGTCATTCTCACATAAAAATCCAATTTGTAAGCCATGGACAAGCCTGACTTTAAGTATCTGCCGACCCAACATCCCATCAGTAATGAAGAAGCACTGGCTGAAGCGGAAGTGTCGAATCGCATAGCAGGTCAATATGCTGAGGAACGCCAACACGGTTCAGCTCGCTCCTTTGAAGATTTAGAATTGGAACCTCCTAACAGTAAAGATCGAGTGGATCCCGAAAATTCGTAAGCTTTTTCTTTCCATGCTGCTTTCCTTGAGCAAGTTGGATATATTTCCACTAACCTGTATTATCGCTAGATCATGGGTTGATGCGCCAAAGAACCAAGTTGAAATTTGTAAGTCCTTGCAACATAGCTTCTACTGTACTCAAAAACTCAAACCTACAGCATTGAACGTAGTAGCGGCACCTGATAACATTTTACCCAAATTAAAAGATGAAACTCCTATGAAGGCCGTCGAAAAGAGCAACGAATGGATTGCACAACACATGGATACAGACGACTCGACATCGGATAAAACAAGTAACAAGCAACAATCTTCTCCTTATAAGCAGTTGCCCGACGGTACTTCAGAGTTAGTGGGATAATCATGAAAACCATCCTTGACACGTTTGTAATCTAAATTAATGTAATCAATACGAGATAACCAGCATTTCAAACTGTATAATAAAAACGAAAACAAAAAAGAAGCACGCAAAGTTTCGCCTTGTCGATTGTAATCTGTTGTACGCTATAACAAGCCGTCGTGCTCGTAGCTTTTTGGTCAAGGATGACACTTTTATGGAATTAAGCTGGGATTCTCAATATCATCACTCATACGCTTCAATGCTCGATGACAAGAACTGATGCGTCATGATCAAAAAATACAGTAGGATTGTATGCTTTTCTCTTGGTCGTTGTATCTGTATTTCACTCTATGAAAGATATGAATATGATTAAGCAAGAAATTCGCGCTTGCTTTGTTGCGAGTTTGACCCTACCTGCTGTTCTCCGTCTACCTATGGCAAACATTGGGGATGCTCATCAAATATTTTTCAGTGTATTGAAATAAATTGTCATGAGTCATCCTCTTCTTTTGGACAAAAGTTCATTCTACTTGTCTACATGACATTCATCTCTACTCAGGTTTGATCCTCGACAGAATACGTCATGGCGGCGTTACTCTTCATTTGAAGATCAGCATGATGCATAGTTACCGGTTTTCATTTTTTAACACTTTTTCTCGGAAATTGATCCCATACAGACTATGACGAAAACGATTATTTTGTTGTTAATTTCGGGCATAGACTGTATTGAATTCTAAAATTGCATCGAGATCAAAGGAATCCCAATTCTTGCTAAAGCACGGTTTAAAGTGACCCGTCTGAACAATGAAGATGTACACATTTGTTTAAGTGGAAATGTATTGCACGCTTTCAAAAAAAAATTTCTCTTCAAAAAGAAAATGTCCATAGCTCTTTGTCTTAATATGTTAAAGTACGAGCTCAAATACAACAGAAAACGGAACCACAACACAAGCTTGATATAATATCATGCATCATTTTCAAAATGCAAAATTGAAAACATTTGGAAGATAATCGAAAAAGCGTAAAAGTACAATACCCTGGATGGCTTAATTTTTTTTTAAAAGATGTACATATAAAAGAAAAAACTATACGCAGAGGCAAATCAGAAAGACATCGACAATTCAACGGACGCCTCCAAGGTCAAGCATAACCTCAGAGCAGATCCACACAATCATCAAAATTCTGTTCAGGAATATCCTCCTTCGGCCATCAAAATTCCGCACTCAAATGGTCATTAAGTTAAACGCCTAATCTCCGGGATCATGGTGTAATTGTCAGATGTGAGTTCTCCTTTAGAGTCCAGTTTAAATCTGTAGTTCGTTGATTGATTTTATTTCTACCATAACATGGTCCTATTTATATTTTCTATCAAGATACAGGAAGGGTTCTCGCCAACTTCCTGCACAGTTTTCTATTATTCCGAAACATAACCAATTAAGGAGTATTACGGACCACTTTAATGCAGAACGGATTCGATCTATATTTCTTCCGTTTCCCAGGCAATATCTTTGGTATGCCTCGTTCATCCATTGGTCCTTCATACCTTCTCGAAGGTTCCTCCAGACATCGATCTGCGGACGAGCCAATGCGCTGTCTTCCGTATTTGCCAAACTTTGGTATAGCAAATCTAATCGGCGCAAAAGAAGAACCGGCGTAACTGACATAATAAATTCGTAAAAAAAAGAGCAGAAAATACTACAGAATATGTTTCTGATGAGAATACGTGTCGTATTTACTGGATCTGATAAACTGCACGATCACCAAAGTAAATAGACGAGGATTGACAATAAAACGAATGATGATGTTTATTCAATGTTTTGGGGTTTCTTTTTATATTCTATTATGACAATGCTATCTATTCATGATATATCGACTATTACTCATACTGAGCTTTGTTGTTGATATTTACGAACCGTGAGTCATTAAGACAAAACGTTTAGAGGACCGCTAACAGGTCCGACATTATCCCCTTCCCAAACGCTTGATCGTCCTCGAGCAAGATAAAGAAGAAGAAACAGAAGGCAGCGAACAACCATGAGGAGATCGAGACGGAAAAGAGAAGGAGAGAAAAAAAATTGGAGAGCCGACTAGGTTGAGGTTTGGGTTTGTGCACGAGCCGTTCGAGGGATGTACCAAGATTGGTTGGCCGTGGTGTCAGTCGTATGAGCGGGGCGAAGACGGTCGGTATGTACCCAGGATGCATATTGTTTTCCTTGGATTTCGTGGATCTGATAGGTGTCGGTGTCCAGGTTCCGGCCGATGACAATATACGGGCCCATCCAGGAGGGTTCTAGGGTCTTGCGATTTTCGTGGCGTAGTAGAACAAGGTCACCAAGTTCGAAAATTTGGGTTTCGGTCCTCATGGCATCATCCCATTTTTTCTTGTCCGCTTCCGCATTACGTTTCATTCGAATTTCGGCTTTCTCGCGGGCTTCACGCAACTTTCGGAGGTAAGTGAATGCATCGTCGGCCAATAGTTCCGGAGCTAGTTCCGTTTCGGTCGGTTGGATCCAAGGGCATGCAGTGTCGCCTGGCAGTCGGGGATGTCGGCCGTAAGTTAAGTAAAAGGGACTATACCCTGTCGTCCGATGTTTTCGTACGCGGCAAGCCCACAGTGCTTGGTTCAAGTGTTGGTCCCACACGTAGACGTTACCATTGATATATTTCTTGAGCATGTTCTTCAAGGTCTGGTTCAATCGTTCGCATTTACCGTTCGTTCGCGGGTGGAATGCCGAAGTCAACGTGTGGTGAGTACGGAGTAATCGAACATAACGGGAGACAACGTTGGACATAAAGTTCGCGCCACGATCCGTGAGGATTTCATCCGGACAACCAAAGCGAAGCACAATTTCTTCGTAGATGAACTTGACGATGGCCTCACCTGTGGCGTCCGGAACAGCGCGGGCAATAGGCCAGTTGGTGGAGTAATCCACCGCAACGAGAATCCATCGGTTACCATCACTAGTTGTGGGTAATTCCCCAATAAAGTCGAGGTGCCATCGGGAAAAAGCACTAGGGACATCCAGAGGATGCATCGGAGCCTTGTGCATCGAGCGGTTTTCATTGGCGACGATCTGACATTGAGGGCAAGTTTTGATCCAGGATCTAATATCGGCTTCCATGCCTGGCCACCACCAGCGAGATTTCATGATGTGATAAAGCGTCTGGACACCAGAATGACCGAAGCTCTTGTGGAAATTTTCGACGAGATCGGCACGGCGGGAAAAGATGACATAACGTGACTCTTGAGAACCGGTCTTGTGAGGACGATAGAACACCATTTTGTCCCGAACTGTGAAATGCTCTTTGTTCTTTTCCATTTTTTCTTTGATTAGGCGGGGCCAGTTGGAAGGATCGAGCGTGTAGAAACGAGGCCAGTCGTTTTGTGGGTCGACATGGGGGTCTTCGGCCTCAATAGTGTACAGGTACTTGGGTTCGATATCGTCTTGAGCTGGCTCACAATTTGGGCCACCGACACGCGAAAGCAAATCCGGGATCGTGTTGTCAGCACCAGGCTTGTACTGGATATCCGGGTCGTAAGATTCCAATTCGTTGAGATAGCGGATCAGGCGGGCCGTAGGGTTCTTCTGAGAGCGAAGCGACTTGAGGGAAAGATGATCAACAAATACGGAGTAGTTTCGTTCTCGACTATCGATGAAGCAGCGCCAGGTACGGAGAGCGTGAAGAACACCGATTAGTTCGCGTTCTTGAGCGGGAAAACGTCGTTCGGCAAGGGACAGTTTCTTCGATTCGTAGGCCAAGGGGCGCCAATCACCAGTGTCATCCTGTTGTAGCAGAACAGCACCCACGCCATAATCGGAAGCGTCAGTTTCGATGCGGAACGGACGAGTCATATCGGGCGAATGAAGGAGAGGCGCTTCAGTGAGTTTACTCTTCAGGAGATCGAAACTATGCTGGCACTCTTGCGTCCAAGTGATCGAACGTTGTTTGGCACCAGTGCCTCGAGTGAGATCGGTGATCGGAGCGGCAATGTGGGCGAAACCGGGGATGAAGCGACGATAATGTTGGGCGAGACCGATGAATTGGCGTACTTCTTGTACGTTGGTGGGTACCGGCCAGTCTTGAACGGCTTTCACCTTGTCACGCGAGGGGAGAATTCCATTTGCGGAGATGTCGAAACCTAGGAACGAGAGCTGGGTTTGGGCAAAATGGCATTTCTTCGGGTTAACGACGAGCTGAGCTTCGCGGAGCTTTTCCAAAACGGTGTGTACATGGGCGCGGTGATCCTCGATGGTCGGACTAAAAATGAGGATGTCGTCGAGATAGACCATGGCAAACTTGTCTAGGCAATCCTTGAGCACGGAATTCATGAGGCGTTGGAAAGTAGGAGGGGCATTGGTGAGGCCGAATGGAAGGACCAGAAACTCGAATTGGCCATAGCGAGTGTTGAATGCCGTTTTTGGAACGTCTTCAGGGCGAATACGAACTTGATGGTATCCAGACTTGAGATCGAGGGAAGTGAAAAAACGGGCATCGCGGAGTCGATCTAGGCATTCATCAATGCGAGGCAAAGGATAACTATTGCGAATCGTCAGTTTGTTCAAGGCACGATAATCGATGCACATACGCATCTCGCCATTCTTCTTTTTGACAAACAAGACAGGAGCACCCCATGGTGATGAGCTCGGCTGAATATGTCCTTTTGCCAGAAGATCCTTAAGTTGTCGTTGGAGTTCATCGAGTTCAAGTGGGCTCATTTTGTAGGGAGATCGATGGACAGGCTTGGAATCACCAGTTTCGATCATATGCTCCACGTTGCGATCTGGGGGTAGCCCAGTGATATCGTTGCTAAAGACTTCGGTGAATTCGTTCGTCAGTTGCTGTATCCAGGCGGAATTGTCGTCGTTCGGCGGAGGGTCATGCTTGAGATGCAATAAGAAACAGCGGGCTTCATTACGACGGAGAAGGTTGGCGACTTGCTTGGCAGAAAGGAGCAAATGGGCACCATCAGTGGATTCGGAATGGGTACTAGGGCGAAGAATATAGGAGCGAGCGTCCGTCTGAACAGTCCAAGTCTGATCAGTCCAATCGGGAATAGGGGAAGCATCTTTAAGCCAGGTGGTACCAAGGATCACATCGAACTTAGAGTCAAAGACCAATGCATCG